AACCGCGTGGGCACGGACCACGCGCCTCCTAATCTCGTTTCCTCCGACGTACCGATACCCCCGGCGCCTGGAGCGTTACCCCCCATCTCTAAGCTGCAACACGAGCTTCATCCCTTATCCATGCACAGTTGTGCAGCGCTTCGAAGTGGCTGGAGCATTATATCGCATAATCAGAAGCCAGCGATTTGGAAGAGCACGGATTGGCCGCGGACATCGTAGCTGAGGTTGCGATGGAGGGTGATGTTTGGCGCTGAATGCCTTTGCGGACCCTGCAGAGTGACAGATGCGTGTAGATCGTCATATGTATGTGAATGATAAATAGCGCGGGGGGTGCTCCACTGCGTGCTTGACGATCTCATCCCTCAACGAATTGACATACCTGTCACCTCCTCTCTTCACATACTCTATCCACAACCTCACAGACAATCAAATGGGCTTCCTTGACAGCATCGTCAACAACCTCACAGGCCAGAGCCAGCATGGCGGGCAACAGCAGCAGAGCCAGCAACACGGTCCCCCACCAGTCTCTCCGCCTTGGTACGCCGAGTGGGATTCCCGCGATAACAGGTGGCTCTTCGTAAACCAGCAGACCGGCGAACGCACATTCAACTACCCCGGTCCGGGTAACCAAAGCCAAGGTGGCTACGGACAGCAAGGCGGTTATGGACCACAGGGTGGATACGGGCAACAAGGCTACGGCCAACAGCAGAGCGGATACGGTGGCGGCTACGGACAGCAAGGAGGCTACGACCAACAACAAGGTTACGGCCAGCATGGTGGCTATGGCGGAGGTTACCCTCCGCAGGAACAGCATCAGAAGAAGGAGGGCAGTAATGCGTGGAAGTACGCTGCTGGAGGAGCTGCTGGTCTTGTCGGTGGTGCGCTGCTGATGCACGAGGGCGAGAACATCAGTAGGTCTTCAAAGTAATTGCAATACTTCAATATGCTAACAACCCCATAGAGCAAGATTGGGATGAGGATAAGTACCGCATGGAACAGAGCATGGATAACTTCGGCAAAGACGTCGAGAACTTCCCCGAGAACGCCGCGAACTGGACAGGCCAACAAGTCGGCAATGTAGAGAACTTCGGCGATCGTGTCGAGAACGGCTGGGACAATGCTGTAAACGACGTCGAAGAGTTCCCTGAGGATGCGGCGAGGTGGACTGGCGAGAAGGTCCAGGAGGTAGAGGACATCCCACAAGACATTGAGAACAAGTGGGATAATGCTGTGGACGATGTCGAGGACTTTGGGGATCGCATGGACAACGCGTATGATGAGGGGAGAGACGAGCAGAGATATGATGATGGTGACTACTAAAACTCAGTTAGAAAGTCGAAACATCGGCCATATGCAGCGTTGAACAACTGTCTTCCTTTTATCTCTTTTCAGTCTATGTGTCTCCGTCGTTGTTGTGTTATGCTTGCGTAGCTCCTGTCATTATCGTTGCATGTCCAGGTGGACTGCTCCCACACTTAAGACTTCTGGGCATGATGTCCCATCCTCAGCGCGTCTGCGTTTCTCTAGAGTTGAACATGCATACAACAGTTAGTATGGCCAGCGATCAGTTCACTGCTTTCATCTTTTCTACGAGACGCTGCGCTCCAATTTCACTCATGCGTCCGCACTTTCACTTTCACTTTTGTTAGCGTGCTTGGCTTGCCTACTCTCGCCAAACACAAGTTGCTTTTCATTCCCTCCGCAACAGCAGCACTCCCCCCACACACAGCTGTGACTACCTCTACCCTCCTTATCTGCAGCACTCGACACTGCTTGAGCAGCGACAACAATGACCTTCTTTGACTGATATCTCGGCGTCTCGAAGTCGACTTTCCTCGCTAGCAGAGTCATCCTGGCGAATCCAAACGATGCCTACTACGACGACCGCTGCTCGTTCTGATGGTGCAGCTACGGCGACGATCATGAAGGCGTCCGCGTTCTACCATGCAACCACGTATTCGGCAAAGATTGTGTTTCAGCCATGGTTGAGATGGACAATGGTCACGTTTGTCCCATCTGCCACTGCACCCTGTTCCAAAATTTCTGGAAGACTATGCTGTCCGCTCTGATCATGGAACTACTCGAACGTATTGCAACCCAGCTCCAGTTCTGATATCACACGATCCTAGTCTTCTACCACGAGTCCTCGCCTTGGCGGCGATTCGCCGTGCGGTTCTTGAAAAGTACGTTTATGTTTTTGTGGCCCAACTGGAACCTATACTACTGGGCATCGATCATTCAAAAGCGCTACACAAACTTTCAAGAGCGTAACCCTGTCCTGAATCTCGGGCGCCCTCAATCCGTCTTGATGACGTTCCAATACAACCTCTACAACCCAGTCCTCATGGCACGCAGCTTCTGGAAAGGTCATTATAGATCATGCCTTCGGCAATAATGACTGCTTCTGACATCACGTTGTTGATGGCTATGGTCTCCATCGCACAGTACACTGGGCTTGACGGCGGATGTAACAACAAGCGAGATACTAGAGCTCTCACTTTGATCTTGGTTGTCTCAATTGGCATCCCTCACACCCACAAAATCTAGAGTCCGTGGCACATCTGCCGCCAGCAGGATCCGATGTGGTTGTTGGACGTTGTGTATGACAAGAGTCCTGTACTAGGTTACGCCCTGCTTGCAGCTATGGCGTCTTGATCCACATAACTCGGCAAGGAATGAAAGACCGTGGAGATATTCAGCTGGGGATGAGGGGTGTTCATTTGTCTGCGATGGAACAACGACGTGTGTACAGACGTACCAACTTGGTAACGGGTAACACATAAATGTAAATCATACGCAATAACCCATTCATTTTTGCCTTTTATGTCTCCTGTCCCTGTTCCTCTTCTTTCTCTTCTTCTCTTTCTTCGCTGCATGGCTGACTTGCTTTAGCATCTTCTCTTTTCGCTTTGCATACCAGCTCTTGTAGTGTGCGTGAACGTGCTTCAAGGTGTAGAACACGAACATGACGGCTGCTTCGGCTTTGAGTTTGACATGCACTTGCTGCACATAGGAGAATTGAAAGGGAAGCTTCGATACGATTGCTGCGTATGCATTGCCGAAGAACGAGAACGGCGTGAAGACTGGTGCATCGAGAGCGGTAGTGACGTTGTGTGATTCATCGACCATTGCTGATATTAGGATCTAGACAAAAGATAGTTGTAGGCTTACCTAGCAAGCCATGCGTTACTATGCTAGTATAGACAGCTTTATCAGCACACGAATGTCACTGCTAAGAATATCTACTGTGATATGCTTGAAGCCATTTAGACTTCTCCATTCATGCGCTTGACGTTCACATGAGCAGGCGCGACACTCCGCGCATTGATGTATAGAATGTCGTATAATGTCAGAGGTGGTCAATCTTGAAGTCCATATAGTACTTTCGTCACTTAATGTCATGATTGAGTCGTGGTTGTGCACAAGCCATGAACAACCGCTTTAGCGTATCCTTGTATGACGCGCTTTTCGGACCGGCCTTAGATGACGTCTGGCAATCAGCCAAACTTAGTACTTTGGGAGATTTGTTACCTTCGCTGAAGTCCTGAAATCATTCTTTCACTCCTGCAACAATGTTCTGGACGAGCAGCCCTTGAGCGCCGGACGACAACGCCAAGCCTGCAAGCCCAGCAATTTTGACCCCTCTTTGACTGCGTGCGGCTTCGGTACAACCCGACAGGCAACCAAGCTGTGTAACCACCAACAACTGCGCAAGCAAACGAAAAGCAGCCAGTTTCGTCTGAACCGTGGCAGCGACTGCAAGTTTGCTATCTCGAGTTCAAGCTCTTTCGACTTCCTTCCTTACGAGCATGCAACTTGCGTATATAAATCGACACCACTACAGAACTAAAGATGGATGAACATCTACGCATTCTTGAGGTATACACGCGTGGTCAAGGTCGCACATCTTCGCTAACCAGTCTGCAGCAAGAATATTGCCCACCAATAGATCCCGCCCTCGTTGCTGCATTCTACAGCGACTTTGCAGATGCGCCCAACGCGTTAGAGCAAGCTAGAGAACTGCTCGACCCCATCAAAGCCTCAGCCATCGCAGAGCAGCTTACCGAGTTCGATGCCTCTGGCAGCAGTGGAGGCCCTGTACGCGACAGCCCCGGCAAGCACAGCTCAGATGTCGACTCGAACGCAGACACTTGGGTGACGCGAACGACCTTAACCGACGCGACACACCTCTCAAACGATCTCTCGGCGCTCAGCGTGGATGGAAGGTCAGCAGATGGCTCCGAGGAGTCATGGGAGGGAGGCTACTACAAGGACACCGAGCATTTCGACATAAAGACCAAGGAGCTACTGCTGGCAGAGACTTTTCCCAATTTGCGCCCAGAACTTGTGGCATATACACTGAAGAAGTGCAATGACGACTTCAGCAAGGCTACAGACGAGCTGTTGAACCACGTCTACTTCGAGGACGCAAGGATAAGTCCCACCGAGGAAGCGGCGCCATTTGCTAAGGGCATAGACGCCTTCTTTGAGGGCCATCATGTACCGCAGAAGAGCAAGAAGGGTAAGGGCAAGAGGAAACAGAAGGTCTCCCTGTACGATGTAAGTTCCGCCAACTTCTCTGGAACCGACCTCTCCGGCACTGCGACGCCCAACCGCTGGCAGAACAGCAGCCGCGACGTAGAGTTCATCACAGCACGTACAAAGCTCCCAGCGAAGGTCGTTTCTTCAATGTACCACGAGAAGAGCGCGTCGCTGTCTGGTACCATCTTGGCCTTTGTGAATAAGGACATGAAGGCCCATGAGAACGAAGAGCCTGACGCCGGCTTCGTGATAGATGCTACGACTGTCACCGAAGACTTCCCCACGATTGGTCTTGGTCAGGCTGTGGCGCTCGTACGACTTGTAGACGGCTCACCAGACAAGGCGCGAGACATGGCGAAGGCCCTCACCGAGCAGCCAGCAAGCGAGACCGGTGGCAAAGGCGGTATCAAGCTTGACTTCAAATACGCGCCTGTCAATCTTGACGACGATGAGCCTCGAGCGAGCAAGCTCCCGGACCTGCCTTCATCCATCCGGCCACATACAACTGCGTCGGTAGCCCTACGACGCAATGAAGCGTACCAGAAAGCAGCAGAGGCTCATCGCAAGGGCGGGCGCATGAAGGCTGTTGCAGGGTACTACGCACAAGAAGCCAGAAACTATGATGCCAACATGAAGGTTATGAGCCAGGCTGATGCCGATGCATTCGTTGCACAGCAATCTTCGTCCACGATCCTCGATCTGCACGGAGTCACTGTGGCGGATGCGGCAAGAATCGCCAGACAGAGGACACAGATGTGGTGGAACTCGCTTGGCGAACAGCGCATAGCAGAGTACGGCGGTGCACGTGGAGGGGTCGGCAGCTATAGGATTGTTGTCGGCTTGGGTAGGCACAGCGCTGATGGCAGAGGCAAACTTGGACCAGCAGTTGTGAAAGCGCTTGTCGAGGAAGGCTGGAAAGTCGAAGTCGGCTCTGGTGAGTTGCTCGTCACCGGCATGAACAGAAGGAGATGAACAAGACTTGGGCTCGAATATTGTACATACAGTCAGCGTGAAGATACTCGGCTGAAGATAGATTTATGATTACATATACCGGCGCAGTGCAAAGCACAACATGTACAAAAGCAATCAAACTCACATGTTCATACCAACTACATCGCAGCCTCATTCCCCAGACATCAAATGCGGCTCTGCCTTAGGATCGCCCTATCTCTGTTTCAGGCTCTCTTACACTAGCGTCGCCGCTAGCAATTAACCTTCTTCCAACCATCACCTCATGTCGGCCAGACCAAGCCCAAAACACACGACAGCACGTCAAAAGAGGGTTCTCACACAGCACGTAGCAATTTCTTTCGCTACTGTGGAATATGTGGGGTTTTGAAACCAAAACGCGCGGTTTCTGCTCGGAGATCCACGGCGCCGCGCTGTCGTTTCATGGAAGTCGCGACGCGAGATGCTGCACTAAGGTCGTGGGTTTGTGAGGTTGTGAGGTTGAAAGTGGTGAGATTGACTGTGGTGACGAGATGTGATTGAGGAAGAGATGGGAACTGGGGCTTGTTGATGGTGCAGTCCGTCTGGAATGGCGGTGATTGTAAACATGATTGACACGAAAAGTACGGAAGGGACACTTCTGCGCAGCATCGACACATGCTCAACATGCATGATGAGAAGAATTTCCTCACCATAGCTTCAAGAACGAGCATTCTTAAGCCTACACCCTGCTACGTCATGCCTCCAGACGCTCACCGTGCTGAGCCACACTGACAAGCAAACAAGCATTCGCTTCCCTCTAACAGTGGAACCCAGCCCACCACCATCGTTTGACGATCTTGAATATTACAGTTACAGGTTGGACAATCCGCAACCTGCTCCGCACCAAGTCTATGCCTCAGGGACTCTGGATCTGCGCATTGCTGCAGCCTCGCAATAGGGTTGTTGCTCATCGACTGATGCTCGAGAACGCGTCAACAAGCTGAGACCAGACGGCTACTCCGTATCGGTCCTACCCCATGGAGGTTAATATATATGGTAGCTCCATCACGATGTAGGTTTGCTTCTCCAGTTCGATACTTGATCAGTGCTTTTCCAGAGATAATACCTTTGATCCTTTCTCTCCCTACTACTTTCTGGTATTGCTGCTAGTCGGCTTTCTATTCTTTCTTTCTCTATATTCTACTGCAGCGCAGTAATTTATACTTTTCAATCTATCAATATGAAGTTCGAGGCATCCATCCTTCTCGCCACTTTGGCCGCTTCCACTGTCGCCGCCCCGGCACAGCTCCACTCTGCTAAGCGATGGGTCGTAGGTGCTCCGAGTTGTACATGGTTTACATACAAGTTAACATCGCCAGCAAACCGATGGCACCCAGAAGATGCCCGCCCACTTTGTCGCTTCTGTGCGCCAGATCGCCCACGAGAAGATGAGGACTAAGCGCCGTATGTGACTATACTCTCCACTATCTACTCTCTAGAATAAACTTTAACTCTAGTACAGAACTTGATCAACTCCTAGGAGGGTTGACAGGTGGAGCAGGAGGGGCAGGAGGTGCTGCTGGCGGTGTAACTGACCTTCTCGGTGGAGCTGCCGGTGGTGCTGGAGGAGCTGCCGGCGCAGGCGGCATTGCTGACCTTATCGGCGGTGCTGCAGGTGGCGCGGCTGGAGGAAATGCGCCGGCCGCTGCTGGCAATGCTGCTGGCAATGCTGCTGGCAATGCTGCGGGCGGAAAGGCCTCTGGCACTAAGGGAGCTGCTGGTGCTAAGGCTTCGCCTTCTGCTGCTGCGGGCATAACTGGCGCCACAGGTGCTACAGTAGGTTTTCACGTGCCCTGTGATCCCTAGGAATTTAACTGACCTATCTCGAAGGGAGCCACAGGCGCAACTGGTGCTACAAGTGCTGCCGGCGCTAACGGTTCTGGCGTTACTGTAAGTTACATATTAACTCACCTTTTATCAATGACTGACTGACATCTATAGGGCGGCAACAACTCCACCTCCACCGCTACAGGTGCGACTGGAAATGGTCGTGGAAATGGTCAGACCGCTGGCGCTGGCACAGCCGGTACCGGCAATACTCAAACAGGTGCTGGTACTACAGGTACGACAGGTGCTGGTCAGACCCAACAGGGTGCTGGCACAGCCGGCGGCGCAACCGGCAATGGCCAGAGTGAGTCCATTTTCATCTTGACAAGACCTAGCTGACAAAGGATAGCTGGATCCACCGGCACTGCAGGAACCACCGGATCTCAAGGCACCGGCGCTACAGGTACTACAGGCACTGCAGGCACTCAGGGTGGCGCTGGCAGTAAGCTTCGACGTTCGTCCATCATTGAAGCGGCGACTGACTTTTTCTAGCTGCTGGTACCGCAGGTACTGCTGGACAAGGGCAGACAGGGACCACTGGCACTACAGGAACTGGCTCCAGTATGTGACTTCGAACATCGTATCAATGATATACTGACAAGACTTAGCTACCGGCGCAGCTGGCACCGCAGGAACAGCAGGAACAGCAGGAACAGCAGGAACAGCAGGAACAGCAGGACAAGGACAGACAGGCACTACAGGAACAGCAGGAACAGCAGGACAAGGACAGACAGGCACTACAGGAACAGCAGGAACAGCAGGAACAGCAGGAACAGCAGGACAAGGACAGACAGGCACTACAGGCACAACCGGAACCACAGGCGCCGCAGGAACCGCAGGACAAGGACAGACAAGCACTACAGGCACAACCGGAACCACAGGCACTGGCTCTAGTAAGTTCAATCCCGCGAACAGTTGCCTTACATACTAACAGTCAACAGCCACAGGCACAGCAGGCACCGCCGGCCAGGGACAGACTGGATCTACCGCTCAGCAAGGAACAGGCGCCGCTGCCGGACAAGGCCAGACCACCACCGGTTTGTAATCCCTGTTCTGATATGTGCAAGTTCATATACTGATGTACATAGGCACCAACTCGCAAACTGGTACGGGCGCCACTACAGGCTCTAATTCGCAAACCGGCACCGGTGCTACAACCGGCACTGGCGCGACCACAGGCACCGGCGCGACCACAGGCACCGGAGCTGGCGTGGCTACTGGCGCTGGCGCATCGACTAGTGCTGGTGCAGCCACCGGTGCTGGGGGCAAGAAGGCACAGTCTTCTGCCGGTGCTGCTGACTCCGCTCTTGCTGACTCTCAAGAGGAGGACTGAATAGTCCGTAGAAAGGGAAGACGGGCTTGTACAATCGAGCCGATGGCTTGAGCTAGTATGCTGAAGAAGCTGTTAAGATGACAATGATCTGATTTTAATGGATCAAAAAGGGCAGTGGATTGTATATAGCACCAAGAATTGGATACACTCGCTTGGCAAACCTTCCATCTTCGATAACTGAGAGTGAGTTACCCTAGTCCTCCGTATAAGCGCGACAGACTTGTGGTGAATTTCCCAATAGCGAGTGGTGAATTTCCTTGAGGCATAGGATTGCCTAGGATCCAACATTACAGTGTATCGCCCCAGTCGACTGTCAACGCATTTCCCTCATGTAAGCACGATGACCATAAGGGAAAATTAGATGTCCGCGTGGTGGAAAAATGGGTTTGATCATGCCTGCATGAAAGTTCGAGGAGACAGATTGTTCCGAACGCTATGCTATGGATGACAAAAGGAACTTCCGCTTCACCGTTGATATCACCTAAATCAGTCTTCGCGCTTGTCACAAATCCTCCCTTCGAAAACTGCCTTCCTTGAGCCGAGATCTCTTTCCCCAGAGGCTCTTCGTTTTGCTGTATGCCCCTACCAAACCCTTCTGTGCCCGGTTCCCAAAGACTCCCAACGCCTTGCGTGGTCCTCAGATCCGGCTGAGATGACGTGGGCGTTTCCTGGTGCCGGCAGTATATCGTAGATATGTATATCTCTTCCGATCGAACGTCATCGGTATGTGTCTTTTAGAGCATTGCCATGGTGTATTGTTTGGCTCTGGTACCCCATCGACTCGTTATGTACCTGTCAGAGCGTTAGCCGATCCATCTCATGCACTGTACACTTTTTCCATCAACCCCTATGACTCCTCCACACCTTATCTCCACTCACCGGTGCATAGCTCCCCTTTCCCAGCCCATCATCATGCCCCATATCTGCACTCCACGCCTGCTCCTCGTCTTCCTCCAACTTCCCGTATTTCCCTCCGCGCTGGCGTTCGAGGCGTGGTATGAACGTCTTTTTTGTGCGTGCAGACCGGCGCTTCTTGAAGAACAAAAGGATCAGGATGATGACGAGGACGAGGATGATGGTGCCAGCGATGAATATCACAACGGCGACCGTGCCTGCGGATTTATCGTCGTTGCGGGGGAGGAGTGTGGAGGACATGGTGGCCGTGGGACTTGGTCGGGTTGTTTCTTGAATTACAAGGGGTTTAGACGTCTAGCGCTCGAGTTGTAAGATGTTGTGCGTGGGTCGAGCTGCGTGATCGTTCACGGCTTAGAGGTTGGTAATGAAATCGTCCGTTACTGAAAAATGAGAAAAAGACGAATGAAAATGGAGTTGCAAGAAAGATCTGAAACTCAGAGTCCGGGGCGAGACATAGTCTTAAAGGAGCCTCATCTCGTCTGGAGAAGCACGAGCTACTTGCTGTGCTGTCCTGTCTCCACAGTACTCAGGGCCTAACCCACCCGTCCAAGCTTATCCCTTTCTTTGGCCGTATACTTTTTGAGATACCTCGATCACGACTTCTTTCACATTGCGTCAGCCAATAGACAAAGGTCGCTATATGTCTCAAGGTAGCATTGACCGTGACGTGTCTTGGAGAGTGTTGTGGTCTACAGGTGCATAAAAAGATGCAAGATGATGTAGCGGTCTGGAAGCATGGACCCAAGTCTAAGATTAGGTCGAGCGATCGCAAGGCTAGACTCCACTCTGGTCTCCCGGCAACGGCCCGAGGCAGGCCAGTTCACAGCTCTGCAGCCTAGCTACTTTGAATCTTTGCTTGGTCGTCGGGTGATATCAATATCTTGCGATTCTACTCTCTCGTAACGAGATATGAACCTCAATATCGCTTTGAGAAAGACGCCTAGACTACCTACAATGCATGACCCCACCTGTCTTCTCTGTGATGTCGTAAGGCCGTTACCATGCACCCTGAAATGCCCAAAAAAACATTGCTAACAAATCTTTGCAACCTGTGCACCTTGACTCGCTCATACAATGAGCTGTCTATGAAAGATGGAAAGCGCCCTGGCCCTCCTTAACCGCAACGCTTAGCTTCTCGCGCAGCACATCCAAAGTGCTGTAGTCCGGCATCTTGAGGTAGTTGACGCAAGTCATAACGGATGGGAGGTAATCGTCGGATGTGTATGGTGGTTCTGCTGGCTTGCAGACAACGGTGAACATGGGCGTGAGACTCTTGAAGCCTGTGATCTCGTTAGTGCTGGTTCTTTTTGCCGAAGATGAGCATTGCTTACCGCCAATAGGAAGCTTCGGGCTGCCAGTGATAAACTGTAGGAAGTCTCGACGCTCTTCTGGTGTGTACTGGCTCATTGTGGTGAGCAGGTTGTGAACGCTCTTGCTATCGAGGTTGTAGCCGTGATCGGCCTTGATCGAGTCCATGAGAGCTAGTATTTGATTAGCTTGATTCTGGTGAAAGATCTGGGATGACTTACTTTCGAGTGACCAATCCTCGTCATTCCTGCCAAACAGCATAACAAGCTCGTCAGGTGTGAAGGCTCGCAATGCAGAGTAGGGGAACACCTCTGAGAACCCAGCACTGAAAGCATCGATTTGACGCTTCACTCCAGAGCCCAAAGTGAGGTCGAGTACCTTCTCAACATATAAATCGACATTGTCAATGGTCACCGCTGTATGCGCACCATTTTCGATCAGCTCGATGGAAGGGTAACCGGGCAATGTGAAGTCGAGTGCCAGATCTTCGACAGTGCAATCTTGGAAGCGAATGTTCTGCGCAGCCTCAGCTCGCTGCCCGCCAGCCTTGTCTTGATCATCGTCGATTTGCTTCTTGGCATCTGCGAACTTCTTCAACAGCCTCAGGGACTTTGCAAGATCCTCATCGACGGTCTTTATGGTCGCAAGCGAAGGCGTGATGACTGTACTGCTGCTGTCGCTGAGTCGGAACAATGTAGGGTTGAAGGACACATCGATGATGCGCGAGTCCAGCATTGACCGCGCAACGAACTTTCCGAGGACCTTGAACATCTCAAGCTTCTTCTCGCCGTCTTCTGAAGCAGCCTGCTGTGCGCTCATGGGTGCCGGGAACAGACCTCGCTTTCCAAAGGCATATTCATCCGGGCCGTTAGAGTCGTTCTCCCTCCAGATCTTGAGTTTCTTCTTCGAGAACTCGCGGGAGACGGTAGAGTAGAACTCCAGGGTTGGGCCAAGACCCGTACCTACTTCTTCGAAATACTCCACCTCCAAGACACTAGGAGAGTGTCCGTAGAGTTGCATGACCTTCATAGCAGATTCGAGAATCCTTGACCGAGAAATTCTGACCTTCTGTCGCTGAAGTCTGCCAAGGAAGGGTCGTTCGTCGCGATGGCGATCGTTCCTGGTATCGTTGGAATTTTGAGTATTTTGCCAGCGCGTCATGCAACGAGAGTACCCGAAGGAGGTGGACTGGACGAAGAGATGGCGCGATTCGAAGGGGAACAGAAAAGGATAGAAGCGAGCAAGATCCTCGCTCCAGCTCGGTAGGCAGTTGCTTGCTACGATTAAGGGCTCCTCAAGTTGACGATTGAGTTTCGCTGTAAGCTTTGTATTCACGAACTGCGAAAGCGGCTCAACGTTCAGCTTGATCTGATCCTTGTTCTCGGAAAGGACGTCATCGAGATGGGAGTTCAGACCATGGAGAAGGTTGAGTAGTCGAAGGATACCCGATGTGATAGGGTGGTGGTCCAATGACGCTGGCATGGTCTGGCCTCCAACCTTTGTTTCTGGTGGTGGGGTTTGTGAGGACGCCTCGCCTGGAGGTGGGCCAGGTACGCGCTTGAACTTGATGGTGTGAACAGCGTTCCATACTGTACGTTGAGATACGTCCGATGCCTGCGCTTGATTGAAGTGCACAACACGATAGATGGTTGTGTCGGCCAAGATCGGCTGGTCGTTCACGCTGAACTCGATGTGCCAGTCTTGCAGCGTCGACTGTACAGCGGCAGCATATGACAGGCTCTGTCGCAAGGCAGAGTCTTGCAGCAGTGCGGTCAAGCGTGAAGCTGGAGTACTCAAGCGATCCGAGGGTTTCGCTGATGGTGTGCCTGGGATGGGTGTGGCAATCCTGGTACCATCCTCTTTACGAGCTGTAGCCTTACCGGTCGATGCTACCTCGACACTGACCGCTGACGGGTCGGACTCATCGTTGTCGAGCGCATCCTCGAGCTCGTTCTCAAGCTCCTCTTCGAGCTCATCTACGATGGCGTTCAGCGCAGCGTTCTCGTCTAACGAATCCTGGTCGGACAAGCGTCCCTCGTCTGCGCATTCGAGCGGATCCTGACTACTGCTTGAGCGAGCTTTGGGGGCCGGTGGTGGTGGTGGCGGTGGAGGTGGTGGCTGCGTCTGTTGGCGACGGCTCGAGCGACGTGTCTTCTCGCGTGATGCAGAGCTGGGACCAGCTTCCGAATCTTCGTTCGACCTCGACTTTGATTTTGATGACTTCTTTGATGGCCGACCGGAAGTCTCGCTGGGCGTCTCTGGGGGCGGAGGCGCACGTCCTTCCGCAAGAGCTTGGGCGTATGCAGCAAATTGATCCCTCGTCCTGCTTCCTCGCGGCCGCTCGGCAGCAACATGCATACGGGGTCGAAGGTAATCGTCCAGCGCCTTGAATGTAGCAATGGCGTGAATAGATACCATGATGTTACGATACGATTTAGGGATGCCGGAATCCTCTTCTGCGACGAGCTTGAGTCGAAGTTGCTTTGCCAACATGTTTGGTGCGCTGCCGCGGCCATCGTAGGAGTTCTGATGTACGGTGATCACCTCGAAGTGCTCAGATCTACTTAAAAGATCTTGAAGCTTGTTCACCAGGACACTGAATGGTGTTGCCGGAGACGCACTGCTAGTGGTTTTGATCTTATCCTTGTTGCTGGCACCCATGAACGCTTCGAGGAACAGCGATCGTGGTTCTGCGCCAGTCGTGGGGCTGTCGGTCGAGAAGAGTTCTAGTAGTACGTCCACGATCTTAGAAGACTTCAACTCGTAGCTCGTAATGCTTTCTAAGGCATCGCCTTCGAAGTATTTTGCCAGTCGCGTGAACAACTCCGAGCAGTTATCCGTATTACCTTGCAATGTGCACTCCTTGAGATCTTTTGCGAGAGACTTCAGGTCGTCCAACACCGCAGACGCCTTGTCTCGGACTGGCCTGTCGCTGTCTTTCTCATGGACTTCGATAAACTTCTTGGCGCGCAGGGTGATGATGTCGTCAATGTTGGGGAGTGGTAGAGGGTTTTGGTCAGATGAAGATGATGAATCAGAGTCATCATCATCATCATCATCATCATCCTGGTCGTCACCATTTTCGTTGCGATCCTCATCTTCATCACCCTCGTCCTCATCATCGTTATCTTCCGAGTGCGTCTCAACGTCCATAGGGTCAGCAGCTTCGCATACCGCGCCTTGATCTGCTGTTGATGTTGCGCCGGCGCCGGATTCTGGAATAGCCTCTATATCAACCGTTGGCTTGGAATCTTTAGTGCGGACTTCCAAGGCCTTGCTGGGGCGGTTGGCCAGGACAGAGATTTCCGCGATGACGCCCTCACGGTAAAACTGATATCGGTATATGGACTCCAGGCGCTTCAATAGCAATTCAGCTGCCTGAAGAGCGTATGTGACCAAGGTGGGATGGTCTTGTTGCGAGAAAATCGATGCCAGGAATGAGGCGTAAGGCACAGCACGCAGTGCTTCCTGAAGAATATCGGTGTCGAGATTGGAGAGCATCTTCAGCTGGGCAGTGAGTACCTTCTGTCGGACATTCAGGTTCACTGTACTCGAATATACGTCGGTAAGGGTGGGAAGCAGAATGACGGCGAAGCGCTTAACCTCCGTCTTGCATCCCTCGAAAAGTTCCACGCGCTTCTCGTTGCTGGTCTTCTTGGTCTCGGAAGACAAAGGCGGATGGTCGCGCCCAGGGTACCCAGCATCGAACAGATCTTCGAGATATGAGAGCCCATCGTTCGTAACGTCGGGCAACAGCTCGCAGATGACGTTGAGCGTTTCGAACACCTGATCCTTTGGTCGGTGAATCAATGCCTGCATGATGACAACCGAGTCTATCTTAGTTGCAACGTCTTCTGTCCCGCTGGGTGGGGAAACGCCTGTCAGGATCTGGTACAGGGTATCGACCACGTTCATTTTGAGCAGTTCGGCTGACGAGCGCGGGCTCGCTTTGGCTGTGTACGCAATGACCTGCAAGAACATGGTGTGAATGTGCGGTCCGATAAGATTCGTGGTGCCAGGCAGCAAAAGTGCCAGGATCGCCTTTAACAACCCCGGGCTAACCAACTCTTCGAGCTTCTCCTCCTGATGTCTGAAGCTCTGCACAATCCGTGACACACAAATGCACCCCTGCTCGACAACCTTCTGATCGCTGTTGTTCAAAATGTTCTCCAGGATCGGCATGACATCACGTACGGTGGCGAACGAGTCATCAGGAATGTTGCGACAGCAGTTTGCTGCTGTCGTGACTGCTGTCCGCTGTGTGCTCGTTGCGAAGAAGTCGAGGAACGTCAGACAAGCCGTCAGACCGCCCTCCCGTACGATTTGTGTAGGAAACTCGACTGAGATCTTCTCTAGCGTGCTCAAGCTCTGCTCGGCAAGATCAATGAAATCAATCTCGAGCAGCTTCGAACACAAGACCGGTACCGCGCCTCCATATACGACATTGGCGGTTGCGGCGGGCAGAGCTTCCATCAGATTGGCCAGACATCTACATGCGAGCAGCATGACTTCCGGGTTCTCCTCACCGGTGAAATCGTTCGGCTGCATGAGCTTAACCAGCTCCTTCACGTATGCGTCGGGAGAGAAGTGGCCGGCGAGCATGTCTTCGGTTGCCATGAGGAGCACCTCAGATAGGTCTTGTAGAGCAATCAGCTGTAGAGACACGTCTGGTGACTTGAGCTGCTCCAGAATGCCTTGCAGCCGCTGTGCATTGCCAGACATCATCCCAGTGAGCTGTCGTAGCGCCGAGAGGCTGGCATGGGGATTGCGCCCAAGAAAACCGCTCGTAAAGGGATCGTCGTCGTCATCATCGTCGTCTTCGCCGTAGCGGGTACCTGCACCACCATCGTTGCCGTCGTCGCTCGTGTGCTCGTCGCCTGGCGTCCGTGGTTCGTCCTCAGACCTGTCCTCTGGCGCATCCTCCATGTTCGTGTCCTCGTCTGTCTTCGCAGATTTGCGTGAGTTGCGTCGTGATGTGGAAGGAGAATCTGCTCCATGTTCAGCACGTAGCAAGGATCCTGACTGACGCCACGAGTTATCACCTTGACCTGAGCTCTTGCGGCCGCCTTTCCCTCGCCGTGAGGATTTCTCCGCTACCGGATCTGCTGAAGGCCTACGCTCTGTCAACACATACTCCTCCGGTGGGTCAGCTCGGACATACCCAGATGACGACATGGCTGCTTTGCCCTTTGCCTTCTTAGAGCGAGTCGGCGCTGCAGCAGACGAGCTCTCAGTCTCGATCTTGGTGCGCTTAGCACGGGCACTACGCGTAGGTGGAGCCTCTCCTGCCTCGTTAGACTGCTCTGGGCTTGCCTCTGTGGTGGCCTTCTTCCGCTTGCGAGAGGTGGCAGGCGGGGCGTGGAATGGTGGAGGGGCGGAAGGGTTCGGTGGATTCTCGTTGGAGGAGCCTGCTGAGGGCCTCGCAGATGAACGTGTGACTCTGGACGACATGAGATTCTGATTGTTTGGCTATCAACTCGATGGCGTGCGCCGGCTGTAGCCGTGGTGGTGGCCGTGGCAGCCCTGAGCCGGTGCAGCAGCAAAAGTGATTGTGGGTGTAGTGTCGCAGCAAATAAACGCGAGTTGTCGTAGTGGACAGACCTACTACGGGCGCCGAAAAACGAGCGAAATGTAATCGTACCTGCTGTTGCGTTGGTGGTCGGGACTTTCACGAGGGCGTTCCATAAGTCGCCATGGACGGGCGTGCTCAAGCGAGTGCGGTGAATCTGCCTGCAAACGCTATGATATGCAGCAGCCGGGTAGTCGTCGAGGTGGCGTTTCGATCAGGCAAGCAAACGAGTGTGATGCTCGGTACTGTTTTGCAAGAGTGTAGAAATGGTAGATCTGCCTTGGAGTGATGGAGCTAGGTAGAGTTGCGGCCGTGACATTGAGCAAGTCGGCCGCTAAGCTTGGGTTGCTTATCGATTATGGAAATGACGATCAAGTGAACAGTCTAGCGCCAACGGCTTTCGCTCACCGTTATTCTTTTTCGTCCAGCTTCAGGGCAATGAGCGTTGAGCACACGTGCAGTGCGGGAAACAAACAAAGCCCCTTCTCTGTGGTTGCCCCAGGGTGAGACGCGCTCCTTCCCTGTCCAGAACGGTCGACTATTCCTGCCGTTTTGATCAGGCGTCAGCCTCAGCAGCCTTGCGCTCAGTTGACCTGAAAGGATGACAATACCGTGCTGCAGTTAGACGCAGGCTTCGACATGCCTCGCTCCAGGCTGGCGCGTATGAAAATTCCTGTCAAGTCATGCAGGTCCCTCAGAGCTCTGTCTTAATCTCACTTTGGCGGTGCTGTGTTCCAAATCCATCAGACATCAAGGTCTTCCTCATCGACAAGTCTGAAAGCACCAAGTCCAGGTTGTCATAATCATCACAACATCCTCCATGCAGCGGTTTGAGCGCACTAGATATCCACAGTATCGAGCTATAGTGGGGGAAGTGCAGCTCTATTATATGCCCATGAAACGCCTTGTGCAAACTAACTGTACAACAAGACACATTCGCGGCTGTTCTGACTCTGACTGAAGAGCAAACGCTCAACATCTAATGTCACATTTTTGTGGGTTCAGGAGCCCAAGCTTGCTATGTACTTTGTTACAAATATTCGTCACAGCGAAAAATTTCGGGCAGATTCGTCGACTCATTCCCTGTACCAACACATTGCATTTCTCAGCATCCCACGGGTCTAATCTCACGGCCAAAGCGCGGACGATAGCGAAGGTGGGGAGAAGGCCGACAATGGCGCAATTCGACGCACGTGAGCCTCCATGTTTGCAGCAAGGAGGCGCGCCAAGTCGCGGGAAATAGAGCCATGTTGGCGAACACTCGGATGCAGCAGAGGTTTCACCTGCAGACGCACGATTCTGTGCAGGCAGGCCTCCAGGCGTTGGCCTCTAGCGCGTTCGTGGACCGGTAACTGCGGACATTGTGGCCCTTGGGTCGTCTCGAACCCAAACGGACTTTGGCCGCCTACTAATCGGCAGCGGGGATGCCTCAACCGCAGCCTAGAGCTACACCCAGCCTACAAAATGGAGCTCGCCCTCTCCCCTTCGTCCTGCAGTCCCCGTCAGCCCGCTCCCACCACACTGCACTTGTATATCAACCCACTTGCTCCTGCCGTTGAACTTTGCCCCTCCACAACCGGAAGTTGCCTAGTTTCGCGTCATACCCAAGCAGCCAGGCTTACTTGAACCACTGCATCCGAAGATCCCCGTTTCTTGTAGGTTTGCTCTTAAAAGAGATGTCGCTGCGTCGCCCTCAATTGACCCTGCCCTCCAGATCCGCGACACGCTGCACCCCCGCGACACCCACGCCATTCATTGCCCCACCACGCCGCACCCTCTGCCTTTCACCTTATACCCGGCGAATCTCCGAACGGAGGTTGCCCCTCGCTGCTCGACCGGCCTTCCCGCCCTTCCTCAACACATACCGCGCCGCAACCATGACTTCGATAGCGAACAGCGACATCACCCGCGACGCCGGCATCGACAATACCGACATAATGACCTTGGACAACTACACATTTCCCAAGGAGAGGCTCAAGAAGAAGTTGTCCAACGACGAGAAGACACCCATCGTCCTCGTATCTTGCGGTTCCTTCTCGCCGCCGACCAACCTTCACCTGCGCATGTTTGAAGAAGCGACAGACTACTGCGAATTCGAGACAGACTACGAGGTTGTGGGCGGGTTCTTCAGTCCTGTCGGCGATGCCTACAAGAAGGCTGGCCTCGCATCTGCGCACCATCGAATTTGCATGACAAGGATCGCCGTGAAAGACAGCTCCACCTGGATTGGTGTTGATCCATGGGAGCCGCTGCACAAGGAGTATATGCCAACAGTCAAGGTCCTGGACCACTTCGATCACGAGCTGAATGATGTACTGGGTGGAATTGAGACATCGACCGGCGAGAAGAAGAAGATCCACGTCGCGCTGCTCGCAGGTGCCGACCTTATCCAGACCATGAGCACACCTGGGCTGTGGGCCAAGGAGGATTTGCGCAGGATTTTGGGCGTCTACGGCGCTTTTATTCTCGAGCGCAGTGGCACCGATATCGGTATGCATCAACAATCTATTTGGTGTGACCTCAATACTGACTCCCTCCAGATGATGCACTTGTCAGTCTTCAGGAATGGAAGGACAACATCCGTGTTATCCCGCAACTCATCCAGAACGATGTCTCTTCGACCAAGATCCGCCTGTTCCGCAAGCGCGGCAAGAGCATTCGTTACTACATCCCGGACAAGGTCGTCGACTACATCTACGAGCACGGCCTATATGTTTCCGACGATGAGAAGTCAAAAGCCGCCGACAAGGGCAAGGAGAAGGCCTCTGACCGTGCAAGCTCGTCAGCAGTCACTTCGTCTTGAGCGCTCACAACCACCTCACAGTGAGCGACGTCAATACATCCAGCTCGTCACGTGACAGCTCCAGCATCACGTAAACCTCTTCCGACCAGGACTGCCGCGCCGATTACAGCTACTCTCGACTTCCAGAAGGGTCTATGATCTCATTGCGGGCGGCAGTTGGGAGCGAGCTACACATCACAGGCATCTTTACAGCGAGCGCTTCCGCCCGCGGACCTACCAAGGGATTAGAGGCGCACGGGTACGCCATCGCAGGCTTTGTATAGACTCTTTCAGGAGCACTGCCAGCGCATAGGCTTTCGATTTTATTTCTAATTTATGATACCATACAGATGCGAGTGCATCACCAAACAATAACGACTCCGATTGCTACCGCTTCCCTTCTCCGTGGTACTTTCATGGCACGTGATATGATGTCATACATCTCAATCGACTGGGGTGCGGTGGCGAAGCAGATCTTACCGCACATGCACATCCGCAAGCCTCAATTGGACAGAACCGCAAGACCAGCTTTGTGCTCTTTCTTGTCAGTCAAATGTTGCGCTCCAAGCACCCATGAACAACCACGAGGCTGCTCGTGTCACTCAGATCCAAGTATTGGACACGTGATTGACAAGCTTCACAGCCTGGTTTCCGTCTTGACACCAATCAGTCTCTGCATTTCCAAGGACATTTGTGACTCGTGCTGTCTGAGCATGTGCAAGCCGGACCCATGAAGCCTCGCATTTTCTAACTCTTCCAAGCAGCTGTGGCTCCGACAAGCCAGCCGCCGCGTCCGGCCACGTCAGGCAAGACATTAACACCCATCGCCATAGCAACCGCGCCTCAGCCGTCGACAAACCCAGAACCTTGGAAACTCAGGGCCATTGTACATATGAAATTGATCGTCATTCTGCATTCTACTGTCCAACGTTTCTGATTATTTTTATTGTGTGTTACCTTCCCATTTCCCAAAGGCCTATAGGCCCGAGCCAGCGCATTCCAACATTCCAACCCCGCATCTCGCCTCGCGCATTCCTCACATCTAGTAGGGTGTCTCGATGCCCACCTCGGACGAGCGCGACCCGTCGCACCGCCGACCTCGCGGCGACGAACGCAGACGCCGTCGCGAATCCCACGGCGAAACCTCGGGCACAGAGCGCGAGCGCCGCCGCCGTCGCGACAGCCGCGAGCAACACACACCCTACGAGTTCGAAGGCAGACGGAGAAAGGGGCATCGCGCTACGGATTCGCAGGGAGAGCTGTTGAGACCATCTCCGAGGACGTCTTCACAGGCTCCTCGAAACTCGTCGCAGGCGCCGCGATCGAGCTCCCGCGCGCCGAGGGATAGTAGATATCAGAGCGACTCGGAATGGGACAGTGCTGCGCCGCGCCGGAGAAGTAGACGGCAGAGCACGACGGATGGCGGAAGTGCAAGGAAGGCTGGCGCGCCGCTTTCGCTCGAAGCGCTCGCCAAGTTAGACAAAGATGTCGCGAAGAAGAAGGGGGGGTGGCGCGGCTATGACTACGACGAAGACTATCTCAAGGAGGTAAGGCGGAAAGAGAAGGCGCTGGAGAAGGATAGAGCCAAGGAGGTGAGGGAAGAGAAGAAGAAGGCTAAACGCGAAGAAGAGAGGAGGAAGATTGACGAGAGCGACAGGGAGATTCTGGAGGAGAAGGAGAGGCGGAAGAGAAGGGAGGAGCGGAGGCGGAAGAGGGAGAGTAGAGAAATTAAGGGGGGCGCTGTTGTGTTGGGGGATTTGGCGGGGATGGAGGGGAAGAGGGGGAGTCGGACGGAGGATGAGAGGGAGTGGAGACGCAGGGATGAGGCGAGGTATACGCCAAGTGAGGTTGAAGAGAGGAGGGAGAGGAGACAGAGAGAGAAACAGCAGAGGAGTGAGCAGAGGAAGAGGCGGGTTGTGAGCGGGCCGTTGGCTGAAGAAGGTGGGATTGATGACGACGACGAGTATCAGTATATGATGGAGAAGCGTGGTGGAGCAGGGAGTGCGCCGACCGTGTTGTCAGCGGAAGAACAGGCGAGGAAGAAGAAGAAGCGGAAGAAGATCATCATTGGGGTGGTATCGGTCTTGATTCTTCTTGCGATCATCATCCCCGTGGCAGTTCTTACGTCGAACAAAAAGAGTAACGACTCACCGCAAAGTGACGCTGCAGCCGGGCAATCAACGCCGAAGAACAGCAACCTCGACGGAAAAGACCCAAACAGCGTACCCGAGGAGGACAAGGGCGGGATCTTTGACCCCTGGGCATGGTATGACACCGAAGACTTCAACGTCACCTACACAAAAGAGCTAGTCGGCGGTCTCCCCATCATAGGCCTCAACTCGACATGGAACGACGACGTTCAGGCCAACAGCAAAGTGCCAAACCTCCAAGACTCCTTCCAATACGGCAAAATGCCCATCCGCGGCGTCAACGTCGGCGGCTGGCTCAACATCGAACCCTTCATCACACCCTCCTTCTTCGAGAACTTCGGCGCCCGCGACGGCGTAGTAGACGAATACACACTCCTTACAAAACTCGGCCCAACAAAAGCAAAATCCACACTCGAACAACACTACTCGGCTTTCGTCAACAAACAGACGTTTGCAGAGATCCGCGCCGCAGGCATGGACCACGTGCGCTTCCCCTTCGGCTACTGGATCGTGCAGACCTACGACGGCGACCCGTACGTGCCCCAAATATCCTGGCGCTACCTGTTGCGCGGAATCGAGTACTGCCGCCAAAACGGGCTGCGCGTGAACCTCGACCTGCACGGCGCGCCCGGCAGCCAGAACGGCTGGAACCACTCCGGCCGCCAGGGCGTGATCGGGTGGCTGAACGGTACAGACGGGGATCTGAATGCGCAGCGTACATTGGATATTCATCACAAACTGTCTGTCTTCTTCGCGCAGCCAAGATATAAGAATGTGGTTACTATGTACGGCTTGGTCAATGAGCCGCGCAACGTCGATCTCAACACCGAGATGGTGGTCAACTGGACACAGACCGCCATCACCCAGGTCCGCGCCGACAACATAACCGGCATCATCGTGTTCGGCGACGGCTTCATGGGTCTGGATAACTGGCAAGGAAAACTCCAAAACAACAAGGACTTGCTTCTCGACGTGCACCAGTACGTTACTTTCAATGTTGACCAGTTATCCCTCGGACACAGGGATAAACTCAACTTCGCGTGCTCGGCGTGGACACAACAAAGCGTAAGAAGTATGGACAAGACGACCGGTTTCGGACCGACCATGTGCGGTGAGTGGTCTCAAGCAGATACAGACTGCACTCAATACATCAACAACGTGAACATCGGCACCCGCTGGGAGGGCACATACGATACCGGTAACAGCTCCACCGCGATCCTCGTACCTCAATGCCCCGAGTCCGGCAAATGCTCGTGTGATCCGGCGAACTCAGACCCGTCGACTTACTCCTCCGACTACAAGAAATGGCTGTATCAGTTTGCGATCGGGCAGATGGACGCGTTCGAGGCGGGTTGGGGCTGGTTTTACTGGACGTGGGAGACGGAGAAGGCGACGCAGTGGAGTTATCGCCGGGGCCTGGCGGCGGGGATACTGCCGAAGATGGCGAATGATAGGGACTGGACGTGTCCGGATAATGGGGTGGACGGGTTGGATACGTTTAGTGGGTTGCCGGAGTACTATTGATTGGAGTGATGGAGGGCTTGGTGGGTTGGGTGGGTTGAGGTGGTGTTGGTAGACGGCTCAGTCATGTTGCATGGCGTGGCGTCCGGCCTTTGTTGTATTGAATGAAGAGTAGATTTATTGTGTACATACTCGCATAAATTATCCCAACGCTATCCTCACAATCCTATCCTCACATTTGAGTTACTATCTTTGCCGACCATCCACAGTTCGCAAGATTCCAAACCCGCTAGATCCACAGTCGGGCTGAGATAATAAGGCGTCTTAGCACAACGCCGGTCTTATAGATCCCCTGAGTCTCCATTCAATGGTGTGCAACGACTCTTGAGCCTTGTTCAGAGTAACTCGGCTTCAAAAGCACTGCAGAACGCTGACGCGGAAGGCTCGCTGATTTTAGGTAAATATTCGTTACATGGTTATTGAGAAACTCTCGCCGGTACCGACGCTGGATGAAAAAAAAAACGCCCTCCCACATCAGATCTCTACATCACGACTTAAACGATGACCGTCAACTCACAACAAACTGATATTCAGCACCTTAATAATGGCTTCTCTCGCTGAGGCGCTGAGCGAGCACCTCGACCGTTTCGCACGCACGGCAGCTTCCCTTGAAGCCACATACTCGCCAGAGCCTGCCGCACTGCGCTGCTTCTCCAAAGAGACGAATGACAAGCACATCCACCTCGAGGCACTTCTTCTTGTCAGTGTTCTGGTGAAAGGTGTTGTTATCTCTGCCATGACTCGACCAGTTCCTTCCACGTCGACTACAGTGGTACAAGACTGTAGACACGTCGAAGCAATTCCTGCGCAACCTCATCAGGATACTTGTCGCCAATTGGGCCATGGGCGTTTTTGTAAGCGTTCAACATCTGTGTTTTGGTTGACGATGGAATATAGGTCAGACATATGGTGGGTTCTTGACTGCTTGCAATCTGGATCCGCGGAGCTAGTGTGGTAGCCCTTTCTGTGCTACTAAGCCTTTGGCACTGACTTCCTCCCGGGTCGTGGGTGAGCTGTTCTTGCCGTGACGCTCCGTTCTCATGAGCAAGTTTGTTGTACGTTCATTTTGGCATGCCCTCGACACACCCCTCGCAGACTGGCTCCTTGGGGTAGTCCCTCGGACCTGGTGCTTGCGCCGCAAGGTGGTGTACTGGTTGTTAGTTGTTGCAGGTGGCTAGCTGATGTTCTACTTCTACTTCCGGCAGTGACAGGTCTCCGGACTGTGAGAGCAACCTCACGGACGATGCAAAATGGTTTGGACTGACCGAGTTTCTCGGCTGCCAGCTCAGACTGATCCTGACTGAGTTTACTGCCTGGACAATTTGTGGAACCTTTTTCCGAACACTGGCACTTGGATTACACTCTCAAGTTTCCTACCATCTTTTGAGCCGAAACCACTTTTTCCATTGATCGAGTCTGCTTGCAGGATGTTCGGGGAAGAAGACAAAATCTCGGCCTGCACTTCGAATGCCTCGCCACCTTTGGGGCTATACTTCACCTACTAACTGACGCTTTGCTCGAATTTGCAGTGAGTGCCATCGCAGTCACTCAAGGCCGTAGCTCGGACTTTTTTCCCTCCACCTCTTCCATTCCATCTGAGTTATCACCGTCCTCTGAACGGACTGAACACAGTCTCCCACCATTGCGCTCAACAAATGCCTCACTACCCACACACTTTCGACACCACAATATGTTCTCTGGATCAATATCACGCTTGATCTTCTTCAATCGGTCGTAGTTCTTTCCGAAGAAACTCTTCTGCCAGTCGAGCTCATTACTATCCGCCTCATTGAAATAGGCGCCTGTATCCGGCGACAGCGCTCTGAGCTTCTGTGTCTTGATTGTAATGTCTCCGCGTACGGCGTCAATTGTTGCTTGCGGCGAACCGTCTTGCCACACCTCGACGACTACGAGATGCACGAGTGTGTTGCGCCATGCTGGATTCAAAGAGGATAGGGAAGGGTAGTAAGACGGTATGGCAGGGGCGGCGATCATGTGGCCTATGAGCGTTGGGTTCGATACCGGGCCCTATGTCGTTGTCAGCCCTTGCTAAACTCATAGTGCGGATAACTCGCATTTGGACTCGATGCGTTGTTGCTAGATCCAACATTCTTCAGCACCTCTGCATTGACGACTGCATCAGCCAGGCTCCCAGGGCTGAGGAGACGCGAACCATATGTGCTCCCGCCATTCGCGACAGCCTCATTTTGAACATGCTGCGCGATGTCGAAGTAACTTGCGGTATGCGTGATGTTGGATGTGTACGTAAACAGATTTGCGCGCTCCATCAGATATTTCTCGGCAGGCGCCATGAGCGACTCGACAGTGCCGTCTGGTTTGTCGAATAGCATGAACATCCATATCAGGGAGAGAGAGGGGGACGTTGGTGGGCCGACGATATAGTAGTAACCTTGCATGCCACCCTCTTTTAGGCGCTGCATATGGGCGTGCAGATACCCCGTTGCATCCCAGAACTGCACGTCCATGGTATTGGGGAGCGAGGCGAGTGTGAAGATGTGCATGGTGGTTTGAGGACTGGGGTGTGTTTTCAGCACCACTTCAGTCACGACTCCAAAAGTTCCGCCACCGCCTCCTCTGATAGCAAAGAATATGTCAGAGTTTTGGCAAGGGTTGGCAACGACAATGGCGCCTGATGGAAGGACAACGGTGGCTTCGAGAAGATTGTCGCTGCCCATCCCGTACGTACTGGATAGAAATCCGTGACCGCCACCGGTGAGCCAGCCGATAATGCCTACGCTGGGATTTGCGCCGCTGACGATGACCCTTCCATATTTACTCAAGAACTCCTGGAGTTCGCCGTTGGTATGGCCAGCCGCTACACGAACAGCAGCAATTGGTGCAGAGACTGGGCAGGAGGTCGCTAAGAACTCTTCGATGTACTCGATACCCCGAATATTATGTGTCCAGATTGACAAGCTGCCGGGACCGGTGCTGCGCCCGGTGTACGAATGCCCTGTTGCTTTCACCACAACTCTCACATTCTTCTCACCCGCCCACTTCAGAGATGTAGCGATCTGCGAAGCGTGAATGGCATTGACTACGTACGCTGGATACGTGTCTGCATTACAACCTCTTTTTCCTGCGTTCGGGTCTCCGGTCAGTGACGTGCCGTTGGGAAAGATGGGGTTGCACGAGTTGTTTGTCCAGATTGGGTAGTCAATGCTGATCGGGTCTGAGGCGTGGAAGGTCGAGTCGAACCATTTTGAGCGGATGAGAGCGCAGGCTTCTTCATCGTAGTTGGGTTGAGAGGCGAAGCAGACGGAGGCTGGTGGTGTGGGAAGGATGAGGGCGCCGGAGAGGGTGGTGTTCAAGTGAGCCCAGTCCGAGGAGGTCGGCCAACAGGCGTCCTCAGGTGTCTGTGAGGAGCTTTGTAAGTGGTCAGGTGATGGAGGAATTGTAGGTGTTGAGATGCTTACACATTTGCATCGCAGCCTGGTTGCTGATGTCGTGACCAAAGTTGCCAAGACTTGGAGCAACACCCTTTTGTTAATCTTCATTTTGTTCTGGTAGATGCCTTCGTAGTTGTTCAACCTAACGTCAATCCATCGGCATCAATAAGTAGTCTTGTAAATAGTGTTCGAGGCAGACTGCGGGGCATCTCTGCAATATCCTGTTTGGGTTGCAGATGCGATGTCAGCCCACCGGCCCTTGATTGAGCACTACGATTGGATTTACTGTGACGTAGGAATAAGGATTGGGGCTCACTGGGAGGAAGTGGGTCAAGCCAAGGCTAAAATATGGCGTTGCGGCTGTGCAGTAAGCGCAGGCTTTGGGAACGAGCAATGCGAAGAGAACGACACCAGATGCGAACAAGTCATCAGGAAGGGCAGACTTGAGATAGAATAATATTGCTGTGTCATGTTTTGGGGAAAGTCCAGCAGTTTACGTTCGACTCCAGGATACTCGTTTATCGTAATTGGGTGGGTGTTCGAAGTCGAACAGCAGTTGACACAGGGCAATCGTCCGTTGTTCAAGGAGCGGAATGCTCATAGAAGGTGATTTGTAGATCATAGATTTGCTTTCGATATATATATGTTGATAAGGTCGATGTTCAACAAACCTAGAGCGCGTCAGCTGACAGTTATTGAGGTCTTAGCAGCATACGGACGGATTTCAAGCCTTCAAGTCAGGCATGCGATGCCTTTTGCTCAGTCTTCTTCGTGGAGACTTCGTCTTCATCACAGGCGCATATCCTTCATGGGATGCTATACTCGGCGCAAGGATAGGCCGAGCAGCGCGCATATCGCTATCGGCTAAACTTGCTCCATCCTTCAGACGTCCGTCTTCCTCCGGGTGGAGCACAAGGTTGAGTTGCGATAGTCTGGCTCGTAACCGTGTTTCTGGCCTTCCTGTCGAACTTTTGGTAACGACGCGTCGTGACTGCTGTACGTCGTCTTGTGTATTGGGATCTCGACGGAATGTTAGGTACTTGTCGCTGAATATGCGGCTCAAAAATCGAGGCATGATTTCAATATGCACGAAAATAACGCTGGGGAAGGATGCAGGGTTTTGTTAGAGAAAGGACAGGTTTACCGAGTTCTAGTAGTCTTATCGAGGTGATGGTGATGAACGGTGGCGAAGAGGGAGTTGCGGGGCTAGATCCCTATGGCTTCTGTGGTCGCGACTGCCATTGGGTGCACGATGTGGGCCTTCCAACCTTGCGTCGCGTCTCCAGCCGCTTTTCTTGCACGCGTTAAGCACTACCGTTTTTCTGCATTATCTTTCTTTGTCTCAACGGATTAAGTTTTGTATATCCAGATCCTGCTATGTGCATTGTTCGACCTTGACACACAATGCGTTTGTCGATGACGCCATCTGTCATTAGACTCAAACGACGAATCGACACAGGCCAATTCTCAACATCCATATGCGTACTATCCTCATGTTGTCTCCAGAAGCTTCAACGATCCACAAGATCTGATGCCCAAACATGATCCAGCTTGGTGTTCACAGCCAGACATTAATCAGGCACGATGCACAACATCAGCTCGGCGAAACTGGAAGGATCAGAAGTTTTCGAAGAGAGGTTTGAGGTAGAAGACACACTGATTCTGCTGCTTCCATTGTTCATTTGCTACAGTCGGGGCTCACACAGTTAAAACGCGGTCTTTCTGCTTGTCAAACTGAATGTTCAACAGAAAGCACGCCCGACATTGCCCTGATACAGCATGCTGGAAAAGAAGTTTGTAGCGGAGTATCTCCTCATAAGAACAGCCCGTCGAACGGATTCCGTGTTCGCAGCAATAGAAGCCCATGATGGTATACGTTGGCTGTTCCATCTGCTCTCAGAGGATCTCATCGAGACGAGTCAGCACATCCAACGTCGATAATTCTATATATGCCATGTCAAATGCGCCTTTGGAGGGTCTTTATTTTCGAATACCTGCACCTCTATATCGAAGTGGTAGCTATGAGGTTGCTGAGCAAGATCTCTTCTTTAGTTGCTTCTGAGCTCATGCATCTGGACCTTGTGGTGCGTTTGCGGTAGTGCGCCTAATTGCAGGATTTCATGGAGGGAGATTCACTTGTTCTCAAGAATTTAGCAGGCAAAGTTTGGGAGTAAAAGTGTCCAGCGAGCCTGGAGTTTGGTATGATGCGCTCCCCTTCCTGCGCCCTCTCTTCACAACCCTTCAACACTGCCGCGCTGCAAATCCAGCCCACCTACCCTCAGGCCCGGATCGACATCTGTTTTGGCACGATTCTCTTACACATTATCTGTTGCCTCGGTCTGTTACTTCTCCTTGGCGTTGCAGTCAGTCGCTGTGCAAAAATTCAGCATCCAAATGCCTCTGTTATGGAATGCCACTACCCTTTGCAGGCAGGCACGGCGAAGCTCGAAGCCGAGTTCCCAGACATCAGGCTGGCTTTGCTGCTCTATAAGATGCTTCAGCTGTTGACCATCGTGGGACAGATCGACAAGGTCTACTAACCAGATGCAGAGACCCGCTTCGGCGTAACAGCAACAAGCATCTGATCGGCCATTCATACGTGCTGACACACGCCTTTAGCTTTCATGGGCCAGTCATGAACATCTTGCAAACAGCGGAAAAAGCAGAGTATGAGCACTTCGATCTAGGAAGCTGGACCACTTGCGATAGCCCCGAAGCGCGCAAGTTTCTGGTATCATATATAGAGACTAGGGATCGCATTATCCACTATGACGAACACTTTGTCTAAAGACCACAACCGAAGGACGATGAACTAACTGACCCGCAAGCTGCTTCGCAACCAAACCGCACGCGCGGGCACGAAGATGCTTATCGATGTTCCCAGTCTTGACGACACTTGGCGATTTCAGTACCTGCAGTTCTTTGCAAAGTTTGCAATGCGCGATGCTGAAGCGGGCGCTCGACCAGCGAAGATGTGGGCCAAGTTCTCTAATAATCTGCAAGAACTGCTGACGGCTGAGGGTGATCAGGTCATCCTGGGAAAGGCGGGACTCGAGTGCAAAAACTTGTGAGGGAATTGTCGAGGACGTGGTGCTGTTGCTGCTCAGATGCATGCGCTGTCGCTGTTGAGCGGAACCTACTTGAAATGCATTTCCAGTCAGACAAGGAATCCTGTAGAAACCTAGCAAATGGAAAATGGACTTGTCAAGAACACTGAACACGTAGTCTCCATTGCGATGGAAGACAATCCAACATCAAGCCCAACACCACCGCAGATCTCAATGTGCACGACTATCAGCACCGCCCACTCAATACCTACACCTCCAACCCCAACCCATAAACTCTCTCTCACCATACACCCTCCTCCTGACCACGCACCTCACAACCCAGCTCAGTACCACCACCACCCACCACACCTTCCTTCACTTCGCGAAAGCCATCGAGGCGAAGTTTTGATATTTCGTACAGCAGTGCATTTGAATGCCATACCGGGAATGCCGATTTAGGATGGGGAGAGGAAGGAAGCAGTTGGATGCAAGGCGGTGTAATGCAGAGTGTCAGTGGAATGGGTATATTTGTTCTTTGCGGCTGGGTCACTGACGTCAGGGAAGTATTAGTCGTCTTGATGTCTGTGTCCATGGTATGGCCTAACCCGTTTACACCAATACTCAAATCAATACGTCTTAAGACGGACCTTACTGCATTGGCAGCAGAACTCCCTGCACACTAGGTCTTGGTTCAGGTTTCGACCTCAAAATAAATGAGACGTTAAGGACTGCACTTCATGATGAGGGAGCGGCGATACGCTCAGAAGTGTCATTTATTTCTCTAAGCATTCTGTGGCAATAGTGATACACTCGGGTAGCCATGGTACCAAGTCCGAGGCTCTTAGATGGCAGATTCCATCACGCCGACGCAACCGCCTGCCTCCCCTTGACGAACACCAACCACCATAAGAAGAAAAACACTCAAACCGCACCAGACTCCTAATCATCGCTATCATACTCCTCATCATCATCGCCCAGCAGTGCAGGGTACTGCCGTCTCCTCAGATCCTGCTCCAGCCCACCCTCGCTCTCAGGGTCCACATACCCCTTCCCGCCGAACAGGCTGAGCAGCACGGGGAGCAGGATGAGCGCGTGTGTGGAGGCCCACAGGACGAGGGCGACCCAGACGCGGAAGTAGTATATTTCGAAGATCTGTGGCGTTTGTCAGTGTTTGTTTTGGAGCGAGGGGAAGGGCAGCGGGGAGAGGGGCAAAGTACCTTGCTACGAGTGAAGGCCAACACGCCGACACCTAGAATCTTCGTAATTGTGATCCCGCTAATGACGCTGCTGGCGACATTCACCATCGCAGTCCACGCACGCGCATCACGACCACGGAAACGGTGGCGAGGAGCACGTTCCATCGTAGCGCGGCTGGGGAACGTGAAAGCGCGCGCGATATGCGCTGTGAACTCGACACTGATGCCGACGCAAATAATAAGATTGACAAGCGAGACAGCGTTCAGTGATACGCCCATGACGGCCATGGAGCCAATGATAGCTGAGACGGTCATCGCAACAACGAGCGTGACGATGAGGGCGGTGGCGATGGAGCCGAGCAGGATGGTGGTGATGACGAGGACGGCAGCGAGTGCGGAGCCGATGAGGGCGCCAGCGAGGCGGACGATGGATGTGTATTGGTCGAAGAAGATGTAGAACTTAGAGTACGGGAAGACTTCGGTTTCAACATCCTTGGAGATCTCTTTGGCGATGCGGCGCGCCGCGGTGTACGCGGCGATAAAGTCGCTTTGTGAGCGGAGAGGCGTGTGGGCGGTACGGAAGTGGGAGGCCGGGATCGTGTTGTGTTTTGCGTCGATGACAAGAGCATCGGCATAAGCAGCTTTGCCGCCGAGAGGGCAGTCTTCTGTGGTCGGCGCCTCGATCCAGCGTTCGAGGTAGTCAATGAATTCCTCACCCTCTGGCATGCCGTAGAGGGTCATGTTCCACGCTGGCGTACGGTTGGCGAAGCAAGGCTTGCGTTTGTCAACACAGCACTTTTCGTTCTCGGGGTTCAGCCAGAGGAAGAAGTCGTCGAGCCAGCTAGCGGCAGGAGCCGCCAAGTACGACACCTCGGGTCGCTTGCGCTCAGCTTCCACGATATTCGCCAGACTACCCTGGTCGCAGGCAGAAAAACGACCACAAAGCTCCTTCTGTGGCCTTCTCTCGGTGACATTGAGCTCCTTGGTGACGAAGTAGACTGGTGGACCGACATCGAGGTAGTCGTACAGGTCGTTGAAGTATGGGATGAGGTAGGAGTCACTTGGCATAGCGATACGCTGATCAAGACCAAGCTCGACGGCAGGGAACAGAGCGACGCCGGCTGTGAAGATGCCAAAGAAGATTGCCAGGATGAAAACTTTGGTCTTCTTGCCTAGAATAGCTGGAGCGTAGGTCTTGCGAATGAAGCGCTGCAAAGCACCCTCTTCGCCAGCGCCAGCCTCGTTGAGATACCCAGGGTCCGCCTTGGATACTCGAAGGAAGGGGAAGCAGTCGGCGCGATTGGTCTCAACGCGTTGCTGGTTCAACGAGAGCACAGCGATGAACATTGTGACTTGAAGGATGGCGTTGATGAAGACTGCACCGGCGGCGTACGCAGCAAAATTGCGAACCGCAGGCATGCCCACTGCGCAGCCAAGAGCAAATGCAGTCGTCTCAGTCAGTGCGGACAGAAGAATCGACGGTCCCATGCGACCCAGAGCACGCGAGACACGCTCTGGAATGGAGCCTTCTGGATGGCTGATGTTGATGCGTTCAAACTCGTGTACGATGAGGAAGATGTTGTCGACACCGACAGCCAGGACAAGGAAAGGAATGACTTCGGCAATGATGAGGGTGACCTTGATGCCGGCAGCAGAGAACAGACCAACAGAAGCTGCAACAGACATGAGGACAATAAGGATGCCAACAGTTCCCAGCATGAACTTGGACTGCACGAGCGCATTTGCGGGGTTTCGGAGCACAGATTGTACTGTGAGTGTCGTTGAGCCGAGCGCGAGTGAGGCGTACAAGAACATGATAACGTAGCTCACCACGACGATCTTCGCATCGGTGTTGGTGCTCTTGTTAAGCTCCTGCTCAAGACTGACTTCAGTGGTGAAGCTCAAGCGCAGACCGCGGCTCTTGGCATCGTCTTGCACCAGCTTGAGGTAGTTCTTCATCTCGTCCTCAAAGTCCACCGCGCGCTGCAGCTCGGGCGTACCCTCGGCATGGTTATTGACGACCCATGTAACTACGAGCGCTTGGGCATCAAGAACGCTTTGGTTCACGCCGCCGAACAAGAGATGGGGGTCCAGAGGCTGCTGGAATTCAGGCAAGCACTGAGTGGGGTTGTCAACGCAGTCCAGCAGATCGTCCTGCCAGCTGCTGGGCGAGAGATTCGCGAAATCGGCTTGGAAGTAACCGGTCACCGACTGAACAACGCAAGCATCTTCAATCGGCTTGAAGCAAACCTGATCGAGGGTGACGCCGCTTTGGGAAGACTTGAGGCGGCGAATCTGATCTTCAACGCCGAACCACCAGTCAAGGGTTTCGTAACTCAGTACTGGCGCACCCTTGTGGGTGTCGTTGACCAGGAAAGCCTGTTCGGCTCGGAAGAAAGGACCGAACTTCTCGTCAAAGAATGCCTTCTCCTGTGCAGCTGCTGAGTCTGGCGCAACCCACAGACGGACAGGGTCAGTCTCGATTGCGAAACGCAACCAGCCCAAGCTCATTAACCCTACGACAACGACGCTGGTGACGATGGTAATGACAGGGAACCTCGCACAGACGTAGCCGAGTCTGCTAAAGAGGCGGTCGCACCATGTGTTGACGAAATAGTGTTTCGTGGGCCGGTCGAGCATGCTAACGTTGTGAACGATGTCGCCCTCATCCTCGTCGTCGCTAGGTTCGAGGTCCTGCAGCAGGCGAAGGCGCTCGTTTTTCTGTTGCGAGTGTTTCTGATATGCGACGTGTCCGGCGACAGCAGTGCACAAGAGAGCGAGGAAGACAGAGTAGACGATGATGACAGCGAAAGAGAGACAAGGCAACAGGCCAACGTAGCACTGCTTGACCCCTGTCACTTCAGGAAGCTCAGTGCAGGAAGCGCCGCAGTCGAGACAGGCACACCTGTACAGCTCGTCGTCGGTGTCGCATGGGTGCGCATGCTTGTTCATGGCCTCCATGTCAGGGAACTCGGCGTCGTCCGGGCGAGGGAAGTCCATCTGGAAGGGGGACCCAAGAAACTTCTTGTCACCAAGGAACTTCAGAAACTGAGTGTAGTTCTTCGCTCCGCCGCCGATGAAGTCCATAGCCTTGCCGTTTGTTGCGCCAAACTTGACGTCCTTGCAGCTGTCGTAGAATGTCCCCGCGTACTCGTCCGAGACAAGGTGGGTCAACTGGGTGACCAGAAACTTGGATCCCTTCGGCACCGTGTCGGTCACGTTGATGAACAGCGACTGGTCGGGCGAGCAAGTGAATGTGCAGAACATGTTGTAGAAGTTCTCCTTGCAAGCTGGACAGGCGTTGATGATGGGCGTAGCGCGGTCCAGGTTCGTTTTGAGGGCGTCCAGCTGCTCTGCCTCACAGCAGACGTCTGTATCCGCCCACTGCTCGCCGCAGATGTCGACCAGCTGCTTCCTGACGTCGTCTGTCGGTGCCTTTGCTGGGCCGTTATCCGGACAGGGCAGGTCGGAGCCAAAGAAGCTCTGCTTGCCGCACTGCCCTCTTATTGCGCACCGTCCCTTCTCGTGCTTGGTCGTGAGGTCGGGTCCTGCCAGCGCCGAGCCGGCCAGTATGGAGAGTAATCCCACTGTTATCGCCCGCCATCCTGCTGAGCACCGTTGTGCCATCTTGTAGCGTCGCCCAGCGGAGAAAATCTTTCGGCGCTGTCAAGGAATCCGAGCCGCGCGCAATCGTTTGGCTACAGTGGCAGTATCGATGGCAGACGCGCACGTCTACGCGTGCATGCGATGTAGTCGAGGGAAGCCGAGGTGGCGCAGAGCTTGGAGCTCTAGTGAGCTGGGAGCGCTAGTGATCTTGCGAGGTACTCAGCCAGGAGCGTGACTGGCAGTGATAGATGTGGGGCTGTGCACAGCTATGGAAGTGCAACCGAACAGCTGCACCGTGACCGTAGGACGATGTTAGTGGTAGCAATGCGGAGGCGAGGCGTGAGGCAGCTGTTTGTCTCACGCACGTACGCGACGTCACAGCTCGGCTAGCCGCCAGGAACAGGCAGGGTCGACAGTCACGTGGAGAAGGCCTAGCTCTAGAATACCATCAGAACACCGTCAGAACACCATCCCCAGCCACGCCTTTTCAACATTTCCATGTCACATTCGCACCAGATTGTAGTAGATCGCTTCATGTGCATGCCTTCCGGCGTCTAATGTCATTCAAGATCCTATCTAGGTCGTAAATCCGTGGTATCAATGTGCCCTTGTACCACCAGGGTCATTATCATCATCTACAAGTGTCTTGCGACGGGTATCCATCCTTTTTGCTCCATGCCGTTCATCAAACATTCTACTTGCGCAGGTACTGGACAAGCTCGGTAAGCTGCGCGCGTGTCTCGTCCTCCAATTGATCCTCGGAGCTCAACGCCTGCTCGAAGATGGGCATCAAAGTGGGGGTGAGCTGCTGTACGGTGGGGTCGTTCCTCTGGTACAGCTTCACAATCATGCCGAAGACAGGCTTGTTCTCCTCGTAATCCTCGCGAAGAGGCAGGAGCTGGACGAGGCGAGGTAGCACCTCAGAGACGGGGAGCCTGTCCGTGTGCTTGGAGATGAATCGGCTGACACATCCGGCTGTGTTGTCCAGAAGACGTGCCTGGTCCTGAGCGTCGAGAAGGGGTTCAATCTTGGAGAAGATGGTGGGAAGGTTCTTGACGATCTCGTCGTCGTTGGTGGTCTTCTCGCACAAAAGTCCCATACCGTAGACAGCGTTGGACTTGGTCTCCGGGTCCTCGTCCGACAGACGGTGGAGCAGGAGCTTGAGCAGACCAGTGGAGTACTGAGTGCAGCCCTCGCCCATGTTGCCAACGCACTCAGCGATGGTACCGACAGCGGCGCTGCGCTCGGTGGACTCCTGGCTGCTGGCGTACTTCATGATTGGCTTCTCGAACATCTTCCAGAGCTCGGCGAACTGGCCACCAAGGGCAACAGCAAGGCAAGTAACAACCTCCATGGCGGTCTCAATGACCAACCAGTCGTACTCGGAGGACTCATCGAGGTCGATCTCCTCGCCCTCGTCACCAAGGTCCTGCTGGCAGGGGTGGCGCTTGGTGATGACAGCTAGCAGCTGCTGGCACATGTCGGGAACCACAGTGCCGTTCTCGGTCATCAAGACGGCAGGACCGCAGAGCTTGAGAGTGGCAGCGACATCGCGGTTGATGTCAGTGACAGTGCCCCTAATTGTTGTCAGTGACGGTCTTCAACAAAGACAAAAGTTCGATAAAGATGTAGTGAAGAGCTCAGACGTGATATCGCTTTCACCTCAAGTGCATTTTGCATCGGAGTGAGCTGGGTTTAACGAAGGTTGTGTCATCTTTGCAGGGGACAGGAAAAGTAGAAAAGAAAAAAGGAGTACGTACCGGTCCATCTCATCCTGCCAGGTGGCCATGGTGGCGGTCATGACAAGGTTGCCGAGCTTCTTCAGCTCCGCAGGGGGCTCGACCTTGAGAGGAAGGCCAGGCGACCACTTGGCCATACCGTCGCCCTCGGCCATGCCGAAGAGGCAGGCAAAAGTGCGCCAGAGTGTGCCAAGCGCAGCCTTGCGGATGCCCTCGTAGGAGTGGTCGACCAGCTCCAGAAGCTTGGTGACGGTCTGCTCGAGGTAGGGGATGTACTCGCGACGGGTGTGGGTGATGATGTCGCCAAAGACCTCAGCGGCGATCTCCTTCTCCATGGCAACAGCAGTGACACCCTCGAGATCATCCCAGTCGTCGTCATCGACCATGGCGTCGTTCAGGTCCTCGAAGTCGTCATCATCATCTTCGCCAGCAGACATGACCTTGACCTTCTGGCCCTCGATGATGACCTCCTGGCCAACAAGCTCGCTGGCGTGCTCACCAAGCTCAACGTCAGTGCCTGTCTCGTCCTGATCAAGGCACTCGTTGAGGCCCTTGATAGCACCGGGGAGGTACTTGGCAAAGCCCTCCTCGTACACCTTGGCCATGGTGCTCCAGAGGATGTAGCTGGTCTCGCGCAGACGAGGGTGGTCGAGGTGCAGAGCCTCCTCAGATGCCTCCATCAGAGGCAGAACGTAGGGCTCGAAAGGCTCAGGGCCAACAGCCGAGGCCATCTTGCCCATGGAGTCGCATGTGACACCACGGAGGTCCAACTCATCCTGGCTGTCCTTGATCCTGACGTAGGGAGACAGCTCGTTCATGGTCTGTTGGAAGAAAGGCAAGAAAGCCTTCTCAGCGGCAGAAGCAATAGAGCCAACAGCACCAATGGCGGCGCTCTTAGCCTTCAGATCCTCGTGGTGGAAGAGCTTGCTGAAGCGGGGAACCAGCTCAGGAACGTACTTGCCCGCATCTTCGGGGTCGAGGCCCTCAATGAGAGAGTCAACGGCGTGGCAGGTTCCACGGACGATGGAGAGAGTGCGCTCGTCATCAGCGCTGGGTGCATTCTGGACGGCAAGATCGAAGTTCTTGATCATAGCAGGAATGAGCTTGGCATGCTCCTTGCCAACATCCTCAGCCAAGTCATCGGCCAAGCGGGCAATACCGTTGAGCGCAGCAGCGCGGACCTTGAGCTCGGGGTCTTCGAGGAGGTGGTAGACCATAGGCAAGATCTCGTGAAGCTGAGTAGCGATGAAGTCAGGGGCGCCCTCAACGCACATACCGAGCGCGAGGATTCCGGCCTGGCGGTAGTCGGGGTTCTGAGAGGAGAAGTAGTTGCCAAGGTTCTTGAGGAGAGGGATGACGACCTGGCTGGGAGGCAGGCTGGAGGCAAGGATGTCGAGCAGTCCCAGGGCGGAGCGAGCGGGTGTGACATCCTCGTCCTCGCTGGAAAGGTCACCAAGCTCGGTGACGATGTGCAGAGCCTTCAGTGTGAGCTCCTCGCCAATCTTGAGAGCCTGAACCTTGAGCTTCCTGTAGCGGACGCACTGCATAAGGAACGCAAGCGACTGGGAACGGTAGTCGTCCTCAACCTCAGTGGAGGCGGAGAGCTCGAGCATGAACCTGACGAGATCGCCAAAGTGCTTCTGGAGCAGAGCAGACTCGCAGCCGAGCAGAGTCTGGAAGACCTCGAAGGCCTGCATGGCGTGTTCCTCGTCGCCCTCATCGACGGTCTGCTTCAGGACAGCAACCATGGCGGGGATGGCCTGCTGGAACGCAGTGAGAGACTTGGCGTCCTCGTCAGGCTCAAGAAGCATAGCCATGCGGCTCAAGCCGATCATGGTGTTGATTCTGACATCGGCGCTCTCTGGGTCCTGGATGGTCTTGCTGAACAGGCTGTAGAGGTCAGACGACTTGCCGGGGAAAGCGTCGCCGGTCTGCTCGAGTGTTGTCCAGATGATGAAAGTTCCGACCTCCCTGTGGCGTGCGGTACCGCTGGTGGCGGCCTGGTGCAGGTGGCCAGGCAGGTCAGCCCACTGTCCATCCTCGAAATCCTGGGCAGCGATCGCAGCGACGACACGAGCAGCAGAGTGCCTGGTCAGCTGGACCTCCTCGTTGAGTGTGAACTGCAGCAGCTGGTTGCGGAGGGAGGCCTTCTGGTCATCGGGCAGCGCAGCCCAGTGCTTGACAACAAGCTTCCTGGCCTCGACGGCGGCAAGCTGCTTCAAGCCTTTGTCGGGGTGCCCGCAGAGGACCTGGAGCAGGGCATTGAGAGAGGCAGGCGAGTTGTAGTAGTTCTTGTTCAGAGCAGCCGTGGCATTCTTGACAACATCGGTGTCAGCTAGAAAATGTTAGTTGCAGGACCCGAACCTTGGAAGTGCGGACGCTTACGCTGCAGCAGGCTCTGGAGCAGCTGAACAAACTGTTGCTCGTCCATGGCGGTGCTTTTACAGTGGTAAAACGTAGAAGCAGGCCTGAGGAAGGATCAGTCGCAGTGCAGCGAAAGATCAGAAATTTATGGCAGCGCTCTGTTGTCCTGCGGGGTGCAAATAATTTTGAGCCCGGAGAGGGTCCAACGCTACTCGCCCAGAGTGGAATAGCGCGCTTCACGCCTCGAGCCTCTGTGCCGACTCCGCTCTTTATTGGCCGGCCCCAGTCGCGTGCATGTCGAGGCTCGCTACAGCTTCGAGGTGCGCGATAACCGTTCTGCCTGGTGCCCGAGTCTTGTGAGGGGTTGAGGAAAGTGGAAGCTACAGAGAAGTCGCATAGAATGAAACAAAGTCGCTCAGAATGGAACAAGAAGTCGCTCAGAATGGAAAAGAAATCGAGAAGACGCTGATGGCCCGTGGTTCAGTCATGACAAGTGATATGGCAGTTGTTCTGAGGCTCAACGCGTCTTCACGCGAGCTTCGAAGGTGCTGAGTATGGCTCCATGACTGCGAGGCCATGTTGATGCATTATTCGGCGTCGAAGCGGGTTCTACAGAATCGTGTGTACACGGTGCAGACGAGACGAGACGAGGTTTCGAGCTTCCAGAGGGTGATGGGGTGGGTGACTATGAATCCGTGTTGGAGCAACGGATGGAGACGGCCATGAAGGAGCTCCAGACGGATGGACGAGGAAGAGGATCCTCGATAGCAAGTCTTAAAGGATGAAGAAGGGTGTCGCGAGTACAAGTCACTTTGTCGATGAAAGCCAGACGCGCTAGTTTTATGGGTCCGTGCTGCGCAACCCTCATGTTTGCACGAAACGACAGCGAACGCTCCTTCACCGTCGCCATCACCTCCTAATAATCGAAGAGGCACTATCATCCCTCCTCTTCACCGCAAACCACAGAGACTCCCTTCCTGCGTATTTTATCGTATCCCCCGCCGCCCCGCAACGCTATACCTGGCCTCTTCGCAGCACCTCGACTCCAACTCTATGGCTTCGGTACGTCCAGAGCTCACACCACTGCCTAGCCCCTCTTCCACCATGTACTGACTGCCTCCAGCAAGCTCCCAACCAGCCGCGCCCCTACCCCGGCAACTACCTCCCCAATGGTGGCGCTCCCTCAGGCCCTGCGCCCGGAGCTGTCCCGCTGCTCCCGAACCAGGGCCGCGTGATCCAGCAGGGAAGCGTACGAGTGCTCTGCATTGCTGACGTACGAGGTGAGGATGCCATTCGGCGCTTCGAACTGAGCGTTGGGACTGATTGTTGTAGGAAACTTGCAGTCACTGAACCAGCTTGCGGCGGACGCCCGCGCGAACTACATCATCCACACTGGTGACTTCGGCTTCTACGACGACCGCTCGCTCGACCGCATCGCCGACAAGTACGTACACACATATCCCACGTGAAGAGGAGGCTAACTGGCGCAGGACACTCAAGCACGTTGCGCAGTACTCGCCCCTGTTGTCTGACAGCGTCAAGCGCTCCATCGCGCAAGCGCCACCACAGCCACCAATCAAAGAGCGCTTCCAGAGAGAACACCTGCCCCTCTCAGAGCTGCCCCTGTTCCTCAACAAGACATACACACTGAACGTCCCCGTCTACACAGTATGGGGCGCCTGCGAGGACGTTCAGGTACTGGAGAAGCTGCGATCTGGCGAGTACAAGATCGACAACCTGCACATCATCGATGAGGCGCACTCGCGGCTGCTAGATGTCGGCGGTGTGAAGCTGCGTCTGCTCGGTCTGGGTGGTGCCGTTGTCATGCACAAGCTGTTCGACAATGGCGAGGGCAGGACGACGATTGCGGGTGGCCAGGGTACCATGTGGACGACGCTTCTGCAGATGGGCGAGCTGGTCGACACCGCGAACCGCGTCTACGATCCGACCGAAACCCGCATCTTCGTCACCCACGCTTCGCCTGCACGTGAGGGTTTGCTGAACCAGCTGTCTGTCACGCTGAAGGCAGATTTCTCCGTGTCTGCTGGCCTCCACTTCCGCTACGGAAGCTCTTACAACGAGTTCAGCGTCAACCCCACTCTGGACCACTACCGCGGCAAGCTTGCCGCATCCAAGGCTTCTTTCAACGACGTTTGGGATACAGTCAAGTCGGAGGTTGAGCCTGCTATCGCCGACAGCGACTCGCAGCAGCGCCTCCTCAACCTGGCCCTCGAGATCGTCAACAAGATGCCCACTGTCGCCAACGGCGGCAACCCTTTTGGTGGCCCCGCCCCCGGACCCCAGAGCGGCATCATCGACGAGAGCGCTTTCAAGAACATGTGGAACTTCAACCTTGCTGACGCTGCCTACGGATGGCTTGTCCTCGACATCGACAACGGCAGGATTGGCACCGAGATGCGCGCGCAAGGTTTCAACTTCGCTCACCGCGGCGGAAAGGTCGTGCCTCCTGGCCAGGCCGGACAGCCTGCTCCCGCTGCTGGTACCTCTGCTACTCCTGCTGCCCCTAGCCCCGCTCCTGGCCCATCACCTGCTCAGGGTCGTCCTGCTAACGCACCAGCAAACGTTCCCCAGCAGCCCCGCCCCGCTGTCGCCACCCCACCAGTCCCCCAACAGAACAAGGCAGCTCAGCCAACACGTACCGGACCCTCTCCCGCACCTGCTGCGCCCAAGGAGCCCAAGGCTGCCACGCCCCAGCCCACTACCTCGAACAGCGCGCCCGCGAACGCCGCTGAGAAGGCCATCTCCAGCGAAGTCAAGTCGAACGGGACGACGGCACCTGAGAAGGGCCCCGCGTCGCCCGCTCCTCGTGAGCCTGTAGAGCGCAAGGAGAGCAAGGGACTGTTCATCACGGGTGTCAAGGATGAGGAGGAGGCCAAGGGTCTTCTCGCGGAGGAGGATAGGCCCAAGATCGAGAAGCTGGAGAAGATCAAGCACTTCTTCGTCGCCCACTTCAACTCGCCCACCGAGATGCAGGCTGCTCTCGGCCGTGTTCAAGCAGACGTTAAGAACGCCCGGGGTGGCCCTGACAAGCCCAGCGTCAAGATCTACAACGAGCGCGGTAATACTCCCAGGTACGGTGCCGGCAGCTGGCAAGCAAGCAGCCGCGGTGGACCTGCTGGCACTGGCGGCTACAGGAGTGGTGGCGCCTCGGACAGCGAGGGTGGTCGTGGCGGACGTGGAGGCCGTGGCGGTCGCGGCGGTGCCTTCCGCGGCAGTGAGCGTGGCGACCGCGGTGGTGGTCGTGGTCGTGGTGGAAGGGGTGGATACCGAGGTGGAGCGGGTGAGGGTGGAGCTGCACCAGCAGCGACGGGAGGCGAGTCATGAGCCCGTGGCCACCTTCCCAACCCTTCCCTCCATCTCTGATACCCCTTCTCCGGATATGCTGACGCGTTGGACAGAGCGGGACTGGAACCGCAAACCTGTTCGCGCTTAGCGAAGTTTTGTTTCTGACGGCGAGCTTCCCACACTTCGCCTTAGCGGGCGCTGGGTGTGTTTTCTTCCTTCGTTTCTCATGGTGGGTGCGGGTTATCAGTGTTTACGGCGCTTTCTGATCAGCATTTTCCGCTGAAATGATAGATGGTCTGCGCTTTTGTTTAGGGTTGGATCAGCATGGGATGAGGATCATGTCTTGTCAGAGTATGTATGTAATCGTATGATACCGAAAAGCTATATTTGCTGCTTGCTGCCTCATTTGTCGTTCATTTCTTGAATTACTGACATGTCACTCAGTACGACTAGCCCACATACACTATCTTGCTTGATTTTCCGATGCGTCCACTTTTGCAGGTACTCCATAATAGAACAAATTACGACATATTTCATCCACCGCGTCACATAAGATCATTGTCCATGTAACCCAGACGCTACACTTCTTCTCGCGTTGCACTATCCTTCCCTGCTCTCTTTCTCACACAGCATCCGCCCCCGCTCCTGCTCCTCCTCCAACTCCTTCACCAACGTTTCGATCGCATAGTCGACCCCATGCTCAGGCAGCCAGAACGGATAGCACGGACGTCGCAACGGCGGCCTGGGATGACATCAACCCAAAGAGGAGAGGATCCATGGTATTGTTTGAGGTAGCGGCGGGAGCAGTAGGGATGGAAGATGATGGCAGGGTGAGGAGTCGGTCGAGGTACAGTCGTTGCTTTTCTTCAAGGTGAGAGAGTACGGGGGACAGGGCCAAAGAGTCGCATTCGGCATGTCGTATACCTGGGGTTGTCAAGATCGTGAAAGGTGAGTCCGGGTAAGCAAATCCTGGTCACACACGCTTTCTCTCTACTAGTTGCTTCACATACCAGCTACTGGACGGCTCGCCAAAGATAGGTTCGGTGGCGTAGTGTGACGCATATGCTTAGGCCTCACGTCTATCAGGTCATGGCTTTTCAACTGAGTGTTGTTATTGATGATGAATGCATGATCACAAGGCTACCAGCCCCGACGGATCCTACTCGTCGTCCGCCCAACTCTGACCCTTCTTCATCGGCTCCAGACCAAACGACTCGATTTTCTTGACACCCGGTCTCTGCGGTGCCTCCTCAGTCTTGACCTTTGGTTCCGCAGGCTCAAGTTCCTTCTTGAGCTCGGGTTCGCTCTTCCTGATGTCTTCGTTCTTGTTCTCGCCTTTGCCCTTGATGGAGAACTCTTTGATCTTGGGCGCAGATTCGTTCTGTTCTGCTGGCTTGGAAGAGGGCAGCTCGGGAAAGTCGGTTGCTGTCGGTGGGCGTTGGGTTTGCTTGCCTCCTCTTCCTTCATGGCTTCGACCCTCGTGGCCGCGGGATTCGTGAAAGTCACCCCGTCCTCCTCGTCCTCCCCTTCCACCTCTCCCTCTGCCTCGGCCACGGTACGATCCCGAATCACCGCCATCGTCGAACAACTCCCTCCCCTCAGGAGCACCCCTCGGCGCTGACACACCGCCATATGCACCCCTTGTCGCACCCCGTCTCCGCTCCTCACCCGTCCCATCAAACCCATCCTCCTTCTCCAAATCCCACTCCCTGCCTCCCTGCGCATTCAACTTCCTCTGCCTATTCCGCTCTCTTTCGCCCATCATCTGCTGCCGGTCCTTGCGCTCCGCTTTCTGCTTTTCGGCTGCCAGCTTCTTGCGCTCAGTTTCCTGCTGCTTGAGCACGGCCTCGCGCGCTTCGGCAGCGGCTGCATCTGCCTCCGCGCGCGCGTGTGCACTTGCTAGGGCTTCATTCTTGCTGCGCATTGAAGCGAGTTTGGCGCTCAGCTCGGCTTCGGTGAGGCGCGTGCGCTTTGAGCCGCCGGTGAGGGTGCGGTCGCCGTGGACAGAGGCGGTGGAGGGTTTTGAAGGGCCGGTGGGTGCATCAGACGGGGGTTCGTTGGAATTGGTTGTAGGTTCTGCTGGTGCTGGTGAATCTTTTGCGGCTTCAGCCTCCTTCGCTGCCTGTTCTTCAAGCCTGATATCGCCGACCGGTCCACCGCGACCACGCCCTCCTCTTCCGCGCCCGCGTCCTTCACCGCGGCCTCTTCCTCTCCCGCGACCTCCACGGTCGGCGTTTCGTGGCTCTCGCGGCGCTTTGGGCGCGAGGTGTGCTTGCGGCGCGCTTGGTGGAGCGGGTTCCTCTGGCGCAGGGACAAATTCGGGTGCTTCTGCCCCAAGAGTGCTGCTCTGCTCTACGACGGGCTGAGAGATGGGCGTTATGTCATCGTCGAAGAAGAGGTCGTCGGTGCCGGCGGTTTGGGCGAAGGGGTCTATGGAGGGGCCGCTGTAGCTGTCGTAGGAGGCATTGATGGGCTGGGTGTATAAGTTCTCTGAGCAGCATCGCAGATAGTAAGGGTCTGTTTACCGGTGGTGCTGGTGCTGCCTCTTGTTGCGCGCACGCTTCAGTTGTAGGCTTCGGCACTTCCTCCTCACCCTGGGGCGCCCATCGAGATTTAAGCATACTCAACAGATAGAATGACTAATGCGACTAACAGCACGATACAAAAGATAGAGCAATGTGTAGCGATGCTAAGAATCGGGGTTGTGAAGCCTTGTATGAGAGATGTGTTCAACTGCATCATCTATCAACCGGTCACTGCCTTCTAATTGGCCGGTAGCGAGGGCGGTGATAGAAGCTCCCCCGCAGTGGATTTGCGACTCCCCCATCACATCCAACTCACGGACCTCAATTCTAACCACAAGAGACCTCGATACTTACTTGATGGTCGTTCTCGATGTACCGATGAAGTCAGTGACATCAATCTCATCTAGCGTGTTGTATTGCATATGTTAGCACACAACCGCCACCATTCAGCTTCCTCGACGGTGACCGTTCAGGATTACTTTGATCAGCTTGCAGCAGTGCGGAGAAGCCAGGATGCCTACTGGACGCCCCTCGCTCTCCCCATCATACGCTCACGTGAACTTCAATAAATAAAGAGTGATACGATGTAATCTAGAGCAACTGCTGACACCTTAGGTTCGAGTCAGTTATCAACTTTCTACTCCGTCTTCAACCGTCCACACGCACATCAACTACAACTCCCATCATTGACACTGACATACTGGTCAGCTCACAACAGCAACACCATGAAAGCAGCACAATACTTCGGCCCCCACGACATCCGTGTCGTTGACGTACCCACACCAGAACCTGAAGAGCATGAAGCCCTCGTCGCCATAGAATGGTGCGGCATATGCGGCAGTGACCTACACGAATACCTCCACGGCCCAACGTCCTGCCCACCCCCCTCACGCCCCCATCCAGCAACGCACTCCCACATCCCCGTGACCATGGGCCACGAGTTCACTGGCCGCATCATCAGCGCCCCAGCCTCCTCAAATCTCTCCTCAGGAACGCCCGTGATCACCGACCCACGCATATTCTGCCGTTCCTGCTCGCGGTGTAAATATGGCCACACCCACGGCTGCACAACACTCGGCTTCAAAGGGCTCTCCGGCACCGGCGGCGGGTTCTCAGAAACCATCGCCGTCGACGCTAGGATGTGCCACGCTCTGCCTGAAGACGTGGATCTGAGTCTTGCAGCGCTGATCGAACCGCTTGCTGTCGCGTGGCACGCGATTGCCACCGCTGGTCTGCAAGACTGGGGTGGGAAGAGCGTGCTCGTTGTTGGCGGTGGGCCGGTGGGCGTCACGGTTTGCATTGTGTTGAGGGCTTTTGGGTGTGGGAATATTATTGTGTCGGAGCCTACGACTGTGAGGGCTGCTCAGAATGAAAAGGTTGCTGATGTTGTCTTGAACCCCCTTCACGACTCCATCGGGGAGAGGTGCCGCTCACTAACGGGTGGTGAGGGCGTAGATGTAGTATTCGACTGTGCGGGAAGTCAGAAGGGGTTTGAGGCGGGTATGGATGCGGTGAGATATCGAGGGTTGTATATGAATATTGCGGCGTGGTTTGGGTCGCCTGCAAGTATTGGCAATACAGGTTGTTATCAAACAATATTAACACTGTGTAGATGCAGATTCCGTTCTTTCCGTTCTTACTGAAGGAGGTCACTATCAAATGCTGTCTCGCATACAACGACGAGGAGTTCAAGGACGTTGTGGAAGCTTTTGTAGCCGGTAAGTAGGATTTACGTATCCAGACTTGTGGCTGACAGCTCTGAAGGCAGGTTTAAAGGTCTCGAAACCATGATCACGAGCAAGATCCACATCGATGATATTGTGGAAAAGGGATTTGACGAATCCGTCGCGAATAGAGACCAGCATGTCAAGATTCTGGTTACGCCGCATAAAGTGAAGGCCTAATCATTGCACGACATTCCAGCCAATTCGCACCTAGTAATCTACCATCTTACTGCACCAACCGAAGAGCGTATTCCTAAGTCTCTACGAATATGACGTACTTACTCATACCTACTGACACAGAGCAACCTACCCGGTGCCACCCGTCTATCCCAGAACCGACACTGCCCCCCTCCATTCTCTCCGCGGCCTATACCTTCCAAAAACCGGAAACCCAAAGCCCGCCAGCTTCGCACGGAAGCTTTGCAGAGCGTAGGCACAGATCGCGTACCCAAATCATATTGAACCATGTGTCTGCAATGTTAGGTCACATTCCAGCGGGGGACATCGGTAACATATAGGCTGATCGTGTGTTTGATGGTGAAGAGTGAAGGAGTGTCTGCAGGGCGAACTTGAGCTCATGACTGGCGGCGAAACAAAGTTCGTGACCAAGAGAAGTACTGAAATCAACGTGTGGAAGCGGGATCTGCAGATCGACACTGTTGGCTTTGCCCTAGTATTGCATCGTGATGCCCGAAGACAGCAGCCAGTTCGATGCCAAAGCTGACCACAGATCGTGCATTTGTCCTGGCAGGCTTTGAAAGACTCGTGAGAGACCCCTTCGTTGATCAAGCGACATGTGGCTCAGAGGGCTCGGGTAGTGCTGGCGGGGGCAACAGTGGGTAGCAGATGTTGGAAAATGGCTTGGGGGACTCCAGTCGCCGGATCCACTCCGGGGTATGATAGCGAGACAAGAACCGGGTAATGAAGTATAGGGAGACTCCAGCGGTCAGACAAACGAGGCTTGAACTGTATGTAGACACGTTGATCCGCGCTTGGGATGAAAATGGAGTGGAAAGTAGGAACCTTCTGTCAACTTGAGATTGCGTGAGTTTAGTCTCCGCATAGGAAGCGTTTATATAAGCGTAGGGAATGACTGTAAAGGCGCGAAATGTAATGAAAGTTGACCACACCAAAACGAGCAGCATCTGAAATGTATTGTAAGTTCACAGCGCAGGTTCTCTCTCTAGATCGTTGAGCAATCCTTCGCTCTTACCGTTCGATCGGCAGGACCAAAAGGGGAGAAAAGTGTGCACACCTGCTCGAGTACTGCAATGCGCTCTGCCGATCTGAAGCGACTGTCAGACTCAGCTTAGTTATACAGAAGCGTCCTCCTCGCCCCGTGGTATCTCAGTCTGCATGTTCAGCTTGCAAATCTTTGCCCTTCTTAGCTTGCGTCTCCATGTTCTTCTGGGCCTTCGCCGCCTCAATTTCCTCCTGCTTCTTGGCTCGCTTTGCTTCAAGCAGCTTTTTCATTTTCTCAGCCGTGCGGTCTGCGGCTGCCATCTCTTCGGCCACGGCTGGGGCCTCTGCAGCTCGTCGGTCAAGCAGCTCTTGTGGCCTCTGAGTATGTTCTGGGATACCCTTCGTCTGTTCGCGGGACGATGCCAAAAAAACTGGCAATTCTGCCGCGCTCTGGATACTGGAGCTGGTTGTTGGTGAAGTCGTCATCTTCACTTTCGTGCCTTGGATCGGTCAACAGGCCGCGCATGGCTGGGGAAGACTACCTACTTCTAAGAAACATCCGCGCATCTAGCATTGATATGATCGCGAACCCGCAATCTTTCGGCAGTGAAGAGCTGTCTCCAGACCTTAAAGACGTGATTGCCCGTGGTGGTGTCGGCAATCGGTGTGGTCGCTCTCGTGGGTGGCCATCTTGGCAGTGTAGCGGAAGAATGGTATAAGTGGAAGTGTAAAGAAGATCCAGAGAGCTTCTATGAAAAGAAGCTGGCTTCGTGACGTGCAAGGTTTTCGCCAGCAAGCGCGCTCTGGGCGGCGCACTGAAGGACACTTTCTGTAACGGTGTATAAAGCCTTCTGAACTCTAGGGTTAAGAAGGTCGGCCTTCTTGACCACAAGTCTCCAACTTCCTCTTCGCTCGAGTCCAGGTTGGCGAGGGATGAAAGTACGCCCCCGTGCTCTTGTGGTGAAAATAGAAATTGCTTTACTGTATGATGAGCGAAGGAGACGGTGCTTTCTTCTTCGTTGTTTACGGCAAGGTTACGGCAGGCGCTCATCTATCTTCCACCAATGTCTCTGGGTATGCGATCTGTGTGCACATAGGTGTCTGTTGGTTAAGGACAACGGCCTCCATGAGCTCTCCCAAACTGAAATGGCCTGCGTGCGTCAAAGACCCAACGGAAAACTGCGCGCGTCGTTCCAAGCTTAGCTTCGCCTCCAGCGCCGTCGTGCATTCTGCGTATGACTCTCAGAAAGATTTCGCTTAGGATCTTCGGCAGGCCTGCAAGTGCGATGCGAATAGCCTCTTTTGCCAAGACCTCCTTGATATCGATGAACTGAAAGTTAGTCCACAGAAACCTGTGAGTCTAATCAGCACAAGTACGTTATTTATAACTGAACATAGGGCGTGCCAATTGTATCCAGACCAACATGTCAGCTAAGCCCAAGACTAGGGTGGCACTACGTGGAAAAAGCATTCCGCTTAATTAGCAAACCCTCTGTCGAGAAGCAGAAAAAGGCAAACACAAGCCCAATTTTGTAGGAGGTATTTGGTGCTAATTTGCAGGCTGTCTGCGACCTAAGAGAGGCTGTGAGGACTACAAAAGGCCTTGTACAGAAAGAATCCGCTAGGAAGGCAAAATGCTGCTTCGAGTGGTGCTGTCCCGAAACTGAGAGGACGTAATAGATTGGACGTGAACTTACATGCCCTTGACTCCATTGGCAATGGTTTGAATGACTTCGAATTTTAGTGTCGGATCGGTGACGAGAGGATGTGCCGCTTCAATCAGCTCGACTTGATTTCGATGAACGTAGCGATGTCAGCGTCGATGTTCTCTTGGCGCGTGTACGATATTCCATGGTTTTGAAGCGCTTTCTTCACGCGAAACTCCTCCATACGACATGTAATCGAGACTTTGACCACAAGATCCGACTGTTGAAGTAGCATCTCGATGAGCTTTGGGGTATTACTCTAGTCCTCTAGGCTCAATGCGTCCACGTCATCGAGGATTATAGACGTGGTGCCAAACGTCTTCAGTGTGCTGGCCAGATAACGCATGCGGGCAGCCACATTCGGTTTAGGTTGACCTTGTCCAAAAGGATAGCTGAAAGTATCGCCGAAGTGGTCCAAAGGTAGATGTTCCAAGGCTTGTTGGGTCAAGGAGGCCATGATGTGCACTGAGTCCAGAGGTGCATGGTCTGCATAATCGAAATAGTAATAAGATATTATCTCGTTGTTGGCAGTGACTATCCTGTCCAGTAGACTGTTCCTGAGGTTCGCTGCAAGAACAGATTTCCCGGATCTGAGAATACCATAACAACAGAGGTATGTCGATTTCGGGGACGTGAACCACGAGACATACTCTGGGGAATCTTGTGGCCAATCGCATGTCCCAGGATGCCTAGTGTTGCATAGCTGTACTGCTTGCTCAGATAATTCATGGTGGGCAGGCTCAGTGTGATATGCGAGTCTCGCAGCCCCAACCAATCATACCCCAACAGGCCATGCGGGGTGCAACAATCACCTTTCAATTTGGATTACAGCTGCCCAAGGTCTCGTGCTATGTGGTTTCACTGCCACAAGGCTGAAAACTGCAGTCAAGCTGATTTTCAACTCAGTGATCCCCACGATAGAACGAACAAGAATGCAGGGCGGGTACGTCTTAAAACCACTAGAAGTGGCCAGGCTCTACCAGAGCACACATTCCCTCGCGAGCCTGGATCCATTGCCGCGGGTTCGAAGTCGCCCAGTCGCGCACTTTCTGAATACCTTCAAGATCCTCTTGCATATGCACCGCAGACGTAGTCCCGTTGAGCACTTCAACACCAAGGTCCATTACAAGCGCATACAATGCGGTCGGTACCGAAACCTGTGCAGCCTGTGCCAGCTCAACGACAGGCTTTGACTTGAGCAGCTTGGGATTGCCTGTCAACGTCCAGAACGACTGATACATAATGCCATGCTCTCTGCAGAACGCTCGTAGTGGACTATCATATTGAGTCTGTGCATAGAAACGGTTTTGAACGACTGAAGGCTTGACTGTTGATGTGTTGTAGATCTCCCGCAGGACGGGAAGTGTGACGTTCGAGATGCCGAGTGCTTTGATTTGGTGCGGTACGTAGGTCTCCAGCAACCTCCAGGCTTGGAGTGTCTGCTCCAGCGTTGGTAATGGTGAATGCAGAAGCAGACAGTCGAGGTACGATCCTTCCTCTGCCTGCGTTGGCCGCAAGTTCTTGAGTGATGAAGCGACTGAGGTGTGTATTTGAGTCCCCAGCGGCGCATTTGGATCGTATGGCATTTTGTTCAGATCCTGTCCGGCTGGCGTGGTGTATTTCGTCTGCACATAGACACCTTCTCGTGACACCGTTCCTTCGCTGTACGCCTCCCGCAGCGCCTCGCCCACTAGGTGTTCCTGGTAGTGCTTGGGCTGTGCAGCTGTGTCGACACGTCGAAAGCCTTGCTTGATCGCATCTTTGACTAAAACCTTCGTTTGATCCTTCTTCCAAGCTGTGCCATAGGTAAACGCCGGCTTGTCATCGGCCAAGCGTGAATGAGAATTGAATGGTGATGCAGATGCCATGTTGCAAGCGGTTGTGCGACAAGGTGTCCAGGAGGTATTCACAGAATCGCGAGGAGTGAAGCGAAGAATGAAGGGAGGTGTTCGACGCATGAAAGATATGACAAAATCAACTAGGATGATGATTGTTTATAAGTTGAGCACGTGGTGAGGCTCAAAGAAGGCACATCCTGACGTAACCTCCGAGCTCCGAATTCAGGGTCCAGTCTGCCCCACCAATCCCGCGATGCCGTGATTGAGAAAGTGCTGCAAAGCTTACCCATCAACATCTCGACTCACATTCTGCGATTCTACTACACAACGCCCCCAGAATTTTATCCACTGTCTTATTCTACCTTCACAGTCACCACATACTCCAAATCGAGGCACAATGGTCCGCCCCACAGGCCCCCGCGATCCCATCGCCGGCCCAAATACCCCACAACCACCATTCCCCCTCAAGCTTCGCGGGCCAGTAATCAAGGGCTTCGGGCGAGGAAGTAAGGAGGTAATGCAATACCAAAACACTTACTTTACCTTCCTTCACGCTCACCCACCCCACCAAACCCCTTTCAAACGTAGACTAACACCCTCCAGCTAGGCATCCCCACAGCCAACATCCCGCTCTCCGGGCTCTCCATAAACGGGCACTCCGACCTTGACTCCGGAATCTACTATGGCTTTTGCACGCTGGACCACTCCACGATCCCCTCCGCCACAACCTCTTCCACCGTCCCCTCTGCCACCGACGACAATTCCGTCCCTAGCAAATCCTCCTCCCACGCGGTGCAAGACCTCGAATACACGGCTTCCACACCCACCACCAGCCGCTCTCTCGTGTACCCCACCGTTCTCAGCATCGGATATAATCCGTACTACAAAAATACCACACGTTCAATCGAAATTCATATCCTGGCGAACTTCGAGAAGGACTTTTACGGCGCGGAGCTGAGTCTGGTGATTCTGGGGTTCATAAGACCGGAATACGATTACGTGAGCAAGGATGCGCTGGTCGAGGATATTCGCGAGGATATCAGGGTCGCGCAGAGGAGTTTGGCACGAGAGGCGTATCAAAGTTGTAAGGAGGATGCGTGGTTGAAGGGTGAGGGTGGGGAGGAAGTTGGGCAAGTGACAGGCCAGAGTGACGGAAAGACGAACGGAAGGGATAGCGTGGAGGGAGACAAGGATGATGAGAGGGAGAATGTCAGGCTTGTGCCGGGGGATCAGGGGCAGAAGGATGAGGTGGCTGTTAGTGCGATGCCGAGCTAGAGGGTGACTTGGGCGATATGCAGGGGATGGATTATAGATAGACGAAATCATGACATAAAGCACCCGTAGCCTCAATGAAGCAATGCGAGTATATTCGATGCAAAAATCTCTAGTGGCACAAGAAAAGCCGTTGGTATCCCAGATATGCCACAATTCCTCCTTGAACGCCCAAGTGTGAGACAACCCTCTTTTTCGAAGCCATTAACCATTACCCAAACGATGCTGCACCAGGTGCAAAGAAGAATAAAATTTGATCCAGAAGTGGAGACTCTGTTGGTTGAGGCTTGATTTGCCTTATCTGAAGGCGGAGGACTTTCACGCCATCCAGCTGCTTTGCTCCAGATAGTGGTGGGTGATCCAGCGATTTAAAGACGCGCCCTCGATCAAAAGTCGATGCGTATCTAGTGCAGCCCTTTATCGAGCACCGGCATGACCTGTAACACATTAGCTCACACCCACCCACACAACATTCAGTCTCTCAACTTACCGACATGCAAACCAACACCGGCATATCAAAAATATCCCTCTTAATATGCCACCAAATCATACAATCCACCATCCCATTCTTCGCACCCAGTCTCTGCATCGCACTCTCACCCTGATGCACGCCCGCACGCCCGCCCTCACTCTTAATCTCCTTCTCCTCTCTCCTGCCCTCTCTTTCCGCCAGTCTCTCTACATCAGCTTTCGTCTGGTACCGCAGCATATTGACCCTCTGATGCGCAAAGCCGCGAGGATCCTGGTATGCGAGTTCCGAAAACCGCTGTAGGTATTGGAGTGCAGATTTGGGCTCCATGAGCTGAATAATATTCACCGGCTGGGGCTCAGATTCAGATTCGGACTGCTGCGCCGCAAGCGTGGGCGTAGTATTAGTCTGCGTGCTCATCTCGGACTCATTGGGGTCGCGATTGCCATGCTGGTTCACCGTGAGATTCGGCTCTTGACCAAGCAGCACCTCCCTTTTCCAGCCGGTGAGAATCGTGAATTCCTTATTCATATCTACGATTTCGCCACTGCGGCGGCAGATGATGAACGGCGTGCCAACTTCGGCGAAGTGCTCTTGCAATGTCATAAGATGGCGCTGCAAGCCTTTTTCCTGGTGGATCAGATCTTCTTTTTCGAGTTTAGAATGCACGTCGACGAGCACGCCGCGGAAGTTCTGCACGTATTCTTGCGCTTTGGCGGCCCAGGGGCGCGAGTATTTGGTTAGGATGAGCTGGAAGAGCTTGTGGTAGCCCTTGACGTAGTCGTGCGGTTTGGTAACGCCTTGGTAGATGCTCTTCGTATCTCGGTGGCGCTTTCGAATTCCATTAGAGTGTATAGGTTGTAGCGCGTTATTGGGTGGGCGGTTCTCCTGTTGCCGCCGGCTGACAGTCGGTGATCGCTGGGGTTGCGATTGATGTGGGTTAGCGAAGAACGCAACTGTTGCCAATGGGTTGTCGGCTTCATATGTCGAGTGGGCATCCGTCGATGCAGGACTAGCTGTGTGATGGCTGGCAGGTCCTTGGCCTATCGCAAACGCATGCGGGCCGTTCAGACTGTCTTGGCGGTGACCGCTATAGTCCATCGATGCAGTCGTGGGGGTGCCGTGTGGGGTCTGGACTTGCAAGCTGCCGTTCCGAGAGCCAGTTTGCTGCCAGTCGTCTGTTGGCAGACCGTTGGGATTCATGGGCATCATCGAAGCTTGCTGTGAGTGGTCTACAAAGCCGCCTTGTACTTGCGGATTGTACATGTTGACAGGCTGTTGTGAGTTCATCATGCTATTGTCGTTGGGTGGGGTCTCGGCAGCTCCGGACGACATGTGACCGAGCATGCCGAACTCCAAAGCTCCATAGTGGTTGCCAAAGTTGAGGCTGGAGATATCAAAGTTAAACAAGGCAGGGTCACTTGGGTCGAAAAGTGGTCCACTAAACTGCTGCATCTGCGCTGGCTGTGCTTGCGGTATTGTTGTTGCGGCAGTTGGTACGGAGCCCTGATGTGATTGTTGGTACGGTGGCGATATGGGGGACTGCTGGTTGTATGTCGGTGGTGCAGGGGCTGAGTTGGGTGGGTAGAATGCCTGTTGCGGTGCTTGAGCGTAGTGGTTGCCTTGCTGGGCCATGGTAACGGCCTGGATGTCCTGGCTGGGAAGAGGCGTAGGTCGGTTGCCGTTCATGTAGGGATAATGGCCGCCCACGCCAGGCATGAGAGCGCCGTCGGGCGCATCGTGGAGATACTTGGCCTTCTTGCGCACGCCATCCATGCAATGATCCTGGAGATTGCGCTTCACACATCGCAGGCATGGTCGTTCGTCGCCTGGAAAGTCAGTACCCACCGAAGTCATACCTCTGGTGATTATTTACTCACCGCACGTCAGATGTGCCCGCTGACAAGCAAAGCAGGCCCTCCTCGCCTTCTTCCTTCTCGGTCTCAGTGGGTCCTTCGCATTGCTCTTACTCGTCTGACCATTGGCACTCTTCTGCTCCTCGTCCTTCTGCTCTTTCTGGTTCTGTTCAGCAGCCATATCTTCGTCGTAGTCACCGCTGAATTCCGGCGAGGGAGAAGCATCGTCCTGGTCCGGGGACGACATGATATCAACTAATGTGGGCTCTACGGGCCTCGCACGGATGCTGTTGTGTTCTACAGGCGCGCTGTAGGCGCACGTTTAGTGCTGCGTGCAGCCGTCAGTAGTGCCTCGGGGATATACCCAGCACAATGGTTCAGCCAATGTCTCAGCAGAGGCACGGATAGCGGCGTTCCAGCGACGTGTTTTGTGGTGAAGTCACGCGTGCGCTGGCTGCTCGAACGGGCGCTGCCGTGGCACACGGGTGTGCCCAATGGATGCGCGTCACGGGGGCCGAAGAGGCAATGAAGATCCCAGTGTCAGGGTGTTCTGAGAGCACGCTCAATCCGGCGCGCAGATATGGAGCAATATGGTAGTGGTACAGGGCCAGGGTCCATGCAGTCGAGGGAGCATTCCACGGAGCCACAGGATCATGTTTGATAGCAGAATGCTACCGAGACGCGCTGCCCATGCTGCGGGAAGCTGAAGTGCGCGACTGGTAGGGCCCGCGTCCGCGGTGAGAGAACGCGCGCTGGAGCGATGGGGCGGGGCAGCTGTCGAGCAAGGCAGGAGCGCAGCGTGCGCTGGAAGGAGCAGTCGACGTTGTGGGACGGCGCTTGGAGGCTGTGTCGGTGCAGCAAGACGATCGCAGGGCAGCAGCAGCTGGATGGGGGTAGAGCGCAGGCCAGTCAATACCTCAAACCCCAGCACGCAATTGTGTGGGCAGGCGGCGACTCGAAGCAGCCGGCGAGGTCGTGTGTGCGTGCGTGTGCTGGTCGTCGAGGCTGTTGCGCCAAAATGCGGTTCCCCGCAATTGGCTGACGAGCTTTGCTGGAAGGTGCGACCTATCGCTCCTGCCTCGGTCCCTGTCCGCCGGGTCTTAGCGAGCCGCTCCAGCCAATGGCCCGCTGCGACATTTAGAACGACGTTCGTGACAGAGGACCCCATCCATGGCAGACGAACACTTCATGCCGGAGCCGCTCCCTTCAGCCGGCTACTGCGCAATATCCATCAGCCTCAGGTGCTCGTATACAACTTCACATTTCATCGTGTCGTACGTTTCAGCGCAATCTCTCGTGCAAGCTGAGGCCACAATACGCAGAACAGAAGCAAGCAGCCGCCGCTACGCTTCATTGCATATCCAGCAGTTTTTAGTTTGGCTGGCTACAGGCCATGTGCATTTGCGATCGCGGCCTTGGCAGACGTCCATTAGTGGTCGGCCTCTGTGGGTCTGTACAACCTCTCATCGCCACTAGATACACCATGTCACTCCTCGTCTACACTCGCGAGACTCTGTGTGCCCTGAAATGTCTCGCTATCCATGACGCTGGTGTGCTGGCCACGTTGGTACCCTCCCTCGCTAACGGCACCGTCCGTAACCGCTGCTATTACGTGCGCCCTCCGTCCTTCGCTCAGGCGTGGCCGCCCTCGTGGCGCCCAAGTCAAGTCACACAAAGGCCCGGCCGACCTGCTTCATGTCGTCTCACGTGGGGACGCAGCATTCAATAGTGACGGCATGGGTGCCGTGTTACTTCCTCTATTATTAGGCGCTTCTACTGCATTCTGCCACACCTCGCGTCGACACGGCGGCCCGTCTATGCTGATGCAAACTTACTGTTGCCCCTGAGCCGCTTGCCGAATCGAAAGAAGAGGATGGGAAATCTGTGTTTCTGTGCGTTAGCGACTACCAGATCCACTACATTGGGACGTCTTACGGGGCCATAGCAAGGGCAAGGAATGCGAGCAAGGATGTCGCCCACTGGTATCCAAGATCTTTTCCAAATTAGTGACCGCTCTTTCATCAGGCCACACAGTTCAGAGACTTACTGTTGTACATCTGGACACCAAACAGAGGGAAGGCCGCTGCAAAGTACGACCTTGCAAATGAGTTCGCGGCTAGGGCACTTGCAGCGTATACAGGGTACTGGTCGGCGAGGTTAACATTGTATCAGGCTGTGCCGACTATATCAGGCTGTGGGGCCGACTCGGTGACACTTACTGCTTCGACGAGGAAGGTGAACACTCCTGAGTATACCCAGATGACACTGCAAACGTCAGTTACTAATTTGCAGCGTATGGACATCCTCGACCTACCCAACACCAAAGATACCAGAGAAAATGATTGGGACTGTCGTGTCATGGTCAGCTAGTATCGCATAGTATGCACAGTGGTCATACCTATCCAGTGCACCCTGCAATCAAGGATATTAGCGACGGCCCAACACGTTTTCCAGAAGGGTTTACTTACGAGGAGTACGTGGTCCATCCAAACCCTGCATGAAACGTGATTAGGAGCATGTTAAACGTCAAGGACATGCAACGACTTACCAAAAAGTGCAATTGGGACGACCCAGGCGCCAAGTATTGTCGATGGGAGCCGAAACTCTGGTTCTGAACCACCAGGCTCGCCCCCTTGCGCCTCATGCTGCCGCACGAGCCTGCCGTAGACTCGTCTCCAGATTGGATCGGTAGAGATACCTGTAAGCATGCCCACGAACAGGCCCAAGAATGCAAGACCAACTTGGGACAAGCTGAAACCGTGGTTGGTGCGGAAGACCAATGGGAATGCACCGAAGACTGCGGGAATGTCAGCCGCGGAGCCCCGAAGGATTCAAGGTACTTACAAAGGTACAGAATTCCAAGTAAAATCGCAGAGAGTATGCACAGGCTGAGGCACTGTACACGCGAGTAAGTCCACCAATGAATATTCATGCGACATCGGTTTGCTTACCATTGGCTCAAAGAAGAGGAGTTGAAACGGGCGGATGCATGACCACAGCACCGTCTTAGCAATTGATCGGTCGAGTTTCTCGATAGGCGCGATCCACTCTTGGTTGCCAGTCTCCTTTCGCAGACGAATCGCTTTGCGGCGAAGCAAAACGGGGTGGTACGTTTCAGGCACGAACAACACGATCAGGAAAAGCTAGTGCCTAGTGTCAATGTCTTGCTCGCGTGGTGTGTGGCACTGCCTACCTGGAGTCCGGACCATATGATGAGTACATAGAAGCACCTATTTGACATCAGTACACCGCTCATGTCATGAGAGCACAGTGATCAATGCCCAAACCATACGAGTGAACGACATAAAAAGTAACGTGAGTGGGCAGTAATGACGAATCGACTTGCAGGTGGTGGAACACTGGGTGGGGGGTCTGCGGCACACTTACCATCGCCACGAGGTGTTCTCAACAATGAAGCCACCAATGAGTGGCCCTATTTCTGGTCCGATAAATGGTGATGCCGTATACACCATCATGGGTGCGGATAGTTCCTAGTCCACATTAGCACAATTTATGCCTGAGGACTGCGATCACCAACGTGTTTTGCGAACATGTCTCCTACGGTGCCACCCGCTACACTGAGGAAAGCTGAGCCTGCCAGGCCGTCGAGGAATCTTGCAATCAGCATGGTTTGGATGTTTCGGGCAACAGCACAGGGGATCAGCCAGATCAGGAAGAACGTAAATGAGCCAATGTAGATCGGTCGTCGGCCGAAGAACTGCACCTCATGAGTAAATGCTGATGCACGCTCATGCATACACCTGCATGTTGGCAACGCACCTCAGAAAGGGGACTTAGAACCATCGGTCCTGCACCCAGACCTGCGACGAAGAGCGAGAGGCCAAGCGTGCATACGAGCCGAGAAGATCTGAACTCGGGTTCGATCTGGCTATATGTCGACGTGTATAGGGACGATGTGCAGGTCCTGATGTTCAATAATGTTAGTATGATACTAGTGTGCTTGGTCTTTCAATAAGAGATCTGACTTACACACAGAGCGAACTAGCTGCACAGATCAATACGATAGCCCAACGTCGTAGACTGGACATGCTCCGTGGATTCTCAGGGTCTGCATCGCCGTCGAATGACACCAAGTATGGGTCTGGAGTTACAACACCAGCCTTGGCTCTGTTTGGTCGTTGGCTGCTCTTATCTCCGTCGTGGTGCCATGTGTAGCCATCCGCGCCTGCTCTTGAATGATGCGACTCAAACCTCACCAAACTTCGCCTGTCCTGCGACCGCCGCCCACGGCTTTGTGCTCTCCCAAACGGCACAATATCCTCCTCTTTCGCTGGACGGTTGGTTCCCTCAAGACCTATTACCCTCTCTTCGTCGCCAACTTCTCGCTTTTCGCTAATGTTAGATTCGCTCATCCCGGACTCCTCTCGTATCGAGCTGTCGCTGCTGCTTGTTGATCGTCTCATAGCTGCGCAGACGCACGTCGTTCTTAACGAAGACGATGGCGAATTCTCAGCAATTGATGGAGCACGTATGACTTTAGATGGAGCGTTGACGTTTGGTTAGACATCGACAGTCCGCGCCGTAGCAGGGGCCACTCGGAGCTAACTCGCTTGCACCCGCCTGGAACGCTATCTCCTGATGACAAAACTTCGCCATGACACGTTCGTATGACGAAGATACTGCCGCGCAAGAGAGCTGTCGTTTCAAGATGGATGAAGAGAGACTCGATGAAGAGCGCGACCTGTTACGATGCGCATTGCCGCGCACCAACCAACTATTGCACCACACGTCTTGCAAGCGCGCAGTCGAATCTCGCACGCTTTAGTGAAAAGTGGGGAGGTTGAGCTTGACAGAACAATGGTAAAATCTGGAGTGCGTCATCGCTCCTTTGGAGGGAACATCGTATGGATGCTAATAAACATACGATTGCTTATTGTCTACTGCTTGCTCCTTGCTCTGCATCAATTCTGCCTCTGCGCCCTCTTATTCAGTGCCAGCACAGATTTTTCAATTGTTCCTTCATGCATGTTATGGCGTCTTTTGCTGTTGCAGTCGTGCATCTGCCGCGGTGCATGTCGGTGAGGCTGAGTGTCATGGATATATACTGTTCAGCTTCCAGTACCTGCTATCTACAGCGGTACTGTACCTTTTTGGTCAGTGTAGCACAGTGGAGCTGAGCTGTATGCCTCACAAATATAGACACCTGCAACAAAAGAGCTTGTTGTGTGTAAGACAACAAGCATGTCACGAGTATTTCCCCTTACATGGACCGGCCAGCCCTCAGACGTACTCCGGGGCTGAGCCGAAGGCTCACAGGCTACCTGTATATGTTCCTCACAAACCTTGAGGCTCAGCCATCAAGGATTTGTCTAAATCTCATCCCATTTGCCCTCAGATGGCACCAATCCATCTGTGTCCGCTTGCCTGCCTACAGTGACCTCACAAAGCAAGACACAAAGAAACAATATATTTAGACATGAGATGAATGCGGCTGAAACCAACAAAAAGCCTGCCCCCAGGGCCTGGGTTACTTGGTTTCTGTTGAAGTTGTACTTTAAGCAAAGCTTGGAAGCATGGTTCAGTTGGGTCTCAGGCATGAGTAGAGCGTGGAGGAACAAGGGGGTTGGTCACCTAAGCAAAGCTCGTGGTGGTCAGGGGTAGTTGCCTAGTCAAAGACCGTGGCAGTTGGTAGCAATGAGTAGTACAGAGTAGACTGTCTGGCTCGAGAGCAGATGAAATTCCGATAACAAAGTTGATTGACAAGGTTGAATATGATGCCATAAGGGCAGCGTGTCTACTTGCTATATACTGTATGAGACGGTACTGCTCAAAGGTGAGCAGTCCGAGTTGATCCAATGATATTGTTGTTCACTATTGAACAACACATCATGCTCACTATCAAGCAATCACGTGTGTCATGCTCAATAATGAGCAGTCACGTGCTGTTGGTCTGTCGAGGCATGGTTCCAATGCAGCCTTGCTTGTGCGTAGTTGCTATGTCTGGTTGGTGGTTACTTATTGCAGGTCGACTGCTGTGTGAGACGCAGGATCATAACAGTTCCTTTACCGACACAACAATGTGCTTACGTCCCACTGGACCTCCACTGTCACGGGACTGACGCGGACCCTACAGCCCTTTGCGGCTACTGTAAGCGAATGGCGCAAGCCACTTGTCTACTGCCTTTCCTGTACATAGTCCTCGGTAGCCTGCTGCAGGTTGCGCCTTGTGCAAAGTCTTGTAATCCTACCTAAATACTACTGTTGCAGACCGTGTTCGGTCTGCCTGCTTGAATACCGTCCCCATCAGCCCTGTAGACAACCATACGAAGCCGTTTCCTGACAACATCATCCACATATGTAGGACAGCATTTGTCTAAGATTTCCCATAGTAACCAGTTTATATATCTCTGGAAGGTACTTGGTGCATTGACCAAACCAAACAGTGTTACCAACCACTTGTACAGTCCAAAGCAGGTTCTGAATGTTGTCTTCCATTTGTCACCTTCTGTTACGATCTTGTGGAAGGCTTGCACAATTTCCACTTTGGTGAACCACTTTACCCAGGAGACTTGGGATAGTGTTTCCTTGATTAATGGCAGTGGGTAGCAATCCTTCTTTGTAATTGTGTTCAGGCCTCAGTAATTAACACAGAAACATAGTGTTGAAGTCGTGTCTTAGGCAAAGCTCGTAGTCACTATTCGATTGGTTCTCAAGGATGAGCGGAGGCACAGGAAATCGTCAGGGGTTGGGGTAACTAGTAGTCGGGACTATAATAGTCCTTGCAATAGTCAGGGGTAGTGTGAGGTCACTGTAGGCAGGCAATCGGAAGCAGGATGGATTGGTGCCATCTGAGGGCAAATGGGATGAGATTAGACGAATCCTTGATGGCTGAGCCTCAAGGTTTGTAGGGAATATATATAGATGGCCTGTGAGCCTCCGGTCCAGCCCCGGAGTACGTCTGAGGGCTGGCCGGTACATGTCAGGGAAATACTCGTGACAGGTAGTCGTCTGTTCAAAGGCTGTGGCGACTGGTAGCAATGAGTAGTACAGAGTAGACTGTCTGGCTCAAGAGCAAGTGAGATTCCAATAACAAAGTTGATTAACAAGGTTGAACACGATGCCATAGGGGCAATGTGTCTACGTACTATATACTGTCCACCCGATCTGCTCACTGACGAGCGGATTTGGTCCTGATCTATCTGGACTGGTTGTGGTTTGTTGACGAGCGCTTCACGTGACCCTGCTCGTTGACGAGTCTTTGTGTGGTCTGCTCATAGGCGAGCAACCCCTGTTGTCCCTAGGCGCCGGCCGGGCGGCCTCAGTGTGCTGCGCCTTCCTCCAGGTCTTCGCGTCAGTCCAGCTGAGGGCAGAGGTCAGAACTGGAAGGACTGGAACAAGCAAATTCTCAATGCTGCCACCGCAATTGACGCCCGGGGTATCATCAAGGGCGACACACCAGCCCCAGGATTTCAGGACAATGACTTATGTTGGGAGGAGATGACACTCCGCAGGCCACAGCTCACCACAGAGATGGACACAGACGCCATTCAGAAGGAGCTTAAGGCCGCAGAAGAGTACAACAAGTACATCCGCCCTCTTAACAACGACAAGTGCACCGAGAAGTTACGCCGCAAGCAGGAGTATGGCCACTGGCACACACGAGATGGGCATCTCGTGTGTGCCAAATTCTACTCACTTTCTGCCCCTTGAGAATAGCTACCGATTTGTTCCATAATAATGCCATATCTAGGCAACACATCAGGGCTCCGGAAGTGACCCTTACATCGGAAGCCTACACTATAAAATCGGTCGTCAACAAGAACAGGACCCGCGTCGTTTGGCGAGAGCGCTGAGCTGGCTGGACTCTTTACTCGACCTGCTTGGTCTTTCAACATTGTGAATCCAGATATGGATTAATGTAGCGGCGTGGGCAGCTGTAGCACACTGATAGCTACAATAAACGATAGCGTAGGACTATCGAGTCGATGGAATACTGCGCTTAGTTGCTATCTAACTAGGAGAAGGCTATATATACTGGCCCTGGAACGTGCCAGTCCAGAACAGTCTAAGCAAGGGTAATCGGGTCTCGTACGGACCAGCTGATACCGCAACAATTAATGTTGCAGTACAGTGAGGCTGAGTATAAACGGACCGATATGGTACTCCTTCATACGATTACAGTAACACAACAGTTTCACGGTCAAAACTCCGTCCTCACATTATTTAAACACGCAGCTTAGTTCAATTCAACTTAAGTGAACCTCAATTTCCATTGCCCGATCCCAATTGCACCCAGAACCGTCATAATTGATGTTGCCTCGATCAGAGCAGCTACACAACTGGAAGAACTTCTCACACTCCTGGCTCTTAGAAAGAGGAGTAAAGGCTGCGAGATGATCATCCTGCATGACCTTGATAAAGAGTATGGTTCATGGAGTGAGTACGAATTCCAATTCGCTTGTGTTACGTAGCAACTGTATGTGTAAGAGGTGTAGATTCAATGGTAGGAAACAACATAGCTGCTAAACTGCAAGCATCATCGGTGAATATTTGGTGGAATAGATTGTGAAGGGAAGGACCATCACAGTGGATCAGGGAAATCACACAACAATGGACTTGACGTCGACGATGACGGAGGTTTCACTTTTGTCTGCTTTTATCGGCTCTGCGATGTGTAGTAAGCCTCCTTTACGAGAACTGGCTTTTGTATGTTAATTGGCATTTGCTAGTTGCAACCACTTTGTAATAACCTACACTAGACAAGAAGATCATGCTAGAACGGGACTGTCAATCTTTTGTATGTAAGGGGTGAGCTTCATGTCCAACCCTTCTCGTTTTACGAACCACCTGAAGACCGTCAGCGTATCTTTCGGAAAGATCGGGGGCATTGGGAAAGCGTACCAACAGTGCTGCTCTGGCTTGTCCTTCGGGTGCGCCAATTCGATGTCGAAGCGCATGAGAAGTGAAGGGACAAGTTTCGTCATTTCAATCCAGCTCAGGTCTAGAGAAATGTTAGCACGTACTGATAGGAAAATTTGTCTCAAAACAACATACTTCTTCCAATGCAAGTGCGCGAGCCGCTCCCGAAAGCAAAGAAGTTGCGGTCTGCGGATCATGTTAGTCTTGCACAAACAGACCAAGGCGATGCGTACCCATCTGACTTCGATCACCCTTCAACCACCGCTCCGGGCGGAAGACGTCGCAATCTTCACCAAAAATCTCTTTTTGCCTGTGGATGACCCAAGGATTGGCACCGATGATGGTCTGACAAGACATTAGTTCCGAACTTTAGCAACTGAAAGGTGAAACTTACGCCAGCCGGGAGGAAGACCCCCTCGATTTCGAAACCTTCCTGCGGCACAACTCTCGGCAATGACATGCCGACTGCCGGATGCATTCTCAAAGCCTCATAGATGCACGCTTGCAGATAAGGCATGGCATGACCGACCTTGAATGGTATGTTCTCCATTGGACTCAGCCCCTCATTCTGCATGACTTCTCCGATCTCCTTCAATAACTTCTCTTTGCAAGTAGGATTCTTGCATAAGTTGTAAAGTACGGCGCCAATGCTGATTCCAGTAGTGTCACTGCCAGCGAAGATGTTGCTTGCCGCCATACTAAGCACACCATTGTCATCGAACTCTTCTGGCTTCTGCTCTTTGACATCCATGAGTGCGCGCAGCATGTCGTGGTGATCACTCCCTCGGCCCTTGCGTTCATCGCACTCACGAGCAGCAAACTGACGCAGTGAACCATTGCGATTGTTCACACCAAGGTAGTTGCCAATGTAAGGCATGAAGAAGTCGTGAAGCCAGTACAGCCAAGGAGTCTGGCCGATCCAGGCAGCCGAATGTAAAGCTGAGTTGATGGCAGAGAAGGAGCCATCATCTTTGCCGGCGGCAAGGAAGCCAAAGCGACGTGAGAACGTGACCTCACCAATAACATCTGAATCACATCAGCCAGCTCCCGAGTCTGTCATGTGAGTACGCATTTACCAAAAGCGAACATCTGAGCCCACTTCCCCATGTCAACAGCACCCTTCTTCCCTACCTCACCCAACCTCTCCAGGAACAATGTCAACGTACTATCAACGTACGGTTCCATTTTCTTCAACTGATCCAGACTATAGATATTACTAACAAGCCTCCTCTGCTTGCCATGGACTTTCTCATCCCTCTCCCCAAACAGATCAAACGTGCGATGACCTTGCCAGACCGAGTACCAACCACTCTTGCGGAACTTCGATCCTGCGCCGTAGATAGTTTTGATGGCCGCTGGATCCGAAATGCTGACTTCGTTAGGTGCTGTGCGCACGAGCTTGCCGTACTTCTTGTGCAGTTCAATCATAGTCGTGTGCATGTCGCCGGCGCGTGAGTGCTGCACCATCCATATTCGTGAGAAGCGAGCGGATAGAGGGCCAGGGATTTTACTAAGAGGGTTAGTGAACAAGGTGTAGGCAAGGGCTACTGCGCCCAGGGCGACGACAACGGGGATGAGATTGCCCATGTTGTCGTAAACATTGAGTGTGAGTTGGGAATTTGCGTCTTGAAGAGAGCTCTAATTGCTATGCCCGAGGGTTGTTGCTTCCGCGTTCCGCGTTCCGAACCTTCATGGTGATAATGTGAACAACTGGAGATCCCGAATGTGGAGAAGTTGACGTCATGAGCTCGGCCGAACTTCACGACCCCGCATTTTGCTGCCGGCAGATGGACACGAGGGAACTGTTCACATTTCGACAGTTGTGAGATTGATGCAGTACAAAAAAATTTGGTAATTTTCCAATTCTTTTTCATTCAGGCAGCAAATATTGCTGATGTCCATTGATACTCTTTGCACCTTCTTGACAAATGAATCTCCACCTGACTCACTAAAACGCGTTCACCAAAACCATATTCATTAGTACCATGCCTATCAAACCCGTAATAATAATAACTTTTGTACTTGCACAAAGCAGGCAACCGATCTCATGGCCACCAATGATCCAATTAGGATGGAACGACCCTAGCCCTTCTATACATTTCGCTGTTCACGCCGAAAAGCTATATGCTGAAGTCGCATAAGTTCGCCGAACAGCCATTTGGCGATCTGTGTCTCCCGGCAGATGGAAGGAGGAGGACAAGCGATAAGGAATCAAGCGGTCATTTGCAATCATTAAGGAGCGAGAAGAACTGGTCTACTACGCAGATGCTATCTACCAAACGGTGCGTGCCAGATTCGATCAAGCCTGCAACAAGGGTGACGAGATGTCTCTGAGGGTATCACACTACGTTGTGACACGGGCCAAGAGTCTTCTGAAGCAATCGAATCACCGGTACAAAGGGGTGCTCATCGTGGACGAATTTCTTGAGTTGTCGGGATAGGAAAATTGGATGATGCGCTTCTAGAAGATGATGAAGATACTAAGGAGTATGTAAAGGGCCTCACGCTTCTATTCTGTCTGGACAGGCGAGAGAAATCTGAATCTGAGCATGCGCGCGTTATTGATAGCGACAGGAGGCATTGCGCTTGGGATCATGACACTTTAGCTTTGTAGTGCAGCAGTGTTATTGGCCGTAGCTCGGTAACAACACGATATGCAAGAGATTTCTTTTCAGTCTTCGTGGGAATCCGCTCGCCTTGTTGCCCAGTCACCCAGTCACTGGTCGTGATTTCCTCAAGTGTTGTAGCCGGCTTTTTTTTTTTTTTTTTTGCTTTCCAAGAGAGAAGATAGGGATAGAAGGATCATCAACACACAGTAATGCCAGGCTTGTCAGAAGTTGGAGGAGTATGTCACTTAGTGTTACTGCACGCGGCGGTAGAGGTTTTGAACATAAAGGACAAGCAAAAACAAATCCGCAAGCACATTGAGCAACAAAAGGCCAAACTTCGAGATCCAGAGAACACATTTCGTCTACATGATGCAGCAGTGGAATCTGTCCTGCTATACGAACAGCGTGAGAAGCAGACGAGTCGATAGCCCTACGTTATTGTTTACCGTAGCTATCAGTATTCTACAGCAGCCCACGCCGCTACATATTCTTAGGTACTAGACCCTGACCCATACCTTTACCACCACTCACAGCCTCTGCTTCTGCCAAGCCTGTTATCATAAATAGCATCACTGTCATGAACCCACTACTCTTCCTTCACCTACCACGTTCTAATATAGTATTGAGCAACACTGTTGCCAGTAGGGAGACCATTATCATCCCTATTAGAACCTGCCTGCCTACACGGTAAGTGCGATACCTATATCACCTAGATCCCAAGTCAAACATTTGGTGGGGTCTCACATACTCAAAAAGAGGAGGGGGTCAGCAAATACTACAAGTCACCAATAAGATCTGCCTCTATCTCTATATGGAAAACCACACCAGGCGTATTGAGATGCTCGAAAAGATCAAGACTTCGCCAGAGTCTGCTCCGTACTTGCAAGCCAAGCAGTAAGATTTGGACGATGTGGCATGAGGGTCCAACGCGGATACGAAGAAAGTCTCCGAGTCATTGAGCTGCTGAAGCCAAAGTTGAGGCTACCAGACAGATCAAGGCACAAGCTCAGCGGCTACTAGAAGACGCTCAGAGCATGGAAGAGGAGCAATTGCGTGACAAAGCTGAGCAGGAACAGACCTTTACTCATATCCAAGAAGAAGCTTGGCGTTGGGTGGAATTACGGCGCAACTGGCGAGCAGCAACAGTACAAGATCACATAGACCGTTACGTTGGCGGCTGTGACATTGCTTGGCTCAGAGACTGTTTTGTTTATAGCAAAGTGCAAGATATTCTTCAAAGAGGCAACGCAGCGGTCTATCAGCACTGAGTAGCCATACTGAAAGCGGTAATGTTTTAACGACATGGTGGCAGTGATAGTATTCGAGAAATTGTGTCTTGGAAAAAGAGTCCAGGTGTATGGTTTTGTTAGCAAAGCCTGTTTTCAGTGTGAGATGGAACAGCGAGAGGAATTGCATTCGCCATATCGAATGGTCCATTTATAGATAACACTCTGGTTCCCTGCTACGTGCGTATGGGCTCTCTGTAAATGTCACCGTGATCGAAAACGTCAAGCTGTCCCAAGAACTTATCGTGATGATGAACAAGAGAGAGCGCCCCTCACTATTCTCCATCATGTCATGCCACTAGATCTACAGAGACAGGCGAACATCATATCTATGGAGCAAGCCAAGCAAAGATGGGTCTCCAAGACCATAGTCTCCAGATTATCCACCAATCAGAACCACACAAACATGTACACGCAACAAAACACTCCGAACATCTCAAGTACTTGAACGTCCCAAATTCCAAGCCGTTCCCTCAACAAGGCTCCTAGCAAACACTAAAACTCCAAAATGGCGATCTCATCCCTCACCAACACCCTAATATCCGCCTCCCTCATACCCTCCCCCATCATCCCAGCCAACTTCACCCCCTCCTACACCCTCAACATCTCCTTCCCCTCCAAATCGCCATCAAATGGCTCCCTAGTCCGCGTCAGTGACGTCAAAGAGAAGCCCAACGTAACCTTTTCTGCGACCTCAGACTCCGCCTCAGCGCAATCCTTCACATTCTTCCTCATCGACCCGGATGCGCCAACCCCTGATGATCCAAAATTCGCATACTGGCGCCACTGGGTCGTTACCAACATCCCCTCAACCGCCAAGGAGATCAGTGAAGGCAAGACGCTGACGCAGTACCTTGCGCCCGGACCGAAGGACGAGAGTGGACCGCATCGTTATCTGTTTCTGCTATTCAAGGAGCCGGAGGGTTTCAGTATTGAGAAGAGTGATGTTGGGGGTGAGGAGTTCGTGGATCGCAGGAGTTTTGAGGCAAGGAAGTTTGCGGAGAGGTATGGGTTGGAGCTTGTGGGTGTGCAGTGGATGAGGGGCGTTGGTGATGGGTGGAATGGCGGGAAAGATGAGTTGTAGGGGCTATGGGGGTGGAGTTGGCATGAATATGAATCGATACGAGTCTATGCACGAGGCGTGTTAACCAATGGACGTCACGTGATCATTGCGCTGATGCAAGTCGCTTGACGTATCCACTTGCCTGTGGCTCAATGCAAGTGCCAAGTGTATGTTAAATGCAACGTTGGACTAATTTGTATGCCAGAGTCTGACGGCTCACAATTGCGAGACAAGTGAGTGAATGTAGTATGGTCATAAGGTTCATTCATCTTAGCAATTGGATGCTCCATCGGTCTAGTAAAACTCCAGAACACCGTGTAGAAACGCTCGGATGCAAAAATGTCAAATCATGCTATGCAAGTTGTCGTGAAAGAAGCCCGTGCTCATCCTCACCGCTCATCCAGCCTCTCGTCAATCTTTTCGGTCCGCATGCCTCTTCGGATCGTTTTCTTTGTACAACAGCATACGAAACTCTGGCTTGGGATATATGAACTGAAATCAGGCGTTGGTAGGACTGGTGGGGTTGGAGAAGTTGGGTGTTGCTGGTGCAGAGTAGCCCTGCGTCTGCGAGACCGGCTCGCAGACTGTGCGGTGCGCTTTCCAGGATGACTTTTGGCAGGCTTTGTCGCAGTAGTATGCGTTCTTGCAGCGTGAGCAACGAAGTCTGGCAGTTTGGCCGGAGCATGTTGAGCAAGCTGCGATGTGTTGTTAGCCGTTAGTTCTTTGAATGTTCGAAAGGCTGAGGTAGCGTTGTTGCAGGCATCAAGTGGTCAGGTTGGTTGCCTTGTAACTCGAACACGCTAGCCCACAAAGGGGTAATAGATCGGGTTCCTGCAGATTGGTGCATAACGTACGTTTGGAAGCGAAAGCAAAAGCGGAGTTCAGACTCTCAGTCGAAGCTGCTGGGCGCAAAGAAGTGAAGAAGTCTGCGCGGTTGAACGCTGGTGGTGGCGACGTTGAGGCTGAGGAAGGGGCGATTGACCCTGAGGACGATCGGCGAGCGGTGTCTGCGTTTCATGTCAGTCGGTGCGACAACATGACAACGACCTTTGAACAGAAGCTCAGAGGATCAGGATGGAAGGTTACCATCATCAGGCAGGCTCTGCGCAGAGTCCCTCCTCCCAAAGGTGAGTTCATGTGGGTTGACCTCTCGTCCTTCCCTCACCGCCGCGCCGGCCTCGCCAAGACTTGTGGTGAAGACATTCAAGCATACACTTCGAGGCGGCATTTCCTATCTCTTTCTAGTACAGTGTTCCTTGCCCTTGCTGATTCGAAGGTGTCGAGTTTGAGTGCGATTTTAAGGGGAGACAGGAGTTTAAAAGGAAGTTTATGTTCTGCAGGTCGCAAAATAAGATTCCTGAAGTTGCGGTGAAGCCAGCACACGGATTACGCGCTAGCGAGGAAAGGGTTAATGGCTGACCAAAGCGCAGAACGCGCGGTCATGTGTCTCAGACAATTGTGCGGTAAAGACAGGATAACAAGACGCATCTTGCGAAAGTGTAGGATTTGACGACGATAATGAATTTGGAGTGGAGTCTGTAGGGGAACATTGCGTGAAGCTATTCGTTAGTCTACACCGCAAGCGCGACCAAGCGCGACCAAGCGCCAGATCGGAGAAAAGCAGTGCAGGTTTCCGATCGCTTGATATGGATTAGGGTTGCTTATGTTGCAAAAGCAAAACGAGTGATGCAACTCCTTGACCGACATTGAGGTTCAAGCGTTTTGACAGACAGGAGAATGTGGGGTGCAGCTGATGGCATCGTGAGCATGCACTACGCGTCTGTCAGCATATGAGCTGAGGGCAGGCGGCTGTTTGGCCAGTCGAGTAAGCCCATGCTACAAGGGAGGCAGTGACCTGCCAAAAAGGCAAGACTTTGGTGCATGATATATGCTGATCAAACAAAGACGTGCGAAGGACGTTGTGTACATGCAGAGATTAGGTAAGCTGGTCAATCTAGCACGGCGTACGCTCAGATGTCCCTCGACCTACAATGTTGCTTCGCCCTCGACTCAATGGTGTGTAATCAATCGCCTTTCAGCTGTCATGCGAACGACCTACGCTGGGTAAGAGGCATGAAGGAGACCGGTGAACCCATAGTCAGCCGATTCTCTCACAACTCGGTCACTCGATGCGGACGTTGGAGCACCGGTTGTCTAAAGTCGTTCGAACGAACCACATTCGACAAGGTTGAGAGTCCAGCTTAAGCAAATAATTGCAGGGGGTCGTCGACAACACATCCTCATGACGAACTGCTAGAGCTGCCACATCAGCTAGTCAAGATCATAGCAATCTGCAGTAGCCCGCCATTGCCTGCTCCATCACCGCTCCAGTAAGGCATGAGCGATACCTCAGATCTCGTCCATGGGTATGGTAGGGCAAATTAACCTGATCGCCCTGAGGATATCATGAGCCCTCATACACAGTGAACGAGCGTGGAGGAGCTCAGGTCACAAGAACGCGGGTCTTCGAGCGACGCAACGTGTCTCCCATGGTCGGTACTGTCGCACTGCCGCAACGTGGCATCGAACATGGCACTCGGCACAACACAAGGCAACTGACACATACAACGAACGTTAGTATTTACATCCCATTGCGTGTTGACAGGGCGTGCTTTGTCTCGACCGTTCCGTCCAGTGAGGTCTGTCGTTTCTACCAGACCTTGGCATCAGTGGAGATGGGAGAGACGGGAGTGGAATGCGTCAGCTTGAGGTTATCCAAGTCTGCTCGGCACACTTGAGCCAGGGTTTGGCGGGGTTGGGAGTGGGTGAACAGCGGAATCGTCCAACTAGCCACATGGAGGCAAAGGTATTAGCCCTTCCGGTAATCCGCTGGTTCGCAGCTTCACAGCCCTAGTGACGTCTGCAGAGTCACGCTAGAAGGCACGAAGTTCTTCGGCCAAGCAGTCGTGAGGGAAGGGTCAGCTGCTTGGAGATGTCTAGACTCGGTAGCAAAGCGACTTAATTGTCAATCTCTTGTGTAACATGCGGGGCGGGCCGATCAGTGAGGAATTGGAGCCATACTTTGGTCTCCCCAGATGCGCTCCTTTGGGAAGTACGGGCGTTGACTCACCGATGGCGCAAAGAGTACACCGAGGCCAACAAGTCGAAACTGTCGATAAGCCATCTCGAGGACTTGTTCAAAGTTGCCTCCAAGGCTGAATCGAGGAAATTATGTTCTGTAATCACGGCAGACGTAGCCCTACGGAGAGACCACCCAAATGCCATTCAGCTCGGCAAGGGTGCGCGAACTGCTATTAAGACTTAGGACATGTAATGCTTTACCGGAATGGAGCCCAATTGACAAATCAGATCGGTTGATTTTCCGGTCAGACGAGAGCAGCATCGTTACGTTTGGTGTGTCAAGCGATCATCTGCAGGGCGTCTGCAGCATGGGCAGGGAGTGGCCTAGGCTCGAGTAACAATCGATGAGTCTTGAAAAGACCTACGATGTTTCCAGCCACGCTCGCGCCCTCGCAATCAGTAGCCAAGAGGTGCAATGAAAGGGCGCAGGGGGAGCGTTGATGTATGAAAGGCGTGGTGGTGGGGCAGACCGGCCGGTGCTGGGTGACACGGCAACAAGTGCACTTCGCAGTGCAATTGATCGATGCGTACGTGCTTGACACTGAGCGTCACGCATGCAGACTTGCGCAATTGAGAGGAGACACGATGTACAATGCCTGCACAGGTGTGGCAGTGCGGTACGGTGAGACGAGAGAGAGGCTGCGCAAAGGTGCAGGGTGAATGATGAAAAAGGTGGGGTGCAAAGAGGCACTACGCTCGGAGGAAAGTAGCGCCTGTGGCTGATGCCTCAGAAGCGCGAGATAGACAAGGCAGCAAACCACGCCAACACCATCGACATGCGTGAACGGGATGCCATCTCAGGGTAGAAGTGTCGAATCACGATGCGCTCAGCATGGCAACTGACCTCTCTGGTTGCGCAATGAGTAGCTTACGCTCGCACTTCGAACATGTTTGCGTATCGCGCTCAGGAGTCAAACCGGGCGGCTGCTGGCGCACTTCTCGACTGACATCCGTTCACCTGTTTCATGAAGCCAGACTTCACCATCTCCGCTGCCAACAATAGCGCACTCTGGCGGCAGTCGTTGGACGGCGTTCTGACCTCCGAGCATGCCAAACGTCTCTAGCTTCCTAAGTGTTTGTCGTCATGGGTAGAGAGAGTTGACCGCCCTCGCTAGCAGACCCGCAAGCTTAGCCCTGCTGGTGGGTGCCCGCCGCCAGACAAGGGCGCAGACCCCTGCCGCCTAAGGATGCATCCTTAGCTCAGGCTGCCATCCACACCTGCCCAGCTGCGGCCACCAAGACTCGAGAAACTTATATTGATCGAAGTCCGCACCCATCATGTATCCTCGCAGACCAACTATCACCACCAACTCAACATACAATTTCAGGCTCTGGACCCGAACATACTAAGAATCAACTAAGTCACTCTCTCTGGGAGTGACTTCATCAACGCCTCTCTGTCTCCACTTGGCAACAACGTCACAACGGCGTCCTGGCTACACTCCTTACTGAAGAATCCAAACACCACCACAATGCCTTCCGTTTCTCGACACGTTATGCCTACGGTCATTCACTCCAAGCCCGTCTCCTCCAAGAAGGAGCGGGTAGTTGGCTTCATGAAGGACCCCGTCCAGTCTGTCTCACGCCCAGTACATAACACTGAGAGCTGGGCACTGTACAACTTCGAGATGCACGCTCGCAAGTGTGCATACTGCCATGACCCATACGAAGTCCACCGCAGCCACGACCAGCTCTGTGAACTCGGACACCGCCTGGCTCAGAACGTCGCTTCCTACATCTACAACAAGGAGGGCAAGTCTTTCTCCACCAAGGAAGAGGACAACAAGATAGTTCAGGTGGAGATCCCATCTGGTTACATTGAAGTCAGCGGCCTCTTGAGGGCCATTGAGCGCAGCTTATGCCACAGGTCACGCCGACCTTTTGTCTCTATGGACCGCAGCTATCACGTCGCTCCTCGCACACCTACCCTCCCCGTGCGACAAAAGTCCGTGAAGGTTGAGCACGACCCCAAGCCAAAGACCAAGTCTTCCCGGCCACGTTCTGGCGAGGTTGTTGACTGGCCAGACAAGGTCGAGATCAGCAACTCCAGCTCTAGGCGTGGGTCTCTGTACGAGGAGGATCTAGCAAAGAAGCGACGCAGCGCGAAGTACAATGTCGAAGTCCGAGAGCCTTCCGCTCGTGATCTGCGCGAGCACCGCCTTTCTGGCTACTACCGCTGAACGATCACATGAATGTACGACGCACGCTACAACTGAACCCTGACGCAAGTTTGGTACGCCAACGACACACAATCACCTGCCACGGTAACGGCCATCTGCACAGCAACGCCCGCTGAAGCCTCCGCACCAATCCGCGACGACCGCTGCACATGCACACTACGATTACAGTTTTGCTTGCATTTCACAATAAGCTTTGCTGCTATTTGGAACACGTGGTTTGGCGCAAGGATAAGGTTTACCCTGAAAACGGATAACAAAGGCTTTGCGAGCACATGGTACACTCCACCTTCGAGGTGTTGAGGGGAGGACGGATGACGAAGGATATGATGTAAGAAAGCAAGAAGGCAATCAGTCTAGAGGAGATTACGAAAAATATGTTTGACGAACTCGAAAACTTGGACTTCACATCACTGTGCCATCATGCATTTCCTCATCTGTGATCCGTGATCCGTGATCCGTAGGCCGTGACGTCCGTTGCCACGCCTGAAATAGCACACTAATAATTGGGGGCTAAAACATCAAAATACACATGACACAATGAGCTTGCAATCTCACCAACACCAAATCTTGACGAAGACATGTGATTTTGCAAGGCAGAACTCGCGCTCCGGCAGTTGCATATCGACGTGGTGTTACTCTGAGACAGTCACACACCCTCTGACTCCAACCCGGTTCTTGTTCCTGCGGTGCAACACCAGGCGAGCTCGCAGCCACGCCCGCAACACTCATGTGCCAAACATGTGCCATCTTCCCCCCAAATCAAGCCAGCTACCACGTCGATCAGCCGGCTCGAGCCATCAAACACGAGCATCAGTACCCTGAATGTACACACCCTTACAGTGAATCATGGCCCGTCCCGCGACTCCGCGCCTTCATGATTATGTCGCCAAAAAGGTGTAATCCTGCTGCGCTCTTTGTGCAACATTCATGTCAAGGACGGCAAAAATCTTGCAATGTACACGCTGACTGCATACATCTTGTAAGGAATAGTGATGTCGACGGCTTATCGTCCAAACAAGATCGTGAAGGTGTGGAAGGCGGGGCAGACGTCCGGGTCACCAACCACGCCACTCTTCCCCTCTTCATCAACAACATCAATCTCGAAAACTCCATGCCAGACGCGCTCATCTCGAGCCACTCACAACCTCCGCGGCGCATCCTTCGTTGCTTCAACCCATTGTCAGATCAGCACCCAACACAGCAGATGTGAGGGTGGACACGTCGCTTGCCAGCCCAGGATACCGTTGCTGGCAGAATAACGAGAGACCAGAATCCACTCTTGAAGCCTCACGATGCCCAACATTGCTGCGTGGGGAACACGAAACAGTAGAGTTTTGTTGATCGTGTTTGCGCGTCTTTCCTGTACAGGGTTGATGTGGTGAAGTGGCACAAGTATAAGACCGAGAGACGCGTGGGAACGTGGGAGGAATGCCTGGTGAACGACCGACAGAGGTACCTCGGCGTGCGCGTCAATTGAGTGAGGCGAAGACGAGGTTTGCGAAGAGATGTTTGCCATTGTTGCACATGATTTTCCTTCCGATCGCACGTTTGTGATGTTGGTGAAGCACCAATTTGCAGTGCAATTGCACTTGTGCAGTCCAGAATGCACCACCATAATTTGCAGCGCCCAAAGCACCTCACAACCTCGACATTACAGCGGCAGCAGTGGATCCTCCCCTTCAACTCGCATATCAAACATACCAACAGCCAACTGTCAAGTCGTGTCAACCCGTCAATTCAGGAACATCCTTGCGCCCACGCCGTTAACCCCCCTTCCACTGCTAGTCGCGATAACTGCAAGGATGTCAACGCACCTGTGGACCCTGCTCTCCATCTTCACCGACTTCTTCCCACCGGTCCATCTGCACGCTGCAGCGCGCACGCACTCTAAGTGGGCCACCAGCCTCACCGGTGGCCCACTCTGTCTGCTTCCGTGTGAACGACGTTATGAAGGTGGATCTCCGGGCGCGCCCGCAGCCACGCCCGCATCCAACCCACTCACCAGATCGCTGAAACGCGATTATCATTGCGCGTACTGACAACTGTCGCTGCGCGTCCCAATCTCTCAATAAGTGCGCCGACGTGTGCTATTGCGCTCTCAGCTGTATCCCAGTATACCACTATTACCAACCTCTGCACTTTATCATCGTCCACGGGAGAACGCTGCTACCAAACACAGGGGCTATGCTCGCTCCCTCACTGACAAAAGGGCCCCCTGCAATTGGATGAACCGGTAACTGCGCGTTTGAAGTCGCGATTGGTGACGTGTTGCCGGGGAACGCGAGGCGCAGCAGGGCTGAGTGAACGAGCGTTCAGCCACTTGGCAAACACGTGAACGCGGAAATTGGTGGTGGCTCATGTCCATCGCATCCATCGGAAATGACGTTCCAAGATTTTTTGGGGGCCTTTTCACGGTCTGGACATCCGAAGTCCGAACCGGCGTTCGTTGGTGCGCGCGGATGGTGGGAAGATGAAGTTGGGGGCCAGGATCACGTGGGAGCTTGAAATAGCGACAGACGCTATGGGAGATCGGCTGTTCGTCGCTGCGCCGCAGGAGTTCGTTTCGATCGTTTCGAGGAAATGATGGGCGGCAAATGAGGGGGAGGTTTTCTGCCAGACGTGGCTTGATAGGTACGTGTTTTGGAGAACTGCTTACGACACAGTGCGAATGGTTCATGGTTGACGGCGTTAATGAACCCATGTCCGAGCTATTTGTGGCCCAAATGCGTGCAGACGCTGCTTGTATGCACTGTCTACATTGGATCTAAACGAAGAGTATGGTTGCGCAACGAGTCTTGAGGCTTTCAGTGAAGAGCGAGGGTTCTTTGGACACAGGATCTATCACGGCTTTTTCTACAACGATGACATAAGACACGTACTTGATAGGGGCTTGAATTGTCAAAATATGCTAACATTCTTCAAGTATTATTATTGTCTGTTGGAGATGAGAATGCTATGCTGCCACTAACGCCGAGAACAAACGCTTCGCAATGCCATAATCACTGTCTAACAGCGTCTACACCATGCTCTCTCCTCCGTCCGCCCTGTCGCCAGTACTGACTCTTGGCTCCCCTTCTCCGTCCAGGAGTGGTGCGTACCCGTTCTTCATTCCGGTCTTCGAACCAGAACCAAATTGATAATCCCTCCCAAACTGGAATCCTCCCATCGAAAACGAAATTGAACCACTCTGACACTGCGGACAGCTTGTTGGGTAACTCTGTACACCCTGGAGTGCTTGATTGAGCTGACCAAGTACAAAGTAGAGATGTATTAAGCTGCCCCACCATTAGCATTAACGGTTTAGGATGGAGGTGGGGGGACTTACAAGTTGCAGATCAAGAAATTCGTCCCATACGTTCCCAGTATTACGCCATGCTCACGGTAGGATCCCATGAACACCCATGCGAGTATCAAACAGACCAGCAGACCTGTTCCAATCAGGAAATCAAGGATGAAATGGAAGGGCGTGCCGGTGAGACCGCCTGCTTGACATCCGCATTGTTTCTCGTTGGAAAGCAAGAGAGCAGCATACGCAGAGGAGAAAAAGAGAGGCACGAGACCAATGGCTGGGTTGACTTGCTCCAGAACGAGGCCTGATATGAGTAGGATGATGAAGGCGGGTGGGAATGCGGCGAGAGAGATGGCGCGGAGAGCGTGGGGTGTGGATTTCTGAAAGACTGTGAAGGTGATCATGATGTGGGGCCAAGTTGCTGTACTTGATGGATTTTGTTGAAGGTAGAGCGGAAGAGACTGTGTTCTTAGTCATTTATATATGCCATCAGGCAACAATATTGGGTCAGGCCTCCAGCGGCCCCGTGGCGTAGAAGGTTATGTTGGAGGCCAAGGTGAACACTCGACCATGTCTGGTCAGTACCCACAATTTGACTCTAAGAAAGAACAGTAGGATGCTTGAATGGGCGTTGTTCAGTTGATCTTTGCATTCTTCGATGTTTACGGGTGCGATGCAGAAGGCGCAGCAAGGATGTGCGGGTGGCCTTGAGGCGGAGCTCGGCAGCGTTACGCAAGGCTGACTTCCATCAACGATTTGCCGTAGTACAAGGAAAACATCGAGGCTTCAGAGCACGTATCTGGATCGACTGATTGATGTGACCGCTTCTAAAACGATCGTTATTAGCTTTTTCTCAACATCAACGTCCTTGTGGTACTTTGTCAGATCTGGTAGTTGGTCAGGCTCAAACTTGTGCGCATGCTCGAAGTTCTTGTTGCGCTGATAGAACTCCACATCCGGCGATCGATAGGGTCGGCGAATTTTTTTCCTCCATGCTTTCTCTGGGAGTCTACTCTTGGTTAACCTAGTTTGATACCTCCTCTGTTCACGTATGCATTCTCGTAGAGCTTCGTAGCCGCGTCTGTAGCCATATCAAGCCACATTGTTTCCATACAGTCAGGCCTACACGCCGGAACTCATTATCTGTGTTGCCAGTGGGTACAAGGACGAGCACACAGACGTTGAGAGGGTCGGTATCGGTTCTGAAGCCGCCAACGGTCCCAGGTTTGCGGCCTTCATTCCTCGAAGCAATAGTGATGAAGGTGGCTCTTGTGGTGTGCTCAATGATCTCGTCCACACAGAACTCGCCTCGCACCATCCTCCAACCCCAATCCCGGTTTGCGCGGTACTTTGAACGATGTCGAAGTGGCTCCGCGGAGAACATGAAGTATTGGTGGAAGAGGTAGGGTTGGCCCCGTAGGCCTTGCATTTCGGATACTTTGGAAATGGATGGATCTTGTCTGGAGATCGAACTGCTGCTTCTCGGATAGGATAGACATAGGTAGGATTTATATATCCTTTATGTAGATGGCCACGAATCTTTAAAATGCCCGTTGTCTGGTATTATTGCCTGTCGTTGAGCATTCAACGATCTCGTAGATACGTTCAATGATTGATGAGTCATGTTTATAGATGACTGGTGCTGTAATCGAAGCTCATGACCAGCTTGATGCCAGTGGCTCTGGGTGGTGAATGTGAGTGTTCCTCTCGCGTTTGAACATTGTCGGAACATCTGGCGACTTATTGGAGTGTATCGTTATACCCCACAATAGCCCTCTCCACAGCTGTTCAGACCACAAGCCTGCTTGATAGACATTTTGTGAGTGCCTGCCGAGTACACTAGCTATCCCAGCCTGTGCAACAAGTCTGTTGCCTGCCTTCGTCATGCTCCGATGCGTGTATGCTCGAACGATTGATGCCATTTGGCATGCTTGAAACTGGCAATGTCTAGATCGCTGAGATTCAGGTCGGCCAAGTCGTCGAATGGTTGCTTGAAGTAGTCCATTCTACTTCTTACGGCTTGACAGCTCAACATCTGTGCGTTGTGATGGACCCGCACCTGGTGAAGCAACAGAGTAATGCATTCAAGCACTGTCATTGCAGGAGATGCCTGTTGAAGATGAATATTTGAGGGGAGAGCAGATGCTCCTGTAATACCCAAACCCTTCCGAACAATGAAGGGCATTCTTCAAATGGGATCTTGCCGGTATGACTAAAAGCTTAGAACCAAACTCATTTTCCAGATCCGGTCTGGGGTATGGGTAAGAGCAAGGGGACCACAAGGCGACCATCTCTTCTCTGGAAACACCCCACATCCCCCCTGATGCGCGGGCTACTACGATCGTCAGTGCCGCATTTGATAGACGTCACACATGGTTGCTGCCTCCTCTGCCCACTCGTTTGCGTCGTTCTGAATGATACACAAAGAAATTATTCAGATGTATTGGAACTCAATGCACGCGCTGCGTGAATTGCACCCTTGAAAATTTTAGACAATTTTTCCGGATCGATGGCGCTCTGATAATTGTGGTAATTCTCCTTCGATGTACAGATGATCGGCACCGGTCCCCAGCAATGACTGAGGGCAACATAGTCAAGCATTGGGACTTCAACCTTAATTGACGTGGTGACCAGCCGTATGCCGTTATCATTGACATCGATGAGCTGTTTCGGTCTGAAACTGGGCTTATCATCGGAATGGTTGGTGCGGCATTCTTCATGTGTGGCTACACAGCGTCGTAACCAGACAAAACAAACATGGAGTGCGAGCTGTGACCCAGTGCAATCGTTTTTTCCAGCTTGAAGCATGGAGGAAAGAGTTGGCAAGTGTTTCTGTTCCATGTGAGGGCCTGACACAGCGAAGCGTCCGCGATGCACACCCTCATCAAGAGTCTGCCGCGAATTGCGACCGTGCGTTTCGTGATGTAGTTTGGATGAACATCTCTAGTGGCGGCCTTTCGGTTGAATGAGGCTGAGATATCAGGTTGCGGGCCTTTGTCCGTTACAAACTGCAGTACAATGTCGATGGGTTCGTCAAGGTCTTTGGGAAGCCATCCTGGTGTAGCATTTGGAGGCTCGGGACCTTATGATTGCGCATAGCGAGAATCCTCGATCTGCGGCTCGTTTCGGTTCACATAAGTTTTGGTGCAACGTAGCCTCGTGGGGGTTCCATTGTATGTCTTCGCACCTGCTGGCTTCATCAGGGATGTTAGCTTGCTCTTAGACGCCTTCCCAGAATGCCTGACAACGACTACAGAACATGTCGTCAAGTGGATGAAAAGGGATGGTTCGTGGCGAGGCATCAGCCCTCAGCCTGACGAGGATCAGTGCGTCTTGCTGCAAGCGCAGCCACAGCGATTCCACCATGAAGCGCCAAGTCCCTTCTTTTCGAAACTGGGCTCTGATCGCCATCTTGAATTCGGCGCCATGTTAACCTGCAGTTGGAGTGGCCTGGGGAAGACAAGGTCCTCTACATCGAGTGCAAAAGCAGCGTCTCAATTTGGCATTATCATCGATACAGCGCGCAGTCAGAGATTTTCGACAAATGATGATGAATGGATAGTTAGGGAAAGCAAGTTAGGAGAAAGAAAGTGCAAAACGGGTGTGGGCGTGGGCGGAAAAAGGGAAAGGTGGAGACGTTGCGGTCCTCAATGACATGTAATTGGCCGGACGCTCCTACCGTCGAAGATCTGCTGCCAAGCCCTGGGCTCACGGAAACCTCACGATTCAACATCACGACCGCCATCGCCAGCATCACCAGCAATTGCACGTCGCCATGGCTAAGAAAGGTACGAAGCTGATTGTTTAAGATGTTTTCGTGTTGTCCCGCGAGCTTTAATGTTGGACAAGGCGTACACAGCTGCGCCAGCGAATGCGCCCTCCTTCCCAAACTTCAACACCAAGAACTATGCTGACGAGATGCGCCTACAGCGAAGTCTCGTACCATTATGGTACGCCTCATCTCGATGGCCATGACTGGCTACTACCGTACAATGCAACGGCCACGTGCGCACCAACCGCTGAGCATGCTCAAGTACGATCCTATCGGTACGCCTATTTCACAATAATCCTATATGAAGGCCAGCGCATATTACGCAGATATGTCTGCACACTCTGCGATCTTATGGACGACTGAGACGAGGATAGCCAGGGCAGGACTGTCCTTAAGGGGCTCAAATGCAAAATGTGCAGGACATGGGCTAACAGCACGACAGTGCGAAAACAAGTACTCTTCCTTGAGGCGAAGCGTGGAAAGAAATAGAGCGATTAATCGGTTCCACGAATCACAGCGGTGCAATGCTATGATGAGAAAGCACGAGTCGAGCACGCCAGTCAGGACATAGGAGACACCCGAAATGTGGGAGCTACCACACTGGAAGGGAACAACAGCGTACCACACGCAAGACGATATACCACAATGTCGAAGATATGTACGAATATTGTACGTACACTGTACCATATACAGCACGGCCTGGCGTTATAGATGGATTCGACAGATACCGGGCAAAGGCCCTGGAATGCACAACATTATCATCTCAGATGGGCACAACCTCACCTTGACTTTCTGTGTACATCGCACACACCAGCAACATCTCGATAAGCACCTTCCCGTTCATTTTCTGTTTATTGCTCGGCTACTGTCCGGAGTTCAGCACCAGCACTTGTCGTTACGAGCACACTAATTGCCAAGCCGAGCGGTTTTGAGCGGCGCTCGTTATCGCTCTTGGCTACGCTCCTACCCTTGTGTCAACACAAGCCATCTCCAAGACAACGCAGCTTCAAGGCCCAGAGTCGGGTTGTCCATTGAGATGTGGCGGGTCATGACCAGTGGGCGTCAGCGGCGCTTCTCCGCAGCCATTGACGCGCTAGCCAAGTCTTTTATTGCATCCAGGCTCACGTCGACACAGGGTTTCGAAGACATCAAAAACATGTACGAGCGCAGATGTCACTGTGAAAACACAAGGCCAAAAATCTGTCGTCGCTGCGTAGGTGTGTTCACGTCCGCAAACTTCTACAGCTACCTTCATATCGAACATGTCGATGCTGAGTAGGTCCACATAACTAACAGGGATACTTGAGCCGCATCCTATCTTGTGTATCCTTCATCTCCCTTTCTCCACAACAGTCCGGGCTACCCAAAAGTGCATTCTGGTCACGCCAAACCCTTGTTTTCTGGAGGTGGAGACCTTTCGGTCGAGTTAACGATCTCGTCTGGAGAAGGACAAGACCATAGTGTGGGATTGCTTGGCTAACAGCGGACCACATCCGATCATCATCATCGCTTTTGTTCAACTTTGCCGGGGCTACTGGAAAGGTTATAAGATGACGCCTACGCCCAAATCCGTTCACAGTGCTTTACGCCTAGCCAAAGGTCTAATAGTCGCATCTTGTAACGCAAATATGGACTCCAGAAAGAATTCGGAGAAGTCTGATGGACTCCAAAACGAACATTATGAGAACACAGCGTTCTCTCGTAATGATGCTCTTTACAACACACCAGCAACACACTATGAAGAGCGAATCACGTTGGAGAAGGGTGCCGACCGAAAGGACGGCATATTGGGCATGTTTCAAAACCTTGGCATCTTACCAGAATGAAATGTCCCAGGATACAGTCAACTTCGCGGAATAGCGCTCAACAACTCCATCGCATGGGCCTCGTGCCTGCTTTTTCCTCATGTTCGGCTACGACCAGGGTGTTACGAGCGGTCTTCTCACGCTCGACGAGACGCTGAGTTCACTCTTGTGAAAGAAACTGGTGAGAAATTTAGTACCAGTGGGTAAGCATCTCAGGGGATGGAGAGCCGTTCTCTCCGTGGTTGGGCACTTTGTGAAGCGGTCGGCGGGCATCACAGCAATTTGCTTCCAGTCCACATTAAAGCGACTGGCGGAGACTTCTTGACGTACCTAGTTACTGTGGATGTCGACATGCTTAAGCTTCATCTTAAGCTTCTCCAAGTCTTTTGTAACAAAGAAGACAGTTTGCTGGTTATCACACAAATTTTTTGGTATAATTTCAGGATTGTACCCAATGTGCTCGAAAAACCTGTTCCACCATTCCATCTCGCTACCGGCGAGGAAGAGGGCAACAAGTTCAGCTTCAGTGGTGGGTTTGGCAGTGCAGCGCTGTAGCGTTGACTTCTAGTCAACAGGCATTCCATATAGCTTGAAGATGAAGCCCTGAGAACTCCGATGGTCCTCAGTGTCATCCCCAAATGCTGCATCTGAGGCTCCAAAGAAGTCTGGTTCTTCTTTGGCCATGCCTTCAAACCGGGGTACTGATCTGCTGGCTCTGATAGCCCAGTCCCTCTTCCCAATCACGTACTACCGTATGTGTTCAATGTGCTGTAGATGCTTTGTGGACGGGTTCCGATTAAATCGAGCGAGGACTGAATGGGCGCGTGCAATATCTGGCCTTGTGAGGCACATGATGAAGGTAAGGGAACCAACGAGTTCTCGGAATTGTCTCGTTCAGATAGCATCTTCCGGCTCAGTTGATGAGTCAAGGCAATTGACAGTGAGCGGGACAGACGGATGTCGCCCTGAAGGAGGCTTTAGTTTGTACTTAGCAGCCACTTTGTCAGTAAACGAGTCTTGGATAAGGCTGTCGCGGCCCCGAAGGGATACAAAAAGGCCGACCTTTCTGACCCTCAGGTCCTACAGGTTATATACACCGCAGCAAAGGCTAATCTGGTTTCTGAGAGAATCGCGGGTATTCGGATCCCAAGGAACCACCTGATCTTGCCTAGGTTCTTCATCTCATATTGGCTGAAAACAAAGTCTTCAAACTTGTTCTTCTTAGCGATGTTTGAAGAGTGTATGAGGATAACGATATCGTCAACGTAGAAGAACACAATTAGGTGTTCATTCGTGGGAGTATCTTGGCATTAGAAGGAGCAGTGGTTTCTGTGATGTCGGTGACAGAGCAACACTCTTTGCTCCAGCAAGTGTTCATCTCCATTTCCATAGCCTTGGGAAATTCATGTTCGAACATGTGACCTTTGAGCCGTTTGAAACTCTCTGGGACAGCAGGAATTCCATCCCGATGAAGCCGTGTTGTTGCAGTAGGCTTCTGTGCAGCTCCATCCATTATTGCAGAGACAAACGTTGCTAAGTACTTTGCATCGGTTGCGAAACTTGATGGAGGTGGTTGAGATACTCTGACAGTATCTGTTTTTCGTATCATCAGGCAACTCAGTGACTGCTTGCGGTGAGCCAGTTGCTGCGCAAGATGTTTTGGGCGTAGGGAGCTGTTGTAAACAGTTGGAGATGAAGCCGGCACTAGTGTGTTTTCTGTTGTGTATTCTTGTGTGTTGGACCGAGATGCTCATGATATAAGCTTAAATGCATGAAGTAGTGGACCATTTGGTCAGTGGGTAACCATGTGACAACTGTAGTGTCCTGGACTTACAGCTGTTGTTCGCCTTCCTTGGATTGCTCCTGTTCGAGCGGATGATGAATTTCATCCTCAAAGTCTTGTGTGGTAAGCTGAATCGTTTCAACTTTGGAACTGTGACAAATAGTGTCATCCTCAGGTTGGAGGAGATACTCAACCAGTTCGTCTTCAGTGTCCTTAGGGTTGGGGATATCAATCGTTTCAATGGTTTTCTCTGCATCAAGGCTAGTTGGAGGGGCTTCGATGCCCTTGAATCGTTCTTGTCCGCGCAGGCAGCGCTCTCAATGGCCAGCTCGTTTGAGTTAGCTCTCCCGCTCCCGCGCACTGTAGATATTCGTTCTCTCTCATTGTACTCAATCGACAGTTCACACCATCATACTCATCAGTTCTCCTTGTACGAAAACAACGTCTCTCGATCTGATAACCTGATTTTTTGTGGGCATTCAGATTCGATAGATGTTTGTAGAGTTGTATCCAACAAAGAAACCGATTGGCGTGCGAGATTTGAGCTTGTTCTCACACTTCACATTGATGTTGAGCATGTAGGCTTTCGAGCCTATCTCATAGCAGTGAGTCAGTGATGGTTTCTTGCCATTCACTATCTCGTATGGTGTCCGCCATCTATTGTGCTCAGTAAGAGTTCGATTGAGGAAGTAAACGGCTGTGATGAATAGTTCGTTAGCGAAGTAATGAGAGAGTTAACCTTAGATTACAAGCGCTCGAGATGTAGCAATAATGTTCTTGCCAGCGCGCTCAATGAGGCCGCTCTGCTCCTCACTGCTCTCTGACGTTGGTTCAATGATGAGAACAAGTTCTTCAGCCCATTCAGCAAGTTCTCGCGTGTATGCTTTCTCGTTTTAGATTTTGAGATGGGTGACTTCTTGGTTGTACTGTCGTTCAAGCGGTCTTCTCCAGTTTCGCACAATCAAATGATATCTAGGGCTATTCTTTGAAATCGCTGATCTAATGGGGATGATGGCCAATGACTGATTTGTTTCGTCATCTTGGCTTGAATGCAGCAATCACAATGCTTCCATTTGAGAGCTTCTTTGTCTAGAAGCTTAATACCAATCACATTCTCAGCGAGCTTCTCAACTGCCTTTTGGCCGGCATGACCAGTGGGTCGATGAGCTGCTTCTGCTATGACTTCGACGGGCTTGCGTGGGTCATGAGACGGCTTCTCATACTGTGTGACTGCGTTAAACTCAAGGTCACAGATCACGTTCTTGGGATTGAACTGATACAGGATGTGTCTTCCAGAGTCGAAGTGAATCTGCTGTTCCAAGCATCTAGAAAGGCCAAAGATATTGACAAAGAAACCTTTGACGAGTGCAACATGTGTCAGCCAAATCGCTACAACGCCTCGGGTCGTGTTCAAATTGAGGCTGACTTCTCCACAGGCTGAGACCAGCACCATCGTGCTTCCTGCAATAACAACATCGGCTTTGGTAGCATCCTTGGTCTTGTTCCACTCAAAGGCAGTAGAATTGCAAATTTGGCAATTGGAACCAGAATCCATGACTCATTGGTTCATAAGATATGGACTAGCTCTATCTGTAGACATGTCCGTGCTGAAGATGGCCTACAGTGCATAGGTGTGAACGCCAGATGGCACAGCAGCAGCGTCCCAGTTGCTAGGTACTTCAGCAGTGTTAGCACTATTAGAGACGGTACTGTTCGAGTTGTATGAGGATTCAGAAGCTCTTCTGATGACATCCTTCATGATTTTGTCAAATCTCGAGTCTGATATGCGTTTTGCCGCAATCTTATCAGAGATGTCCTTCCTGGGAGACCAGTTCTTTGATCAAACGCTGGCAACAAGGTAAGTCATTCTGCGTACCAATGCCATGCCCCGCACATGCGTTGTGGTTTGCCATTCTTGTTCTTCTTGAGCGAGGTATTCGTGCTCTTGCCCCCATTAGGTTTAACGTCAGAGTTAGGCGCTTCTTCCTCAGTATTTGCAAATCCGAGTGTTCTGAACGCTGATAAGGACGACTGATAAGGCTGTATTTGCCTGTAGTACTTCCAAAAATGGTTGATGTAGTACTCTATTGGCTTGATCTTGGCTTGGTCTGGATCCTCCTCCGCATCAAGGAGCTTAGCGAGCTGCATGTTGGAGTATTCTAGAGCACGTGGCCTGATCGCAGCCTAAAAGTCTTCCTGAGCTCGATGCCTCAATATCTCTGCGAGATTGGCCTGTTGGGCAATACTGGTAATGTTCTCCCAGTTGTCATGCCAGACTTTGATCTGGCCGCCCATTGGGGCTTTCTGCAGTTCTCAATGCTTGACCACAAGTTGTCGATCACGCGTGGCATCCGAAGGAGAGAAAACCTTCTTCAGCTTCACTACTCTTCCTCGTGCTGTGTTGCACTCGTAGATATGGAAGAGCTTATCCTTGCCAACTGTTTTGGCTTTCTTCGACCGTGTATTCAGCGAGCATGTGTTCATAATGTTTGCAATCGTATTGGAACGTTTCTCGACGATCAGCTGGGAGATTTAACAGCCATATTGATGCGACTGATTGAGCATCTGATTCAGATGCGGTTTCTGATGAAGCAGGTGGTGGAGCATACTCGTGGAGTTCGGGCTCAACGGGCGCTCTCAGCTTCTTGAGGTCCTTGTCTTCAACGTCTGGGTGAACGTATTTCCATATGTTGCGGTATCAGCTGGTCTGTACGGGACCCAATTACCCTTGGTTAGAAGACTGTTCTGGACTAGCACGTTCCAGGGCCAGTATATGTTGTCTTTTCTTAGCTGCATAGCAACTCAGCGCATTATTCCATCGACCAGATAGTCCTACGTTATCGTTTACCGTAGCTATCAGTATATTACAGTGGCCAACGCCGCCACAACGATGAGTTTGATCCAGAGGATCGAAGGCTGGTGTATGAGAGTTTGTCGACATTGCTAGTAGGGCGTCAGTTGCCGAAAGTCTTCGGAGATGGTGTGCCTTACAAATACCAAAAGTGCATTGAACGAAATGTTTGAGCTATTCAAGGCTCGAGCTACCATCGTGGAGAAGGCTAGGCAACTCAGATGTGAACTTAGCGTCATGGCTTGTGTTAAGGTAGCCTGGACTTCCGAAGAAGAGTCCAGAATCCCCAAGAAAGCACACGGGAGCCAAGTTCATCCGAGGGATCAAGGTCATACAGAGAGGGGTTGATCTTGCCTTCTCCCGTCGAAATAGGAATTGGTCGTCGTGAGGGAGGCACAGGAGTAGTGTGACGGCTTATGGAGTAAAAAGGTCATGTCTGCCACGTGTGCTGGTGCAGTGCTCTTGCCTGTTCCAATAGCACTTTCTGTCTACACAACAGATACGTCATGTAAACAGACCCCGCTAGGGGTCGAGCGAGAGAGATAGAACACTGAAGAACACAACAGAATATACCGATTTTACTGCTTCGCACGGTTACCCCTGACTTACTGCCCTGCGCGGTTACACCTTCACTTATTGCATTTACTGCAACAAGTAGTCTCGCTCACGAAGCCGAAGGCTGTATTCTCATGCAGCATATGTGGGAATAAATAGGGACGGTGGGTAGGAAGTTTGTAGCAGGCAAACAAAGGTATGCCGACATCACTGGCGAAGCGTTACTAACTGAAGACCTCCGGGCAAATAAACTTACCGAGATCAGAATCGCAAAAGGTATCGTGATGGCTACAAGCCACCTGGGATATCATTGTTCATTATCATCAGTATACACGATCGGAGACAAGACATCATCACGAAACCTCGACGGCGCTGCAGCTAGTCTTCCTTCTCAAAGTCTGCCTGCAGGCGACGGCCACGAAGATGAACGATCGTGGCGCATCAGCAGACGGTGCTCTCGCAGACGCGCTACCCCTGACGAGTGTCAATGAGCTGTAGTAAGGCTCTCGATAGCAGCTTGCTGTAAGTGAAGTGGTGTTTGCTGAGTACTTACAGTTGTCCGAATCTTCATCTGGTGAAGTGAGCGGCCAGCTCCAGCGTTGGAAGGTCGCAACAAGCGGCTCGTCAACGATGTTATTTTCCTCGACAGCTATTGCGAAGGAGGAGGCGGAGGGTGAGGAGGGAGAAGGTAGTGAGCCCACTATAGGGCGAGGCTCGACCTCGTCCCGGCGAACAAAGAGTGACGCGGGGCGAAGGTGGGGTGACACTGGGCGGGGAGTAGAGAGAGGATGCTGCGAAGAAGAGGGAGAGAGAAGATGCTGCGAAGAAGAGAGAAAGAGAACACCGCGTGGCTCTGGGTGGAGGTGAGCTGTAGACGGCCGAGTGATGACCACCTGTGGAACTTGTTCGCGGGCAGGTAGGTAGTCATTGTGTTGTATTGCAGGTGAGCAGACGCTCGATTATATGATCTAGGCTATCACGTGATGGCAATCGGTGGATCCTTCACTTGTACCTCCGACAAAACTCGTGCTCGAATGAACTGGCGGCGGCGACCTGGACGTGGGTGACGCGGTGGTGAGGACGCGTCGTCCAAGGCCTTGATGTCTTCGCAGAGGAGGGTGCACCAGGCCTTGCAGCACTTCTTGCATCCCATGGTGGTTGGTAGAGGAAAAGATCTAAAAAGAAGAGGAGGCGAGGAGAAAGTAGATAGAGCTTGCTAGTAGTAAGGTTAGTGAGAGGAGTTTAGTATTGAGGGAAAGGAAGTGAGCAAGCGCAAGCTTTTTGTTTTGGACTTGGGCGGAGTGCACTGTGGGCTTGTTCACGCTGGCAGATAAGAATGCAGAGCATCGACTTGCAGTTACTGAGCAGAGAGGCCACATTGATGCAACACCGAAAGTGAGTTGCAGGACGATAGTCAAGAATACAAGGATGGATTTGCTAAGACCTGTGAGCTGTGCAGCTTGATGTGGATTCAAGAGACAAGAGGTTGTCTTGTTGGTGACATTTTGGGAGCCTTCGAGCGTTCTGATGTCACAGCTTCGCCAGGACAACAACAGCTTGACTTGCACCAACGCCAAAACCCACCTGAAGCCCGGCGGAAGGGTCTGCCAGGCGCTTCAAGCTGGGCCAAATGGACGATAAGAGCAACTGCTGATCACTATACGAATTTCCAGCATCGAGGAGCAACCTTGATCAAACCTCTTGGCAAGGAGCTCAGCGACGACAATGCTCGATGGAAAAACAAGGCCACGAGCGTCCACGATGCTGGGCATACATGTGCCGGCCGCCTGGACCCTGTCAGTAGTATGTTTTTGTTTGCTTCGTTCCTTACCGACGTGCAATGTTGCATCCGTAGCAAGCAGCCACACGCATCAACAACGCTCCCACATGGGCAGTGTATGGAGATGGTTCCATGGCACTCATACCTCCTACGCGAAGCAGAGCCAAGGAGCAGCTGCGGAAAGTCGAGTGCCAGATTACATCGCACGCGCAGCAGCTGTGAAGCACCACTGCCCTTGAAAGCCGCCGCGGCACCATCAACGACCTTCTCGTAAGGCCGCCAGCTAGACACTGACTAACAAATCGACACACAGGGCTTTTTAGCGAATTGAGATACCAAATGGCCCACAACTCTTTGTCCTCCCAGGCGACCACCACAGCGAACGCAGTGAACGCCGTCCTCCAGCGTCAAGAGAATGCACGTGCATGGGACAAGGAAGAGAAGTACAAGTGCGCTTCCGCAAAGACAAGAGGTGGAAAGACAAGCAGGAGCGCAAGAAGACCGAAGATACGGAGACCAGAGACATATCCTTCGTTCCACAAACGGTCGGTTGCAAGCTAGTTCTGAATGCACACACGTACCTATTGCAGGGAATACTGCCCGAAGCAGCTAGCATACCGATTACCTTGATACTTGCGAGAAAGAGCGAACGCCAGCAGAGACTGCCTGTTTCCACAGAGTTAGCAAACATTCCCACAAGAAGCGACACGGCGAACGAAGGACAAGGGAAGTCTCAGAAACATGTTCAAACGGTGTGTCTCCAGCCCGAGAACTCAGCAATATGTTGTTCTATCATCGACGTGTCGGTGTTGAGGGGCGGGAAGGATGCTCGAGTGAGGTTTGATTAGGGTTGCGACTAACCGTGTTGAGCCAAGGTTCTACCCTTCTCCGCTTGCCACGCGTACACATGAACGTTACGACACGACCGCGCACGATGTCCTAGGATGATCACATCAGTGTCCTTTTTTTAATCGAATGACAAGAAGCTGAAGGACGGAAGATGCATCAGAAGCGAACAAACGGTGTCGGGGTGGCTGTGTTGGCCAGTCTGTGCTGGTGATCATGGAGTGCGACTTCACTGCAAAACAACACGGCTACACCTCTTGGAGTTATTGCAAAGCCCTTGAAAAGGGACTACTGCCTCATTACAAGCCATACCAGATTTTTATGCAAGACAATGCGCGGGTACACACATCAAAGTACACCAAGGAATGGTTGGAGAGTCATGGGATTTGGACCATTGAACACCTCCTATACTCACCCGACCTTAACCCTATTGAGCACATGTGTTGGGTTTTAAAAATGAAGCTACACCAATTCCACCCAGAGTTTGACACACTTGGAGACTCACAGGAGGCGTGGTTGGCTATACCAGATCTACTAATCAAGAAACTTATCTACTCAATGCCTAAGCGCCTGAAGGCGTGCAAGGATGCGCAAGGTTACCAAACAAAGTACTAAGTATGTAGATTAATTTACTTTGTTAGATTATATATTGACCATGTTGTTGTGGAGAAAAGGCGTTGTGAACATTCACTTAAAAGTGCATAAGGTGGCCCAAGCGCAACGCTGCGACCAAACTTTTGTTCAACGATTGTACACTTACATGTGCACATTTGCAGCTCAGTTAGTACCGCGCAGTGATCAAGGTTGAGTGGCAAGTGTGAGCTATGTGGCAGAACGGCCGCAGAAAGTGCTTGTTCTGGCTCGCCCCGCTTGGAAGTGATGGTGATGCTCAAGTGCCTTGCGCCTTTCTCATTCCATGTTGCTTCTCCTGCTCCTTCATCACTTCCTGTCGGGGAGCGTGGACAGTACGCATGTGCGGAAATATTGAAGGATTGAACTGAGATTGTATTGTATGAAGCTTAGTCTAGTCGAACAGAGGAACTTCTCTGGCCATGGCCTTGTAACCTAGTGGCTATGACTGCACACCCCGTTTGTCACGGTTGAGGTGTCCCCTTGCAGTCGGCCGCATAGGCGCTTATCTGCTGACTGGTTGCTACGTCGCACGACTACATGTTGACAGCTACACGACATCAACGTAGACATTTACTCATGTATAGCTCCACTCCGTAGCATGTAGAATAGCCAGTTCAATCCTTCAATCCTTCCCACATGCGTACCTGGTGTATACCAAATAGAGACCCAACCCATTTGCTGCTTTGGCCTCAATGAGCTGCTTTCATGAACTTTGATATGGTCAAACTTCTCACTGGGATACTGAAAACTCCACTCCTGGTTCTCTCCAGAACCTCTTGCAACGCTGCACTCATCAGAGAACTTCACAGTCACCCTCTTGTAGTTGAAATAGCGCCACTCCTGGTAGTATTTAAGCCTCAGCAACGCTGCAGCTCTGTTGATCTTTGGACGGCGCTTTGACCTGAAGTTGCGGAGACCTTGCGCTGTTGAAGTTGTGTCTTAAGCAAAGCTCGTAGGCACTATTCGATTGGTTCTCGGAGATGAGCAGAGGTACAGAAGCCGTCAGGGGTTGGTGACTATTGGTCGGGCCCGTAATAGCCTTTGTAATAGTCGGGTAGTCGTCTAGTCAAAGACCGTGGCAACTGGGAGCAATGAGTAGTACAGGGTATACTGTCTAACTCGAGAGCAGGTGAGATTCCAATAACAAAGTTGATTGACGAGGTTGAACACGATGCCATAAGGGCAACGTGTCTACGTGCTATATACCAAGCGCGTCCATGTAGTGATCCGTATGCTCTTAGTGATCCGTATGCTCTTAGTGATCCGTATGCTCTTAGTGATCCGTATGCTCTTAGTGATCCGTATGCTCTTAGTGATCCGTATGCTCTTAGTGATGCGTATGCTCTCAGTGATCCGGTGGAGCAGTGAGAGCAGCGAGATCGGCGAGAGCGCGTTATGTGGGGTTGCTCTGTATACTCTATCGGTCTACTTCAGATCGTGAGATCAGCGAAAGCATATATGCAGCCTGGTGGCTGGTCTGTTTTGCTTCTCAATTAACCGAGGTTTGTCGTTGCTCTGTCGTTAACTGCGTTAGCGCGAGAGCGATCCTTGTTGTAGCGGTGTGAACCGCTGTAGAATACTGACAGCTACGGTAAACAACAACGTAGAACTATTGGGTCAATGGAATACTGCGCTGGATTGCTATCTAGCTAGGAGGAGACGACTATATACCTGACCTGTAACACACTAGTCCAGGGTAGTGGTCAGGGGTATAGTCAGACACTGTACGGACCAACCGATACCGCAACACTTGTCCTAGTGTACCACTGGTCGTAACATGCGCAAGAAAAGCGTGGTATACTGTTTTGACTGCAACAACAGAGGTTGCTGTGTTGGCTGGCCACAGTTCTGCCTTCTCCATAATAAGCTGACGGTATTCGATCTTTGGGTATTTGCGGGCAATACGAAGAAGAAGACAACGCTGGCAATGGGTGAGGCTTGTTGGGCGGCCGCTGCGAGGCCTTCTTAGGTTGCTGCCGGTCTCGTTGTATCGCTTTAGAGTGCGCTGCACAGTGCGTTTGGATGTCTGAAACTGGGCTGCAACTTCCTCTGTTCCTGCACCACCCTCTACTGCAGGGCATATACCATCGCGCTCGCGCAAAGATAATTCAGAACCTGACTGTTGATTGCCGCTAATTGCAGCACCAAAATGTCTCATGGTTGTGGAACTATAGACGTGCAAAGTGTAGGTAGTGATACGTGTCGGTCAAGCTCAAATTCACGACCAGACTTCATCTTAGTACTGTAGAATCTACCTTGTGATATTGCTGATCTTTAGCTCCCCTACATAACTATGTTGACGACACACTTGTTCCTAATAACTTTCGAAAGACTTGCCCTCAGCAACGCTCCACCTGCACGGTGAGCAGCATAGGGCCGTCACTTTACCTCGCAACGCCCGTATACGATCCTACGCCATGCTGAATGAAATGTTATGTAATCGACTGCAGATACGGAAATTCCACTATAGATGCTGACTCGAGCCTGTCAGTATGTATGCTCGGCTGCGCATGTAGGACTACATACCTTCGGGCGTCCACACCTCCAATCCATCTTCTGTGTGGGTCCTCGGCGACTCACACAGTATCATGGTAACGGCTTTGTCGAATTCAGCGCCAGATGTTAGTGCCTTCACTGCGCCCACCACGATTGCTCAACGCCTATCAAGCTCCTGCCCAAATCGATCCGCATACCGGTTGGCTGCTGCAGCGTCAGTACATACACAAGGACCCATCGAAACTGCCAACGTACTCTTGCTTCGCGTGTTACGAGTGGAAGAGAGCCGAGGGGTACCAGTCTGGGAGCCAGCCATCGACGACTGCCGGTTGCTCGAGCGGCGCCCTGTAGCGCTGGAAGGGCTAGGGTTGACATCAGCGTAAGTGACCGCACCGGTTCGTGCTGGCGTATATGGCGCATAACTCTTGGATATCGAAGCTGGACGCTGTGCGAAGGACTGGGCAGGTGTACGGAGCTTCTTGAAAGGACCATCTTCAACACCGCTGGCAGACTTTCGCTTCTGAGGAGGAGGAGGAGGAGGAGGAGGAGTGTCACTAGTCCGCGTGACGTCCTGCACAGAGGCGCGTTGAGCGTATGTACGCTTTGATGCTGCATTGTTCGCATGCATGAAGTCCGGAGAATCGTTGTCCGCTCTGAGGCTTCGATCAGCTTGTGCGTGCACCAGATGTTGAGAACTTCCATGAGCTTGGATGCTCTGTCGTTGCATATCTTGGGCGGGCAGTGGCATCATTCGAGATGCTGTGTTCGCTCGAGACTTGGGTCGACCTTGCGAATGTGTTGATGAAGTGTCCGAAGTAGACTCGTGTACTGGCCGTCCAGGCGTCTGTATCGTGTCCTTGGGGGACGATGAGTGCCTAAGAGTGACCCGATCTCGTCCAGGTGTCGGTCGGATATCGAGCAGCATCTCCGATAGATCTTCTGAAGGCATGGTAGACAGATCCGTCAGGGTCTCTTCTTGATCAAGATTGTCGCCCACAGATACCTGCGACTCTATCATCTCGAATTGTGCAGCGACTCCCTGGGCGTACTCAAACTCTTGGGTCTCGGGAACGACCTCAGCGTTAGGATCCACCAACGAGAGTTGCGTTCTTTGGTCATGGAGCGGCGCTTGAGGGCCGAACCTGTTCTGATACTCTTCCTCGAAGTAGCCAGCTTGATTCTCGGGGCCTTCACGACGGTTGTGAGTAGAGCTGAGTCTGTCAGTAACAGATTCAGATTCATCAGTGTTCAGCCGACGATTGCTCGATGGTACCACTTCCACTACCGAGTTGATCTGTCCATCCGCCTTGCGGATCTTGCCTGTCCGTAACTGTTGTGACGAGGTGGAGGGCCCGCCATGCTCAATCGACTGCTGCGTATTGGGGACGAGAGTCTTGCTAGTGAGCGTCCCGGCTTCTTTCTGTCGTTTTTCCGTCTCCAGTTCCATCTCGGCGATCATAGTGTTAACTTCCTGCGCACAGATTTGCATTTCTTGCGAGTGCTGGGCCTTGAGCTTCTCCTGTTCTTGCTGTGACTGGGAAGCCAGATCCTCAAACCTTGCGTTGAACTTCTGCTCGTGGCACTCGATTTGGTGCTTGTGCGCTGCTTCGGTCTGTCGCAACTTGGCTTGAGACTCCTTACGGGCATTTTCGGAGAGATTGAGGCGAGATTGCAGGTTTTCGAGCTCCGTAGTGTGGTCTATCTCCGCCCGCTGCAATCTGGCCGCCATGTCGTGCTGTGCTTGCTGTAGTTGCTCGTCGCTGGCACTTTTCGCATCTTGGAGCTCCCCAAGTTGTCGTCGCAGGTCGAAGCGTTGTGCGATAAGCCTCGTCTCAGAACTCTTCGATTCACGCAAACTTATGCGAACCTGTTCAATGGTGGCGGAAAGCTGTTCGTTTTCTGCTTCGAGCTGAAGCTTTATCTCTTCTGCGGATTGAAGCAAGGCCCGAGCTGCGCCCTCCTTCTCGGTCGCCTTGTTTGTCTCCTGGCGGAGTGTTTCAATCGTAGACTTGTACTGGGAGACCTCAATGGCCAGCTGATCATTGTGGGACTGTGCAGACTCCAGCTTGATCTTCAGGTTTGCTGCATCTTGCTGTAAGGCATTGCACTCGCGGTCTTTGGCCTGGCCCTGGTCGGTCATTTCTTGTATCTGCTTCCTGCGACCGGTAAGGTGAACCACAGCATCTACTCTGTAATTACAGAACTCTCGCTCCTGTTCCAAACGTAGACGTTCTTGCTGCTTAGCAGTATCATTTGCCAGCAGCAAGTCGTTCTCGGTCCGGGACAATTGGTCTTGCAGCTGCATCACCTTCAGCTCGGCTTCCCGTGGCTGCGTCTCATGTCCTCGAACAGTAGCTTGTAATTCGTCCCTTTCATTCTCCAATTGTGTGACGCGCGTCTTGAGAGCCACCTCGGATTGTCGAAGTAAGCTTGCCTGTTCCTCCAGCCGTTGGTGATCCTGTTTCTGGGTATCAAGCTCCGTTCTGAGCCACTGGTTGGTCTCATAGGCCAGCTGACCGTCCGCTATCGCCTGGTCGTGTCGTAGAATCTCCGTCTGCAAGCCTTGAATCTGGTCGCGCATACATTGCTGAACATCCTCAATCGGGAAAAGCTTGCTCTCGGAAGTCTTAGCCAGGAGTTCGAAACCTGCATCTGTGCTATTGAGATGTCAGCATATATGTAAAGGCCTGGCGTTGACCACTTACCGCTCGTGAAGGAAGCGCAGCATGTCTTCGGCTTTCCGAACATCATTGGCAGTCAAGAGGGGTAATGACTCCAGCTTCTGCAGGATCTGTAAGCAGTCCTTGATGCTACAATCATTGCTGTCCTCAGTCTTGCGAAGCCCCAGACTCGTCTGAAGGCTGCTCAACTTGTCGACGAGGGCGGTAGAGTTTTCGCTCAACTGACGCTGTACGCCCTGGAGAGCTGGTAGGAGCTGCTTCTCGAACTCGACTCGCCTGCTCTTTTCCTCCTCGTACATGCGTGCCCGCTCGTCGAGTCGATCCTTCAAGTCCTTCTCCCTTGACAATGCCATCACGTAATGCATATGTGTCTCCTTCATTGTCTTCAGCATCCCTTTTTGACCCTTGGACAACGAGTCGATCATCATCTCGAGTTCGCCTTGTAATATCGCCTTCTCTTTCACAACTTCGTCGATTTGGTCTTGCAAGGTCTTCCTGGTGTGCTCTTGGGAGGCGACCGCAGACTTCTGCAATTTCTCGTGATCTTTCTGGAGGCCTGCAACGTATTTCTGCTTTGATTTCACGTTCTCGGTCAGTTGTGCCAAGCGATCGTCTGCCATGTTCAGCTTGACCTGCAGTCCAGTAATTGTCGTCAGTTGCTCCGATATCGTACTCTGAAGCTGCTTCTTCTCTTCTTTCAAGTCATTCATTGTAGACGTCATCTGATCCTCGATTCGGTACTGGTCAGCGAGGCAAGCGGTCCGAAGAGTGTCCAGCGCCATGTCTAGAGTGGTCATCCCAGAAAGCGCTTGACTGTTTCCAATGGCGGCTGATGCCCTTGAGTGAGCAATATGCATAGGTCGTACCTTCTTCGGTGCTTTTGTTACTCGTATAGGCCCAGAACGGCTGGATGCTCCGTGCAACACCTCTTGCACATCTCCCACACGAGGTGATGGGCCACAAACTGGATCAAGGTTGGTCTTCAAGGTGCTCGATGAGGTCTGCTGATCTGAGCTCTGTGCTCGGTGGCTTGAAGCGGGTCTGAGGATTGGACGCGGTTTTGGGTCTTTATTGGGAAACGGCGTAGTGGATCTCGGCATCAAGTTTGAGCCGCCTAGAGTATCTCTATCGGCTTTTGAAGCTTGCTGCATCTGCGAGAAGCGCCCATGACCTTCACATGAAGCATAAGACGACGGATCATCTGGCATGGTCGGAGAATCCGCAATATGGATTGGTTCTTGGATTGCCGCATTGAAATGGACGTGGTGCTGCGTAGCTTCAGGTTGCTCGACATGCCCCAGGTCCACGACTTGATGCTGATAAGAGGCGAAAGTCTTGTCCGTTGTACCGTCCGGCAATGCTGTCTCAGCTGCGATCGACGACTCCTCAATATCGCGAAGCCCGTCTATCGGCACACAAACTCCACCAGGCTGAGGTTTGACAGCTAGGTCTTCGACATCGCGAATTGGCCAGCTTGCTTCTGCTTGGTGTTCGGATGTTGCATGACTCGTAGATGAACCAGCAGTGGATAGTGTGCTCGAGTCGTCAGGTAGAGGGTCGTGTCGAGGCGGCCAAGGCACAAGGGGTCGGGAAAGAAGCGTTTTCTTGCCCTTCTTCGCTTTCGTTCCGTTGTGTTTCTTCTTTGCGGTAGGAGCGGACCGTGCGGCAGGTTGTGGCGTAGTCTGAATATCAGTGATCTCTTCCGAGAGTGCGGGCCTGATCACACTGTCAGTGTTGTTTGCCAACTTGTTGCGAAATGACTCACTTGACTGGCTCAGTGTCCGGACCGTCGACGAATGCACCGTTCCTGTGCGAGGACTCTTGTGATTGATCATGCCCATGTGCAGTCTCGTCTTTTTCGGATGTCCCAACGGCAACACGTTCTTCGATCGTAGGCGATGGAAGATTGGGCGATGCTGCAGAAGTAGTGCTAACATCTGCGAGATCGTTAGCCTAAGCATACAGCTGGCTTCTGTGCCCATACCCTGCTTGGGTGCACCATTATCAGCGGGCTCGATGGAGGGTATGACAGTGTCAGGGTGGATGGACGGTCGTAGCGCTGGTGCGTCTTCCTTCGGAGTCTTGTTTGTAGTTCGTTTGGCGAACCCGAAGGAGAACGGAACTTCGCACGGTGCTGAACCGGGTTTGGCGATGCCGAAGGTCTGGGGTAACGCGAGGGAAGGTTGTGAAGACGCTTTCACGCTTGCTGAAGACTTAAAAGCAAGCCTCTCGATGGTAGCCAATGTTTCATCGTCAAGCTCGTCTTCGAACTCAGGTCCATAAGGAGAGTGGGGCGCTTCCAGTTGCATCTCGGGAACCACGGCATCGCTGTCAGGTACCTGTTGCATATTTCTGAGTTGCGATGGCCTGAACGTCTTCGTAGGCTGCTTCCCCTTTGAGAACCCAGTCATAGTGAGAGCTCGAGCAGGCAGTCAATCGGTAGTCAATGACAGAAGCGAGATGGACGAGACGTGCGAGACGGCACGAAAATAGCGGGCAAACGAGCAAAAACTACGAGACGAGATGGAACAAGAAATGTGTTGAAAGAGGAGTTGTGTAGTGAAAGGTGAGGGGTGAGGCGAGACAAGGAAGTTCGCAGCTACGCTCTTTCCTGCCTCGAGGTGAGGAAGTCGCAGACATCAACACGCTCGACTTTGGACTCCATCGACCACATACTCAAACATTGCACTTACGACTTACAAGCGACTTACAAGCGACTCACAGCGATACTTTTTAGCTTTCAAGAACACATGAGATTCCTCACGGCATCCAAGTCAAGCCCAAGTTCACGTCACCCATGCCTGCAATACTAAGATTCCCTCTTCCATCTCTTCTATCTTGTGTGAATATATCGCACTAACTCTCAATGTATGCTTCTCCAACTGTCCACGTGTCCTCGATGCACGAGTATCACGCATTGCTGCGCTCGGAAAATCGAAGATGAAGATGCAGCTCTTGAAATGCTTCTCTTGCCCTCTACTGCGAGCTACTACGCAGCAGTGTCTTAGAATACGTCAGGCTTCTCGTTCGATGCCTCTGCCCTTCCAGACGACGCTTGACAAGTCGGTGGGTGGTCCCTCCGCTCTTGCTGCGTTCTTGCATCTAGTATGCTGGCATCTATCAGCTGTTAGCTCGAACACTCACCTGAGACGGCACCACTGACAACGACCTACAACGCGGCCCTATTCCTTATCTACTGCCACATGTCGATGGCCTTCGCTGTTGTGGTGTTGTTCCTTCGGAGGCAATTCTGAAACACGAACTGCACACGGCATGCACAAGCACCGGCGCTTGCATAAGCCACCGAACCAATCACCACCCGCAGCGCCCCTGTCCCGCTGCAAGGTGATCTCCCGTCAACACCATACGCGCCGACATGGACAACGCCTTTACCAATCCGCTTCGCCTGTTCGTCTAATACCTCTATAATAAGCACGCAGCATGAAAAAATCGCCGGCCACAATCTTGGGACCTTGGAAAATCGCACCATGTTAGGCGCCAGCAACGCTCTGGCAGCGGGGTACTGGCCTAGAAATAGCCTCTGCCAACGAGGACGCGAATATAGAGATGGGCGTCCTGCCTGACTTGCTGGGTAGTGTCCCGTCCTGATCGAGTTGATCTCACAACCTTCACGCGACTCTCGTACCACCTGCTCGACGCCTGTCTACGTAGCAAGCCTTCCTTCACACTACCGTACCTTTGCCAACATGAGCCGGGCTCTCTTCTTCTCGCTGCTGCTTCCTCTGCTCGCCCTTGCTCAGGACTCGAGTTCGGGCAGTGGACTACCTCCCGCAGGTTACAACGGCGGTTCGGACAACCCTCAGGATTCAGACGATGCTGGCGCAGCAGGTTCATCAAAGGGTGCTTTCGAGCTGTCTTCTGGTGGGCTGGTAGCCATCGTTGTGGTAGCTGTGATCGTTGTCATTGGTGGCAGTACGTTCTCACACAATCCTAATCTAACACCATCATACTAACTTCCGTGCAGTCGGCTCAGGAACACTTTGGTGGCTCGCAAAGAAGCGTCAATGGGACGTCCGCCAATCTATCCGCCGTGCATCTCGCCGTATCACAGGTCGCTCAGTAGTCGACGTCAGCAAACAGAACCGCCAGAACCGTCGAACCGGTATCCGTCTCAACTCGCCGCCGCCGGGCAAGAATGCAAGGCCCAAGCAGGAACACGACCTCGAGAAGGGACTGCCGATGTCGAGCAAGGAGGGTCGAACGACTACGACTATATCGAGCACAATCAGGTAGACACAACAGTGGTCATATTTCGCGAGCTTCTACTTCCTTGTAGGAGGTGTCTACCTGAGCCAACAGCACTGTTCGATCAACATGGATGTCGAGCTAAGCTCCATTCACTGGTCGTTGAGGAAGGGCTGTCTGCTACCTCTCTCAGGGTGGCGGCGGCGTGCGCCTCGTAGCACATAAGTGTACCAACATGGATGAGGTGAGGAGAGCTTAAGGTGTTTTGTTGGACATCATGGTGGGTAACATTCGTTTCTTGTTGTTTGTATTGTTTAACAACTATGATATCCACGCCTTTTCAAGCCTATTCATGGCATATGCGCAATGTACGGAGAGCGATTACATAGATTATAGCCGCCCGAGAAATACCAGAATTAATTCCAAAATCACGATCCCGACAAAGACGAGCCAGCGCCGTAAACACGCCAATCGATGACTATGTGATCGATGTGCAACTTGCGAGATCCTTCGTGAAGTTGACATGTGATTTGGCGACGCGCTAAAATGTCAGACGCGTCTCATCCCGCACCGTTTTCCCCACCTCTCAACCACAACATCTCCACACCCAAGCACACATCAAGATGTCCTCACGCAGTCGACAATCGCGCGTTGGAGCTACTCCCAGAAATAGCCGCCATTCCGTCGCAATGACACCTGTTCGAGCCATTCAAGATGCGCTGCCGCCCTACAAGAAGCCTTCACACCCACTAGATGGGGAGGCACAACGCGCACTCCGAGAATTGAACGGTTCTACCCTCGCAGCAGTGAAGAAGCACAACACTGCTGCAATCACCCAGATTCGGAGCACAGCTGAAGGCGTCAATGATATGCTGAGCGAGCACCAACGCTATGTCGATGCTCGGAGCAAGAAGTGGGATGCCGGCAAGAAGCTCGATGAGAAGGAAGACGAGGAAATGATAATGGTAGATCTCCAGCAGAAGGTCGACGAGGCAACAGCGAAGTTAGAAGAGAGCATGCGTGCAATAATCGACTCCAGCGTCGCAGCCCAACGCATCGAGGACGCCTTGGAGTGGCTGCGTCAACACGCTCCTAGGCAGCTCGAGGAAGAGTACGAATCGCAAATGACCCAGCGCCAAACCCAACGACGCCAGACACAACGCGCCGAAGGCAGCGACGCAGGCTCAGACATCGACGTGCAAATGGACGAGGGCCCAACACCCGGCCCCACGCCCCTCGACGGCTCCCACGTAGCCCTCACCGGTTCTGTAGAAATGTTCACAGACCGCATGGAGCGCGAAAAGAACGCGTACACCTCGATATCCTTCACCGCGCGCTACGCCAAGCACAACGATTACCGGGACTTCAAGCGCGTCGTCCACGACGCTCGGCACGGCGACAACGGGCCCGTTCTCGGTCACGAAGATACATGGTTCACCTCAGCCGGGGAGCCGCAGCTGGGCGTCACGCAGACACGGGGCGGTGCATATGACGATGATGAAGATGATCTTGTCATGGATAAAGCGACGATTAGCACAAAGTGTCCGATTACGTTTCAGCAGTTCAAGGAGCCGTATTCGAGTAACAAGTGCCCGCATACGTTTGAGAAGAATGCAATTTTGGGCATGATTAGGACGAGTGGGAGTCACTTTGGGAGGGGAGGGGCGAGGAGTGTGGCTTGTCCTATTCCAGGCTGTGATCAGGTAGATTCATCTTTATACACCATTCTATACGTCATGTAGGGCAAATGCTAACATCACGCACAGCAACTCTCCGCAGAAGACCTGCGCTCCGACCCAATCCTTGTCAGGAAGATCAAGCGCATGCAGCGCGCCGAGCTCGAAGAATCGCAAATGGACTCAGACGGCGATGAGGACGACGAAGACGACGTACAAGCACCCCAAAGTTCCCAGCCCAACAGAAGTGGCTCGAGGGTGCAGGTATCAAGCACACAGCAGCCGTCCCAGAGCTCGATTATCGAAGTTCTGGGGGATCCCAGTGATGAGGACGACGAGGACAAGTAAGGAAGGGTTAGTGAACACGTGGGGAAAGATAGAGAATTGATACCCATCTTGGCGTCGTTGATACCCATTTCGGCGTTGAGGATTGAGTTTCCAATCGAATCAGGTACCACGCAGGCTTTATGCTATGCAATGAAGAGGCACGCTCTGAAAGATGTGATTTGGAGGTGAGGCTTCCTGCATGGACCTGACCATAGGCTGCTTGCATAACAATAGTTGCGCTAGAAGACGCAGCAGTATCAATTGGCAGCTGTTGTAATACTCAAAACCGCTATGCTTTTAAGGTAAGTCCTGGTGAGCGCGGCTGTCTAAAGCACACCAGACGGCAAAGTTGGGCTTCAGCTTGTCCTTAAGCTGAGGAACTTTGTGCAGTGCTGCTGTGCTCCAGGCTGTCTTCTTCTATTTCCTTGTATGCGAGAGACCTTCGTGGCTGCTTGCACCGTGGCTGCTTCGGGCGAGTTGTTGCTGTCCCTTCCTATCCACCGGCGCCTACTCTCTCCTTCGTTCATTATCCCGCGCTCGCTGACATTTTGGCAGTTAGCGCCCTTATTCTTGAGTACTCTCTTCTTCCTCAGCGTCGTCAAAAACAACGTTGCGCAACTCGTTCCTCCTCAACGCCTACCGCAGAGACGCAAACCTTCCAACCCGGCGCAGTACTGACTTGACGAGCCTTGTGTCTTGACCACTCCGTGTTTTAGCTGAGTGCTATATTGGGTGCAGTTCAGCTACACTTCTGATCCCAGTGTACTGCCTCCGCTGTTATATCGACGATTCAGCAAGACTGCAGTGTAATACCGTTCCGGAGCAATGGACGATTCGATGCCAGCCCGATTGCCACGCCAATGGGATCCGAAGCCAGATGAGCGAATAAACGAGCTTCAACGCACCTTCTTTCAGATAACTCGCTACGACAAACAACCAGTCGGAAGAACTAAACATCCTGGTTTTGGTATTGTGGAAAAAACTCATCACTAACGGAAAAATCCACGACCTATGCATTTCCCTAGCTTCAACACCAAAGCCGAAGTAGTCGATACAATTGTGAGTCATCAACGACTCACTCGGTCACAGCAAATGACACTAATATATAGGACTATAAGATCCTGACAGACTTCTTGAAACAAGACGAGGCTTCGAGTAATGCGATCCTATATTCAGATCAAGCAATGGTAGCTTTGCAAGCATCCGAGCGCATTCCAGATTCAATCTTTCGTGCGTGGTCCATGTTTCACCACTACAATCATTCATTCACTGAAAATGACCTGGGCGTTGGTTGGAGTGGTACGACAAACGCACTGAACTGCACACGAACCTACTAACCTGCGAGCAGGCATAGTCTTCGGCCTGCAACACAAGTATTACGTAGCCACTGCAATCCCGCACGATGTCACCACAAGTACCACATGGAGTCATCTGTGGCTGGCGACAGTTCGACATAAATTTGCTCCTGGACCGCCTTGAGGGAGTGAGATGGTGCGCTTCCAAGCCTCTCCTGCCACCCTACTTAATGCTCGAATGCACAGTCCTGCATCGCCATGATCTTACTCGCAGAACACATGTGGTGGTGAAGAAGCAACTCACGTGCAGACGGTCGGAAGGTATTGTGGAGTTCGGCGGCGGCTCCGTTCGGCCGCGGGGAAGCCATGCACAACACAAATTTCTTGAAGTACATTTTTACCTTTCTCACATTATAACAGCAACGATGAACCTTGTGGGTGTATCATCGTTGCATTAGGTCTTCGTACGTACATGCGCTTCCTGTGTGAGACTAAGCCATATATCCTTCGAACACCAAACGCCGTGGGTAGATCTTTCTGCACTCAAAGGTGCAGGTCTAAGCGAGTATGGGTATGAGCCATTCCATTATGTTCCCTTCCGCATTCTCCTCTTCCTTATCTCGACTCGTCGTTTAGTTTCACTTGGTTTCGTTCAGTTCGCGAGGTTGAGGGTTCATTTACTTGGTAATGAAGCCAAGGTAGTCGGCGACGATGAGCGTTACCATACTGTTGTCTGTCAGTAACTGTTCTCTTTCAATCTTTCAGAAACGGCTTACGCATGCGGCGCAATTCGAATGTAGTATGTTCCAAACCCGCGGTAAAATCTCAGAAGACCTTCTTCCTTCGCGACTTTCCTGAAGCAGTCAAACATGCCCTTATATGGCAATGTACCGTCAGGTGCGCGTGTCTGCTTCTGCAGCCTCGTCTTCATGAAATCGAAAGGCAATGACAGGAAGGACGCGAAGAACCCAGCGATCGCGGATGCTGTAAGCGTTTGAGAGCGCGAGGAGAGACTCGTGTTCTTAAGCTGCGACTTCGCTTCGCTGAAGAACGCAAGCTGTCCGAAGTTCAGCGCCATCGCGCGGACGACCGTTGGGTAGCAACCCGCCCAGAGACGCAGAACGCCTTCGTTCTTGGAGATCCGCATCAGCGCATCAACAACGGATGTGTAATTTGCACGTTGCGCGGCGGGCTTCATGCCATCGGACTGCATTCTGATGAGCGCCAAATCCGCCGGGTTACCCACAACAGCCGCGAGACCACCGGCCGTCAGACCGGCGCCAGCGCGCTCTTTGAAGCCGACTGTCGTGCCGTTTTCTTTCGCGCGGGCGCTGAGCGTCTTCATGAATGTGTCGAAGAAGCCCAAGCGCGCGGTGGTGTAGACGGCTTGTCTGAGGATACCGGCGCTGAGTCCAGTGTATAGGTCCATGACCTTGCCTGCGGCGACGATGTCCTTTAGGACGCCGATGGGTGTAGGTTTGGGACCTGTTTTGACGCCCTCGCCCGCGAGTTGCAGGCGCACTTTTACCATGTCAACGGGCTGGATGACGGTTGTTGCTGTCATGCCTGCCAGACCACCGTTGATAAACGGTAGCGCTGCGCGCATGAACGGTGTGTGGAGGAAGTCGGCTGTTGCCTTCTTCGGGTTTTCTGCCGCTTTTGACATTGTCTCAGATGCGTCCTTGAGGATAGTTTCAGAGCCTTGCTTTGCGTTTTCGAGAGCGCGGGAGGCGGGCATTTTGAAGGATTGAGTCGATGCTGTGGTGGACATGTTGTTAGTGTCCGTCACTAACACCCAGTCGTGAATGTGCGAGTGACAAATGACAGGCAATTAACAAAGGCGTGACAGATAAGCAGGTGCAGGAGTATGTGTTCGGCAGATGTGAATCGCCAAAGTCCAATGAAGGGATGCAGGACATTCAACAACGGATAACGCCAGTATATATGGACCACCGCCGAAAATGCTGAGCCTCGCACAACATATTCCGGATCGTCTTTCCGGCACTCTACAGTGCCAGGCAGAGCCTCACGGCGCCTGTCGAGGCGGTGTTGCGGTCGTCGCGGTTGTAGTGAAACGGCCGCGGCCGTGGAAGTTAGCCGGCTACATTATACGGCGGAGCGCAGTACTCAAAGGCTCGGTCTTCAGAATGCGTGTCACGCTTCCACGTGCGGCGCGTCCCGTCTCTTGTCCGATACTATCCGCAGAACATTGCAGTGCGCAGAAGAGCAGATGTTGAGAGCTGTTGCGTACCTATGCAGAGAGCTATGCAGAGAGCTGGATCTGCGCTAACAACGGAGGTGTGGGGCGGTTAGACTGGGCGATATGTATGCGCTTCAACGACTGGAACGAAGAAGCATGCAATTAACAAAGGCAATTGCGAGAAAAACAACGGACAAGGCTGTTAGGAAAGAAGTGTCAGGAGAAATGGAAGAGCTGTCACGGTACGCGTTGTGCCATCCAACCAAGCGGTGTCTGGATGAGGGGGCTTGTTGCTCTTGAAATGCGGGGAAAGCTGGATGGTACCATGAGGTACATCCAGCGCAATCCAACCAGTCAAGATGTGAGTCTAACGGCGGATTGATGGCCTCGAGCCAATCAGCTCAAGCTTATTCGATACATTGCTGGTTGTGTTGTCACTCTTGATGCTGAACGTGATGTCCTGGCTTGTGACAGGCCGTGCTACCGCGTGTCACTGGGCATCTCGACTTGGAGACAGTCCTGTCTCTGAGACTGAAATTGTTCGGTAATATGGAGCTATGATTCATGTGATCGGCAGGCACATGGCTGACTAGCCGATGCCTGTGATGCATGCGAGCGCGGTTTAAGTTCGAGTGGGTGAGTTGAGCAAGCAAGAATGACGTAGCGCCCTGCCCAATCAGGAAGAGGGTGCTCAACACCAAAGTTTGAGGCTCTCGTCACCTAGACAGAAGTTAAGATTGCTTACATTAAAGAGTGTTAGCTTTTCATCGTCCACTGTCATCAGGGCTGACGAATTACCCAGACCTGCACGGTTTTTTTATTAGAATTGCCTTTGAGCGTCTCCATAACACCCTTGGAGGACCGTGGCCACCCGCCCAACCTACACCATCATCACCATCACCCATTTTCTACAGCCCAACAATCGTTTCTTCGGAAGTGTTCTTCGGCTTAAAGCACATTGATCTCATTGCGCATCCATCCACGCTTCGGCCACGGCTATTGTTTCTCCGTCAAGCCACAAGAAGACGTTCCTGAATGACGTGCAGGCGATTCGATTCTCTCATTCGCGGAGACAGGACTTTTGTGCGAAAATATGTGCAAAGGGTCTCGATGCATGATGAGGCGGTGTTCTCGCTGATACGCGGTTGAGCACTTGGTGGACGATAAGAGTAGCCGCCCGCGGCCGAGATGTGCTCACCGACAACAACAAGGCTCGAGTTCTCAGACCTTGGAAACACTTACAAGTACATACTGTATGTCGGGATCAGAGCTGGTGCCGAAAGAACTTACTGTTTGAATTGTTCTGGTGGCCTGCAGTTGTTTTCGGGATGTGGAGATGCATCGTCCTGTTTTATGCAGAAGCTCACAGCTAAGTATGATGATTAACGAGACTATAAGCGATCGATCCCGACGTCAGTACCCGAGTAAATTTAAGACCCGACCTCGATCGAGTTCATTATGCTCAACACTTGAACGACTTTGGTGGCGTGTCCAGCACGTTGTCCGTTATGGTATCGAGCCTCGATACAAGCTCCTCTGTATGTCTTGAGCATTGTGTGCAGACCAAGCTCATACCAGAGACCACTTAAGCCTGCGCTTTGATACCCTGCTAGCAATCTCCTCGACCTGGGCTTCAAGTACCTCCTCCGCCATTGGCGCGGCCTCTTCTGCAGTCTGTAGCTGAGGCAATGCGACGATCTCTACCTCAGTACCATCTCCAGCTCCTTCGACGTTGGTTTCTTCCTCATCCGAATCATTGGCATCGCTCTCTCCACTGTCCGATTGCTACTGGTCTGATTCGTCTCACTCTCCGTGTAGTCTGGCTCATGGAACGACCCTCCGTCTGAGCCCTGTTCGTCGATCTCTTTTGCTACGACGGTTTCTTACGTGTTCCATCCAGATTCGACAACGTTTCTCCTTTTTCGGTTCGTCCTTCTCTCAAGATGCGATAGCCAAGCTTTCGCTATCTTGCTCCAAAACCGACAACGTTTTTTCATGATGCCTTTCCACACACGCTGAACCCGCTGCTTGTGGGCTTTCAGACGAGGTGCCTCGCGCCACATGCTCAATACACCGATGGTCAACAGGACAGTGACTGTCCAGTACAACCAGACCCAGGTTGAGACAGTCGCCCCCTCACTCCGAAGATCAAAGTCCAATAGCTTGTACTGTACAATGTAGCGACGAACGTTCCTGGCAGGAAGAAGAGAGCCACAGCAGCAATGACTCGCATGTCAGCTCTGTGTCAATGATTGATCTTGTTGTCTCTGGCTTAGAGCACTGCATATACCTAGATATCTTTGGTGAGCTGGAGCCCGGGCTATTGATAAGTAGGTAATGCACTCACCATATTTACCTGACCATGAACTGTGGCCAGTAAGTTCTCGTTCCTCGAAGTCAAGGAAGTGACGGTTTGGTTAAGTATGACCAGGTTGTCTTTGAGCTCAACATCAGCCAACCCGTGCTTTGGCTTTGGTGCGGGACTGGAGCTCTGTATGAATCAACTCATAGACCTGGGTAGCCGCCAGCAAAAATCTTCCCTGAAGTATGGCTGTGTTTGCCAGCTGCGTCAGAGTTTAGGGCATGTCGTTCAGGATGAGTCGTCCAGGGTGACTTCTTTCTAGTCTTGCGCACTGCTTTGTCGATGAAGTGGCATCCCATATGGGTCCGCATTGGCGAAATAAAATCTTGTCGAGGTTTTCGTACTCGGTGTGGCATTGCTCAATATCATGGTCCAGCATAATCGTTGGCAGGAGAAGAGGTTCGAATGGGAATGGCCTCACCGACCTTAGGCCAGCGAGTAAAATGTCTATGTTCGAGCTTCGCAATCTGCAGACAAGAGCATATGTTGAATCTGTGGAGTGGTGGTGGACAAGAGACGCTGACGCATAGCCATTCCATCGGAGACAAAACGTGATCCTAGGTTTGTTTCGTCAGTACAAACAGCACGCATCTGCTCAGCCCCCCCCCCCCCCCACATGCTACTAAATAAGAGATCTTTCAGAGCCCAAAGCGTACGTATGTTTCCCCATATCGAGTTTCATCAGTCTGTGGAGTAGAGATTGGATGACACAATTCGCGACGGAGCGAGGGGATAGGTTGCCGACAAGCATCAACAAGGCTTCTTGGACGATGTCCAGAAGTTCGAATGGCTGACCGATTTCACGGTCGATGATGAAGAACTGCCAAGAATCCACGACAATGGGGTCGTACATCGATGTTTTCCTCATTCGCAACTGGTTCTTGATGTCCTCCAGGGTCATAGTCTTGGTCCATGCTGCATAATGCAGACCTTCGCGTGTTGACGCAGATCGATAATGGTTGATGAAGATCTCAGGTTCTGTAGGGTGGACAATAGCTTCCGCATTGGTGCCCTCATAGACGACAAGGTGCAACCGATTTGTCTGTTTGCGTAACTCTTCCAAAGAAATACCGTGTAAATGGGTCACCCATCGCCATCTGTCCGCAGTGGTAATTTCGTGATTCGACATGGATGTAAGCTTTGGTTTCGTCTTTCAGTCTGAGACTTGATGTGTAAATGTAACGGGTTTGATACTCTACCAGTCAGACCAATAGCATCAACTCGCTGTTCTATGCTCACTGTGGTTAGATGCTCGCCTATTGCTCGCTTATATAGCTATCTTAGAGGTCCTCTGCATCTTTCAATAAACACAGTACATTTCTACAACTCGAACCTTAAGAGTAAATCTCCTTTGCTCGTTGGGACGAAACTAAGGTATACGCCAGTAGTGCACTCACTCAGTATACTCGTGGGATCAAATCAGTGTTCGTTGTACATACCAAGCATTAGGAGTTTGCATATGGTGGTATGGTCCTCGAAATTTGAGCAAATACTTGCGACGGTCCAGGGTGTCAGAAGGGTTGAGAACCAAAGATAGCTGCAGCTTGTCAGGTTTGAGATATTGCAACATAGAGGAAGCACATATAGTATATCTCAGACAGGCATGATCATGCGAAGACCCTCCGCGGAACTAGGGATGACGCTACCAAAGAAGGCGAATAGATTTGATATTGCCTCCAGCCAACGTCTGAGCACAGATTGCTACACGCAGGTACTGCACCGCCTGAGGTTGCCATGCATTCTCAAAATAGTCACAGTACATCGCAAGCTGGCTGGCCCCGCAGCCAGCGAGGAACTCGTCAATGCATCTCGACCTGCTCGCGTGCTCTAGCACTTCTGCTCCGCTATTGTTTAGAATCATGATACGAACCCAGGCTCGTAAAATCTCGACGCCAAGATTGACTTGATCACCATTGGGCGAGTCATTTCTGCGTGGTTTATCGTCAAGATCAGGAACGATACTGTAGAGACGGTTGATAGCGTCATTGCAAATATCGGGTTGAAACTGCTTGAAAACCTTGTTATTTCCATCGTCAAGCATACTCTGAAGTGAGCTCATGGGTATCCTGGTGCATAGCGGGGATTGGGTTACCAAGCTCTTTTCAAAATGTTCCGCGTCCTGGTATAGTGTGGCCAATCTAGGGGTCTGGCGTGGGGCGGCGATCTTTCATGCTCGACACTGCAGCGCGTTAGCAACAAGCCAATCCAAGAGCGTGTCTACCAGCACGCTGAACAGTATCGATAGCTGATTATTTGGCAGTAATATATGACAGTGACAATGTAGAGACTTAGTCATTAGGCACAACACATTTGCTAGGGAATATTGGCAGAACATACTCAAAAACGCATCTGCGAGTTGTCGGGTGTCAGTCTCGACCTTTGCAATCCATTTCGTGTAGTCTGGTGTATCCACTCCGCAGGTATGGAATCCCCCGCATAGACGGCGGCGCAGATTCATCGCCAACTGGAGTTGTACCTACCAATTCGTCACGGTTCTCAGCCTGACCAAATCAACTAAGTTTTATCAGTACTCCAATGCCTCCTCAAATAACCCTCTCAACTGTTCCCTCTGCTGCTCCAATTCAGTTTCCAGATGTGGCGCCAACATCAACACTCTCTGCTGAGGAATCGTGCCTTCCACCAATCCATCCACATGCTCCTTCCCAAAACCCAGTGCCTTCAATCCACGTGGCTGATCGCCCAATTTAACCAAAAAGTCCGCTAGCGCCTCACCAAGCACTTCACCAGCACTCTCTTTTTTCACGTTTGAGATGTCCACGCCGAACGCCTCAGCTGCAGCCAAATGCCTCTCTGGGTTCGACGCGCCGGTGAACTTGAACACTGCAGGTGCGGTAACGGCGACTGAGACGCCGTGAGGAATAATGGGGTGGTCGACTTCATACCCGGCGTGCTTGTAGCCTGGGTTCTGGCCTGAGATGGGATAGGACATGCCGTGGCACAGATGCACACCCGCATTTCCGAAGCCCACGCCGGCGAGTGTCGCGGCGAGTAGCATCTGGCTTTGTGCTTCGTGGTCTTCTGGGTCCTTGACGGCACGAGGTAGGTACTTGACTGTGTCGCGGAGAGCTTGCAGTGAGAAGATGTCGGAGATGGGATTCGCGCCTTGGTACGCAGGGCGTTGGATGGGGTTCTGTGGGCGTGGGGTACGCTCGTAGTAAGGGATCGCGGTCCATGACTCGAGGGAGTGACAGAGCACGTCGAGACCTGAAGAGGCGTGGACTGCGCTGGGCATAGTGCGAGTGTTTATGGGGTCGACTATGCCGAGTGTGGGCTTGAGGTTGCGGTGGGCGATTCCGGTTTTTGCGCGCTTGGAGACCAGATCGAAGATGGCAGTGCCTGTTGTTTCGGAGCCAGTTCCTGCAGTTGTGGGGACAGCGACGAGGGGAAAGAGCTTGGAGGGGATGGGAAGACCCTTGCCGAGGGGCGCGTTGACGAAGTCGAGAAAGTCGGCGTCTAAGGCATGTCAGTATGATTCGACTCAGTTCTGGAAGTCAAAACATGTCTTACCGGGAAATGTGGTGTACAGATTCATCAACTTCGCCGTATCAATCACACTTCCACCGCCCACCGCCAGAAACGCATCCGGCTTCCACGGTTTCGCAAACTCAATCGCCTCCTTGATACTACTATCCTTCGGCTCAACCCTCACTTTATCATACACCTCAAACTCTACACCCTCTCTCGTCAACCCCTCCACAACCTGCTTCATCGCATCCAACTTCCGTACATTCTGATCTGTAACAACCATGACGCGCTTCGAGCCCATGTTCTTGAAGTCCATGCCCACTTCTTTCGTACACCCGGGGCCGAAGCGTATACTGGAGGCAGCCATCTCGAAGGCATATTCTTTCTGCTGCGAGAAGTCGACGGGCGTTGCGAGGTGTCGGCGGGCTTGGTGGATGGTGGAGGGTGTTTGATTGTGGTAGTTGGGGTTGGCGTGGCAGGGACATGAGGATGGGTGTGTGAATTGGACGGTGCGGAGGAGGTTTACTACGCGGGCGGCGCGTGAGGGTGCTATGCGGATCGCCGTTGATAGCGTCATCGTGTCTTGATGGAGCTCAAGGGAATGCGGGGTGCTTATGAGGTGGAGCTTCGTATGAGGCCAATTGAAGGTCCCTCAGGTATCCTTTTGATCGTGCAACAGTATCTGAGCTTTAAGCTCTATGTGAAAGTCCTCTTTCCAAGAGATGTGCAAAGTGTAAGGGAGAATAGCTAGCTGAGTGATGATGCGGAGAAGCGCCCCGGCGTGTAACATCCGCGACCTCGGTCCAACTGACAGATCGCGCTATCCCAAAGCGGTATACCGAATTGTGGGAATGCCTCCAACTTCTAGCTTCAGTCTCTGATGATTAACCTTGATGATATTTCTACATGTCTCCGCATACGTCCCACACGGGAGAGCCGCACGGGTGTCCTGATGACAAGGATTGACAGCGGTCAAAGCAATACCAAGACAACTAAACCCCTTTGTGTGACCAGCAGTATCAGAAATCCGAACGTCGCTCGGCCCAATGCGACAGCCTGTTGACAAGATCGTAGTCGACTCGGAGTGGCATCGCTTTGGATCACGATTCTTCCGCTCTACTAGCAACACGTTCGGCGCGACGCTTATCGTGGTAGACTTCGAGTATCTCTTCTGTTCTTGGTAAAAAGATGGCATGGAACTCTCGGTTCGCACAGACGGATTTCGTCTTCCATGGCACCTGTTTTGAAATAGAACTGGACAGCAGAATGCAAGCAGCTATAATCCCGAACGCTATTGTGAGTGAGGGTGTCTTCGTCTCCCTTTTGACTGCGCTTCGTCACCCTCGTCAATGCCTTCGTACCGTTGCCCTCTCTCCTGCCTCCGCTCCTCACGCGATGGATCACACCGTAGCATCAATCAACGCAACTTGCACACGTGGCCCTCAACCAATAGATTGTCGTTTCTCAGCTACGCGATTGAGCCGCCTATTCCTTCCTGATCAACCACTTCAGCTCATCAGCTTGCTCCTCCGTGACAATCTTTTCGAACGTCTCCTTTGCCAAAAAGTCATGATCCGAGTACTCGAACCCCGGCACAACCGTCTGCAACACACGTCAGCTCAACTCAACCCCAGAACTTCCATCTTGCTCAACGCATCCCCCATAACGAAAACTCAGCAACATACCTCACTAATCAACAACTTACTCTCCCACTCATCTACCCCCTCCTCCGCTTCCAAAAAACTAGCCTTGTACTTCCCGCCCTCCACAACCCACACAACCTTCTCCCCCGCCTCAACATCCTTCCCCACAACAAAACTCTCCACCCTCTTCTTCTCGCCCTCCTCATCATCATGAATCAACACATACCGTCCCCTGCCTTGGATAAGCGTATGCACCGTCCTTCCCGCATTGCGATGGAAGTGACCCTGAGGTGAGTGCGGGGTGAGGAGGTAAAGGATTGATGTGGAGGCGTTGCGGACTGAATTGTCGCCGCTGAAAGGTTTGTCTGCTGTTGTTGCATACTCGTGATCCTGAAACGGGTTTGGTACTGTTCTTTGGTCGCGGTCGATTTCTGAGAAGTACCCGCCTTCGGGGTGTTTTATCATTTTGAGATTGTCGATTAGGGTCTGGGTTGAAATTGTTTCGTGGGGGATGGTGCCGGGTTCGAAGGTTGGTGAGAGGGGAGGGTTGGAGGGGGAGATTGAGGATGTCATGGTTGTTTGGATGCTGGCTGAGTATGAAGTTCGAGGAAGTAAAGATTGTGGAAATAGGGATGATGGTTGTGTGTGAAGCACGTGCGTGAGATGATGGAAATGTCGGTGTAAAGCTAAGTCATCTGCACGCTCAGTCATAGTAATGTGGGGTAAACTTGTCCGATAAGCAGCTCTTATCGACTGCTCTAGCGTGTTTTTGTCAGATGCACCTGTTACGGTGGAATGACTTGACGTTCGAGAAACAGAACGTTGCAGGATCCAGTACTACATTCCTATATGCAGGTACGCCCGGCTAAGTTCGTACTTTCCTACAACTACGCCACACCCACGCTATACTTGCAGTCCTACATCATCGACCGTACAGTTCATTTATCCCAATGCTCCTCTCTATACATCCGTATGCGCCCCGCTACATCCCTACTATACTCCTGGTATGAAAACAGAAGTAGATGGAAATCTTGTAATAGAAATTAGCGCACCAAATAGGAGAAGGAGGTTTGCTATAATACAGGAAAGGGAAAAGTGCGATCTGCGGACAGGATATCCATGCTGTCCGCTCCGCCGAGAAGGTACATTGATGCTCAACAAATGTGGCTAGATGAAGATGGCGTTGTCCCTGGGATGCCTACCACATGTCATCGTCTCCGCTCTTATCTGAGTCTGAATGGCCCTGTTGTCCCTGCCTCACAGGCTGCCCAAGATAGTTCGAGCTATTCGAAACGCTGTAACCTCCGCCGTTTATGCTGTGCTGGGAGTGATGGCTGTCACGAGGACTTTGGCCATACTTTTGCTGTTGCTGGTGATATCCGTTATGTTGCTGCTGCTGGGCGTTCTCCTGCTGATTGTGGGCGCTGGGCCATTCGCTCGACTTCTCAGGCTGCTCTTGTTGCTGCTGTTGCTGTTGGGTTAGTCAGCCTAGTTCACAGATCACGTGTCTGATTCCAGGCTTACCTGCTGCTGGTACCGCTGATACTGCGAAAACTCTTCAGGCTGCTGCTGCTGCTGCTGCTGCTGCTGTTGCACTTGTTGTTGTTGTTGTTGTTGTTGTTGCTGCTGCTGCTGTTGCTCCTTCTTTTGCTGAGCGACAGCTAGCTTGGCCTGTTTCGAGTTGCCGATCTGTATCTGCGGGTGCATCTGCTGTACCTTGGCGAGGTACGAGTACATGAAGTTACTGAGCAAGACTTGGGAGTAAAGTTCTCGGCGAGGGTTTGCGAGCTTGATATGAGCCATGCGGTAAATTGCACGTTCTTCGAGGATGGAGAATCGGGTCCAGTTGTAATCGATGTCGGGCTTGAGGATCCGTGGTGGAGGTTCGGGTGACAATCCACGTGAAGCGTTCTTCTTGTGGCTTGACTCTTTCTCGCCCTTCTTTTTACCACCACCAAAGATGGAGGATAGCAGACCTGGCTCCTTCTCTTTCTTGTCACCAGATGCTCTTCTGCTGCTCTCTTTCTTCCGCTCTTCTTCGAGCTTGACGCTTTCGCGGTCCAGCACGACGCTCTCTCGGCCGCGGTTGCCGCTTTGCATGGAGGATTGAAGCAAGTCCAATCTTGTGTCATCAGGCTTCTCTTGTGGCTTACTGAGCTTATTCTTGAATTTCTTGGCTGCTTCCTTCTCGCGCTCTTCTTTCTCCTTTTCCTTCTTGTCGTTGCCAACCAACCAGCCCCAACTTGTCTTCCTGGGTGCATCGTCTTTCTTGTCTTTCGACTTCTTGTCCTTCTTGTCGTCTGGAAGATTTGGAATGATTGACAGATTATCAACTCTCGTGCTGTGGTTGCCAGGGATGGGCGAGGGGTGTTGTGTCAGATCGTCAAGCGACTGCTGTGGCTTGATTGGAGAGCTTTGAGCAGCTTGAGCATGTTTGTTCTGCCGACTCGACGGAGATTGTCGTTGCTGCTGGTTTGGAGGATGAGGCTGGGCTTGGCTGCGAGGTCCATTCGGCTGCTGCTGCGGGTACTTTTGCGGGTACTGTTGAGGTTGTTGCTGAGGCTGCCTCTGTTGCTGTTGCTGTGGGTGTGGCTGAGGTGACTGCCGTGAAGTCGTACGCTCAGGAAGCTGATACTGCTGCTTTCGCTCTGGCTCCTTGGGCGGAGGGGTTTCGATGATATGAGGGACAGGTGATGCTAGTTGTGGCGCAGGTGCGTTGTATCCGGGCAAATGCGCGCTCGTCCGACCATTGGACGCTATCCTCGAGTGGAAGGCCTTCGGCTTCGGCCCTTGACGCTCTTCTTGTCCACGTCCAGCAGGATCCGGTCGTGTTTGAGGTTCAGCAGAACCAGGTCGTTGCTCCTCCTCGGTAGGTGACGTCCTCCTGTTCGGCCGTGAAAAGTTTGAAGGCTCGAAGGCGCCGTTGATAGGCTCTGACTGTACTCTGTTGAGTTGTGGCAGCTTGGGCAGCTCGGGTACGTCTGGATGAGTTGGTGATGTAGATGGAGAATCTTCTGTGTCTGTCTCGGCGCTGCGGCTGGCAAATCGTCTTGAAAGTGGCACTCGGCCCTGACTTCGCAAACTGCCTCGCCTGTATGTGGTGCGTGTAGATCGTTTCAGCGTGCCCATTCCACCTCCCATGCCACCTGGGATAATAGGTGCATCACCGTCTATCGACTCTGGAGTTGGGCTCCTGGACATGCTCATACGTCTAACAGTCGCCGCCGGGTCCTCTACAATGTGCTCCAGCTCCTGCAAGTTCGACAGCCCGCCATTTGGCTGGTTTCCTGAGCGTTTCCTTTCCAGACGCTCAGCACCGTCCTTGTAGCCAGAACCAGTGTCGATTTGTCGTGAAAGCATAGACTTCTTCCTGCGTAGTCCACCACCAGAATCCTGTCGCCCCATCCCTCCATCTGGCGATAACGAGGAGCTCAACTCACCAGATCGGCGTCTTATGGTGTGAACCTTCTCTTCGATAAACGTCTTGAACTCTTTGGGGGCCAGCTCAGGGTGCAGGCGAGCGGGTACCCAGAACGACTGCTGGTTGTCGTCGTCCGACAATGCTGGCGGAGATACTGGGCCCGAGCTGTAGGACTGAAACGAGGGCAGGTCGGGGTCGGCGTTGTGAACGTCCATAGACATCCGGCGGATTGCCTGCAGATTGCTGAGCTCCTGGGCGAGTCCGGCGGGACTCGACTCGTAGTCGAGGTCGTTGAGGGGAAACTGCTGCGAGGCGGTGTCGGAGGTGGTGCGTGACAGAGGTGGTGAGAGCTGGCCGTTGGGGCTGTTGCGGGCGCCCGGGGGAGACATGCCGCCGGCGCCGTTGGGGCTCGTGGACATCTGGGGCTTGCCGTCGAGATGCACCTGAGGGCGTAGGGGCGACTTTGCGGGCGGGGCCATGCCGGGGAAGGGATCGAAGGGGGTTTGGATGCTGTCGCTCAGGGAGTCGGGCAGGAAGCTGAGTGGCCGCGAGCTGCGCTTGGGGGAGTCGGCGTCGCTGTCTCCGCCATACAGATCGCCTATGGCCTCGGTGACGTGGTGGTTGTCATCGCTGATGGAGATGTGCGGGACATGGCCGCGGCGCATCTGGTACACTCGCTCGAGCTCTCGTGCTCGGTCCTGTGCCTGAGGGGTGGGCGGAGAGGAGGTCAGCTAGAGTGCGCCCAAGACGAGACGAGACAAGACAAGACAAGACAGCGACCGGGGACCGAGGAGATACAGCGGCAAAGGGGGGGTTGTGAAGCCGCGACAGCCAGCAGCGCCGACGTCTGTTTCACCGCCCGGCACGCTGCACGCCCACTGGCTGCGTGTTGGATGCGAGGGTTCTCTTCCTGGTACTCACCATTTTGGCTGCGCGAGGAATGTGGAGGCGCTCCGACTGCCACGGGGGGTGCCTGAGGGGAGCTGTGGGCGCACAGCGAGGGCATCAGCGAGCGAACGCCGAGGCGGAAGGCCGTGGAGGTGCTAGGCGGCGTGCAGGCGAGTGAAGAATAATCTAATAGGGGTCACCATCGCTGGCGGTGCAGAGGATGCGTGAGCGAACAACAAAGCGTGAGCCCTGCAGCCCTCATGTTGAAAGGTCCCAGCGTTTACTACCTAAGCCAGAAGTGTCCGCCCCGGAGCGCCTAGCCTCATCGTACACTTCACTACCAAAACATCCATCGGTGCCATGAACACTCGCTAAACATTTCTGCGAGGCTGAAAAGCCTACCCAGCCAAGACGCAAAAGTGCCATCTATCTATATCGTGCAGCATGTGGCGCCAGGTCACCGTCCTGAGCCTGTCTCTCGGCTATGTGCTGTGTCTTCACGCGTGGCCCGCAACTGATTGATGGTGTTAGCGCCTCCATCTATCCGCCATCGATGTAGCCAGCCGAAGCGCCAGCGTACCCCTGCAGAAAGACTACTCGCTCGTGCCTTTCACGAGTACATCGTACAGATCTGACATCATTGTGGTGGCTCTTTTCGTCAATGAAGAGTGGATTATTGATTATTGACTACGGTGATTGAGTGGATGCTCCAAGTCTATGCAACGGAGGGTGATCATACGCAGGGTCATTGTCATGAGGATGCACTGTTTCTCTTCCAGATGAAGACGGCCGACGCAACAACGCACGTAACAGCGCCCAGCGCCAGATACAAGTTCATGTTATCGTAACCACCCTCATCTTCGTTCTTCGGGAACGCAGTCGATGGGTGTGTCGCACACTCAGCCAGCTACACAGGGTCAGCTCGCAATCATCACGTCGGGTACTGGTGGATGACTTACGTGAACGAACAGCTCTGATATGCTGCTCCACGTCGCACTAACATGCAGGGGCGGGGCCATGCGCAACGCGCTCGTGTACTCATCAGGCTGCTGTTCACATCGCTGCATCGTCTTGTCTTGGTCTGCCTTTAATGCTGTGTATACCGCAGGTAGTTTGTCCAGGTGAGGGTACTTCTTCCGCAACTCCACGATGTGTGCAAAGCTGTCCGGGTCAGAAGAGTCATATGTGTAGCACAGCAAGTCACAAGCATCCAGCTTGGCTTGGTTTTCGAGGATCGCAAGCTCCAGCTCGCCGAGTTCTTCGAGGATGAGGTAGCATTGTTTGCCACCTTTGAGCTCGACACTGTTGACTGCTGATCGAGGTTTGATGGTGGGATGGTACGTTTGCGTGAACGGTCGTTGCAGAAATGACGACAACAACGCGCTCTTCCCACTGCCGCTTGAGCCTAGCACATAGCCTAGGAAGACATTGCGCTCCACTCGCGCAGGCCTGTTTCTTCTCTTCCTGGCCTTTGTCTGCTTCAATGCACTCGTCGTGCCGCTTCGGTCGTTGCTTTCGAACCCGAGGTACGCAAGGTACTCGAGTGTCGTCTTGGGCTCTTCGAAGGTTGTCATGCTCCATTGCGCTAACCAACCCTGGAGTGTGATGTGGCCGGCTTCATTGCGCACTGTGCATGATGGAAACGCCGAGTCGGTCCAAGATGTTGGAATACCAGGTGTTGTCGCAAAAAGATTGGCGAGTTCTCGGTCGTTGAGTCCTCCATCATTGTCCTTGTCGAACTTCAGGAAAAGGTCGACGAAGAATCGGTATCCAGCTGGACTGAGCTCCGCAGATGAGAACTGCGCAACTTCGAATTTCGGCCGTAAGTATGCGTCCTGTAGACTAAGACTATCAGTGTAGTGGAACTTTCGCAGGATGATCCAGATGGTCTCGTGGCGGCCCTTCTCTGCAAAGATCTTATTCAACAGCAGGAAGCCCTTCTCATCCATTCCATTTTCTCCAGTAGCGCCTGGTGCAAACCTCTCCATCGATTTTTTGATGTTGGCCAGGTCGTCCTCGCCCAGTGGCTTCTCGAAGCACTTGATCTGGAAATCGTGTATCTCCTGATCATTCCAGTACCCATCCTTATCTGTGTCGCAGAGGTGGAACACTCGCTGAAGCGCAGATACGGCTGCTGGCTTGAGTGCGTTCTCTTTTGAGTCGTATAGCGGCGCTATTGGGTGGGTGACGGCTTTCTGGCAGAGGAAGAAGACCTCGTTGATGTTTGCATGCTCCTTCGCACTGGTCCGTATGCACGAGTCGATCTCTTTAAACTCGTTCATGACTGGCAGCATCTCCTCTGCCACCACTTGTGATGTCGTTCCGTTCGAGGCTAGATCGGCTTTGTTTGCACATAGCACCACCGGTACATTAACGCCCAGAGAGCGAAAGTACGGCATCCAGAACAGCGCGACCCTCTCATAGCTGTAGTGGTCCGAGTATACTAGTAGTATGACATTCGATTTGCGCAGCTCCTTCCGCAGAGCATGCCGTTCGTGGGGCAGGGCGGAGGTGTCAACGATGGTAGTGGTGACATTGTCCGGCGTTCCGAGCGTAGGCGGCAGCGTTACCTGGGGAAGTACGGGCTGGATTTTGGCAGTGACGAAGACATCCTTGACGAGCGAGGTGATGATGGAGCTCTTGCCGACTCCCTCGTCACCGCAGACACAGATCCGGACTGGGTCACCACATTAGTCAACAGCCATGGCAAGCAACATCAACATCAGCAAACACAGGCAGCTCCGGCAGCTCGGGCAGGGGGGCTCCACATACCGGTCGCCATATCTCAGCATGTTCACTGCTCACTGCATGTCAGTGAGGTTTGAGAGCAGGGCGCGAAGAAGTAATATAGATCCAAAAGAGGTATGCCGGATGCAGGTACAGCACTGAAGCTACTATCGGTGAAGCTTTGGTAAATGATTCGATCAGCAGGTGAGTACCGAGCGCTGCGTCCACGTGTCTTGGCGATCACAACCTTAAAGCTCCCCGCATTCGCGCCAGGCTACCGGAAAGTGAATTGAGATGACAAGCTCCGCCGTTGCTGAGAGACAGCCTTGCCGCAGCGTCCTTGTTCATAGTGGTCCTTTCCGCCAAAAGTGACAGCAGCGATGCCGTGAGCGCTGTGCACGGTTCCACCCACCCAGGCATCCAACGCAAGCCACATCCGAATGCGATGTTAGGCTGTTCGTCTCTCCGCATTCTTCACTGTTCGGTCGACTGCGCCGCGACTCAATCCTCCGTACGGTCCGTCGCAGCGCACACGGGGCCACCTACTCCGACATATACATAATCGCCCCACCCTCCTCGTTATGCCCGTGTCTGTATGTGCTGTATAGTGATTAACTAATAGTATATTGCACCGCATCAGCCATGTTGTGAGTATGCCCTGGCCCGCCCACCAATCGCAGCACTACCGCTATCATGCCACCACCTGCACGCAAGAAGCTGGACTGACCGCTCATCCCAGCGTGCTACCTCCACCACCTCGGTACCCTGTTGGCGGCTATCCCGGTGCGCCGCCAGGACAGCTTATCGAGACCAACAACAGCATCAGCCACCCCACCGGGCCCGAGTACCAGTTGGTGGTGGGAGAGGGTGTGTCCAAGTCGGCGCATGCGCGCAGGGCATACTGGACCCTTTGCTGACCGTTGACATGACAGGCACTTACGTTCTTCGCGATGACCTCCACCTAGCAACCCCACCGCCGCACCCTTCAGAAGCACCTGTACATAATCCCAACCCGCTCGCGACCACCGTATCACCGCCCACCCAAGGCACCAAGCTATCCCTCGTGGCTCTTGCGCCCCGCCAGCCTTCCTCGACACTGCTGCAGAGACTCGACACGAAGAACAGCACATGGTCGCAGGTCCCGCCTATCGCCGAACACGAGTCGAACAGCCATACGAGTGACACTGATTCGCAAGGTGTAAATGGCTTCGTATCAGCGCCGCTGGATGGGCTGCGGACGCCGGTATTCGGCGCGGACAATGCAGCTCTGAACGTAGTGAACAGCAAAGCATCGAAGGACCCCAGCAAGAGAAACAAACCGAAGAACAACATCGTTAAGAGCAACTCGTCGTTTGTATCCAGAGTCATCCCGCACGAAGCCCTGACGAAGCGACTACAAGAGCACAACGTCAATGGTCTCTATGCCTTCGCCAACATCAACCGCGCATTGCAGTGGCTGGACTTGACATCACCGACTAAGGAGGAACATTTGACCAAGATCTTGTTCACAAAGGCACATGCGCTATGCCACGACATCAACCAGGTCACCAGGGGACCAAACCACCTCGACATAGTTATGGGCTTCTCGACAGGTGATATCATCTGGTACGAGCCCATGTCGCAGAAGTACTCGCGTCTCAACAAGAATGGCATCATCAATCCAACGGCGGTGTCTGACATTCGGTGGATACCAAACAGTGAGAATCTGTTCATGGCTTCGCACATGGACGGCAGTCTTGTTGTGTACGACAAGGAGAAGGAAGATGCGGCTTTTGTTCCTGAGGATCAGACGCCTGATGAGGGCATGTCTGACATGGAGAGGAAGACCAGGCTCACGGTAAAGAAGTCTGTTCAGTCGAAAAATCAAAAGGCAAATCCAGTGTCCTACTGGCAGATATCCAGTTCGAAGATCAACGCTTTCGAGTTCTCGCCAGATCGCCGTCATTTCGCCGTCGTCTCAGAGGATGGATCGTTCAGGATTATCGACTTCTTGAAAGAGAAGCTGTTGCACCACTACATGAGCTACTACGGCGGCATGATGTGCGTCTGCTGGTCGCCAGATGGTCGATACATCGTTACGGGAGGCCAGGACGACCTTGTTTCGATTTGGTCTTTAGAAGATCGTATATTGGTAGCGCGCTGTCAGGGACACAACTCCTGGGTCACGGGCGTTCAATTCGATCCTTGGAGGTGCGATGAGCGCAGCTACCGGATAGGAAGCGTTGGGGAAGATACCAGATTATTGTTGTGGGATTTCAGTGTGGGCATGCTGCACCGACCGCGAGCCGCGTCGTTGCGGCCCCGGAACAGCATGGCGTCGACGAACCTTAACATGCAACGCACACGTACGGAGAGTTCTGCTGGCCGTATGCGATCGAACTCCAACCTTACGTCGGGGAGTGCACTCGATGATGACGAGGTCGTGCATCCGGTCGAGCCCCGCGCACGCACCGCGATCCTGCCTCCAGTGCTGGTGAGTCGATGAATACGGACAACGTCACAGAAAGCTAGTGCTAACGTTCTGCGCAGACCAAGGCGGTCGACGAACACCCTCTTACATGGTTGGCCTTTGAAGAGGATTGCATAATAACATCGTGCAAGAACGGTACGTCTCAATTTCGTCAATTGCCGCTCATCATCTTGAAATTTTCTCTCCCAACCTCGCGAGCACGTTTTCGTCCTATAAATTTGGCGATAAGGCTTGTTTGCCGCAGCCATCGCGCTAGGGCAGGAACACCCGCCGCCGTGCAGGACCCGCTCGCCGAGTGCGCTGTGTTTCTGTTGGGAGCTGCAAAACTTCATACGAACTGATAAGGACCCTCGATGTGGATCGAAGCTGGGACTGTGCTGATATCTGACTGTTTCCCAGGGCACATCAGGACTTGGGACCGCCCGAAGGAGGGCTCCTCAACAGACGACAGCGGACGTACGCGCTCGCAGACGAGTTCGAACGCTGGCATCTCATAGATATACAACATGTTTGGGGAGTTGTTCTTAATGGCGGACTTATTGGGACGTTGGAACACTACGATGAGGCTCTGCGAGCACCTGCATGCGGTTTGGCAGGGGTGGCCGTTTAAAGTTCTCTCCGGGAAGGCCCGATGGCCGTGTCTTCCTCGCGTTCTGGAACCGCACGTTACTCACGACCAAGATTCACCGCGCCACACGCATCTTGCATGCGCGTGGCATCCTCTCAGGCGTTCGACTGTACAAAAGACTGGCATATGTAGGGGTGATGGCGCACGCAGCATGCTGTACATCCACTCTTATCTCTATCTCTCACAATCGCATGGCGTCACACATCGTCAAAATCTGATGCTCGAACGATCTCGCGATGACTGTGTGACACTCTGGTCACATTCATCGCTGTGAAGCTTGCTCCTCGGCGAGAAGTCCGATTATCTGATTGCGGCATCCTCCTGGGCACCGCAGTGGAAAAGGTATCCACTGCGGCTTTCCGCTGCCGTGTGTGATGTGAGGCTGGACTGATACCAGCGTGTCGCACGTCGATCAGTGCAGCTCCTTACCCGAACAAGTGTAGAGATTTTCCGTGCCGCGGGCATAGAGACGTTGGTCGTCCATCGTGAGCGTGCAAAGGCGGAATGAGATGCAGATTGCGAAAGTGCATGTTTCACCACATCAAACAAAGGACTGCCATCTCAAGGGAGGTGCTCACCGTATCTTGTATCAGAGATAGATGGTGTGATCTGGAACATCACTCGGGAGCCTTACTGTGCTGATACTTGATAACGATACGAATATCGATGCGTGTGTGGCTGATGAACATGCACAATGGAGGCTGAAGCCAATTTCCTTGATTCGCAAAGTTCTGTTCTAGATAGTAGCCCGGGTAGATCCATGCTTACCGGAGCATCATGAAACTGCTCAGGTGTTGAGTGGTCTAGCAAAATGCCCTCTGCACAGGCAATGTTGATGTGCTGAGTACCTCGATGCATAGCACGCCTCAGCTGTCATCACCATCAAACTTCTTCCAAGTCTAAGCAACAGCTCGGCGAACCGCATCAAGGCGAGCCGTCTCAAGCTGGCCGCGCTGGCTTCCCTATCTCACTCAGCAGCGCCGCAGCAGGCATGTGTCAGGTATCACGCCGTTCGCGGGAGGCTATCGGTCCACCTTCTTTTCGGTGGATCCGGCGCGCCAGAAAAATTCAAGATCCCAAGACAAGCAAGACGCGCAGAGTGCAGGTTGCAGACTGCGCTAGCGAAGACAATGATGCGAGCAACCGTACCCACTCTGGTAGTCTACCCTGCGCAGTGGATCGCTGTGCGCTGAGTGAGGACGTGCAAGGGTGGTGAAGGGGCCCATGCAGGCCGCCCTTGCCCGCGGCGGCGGCGGCGAGCATCCCACGCTGCTTGCTGTACATGTAGAACGAGGCAGCTTACACGCGGCTGGCTTGCAAAAGTCGGATCGATCGCCATCACGAAGTGTTGGTGTTGTTTAGAAAATCCACCCAGCTCCTACGCAAGACGCAAACGCTAAGCCACCACACTACTACAACCACCGAACTTGAAAGTACCATACCAGTCAACCTTACGACAGCCCACCCTCGTTGCGCCATATACCTTACTCTGTAGAGATCACTGTTCTCTATTAATATTCTCCTAGCACTCAGTCCTGAAAGGGCGAGTATTATGATTTTGGACTCCCGGTGATTTTCCTGGTCTTGTCGCTCGTTACATCATGCCTCGCCCCGGCGTCGGAGTGTTTGGCGGGAGAAATCATACGCCCGTGCTGGAGATCAAGTACGTGCAATTGCGATCACTCTGCGCAGAGAGTAGGAGGGGAATGGCCATTAACCTTCGTATAGACCAGAATCACCATTCGTGGTGTTCTACGGCGAGCCCTCAGACTCGCACGATGCAGAGCTCAAGGGCAAGCTGGTTCTGAACAACCCTGAGTCACTCTCAGTGCGCAGCGTTCGCATAACGCTGACGGCGACGCGCAAAGTCTCGTATGGCAGCCCTTATACCCTAGAGTGACCGCAGAACGTAGACTGATACCCCGCGATAGATGGCACTTGACCAACACCGTGAGCCCGCAGCCGATCACGCAAAAGACCAACTTCCTCGTCGATAATCTCACACTCTTCCCCGTCTCTAGTTCAGACAAGAGCACGAAAGCGCACAAGATCAACGCGGGATACCATGAGTGGGACTTCAAGTTCAAGATGCCGAGTAGCCTCGACCAGAGCGTGGAGGGGCTACCGACAAATTGGGTTGTGTACAATCTGAAGGCTACCGTGGATAGAGGGTACATGAGCAAGCAGCTCTCTGCCTCGTCGCATATTCGCGTGATTCGCACACTGGGTCGCGACATGCTCGAATCCATGCCTATGGAGCAGGTGCGTTGCGCAGAACTGTAAAGAGGGGCTCGACTGACCAGAAAACACAGATCAACGAGGATATCTGGGCGAACAAAGTAGCCTACAAAATCACAGTCCCTCAGAAGAACTACATCGTCGGCACACAAATTACCGCCGACTTTGTATTAATACCGCTGAGAAAGGGCGTCGAGATCACGACCATTAAGATGGAGTTGGTCGAGTCACGGCAGCTGTTCGCAGATTACGCTGGCAGAAGGATAAGTCATCAGACAGATATCCAAGTCGCCGTGAAAGAGGCAGATATGCCTTCCAACTCCGCGCACCTCGTTCCCGCCGAAGTCGACGATGCAGACGCGCTATTCGACGAGTCCCACCGTTTCTCGATGTCATTGGATTTGCCCAAGTCTCTGAAGTATTGCAGGCAGTCTGTGGATACAGAGAACATCCGCTTGTCGCACAAACTGAGGTTATATGTCAACCTCAAGAACCCGGAGGGCCACACCAGTCAGCTTCTGGTCAAGAACCACGTCCATCTGTTCATTTCGCCCAACCTTCCGCCGAACGAGGATCAGAGTGTAGTCGTGGACAGCAACATCCTGACACAGCAGGCGATTGCAGACGAGGCCAATCAGAACGCGCCACCGACATACGGACTCCACCAGCTTGATGAGCTCTACAACGACATCGATCCTTCCGGTTTTATGACACCCGGCGGCTGGCGCAGCACAATGAACAGCGGTGCCAACACACCCTTCTTCGCACAAAGTAGACGAGGTTCTGCAGAAGATCTGTCATTAGACGCAGTTGCGCACCAGCAAGATGGGCCTGGTGTTTCCACAATCGCTCTTCAGCACCGTCTCGCAAACCTCAACATGTCCCACAACGACCGCCACTCTCGTTTTCACCCCTCGCGCCAGGACTCGAACGGCGACCACTCTGGCTCCGGCCAACAGTCCTCGAACCACTCCTCCGGTCAAAGCACACCACACCACCGCACACCACAGAACGGCGTCGAGCCATCGTACTTCGATATCCCTATCAACGACTACGAATACGATATGTCCGCGCTTGCGCGTACGCCCAGTTATAACACCGCTGTGCGCACACCTGCTGCGTATACACCAATGGAAGTTGCACTTCCGAGCTACGATGTTGCAACATCAAGACCTGGCAGCCCAGTCAGAAGTCGCGCCAGTAGGGGCACAACGTCCAGTCCTGCACGCAGCCTCGAAACATTAAACGAAGAGACATTCAGGAATACACAGATCAATAGCAGGAGAGAGAGTCCGAGACATAGCGACGAATTGACGCGGCGCTAGTGAGAAACTGTGTGGGCACGATATTCTGCATAGATATGGCGTTTTGGATTGATTGGCATCTTGAATACCGTAGAGATAGAGCAGAGGCTTAGGCTGAAGTGCTTGGCCTTGATAGATGGATGATTTGAAATGGGTTGGGACGAGATATCCTTAGATCTTGGCGTTGGGGTTGGAGATTGGAGTGGGAGAATGGCATACTCTTCTCTTTGCACTTCAAAGCTAAGCTTGTTGTAGCATGATTGTGTGGACTCTATTAATAATGATGTTAGCAACGATCTGACAAAGTTTGGCACATTCTCGAGAGCTTGTGGTGTCGCTACACTGTTTCTTAAGGTTTCCGTTGCTTCGTTAGATGGGAAAAGATTGAGCCGTGAGCCTGCGGCATCACTGAACCTCAGAACTGGAACGTCGAAACTCAGAATGCGACGCAAGGTGTAACTTGAACTTGAGAATTCTAACAGAGAAAGCTCAGTACCACGTGGAAGTATACCATTTACGAAGTCTACAGCGCATTTCGCATACGTGATACTTTACCGTGGAGTGGCCCTGAGATCATTGTCGCTGCCTTCTGTTCTGAACAACCATGACGTCTGCAAAGGAACGAGAATCTTATGAGTAACAAGACGGATTCCCCGTAATTTTCACATTCTCACGGTGACAGTTCCCATTCACACACCCACATGATGCTCGAAGAACTTGGTCCCAGCCCTGTACACGCCCATTGGTCAGCGCTGCTGCGGTCAGGCGCCCTATACGCACAAGAAGGCTGACACGCCTACTGCAAGCCAGTCATAACCTACGCGAATGGAGAGCCGCAATGCCCCCCGGGCAAGGTTACCCATCAATGGCAGCGTCCAAACACAGACCTCAACCTATGAAATACCGGCCTTATTAAGACACGTATGCCCTACGCTTGGAAGGACATTGTCACCCCTGTCGGTTCGTCTCACAGCCCAGCCTGATAGCGCTGACTTGAGATGTCTTCAAAGTTCTACCTTCCTCGGGGCTGAGTACCTGCGTCGACGTTGATTGTCAGCCTTCACGCCACAGCCAGCTCCGATATGATCTATACGACTCCGCCAATACTGCAACAACGTTGTAAAGGCCGGAGACATGTCGCACTCATCTACGGACCCATTACAGCACTCGAGTATCCAGACTTCATGGATGCCAATACCCAACGACGATATCTCTGGACTAGTCGAGGAATCTAGAGAGATGACACAAGAAACAGACGATGCAGTATCGCCGCGCAATGCTGAGGAACAAGGTCTTCTCAAAGCAGATGTTTTCGCGTCGCACCATCAGTCTATTTCATCTACGTCGAGCCGGCTTTCTGTGAGCAAGGCACTAAGAGCTGTAAATTCAGAAGAGCCCGGCCACTGTAAGTCCCGTTCGAACTAGAAACCTCGTAAACCATGATCAGTCCCAGCTTACCAGTCGGTAGTCAACTTGGATGAGAGCAAGAGCCACACGCCTGCCTCCTGGCTACCCTATACGCTCAGGCGCTCCTACCTAGCTCTTTTGGCTATCTCAGCACTGGTTCTCGCCATCGTTCTAGCGGCGTTATCTGCCTACTCCACGCACCACTATGGTCTCAGGACGGACGATGGCTCTGTCGGTGTGTACATCGCTAGACGATACGTGCCGACTATTATTGCAGTCCTGTTTACATTGGCTATCACTATGATAGCCGAAGATGTGAAACGAACGGAAGCATTTGCACGTCTAGCCAGCCCTAAGCCTATTACAGCAGACCATACTCTGTTCTACATACCCAAGGTATGGTGGAAAAGTGTATTCCACGGACTGTCTCTGAAACGAAGTGGCGGACACAGAAGCTGGCTCTTGAGTCTTTCATCTCTCGCCGCTGGGATCAGCGTTCTCGTCATCTCTACTTTCTCTTCCTCGGTCTTCGTCACGAGAGAAGTAATGCTCCGCACGAATACCCAACTCCAAAAATACATGCCCCAGCAAAACGGGTCGATTGTGCTTCTACCAAGACGCGACACATACACTCGAACTATAAGTGGTTTTCTCTATAACGCCTCTACGTCCCTATGGGTATCGGACTCGCACGTTGTGCTCCCATTCACTACACCAAGCACAGGTACCACCCCCTCGGTTCTCCAAGATGGCATGTGGCAAGCTAAGACAAAAGTATTGAGGCTGGAGTCGACTTGTACTTCGATGACTTTGACGGATAAAACTGATATCAACATTACTTTCTCATCCGCCGGCAGTACTGGGTGCAATGGAACCTGCTCCATGCAATCCAGAGGTCTCAAGCTTCGATCAGAGGATGGCTGCGAGATTCAGCTTCAAACTCCCATTGCTCCATCGGTAGAAAACTCTGATGGCTATGTAATATCGAATCCCATCGACGGCTACTTCACTGACATCTTGGCGCTGCAAGGTGGAATGATGTGGACAAACTTGTCCTCGTCCTACGTTTCATGGCAGAGTCTGGTCAAAGAGCATGGACAAGATCCACCTATTGACTCAAGTGGTGGTGCTGTGCTCGACCAATGGAGGCGAACATTCATATACGGATTCTCGGATCAATGTCAGAGCAGAGATTTGCTATTCGTATCACCGCCATGGTTCCCCGAGCGGATTGTAGGCAAACCGCTTTCCTGGCAGGAAGAGTATTGGGCAAATTTTACGGCACGAGCGGAACTTTGTACTCCAAAGTACACCGCAGCTGACATACCAGTAACTGCGGTTATTGGAGGTGCCTCTCCACGAGTCTTCTTTGATGACAAGGAGTTCGAACGTCATGGAAAACCTGTACCAAATGGGTTACTAGATTTCGGTCGTCTGAATGACCTCGCTTTCGGTACAGCCTGGCTCAGATACTTTCCCGCCCCGGCTGGAGATTCGGACGTTGAAGGGTTCGAGGGTGTGTCGATGCTCCTCGCGAAGACCTTCTCCCTCAAGATGGCAAACCTGCTATCAAACAGTACGCTGTCGTCTGAGGCAAGCAGACTGAGGGCTCGCTTCTTTGGGGAGCTAATTTCGTCTTCTGTATTGGAAGCAGACGTACCAGCCGTCGACGATGTTGCTGGTGAATCTCTAAAGTCGGAGAGTCGAATCGTGGTAATCCCAGGAGTTGCTATTGCACTTGCGGTCCTGTTATTCCTAGCGGCGTGTTACTCCTTGGCCATGCTTTGGTACGCTTCAAACCAACGCAGGCCTCTTAACCTTAATTCGGACCCTGCTGCCCTTGCAGGAGTTATACCGCTAACGAATCTTGCGTCGCCACTCGCTGCTGACCTAAGGACTTGGATGGACCACGACCGCACAGACATCCAGATGAAGATAGGACATCAAGTATATAGCTTGCAAGGTGGTCCAATCAGGGAGCAGGACCTGGGAGCTGAAGATCGTTTACGAAGAACCATCACTGCCAGTGCCAAAGGACCGTCCTGGTTGCACAAGCGCAGGTCGAAAGGATCTTCGAGGCCCGAGTGGAGACCGGCAATGCTTCACAAGACATGGCTTTTCGTCCTATTGTTTGGCTTCGTTGCCATTGCAACAGCAATGTTGGTCCTACGCAAGTTCGCCGACGAGGAAACCTTGTTCCAGACAGCCTTCGTCCAGCAAGTCAACCTGAGCCTTTTCCATGTTAGCTTTTCACCACACTCGATCATTGCCACCTTGGTTGCTGTTACAGTTGGGCTTTGCTGGGACAGCATCGACAAGTCAATGCGTACACTTCAACCATATCTGGCAATATCGAGAGAACCCTCCGAACCTTCACGTGGTATCTCGATCACATATGAGTCTTCGTACTGGATCTGGGCAGCTGTTAAGTCCGCCAGATCCAAGCACTGGATTCTCTGTTTGATCACAATTGGGACGACCTTATCGCAGATATGTGAGTTGCCGAAGCTGTGATGTCTACCCTTAAGCTAACCAAGTAGTCGTTATCGCCATGGCAGCAGTTTTCGAACAACACACCGTCATACATACGCAAGCCACACAGGACATGGATATTATGACAACTCGCTCGTTGATAACAAGGCAAAAGCCTTTCAATTTCGGGATTGGGCTAAGCAAACGCCCCTTCTATCTAACCGATAGCTTGCTAGGAACCTCCGATACAGACTGGTTATATAACGCGTTGGACGACATCACCCTGAGTACCACTGCACTTCCATGGACCAGAAACGAGTGGGTGTTCACCCCTGTAAATGTGACGAACCGGGACGATCCAAGCATGCTATATGTGGTGACTGCAGACCAAAGTGAGGCTCGGAACGATGCTGCGTATATCACGTCTTCCTTCAATGTCTCACTTACCACCTCGGCACTCCGAAGTCGACTGGAATGTGAACCAGTCACTGTGTCAGGTTCAGGATGGTTAGACAGGGTACAAGCCGTTTACCCAAACAGATTCGACAAGTCCGTCACTGGCCATGTGCTTCCCATGACGATCTTACCGAACAAAGACTTCGCTGTGCCAGTCTTCAGCGCGCCGCGAAGGATGGCATGTTGCACCAACGGCACCGATCAAGGAAAGCAGTCAATCGTCGCTTACTGGTCCAGCAACAACACGGTGTACGACGAGCAGCCATCCATTCCGGCTGATTTAGATGAACCTTCTGACCTTAAGGTACCCAGTGGATGGACCAAAGACTTTGCGATCAAATGGATCGTTGGTCCAGCAGCATCAATGATCGTGCCTGGAAGCGAACCGAACTTCATCAGCAACACCATCGGCACCGCCAACGAGACGGTTCTCTATTTCGTTGAAGAACCGCAGATATCAATCATGAGATGCAATCCCATCATCGAACAGGCGAATGCCAATATCACGTTTGCGCGTGATACAAGCCAGATCCTCAACTACGAGCTTCTCGAGGCTCCACAGCCAGCTGTTGGTGCCTGGGACTACGCGTATGACGTAGTATATAGTAACCCAGGGTCGAACTCTTCCCGCGGAAACGTCAGGTAAGCACATGAGTTTCTCTTCATCAGCGAACAAGAATGAGACTAACGCTACAAAGCTACGGTACCTTCTTTTTGTCCCAGCTCTTGACCGCTTCACACATTGTGGAACCTCAGATGCGATCAAGCATGATGGTTCTGAACCACACCATTGAGAACCTCGCTGCCGAACGCTTCGCCTTACGCGACACTGATAAGGGTACCAACATGGACTACATGTCCTATGCCAATTTCGTGCTTGCGAACAAAGATCCGACTGCGCTCTTGAACACCACCCTTCTACAGCAATATTCGGAGACGACCTTCCAGACTTTCTTCAAGCACTTTGTCACTACGGCCAATTGGACTTATGGCGACGCAAGTTCTGTCTCTAGGGCTGCATACGAAGAACTTTGGGGTTACTACAAACAAACGGAAAAGTTTAACGGGACTATTACGGAGCGCATCGAGATCTTAAGCATGAACAAGGTGGCGACATGGCTCTCGCTGACCATTCTGTTCCTGCTCATGACCATTCTGGTCACACTGGTTGCAACGCTTCAGATGGACTATCCAAGCACGTCTATGCTGCGCCACGTAGAGTGTCTGGCCGACGTTCTAGCGATGATTGCGGGGAGCGACGAGCTGGTTCGTTCGGTGAACGAACTTGGTGTAGAGGGAATGGAGAAAGCTGGGATGAAGACGAGATTGGGATGGTTCAGAGATAAGAGAGGTACTGTGAGGTGGGGTGTTGAGGTTGTTGATGGGAAAGTAGAATGGCTCAATGGGCCTGAAGCGGAAGGGAAGGATGAACAGACGGAGAATCCTGCAGGGTGATTAGTATCGAGAACCGTCGAACAGGCGACCCACAACAATCGAAGCACACAATGCGCGTCTTCGAGCCTTGTGCCTATGTCGATGTCCCAAGTGACGATAAAATTAGAATAGGAAGGCGAGTCCAAATCGCCACGTGCGCATCAAACCTGTAGCCCCACAATTGTCGCTTGCGCAGGAACCGGCGTAGATGGCGCCATAAAGTCGTCGATACCTACCTTTACAACCCATCCAATCACGATTTTGTCTGGAGTTTCGACACACTCGATATAACAATGCCGATTCAAGACCACTTCTCACTGCCTCCCTCCGCACAGGATCTGCAACTTCCCACCGACCCAGCAGCCAAACTCTTCATCTGCTTCATCTCCTCTATAGACCCCACAACACACCAATCATGGTGTCCTGACGTCCGAGCTGCGCTGCCGCGTGTGCAGAAGATGTTCTCCGGCGCAGATGCACCGGAAGTGGCGTACGTGCATGTTGGGCAGAAACCCGAGTACGTATTTCTTTCGCGTAGAAGAGCGAGAGAGAGAGGCTTCAAGTGAACAGATGTGACTGACTGGGTGTGGTAGGTGGAAAGACATGGAGAATGTGTACAGGAAGAAGTGGGATGTCAAAGCTGTTCCGCAATTGGTGCGGTACCAGCGTGTGGATGGGGAAGTGAAGGCGACGGGAAAGTTGGTGGAGAACGAAGTCAACGATGACGGGAAGTTGCTTGCTTTCGTCAGTGGTTGAATAGACCTGACTGGGAAAAGAGTGGGTTGAGGATGGCGGCAGGCACTAAAACTTCTATCAGTGGATCAATCGCAAATAATGTTTTGAAACGCTCATCATGCATTGAGCCAATATAGCAGCATAGAATGTTCGCCCATCATTACTGCGGATATTGCTCAAACAAAAACCCAGCAGCCATCTCCACATTCCCATCCGTCGCATTCAACGCCGCAAGCGCCTCCGGCCTCGCAAACCCCAGCACAACCAACTTCTGCACCTCTTCCTCTGGCCAACTCGCCCTCACCTGCGGCAGTCTCGTCACCATCTGCCTAATCTGCTCAGCCGTAACCCCCAACGGCGGCCTACTCGTCTGCGGATGACTCGGCTCCTCGGTCCTCAATACCCTCCCCAGCGCCGCCACCCATCCCGCCTGCACGGTCTCATTGTTAAGCTCAAGTTCACTGACATGTACGAGGTCTTCTTCGTGGTCGCCGCAGTTGAAGTACTCCCAGCCCATGACTCCACCAAACCCGGTGCCGACGTCCTTGTACTTCTCTCGCAGCAACGCGCACACGTCTCGCAGCTTCTTGACTGGGACGTGGCCCGCGCCGTTCCTGGGATTCGTGACCACGCCGAGCACAACCTTTTCCGGCTTCCAGCCTGCGGCGATGATGGCGTCGTACCACGCTGTTGTTCCGGCGTCGCCCCAGCCGCAGTAGAATTGCGTGTTGTACCACGCTATTTCTCTTCCATACACGCTACACTCTAGTTCCGGGTATGAGAAGCCACTGAGATGTGGTAATGTAGGGTGGAGTGGATTTGGGCTTGGACCGCTGGCTAGCATGGGTCGTGGAGGGCGCAGATGCGGTGGGATGTTTGGGTCGGGGATGAGTGCTGTAGCGACGGGTGCGAGAGTGATGAGGAATTGGGGGCCAAAGTCTGCGCGTAGACGGGAGATGAGGCGTGTTGCTGTGGAGAGGGGGATTTGTTCTTCAATGTCGAGGTCGAGGCCGTCGAGCTTGTAGATTGTGATTATGGCGTGAAGGGGGATGTAGTGTGCTTCGAACTGCTCAAGATTAGGCCTGGGCGCAAGTCGAGCTTGAGGATACGCACGCTCTCATCGTCTCCACCGAGTCGTTCGAATGTTCCCTTTGCTGCGCCGCCCAGCATGCCCAGCACCTTCACACCGCTACCCTGTAGCCAGCTCACTTCACCCCACAGCTGATCAAATCGCTTGTCGTCTGGACGGTGGTCATTCAGTGTTATGTTGCCTGGCCCATCGTTCAGGTGTATCGCAGCGACGATCACATGCGTGACGCCAGTGTTGTTGGTAAGCAATGGGAGCAGCGAATTGCAATTGCCCTGCGGATCATGTATTGTCTGATGATAAACGATCAAACGTGGGCCTGTCGACGGCAGGAGAAGCTTTGGAGAAGATGAAGTCATCGTTCGACCGCATCCGATGAAGAGATGGAGGTCCTCCACGACGGCGTGTTCGCAGACCCGCGGGGCCGTTCCTGTGCTGCGTCCCCTGCCCCTCAGCGTAGGGCTGAAGTGGGGTCCATACGTCATTGCTCGTGCAACACCAGAAAGTGTCACGATCGGTGGTCTGGGAAGCACATCAGTTCTGGGTCAAGTCAATGTTCTGGACCAGTCACATAAGCTCCAGAACGATTTGTTGTTGCAATGTTGTTCGTGATCTGCAGCTTGAATGATGCAGTTTAGTAAGATGTAACGACCCAAACGCCAACACTGTCTCCTCTGCAGCACTATCCTTCGTATTCAAGACACACCGTATCTACACACTGGTGCACGAGGAGGTACTCACAGAGGCCGATTAGTCTGCCTCCGGCCAACGCCAAGTATACTTCCATCAAATTCCGTAACAGTCGTAGCATCCTCCAGGGATGTCAGCTACCTCAGTGGTAGCCGTTGCTGTAGCCGTTTGTCCCTGTGAAGTAGGGGTGGATGACACACTGCTTCGCTGAGATGCGGCCAGCAGGATCATAGACCAGAAGTGCGTCTAGCAGATCAAGGCCAATGTCGTCAAGGTTGGTGACAATGGACGCGATATCGGTGCGGTTCCACTTGGGGAACGAAGGCTTGAAGTCGGGGAAGGATGTAACGCCGGGCCAGTCCTGCTCGCTGGGTGTACCGAGAATACTATGAAATGTCAGAACGCGTCTGTAGTGTTGGAAGGCGCCACATACCGGAAGATCTTGAAGATCTCGTCAATCTCAGAGTCACCAGGGAACAAAGGCTTGCGCGTGCACATCTCAGCGAAGATGCAGCCAACAGACCACATGTCAACGCCAGTCGAGTACTGTCGCCCGCCAAGTAGAATCTCTGGCGCACGGTACCAGAGTGTCACGACCTGCACACCAAGTCAGCTGAAGATCCCGCTCAGGTCCCTGTGATAACCTCACCTCGTGGGTATATGTCCTCAGCGGCACACCGAAAGCGCGGGCGAGACCGAAATCTGCCAACTTGAGATTGCAGTCCTTGTCGATCAACAAGTTCTGTGGCTTCAGATCACGGTGCAGAACGCGGTGGGCGTGGCAGTAGCGCACACCCTCGCACAGCTGCATCATGAACTTCTTGACCATGTTTGTGTCCATGCTCAGCTTCTGGCCCGCCAACCCAGAGCCCTCTGGCAGGGCCTTACCGCGTCCACCCTCGCTGACTGGCAGCGCCTCCATGTACTTCTTCAGATCAAGGTCGAGGAACTCGAAGACCAGGTAGAGCTTGTGGCCGTCGGCGTGCACAATGTTGAGCAGGCGGACAATGTTGGGGTCGTTCATCTCCTTGAGCAGCGAGATTTCGCGGATGGCGGTCGAAGGAACGCCCTCATCTTCGGCTTCGAGGCGGATCTTCTTGAGCGCGACGATGCGCTGGTCCTTTGTTGTGAGGTCGCGGGCCTTGTAGACAACTCCGTAAGTTCCTACTTTACGTAAGCACTTGAAAACGTAAAGCCGCAGTCATGACTACGGCTGCGGGATGCGTCTTACCCTCTCCCACCTTCTCCAGCTTCTGGTAGTTCTCCATAGCAACGGTAACCCGCAGAGGCTTTCGGACGGTAGGCGGTCGCGCTTGTTTCGCGGAAAACAAATGTCGAATGTCAATGCGTGTGATGCCGGAGCAGGCGACAGAACGAGTCCGCGTAGAGGTCCAGGTAAGAGCGGGCGTGCCTGCGGGTTAGTAAGTTGTGCGTGGATGTAGACAAGGCGGGGACAATGTTCAGATGTTATGCATAGGAGGAAAAGGGTGTAAACAGACACTAAACCCCCTACAGGAAAGCGCCACAAGCCACAAACGCGCGCTCAATCAAACCCTGACACTTTCGCGTACCACCCTTGGCCATTTTACATCACGACAAACCAAAATATTAGCACCTAGCAACGAACCAAAGTCTGAAGTCGTGCATACAGTGCATACAAGGCATACAAGCTGACGGGTGCATTCAACTTGGCCAAAAGATGGAATGCCTCGATCCTCATCAACGGCCTCCAGACAGCATCAAGGATGTCTACAAGAAGTACCAGAGGATGAAGCTGCAGGATCTGGACCAGGATCCCGACATTGTAGACCTGCCCAAGAGCTTGCATACGTCAGCCAAGGACAAAGTTCGCATAGTCGAAGAGTGGAGCGGCGACGACTTGACCGCTGCTTTTCGGGCATTTAGCGGTCAAGATGGACAGACATACGCCGCCTTGCCTTCAAGGATACCGGTGTATGAACATGCAAACTTGCCAGGTAGGAGACTGTTCCGATCTGTTTGATACGTAACTTTGCCAGTGTTGTATGAGATAAGCGTTTACTGCACTTGTCACTTTCGTTTTCCTCTCAAGTCTCATTGCATCGTCCTGTGTCGATGTCTGAATTCGATCACGCTCCCTCTGTCACTTGCCCTTCAAGTTATTCTATCCCTCTTTCTTTCGGTCCTGACGGTAAGCAGGCCTCCACGTCGTTCCAAACCTCCTCCCTCCCGAAATCCAATCCATCCTACTATCCCGCCTCCTCCACCGCGACCTCTCCAACCCAGCGCACCTCACAAACATCCACACACACTACAATCTCTCCTACCAACCCTCCAACCCCTCCTTCTTCACCCGCCCCCCAACCAGCAGCACCCCCATCGCGCACCCCCTCGACCCCGCAATCCACAAGCCCCTCACCGTACCCCAACTCCTCAACAAGAAGATGCGCTGGACAACGCTCGGCGGACAATACGATTGGACCTCGAAACGCTATCCATCGACCCCACCGCCTCCCTTCCCGTCCGACATCAGGGACCTTCTCGAGTCAATATGGAAATCCACGAAAGCAGAAGCGGCGATCGTCAATCTCTACTCGCCGGGAGATACGCTGAGTGTGCACCGTGATGTTGCTGAGATGAGTGGGACGGGACTGGTGAGTGTGAGTTTGGGGTGCGATGCTGTGTTTGTCATTGGAACATCTCCCTCGCCTTCTGCATCGGAGGAAGAAGGGGAGCGGGGAGAGAAGATTGTCACGCTGCGGCTGCGGAGTGGGAGTGCGGTGTACATGTCCGGACCGAGCAGGTTTGCGTGGCACGGTGTGCCGCAGATTGTGAGGGGGACGTGTCCGGAGCATTTGGCGGATTGGCCGGCGGGGCTGGATGGTGGGGATGGGAATGGATCTCGAGAGGGGAAGGGGGAATTCGAGGCGTGGAGGGGCTGGATGGGAGGGAAGAGGGTGAATCTGAATGTTAGGCAGATGTGGGATTGAATGATGAGGATTGTCGGTCAATGATGAGGAATCAATAAGCTCGGTGTACATCACATCTTGATCTTGCGCGAGAGGAACTGGTTCAGTGAAGCCCGCTGGAACCCTTGTCAGACCTTCTTCGCAAAGCATATGGGCCCAGTTGAAGCGCGTCAAATCACAGTGACGTCATAGTGTCCGGCGTGAGAAGGGAGGTGTGGGATTGGTGTTCAACAACTGTGATGTGGGCGATGTTCTACGGCATCCTTTTTGACGATGTTACCATGTTCGCCAACAATGTTTCAGGCGCGGAGCTCCTTCCGGAAACGGCAAGTGGAATGAAGGTTGTAAATTGCAGCACTAAAAGGTTTGTCTCAGATGCCTATAACCGCGGGAATAGCGGTACGCCTAACACAATATCATCATCATACAAAGATCGAATACGGAAGAACGGTGTGTGGAGTATTCAGTGTATGCGGTTTCACTTTTGGTCTATGGCATATTCCTTCCTTAGCACATGCATCCTCTAGATTGCCTCCCAACCACTCGTAACTCGTCAAGATACAGTCGCGTGCGCTACAGAAGCTTAAGCAGTAGCGTTCTCGGCGGTAATGAGCTTGGTGATCTTGCCAATGGCAATCGTCTGACCTTGGTCTCTGTATGTTTGTCAGATGCGGCGCACTCGAGTGGTGGTGGATTACAACGTACCTCAGTGTAAAACGACCAAGCTGGGGGTAGTCCTCAAAGCGCTCAACGCAAATAGATCCAGCTGTGCCTGTAACCTCCACTCGAGCGATGATGCTCATACCCTTTGTGGCGAAACCGGGTGCCTTCTTGCTCTTGCGACCGGTGCCCTTTTCGAGCTTGTGCAGCAGCGCCGAGATGGTGACTTCCTCTTGTGCAGCGTGGACGTGCAGCACGCAGTTGAAACCAGCTGTGAAAATGGACTTGATGTCGAGCAGGACGATCTGGGCCTCGAATGTAGAGACACAGTTGACGGGTCGCTTCGGCGAGCAGAGAACGTAACCGGGCAGGATGTCTTCCTCCTCAACACCACGGATACGGATGCGGACTTGGTCACCGCATGTGGCACCGGGAATTTCGTCTTCCTGCTCTCCGTATAGAGCAGAGATGTGGATCAGATCCTTGTTGGGCATCATAAGGTACTTTTGCTCCTTCTTGATGATTCCGGACTCGATCTTGCCTTCGATCATGGTACCCATGTCCTTGTACTTGGCAGCGATGGGCATCATGAAAGGAGCGTTGATCTTGCGCTCCAAAGCCTGCATGTTGTCCAGGTACTCGAGGAGAGATGGGCCGTCGTACCAGGGGGCCTTCTCCTTGGGCACACGGTCCTTGATGCCAGTGAATGTCTGCGCACTGACGGGCATCATGTAAATGTCGGTCTTGGGGTTGTAGCCAAGACCCTTGAGGAAAAGAACGACCTTGCTGGTGCACTCCTTGAAGCGGTCCTCAGACCACTCCACCGTGGGGTCATCCATCTTGTTGACGACGACGATCAGCTTGTTGACACCCTGTGTCTTGGCCAACATGGCGTGCTCTCGTGTCTGACCACCCTTCTCGAAACCTGTCTCGTACTCTCCCTTACGCGCCGAGATAACGAGGAGACCGACATCTGCTTGAGATGCTCCACCGATCATGTTGGGGACGTAAGTCTTATGGCCGGGTGCGTCCAGGATGGAGTATCGGCGCTTCTCTGTTTCGAAGAACCCACGGCCGACCTCGATGGTCTTACCCTGCTGACGTTCCTCCTTGTTCAAGTCGAGCGCCCACGAGATGTACCAGGTTTCACGGCCGGCGTCCTTGGCTTCGCGCTTGTACTTGTCGAGTGTTCGCTCGTCGACCATGCCTGTGGAGATGAGGATACTGCCACCAAGTGTGGACTTTCCAGCATCGACGTGACCCAAGAAAATGATGTTAACGTGCTCTTTTCCGTAGATCTCAGCGAGTGTGGCCTCGTCAACAACCTCCTCGACCTCCTTCTCGACATCGGCGGCCTTCTGGATGATCTTGTCCTTTGCTGTGGGTGTAGGGCTGTTGCGTCCAGATGCTGGTGTTGGTGATGTGTGGCCGGAGCTTGCAGGTGTAGCCGTGGTGGGCTCGCCGGTCTTTTCGATGGCCTGCTTGGCAGCAACCTTGGCTCCAGCCTCGGGCATGGTCTTGTCTTGTGTCTCCTTTACCGACTTCTCAGCTGGCGCTGCAGCTCCAAGAGAAAGGACCTTGGTACCGCCAACCTTCTCGGTCTTTGGTGCGACGGCATCTGCGCCGATGGAGAGGACCTTGGACTTTGGCGCATCGCCACCGATAGACAAAACCTTGGCCTTGGGCGCAGCGTCCTTCTTGGGCTCAGCAGCCTGGTCAACCTCGCCACGCTTTGCAATCTTTACAGGCGCCTGCTGCTGCTGCTGCTGTGGCTGCTGGTAGTTTTGCTGCTGGTATCCTCCGTACTGCTGTCCATATCCGCCCTGCTGTCCGTAGTTAGGGTAGCCACCCTGCTGCCCTTGGCCGTAGTTGGGATAACCGCCCTGCTGCTGCTGCTGCTGCTGCTGGTAGCCACCGTACTGGCCACCGTACTGCTGGTTGTATCCTCCGTACTGCTGGTATTGCCCGTAACCCTGCTGCTGGTACTGGTTGTAGGCCTGTCCGGGGACGAACGACGACGCGCCGGGTGTGAAGGATGCCGCGCCGGGCACGAAAGCCTGAGGCTGGTTATTGAGGTTCATGCCGCCCGTCTGCTGCGCGAGCCTCTCCTCCTCTTCTTCCCAGTTCTCAGCCATGATGTGTGCGGGGTCGCTGTGCGGTCGTTAGGCGAATTCGGGGTGACGGTGAATTCGAGAAGTCCGGGATGCGGTCGCACAGTAGTTGCAGGCCCTAATGAATGACTTGGGTCCTTTATGTGCAAGACCGCTGGGGCGTCGTCGGTAGCGGAAAAGTAGAATTGTGCGGGCCGCTGCTGCCCATTCGATGGTGGCGGGGCATCTCACCCACCAAACTTCGCTGCCTGACGCCCATTGGCCAAGGATCCCCTAGTAAACAGTCAACGAGACTCACCGCGCAACCATGCTCCAACGTCACCCACGCTCCTTTCGACCTGGCTTGTTTTCTGTTCTGTTTCTCTCAGCCGCGTCATTCTTGTACAATGACGTCGGTCGTCTTTTCCCCTTGAGCGTTTACCAGCTTTGCGCAGGAGCAAGTCAACCTCGATACCCAATATGGAGGTGTTGCTAGCAAAGGTGAGGCCTTCTGACTCTGTGTACGGTCACGAGCTGTCATATGGCCCGTTTTTACGAATCGAGAATCTTGCCTGACGCCCTATCAGGTCACCCAGCAGGCTATGAGCTATGCTATTCGCAGTGGCATAGCTATCACAAGTACATATGCGATCAAACAATGCGGCCGACTAATGAAAACGGTCGATGGCCAAGAAAAGCAAGAGCTTGCAGCACTGCAATCACGGCTGGACTCGAAGATCAAGGTCAGTCTTCTACTGACTGGATGGTACATTGTCTAACATAAAGCAGATTATCTCGCCGGCAATAGACATGATCGAGCTCATCTCAGCACGTGGAAACACTACACTTGAATCAGCAGTCACATTGACCAAATCTTTGCGGTGGGACATTCAATCGCTCGGCAGCCGTGTAGAGAAGGCGGTTGTTGAGGAGCAGCTTTCTAGGAGAGGCAGCTCAAGAGCAAAGTCACGAGCCCAGAATGACATGGAGTTGAGGATGATTATCGCTGAGATGAAGCAACTTTTAGCCCGAATCGAAGACGCAGTGCCGCTGATCAATCTTGCTATCACAACATCGGGCGTCAGTTTGTCTACCAATCTACCGCCGACTGTTTCTCCATCCCGGCTGCTGCAGGCCAGCACCTTCCTCACCGCTGGAGATTCGCACTATTGCATGTCGAAACCCAGGGCTCAGCAGATTGGTCCGACGTTTACCCTCTCGATGTACATGCTGTTTTCGGGCTATGCTGTTCCGACTCACGATGAGCTGCTTCGCCAACGCGAGACGACATGGAAGGAAGTCATGCACAAAGCTAGAGTGACGTTGCTGAGGGTTCCGCTAGAGAATGTCTACGACTACCCAGTTCCATTCAGCACAAAAGCCAGCAAGGCTGATGAAGGCAACCATCGTCACATTCCATCGGAGAGTGCGCTACAGGAGTTTGCGTACCAACTCCTGATAGTCGAAGACTTGGATGATGGTCGCGTGCACACGTTCGAGGATGACGAGCCTCAACCTGGTCCGTATGATGGAGTTGATCAAGCTGGTGTACGGGAGATCATACCCATTCACGAGATCTCGAAGATCTTCTACGCCGACACAGGCAAGATCTTGAACATCGGCGGCGACGGTGAGGCTAACAACCCAATACTCTTGTTGAAGCGCGACGTCAACGCGCCGCCTCCGCGCCGAATGATGGAACATGAGCCCACAGACACTGGATATGAGTCCGATGACTCGCACACAGTAGGCGAAGGAGACGACGAGCAATCCGAACTAGACGCCCAGTTCCGTCGCGAATCTACGGCAGACCTCGCGGAAGAAGAAGCAGTGCAAGCAGAGTCTGCAACCTACCCCTGGCGCCTACCTCCAACGCTCGACTTGGAATGGATGGCCTTCGAAGTCTACCAGGAAGAACTTGATTCGGACTCGGACTTTGACGACACCGGAGAACCAGCACTAGACATCTCAACACCCTCAGCCGCAGACACGGCTGCCAGCCGGTCTCGCTCAGAATCACCAGGTCTCCTATCAAGCCTCTCGAACCTCAACCTGCATCCCTCGACCCCGCCGTCCCAGTCCGGGCAGCTCGTTCCCTCCCCCGAAAAATCCGCCATACCCACCCACGCAACCAGCACCCCACCGACCACCCTCCCCCCAATAAAAACCTCCCTCTCAATGCTGGAAATGCTCATCCGCCTGACCGCTTTGCAGCAATTCCAGCAATCCTCACACCTCGCGATCCCAGACGAGTTCCTCACATTCTTCCTCTCGGAGAGCAGTACGGTGGGTTCGGGCGGGGACTCTGAGTTGAGGAGAAGAGCGAGGAGGGAGGCGAGGCAGAGAGTGGGGTTTGATCCGTATGATGAGAGTCCGATTAAGCGGCGGGGAGAGGAGTATCAGGCGCGGGCTAGGCATGAGGAGAGAGAGGGGTTGAGTCAAGATCGCGAAGAGTATGAGGAGGGGAGGGGAGGAGAGGTACAGTATGACTACGTTGGGTATCCGACAGGCAGCCGTTCAGGGATGAGTACGCCGTACTCGCAGTCTGGGACGCCAAACCCGCCGTCGACAGGGAGGAGTAAGTCGACAGTCGATGTCTCATCACTGAGTCGTCCGAGCCACGCGTCGATGAGCAGTCCGAGTCCGTTACTGAGGAGAGCAACGACACAGACGGGGCAGGAGAAGAGTTCCAGGTTCAGACAGCCCAGATTTCCTCCGCCGCAGCCGCAAACACCGCCGAGTAGCTGAAGGGGAAGATGTATGATTCGCGTCTCGAAGGGAGTCGGTACACGGTACGATGACTTGGCATTTCCGGCGCTCGTGTGGCTCCTGTTTTCACTTCTCCATCAGCGCAGCATAGCATAGCGAGCGAGCGCCCAAGCCCAAGACCCGCAATGAAATTCTCCAATTGATGTGCTTATGCGTGTATCCATATCCAGAGTCATGATTCCTGATCGTTGGCACATGACGATCGCTACCTCTCCCCAAACGCCCTTGCGCCAATACAAACAAGCTTCATTGAGGCTACTCCCAGTCATCATCCTCGCTCTCCTCCTCAACCACCTTCGTATCACTCGCCTTCCCCTTTGGACTCCCCGGCGCCCGACTCGGCGCCCGACTTGTCGCTCCACTAACCAGATCATAACTCGCATCACTGTCCGCTACGCTCTTCTCGTCATTCGAGCGGCGCGGTTGTGCGGGCTTCAGAGTGTCTGACTCAGTTTCGGGCTTGATGGTTGTTTGGCTCTTTGTGAGGTCGGAGGTGGATGTGGATTTGGGACTTGGCTCGGAAGGCTTGGCGGCGGTGGTGGTGGGTTTGGCTGTGGATTTTGCGGCGACGTCATCGTCGGACTCGGACTCGGAGCCGGAGGACCAGTCTACTTCTTCTTCGTCGGCGGGTGCGGATGCTGTAATAACACGTCAATAGGCTGCTTATGGACTGATGGACTTGGGAAAACGTACCCTTCAGCATCTCCCTCCTGCGCTGCTCCTCGCTCTCGATAACGTGGCGCAGGAAGTAGTATCTGCACCAGAACGTCGCATAGTCTACTTTCTCGGGGACAACCTTCTCCATGGCAGTCCTCAGCTCCTCGTGTTTCTCCAAGTCCTTTGCGATGGCATCCGTCTTCTTCTCCGCGTCGAAGCTCTTCTTCCACGCCTCCCACTGCGGGCTCGCGGGGTCTTTCAGGAACGAGTCGAGAGACGAGTGAATGACGTGGAGCTGTGCGTCGAAGCGTGTCGCGTGCACCACCTTCTTCCCGCTGCTGTCCTTTGATTCGAAGAGTACGGCGCCGTCCTTCTCGGCCTGCGATCCGGACGCTGGGGGCGCGATGCTGACGGCTTCGCTCAGGAAGTTGCGGATGTTGGAGCCGAACTTGAGCAGCGCTTCGTCGGCGGCGTCTTCGGCCTTCTGTAGCTCTTTGAGGCGCTTGGAGGCGTTGGAGCGGAAGAGTGAGAGGATCCCCTCAGCTTCTTTAACAATGTCGGCGGTAAGCGACTCGGGGCGGTCGGGATGAGGGGTCATGTCCTCCTTGCTTGCGTCTTGCTCGGTCGGCGCGTCTTTTGCTGTGGAGGTAGTCGCATCGTTGGCCTGGACAGAGAGGTTGCGTGCATGGCTGATGAGGGTCGAGACGCCGACGGTTGCTTCTTTGCTGGTGGACGCGTATTGCTTGCTCGCCGTGTCGTAGTACTGTTCGCCCTGTCACCGCAGCGTTAGGGAGGCACGACAACAAAGAAACGGACGAAAACCCACCTGCTTCTTCGCAGTCTGCCAGAACCCCCCTAGTTTTGCCGCCCACGGACTGCTCGATATAGCCTTGTATGCCTCCTGGACCTCGGTGTTGAAGTTGCTGGGCTGCGCATTGGAGCTGCTTTCGCCCGTCTGCTTCTTAGACTGATCCTGGGAGTAGCTCTCCTCCTGAATGTGATCATACGCAGAATCCATGCTGTGGGAGCTTGGCAGGTACTGTCAGTGGTGGTGCGAGAGCTAACAATGTCTGGTGAGGTCCCGCGCGCATTTGACTTGGACCCTGCATGCAGCTCCGCAACCAGCGGTTTAGCGCATGAGGTCGGCCAGGCACGCTCACATGTTACACAAACAACCGCATACAAACGACACAACAATCACTCTTTTTCTTTTTCTTTTTTTTTGATAGATTACGAACTTTGCGCTCTCTGAACGACCTGCTCTTCTCACAGTTGAACCTTTCCATCTGGCCTGTGACATGCTCCTGCTCACCTGGCGTTGCTCTTGCTCAAGTTTTGGTCGAGGTACTTACTCTATCAAGAGCCATGCACTCGACGAAGCCTGTTCATAAGCGCTTACCCTCTTCCCTTCCTGCTGTGCCTGTGGTCTCTCTTTGCAGCCCCTCACCGCCTCTTCTTGCCCACTACCTTCTCAAACCCATCCTCATCCACCTCCGGCTCCGGCTTTGGCTCCCTCGGCCTCGCGGGCACTAACGCGGGCGCCTCATCCATATCGACATCCTCATCCTCACTCTCCTCGTCCACACTATCCATATCCTCCTGATGCCCCTCACACACCTGCACGTTCCCCGTCGCAACCTCCTTCCCCTTCCTGCTCTCCCACTTCTCATGCAGACTATCAATCGTCCCCGTCCTCCCCTCCCCAACTTCCTTCCTGATAGCCATGATGTCGCGCGCAACGGCGATCTCGGTCTCGTCTTCGACGCGGCATCCGAACTCGTCTTCGAGGACTTGCAGGAGCATGACCTCGACGTCTTCAGCGTCCGTGAGCGGCTCGTTGGTGAAGAGCTCGCTGATTTGGCCCGCCAGCCAGTCCCGCTTGTCTGAGGAGTCGGGGCCGCCCCATTGGTTTGTTACGGCGACGGTGAGCGTGGGCCAGTTGAAGAGGCAATGCCAGATTCCGAGGTCGAATTTGTCCTGCAGTTCCGCTGGTAGATGGTTAGAAGTTTGGTTGTGAGTGTGACCGCATGGACGCACTGGGTATCGCTGTTGTGGTCGCGGGCGCAGACATTTTGTGCGGTGTGGTTTGGTAGGTTTGGTGTTTTTAGAATTTCTGAACGCCTTGCGTCACAAAAGTTCATGGAGGGGGCGGCTAAGGTTCCGTATCGATAAGTGACGCGCTAATGACCTCCCTGACGCGACTTGCCCTCCGCGGGGCACTTCCCAATCATCTCACAGTGGACAACTCTCATATCATTGCGCTCTTCGCAAGGCCAATTGTTAGGCGAGACTGGAAAACTGTGTGGCAAGTGCTCGTTGTTGCGAAACTCGAGAATGCGGCTGGTCGAGCTGTCGAGCGTGGCGCATGTGCTCGGCATGCATGCAGGAGAAGGCTGAGCAGCCAACGTATCCTGATGCTCAGTGCGGACCGCTGAGCCTCCTCAGCCTTTCTCTCACAGACTCTTGACCTCGCCTTCTGGGCTGCTCGAATCCTCTGAACCCTGATAGAACCATGCATGCTGCCTGGTACCGATGGCTCCTTCCCACCTCAATCCAGATGTACCGAGCATCACCAGCCACTCTGATGAGAATACGCGGCCTCGAAAGCGCTCACGCCATATCGATCTAGATGGTATGTCTTCCGCGGACTTTGGCCTTCCACGTTATGGCAGTAGCACGCGGGACTATACACCTCTATGGGCCAACCTCAAAACATCTGAAGGGACTCAGAGTCCCAAGAGGGACCAGATCGATCCGATATCCTTTCGAGATGGCTATGCACAGGTCTTAGCCTGTGACATCGCACCGACCCCAAACAGCGTGGGTAATCTAACTCCCCAGACACCGGGGCATCGCGATTCAAAGTTGCATACTTTGTTACATGCTATTCATCGCCCTGATCTCTTCGAAGTGCTTCTCGAAGCCGGCGTTACTGACTTCTGGCTCCCACTTCCTAAGCGATTGGCCTCCAAGTGGTTGAAGAACCAGGAGCTTGCTAACTTTCTTTGGCACCAAGAAGTAAGCCTGGCTATGGATATACCAGCAGAGTTACACGGCAGTCACCTCTCAATTACAGATTTCGAGCAGCTAAGTTTTCAGGAAACGGACCAAGAACTGGATTTTCTCGGAGCAGGGGGATTTGGGGAAGTCTTTCGCGTCAAGAGACAGCTTGACGGACAAGAATATGCCTGCAAGAGTATGATACGGCGAGGGACGTACAAGATGCAACGGGATCTTATGCTCAACTTCGAACGTGAAGTGTCGGGTATGCGGAAGGTTCAACACCAGCATTGCGTCGATCTGGTGGCTTCGTGTACAAGCATGGATTCAGTCTACATACTGTCCTCACCTGTGGCCGACGTGGACCTGGCTAGATTCCTGGATCTGGATCTTGATTCAAATCAACTTTGTGTATTAAGCGGTGCTGTTGGTTGTATCGCGTCTGCGCTCGCATACCTACATAAACTTGGCATACGGTGGGTTATCCGTAACGGAACTATGAAAAGCTCTGACAGAATGTAGACACGATGACCTAAAGCCAAACAATGTTCTCATTCATGGCCCGAATGTCTTGCTGACTGACTTTGGATTCTGGTGTGTCTACAATTCTGCTGAATCTGACTGTGCTGACATTTCGCTCACAGCCTCGATGCGTCTGACACGGGCATTACCACTACCATGGGTCCTCCAAAACATTTCACGAGACGGTACTCCGCACCAGAGGTTTTCGAACACGCTCCAAGGAGCCGTTTGAGCGATATTTGGAGCATGGGCTGCATCCTCTTCGACATCGTCTCTCGACTGCATGGTTACAAGTTGCAAGAGTTGAATCGCTTCTGGCTCTTGAACGGTACCATGCGTGATAGCTATGCAGAAAACACAGCTGCTACAGAAGCCTGGTTTACTATGCTAAGCGACTCCTCCACGCCTCATAAACATGCATCCCCTTCTGGACTCCAGTGGCTACTCTCTTTCATTAAATCATTGTTGTTGGAGCCTGACAGGCTCATGAGGCCGACAGCGGCACAGGTAGTCAAGAGACTGGACGAGGCCAGCCAAGACCAATCGTTCTATGGACATGAAGGACCTTTGTGGATGGGCAGCTGCTGCAAACTGCTGGCTACCGGTTCAAACGGAGCAGTTCATAGCCCGCTCTGGAGAGAACCCCTTGGCCGGCCTTCGTTCGACATGTTCGGTACAGATATCGGGTTTGCACAACTGTTTTATGACACAGACCTTCGATTGATTCCCTGTGGTGACAATGTTTTCAACCCAGGAGATTCCATCAACGTGTCGTTCGGCGACAACAACGACTTCAGAGACTTCAACTTGAGGGTCAAGAAATTGCTGGACAGAGTCGATATACCCAGCCAAGAAAGATTGAGTGAAGTCTCACAACTTTCTCGGGCAGAGCTCATGAAAAGTTTGTATCTTCATTCCGCTTGCGACATTTATTACGACAACATATGCTTGCGTTTGCGGTTAGAAGGAGACCTGGAATCATACTCTTACACGGCACGCATCGTTGTGGTTGTGCTGCAACTTGAACGTCGACCCATGCGTGGTGTCCCCTTCATCACCCTGGTGTTTGATCCTGAAATACCCGAAACCCTTCGGCCCATTTATTTGCGACGTGCCGAACTGTAAGAGAAACGGCAAAGGGTTTGTGACAACCAACGATCTTGACCGACACAAGAAAAGCGCACACAGGATCGGGTTGAGAAGCGAGGCATACCGATGCGCCGCTGATGACTGCGAAGCCAATGAGAAGGTGTGGCCGCGATTGGATAATTTTAAACAACACATTCAGCGGAAGCACGCGACTGAGGATGAGCAAGACTTGATTTAACGGTAAGCCTAGAACGGCACTCGCATATCAACTCTAAAGCTAACTATGCAGATCAACATACTCTCCTATGAAGACATCGAGGATCATACAAGCAGCATCGTCCATGCAAACGCCACCAGCCCTCGGCCACGATTACCCTACCGACCCCTGGATCCATCCTCTGCTATGAAGACATCGACGAGGGTCATACACGCAGCATTGTCCATGCAAACGCCACCAGCCCTTGGTCATGATTACCCTACCGACCCCTGGATCCAGCAGGACTACTTCGAGAGCCATCGAAAGACCTTTATCGGAGAGCCCCTTTACTTCAACCGCACATACCCGTCCGAAATCAATCAAGCAGGCGTCGGTGCATATGAGTGATAGGACTCCATACATGTTGCTACGCTAGAAATGAGCTCCGCGCGGAAATCTAACGTGACTGCTGTTACACCAGAATGAGATAAAATGCGGGGAATGGAAAGCGATTTCTGTCCAAGCATCCATTCATTTTCATTTCCATATCGTAACCATCGTAAGATGCTAGAAAGCGTGGGATCAAGACTATACTAACAATGTACCGAGAAGCCCAAACAGCAGCAAGTGTGTACTGTTGTGCAAAAACCAGAACGCCGTCCTCTCCGTCGAACCAATTTCTATCCCGTTCCAGATTTCAGTCCTCCTCCTCCTCGTGGTCGTTTTACTTCTCATCAATCGTACAATCCTTTATTGCCTGAACTGCTCAGCTGTAACGCTGGCAGCTCCAACCTCGCCAACTATGTATCCTTCAGCATCAGCGCCGACCGCCGCACCGGCAAAGTCATCACAGCCCATAACCAGTGTCAGGTCTTGGCTCGCGCCCTCAGCTCCAGCACCAGCAGTGAATCGCTCAGTGCGCTCGACCCAACCGGTCTGTGGGCTTGCAGTGAACACCGGGCTAGTGCCAATCCTGAATTGCACAGTGCATCCGCTCCTCGTGTTTGCCTGTCTCGTAAGGCCGCTGAGCTCGTACTGCGTGCCTGGGCTGAGAGTCAAGGGCTGGGAGAGAGCGACAGTGTGGCCGGGGAATGCAGATCGGAAGCGTGCAATAGTGGCGTTGGCTGTGACGGCCGACGTAACGGGAACTATACGGTCGAACCGGCTAACGAACCAGCCTTGGCTGTCAGCATTGGGCTGAACATTCAACTGTGGTGAGAGGACAAGGTTCTCGGTGTTATTGCATGCAGCGTTGATCTGATCTTGTGTGGCAAGAGTACCAGAAGCGGCGGAAGTGCGAGAGGGGTGTAGGCGCAGCTCCAGAGTCTACAGCGGAGGTGGCTGAGGCTGTGACCTCAGAGACGACACTCGAGACAACGCTCAAAATGTCTATATGACAGGGGCTGGGTCAGACGGGGTATGTGCTGCGTCGGTCGCGGTCAGACTCTCAACCGCCGATGCGAGGCTTTCCACAACAGAGGGCAGGACGGCGGCGTCTGTGGGCAAGGTTGCGTTACCACCCGCTGAGAAGGTCCCGTTGAGGCCAGTTGGGGCTGTGTCGGAAAAGATGCAAGTAGATGCGACAATTGGAACAGTCTCAACAGTGTAAGTGGTAATTGTCACCTCCCTTGTGATGAAAGAGAACTCGGTCGGACTGGGGCATGCCTCTGTTGTCGGTGCTCATAGTCCTACAGAGAGTGTAGAGGTGCCGGTAGGGAACGGCGGAGAGGTGCTCGTCGCATTGAACGAGCCCGATGCGCCAGTCGAAAGCAGCACAGAGATAGAAGAGCAGCTGAAACGACCAGTGCCGTCTCCGGTTTCTGTTGATGCAGTTGTGAGTCCCGTCGCAATAGAGTTTAGAGACACTAAGGAAATCGTTGCCGATGCAGGTGGTGCAGTAGAGTTCAATGAGACACTGGGTGTCTCGACCACAATTTTGATATTACCGGGAGAACTAGGCGCAGATTCTACGATTAGGCTCGAGTTCACTACTCGGTTCTTAACTGTAGAAGTGGAGCCGATCGACAGCGGCACAGTGAGCACCAGAGTTGTGTTGGCGCTAGGAGTCTCGACGGCGGTAGTCAGGTTCGATGAGGGTGTCGCGCATCCACTCGAGGCTGTGGAGTTTGCTGTACTTGTGCGACTGATGGAACCAAAACGATCTCCGGTGAATGTTGGCGCGGTCATGGGTCCTGTTGCTGTAGAGTTGACAGATGCCGGTAGGATAACACCAGATGCACCGGTAGAGCTCATGAAACCTGTTCCAGATGCGGTCGAGAAGTTACCAACGCCTTTGGTTGAGAAGCGGCCTGTAGGTGTGGGGACAGGAAGTCGCCGTTTCAACGACAGTTGTATTTGTCAGGACGCGTTCACTGGTCGTCTGAGTAGTATTCTCGGATGCACTAGTAGTGATTGTGCTGCCAAATGGTCAACAATGCCATCAAGCCCTGATGAAGATGCTTACACTGTGAGTGTGACCTCAGAGACCACGGTCGCTGGTGCGAGATTGAGCCAGTCATTGCAGAAGCTTCCGACGCTGTTGTCGGGGTTGTTGCTGAGCAAAGCTGCAAACTGGTCGTTAGGGCAGTCCAGGATCTGGTCCTGTCTCTTTTCAAGGATGTTCTTCCATCAGCTGTTCTGTGCCTCGTCGGCGACGATCTTCTTCACCTCAACATGCTCCTCTGCCTTGCGATGCAGGACCCAGCTTTCGGTGGTCGCAGAAAAGGAGAGAAGGGTGGTCGAAGCCAGTACTGAGCGAGTGAGGAACATGATCGAGCACTCAAGTGAGTGAGAGTTGCTCTGACCAGATGTTCAAGTGGTTCCGAGAAGGGTTCGGTGGATTACAAGCCAAAGTCTACCGCCATGTGCACTTATAAGAGAGTATAGTGGAGCTCCAACCCGTTAGCCGTTCGGCCAGCCATTCAAGATTACTACCATATCGAGAATGTGCCTTGCAGGGAACGCTGGCGTACTGATCCGGATCAAAGTTTGCAGGCTGGATCAGTTTGGCGTGAAGCATGATGGGCCGTGGTGATCTTATGTAGAACGTCTCGTTGAGAATGTTGGCTCAATGGGACGCGAAGCTGGTGGCTTGCCCCCATTCACGATGGCCTCGTGAGGCTTGGCAGAACCCATGTTCTTCATGGGGGATTGGAATGGCAAGGAGACCGCCAAGCCATGTCTTTGGGGCGCGTTGACGCATTTCGCACCCCACCATCAACCAGATTTAGAGCCATCGAGTACACGTGCAGGGAGAGAACGCGTTTCAAATACCAGTAACGCATCCCGGTGTTGCACGGTAGTCAGAACAAGAGACAGAAAAGATGACAAGAGGAACGGCGCGACGAAAGACGTATTGGTGTCATGTGCTTGAAATTGATAGCAGTCAAACGAAGAGGTCATCCAGGCACGGTGTGATTGGTGCAGAGTTGCCTGTCACAATTGGTGATGGGCGCTGCCCTCAGTATTTCCAGCGTGGTGTTGACTGGAATGAGGATGGCGCAAGAGCGAGCTAAGGGACATGTTTCAGATGTCGACGGCCTCGAAAGAAGGGCGTGGAGTTGTCAAAGTGTCAGGCGTCAGGAACGGATGACGATGCGGCTCCTTCCTCCCCCTTCCCGCCAAGACAGCCGGAGATTTCCAGCGCCGATCATCACGGACAAGCCGCGCTCGTCACCAGCAGCAGCGCCAGCCTCTCTCCACCGTCCGACTGAGCGCCGCGGCATGCCTCTCATGGACGCGCGCGCAATCACCCCTGCCATATACCAGTGAGATACCCGCATTGCCGACGCCTTACCCGCTTCTTCACAATTTTTTGATATCACGACCTCTATAATCGCATTCCATGGGCATCTGTTCATCGTGCCTGGGCGGGCGCGCCGACGAGGACGTGAGTGCTACCGCTGTCCGTATACGTGCTCTGTCTCTCTGCTAACGCGCCCTTGCAGCAGTCAGACGCATCGCAGCTCCTCGGTGACAACTATCAGCCGCAATACGGCACGCTTGACCCCCGCCCGCAACACCAACCGCAGCCCAATCCTGAAGAGATTCGTCGCGAGCGTGAGGAGCTCGAGCAGATCTGTGCCGACACGTCCAGGTGAGTGTGTAGCGTCCCCTCTGCTGCGCTGCTCCTTCCCAGCTGGGTCATGACGCTCATCCCTTGCAGCCAGCTCATCACAGTCGTACAACCAACGGTGCAGCCCGACTCAGACCAACCGCAAGTCTCAGAGACTACCGACTATGCGCAGCACTTCAGCAAACGCTTCCCCTCGCTACGAGGCCTGAAGAAGGACGCCTCTGCACGCGCCGATGCCGACATGGACGAGGCAGCATGGCTCGACACCGTGCTCGGCGGCGATGAGGACGGCGAGGAGCCAGTCAAGGCTGTCCAAGGAGGTCTCACGCGCCAGTTTGGCAAGTAAGCCCAGTGCGACGAACGTTGCGCTGTTAGGCAACGGCTTGTTGCGCCCTTTTCATTGCTTGTCTTATACCTTTTCAGATACCCATAATGTCTTTCCACTATCACTTCCCTTTGTCGCAGCATCGCATGGGCAGGAGTCAGTCGCGCCATCAGGTGCAATACTACATTGATAATTCTGTCTGATCATCTGTCTCTCCCAACAAGGAAGTTGCACATTGCTTCACGCTGATAGAATCTAGGGTTAGTAGGGCACTTCGATGGCAACAAATTGATGAGACAAGAGGACCGTTGAACCGCGCAGTACACTGTCGCCACCAAGTTGGACACGACGCTGGCTGAAATCCGAAAGATCGGGAACCACAATATTGGATATACAATGCACAATCATCAACCGAACGCCCTTTCCACCTTGGCACAACCTCCAGAACCCATCTATCTTTGCCATATCCTCATCCACTACCATCTGTCCCCGCTGTCGACTTGGGCAGTCCCATCTTTTCCCTCACCTTGTCCTGGATAGTCTTCTGGATCTCCCCAGCGCTCGGCCTCGGCTTAAACCCTCGCTTCACCATCTCTGGCATCTGAATGACCGGGTTGGTGACTACAGGCTCGTGACGGCTGAGCAGGTGGGATTTGTATGGGTTCATGGGAGTATTGACATCATAGTGCACCAGAATCTCATCTGTGGTCATATCGCTGAGAGGCCGTTCACTGAACTTGGAGTCGCCAAGATCAGGCTTTTCGGGAGCCTGGGGATTCTCGGTCGACCTGAGAAACGGGGAGAAAATATCGTGAGTGGCATCAAGCTTCGGGGCGTTGCCGGTGCGGCGACGCTTGTTGGCGGTAGGTGATGCAGGATCCGTTCCAAAATCATCGTCTGACGAGTCGTCCGATGGCGTTACTTCCCTCGCCCTGCTCTTCGCCTTCGCCTTGGGCTTGGGTGCTGGTTTCACCATACGCTTCCTCGCCTTCATCTCCTCGATCTCACTCTTCTCCTCCACCACATCTCCCTTCCAAACACCGCCCTTCCTTTCCTCTTGCTCCTTATTCTTCTTCTCCTTCTCAACACTCCTCACCGTCCCAACCGGCCTCCTTCTCACCACACTCCCACTCATCCCTGGCGTCGCAACCTGCGGACTCAGCATATTCCCATGCGCCAAGCTCTTCCCGCCCTTCTCCCTCTTTTCCTGACACGGCTTGCACACCTGGAACGTGCACCCCGGACACCGCAGCATCGTGCCCTTGTTGCGCTTGTCGCATTCAGAACACTTGGCTGTGTGCACTGTGACGTGCGTGAATACGCTCGGTGACGACGAGCAGGTGCGGGCGCTGGTGCCGGGCGTCCGTGGGATGCTAGATATGCGCCGGTGGTGACCGCCGGGCGTGGAGGGGACGGGGGTGTTGCGCTGGACGTGCATGGCGGTGGTGTTGTTCGTGTTGGCGCCGGGTGTGCGCGGTGTTGCAGGGTCGTGAGGACCTGGGATTGGGGTTTTGTCGCGCGGCATGGTTAGCGTGGTATAGTTGAGATTCTTCTGTCTGGGAATCTGGTGGTGAGGGTAAGGTTGATGTGATCGTGATGAGTATGAAATATATACACACTGGTGGGAGCTGGAAGGGAAGTGAAGGCGGGGGATTGTGCAAACAGTCAAGTGAAGTGTGAATAGACTTCCACTCACCTTTTCATTTGAGCTGGTAAGCAATCCGCAGTACAGAGTACGGAAGCCATCTTTGATAGCGCCTTCAGCCCTTCAGTACAATCGGTGTTGATTGTTAGAAATGCCACCATAGGATTTGTCAATGGGAACAGTTGGGAAGCATTGTTCTGATGTATTGTCTACGAGTCTGAGCCACTATGTATGTAAAGGAGATCGCTGTGAAAGAACTAAGCCTAATGCGCCTTGGCGGCAGATCCAACCCACCTCATAGGGTTAAGGAAGGTTCCCGGGCACTGACAGGATTGCGTGGTGGAGTCATAGAATGTTAGCCATGGTATACAGTATAGTCGATCCTTGGTTGAGGACCATAACTTGTACACAAAACTAAGGTGGTTCCTGCTTGCAACCATCTACCCGGTTGCTTGCTCAATGATCGCAAAGCCACTGCCAGTCTGCTCTTTCGAATACATATCATAGGCCGCCTGTGAACCCCCAGTCGTATTGAATTGACGAGGCGCACAACACAGAAACGATTCGCCACATGAAGATACAGATGGCGGGCGTCCTCTACCACAATAAATATTAACAAACAATAGCTCATTCTTTGCACGTCTTGGTGCCGTTTGTTGTTACCTACCTCGCTCGCGCACTCATCCTTGATTGGTACATCGCTGTTGCCTTCTTCACGTAGACAAGCAGCTTCACCTCTTCTCATGCGCGGTGGAGTCCCTTCTTTCTTGCTGCCTCGAACAGCCACCTGCACAACGACATGGGCGGTACATACGATCCAACAAGAACACCTAGAGTTACATCGAGGATATGGGCAGTTACAATGCTCGAGTATGTGGGCGATACAGCAGCACCGCGAGGTTGGTGATGGCCCTTGTGCCTGCTCGTAATGCCTGATCACGTAGCACGTGAGATCTCTCTTCTCAGCGATTCTAGACGGCAGGCGCCCTTCAGAGGGACAGGCAACACTTCGTACGACTCATCTTCCCTCAGCCCTTCTAAATAAAATCTCGAGAGTTGACGTCCGCCCTTCTGTTCACGATACCCCGTATGGCCCACGGCGCACAATAGCAGCCTTACAGGAAAGTGCAGCTACCCGAGCACTCTACTCGAGCATCGCAGGCAATGACATCGCGACCCACTTACTCTCACCTCTTCCCTCACCTCTTCCTTCACCGGTACTTGCAGAACGACGTCTTGCTCTGCATGTCTTACACTTCGCCCTTCTTCTACTGCGTAGGATACCCACAATGACTCGTATACTGCGTAAGAGTCATCTCGATATTTTTGGCCGTTGAATCCATCGAGGTAAGCCGTTACGTGCGTCACAGAAAATGGTGCTGAGAATGAGGCTGAGGGTGGGCAGCGCAGCAGCTTTATTGCGGGGGATTCATGACGCTGCGCGAGAGCTGACACGAGGCGGTGAAGCCCCGCAAGGCTGCAGCACTAGCCACACGGGTATGCACCATCCTTCAGCTAGCGATGGTTTGCAGACTCTTCAGCAGAGAAGCGCGCCAGTAGCGTCGCATCATCGAGGTGCTCGTTGCCCCCGTTCACCGCAGCTGTTGTCGGTCTTTTCGTCCGCAGCGAACCCTCAATCGCAAACCGCTGCGCGTACAAAAAACTCAACTGTCATACGTTCAGGCAGCAACGCCAACACGTAATCATCGTATTTTTATCTTTCAGGTTCTCTTCCTACTTAAAACCACACATTTACTGTCGATGCACTCTTGTTGGTTGAGTTCTGTCGCAGTTGGCTGCATCAACCGACTTTTTGCGGAGACAACAGACTCTGTGGCGGTGCTGAACACCCTGCATCGTCAGGCCCTGGAATTAGACATCCCATCGCGATCTCGGCGCCTAAGGCACCTACCATCACAGAACCCCCTGCATACTCTCAGCTAAACTTGACACGGGTCTGGGCTTGCCATACATAAGTGTCGGCCTCTACTTGCTCTCGCAGTTGACGGCTTTGGGTCTTGGCCTGACGCCCGCCCTTCTCTCGCGCAGCGACAGTTCCATCAACATATAAATTCGGGGCCTTCGACTTACACTCTTTCCATCTCGGATCAAACATAAATAACTCGACAATCATGGACTCTCCGCCACCCTCATCGCTGTACCCAGCGATGGCGATTCTCGACTACATGCATGCTCCTACTGTTGGGTTCTTCTTCCTGGGCGCAACAGCGTTCAGTCTATGTATACTGCAGAAACCGATACCAGTGTCACACCGACGGAGAAGAGGCGTATTTGCGACCACAGTCGTCATACTGCTCTCATACATAACGGAAGTGCTCTATTACTTCAGCCGATCACTTGCAAATGCACAATATACAGCTCCAGAGCCTTCGGCGATCCGATGTCTTGGCTCTATCCTGGTATGGGGCCCCATCTCGTACTCTTTATGGACTTCGAAATCTCTGAGGTGGCATCCTTACTTTGGCACATTCGTGCTCCAGTTTTCGTTCGAAACGACAACATGCTTTATGAGCGCTGCCTCGATACCTGACGCGGACCGATCGAGTAATGCGCCTTTTGTTCTCGGTTGCATCAGAGTTATCACTTCCCTGATCCTGCTGGTTGACAGCTTTGTCATCACAGCCACGAAGCATGCGGAGAAGAGCACCGATGAGGAGAGCCAATCGCTAATACCAAAGCCAGCCAATGGCGCCGCGACCCAGAACGGCAACGCAGGATACGGTAGCATCGAGCAGAATACCTCTGATGATGAGGGAGAAGCCCCCAAAGACAAAGACAAAGAACTCAAAGAGCAACAGGCCAAGCGTCTGGAGGAAGAAGGCGGCTGGTTTGGCTACCTCAAGTCGTTCGCTGTATTTCTACCATACTTGTTTCCGCGCGACGACTGGATGGTCATGGGAGCTTTGGGAGTCCGTCTCGTTCATATGCTTTCTGAACGCGCCCTCAACTTGCTCACGCCCCGTCAGCTTGGTATCATCACGAACAAGCTAAGCCATAACACAGGCGTCATGCCTTGGAAGGACGTCGGTCTATGGGTTCTGTTCCAGTGGATTGGTAGCTATGCAGGTCTTGGCTTCATTGACGGCATTGCTAGCATGATCATCTCGAACTCAGCCTACCGACGAATCACGCTGTTAGCCTACGAGCACGTCTTGAGTCTTTCTATGGACTTCCATACATCGAAGGACTCTGGCGAAGTTCTGAAAGCTGTTGAGCAAGCGTCGTCACTCAACTCCCTTGTTGAGATGGTACTCTTCGACATTTCGCCTATCCTCCTGGATCTGGTTGTTGCCATGTGGTACGTCACGCATCTGTTCGATGCATACATGGCCTTCATTATTCTGTTCATGGGGTTCGCGTACACCTGCATTGGCTGGTATTTCACCACCCTCTCGCAGCCAAAGCGGAGAGACTATGTGGAGAAGCAGCGCACGGAAAGTTCGACTGTTAACGAAACAGTGCACAACTGGCAGACGGTCGCATACTTCAATCGTCTCAATTACGAACATTCGCGATACGCATCCAACATCATGAACACAATCAGGGCGCAATACGCCTACTACTTCCGGTCTATGGGCGGTCACGCCGCGCAAAATATGCTGACCACTTTCGGATTTGCGGCTTGCTGCGTCTTTGGTATGACACAGATTGTCAGTGGACGCAAGCAAGTCGGCGATCTCGTTACGCTGATCATGTACTGGCACACGATGACGAGCCCCCTGTACGTTTTATCGTACAGCTACAGGCACATCTCCAGCTCCCTCATTGACGCGGAACGATTGCTTCAGATGCTCAAAACCAAGCCTTCTGTTGCTGACAACGACGGCGCAAGGGACCTTGTCGTCGACACTGGTGTGGTGGAGTTTACGGGTGTGGAGTTCGCATACGATGAGCGCAAACCCATCATTAGAGGAGTCGATCTACACGCGGAGGGTGGACAGACAATCGCTTTTGTCGGCGAAACAGGTGGCGGCAAGTCGACGATGCTAAAGCTGCTGTTCCGCTTCTACGATGTCACCAGCGGGTCCATCATGATTGATGGCCAAGACCTGCGCTCAGTCACCCAATCCAGTCTTCGCGATGCACTTGGTCTTGTTCCCCAAGACCCGGTCCTCTTCAACCAGACCATCCGCCAAAACGTGCGCTACGCCCGTCTCGAAGCTACAGACGCCGAAATCGAGGATGCATGCCGCGCAGCCGCGATCCACGACGACATCGTCGGCTTCCCCGACGGCTACAACTCCAAAGTTGGCGAGCGCGGCGTCCGCCTCTCAGGTGGCCAACTCCAACGCATCGCCATTGCGCGCGTGCTACTCAAGAACCCCAAGATCGTTCTCCTTGACGAAGCCACATCGGCAATCGACTCTGGCATCGAAGCACTCATCCAAGAAGCCTTCCGCAAGCTGAGCAAAGGACGCACTACATTCGTCATCGCGCATCGCCTCAGCACTATCGTCGACGCGGACCAGATTCTCGTTATCGAGAAGGGCGCGATTGTGGAGAGGGGCACGCATCAGGAGTTGCTGGAGAAGAGCGGGAAGTATAATGAGCTTTGGACGAAGCAGACTGCGGGGCATTTGTCCAGTGTTGGGAGTAAGGTTCCCTCGAAGGCGAATTCGACGAACAGAGAGGTGGAAGGGAGTATGCCGTTGATTGATATTACGCCTGCGGAGAAGGATGAGGCGACTGCGACGGGGAGGAGTGGGGAGGATAAGGATGTGGTTGAGAGACGGAAGTAATATTCGCCCTGAAAGTATGTTGTCGTACGACGAAGTCATGACTGTCCTCTTGGCTGTATTCACACAACATGGAGTTACCGAGAGAGTTCGGGATCCACCAATCAGAAGCGGGACGGAGATCACAGCAAGACCGTGCGAGTCGGTCGGAGAAGGCTTGCGGACTCGAGAGTTTTGTTCTTCTTACGAAACTCAGATGAATTACAGCCACGGAAGGTCAAGACTGAAAGACAAGGAAGACAGGCAGAAAGCTCTAAGTGGTAATGGCAAGAACGAGAGAGGTTTCCAAGGTATTGCAAATATTCATGTTGGATCTCATACGTTAGAATGGAAGTGTTTCAACTCCAAACCCCAATAATGACCCATGCTTCTTTTGTCGTGCCATGCTTAGGCAACTCACAGAATCAACGACGATACATGCTAGGTTTTTGATGCTGTAGTCTTGATGACAGTGATCGAGCATCGTGTCTGGTTTGCCTATGGATGCTGCCAGATCTCTGAGTGATGGTGACGTTTGACAGTTGCTTGCTACCTGAACAAACTCGTCCGCGGACGAGCCTGATATGCTTCGATATGGGGCCGATATGATGGAGCATGCAGATGTTCGAGAGAAGCGGCGCATGGGTTGTGCCGACCGTGTGTGCACAGACCAAGCGGACTAGCTCTTCCCGGACGGCATCCACTTCGCATCATCGAAGAAACGAGAGGCGTCGGGAGCTGTGTTAGAAGCGCTGACATCGTGTGAGGCTTGTGTCTTCGTCTCTCCATCACTCTTATCTTCTGCTCGTCTTTTTCCATAACGGTTACCTACATTGGCCTCAAGGGCTTTGTTGTGCTGCTCTTTGTGACGTGCAGCCTCGCAGAATCGTAGACTCGTCGAGCCAATCCCGTCCCACACTTTCTCACCACCATGACCATCCCCAAACGCGCACTCCTGCTGTCCTCATGCGCACTCACCTTTTTCAGCAAGAAGTATGCGCCTGAGTCCCCCTTCACACAGGGGGGTTATATCAAGACCGTGCTTGCGCTTTTCGCGATACAGTACTTCGCGCAGGCGTTCTACAAAATCGTGATCTATCCGTTCTTCCTGAGCCCGTTGAGACACTTGCCTCAACCACCTGTACGTCTCTCCCCTCTTCTCCAGCCCCAATTCCAATTCCTACCTCAATCCTTCCATCATCATTTTGGTCCGAGCTGGCGATTCATCCCTTTCACTCATGTGGAATAGAACGGCCACCCCCTCCTCGGCCACTTTCCGCGCATCTTCCGCGACCCATCTGGGGAACCACAACGGGACTGGATTGATAACGTTCCTAATGACGGCGTGTTGTACTATCGCTGGCTGTTTAACGAGAGCAGAGTTTTGGTGACGAGTCCGAAAGCATTGGCCGAGGTGCTGGTGCAGAGGAACTATGAGTTTGTTAAGCCGGCAAGGATTAGGGAGGGTCTGGGGAGATTACTTGGGGTGGGGATTTTGTTGGCAGAGGGGGATGAGCATAAGGTATGTACTTATTCCTTGTTTCGAGGGGAGAATGTTAGTGAAGGGGGTGGAGACGCCGGGGATTTCGAGAAGTGCGGGATTTGAGGGGGAGGCTGAGGGATGGTGGTGTGCTGAGAGAGTAGATGAGAACTTGAATGTGATTATGGAACTGACAAAATGCAGCGCCAGAGAAAGCTACTGATGCCGGCTTTCGCGTTCAGACATGTCAAAGGTATGTTTTAGTTTTCCCCTGTGAATGGCTGATCGAGCATGACGGAAGCACTGCGAATGGATTGCGGGACATGGGGTTCGAGAATGATCAAAGCTAATGAAAACCAAGATCTTTACCCGATCTTCTGGAGAAAGAGCCAGGAAATGACAGATCGAATTCTCAAGATTACAGACCGGGCTCCAGATGGCTCAATTGTAATTGAAGTCCGTGACTGGGCTTCTCGCGCAACCCTTGACATCATCGGTTCAGCAGGCATGGGCAAGGACTTCGACTCCTTAATGAACCCAGAGAATGAGCTTTTCCAAACCTACAAGAAAATCTTCTCTAGCAACCGCGGCGCTCAGGTTGTTCAACTTCTGCTCGGCATGCTGCCTCATTGGCTCGCTGTCAACCTCCCACTGAAGCGCAACGATGAAATTGGTCAAGCGATCGGCACCATCAAAAAGGTGTCCCGCGATCTCATTATCGCAAAGCGCGGCCAGGTCCAGCGTGGCGAAAAGCCGTCTCACGACATCTTGTCTGTAGCTATGGAGTCAGGTTGCTTCACCGACGAAGACCTTGTGAATCAACTCATGACCTTCCTCGCAGCCGGCCACGAAACAACCGCCAGCGCCATGTCCTGGGCCATCTACTGCCTATGTCAGTACCCCGAGACACAAAAACGCCTCCGCGAAGAACTCCGCTCCCAACTCCCTGCACTTCTAGACCCCAGCGACCAGATCGCAAGCACCGACATCGACCGGCTTCCCTACCTCAACGCCGTCCTCAACGAAACAATGCGAATCTTCCCACCAGTACCATTGACGATGCGCAGCACCGCCAATGACACCACAATCTGCGGCTCCTTCGTGCCCCGCGGCACCACCGTCATAATCTGCCCCTGGGCCATCAACACCTCTAAGCACCTCTGGGGTCCCGACGCGCGCTCTTTCAACCCTGACCGATGGCTCGGCAACCACGCCAACACCGGGGGTGCGGAGAGCAACTATGCGATTACGACGTTTTTGCATGGCCCGAGGAGCTGTATTGGAAAGGAGTTTGCAAAGGCAGAGTTTGCGTGCCTTGTGGCGAGTTTGGTGGGCAGGTTTGAGATCGAGTTTGAGGATGGCGAGTGGGAGTTGAAGATTCAGGGAGGCATCACTGCGAGGCCGAAGGGTGGGTTGAGAGTTAGGTTAAGGGAGGTTGGAGAGGAGAAGGCGTGAGAGGGATTGTTGCCGCGTAGATTGGGGATATGAGATGTAAATGAACGGTGTTCTCAGGTGTCAATCTTTCTGTGCTTGTTCTGTCAAGGTAGCGGCAATCAATCAATCAATCAATCGTCGAGTCGATACCAGCGTGCTTGCCTGCAACAACGATTGCCTCATTGTTGGCCAATCTGGTTGGCTTGACCATTTCCCCATTTCATCTTACCGAGCGCATTAAGTCTTTATGACAGCCGTTAGATAAGTGTTTCGCGCGTTTCTTTCAAAAGGCATGTCTTGCAGGGCTCGGCACTCTTAGCGATACATCGATAGACAGAGTGGACCCTGAACCATGATTCGCATTGATGATCCCGCGTTAGACTGACTGTCCATTGGCGTACATTTATTCACTTTGAACAGTGTGACCTGACTAAGTCGAGATGTTGAGCGTGATTCCTCCCGACCTCGGGACACTATGGTCCCACACTTCGGACCATGGTAGTGAAATACTATTGTTGGTAGGCAACCGTATCTGCTCAGGATAAAATATCAGGCAAGCTCTTCTCTGCTCTTACATTAAAAACGCACTCGATCAACACGTTCCACCAACTTTATCAACCCCAGCATATTCCTCGTTCGACTTCTATCGTCGAAACAAAGCAAACACTAACATTTTGTTGTACAACCGTTGTTGCGAATCATCATCGAATCTATCAAATCAGCCATGGACATGCTAGTTGTCCTCTGTACAAGGCCAACAACATTGCCATCGACACCCTGGTCGAGCTTTTAAAGGAGAACATACCTCAGTCAGTGTGTGACGACAATAGGGCTACCTACATGGAACTAGATGGTTATAGCCTCGTTGTTTGCCACCAAAGGGCAGGGCTCGATACCATTTCCGAAGACTTTCGAGAAAGCACTGTTCGCTGCTATACAAGGCCGCGAAGAAGTTGCCATCCATTGTAGACTCAAGCCCGACGATAGTGACCTTCAGAAGGTGTACGAGGGCCACATGTACTATATCTGTCTTCGGTACATCTAAATTTCGGTACATCCAAAGCATGACCGAACACCTTTTCGAGGGTGCAGCGCCTGTCACCCCCAACCCCAGCTCAACAAAGGCTAAATTCCGGTGGAACCAGCACGTCTGAACTCATGTACGACTACGTGGAGGAAATGCTGGCTATCTGTCGCTTTCTACAGAAGATATGGACTCATTATGTTGCATGCCAGATCACCTTGCGAATAGTTTATGCGCTACTGCATGCGGCAACGATGATGATTAAAAAAGCAAGTGAGGAGTTCTAGCAAAAGACACCACAATTCGGCCCAAGCTCCAATGACGAGAAGTTGAAGGAATTCTGGACACGAGGTTTAGCTGGACTGCTTCATCTTGACTACCATGGTCAAGAAGCTAAGGCTCGCAAGGCAAAGCCTGTTATGAGGCGTCCCGAGCAGGAGGAGGTGACTCACATCGGTCTAGCAAAGTTCTTCTCGCCAACTGCAGCAAAGTAACTACTGTATTGGCAGTATACTCAACCCTACGAACCGATTCCATCGACCAACTTCTTGACCCAGGAGGTATACACAACAGCTACCGAGTTCCTTGGCACAATTGAGTCAGTAAGACAGGCCCATTCCATCTCCATATGATTCTGGATGGGCTGTTTGGTCTTGGCTTGAAGCGCCCCATGCCGTATGACTCGACAAAAGAGCTCGCTCAATCCACGCTGGAAGCATTGGCAGAACTCTATGCCACTACTACAGCTCCGCCGAGCAACTTCCTCAACACCAACAGGAATGTAGGGTGTATCCTGGGTGAGAATCATCTCACTCATAAATGGCTGAAGTAGCACAACCCAGCGCTTGTCGGTACCCTGAATTGCTTGCAAGTTGAGTAACGACACGCCGCCAATGTTGCTCTTGAGTAAAAGTGGTCAAACATTGTTGCTTATCTGGCGTTTACAACTTTCTGCGGTCAATGAATTACCTTTCAATACAGCACGATGATGCCGAACAACCGCTCGCTTGGTATGGAGAGGAGACCTCACTCGGACAGTCGCCACTATCGCTAGACGACCGGACAGCCTATGACTGTCTTGATCGTCTCTCGTTCAGGACGCATGGGATACTGACTTCTTTCCACAGTCCGAGATGGAAGATTTGGTGGCCAAGAACTCAGCTTCCGCAACCGTACCATGCCGATCCTTGAAGAAGCAGCAAAACTGCCAGGACAACTCAAGTTGGGTACAACCTGGCTTCACCGAGGAACCGGTGAAATTGGTACATTACGCAATCCTATTCATCAACTTGATGCATCTGAAACCGAAGGTCGGTAACGAGATGGCAACCCAGTTGGCCGAAGAGATGGAAACCCTTATCAAAGAGCATGGCCGAGATGAACTGGAGAAGGCTGAGCGGTTCAGCGGAGTGAAGGCGTAGAATAGGCTTCAAGATGCAAGCAGACGAGAGATGGTGTTGATGAGCGCTTACCTTCAGCGTCATATGAGGTAGATATAGGGACCGACACAGCTTGCCTATATTTGTCTCGTATAATGGCTTAGCTGCACTGCGCTGGGATATTGCTTTCAATTGACATTAATGTGCGCAACGTGGACGACTCTTAGAAATACACGTGATTGCCCAGATTCCATCAGAGCTGTTGCTGTACGCGATGAACGGCTTCGATCCTGAGCATGTCGTGAGCCTGGCTTATGTGTGTTCGATAGCGCATTAAGTCGATTGTTTTGTGCTTAGGCATTGATGGCGAGGGATGAAGAAAGGAGCAGCCGCAACTCGAAGCTCTCAAACGATGAAAGCTTAGTCAGCAGAGCTCGGACGTGAACCAGACATTCGACGCGTTCGCAACGTCCATCGTGACGCGTTCTTGTGTGCTCGATGTTAAAGGTACAGTCAGCTAGCATAGCATCCCGCTCGAAGACGCAAATTCACCTACATCTTTTGCGTGGTCCTCTCTCCACGTGTATCAACATCAGCACGCGTCTACCCCGTCCGAGCCCGTTGTGTGTCAATGTGACAACGAGAGCTAACTATTTGAAGATCACCCTTTACGAGCAGGGCTGAAATGAGCTGCCATCAGAGCTAGCCTTTGAGCTTTGCGAGATCATATATCAGAACGTAGCCCCAGCTTGAGCTTTTCATCGGAACAACGCGCAGGTGGACCCAGACAATACTCCAACCATTTCCTCAAGTACATCCGCGGTTCTAGAGACCATTCTTCAGCCATCTCTCTTGAGCTGTTTAATGGTCGTGTATGCTTTGGTGCTTGGGTCGGCATCGAACGAACTTTCTTCCAGTCCTGCAGTTCCGCGCAGCAAAGATGGGTTTTGCGAACCTCTATACACTCGACACGCACCACTTGATGCTCGAAAAGGTTCTGCGAAAGAAGGGTACGCCTTGACCACTTGATGGGGCTTGCTGTCGTTTTTCCCAACGGCCGACCCTCGGACTGGGATAATTGCCTCTCTCGCTTAAACAGAACGACACTAAAGACGCACGCTGCTGCACGTCTGAACCATCTAAGGCGGACTCGCTTCTGACCTAAATGCCCAACAGCGTCAGAAGGAACGTTGCGGACGTGATTACGCCGCGCAGGAGGGAAGCTCTGAGGATACTGTAACGGCCTGCTGATGAGACCTGTTAAGCGCTCACTTTCGCGCCGACAGAATATCAAAACGTTTCAGGTGGCACAGGCGTCTACACAACGTCACCTTCCATGGGTCTTCCGTCGAACTTCTACCCCACCATTGCCCCTAAGACCAAATACTGACCTAGCATAGCGTATCGGTCCTATTGCAACTGAGCCGACTGACACCGCTCATTGATACACAGTACCTTCGCCGCGCGCTTGTCCGAATTGCTGCAAGCAAGTTCGGCAATTGGCTCATCATTATTTTCCGCGTGTATCCTCCAGACATGGTTTGTTCCGTGACACGTATCGAGAAGGAAGTCCTGCGAACGCCAACTGTGAAGGTCTTAGGGAACACAGAGCTGTACACATGCACGACGACTCTTGAACCCAGGCTCCTGGGACTGCGCAGCTGATGCAAACGCTGGGGTCACCGTGGGGCCAAGCGGTACTGCAGCAAAACAAAGGAAGACCCTTCGGCGGTTGATGGGGTTTCTGCCTCCGTACGACACCTCGCACCTGTACCCCTCAACTTGCGTCATAGGGCGAAACACCGCGCTGGACATGTTTTCCTGCCTTTATTGTTCATCATGCAGAGCTGCCACGTGCAAACCAGCCTCTTGAGTACCGGAGGTCTTGAAGATGTCGATACCGTAATCTATGGGAGACATGTATGTGATGCACTGTCTTCGCAAGATGATCTCACCATAGACCATTTCAACCATACGAGCAGAATGACTCGTTGTCACCATTTCATTTAGACTCACTGACCGCAAAAGGGTAGGCCTGTCGTCCGCTTGTCAGCCCGACGTTGATCGAAGTAACGACCGATTCAGGTTGGTCCGCTCTGCTACTGCCTTGCATATGCAGCTAGATGATAGGTGCATTTTCGCAGCCTCCCATCGTCGAGCCAAAGTCCTCAGCTCCTTGCACATGCTGGAGGAGGGCATGGTCAGTCAGAGATTTCAGCCTGGGACCCCGCCTCCTTGCCTGCCTCGCACTTCTGGCTGAGGTGATGCGTACTGCAGCTCCCGCCAACTGCCTGTCCGCAACACCATGATAAACAGCATCTTCTGTGTTACTATCAACCTTTTCTTACATTACCATCAGGCACGTTTGACTATCAGTTCCTTGCTCAAATCCCTCCCAGAACCTCAGATCTCGGTGTCTATGTAACATACGTCAATCTATCTGGCCAACCATTTCACTTCTGACCGCGGGGACATGCACATAGCCAGGCCAGGCCGAAACCGACCCACCCCAAGAGCCGTAACCCACCAATCCAGCAACTCCTCCATACCCACCACTCACAGTGCAAGGTCCGGCGACCGCGTTTCCGACCCACACACGCACAGCTCGAACTCGTCCACTGATCAAAATTGCGTGCGACCATGCTCCCTTACCCTCCGCAGTCTATGCGCGAGCACCGCACCCAGCACAAACTTCTCGTCATGTGAGTTGGTAGCGATGCGGACTGCCTTGTAGCGAATTTCAACGTCAGGTCGTAACGAGAACTACAGCTGATGGCTCAAGGACGAGTCCACGCCCACTTTTGGGGCCAAGTTTGTTGTTAGCATGACGACAGAGAGCACCAGAGGGTCATTAAGACGCAATAAGGCAGAAATCAGCAATATATCGATTGGTCGATGTGCTATTTGCAAGGTTGGTGGACGGCCGCAGGAAGGCCGCAGTTCTGGTGTTTGTTATGATGGCTGGTGTGGCTCTGTGCACGACGCGAGACCGCTTTCAGACAACACAACAACACCTCACTCCTAGCATCTCATACTGCAGATTTCCAAGCCAACACCTTCAATGCTTTCAATGCGCGGTGTCAGAGAGAAAGAAAAGCCAATTTACGTGAAGGAAGTCATTGGTTTGGATGTATGGAGATGTTACTCTTTCAGTGATTGTGGCAGTCCAATTGCTGAGAAATGCTGCATCAAGTTGCCACCATATTAACAATCTTAGAAGCCATTGGCACATCTTTCAGCCAGACTCAAGCCCTGGCGTGAATACCGGTCAGAGTGGCCCAACAGTAGACTGAATCTGCCTAAGTGTGACGCACTTTCCTGCGGGCTGTGGATATGCGTTTCTTCCAAAACCTACGGAAACAAGTGCGGGAGCCAATACGGATTGATTCGTAACACCCATGACTGATTGCGAGGTGAAGGTTCGGGATATGCCCTCCTCAGCGATCAACCAAACCGCGCTCGCCACGTCAGTGGATCTCCGATGGGGCATGATTTGGCAGGTTCTAGTCTGTCCGGGGTCCAAATGGTTGATTCGACATGCAACGACGGGCTAGGTTCCGCATAAACTTCACGCCATCTTGTCATCTAAGAGAAGCATGCCTGTCAGCGTGCATAGCCTAGCAAGTCAACAATAGGCCGGATGCGGGAAGACCGAGCCGTGGAGTGGAGAGACTGATCAGCTGAATGAAAGAGTACCGACGGTGCAATGCAACATGCATGCGGTCATTGCTAGCGTGCCATACGAGTGGAGGTATGGAATGACCGGATGTGATATCCAGGACTGGCCGCTGCAGCATGGGCAGATAAGGTGACTGGCCGACAGTGCCTTAAGCTCGTGTTTGAGGGGTTGGCAAACTTCGTGTCAGCCAAGAATAACGGCTTGACTGCTCAGTGGAGGCGAGGGTCGATCAAAGGCCATCGGTGAATGGGTATCGAACTACACACAATGATTAGCGAGACTTGATGCGAAAGACTAGGGTCAACCCCAAGAGACCGCAGATTAGGAAATGCCGGGACACGAAACAACAGGCGGGAATTTGATGAGCGAGCAAATGCGGAGTACCAGCCAAAGTGCTGAAAACGTTTCGTGCGCAAGATCTGACCAATGGCTCGGGGGAACGTCTGTTCAGACTCCGTGCTGGGAAGACGTAGGAAATACTGCAGCTTGAACTTGGCCCGTGAATCCCGTTTGCTTCCGGGATGTTGAACTTGCCAGCAAAGTGATTGCCATTGGCCAATGAGTTGTTCGCTCGTTAGAACTCGTGGACCGGTCCATCGCTCGGCATGGTTTTTGCGGCACGTGACCGTATCTCGCTTCACGAAAACTCGCCTTACTACACATTCGATGGTTCGAACCGCACGTCCAAAGACATCCGGAATCAAAGACTGGCGCCGTCTGATACACATTGACAGGGAAGTTGAGGGATTTTCGCTTTCACTGGACCAGAACGCGCAATTCCTGGAGCCACAATGCGGTGATCCCTTAGCAAATGTGATATCTCTCTGCAGCTGGAAACGCCGGCACGGCCTAGGGTATCATTGCAGCCCGTCTCCGCAGTGCTTTAGCGGCAGAATGGGCGGTATCCGTTGATCGTGGCAATATCGTTGGACGCGGCCAGGTGGGGTACCACCATGTTCGGTGGAAGGATAGGCCATGCTCTCATTCTCTGGTTTGACAGCGGCAAAGGCCCGTAACGAAGTGCAGTCGACGAGTGGGCGGGATCTGTCCGTCTGAGAGCATAAATAGCGGCGTAGTCTCCCTGAGAATGAACTCATCAAGCTCACACTCGACCACACTTCCAGTCAGAGACAGGCATCTCTGAGCATCTTCCAAGTCTTGATACACCATCATCCTTGTGCCTCCTCTTTTTCTCACAGCAAGACCCCAGGCTTCTACAAGGGACCTCCTCTCATCCAACCATCTTGTATGTGTTGTCGATAGTCAAGTCTACTATGGCCCCTGAGCTGACCCATCCAGCAACCCAACCACAGTCCAACCATCGAGACCAATTGTTTGAACGACGAGACGCTAGGTAAGTTGACAGGCGCTGTCGACCAAGCATCCGTAGGGCAAGGCTAACAATTGGTAAGCTCGAAACAACCCAGCTCTTACACTTGAAACATGTGCTTCTACGACCAACATCGATTCGGATGCGGCGACTGGAAGTGGGGTCACTTTCGCCAGCACTGTGCCAAGGAGTACCGAATCGGTGAAACGTGTGGCATGAAGCTCATCATGCAGACGATTCCCACAGGTACCAAGTGCAAGCTCTGCGAGAAGATTGACACCAAGATGCGCCGCCGGGCCGCCGAAGTCGAACGCATCAGTCGCTGGCAGCGCGATGGCAGCAAATTTCGTGCTTCGATCGATAAATCGATGGAGATAATCCGAGGACTGGACTACGAGATCTACGAGCTCGGCTGCGAGCGCAGCCGTAGATTGCAGCAGACACACTGAGCTGGCGGCGATCAAAGCGTGGCGTCTAAAGTCTCATGTACAACCTGGAGTTGTTTCTTTTTCGGATTGAGTCCATTCATTATCGGCGTCTGGGGCTGGTATGACACAGTGAAGATTGACACTGGCTGGTGGAAGGTGAGAAGGAATTTGCCGGGCGGTACCTCTTACAATCGCTTCTTTCAATGTGTCTACTTCATATTTCAATGATGAATGAAATGTTTCGAAACTGCATGATTGGTTGCTTTCTTGAAGTTGTCGATGATAGCCGCTGTGCCATTGATGGGGGCCGAAGCTGTCCAATCCGTGAACGTCGCGTAGCCACAAATAGAGGTAAAGAGTGGTCGTGCACGGCCCAGCGGGTAAGGTACGGCGTCCCGCTTCCAAACTTGGAGGCCCAGTTGCCGACCGTACGTGAGAATGCGCTGCCATCTGGAGTAGCAACGGCTGCTATGTGTTGGCGGACTCGGAGGGTCGATGAGGTGTTGTTGTGACGCGCGAGGGGTAATTTTTTGGTTCGCAGGTGCACGTGATGATACTAGTCTTGTTTTGTCAGCTCTTGCAGTGTCCGCCGAGGAAACACCATTGGCCCGTGCACATCCAGCCTTCTGAATTTCTCAAAGCAGCCCGTTCGACACCATGTATGCGCCTGCATCTGTCATCAACCTATGGATCCGCTCGTACGCTCGAGAATCGGCGTTCCATACTCAGCGGTATGTATCGTGCTCGCTCGTCACTCAACGCAACAGGACGATGTATGCAAGCCCCTTGTGATTCCAGGCTGTCCTGCAAGGTTTGCGATTGTATGAAGGTCGAGATCTTTCGTCGAGAAGGATTCCATAGCGTTTGTGAGGGCTCTCGTGCCAAGGTAGGGTTTCCTTTGCTCCGTTGAGTACTGCAGCGCGCGTTTTCGTTACAGAACGCTGTGTTTCTTGTGTTGCATCATATTTTTCGTGGAAGCCGCACATATCTTTTCTCGTCGACAAAAAGGCAAGCAGATATGGCAGGGTGCCCTGGGACTGAGCAGAACGTCATGTCAGTTTCTTAGGCCAGCATCAACGTCGAACAACTCTTACCCTACGTGGCGGTCTCTGAGTGGCCTAAAATGCAGCCGATCACTCACGACGAGCCCTCCTGGGCCCTGTTCCTATACCATGCCATTTCGATGTTAGGTCGCCCAGGGGCATCAGAGCTGAAGAGTTTGTCATGCGTCACCTGCGTGGTATACTGCCAGGGTGGGAAGATGTCGAATGTTGCAAGAGATGGAGATCGAGGGTGAGGGCGAGCTGGAGATCTTGAAGCTTTCATGACAGTCCTGGCATTATGGCGAGTAGAGCTGGCGCTTATTATCTACAGCTTTTCGAGTCTTGTACTACCATCTTCCAGGGCAAACGAGGCATTGCCGGCACTCGTGAGCATGTCGGAGGCTGTGGTCCAATGAAGAGCCTGGATGTATCGTCAGCAGGGCAGGGCTCCTGACGGTGCAATTCAGAGCATGTGTCTCTCAATGCTGTCAACCAGATGCATTGGGCAGCAGCCAGCAATCGTGTGCATGACTGGTACACATCTCAAGCAGGTCGTGGACCAATCGAGGAAGCCAACACCGTATCTTGGATTTCTGGGCGAAAGAGTTCAATCTTGCCTCACTTTTGTGCCAATATAGGCAAAGCAAGGACATGACTTCAGAAGCCGCAGGCTTCACGAGGCAAAGTACTCATCGTTACCAATCGTGCTGCTTGTCGTTGTTGTTCGAGGTCCTCCCGCATGACAACCCTTACCCGTTTAGGATTATCATGCTTCCCATAGCGCTCCCGCATATTGCTGGCATATCGGAACGGGCGCAACGCACCCGCCGTGCCAATGGGAATCTGAGCCCAGAGTTTGCAATGATACTTTTGCTTGGCTCCTACTACTTGCGCATTTCCAGACGGTGCCGTATCCTCACCAGACGTCATGAGAACGATGACTATAACGACGCGCCAATACTTCTATTCAAGGATCACAAAACAAATTCGATGTTCGAGATAGTCGCGTACGCGTCTCAGTTAACTGTTGTCGAACACCGATTGATGTTGTAAGACGTCAATCGTGGGACAGCGTTGACAAGGGTTGCCAACCAATGAGAGTGCAGAAGTCTACTCTCCACTCACCAGGAAGCCGCCGACATCACCCAACGAAACAACGCGAGACATTCAGACTGCCAACCAATATACTAGGCGCTAATTCCATCTGAATGTTTCTGACAGTTCAGACAAATTGCGAATATTAAAGACACACTTCAAGATCGAAAAGCATTGAGGGACTCTGCAACGACTGCTTGCAATTTCACAACTCGAAGATGTTGTCAACGATGTATCTAACACGAACAACGAAAAGAAGTCACGCCTTTCGCTCATATAGGTATCCGCAGGTCAAGTTTCCTTTGAGAGCGGGTGTACGCGCTTCTCGACATATGTGGTCAGGGTCAAACTCAGTTTTAGGATCGAATTTCCCTGGAATCCTTCAGACTCTCCCTGGAATCCTTCAGACTCTGGTGCTCGTCGTCAACATCCATTGTCACAAATCTCTAAAAGTACCAGCTTGAAGTCCGTTATCCCTCCTGACGTCCCTCAAAACCTCAACAGACTTCGCCCTGGAGGCCTTCAACCCATGCCACCCTGTTCTCCGCCGCACTCACGTTCATCGAGCCTCCATTCCTGGGTAGCGTTGTCGATTTGAATATCATTGCCTCGCTCTACGTATTCAAAGTATCCGAAATTGCGACCCAGACATCTAGAGCGGTACATCGTCGTCACATGCTAATGCGGGAAAACGCCAAGGCTGATCGTGTTCGTATGGTGGCATCTTTCGATGCGATGAGTGTTTGTAAGTATCACGGCTAATTTGAAACGAGTACTGCATATGGTATGGGCTTCCCTCACGAAACCGAACGGAATACACGTCTCGCAAATTCTGTAAACGGCGGGAGTAACTATGACTCTCTTAAGGCAAAGCGTTCCTTGTAGGCTGAAACATAAAGTGATATAGCCTTCTTGCTTTGCTTAGCTGTAGCACTTATCCACACCTCCTTTCTCTGCAAAGATCGAGCGGTCTGGACACGACCAAACAGTTTGTTTCTGACCCTATCGTCAAGCAGTGCACCCTGCTATGAGTTGAAGTACTCTTCTAGGGTCAGCATCGAAAGGCCCACGCCTTGATGGAGTTGCACCCAAGCCGAGATTGATGGGATCCAAGAACAACAGCAAATCTGTCTGACGTAGCTCCAAAGGTATACTGGAAGCCAAGCACTGCCTTACACTGGTTGTCTCTTCCAAAGCTGGGTCTTCCAACAATACACCTCAGTTGTCTGTATCAACGAAGTATTCGAAGAGCGAAGTGGCTGTGAGTTCAGTGATTGGGTCGCAGAAGTCGATTTGGAAACTCAGGTAATTGAAATGCCACTTGAACTGCTCACTGGTAGTCATTGCCTTCCGGACGGAAAGTTTTTCTGCCATCTGAGACTTCTCTCCGGTTTGCGTATGGTTTTCGATATACGCCCAAAGCTGTGCTGCACTTGCCGTAGATTGCATCTTGCTGTCCATGTAGACGAACTCCATGAGCCGGCTTGGCTGAAGGAAATTTTGGTTCTTGCTGGCATGTGGAATGCGCCGGAAGCATCGCAATATTTCATCCCAAGTAGTCGGTGCGGCATTTTGGTCAAAGATCGCTTCACACTCGTATTGTTGAAAGAATAATTCAGCATCATGCCAGATCAATGTAAGGCTGCCCTTCTTATGCATCATATGATAGATCAGAAGGGTATAGTAGATGTACGGTACAGAAGCTTCCATTTTCGATACTGCGACGCGAGCGAGATATAGCAGTCCAAGATGACGGTTGCAGTTCAGTAGCAGATTGATTTCCGGGTAAGACGGCCGTGCTTGAGGTGTACGGACTACGATCCTGCTGGCCAAACGGGACTGGACAGGGTCTGCGAGGATTTTGATTGATTGATTGATTGATTGATTGGTTAAACGTCCTATGTGAGTGGGAGACTATGGAAGACGAGAGGAGCAGTAGCTCCTCTGGTAATGCAAGGTTTAGTTACAGGAGGTTGGGGTCTATGAAAGTACAAGGGATGGTGGGGCTCTTGCCCTATCTGCGAGGATGTTATTGATGAGCAAAATGGCTTCTTCGAAGATTCATGTCCGTGGGAGCTTTCTCAGCTTGTAGCAGTTTCCGAATCATCTTGCGTAAGCTCGTAGCAGCCAAACGGAGGGTATTGCTCGGGCGCTTGTGAGCGGCAGCAAGCTTTCGGATCGCGAACAGTAGCGCTTTTATAGCTGCTGAATACCAGCCATAAGCTTTCCTGTCCGCTACACTGCCTGGCATATGGCGAGTCAAGCGGTCCGCAAATCAACAGCATGGGTCTGGGCCAGCTTTATCAGTTGTAGCGATATGTCGTCATTCCTTGAAGAGTACCATGACTGTGTCGTTGTCCCAGCTGAATAGATAGTGTTTCCTATCGGCAGGCCTCGCTGACTTTTTGTCGGATCTCATCACCATTTCAGACCGTCCTAAGGCATCCGAGAAGCCGATATTGCCTTGTCCCAAATCTCTAATCTTAGTGGTCGCTGGGAGAAGATACTTTCTCGCCACATCGTACTCGGCAACTCTTTTTTCGTTTGCTGTGTCGGTGTCGCGTTCTGAGATGAGTTTTACGCCTTCGTCCCAGTACGCGTACAGAGTGTCTAAAATCGAGTCCGCATTATCCTGAGACTCGTTCTCGGGTTCGGTCGACATCGAGACATGGCTAGTTCTTCCGAGTACTCGCACGAGAGTCACGATTGACGTGAGCTTGGCAGTTGTGAAGTTGATCGGACTTGCCGCTCTAGGATGGCACTGTGCTTCTGCCCACATCAGATCATTAAGCACTTCTTGGAGCACCGAGTTGAAATCTTCATGTCTGCCATCAGATTCTTTCTGTTCCTGGGCACGATGTGGGCGCTTCTTGTGTTCCTCAGTTTCCTGTTGACGAGAAAGTATGACATTTCGACAACTGTCGAGGCGTGCCTTTGTGATTTTTTGGGCGGCGGCGTGATATCTATGTATCAGCGAGCTCCATTCGGTGAGAAACCTTGTGTTCTCGTAGGCTTTGGAGTCTCGAGCCTTCTGCGGGATCTTGCCAAACCGTTTAGTCCAGACGTTCGTTCCTAGAATATGTTCAGTCAGGTCAATAAGTCAGCGTATGTTATCGTCAGTGTCTCCTCGGTACCCATTTTCAGTCAACTTCGTCATATTGGACAAGCTGAGTTAGATCGAGTTGTTGGCTGAGAAGTGAGGGGCAGTGGTGAGCGAAGTCGGTAGTCGCTGCCGTACGGTTGTCGCTCTTATAAGCAAGTGGGAGGACGGCGTGGGATAGTAGAGATCGAACGGAGGTGGCTCCAGATTAGATTCGAAAGCTTGTCCAAGGAAAAGTGCAGTTGAAAATGATCTTAGCAGTACCTGCCCCCTATTTCGCGGGCAGGCGACGATGAAAGACGGCGATATGGGTCGACGACAGGATGTGGTGTCCCATGAGAAGCAGTGCGTAGACTGATGTGATAGTTCGAGCGGAGGTGAGGCGCAATGTTGTCGCGGCATACACGTGAAGTTGTTGCCATGAAGAAGTCGCGCAGCTGCCTCCTTTGTCTTGGCGTATTTTGGAAAACACGTGTTACCTCCTCCCCTCAACCGACTGGAGAGATTCATCATTGTGTAGGGAAACAGACCGCATTGTCGGGAACCAACAGAGGGACAGACAAGGACGAGTTTCGTGCAGTGATTCAAAGACCGGTGCTGAGCCTGCAGCGCCTGTCATTACACAATCTCAGCTTTGCTGCGGGACAGCGGGCTACGTCAACATTGCCCAAAGATATACCTTCGTGACATAGCACAGCTACTGGGAGGCAGACCATGGTATATACGATGACGACGGCGGGTGGCATCAGGAATGTTGAAGGACTGTTTCGCGTCTTATTAACTGCCGCGGACGTGACGGCTTGCTTGACCCAGCATAATATCCACACAGTTTATCCAAAGATCGCAAGCAATCAGCACACTCATTGCAGTCCTGCGCAACGAGAGTCCTTTGTACGACCTTGACGATCCTGTGCGGCCTGACGCGCCAGCCCGTCGACAACTTGGAGCCTTCCGCAGATGTCACCCTCACAGTTACCACGATGATCCGTTGAAGCAGACCAATCCCAGACAGCCAGAGCTTTGGAAGCTTCGACGATGGCTCGAGGACAGCACGACCGCCGCCGAGTCAGCTGAAGCTGACAAGCAAACAGTTTGCTCGACGCAGATGCCGACAATCGAGGCCCCAAACGTGCGCATGGCATTCTCCTGTGATGAAAACCGGCCAATACCGCAACTTGCATCCCTCAGTGAGCCAGCGTAAAGCTCCCTAAAGTAAGCTTTCCGTACCTCCTGTGCCAGAGTTCGGGTGTGGCTCCCCACGCATGACGGCCGATCTGGTGAGACGGACCCAGCCAGCTTCCTCGATGACCGAGCAGACGTTGACGACCGAGGTTCCAGTTCCAGGTGCTCTGGCCATCATGCTCATGTCGTGGCTACACACAAACTGAGGGGAGTCCTGAAAATCGACAGCAAGATGTCATTCTGGCTTTTGAACAGGTGGTGCACAGCAACGCATCTGGAATAGGAGTACTGTCAGCTTGCGTCATCTCGGGAAGAGGAACTGGTATGAGATGGACGTGGTCTTGTTTGGGCTCTTGGACTGACGATCGACCATTTCTGACAGGAGAACCACCTCGACCGTCCCCGAATCCTCGCCGACAATCTTTCCAACGCTCAATAAGCGATCGCCGAACCAGAACCTCTGCGGTGTCCTGTTCCCGCCCATCGCCTTCGTAAGCCTTCTCCGACACCTGGATCATAAGAACGTCCTGTGCGCAAGGCCGAAACACTGTGTGTTGGCAAGCCGGCCAACCATCAGCGGGCAGATGTCTTGCATCGCTGAACAAGGTCAAAGAAAAAGTGCTGCCCCGAATCATGGGACAGAGTCGGACAACTGGCGAGTCGCCGCTTGGCCCCTGATAGCCCTTACCAACGTTGCGGAGTCCAGACCGCCAGCTTTGGATCTAGCTTCAGCACGCTCATTAAATTCCGGGGGCAGAGAACAGCCCCGTGGGCGAAAGGGGGGCATCACATAGCAGGAGCCCGGGGGGGGGGGGGATAGAAGTGCAAGTAAGGAGACTTGGGGTCCAGAACAGTGCCAGAAACAAAGGGCGGTGGACTAAAGAGACAAGGGAAAGATTCGGTGGCACAATGTGCATCGGCAGACAGCGCAATATGGCCACGAAGCTGCAGATATAACCATGAAAAGTCTCGATGCTACTGGGGGCCTTTTCTGGATTTCGAGGTGGTGGGTGAAGGACATGTGGGGACACGTGCAGGGGCAGTTGCAGCCGAGCTCTTATCGATTGCACCTTCCCCATTCCAAAAATTTCCCTCTCCCAAACATCCCGAAGCCAAACCAGCAAAACCTAACCCTCGTAAATGGCCAAACGCAAGCGCTCCGAAGCCTCACCGGCACTCTCAGATACCATGCCCGCCGCCGACAGGCTCCTCAAACGCCAAAAGAAAGCAGTCCTCACCCGCCTCACCGCCGCGCAAAAGCCCCTTGTAGCAGCGCTCCGCCTCGGCGCCGGATTCGAGCGCCAAAAGCACAGCCGCCGCAAGAAAACCGCGGTTCAAAAAAAAGATACGAAAGCGCTCACGCGCCTCGACGATGAGTATAGAGTGCTGAAGGCGCTGGATCTGGAGAAGGTAGCGGAGCAGCATGTGCGCAGGACGATTGGGAAAGTGAAGAGTCTCAAGGATCATGAGGCGCTGCCGGAGAATGTTCGGGAGATCGAGAAGGTGGAGAATGATGCGGCGAGGCTGAATGTGTTGGCGAGGCTGTACAAGGTTGCTGCGGTGAAGAAGGAGGTTGATGCGCTGATTGACGACTTGAAGGAAATCGTTGTTGGCGGGGAGAGCGCGGCGAAGGCTGAAAGTGCGGGGAAAGCACAGAGTGGGGAGAAAAAGGAGAAGAAGCGCAAGCTCGAGGAGGAGGAGGAGGAGGAGGATGTGGACATGCTGGACATCAGCGATAAGGATGGCGTTGCGGCGGAGATGTTCAATGCACGGATAGCAGCGCCTTCGTCGGGGGAGGAGAGCGATGGCGATTTGTCCGACGACAAGCGACCACCGAGCATAGGCGACAGCGACAGCGACCATGGTCCAGACGCCGACCTCGAGGCAGCGAGCGGCTCCGACGCAGAGCCATTCGAGGGCTTCAGCGCCTCGAACTCGAACTCAGACGCTTCTATAAACCGGTCAATAGCGCCACCCTCCGACCTCTCAGACTCCGAATCCGCCTCCGACTCCGACACGTCGGTTTCCGTAACCATCGAGCGCAAGCCCAAATCCTCTAAAGACCCTGCTAAACCCTCCACTTCAACTTTCCTCCCCGGCCTCAGCCACGCAGCATACTTCTCCGGCGACGAATCCGCATCCTCTCTCGACGAAAAGCCGCGCAAGAACCGGCGCGGCCAACGTGCGCGCCAGAAAATCGCGGAAGCAAAGTACGGCAAAGCAGCAAAGCACATCGAAAAGAATGAGCGTAAGCAGGGCTGGGACGCCAAGCGTGGAGCTGTTAGTAGCAATGCGAAGCCGGGGAACAGGAAGGATAGGAGGGCCGCGGAGAAGGGGATGAAAGCGAAGGGTGGCAGAGGCCCGGTGATTAGTGGAGAGAATGCTGCGCCGTTGGGGAAGAGGAGGGGTGAGGGAGAGAAGATAGCGGAGAAGAAGGGGCCGAAGAAAGATGACACGGGGCCTCTGCATCCTTCATGGGCGGCGGCCAAGGCCGCGAAGGAGAGCAAGAAGTTGAAGATCGATCTCGGGGGCGCAAAGAGCGCAGGCAAGAAGATCACATTCGACTAATCCCCAAAACTTAAGATACCCAAAGACGTGACAGCAATCCATTCTAGTAACCAGACATCTGCGAGTCCACACTCTTTCCCACAACGCCTTCTCTACGTCACGCTCAAAGTTTCGACCCAGAATCGGATTCAACAACAGCAGCAAGCCACCCAACATCCACCTCCCCACCCTCTTCAACCTCCAACACCCACCCCACCCTCCCACTCCTCCCCGCCCTTACCTCAAGCTCCATCTTCATCTGCTGCACCACGCACACCACATCGCCCTCCCTGACAACATCGCCCTCATCAACTAACACCTCAACCAGCTTCCCCGGGAACGGGATCGCGATGTGTGTTGGATTGCTCGGGTTGGCGCGCGGGTGCTGACTCGTGGATGCCGAGGCAGACGCGGATGTGGCGGAGAGGGTGAGGGTGTAGGGTATGCTGGTTGGTTTCGAGGAGGTGGAGGACGAGGAGGTGGTGAAGAGGATGTCTGCGGATAGCGAGGCGGGGAAGTCGTTGCGCAGGACTTTTGTGAGTTCGAGATGGTGCGTTGGTTGCGCTTGGGATTCCCCTGGGGGAGAAAGCGTGAGGGACCAGGCGTCGCCTTTGCGGAAGAGCGTGGCCGCTGCGCTGACTGCCGAGGCTGAAGTCGTGGGTGCTGTGCTTTGGAGGAGTGGGTTTGTGGGGTTTGCGAGGGGTTGGCTTGCTTTGAGGAGCTCGTATTGCTTCCTCTCCAGCCATTGAGTGTCGCATTGGCCGTGAAGGAAATCGGGGTGCACGACGATGGCTCGAAGGACGGAGATGTTTGTCTTCACGCCAGTGATGGAAGTGTCGTCCAGTGCGCGCTGAGCCTTCCGCACTGCATCTTCCCAAGACGAGGCGGTGACGATGAGCTTCGCGATCAGGCTGTCGAAGTCGGCTGAGACGATAGCTGGGTAGCCGCCGATGAGATGCGTGTCGACTCGTATGCCGTTGCCGGTCGGGAACTGGAAGCCGGTTATCTTGCCTATGGACAGAGACCAATCGCCTTCAACATTTTCGGCGGTGATACGGAGCTGGATCGAGTGCGCTGGTGAAGGCTTCTCAGGAAGGCGGGGTGTGGTTGGCAGCCCGCAAGTCTCCAGCGACGCGCCTTGAGCGAGGAGCAGTTGGGCTTTGACAATGTCGGTTGTGCAGATGGATTCAGTGATTGTGTGCTCGACTTGGAGGCGGGGGTTTACTTCGAGGAAGTAGTATTCGTTAGTGGAAGGATTGATGAGGAATTCGAAGGTGCCGAGGGAGACGTAGCGGACCTGTGGGAAATTGTCAGTATGCGCATGACTGAGCAGAACTATACTTACGTGTCTAGCCATCTTCAATGCGTCTTCGATGACCCTCGCAATTAGTTTCCGGTCTTTGATAACACTTGGCGCTATCTCTACGACCTTTTGATATCGCCGCTGAATACTGCATTCCCTCTCCCATAGATGCGTCACGTTTCCACTCCCATCACCGACAATCTGAACTTCGACATGTCGAAAGCCATCTACTGCTGCCTTCTCAGCGAACAATTGCTTTGACGGACTTTCTTCGACCGCTCTTTTCACCGAAGACGCAAGCTGCTCTTCATTCCGAATCAGTCTGATACCCCGACCGCCACCACCATCTACCGCTTTGACCATAATCGGGTAGCCAATTTCAGCAGCAAACCGTCGTACGTCGTCCACATTATTGGTTGGCGTTTGTAGTGCAGGCGACACAGGGACATTGCCTGGGTCCAATGTCAGCAGGGAGCAGCGTTAGCGATGGAAAATGCGTACATCGCTCAGCAAGCTGTCTTGCCTTCAACTTGTCGCCCGTGTTAGCTAGAATTTCCCACCCGGGACCGACTACAACAGCACCGGCTTCCTTCCACATTCTCTCTGCGAATACTTCTGATTCAGATAAAAATCCGTATCCCGGATGGACTGCATCGATGTCATGTTTTTTGACGGTTCCGATCAAGCCATCGATATTCATGAATGATGCTGCGGATGGCAACTCAAGTGCGTGTGTGGCTCTAGCGGCATGTGATGAATCGCCTGAGATATAAATCCCATACGTCTCAATGTCAAGTTCCCGAGCTGAACAAATTATTCGTGTTGCGATTTCGCCTCTGTTGAACTTGCATCAGCTTTAATTCACGTCTTGAAATGATTTACGAACCTGTTGGCGACGAGCAGACGCTTGATAGGTCTCTGTGGTGGCCTCGACATCTTGGAATGCTCTTTGATGGCCAAGTGACGATTAATGCTGCGGGTGTTGTCGCGCTGTACGTAAAGCACGTCGTTTTCACGACTCGGATATAAGAGTCGCAGACGAATTCTTGAAGAATTGAATGGACAGGTATGAATGTAATCCTGTCAGGAAGGCCAAGATACATCGATGTTAGCAGACAAACAGGTAGACAATGTCGATATTGAAAGATGCGAATTCTTTGGAAGCATATTGATCGTTCGTACCTGAGTCGTGGAGTGCAAATGAGATGAATGAGGTTAGGCGCGCGGGGAGCTTCATTGAGCCTCGGTACCCCAGCTTTCCTTCCCCAGACTTCACCACCGCGGTCAACTCGTCGCAATGTGAGCTGCTCAATCGCTCCGTCGCAGGAGTCACCATCAAGAATTTTACAAAGCACGCTTCTAGCTCGTTCGTGTGACCATGGCAGGCGATAAATCACCCCGACCCACACCCAAAGACGCATCTCCATCCTCGACAACAGCAACCGATCGCCTCGCCCAAGTCAGCGCACACATTACGCCCAACACACCCAAGCGTCGCCGCCGAAAAGCTGCAGACTCAGACCTACCAGCTGACTACTCAGATATTCTAGGTCAAATCAGCACCTTACAAAAACTCGCGGCAACCCCAGACCCCAAGAACAGAGGCTATGTGCGGCAGAAGCAGGCAGGCAAGCTGTGGGTGCGGGAAAAAGTTGAACAGTTGCTCGACCCGGGGAGCTTTCAAGAGGTGGGAAGTGTGAGTGGGACTGTGAGGTGGAAGCAGACGGGGCCGAGTAAGGAAGAGCCGATTGATTATGTGCCGTCGAATAACGTGCAGGGGTTTGGGAGGCTAAGGGGGAGGAAGATAGTTTTTACGGCGGACGATTTTTCGATTAGAGCGGGACATGCTGATGGTGCGTTGATGGAGAAGACTGTACGTATGGTCGTATCTCCTTGGGGGGTTGCGCTGACCACGAAGCAGATTTATATGGAGAAGCTCGCCATTGCTCTCAAACTGCCTATCGTCAAGCTTGTTGATGGTTCGAGCGGTGGGGGGTCAGTCACCACGATTCGATCGACTGGCTTCTCCTACGTGCCTCCACTGCCTTCCTTCTCGCAAGTCGTACAACAGCTGAACCTAGGCATTCCCAACCTCGGTGCCGTAGTAGGTCCCGCCATCGGCCTCGGAGCCGCGAGAGTAGTAGCTTGCCACTTCTCCGTCATGGCCGCAGACATCGGCTCGCTCTTTAACGCCGGCCCCAGCGTTGTTGCAAATGCGACTTTCGAGGAAGGTTTGTCGTTCACAGACCTTGGTGGACCAGCCATGCACTGCACAAACGGCACCATCGACAACCTCGCCCCAGATGAGGCAGGCTGCTTCGAACAGTTACGCACTGTACTCAGCTATCTGCCAGACGTCGGTACGAAGATGCCACCAACCGTCGACTGCTCCGACCCCATCGATCGAGTATCCTCAAACCTCCGTACCATCATCCCACGCGCAAAGAATAGGATGTACAACCCTCGCCTTATCATTACAGAAGTCGTAGACCGGGGCTCTTTCTTCGAGATTGGTGCTCTCTGGGGCACCACCGCCATCGTCGGGCTCGCGCGCCTCTCCGGCCAACCGGTGGGCGTCGTGTCTCTAAACTGCGAGGTCAACGCGGGCGCGCTCGACGCGCTCGGGTCGCAAAAAATAACGCGGATGCTGAAGTTCCTAGACGTGTTCAACATCCCTTTGCTCCAGTTTGTAGACATCCCGGGGTACGCTATTGGTACAGTGGCAGAGCGCACGGCGACGATGCGACACGGCGTTACGCTTGGTGCGACGTACTATGCGACCACTATGCCCATCTTCAGCGTGATTGTAAAACGTGTGTATGGTGTTGCGGGCGGGATTATGCTGGATTGCCGGGACCCGCGGATGCGCGTTGCCTGGCCATCCGGACTCTGGGGATCGTTGCCGTTGGAAGGCGGTATCGAAGTTGGGCATTCGTTTGAACTCAAGGAAATCGAAAGGAAGGAGGGAAAGGAGGGAAGGGGTCAAAGGTACAAGGAGCTAGAAGACGAGTACAAGAGGCTGATGAACCCGGTCAGGACGGCAAATGCGTTTGGCGTCGAGGAGATTATTGATCCAGCACATACGAGGAGGGTGTGCTGTGAGTGGGTGGAGCATGTGTATGAGAGTTTGTTGCCGCAGAGGGTCATGGAGAGGGTTGCTGGGAAGCTGAATCCAATGTTTACATAGCAGGAACCAGAGATTATATTTCTCTGTCCGAATGACCTGAAGTTAACGAGGGAACATCTGCCATTACTTCCATAATTATCGATAATAATACATGAACGGCATTCCGTTATTGGTGTTGGCAAATGCTCTAGAGTCCACGCTTGTAACTTAGCGTGCCCACAGCCCACTTCTCGCACAAAAAAACACAAGAACATGGTGCTGAAACTTCACGATGCACTGAGGCACAATAGGGTGAGCTGAGCTTGCAACGGCAAAAAGAGAGGTCTTGCCCGGAATCGAACCGGGGTTGCCGGAAGATACTGAGGTGATCAGAATCCGGAGTGATAACCGCTACCTGTTAGGTATTAGTAGTTGAATGGATTGAATTGATCAGGGCTGTGCTTCTTACACTACAAAACCAGTTGTTGTGCTGTTCATGGAAAAATTGAGTGATGAAAAATTGATATTCCCATTTTATTTATGCTATACATGCACCTGAGCATGTTATAAAACTCAAATGGCTTATGTCAGTCTTAGTGGGGTGGATCATGTCCTCGAAATTTTCTGTACTGGTGCGGGGCAAGGAGAGGTCTGAGGAATGCCTTCGGCAGTTGTATGAACACGAGCATCAACCGCTTGCAAAATGAGCTTTGGCATATCCATGATTGTTCCAATGGCACATGTCAATTCGTATAGCTGCTAAAGACGATACCATATCTGTTAGCTACCCCTAAAGATGTCTCATGCCTTCCCACTGCTTCCGCAAATATCCATCCATCGCTCCGTCTCCGCTTGTATGACTTCTATTTGCTGATCGATCAACTTCACCAGCGGCGTACTTGCGGCATTCTTCCTGAGTACCTCATTCCCGACTTCTAGCAACAGCTTGTTGACATTCAGCTTGATCGCGCCGGCGCGTATGCACCTCTTCATAACTTCTGCTGGGAAGTCATTTGTGCCGTGCAGCGCAACCAGTAAACGGTTATTGATCTGCTTGTCGATAGCCTCGAGGCGATCGAAGTGGATCTGCCCTTCTGCAGGGCCAGAGGGCCCGTAATCGCCGTGTACGTTGCCGACTGAGGGCGCCAGGATGTCGATGCCGGCGGAGATGAATTTGTCGACGTCTTCTGGGGATGTGAAGAGAGCTGAACAACAATGTCAGCATTGGAAAGACTAAATCCTCGAGAGATGCTCGTACCTTCCAGATCGCCAGTATCTGCAATGCCGTCTTCCCCACCATTTATCCTCCCGCTCTCAGCCTCCACCGCGATGCCTTTCGCATGGCACTCTTTTGTCAAGTGCTCTGTTTTCTCGAGGTTCTCGGCCTCTTCGTAATGCGACATGTCGACCATGACAGAGTCGACTGGTAGTGTTGCGATGATCTCGTGGATCTGCGCTTCGTTTTGCGCATGATCAATGTGTAATGACAGCGGGACCGTTGCAGCCTTGACCGCGTGTGCAGCTGCGTGCGCCAGCAGAGGAACTTGTGTCAGTGTTGAAGGGAAGAGTTGGATAATCAAGGGTGAGCGCTTTGCTTCAGCGGCACGGATAAGAGCTTCGAGCTGTTCGATATTGTAGCTAGAATTGTGTAAGCGTTGTCACTGCGCAATTGGTAGAAACTATCCTACGCAATGGCTGCGAGAACACCATATTTGCCTGCGGCTGCCGCGTTCAGAATGCGCAGAGTGCGGTTCTCCTTGAGACTTATCATGTTGTGTTTGCCAGGTATTGGAGGACAGGATCGTATGTGCAGAACCTGGTGGGATGTGAGAGTACAGAACTGAGCCTACGGACATAACATCATAGCTTTCGAATTGTATCAGAGCCGTGGCCTTCTGCCCGGGGGTGAACAGCGGAGGTCTTGCGGGATGGAATCAATACGATTGGTGCTCGAGTCGAGCCTCTTGAGTCGAACGTGCCCCGTTTCGAGGCATAATTGTCAGATGCTTGGAGATGCTGACCGTTGCCGCCTACCCCGCGTTGCCCACCTCACACCGATAGCGTGACCTGGGTGTGGAGGCTCAAGAACATGTAGATGCGCGCTTGCATTGTGTACCTCGCATCGCGGCTGAAACACATGGCAAATCCCTACCGAACCGTGCAAGTTGTGCATGTCTCGTACGAGGCTTTCGTGTTTGTGTTTGTAGACTCATAGTAGCAGACAGTGGCTTGAGAGGTCCACAAAAAAGCGAGCTGCACTTTAGATGACTTGGAATGGTCAGAGGTGGTCAAATGGTAGACCGGAACAAGTCTTGAAATCTATTGCTGTGCGTGCCAGTGGGTTGTGAGATCTTGCAGGAGGCTCTTCAGGGGGAACTTTGCAACTTCGAGTGTCTCTTCCAGGAGGTGAAGAACGCCTGCTTGTTTTACAGGGTCCCGTGCAGCAAGACCGGCTGCATCAATGTCAGTTGAGGACAGTATCCACTCATATCTTTACACTCACCTGCATACAAAGCCCTCACGTTGATCATGGCACTTGGGATCTCTTTGCCCTGATGTGTGCTGGCAATCCCACATATGGTCTCCACGCTGTCATCAAGGAGACGCTGCCGGTGACGCATGTCATCCATACCGCCCAGCGAGGGCTCATTGATGGCGACTATGATACGGGAGAAATGATATGTCTGTATCGCAGCAGCGTGTGATGGAGGGTGTATCCATATCGGCGAGAAGAAGCTATCAGACGCCGGCAATGCAGGCCTGTATATCGGCTGAAACGAGGATCCCAGGATGTTGTACCAGTCGTTCATAGCTTGAGTAAGCTTCTTGCCCTGGTCGATTCGAGTGTCCACATCGTACTTCTTCACGGATTCAGTGGAAGCGAAGTCTATGCACCGCCCACAGATATAAATGATCCTGAGACAGAGCTCGTCTGGTGTTAAGTCATCGAGCCGTCGTAGCGGTCTCCAGATCGTGAGTACCCTACGGCCCTCTCGAAAAGCGACCCAGGAATCTTGACGTAACCAGGCCCACCATGCTGCTCTGCGGAGCGGATCCTTGCATTCTCTGCACATGTGTCAGCTATGTTCAGACTCGCACTGCTGCAAGGATGAACTGTATTATCGGTAACAATGCTCAACAACACCACTTGCTGCATAGCTTTTTAAGAGGAGGCACTGACCCATTGTTGTTCTGTGATCGCTGGATCCAGAAGAAACCACGCAAGTGACGCTCCCATGCACCATTGTTATACTGGCCTTCAGCATCAAACATCTCGTAGGTGCTGATCAAAAGCGCTGTTGCTATAATCTCCCTGGACTTCGAATAGCTGCCTTGGTTCAAGTTCTGAGATAGGTAGTGAAGAGTCTCGTAGTAGTATTGTGTCGCAACATTGATAAGCGGATTCACTATGTTTGAGTCGCTCGTGGGTTGCACGGATGAGGGTTGATTCAATGCAGCGAGATGGCGCGCTGCTACTGCGAGTAGAGACTTCAGTAAACCCAGGTTGTGTACAGCTAGACGGGGCACAACTCTCGAGAACTGTCCCGTAGGGTCGCAAAGATCCAGTATTGGGCCTACTACTGCGAGGTAGTGCTGGAATAGTACTAATTCATCTTCAGTCAAGGGTATGTTCTCAACCGAGTTCCATTGATCCAGTAAGATCGGAGGAAGTCTTTGACTGTCATTCGGTGATGAGATCTGATTGGGTGGTGATCCCAGCTGTGTATTGGTGTCTTGGTCTGGCGACCGTAACTGAGGGTCCAAAGCTGGTTCCTCTCGTTCAGGACTTTCCCTTTGCGAAAGGCGTGGCTTATCGACATCCAGGTTCAGGTTGTATTTTGCAACATTCTGGATTGCATCTTCAGCAAGTAGGTCGTACCACTCGTAAGGAGCTGAGTTTGGTGAGGGTATCGAAGCTACACTCCCGGTTGTGAAAGGTGAGTCAAACTGTAATTCTGGCGAGTTGGTGAATTGAGTATCACTTCTGATAGACTTCCTGGCCAGTGCCGGCGATGCACTTGCTTGCGCCGGTGGCGTCGATTCGTTTATTACTGTGCTCACTGGAGCATTGGTGGACGATGCATATCGACATTCTCTGTCTGATTTGATGCATGTTGCACAGCGTGGTCTCTGTTCATCACATTTGATCCGACGCGATCTACAGGTCAGACTGGATTTGCAATCAGCTCAGGTCAAACGGAACAAGACGCGTCCCGTTTACAGAAACTCGATGTATGAGTTCACGAAAAACGTGTCGTCTGAAAATGCAGATTCTGAGTGGACCAGCCAATGTTGGCCTAGGGTTTACTCACCAACCTGTCGTTGTCCTCAATCCCCTTGCTCTGGAAGGACGCGGCTTCCGCGATTTAGAGGCACCTGATGATGTAACCGGCATCTCGGATAAGGTTGCGCATGCTGAGGTGACTTCGCTTCGAGGTCGAGTTTTGGATTCCGGTTAGGAAACGCGTAAATGGGCTGATTTGCTGCTGCTCGTGTTCTGCGGGGACACGGGAACGGTTTTGGTCCCGGCAGTTCAGTTCTGCGGAAGCGGGCAGTCGATAGCCACGTGATTTGCCCTGAAATTCAGTGCATGAGCTTCGGATTTAGAAGTGACTATGCAGACTCGGTTTTCAGCCTTCACAGTTCGCAGAAGTTCAGGCCGCTCGGAAAGGCGGCTCGGTTGGTTTCGATAGCGTACCCGAGATTTCGCGAGCGCTCTTGCTGTCGACGGTTCGTTCCTGCCTCTTCGCGCCGCACTTTCCTGCTCTGCAATTCTGTGACACGCCATCAACAATACGCGCACATTCCTTTGTGCACATTGTCACTCCGCAACCACCAGTCTTTGGACGTGTTTGAGATCATGCATGTCATTCATCCTATGGGAATCAAAATCTTCAACCTTTACCGGAACTCCTTCCGATGCAAAAAATTCAACAGCGCTCGGCCAACCTTCCTTTACCACGCGCCTACGATACCAGCGATGGGAATGTCAATTCCAGTTGTGTATGAAGCGCAATCGCTGAGCAGGTAAACGTATCCACCACCGAGCTCCCTGGGGTCGGCCAGCCTGGGCATGCCTCCATAGTAGTGCATCTTCTCCGCGAAATCTGGAGCGCGCTCAATCTTGTATGTCATCTGTGTCCTAACGAAGCCTGGTGAGATGCTGTTCACGCGGATGCCGTGCTTCGACCACTCCATCGCAAGGGTGTGTGCCATATTGCGAACGGCCGCCTTGGTACCGCCGTACGGTGCGGATGGTCCTGCTCGGTTGGGGCGGTACGATGTCATCGATGCAGTGAACACGACGCTGCCCTTGATACCGAGCTCGATGAACTTCTTTGCGGCAGCTGTAGCGCAGTAGTATGCACCGAAGACGTTGAGGTTGAACATCTGTTCGAGTTGGGCCTGGTCGAAGTTCAAGGCTGGCTGGTGCTTTGTCATGCCGGCGTTAGCAACCATGCCATGGATGGCCCCGGATTGTGCGACAATTTGGTCAATTGCTTTGGTGACGCTCTCCTCTGAGGTAACATCGCAGTGCAGGTAATGAACACGCTTGGGGTATGCCTTCTGGAGCGCTTCGAATTCCTCTCCGGGTTCGAACAGGTCCAGCGAGTAGATGTGGGCGGCATCGTTCGCCAGGAAAACTGTCACAAGACCAAGACCAATACCGCGGTTCGCTCCAGTGATGGCAATGACTTTGTTCTTCAGCGAGACTTTCCAATCGAAGTCCTCGCTAGGCATGGTCGACAGATACGGCGGAATGCCTGTTTGCTCGACAATTGCAGCCTTTCCATTTGTCTGATCATTGGTTGCCACAGATGCGGCCTCAGAAACGATAGCTGAAGGAGACATATTGAGGGTGTGCAACCGAGAAGCTCCGACGAGTGGAAGGTAAAGCGAAAGGAGGGGTAAATGAAGATATGGATCAACTGACACTGCACTTGCCAGGCACTGGAACGTTTAAGTATCGGTCAACTCCCACATCCACATGTTGTGTGGCGATCAAGACCGGACGGACATTGCCGAGTTCAATCAAATTCACAAACAAGCCCACTTGGAGTTCTGCACGGCACTCTGCCGATTTGCGCATCGAGGTTCCTCGTAACGAGCTGGTGGACTACATCCTGGTCTAGCGCCTCTTCCTCATTGCATTTCCCCGCATCTCAAAATTACGCTAGTCACCGTCTCGAGGCACAATTTTCTAGAAGGGTGCCATGGACAGGCGAACTTCAACATCATTCTGGTCTGACAGCCCAAGAACCAATGAATGAACGTCGCTAACCCACAATTCTGGAGTTGTACTCAGCAAACCTGTTGATATCTGTCTGTATCTGGGGAGGTCTGGGGTTGACGAAAAAGGAACATGAATCTGGGGTGGCCTAAGCTCGTTCAGAACACCATCACGGAGACTTGATCGCAGGTTCAGCTCATTCTCTATAAAGCTCTGGCGGAACCTCTCCATCGGGACAACCATCTCAACTCCATCTATTGGTAACACTTTAGATACCAGGGGTTGCCTGACTCTACCACGACCTCTTTCTCTATATTACCTCTTCGTTCAACCCTGTCGCACATATCATGGAGACACCGCACTCCTACGACGCTGCCGATCTGAAAGCGATGGATGCCTCCAAGGACCACTTCGAAGTCTCCGAGGAGCTAACATGGACACCTGAGGAAGAGAGAAAGCTGGTCAGGAAGATCGACCTGTATCTCCTGCCAACCATCTGGCTCATGTATCTTCTGAGTTACATGGATCGCACGAAGTGAGCTTCATCATCTGCAAATCAATTGATCTATGCTAACTGAACACCACCAGCATCGGAAACGCGAAGATCGCCGGAATGGCAGACGACCTCAAGCTGACCTCGGATGAATATTCCATCGCATTGGTAGTCTTCTTCGTAACATACGTGGCTTTCGAACCCGGCTCCAACATGGTCCTCGTGAGGTGGAAGCCCTCCTTGTATCTTCCAATGATCATGGCGATCTGGGGTGCATTGACGTGTGTCATGGCTGCGATCAATCATTTCCACCATCTCGTGGTTCTCCGTATTTTCGTTGGTGTGTTCGAAGCTGGTTTCGGTACGGCACACTTTGAACAATCCTGGAAATGCAATGGCTAATCAGTATGCAGCCCCGGGTATATTGCTCATCATCTCGTCCTGGTACAAGCGTGATGAGCAATCTAAGCGTTTCGGTATATACATGTCGGCTGCTATTCTGTCTGGCTGCTTCGGCGGCTTGTTGGCAGGTTCAATCACTGGTGGTATGGAAGGCACAGGCGGACTGCGTGGATGGCGATGGTAAGTTGCATATACGTTGAACCTTCTGTGACGATAACTGATCAAACACTAGGCTCTTCATCATCGAAGGCGTCGCAACAATCATCTGGGCTAGCATCGCATCAGTCATCCTCCTCGACTTCCCAGCCACGAGCTCCCGCCTCACCGAACGTGAGCGCGCCATCGCCGTCGCCCGTTTGCGTGAAGGCGGTGTCAAGTCTCGCGGCGTAGGTGAGGAACGCATCGGCAAGGCCAAATCATTCAGACTCGCTATCTGTGACTGGCGAACCATCGGCTTCGTTCTGGGCTACATGGTAAATTCCCTTACACCCACTCACACGACTCCACAACTAACATATCCTCAGGTCATCGTCGGCTCCAGCACCCTCAGCTACTTCTACCCCACCCTAGTCAATGGTCTAGGCTACACCGACCGCGTGCAAGCGCAATACATGACCGCGCCCATCTACGCCGTCGCCTTCGTCTGCACGGCCATCACGACCTACTTCGCGGACCGCGTATCCAACCACCGCGGCCTGCTAATCGCATCCTGGCTTGCCTTCGCGCTCGTAACGGCAATCTGCGTCTGCACCATCTTCGACTTCACTGCACGGTATGCGCTCCTGGTGCTCATGGCGGCCGGGCTATGGGCAAGCAATGCGCTAGCGTTGAGCTTTGCGAGTGCAACGTTTGGTGATATGGAACCGGAGGTTAGGGCGATTGCTCTCGCTCTTGTCAACGCCATGGGCAACCTCGCCCAAATCTACGGAGCGTATCTGTTCCCGGCTGAGGATAAGCCGATATATCTCATGGGCTTTGGGGTTATCTCCGGTATGCTTGGATTTGGTACCTCGGTGTACGTGTTCATGCACGTCGCTGTCCGCAGAAAGGAGGGCATGGGCTGGTTCTAAGCTACCTCAGACGAGCTCGAGACGACGGAGGAGAGAGAGGAGTAGATGTTCCGCTGAAAACTTGTTCGGATTGTTTAGACTAAAGAACTACGAACTCATACTTTCTCGCCTCAAGCTACCCGCTTTTTTCATCTTTCTGGGCTGAACATGCTTTATACATCATTTCCAGAGCTCCGAATGCTAGTCAAACATACTTGCTTGGCCGGACATGTCCTCTCCTTGATCATCACGAGTATCTCTGCCTGGCAAAGTACTGGGTGCAAAACCACGGCTTTGAGTAGGCGGCGGCGCACCCTGGATAGGAGCGCCATAGGAGGCATGACTGTTATTTCGTAATGTTGGAAGCATCAGGTTCTGGTACTGAAGCGACGCCATACCCATGGGCAATTGAGGATGATCGTACCGGCTGGGTCCGTACTGAGAACAGGCTTGATAGTAAGCGGGCACCTGCTGAGAAGCAGCACGCTGATGCGGTGGTTGCTGGCTCACATAATGTTGCGACCAGGATTGCTGAAGCAGTGTTTGCTGACCAAACGGCTGCCTGAATCCAGCCAGCCACTTCAAGCTCCTCCTTGTATGCGCTAGAAGTGCATTTATATGCCCCTCAATGTCAAGCTCTTGCAAGGTGGCACAGCGCCTATACAGTGTTTCGTTGGCGAAAGTACATGGACCTCTGTGGGTGCGAATGCTGCGGCAGATGGTCCTGTGAATGATGACGGACTCTTCCCGCTGGTTGTCGAGCCTTTGGTCTATGTCTTGAAAAGTTGATCCATCGCGTCGTTGGTGTTTAGCTGTTGCGCATTGTTGTCTTCGACGAATAAGCGAAGCCTTGAACGTCCTTCATTCGTAACCTTCTCATCTTCGCTGTGCTGCTTGATGGTCTTATCAACGGTGGAAGTAAGTGCCAGAAGTAGCTCGTGGTCGTTGGCGCTCGAAATTTCTGTCCCAGATGTTGTTCATTGGAGAGTCTGGCATCGATGTCGGTGACAGCGGAAGCTGAATTTTCTGAGTGGTTTCATGAGCCGTAAACAATGATCTAGGTGGCCTTAAATTGTCTTATGTAGGGACGGGAATCGGGCCATGGTTCTGGTGCGCAAGTTTTGCAGTGCAGGTGTTCGTCGCTTGGCCCACATATGATGTACTCCTTCTCAGTCCCACAAAGACCATGTCTGGAAAGTTCGCGGCATGATTGGGAGATGTACAGTAAAGAAAAGAAGGGTAGAGTGTTATGTAAAATGTTTGTATCTTTTTTACGGTGTATTGATGGTGGACTTACCGCATGGCCGTGTCCAAGCGCTCACCATCCAACCCCCTACATAGTCTCACAAGTCACCGTAGTGTAGACGTTATCCTTGGTCGCCCTCGAGTATGGGCACACCTGCCTCGCCTTATAAACAACCTTCTCAAGATCCTCCTTCGACAAACCCTTGACCTTGACATTCATTTCCACTCTCAGTCCCATATCAAGCGCCTTCATATCACCGACTAGGTGCACCTTTGTCTCAACGATGGAGTCCTCGGGAGTCGTGGGCATTTTAACGTTCACGCTAGGTGCTACGGCGTTCATCGCGGATTGGAAACACGCACCTGAAGACCATTTAGTGCGTGGTCGTATGAGCGGGTGCCTGAGATCTTACCGTAGCCAGCAGCAAATAGCTCCTCGGGGTTCGTTTTGCCAGCATCGCCCTTACCACCGAGAGCCTTAGCCATGGTAAGGTCGATCTTAAGGTTCTCGCCATCAACGTGGCTGTAACGGGTTACTTCATGGATCATAGCTGTTGAATCAGATAGGAACATACCCGACGCGCGCTCCTACGACCTTGGCATGTGCGGTGTAAAGACTGGGAGCAGTTTCGGTGTTCAGAAAGCGACGAGGAACCGAAGAAACAGTCCTGGGCGAAACGTGCATAGCGCTGCGCAGCATCGGCATGAAGGTTCTTGAAGCCATTGTATAAGATGTACAAGCTCAATGGAAGGTTTGTGACATGGAATGGTTGCTTAGATGATTGTTGTACAAGATCCAATCAAAAACTACGAGGAGAAAGGTGGTAAGGAGCTCCGAGCTGTTTTCCCAACCCGTAGCTGCGTTCTTTGGTGACAGCCTGTGACGTTCTCGAGTCAATGACGTGTGTACCTATCGTTAAACTGCTTGCGGTTGGTGTGGAACGCGGATCTTCAGGGACATCTTGATCAAAAGGAACCGAGGTCTAAGGTGCATGCTTTAAGCCAGCAAAATCTGCTGCACCGTTTAGACAGGGTTCGTGCTGGTGCCGGAAGCAACACATGGTTGGCAGGCTTCTGCAAAGAAGAGATTTGTGTTGTTTTTCGAATAAACACAGTGAGCCCTGCTTGAGCTTCCAAATCGCAGAAACGCATGGATCACATCTCTTCGTGCGTGCAAAGCTCACACCCCACCGCCCCAGCTCAATACTCCATATATAACTGCACTCAACAGAGCATCCCACCCGATCGTCTTCACCGCCTGTCCCCTCCACACCAACGCCATAACCACATCCCCCACGTTAACATCCTTCCTCAGCATTGCCCAGTTCGCTACGACGAAACCACCTGAGATAGCAGCGCTTTTCTTGATATCCGCGTCGCTCAACTTGAGCAGCCTCGTATGCGGCAGAAGCAGCAGCGCACGCTCAGCCAAAAGAAGGTAAGAGAATCCCGGGTGCCCGCGAAGGGACGGTTGGGCGAGGAGCAAGGCATTCAGCAAGATCGTTGGAAGCATAAGTGACGCAACAGGCTTCTGCTTAGGCTGAGCATGTGTCTTTGTCCTCTTCTCGCTTCCAGCCACATCTAGAGCTGCGAGATGTAATTGAATAATAAACAGCGCGACCGTAAAGCTGATGGGTAAGTTTTGGCCTAAAATGATGAAGGGCACCATTGTTTTTGCGGTGAACCCGTACTGGCGACCTGTCCATCGTTATTACCTGTACAACACTACCTTGGACTTGACTGGAGTCTAATAGCGTACCTTTTCGACTGATCCATAAGTTCCATCCCCACGTTGCCAGGATGGCTAGTTGTGTCCATACTGCGCTCTCGCCGTCGGCTACTAGCTGAATGGCGAAGTCATTGAACAAACTCGTTTCCAGCATCCACCTCTGCAGCTTGTCGAATGCGGTATTGCCTAGTACAGCAAACACGTTGCGGGTCGAGCTCTTGTTCCAGTCAAGGAATGAGGTGATAAGGAAGCCAAGCATGTGCCATGAGATACTGGTGAAGCTTATGAGTGCGAGGATAAGATAGATTTTGATGTGGCGAGCGCGCACATTGCGCGTTTCAACTTTTCCGGCGCCATTCTGTTTGAACTTGCTGTGTGGTGAAGAGGGGTGAGAGTGAAATACGGATGTGTACTGTGTGTACAGTGAGTATCCGATGGCTGATGTGAGATAAAACGCGACGACGATGTAGGAGAGGAAGAAGGTTGACCCGATGTAGTTGTTTGGTGGTGTTGTGTACTGCGTTAGCGGGTTTTGTTCGAAGAATGACATCTTGACATCCAGACTGAAGAGAGAGAACCACAGTACTGTGATTATGGCTTACCGAACATGGTTGTGCTCCATTGATAAAGAATCTTATTGCAGATCTTTGGTGTTGGTCTTTGACGGTGTGTGACGTCACTGAGACTAAGTCTGTCGCAGCTTCCGCGCAGCAGTGTGTCGAACGTCAGGTTTACTTTTACGTTTCAGTTGTACATCGAGAACGTGTCAGGGCTTTGCTGTTTTCGCATTTGTGCTCGCATTGGTCTAGTGCGTGGTCAAGTTGATGTTCTATTGATTTATTGGTCCTTTTTATGTCTAGTAATCTATTGTTTTCTTGATCGCGTCGTATACTCCTAGGGTAGGAAATCAGTGCAAGTCTCCAAACTGGAAACCATGGGTCTAACTCACTTGTAACGTCCGGAATGATGATCTTCTCGAAGACCAGACCAGTATGTGTCGCCCATCCAGCAACTCTCTTGACCGGTGCCTCTAACCTCAAGAATGCTTGCTCCTGAATCGTCGCAGCAACTTCCGCGCCAACACCCGCATTCATCATACTCTCGTGCACCACAATCGCTCTTCCGGTCTTCTTGACGCTATCAAGTACAGTCTCTCGGTCCCATGGGTAGATCGTGCGAAGATCGATCAGCTCTACGCTGCACCCAAAGTCCTTCTCCGCAGCTGCTATCGCGGCTGAACATGTGTAGAGTGGTGTGCCGTAGGAGATGATGGTCACGTCTTTGCCGGTCTTAAGGACCTCAGCCTTATCGAGAGGCAGGTGGTATGCATCGACGGGGACCTGTTCGACGGCGGCACGGTAGAGGATTTTGGGCTCCATGAAGATCACAGGGTCGGCGGCGCGGATGGAGGAGAGGAGTAGACCCTTCGCTTGAACAGGAGAGCGTGGGACGACGACACGAAGGCCGGGCGTGTGAGTGAAGAGGGCTTCTGGGGACTGGGTGTGGTATCTGATTGAGGTCAGTGTCGACAATGAGATGATTCTGAGTGCGTGGCTTACAGTGCACCATGACCTACACTACCGCATGGCATACGAATCGTCAGTCCACCACAATGTACCCCGGTGCTTCCTGACCTGTATCTGTACTTGGCTGCTTCGTTGTGGATTTGGTCGAATGCCGGGAAGACGTAGTCGGCGAATTGTACTTCTGCAACCGGTCTCATGCCCTCAGCTGCTGCTCCTATGGCGAATCCAACTAATCCCTGCTCGCTCAACGGCGTGTTGAAGACTCGATCTGTACCAAAGTCCGCAGCGAGATTCATTGTGCAACGGAACACTCCTCCAAACTGGATGTCTTCACCAAATACAAGCACTCTTTCGTCTATCTGCAACGCATGGCGAAGTGCTTCGTTTACGGCGGTGTAGAGGTTGATGCGCTTTGTTTGGCCTTTCCGGATGTGCTCTGGCAGCTCTGGGTTTGCCAGTGCTGACTTCGACGTGTGGTGCAGGAGAGGTGTCGAATCGTACTCCAACGGCATATTCAGTCTCGCACCGGCAGCAGCAGCGGAGTATTGTCTGCTGTGGGGCTTCGAATGACATCTTGAATGAAGTGATGCTTGAGGCCTGAGCAGATACCGCGATAAGGCACGCACTGAGGGTGTTTTGGGGGTCATGATTTAGGTGTAATCAAACAACAGTGAGTTGTTACAGAGCTCTACATCAGAGAGCAGAGTAATTCGTTCACCCCATCCCCCAGGCGGAAGGAGTGAGTGCGGACGTTCGGCTCATGCGCCTCGGCGGAGACGCTTGATGTCGGCTTACCCCAGATTCTCCAGCGACCATCAAGGGATAAGCCCTGTCTGACATAAGTTCTGATTAAGCAGCTTCACGTGCGTCTGCTCAATGACGTCCTTGGCCAATGGGCCTTCCGTTAGCAAAGCGTTCGCCAACGGCGGGGCGCGCAGTTCTCCTGCAGCGGCAGCGGAAACGCTTGGCGGGAATTGTCTAGATCTTGATGTTGCGATGATGATGTGCTCGGGCACCGCAGACTAAATCAATCGCCGTGCATCTCGCGGAACTCGGCACAGCATCTCAACAGCTGCCCGGACGCTTTGTGAGGTTGCCCAGGGTGTTCGAGCTGCAGCTGCGTCGCCGTGACCCACTCGAGCCGCACAGTGCACACGCCAACTGCCCGTTCCATCCGCAGCATTTTGCGCGCAGCCACTCTGCGACCTCCTCCGTCACTGCATTTCGCTCCTTCAGCGCGAGACGCATCCATCCTCTCCGCACCCAGGTGCTGCATCTGCTATGGCTTCCGCCATCAGCGCCTCTCGCTCTGCCATGGGCAGCGTCAATGGCTCGCGGGCCGGGCGCGTCAACATGCTCCTCGTCTGCGTCTTCCACGCCTTCGCACCCTTGGTCAAGGCTCTTCCGCTGGGCGGCATCGTGAACGCGCTCGCTGACGAAGACCTGCCCAAGTCGGCCGACGACGCGAGTCTCTGGCTGTACCTGGGCATCGCCGTCGGGCTGGTGCTCGCTGGCGGTGTCTTTGCTGGCTTGACCATTGCGTACGCACACGCCATCCCGCCCTTGTGTAATCGCTAACATTGTGTAGGCTGATGGGTCAGGATGAAATCTACCTGCAAGTTCTTGCTACCTCCGGCGAACCTCATGAGCGCAAGGCCTCCAAGAAGGTACTGCGACTGCTCAAGTACGGCAAACACTGGGTCCTCGTTACGCTGCTACTTAGTAACGTCATCACCAACGAGACTCTGCCCATAGTCCTTGACAGGTCCCTTGGTGGAGGCTGGCCCGCCGTTCTCAGTTCCACTGTTCTCATTGGTACAATTGATCTACGCTTGCCGTGCATTTACGTTGCTGACCAGTCTAGTTATTTTTGGTGAAGTCGTCCCCCAGTCTATCTGTGTCCGCTATGGATTGCCAATCGGTGCTTGGTGTGCGCCCATGGTCCTCGGTCTCATGTGGATCATGTCCCCCGTCGCATGGCCTACTGCGAAGCTCCTCGACTACCTTCTTGGCGAGGACCACGGTACCACCTACAAGAAGGCCGGTCTGAAGAGCTTGGTCACTCTGCACAAGTCTCTGGGTCACGCTGACGAGCGCCTCAACGAAGACGAAGTCACTATCATTTCCGCCGTATTGGACCTCAAGGCTAAGCCTGTGGGCAACATTATGACACCTATGAAGGATGTCTTCACCATGCCCTCAGACACAGTTCTTGACGAGAAGATGATGGAGAACATTCTTTCCGCCGGTTACTCTCGCATTCCTATTCATACTCCCGAGAACAAGAACGACTTCGTAGGCATGCTGCTCGTCAAGATGCTCATTACCTACGATCCAGAGGACGCCCTGCGCGTGCGCGAGTTCGCGCTGGCTACTCTCCCAGAGACACGACCAGAGACCAGCTGTTTAGACATCATCAATTTCTTCCAGGAGGGCAAGTCCCACATGGTGCTCGTCTCTGATTTCCCCGGCGACTCCCACGGCGCTGTCGGTGTTGTCACTCTGGAGGACGTCATCGAGGAGCTTATTGGAGAGTACGTTGTCTCGCCGTATCAGCTTCGAGGCCTTTGCTAACACTGATAGGGAAATTATCGACGAGTCGGACGTGTTTGTCGACGTTCACAAAGCCATTCGCCGCATGGCTCCTGCTCCACGAACCCGTGTGCCTAAGGGTGCTGTAGTCCTGGACGGATCCCGCAAACCGTCCGAAGCGCAACTTGTCGATGGTGAGACTGATACTGAGCAGAACGGCGGACTACGCAAAATGTCGATGCCCGAGCAAAGCGACGCCCTCCGCCCGGCTACATTTATGCTTCGTCGCCGCAGCACTGGCAACAAGGGGACATCGGACCCTCTTCGCGCCGATGACCCTGAAGTCATGAAGCATCTGAAGTACCTCGGTCCCTCGAACGCCGCCAACCGGCCCAAGTCTACCCGCATCAACACCGTGAAGATTAAGCCTGGTCACACTGCCTCTCCTCAACCCGAGATCCCCACCACAATCCCCGAATACACCCGACCGTTATCGCAAGGTGTCCTTGCTCATGATTCGCATGCTCCTGAGGGAGGTATTGGTGAGGGTCTTCTCTCATCGGCTGCTGGTGAAGCTAGTGACGGCGTGCACAGTCTGGCTGTTGGATATGGTACAATGGCTGCTGCTAGTGGCGACCATATGTCTTGGAAGTCTGACCAAACCGGTGCTAAGAACACAGGTGACGATGCTATCTCTCCAGGAGCTCAACCGACTCAACCGTCATACGCCGATGTTGTGTCCGAAAACACGGACAGCAAGAACGACGTGCAATCGAGGGGACGTCGCAACTCACACAGCACCATCGGTTCCCTGCATTCCGGGAAATCTCGCTCTCGCAGCCCACCGAAGAAGCGTCACACAGCCCGCAGTGGTAGCATCTCTGAGAACATCATCGACGTGAACGGAGTCAAGAAGATCGTTTTGGAAACCACAAGTTCTAGTGACTCAGAGGATAAGCTCGCAGGTAGCCAAGCTGACGGTGCTCAAGACTCGAGGCAGCAGTCCGAAGACGAATCACCGCACGCAAGTAAGGGCGAGGGAAAGAAGAAGAGGAAGAAGCGAGGTAAGAAGAAGAACAAGGGCGGTAACAGTAGCGAGTCGCAACCCCTGCTTGGCAACCGGTAACCCCAAGTTCTTCTGTGAGACGTGCGGTTGATTTGCATTTTTCCTAGCATGTTGCGAGCCATTTACCACGAGCGCGAGCAAGAGCGAGAACATGAAGCCTGGCGAACCGTCATCTGTTTTCGACAAGATCAAAAACAGGATATTACATCAGAGGGCCTCAAAAGAAGACGAAGGATATGCGGGCGGCGAGGAGAATGCGAAGAGTATCGTGTAATGGGCATACAAACGGGTTGGCATATTTTGGGCTTGTTGTATCTTTTTTTTTTCTGTATCATACGAAAAGCACAACACGGCATCGAAGCGGTGTATTCACATTCAAGCTCCGGTCTTGGGCCATGCTCCTTATCCCATTTCATTGCGATCCAACCTTGACAGTTCGATGTGACGTACGTCCTCGCTTTGCATTAGGGAAACGAGAGTGACTATCTTTGCAGTGCGTGTGATCGTGCCAAGATGCATGTCCTATGAAGATTTCGTTTATCAAGAACTGCGCTGCTTGCTTTGACGACACGTCCCCTCATGGACTATGGAATATGCCTACATACTGCGAAACCACACTTCTGCTCCTCATCAACACATATTGAAATCTCGGGTTCATTGATGGCGGTGTTGCGGCGTGATGAAATTTCGCCGTTTTGAGGGTATGGGAGTAGCGCGGACTGTGCAATCGCTCAGCACTCGGAAAAGAGTTGTTTGATTACAGGTCTGGGTATAACGAGGAGGAGAGAGAGGTCAATGCTGAGGATTGATATAGGATCTTGGGGTCTGTCGCCGGTCAGCGGTTTCGCCCTCGCTCTCGGGATACGCGGCGTTTGGGCTAAGGAAGGCGTGTATTCAACGCCACGTCTCGAAGGGCGTCCTGATCTAGTCTTCGTACATTGTTCGACCTCTTCACCTGTTAATATGAATATTGAGAGAATCCCCGGCGAGTTGTAGCTGTCGTTGCTTCGGCGTTAAAGCCTTAAGTTATTATGGTGTCATGCGTAGCGGCGGAAAGAAATGATTGTGAAGAGGGTCAGGGTGGATACAAACCTCGCTAAGAAGAGCGAGAAACGGGCAGACTTCATCGATGTCGAGAATCTACATGCCAGGTTTATTGATTATCAGAGTGTTGTGAGTTACGAGTACTCAGTTGGCCTCATGTTTCTTGGTACTGACTCTAGAGTGTGCAACACATGGAATGAAAGAACAGTGTTGTTTAGAGTGATGATTGACTCGTACTTGAGAGGAGGAAGCGAACTCTTGCAGTGAGCCTTCATGATGTCCGTACGTCTATTGATACAGCTGTGTACAAATAACCGATGCATGTGGCAGAGCAATGATAGACTTACTTGGCCTGAATAAGTGACGAAAATGGTGCCGTAATGAAAATAGTACTTTAGGTGGAGAGTTGACCGATATCTCTTGCCGTGATCGATGCCATATGTTGAGTGGTGAAAACGAAGTGAACTTATCCATGTCTTGTCCTCAAGAGTTGTAGAACTACAGCCTGTACTCCGCCTTTTCAAAAGACAAGAGAGTTCGTGTTCGTTTGTGTGGAGCGGTGAGCGATTGACCGCGGTACCCAGTGTACTTGGCGGTGAGGTCAGGGTCTACTTGTGAGTACTTGCCCAGCAATCAACAACTCACCGAGAGGGGCATTCTGGCAAGTCTCGTCGAGTAGACATGCGGTCAACAGGGCGACTCGCATCCGTTAAGTTCTGCGTAGTCCTTGCTGCGGTGTGTCCAAGCGGTGACGAACGTGCTAGTAAGTTGCAGTCGGCCAAAGACTGTACCATTCAACACCTGAGGTTGCACAGTTGGCAGACATGCTATGCCAGTCAGCGACCACCTGTCGTTGTTGACATTACGATATGGTTCGTACCTGCGTCAGTTTTCTCCGAGCTCATCTGCGGGCCCGATCGCAACGTGCTCTTATCGGCACACAAACCTCCAAAATCGGGTCGCTTACCGAAATGACGTCTCACATCTCACCAGTTTTAGCGGCGGGGTCTCTCGTCTCAAATTCCTACAAACTTTGTCCAGAACTCGAAAGACCGAGGGATCAGCGCTTTTGTGCTCGAAGAGCTCCACTTGTTTGGTTTCTGTTGTTCATCAGCGGTTCCAACACGTTGGCCGTGACGCTCGACGGAGCGTTTGGTGTGCGCGTGCGGCAGATGGGCCGTTGCCACGGTCGAGGGGTGATGCCTGAAGGGGAAGTTAATTTCCCCGGGCGCCAGCGCGGTTTAGGAAAGCAGGTGTTCGTGCGTGTACAACATGCTTTGTCGCAGATGAAGTTGTAGCTGCAGTGTTCTGCATGTTCGGAAGACGCTGGCGCAACTATTGATGACTTCGTCACTGCGTGCCTGACAGATGACCTGATGTCTTGACTGCAGAGTTTGACAGTCTGCAGATGAGGGCTTCGTGCTACCGAATGCTGCGCTGGCCAGTTGCGGGTGTCTGCATGGCGCGTTTCATCAACTCAGAACGTTGAGCGCTCGTTGCTTTTTATGCTGTGCCTTGCGACAGGAGACGTAGGGCGATGTGAGGTGCCTGACGCACGACTGAAGTTGATGAGAGTGAGACAATGGCAGACTCTGGAAGTGCGGCTCTCTAGCGATGTTTAACGCTACACTGGAGCACGTGTCGAGTGCTGGCAGTGGTCGAGGTCTGGCCGTGAAGGTACTCGATGCCATGTCTCGATACCTCGACGCGTGGGATCTGACAGATTGCCGGCAGTGCTAGTGTGACGCAAGCCGAGACGGGAGTGACGATGTGTTTCTGCAGTGTCGTTATGGCGCCGGTCGTGCCACGGTGGTGTTGAGTCGCGGCATGTGAAGTTCGGCGGGGAAGGCGCCAGGCTTCGAGAAGGGGAAGCTGCGGTCTAGCAGGCCCAAAGCGGCAGCTGTGCCAGCATGCTCACTCAGATCCAACACGGATCGTTGACCAGACCTAGTTGCTGGGTGTTGCTGTTTTGAAAGGGAGGAAAAAGAGTTGTTCATGACGACATGCAGGACTGATCAGGAGGTGGTTGTATCATACATCAAGTGGAAGGGTGCAGTGCTTTTGGCCAGTGGACTCCCAAACGCAGGCGGTGCATGAGTCGTCTCCTGTGCTCTGCCCTACGTAGGGCGGCTCCCTAGCATGCCATCAGTGCTGCACACGCCGTTTAGCCGGCACATGGCTGCGATCTTGGAAATGAGATGGAGGGGGGGCTAACGTGAAACTCATTTTGACGTCGTGTGGAGATGAGAAGCTGCAGACCTGGCAGGCCCAGTTGACCCATTCGGCGCGTGGGCTAGCACGCAGCAGATACGGAACCAGGATCCCACCAAGGCTGTCGGCTGCTGTCTGTGCAGGCAGTGGTTGAAATCTGCGCCGGCTGTTCTTCGACCGTGGACGAGAGCCAATTCTTCCATCCATCGCAGTTCATTCGTGCGTCCACCGATCCGACAGCCGTAGGAGCCCCTCTATTCGCTGAATCCTTCTCTGCACGCACCTGCACGTCGCTGGTTGCGCAGCACTGGACTGCGCTGGAAGACTGGACGTTGGGGGCGCTCTGTACCACGCTGGCACCCTAAGGGACCCAGGGTCAGCAGCTCTAGCAGGTCGCCGCTATGGACGACCGAGACAGCAAGGCGGCACACAGGCGGCTGTCCAAGAAGACACGAGAGCGGGCGCCGCCCCCCGTCAGCTACAATAACAAGTTCAGCACCGCGAACACCCTTAAACGCGCTCCCAGTGCCGCTTCCTATTTCGAGAGGTCTGGCAGCTACAACTCGGGGCTTGGCATCTCTCCAGCCGCGCACCCTGCCTCATCCTCCAGTAGCCTCCGGAGGTCCCCCTCGTTGCTCACGCCGCTGACCGAGAGCCGCACCGTCAATGCGAGCGGCGCATACGGCTTCCACGACACCCCGTCCACGCAGAGCAGGCTCCCTTCTAGCCACGAGCTGGTCGGCGACTCGTTCACCAACATCGTCGCCGGCGCAAACACGAACGTATCCTCGTATAGCTCCAAGCAGCTGCGCCCAACAGGCCCCGTGCATTCGCAGACAGCCGACGGACAGCCCTCACGGTTCAAGAAGAGCCCCCGCCTGCGCCAGTCGACGTCCTTCCAGCAGCTCGCCCGCAAGATGGATACCCCGCCATCGGGCACCAAGAGCCCGCGCAACCGGTACAGCGACGAGGGCGATGGCGTGAAGAACAGGAAGACGGACGGCGGCAAGAAGAAGGGCACCTTCAGCACCTTCATGAGCAACATGCTGGGCTCGCCGCGCCGCCCGACCATCTCGACGCCCACCAACCCCATGCACGTCACCCACGTCAGCATCGACAACGAGACGGGCGAGTTCACGGTATGTACCGGCATTGATTCTTCCTGGTGGTTCACGACAGAGCAGTTTCGATGTTTTCCCAGATACACTACTGCACTATGATCTGCTTGATCTGTTTATAGACCGCTGCTAACTCGGTTCAGGGTCTTCCCAAGGAATGGCAGCGCATGCTCCAGCAGAACGGCATTACAGAGCAGGAACAGAAGCAGCATCCCCAGGCCGCAATGGACGTTGTCAACTTCTACAAGAACAACGCCGAGAAGAACGGCGACGACGAGGTATGGGAGAAGATGGGCGCTGCTCACCCCCATCACCAGTCGCTCAACCCCGGCTACGGATCAGCCCAGCCCCTCAGTCCCCCGCAAAGTCCACGATTCCCACGCAACGAGCACGATAGCTTCGAAAACCCTCGAGCTCCACCCCCAGTACCTCTACCCCGCAGTCTGACGTCGCCCATACCGAACACGCCCCAGCTCAATGGCTCCATCATCCCTCACCGACCTGCTCCTCGCCCGCCAGGTGCTGCGTCAGGCTCAGCGAACCTCGTACCCAGCCGAGCTGCGCCTGCAGCGCCTGCAGCGCCTGCCCAGATAGCCACCCAGCAATCTCGCCAGGAGAATGACATGCCTCCGGTTGTCTACGCCTCTCCACAGGCCACGGATAGCGCCTATGGCACATCAACATCGTCAGCACCACGCAGCCGCGCAAATACTACAGGTGGCACTCCTCCGCGATTCGAATCTCCCTCCAACAGCCAAACTGCGATCTCGCCTGCTCAGCAATACCAGCAGCAGCAGGCTCAAGCAATGGCTGCGGCTCAACATTCCATGAGCAGCCACAAGCACCAGCCGCCTCATCTCGGTCGAAGCGTCAGCCAGAAGGTGCCGCAATCGCAACCATTCAATCATGGACCACCAGCACATGTACAGCCCTCGCCTCAACAGCAACTTGCCCAGCAAATGGACCCTCAAAACATCCCTCTACCTTCGCAGCAGGCACGCGTTGGCCCAGCACCCCGACCAAGGCAAAGACCGAGGCAAAGCCAGGGTCCTGACATTGTTGCCAAGCTCAACGCGATTTGCACAAACGCCGATCCTACAACTCGTTACCGCCAGCTGAACAAGATTGGTCAGGGTGCGTCCGGTGGTGTGTACCAAGCGTACGAAAATGGCACCAACAAGTGCGTAGCCATTAAGCAAATGAACTTGGAGCAGCAGCCCAAGAAGGATTTGATTATTAACGAGATCTTGGTTATGAAGGACAGCAAGCACAAGAACATCGTCAACTTCATGGACAGCTTCCTTGTACGAGGTGATCTGTGGGTCGTCATGGAGTACATGGAGGGTGGCAGTTTGACTGATGTGGTGACCTTCAATATCATGTCAGAAGGTCAGATTGCTGCGGTATGCAGGGAGGTTCTTCACGGTCTCCAGCACCTGCACTCCAAGGGGGTTATCCACCGAGACATCAAGTCTGACAACATTCTTTTGTCTCTGGAGGGCAACATCAAGCTCAGTAAGTAGTCTGCTTATGCGTGTTACGACAGACCTAACAGCCTTGCAGCCGATTTCGGATTCTGCGCACAGATCAACGAGCACCACAACAAGCGCACGACCATGGTCGGAACTCCGTACTGGATGGCGCCAGAAGTTGTTACTCGCAAGGAGTATGGTCGCAAGGTCGATATCTGGTCATTGGGCATCATGGCCATTGAGATGATCGAGGGAGAACCGCCGTACCTGAACGAGAGCCCGCTGCGCGCACTATGGCTCATTGCTACTAATGGCACGCCCCAAATCAAGGAGGAGCACGCGTTGTCACCTGTCTTCCGCGATTTCCTTGGGTTTTCGCTCAAGGTTGACCCTGATAAGCGCGCGAGTGCCCACGATCTTCTTGTGGTATGTATTTGTCCACCGTGACGTGTTGTGTAGACTAACGCACTCTAGCACCCCTTCATTCAGACATCAGAACCACTCAACACCCTCGCACCACTTGTTCTGTCTGCACGGAAAGCAAGAGCTGATGAGAGGAAGAAGAAGGGCGGTATGTGATTTGTTTCTTTCCAGGCCCTGGGTGTGTCTCATCCAGGAACCTAGGAAATGTTACAGCGCACACCAAGAACAACGATTCCTCGAACACCCACACGGAATCGTATGCCGAGTGGTATGGCAAAGCGGAAGCGTTCTGATGCGGTCGGATTGCACATCGCTGAGCCGACCGTTGAAACTTTGCGTTGGTTATGCATGCAAGCTGCAGGACCGACGTGTGTTAACATTCAAGCTTTTGGATCTAGGTCCCCCGCGTTCAAGCGACCACACATCTAGCATCTCGCACACGGCACGTATCGACGAGTACGAAGCGATCATCTGTAACCTTTGATGTACATCTCTAGACAGCATTGCGGAGCGATCGATCGAGCACATTGCAAGCACATTACGTTTTCGTATGCAGTCGACTTTTCAAGCGGCTTAGCATCCATCGACTACACTTTTGGATTTCCGGCTGGGTTTTGGCGTCGAGGAGAGCGAGTGTGCTGTGGTTTCAGCACGCATTTTCACGATTCATCATGTTCAGAAATGTTTGTGCCTTATACACCACTCTTCAATGTATAGTGTCTATACTACCTAGGCGGGCGTCATGATTACCAGGCTTGGCTACATGATCGGCATGAAAGTCGAATCTAGGATACACAAAACGCTCTCTTTGTCTCGTCTCATGCTATGTTGTGCCTTCGCTGAACAAAGCCCAGAAGATGAATTGCGATGCATTCAAGCCCGACAAGCTCTTGGATGGAGACAATCGATGCCCGTACACTGGTAGCGAGGACCCAACAAGGTGGATAATCAAAGGCCTTCTGAAGGCTAAACCGACATTACTCGAAAGAGACTTCGCACTCACCGCAGATGGAGAGAAATCCAACGTGAAAGGCCGTGCTCCATCACAGCCCAAAGCTGGACCATCAGCCTTGCCGAAGTGTGGCGCAGCAAGGTGTTCGCGTGTTCGCCGCCGTGCCGTCGTCATTCTCCGCCCCGCTAGGCCGTATCCTAGCTCGGCAGGAGCTCACCAAGCCTCCTACATACGACACCTCTGAGCCCTCACCCTTCGCTCAAGAGACGCCAACCGACCTCAAACCTCCCACGATACACAGCACCCTCACATTGCTGTCACCCCAAAGCACCTACTTCTTCGTCGATCGCCTCAACTGACTTCATCGAGCGGTCTCGACAGACTCTCGGCCGGGCGCAATAGGCAGCAGACATCATGTTCCGCGCGCAGTCGAATATCTTCGACGATGTCGTCGTCAAGGCCACAGACGAGAACCTGACGAGCGAGAACTGGGAGTACATACTGGTATGGCATACACCACTTGGGTTAACTGCGATCGCTGCCAGCTGCTGGAGTTCTGCACTTCGGACTACAGTGTGACGTTCGCTGCAGCGTGGCCACATGATCACACACATATACTGACATGCCGTCCCAGGATGTATGCGACAAAGTCGGCTCGTCAGACACAGGCGCACAACAAGCCGTCGCGGCTATGATCAAGCGATTAGCGCACCGCAATGCGAACGTACAGCTGTACACGCTCGAGCTTGCCAACGCCCTCAGCCAGAATTGTGGCGTAAAGATGCACAAGGAGCTAGCTTCACGCAGCTTTACAGATGCATTGCTGAGGCTCGCCAACGACAGGAACACACACCAGCAAGTCAAGGCCAAGATCCTCGAGCGCATGGGCGAGTGGTCTGAGATGTTCTCTCGTGACCCAGACCTTGGAATCATGCAGGGCGCTTACAACAAGCTGAAGTCGCAGAGTACGTGTCCAGGTAAAGTGCTGTAGAGGGCAAGACTTACATGTTCCAGACCCCAACCTGCGAGCCCCATCGAAACCACAGAAGACACAGATCTCCGAGACCGACCGCCAGAAGGAGGAGGAAGAGCTTCAAATGGCGCTGGCCATGTCGATACGAGAATCCAAGGGCGCCGCTCCCACGACTGCGAAGTCGAACGCTCCTCAAGACGCAAGCGCTGGTGCTAGCTCCAGTGCACAACCCGCACAGGCACAGGCGCCGGCACCACAGGGAACAACTGCGGCAACAGTCTCGCGAGTACGCGCACTGTACGACTTCCAGCCTTCCGAGCCCGGCGAGCTGCAGTTTAAGAAAGGCGACATCATCGCTGTGCTTGAGTCCGTGTACAAGGACTGGTGGAAGGGATCACTACGTGGCCAGACCGGTATCTTCCCGCTCAACTATGTCGAGAAGCTGCAAGACCCTACACGAGAAGAGCTGGAGAGGGAAGCGCAGATGGAGGCCGAAGTATTCGCGCAAATTCGAAACGTGGAGAAACTGCTTGCGCTGCTTAGCACAAGTTCACAAGGAGGAGGCGATGTTCGTGATAACGAGGAGATCACCGAGCTTTACCACTCGACGCTAGCCATCAGACCGAAGTTGATCGAGCTGATTGGCAAGTACTCGCAAAAGAAGGGTACGTCTCTCGAAATGCATCACACCGACAAGCGCTAACATTTCCTAGACGACTTCACACAACTGAACGAGAAGTTCATCAAGGGCCGCCGTGACTACGAATCGCTCCTCGAAGCTTCAATGACGCAAGCAGCACAGCCAGCATACGGTGGCCGCCCCACATACGGTGCATACAACGCACCCCCTCCATCTCAATACGCCGGCTACCCTCCTAGCTCCGCAACACCCCAACAAGACCCCAACCGCTTCTACGATGCCGGAGCACCACCATCACAACGCCCACCCCAATACCCACCCGCCGGCTCAAACCCAGCATTCTTCATGGTCCCACCCGGCGAACAGCGCCAGCAACAGACCCCAGCACCACAAGCTGGTCCTCCGTCAAACGCTTACAACGATCCAAGTCTGAACAGAGTACCAGTCGGCCGACCCCAAAGCTTCGCGCCACAAGAGCTGTCAACAGGACACTACGACTCACCCGTCGACAACAGGCAGTCCTTCCACGGCGCACCAGCCGGCGCTCCCCCGGCTGGGCAAGAGTACTCCTATCCACCACAGCAGCAGCAGCAGACCCAACCCCCCGGTTATCCGCCTCAATCCAGCGCACCTCAGGCGCAACAGAACCCATACGAGCACATCACTTCCCCACCTCCACAGCAACAGCAACAGCATGACCAGCAACCGCCGTCCGATCCCTACGCTCAGGCGCCGCAGCAGAACCAGTATGGCTACCCACCTCAACAGCAACCATCTCAGCCTGGATATGCACCGCCTGTGCCGCCGGGCGCTACGTCAAGTCCCGCACCGCAGAATCAGGGGTATTTGCCGTATAGACCCGGTGGGCAGGGGCCGAGTGCACCGGTTGGAGGAGGTGGTGATGAGGGCTTCTATAGATGAGGAAAGAACAATAGGGCACTTGAGGGAAGAGATTGACCAGTTGAATTGAAGACTTGCAAATACCACGAATCAAACCATCCCAGTGAGCAAACCCTCCACCTTCGTGACTCCTACTGCGCATCCGTCTTTTGCGCGTTGTCTGCGGAACCACGTCTTTCGCTTGATCGTTCTCCAGTTCGAGGTCTTTTGGGGCTTTGGTGGTGCTGCCTTGCTCTTTCCGTTTGTCTGACCGGATGCTGGCTTGGAATGTTCGCTGAGTTTGTGGTGCTGTTGCTGGAGCCTCCCGACGAGGGGTTTTGCAGTCCAGGCGGCCGAGGCATGCTCCCACGTCTTGCTCATTTTCTTTCTCGATTGCTTGACCAACAAGAAATTCCGCCAGATGGCGAGGACGAAGACCGTTAGGACAGTTGTCAGGAACCAGTACAGGCAGACCCACCTCGAGACAACGGGACCAGTGGTGCTGAGATCGAAGGTCCAGAAGCTTGTTCGGGACATTGTAGCGAAGAAGGTGCCGGGGAGGAAGACGAGAGTGACTGCAGACATCACTCTCATATCCGCTCCGTGCCGCAGTTTTGTTTCGTTGTCCTGACTCTGGAGTACTGCGTATAACTAGAGGCATTCAGTCTCTTTCTATGTGTGGGCCGCATGTAACCCAGCATTTACACCTGGTTTCGCGTCATTTCTAGTGGACTCTCGTTGCTTTCATCCAAGAGCTTGAAACCCCGCCTCAAATGTTCAAGACGAGCCGGAAGCTGTGCCGTCAACTGCGTCGATCGACGAGCCTCTGGCTTTTCAAGCTCCCTCAAGAAGAACTCGAACGCTTGAGTACTACTAGACAAGTCATCTCGCTTATCTACAGCTGGGTTTGCCAATTGCGTCAAGGCCCGTGGCATATCCTGGACATGCATTTCAGAATCAACTGATCCCGACAGTATGCCGATGTAGCTGCAACCCATCTTCTTGGCCAATGGCAGCAAGAGTCGTGTGTTACGTCCCATGTGCCCGCCCATTAGAGCATGCCTTGTCGACTCAATGTATTGGCAGAAGAAGAGGTTCTAACGCATATACAAATAATGTTTAGAGAGGGTTTAGCGCATGTTTCTGATTCTCTTCTTGGAACATGTACACGATTGCAAGCGTAGTCCTGGTGGGCACATGGTGATGGAGTGCCACGACTATGTTGTTCCACACCCCGAGACACAATGTGAGACCTGAATGGACTTCATTTGATATCAAGGTGTCGACTATTTGATCTTGTAGTCCGACAGGAATGAAAATCTGTGGACAGACCTGTTCATTACGTACCTACCCAGTCGGTGTTGCCAGGACGGGGGCTGAACATCATACATGAAATTGAGTACCGACCGCACAACTGAACACTGATGTGTAGGGTAAAAAATTGGTGAAGGAATCCTTGCAACTTAAAATCCTAAGGTGCATCCCTAAATGGAGAGACACACCATGTCCCGAGACAATTTGGCAGTTCGGAACTTCGGCGCCTCTGATGGGCAAATATGTAGAGTCGTAATTTATACACAATGTTCATGAAGCTATTCTCCCCCAGGCCAGCAGGCTCCGACCATAATCTCTGCAGTGATGGTCATGCCGTCGATCGTTTCATCAACGCCGTCAAACGACCCTTCGGCAATACTCTCCTGTCTACTAGCTACTTTAGGAGTGTTTTCAGATATCGGAGGACTGGAGAAGAAGACCGTTCAAGGAAGGTCATGTCCCCATGCTTTTGGAGATCATTTAGCGTAGGTGTGTGCATGCTGGGACCTCTGTAGTGTGGAGTAGATGATCCCTGCAGATAGACCCGAGCTGGCGGGATGCGCTATTATATCTTGGCATGCATCAGCCTGCATTAGCGCGTCTGTGAGCCGTCTGTATTCTACTGTAATAAAACGAACGCTATGCCGGGCTGGCATGGCCTATAGATAGATGTGGCGCATGCTAACGGCGAAAAAAACACAACAGCGAGAATTTCACTTTTTGAAATCAACGCAGTGTATCGCACACAGACGTCTGTTTGAGACGCCGTTTGACCAGCCACCACTTAGAAGCAGCGCCCACTGCTTCTGAGGCGTCATGGCAACACCGTGGCCTCGACGCCAGCAGATGACAATGATTTGGGTAAGAAATTTGGCTTTCACTGAAGTGTTACTGTTCTGTCATCATCTTCCATTCTTTCCAAACACCACAGCACCCCTTATACCAAGTGTCCTCGAATCTGCACTTACAGAGTGATCCTGTGTCGAATGCATGAATCGAAGAACGGTTTCCTGATCGACATTCTGGAGTATATTTGTCCGTCTCCAGCAAGTGTCTGTGCTCTGGCTCTCATGGTCGCAAACTTCGAAGGGTTTGCCAGAAACCCTCCAGTGTATCTTGCGGTGAGACAGCGGGACTTGGCTGGGCTCGTCTAACGAGAATGATTGCCCTCCTGCGCGACTCCTGAATCGATCAAGACAGGAGAGATGAGCTGCAAGGTAATCCTGTCCGCATGGAACCGTGTTACACTGTGCGTTGCTACGACAGCAACCTTGTGCAGGAGCTATTGCTTCTCCAAGCTCTGAGCATATGATAACCGCATCTGCGAGATTCGCCAGAACAAGCCAGCTCTGGCTTGTCTTGATCTTGAACTCCTTCATGGGACTCCCTCTTCCGGGTTCCAGGATAATGTCCATAAATTCAAATCCGTAGAGACATTTCCCCGTGCTTTTGGCCTTGCAGTGGACGGATGCAAGTAAATTTATGCTCAAGCCCAGCAACAAACTGCGGAGTTTAAAGCTGTCGTTCCCTTGGCCGCAAACAGTAAGATCTCCTTGGCCTTCGAGTGCTTCGACGACGATGCTTCCGTCATCATGAGGTTCGGCAAATGGTATTGGGTCTATGTTGATATCAGATCGAGGACTGTTTTCCACAAACCAGACATGTGCCATATGCAGCATTAGGCTCAATTTGGGAACGAGCCACGACCGCCGGTTGTGTACGTCAGAGATCAGGACAACATCTTTAGCAGTGTCGTACAGCATCTTGGTGTACTCCGATGCAGGGGGGAAATGGAGACGGTGTGAGAGGAAGGAGAAATTTGCTTGACCATTGACGCCTGCTTGTATTGGACTGGCAGACACAAGCTGGAAGCCTGTCGAGACTCCGCTGAGCTGCAAAGACCTCTCCTTGGTTCGGGCACCAGAATATGTGACAGTGGTAGGAAGGCTCGAAGTGCCTAGTTTGATATGTGCGGAATCGCACCACCCAACAAAGCATCGCATGGATTTGAATTGAGCCCAGTCTAGATCCTGCAGACGTTGACAACAATCAAGCTCGAAAGGGTTTATCTGGCGGTCCTCACTGATTTCCAGGTGGAATTGCACATAGGTGGGCTCCAATCGAACAGGAATCAAGACGGTATGGTATCCGGCAAGAACGACTCCACCACGTACTAAGATCGGATACTCAACAGCAGCGAGGCTGGTCATAAGGTTGAATGATAATTCCAGGCCTCTCCCAGTAGCTTCAACATGATCAGTGTCTTCGTCGTCTAGTACGAAGCATGACAGAAACAGCTTCTGCCAGCAACTGTGTTGAAGCTCCGGGAGTGGTTTTGAGAGCAGGGTGAAGGCTAGGGAAACATCGGATGACGACAGTCCTTGTCCAACTGTGGATCTTGAGTCGTGGTTCGATAGCGAGACCTGGCATGACGATAGGGAGAGACTAAATCTATCCGACGAAGGGTCCTGGCACGGGCTTCGGATTGCTCTACACAGCCAATCCAAGACCTCGATAAACTTGCCCAATTGGTGGCCACATACGGGATCCCCAATCTGGACCACAAGATCTCGTCCAGAAAAGGTTAGGGAGTAATCAAACTTTAAGTGATCCCACTTTTCGTACACTGTGTTTGTGTCAGCTACTTCAAAACTAAGAGGAGACTATACACGATTCTGCTTTTAATAAGCACTCACCATTCTGCAGCTGGAACCCTGGTTGCATTGCACAAAGCCTTGAGATGTCTTCTAGCAAATGAGTCCCTAGGGGACCCCAGCGCTGTTCAACATACTCAATGCATGGAAGAGCTCGTATCCTTCGAATCCCTTCGGTACCATCCGACGTCGACCGTGAACCCACAAGAGCTATGTTGTTCTGAAGTAGTTCTTTTGTCCAGCTCTCTGATCTTCTATCTTCCAACGATCCCTGTGCGCTCACCATAGCCAAAATCTCGCACTCGAATTGCATACAAACAATGGATCGTCCCAAGTCGCTGTGTTCAGTTTTTTGCAACAGTTGTCTGACACTGTGATAGGATCGTTGTCGAAGACTCGTCTGGCCAGAAGGCCCAGCTTGCGGGCCAGAATCTGTAATGGCCGCCCGGAGAACATCAACAACCTCTTGATGACCCCCACAAAATGCCGCTTGCAATGCACTACCATGTTCTCCCCCTCTTAAATGGGTACTCGCCCCAGCTTTGAGCAGGATCAATACCAGATCTTGAAAGCCTTGACTGGATGCTGCTTGCAAAGCACTGCCAAAATGGCCACCTTGCGCATTCACGTCAGCTCCTGCGAACAAAAGTCGCTTTACGATACCCTCATGCCCACTGCTGCATGCTGCCTGCAGCGCCTGGCCGTAGTAACCACCACTTGAGTGGACTGTTGCTCCTGCTGCTAACAGCATCTCTACTACGCCTTCGTTGCTTTTATGAGATGCAGTCTGGAGTGCGTTACCGTATATCCCCCCTGAGGCGTTCACATCGGCTCCCGCAGCGAGCAACTGCTCAACTACTTCCATGCAACCTCCATAGGACGCTGCTTGCAGTGCTGTTCCATACCCACCACCGCAAATGTGAACATCGGCCCCATGCTTCAACAACTGCTGGACAATCTTTGCATGACCTGCAAGTGAAGCTCCGTAAAGTGCGCCTCCGGATTCGTTGTCATGGGCATTGGGGTCAGCTCCAGCTGCTAGAAGACGTTCCACAACTATCTGTTTGCCAGTTTTCGAGGCAGCATAGAGGGGTGTTCCGTAAAGACCGCCACGCATCTCGAAATTAGAACCGTTGTCGAGCAGCATCTGCACAATCTTGTGATTGCCGCGAAAGCATGCAGCCTGAAGCGCATTGCCATAGCTTCCACCCTGCGTGTTGACGTCGGCGCCTTCGTCTAACAAAAGCTGCACGATAGGTTTGTACCCTCCATAAGCAGCAGCCTGAAGCGCATTGCCATAGCTTCCGCCCTGCGCGTTGACGTCGGCGCCTTTGTCTAACAGAAGCTGCACGATAGGTTTGTACCCTCCATAAGCAGCAGCCTGAAGCGCATTGCCATAGCTTCCGCCCTGCGCGTTGACGTCGGCGCCTTTGTCTAACAGAAGCTGCACGATAGGTTTGTACCCTCCATAAGCAGCAGCCTGAAGCGCATTGCCATAGCTTCCGCCCTGCGCGTTGACGTCGGCGCCTTCGTCTAGCAAAAGCTGCACGATAAGTTTGTACCCTCCATAAGCAGCAGCCTGGAGTGCGTTGCCATAGCTTCCGCCCTGCGCGTTGACGTCTGCACCATTACTGAGCAGGATCTTTACTGATGGCTCCTTGCCTCGGATCGCCGCGGCTTGTAATACGTTGCCGTAGTGACCACTCGCTGCGTTCACATCAGCGCCTCTGTTGATAAGCAGTTTCACAATGTCATCGTGACTTTCCATCAACGCTGCATACAAAGCAGTGCTCCCTGTTCTACCTTGCACGTTCACAGGAGCACCCCTATCGAGCAGCATCGTCACAACATACCCTTGACCTCGAAAAGAGGCGGCCCATAGCGCGTTGCCGTACTCTCCACCCTGCGCGTTGACATCGGCGTCTTTGTCGAGCAGCATCTTGACTACCTGCTCGTGGCCTCCGTATGAAGCTGCCTGCAGTGCGTTGCCGTAGTGTCCACCCTGCGCGTTGACATCGGCGCCTCTGTAGAGCAGCATCTTGACTACCTGCTCGTGGCCTCCGTATGAAGCTGCCTGCAGTGCGTTGCCGCAGTGTCCACCCTGCGCGTTGACCTCGGCGCCTTTGTCGAGCAGCAGTTTTGTGATCATGCTTAAGCCTAAGCATGCTGAGTAGTATAGCGGCGTAGCTACCCTTTCTAGACCTTTTCCTAGATCAGGTTCTTTCCGTGGATGATCTGGATCGCACAACTGAATCCAGTTGAGATATGCGGGTTTATCCATTGACATCAGACGCATCGCTAGTAGACTTCCTTCTGTCTCGTCCCCTGTTTTTCGAAGATGGATGCTCCAGAACTCTGCTGTATACCTTGCCAGTGCAGATGCCTTGAAGGTCTCTGTTGACAACGGCTGCTGGAACTGGGTCAAGTACATCAGACAACCTTTTGTTATCATGCTGTGGCATTCAGCCTTTTGCATGCTGTACTGCTTTGCCTGTCCTTGCTTGATCCGGTCTGATACAAGATACTCCTGAACTGAATAATGCGCCAGAGCGATGATTCGCTGTGCAGGCCTCTGTCTTCCCTCCGCCTCGTTCGTTGTAATGGTGACCAGACTGGAGCAGATGTTCAGCGCTTCTAGCGGATCTTCTAGCACTTCATCGCAGTTGAACGCTGGGTCGCGCGCCACGTCAATAGCGACAACTTCCGCAACCTCTTCAACAGACAGCGGCCGCGTAGAGAACGTCAGCCACTGCAGGATGCGCATTGCATAATTGCAGTCTTCTTTGCTTATAGCAGTGAGGATACGATCGTATGTCTGCTCTAACGTTTGCGGCAACGTGGCCAGCGACTTGCGCAGCGTCGCTCGATTGCGACAATTTGCTAACAAGTCAAGCTGACATACAGTCCACCGAAACCTACAGGATCATTAGCTAAAGCTCAGTGGAGGACTGGGTGACCACACGTACATCCCGTGAGCTCCATGCATCATTGCAGCCTCAATCTCTTGCATCATAGCAGCGTCTTTGTTCCATTTTGCCAAAGTCTTATCGTCAGACAGCCGTTGTTGAACGTATCGTTGTATGTCCTTGTCCACTACGTCCCTCTGAAGACAGATGGTGTCCTCTTCCTTGACATAACTCTCTAAAGAGCTCTCAATATCCCGCTCTTTCCGGCTGGTCATAAGTAGATGCACATTGTTAAGCTGCCACCCAGCCACTGTCTCAAGCACGTCCATCAGTTCTTGGCGTTGTGTGCATTCGTCGAGCGCATCGAGAACGATGTAGGCATGCGTGAACTGTTGCATCACCTGCGGTGTGACCTCCAGAAGTGCCTGCAATGATGGCCGTTGTTGTCCGTTCTCACAGGACGAGAACAATGCGTCAACGCCCTTCGGGATCTTAGACGAACACTGCAGGAGCTGGCAGAGCAACGAGCGAAGCATCAGCTCTGGGTCCTGTTTCGATCTATCGTTGAAGTCGAAGTAGAAGTATGCCGTCACCATACTAGCGTTCTCATGGCAGTGCTGCAGCAGATGCTCGATGATCGTTGAGCTCAGGATGGTCTTTCCACATCCCGGGATCCCATACAGCCATAGTCGCGACGCTGCACGCTCCTTCCATTCTGTGAACTTTGAACCATCCAGCAGCCAGAGGCCAGTTTCAACCTGCCGCTGCTTGTGCGCTTTGTGGTAGTTAGTGGACGGGTCAGGCGCCGAAAGCCAGCTGCAGACCCTCTCTTCTTGGCTGAGGCCTTCGTTATTCCTCATAACCTCCTTTCTCAGCCGGTCAAGTGCATTTTCTTCGCCTTCACCATAGATTAGCGGTAGATAAACGCCGAATATGCCCAGTAGACAGTATGCTCTATCTTCTTCGCGTGTCGTCAGGCGATTTACTGTCCAAGAGAAACGGTCGTCTACACTAAATTCGGACAATTTACTACCTGATAGAGCTTCAACAGGTATTCGTGTGATTTCGTGTATGATGTGTTTGAGCGACTCCCTGTCGCCTAGTCGTGCTCCATCGCTAGAGAAGAACTCAACCGATTGGGGAGCCAGAAGCTCCTGGAGGGTCCAGCCTCGGGTAAACCATCTGCTTTGAGCGAAAGCCAATTCGCCATCACCATCCAAGGTGCTGGAGTGGACGTCCGAAAGGTACACATAACACTTCTTCGCGTTCTGGTACCAGCGAAACATAGAGTTGATCGCTTCTTGGAGCTCTGAGCTGTTCGATTTGTCGATGCAGCAGGTGTCCACCCAGAAGTGGTTCAGACCGTCGCGTTTAGCTTGCTCAGCGCAGAAGAAAAGCTTCCGGTAACCCCCCTTGAGCTTTGCATCGACCTCCCCTATATCTTTGTGGCTCTGAAGATCCTTATATGCCACCTCTTGCCCGTTCCAAGTGTGTGACAAGATCGCATAGGGGGGGATCTGATCGGCAAACAAGTCGTCGGTCCAGCTGAGCCTCCCATCGCGTGCAGTGTATAGCAGTCGCATAGAGTCGTGGTTCGGTCTGTGTGCGCAAGCGGTAGAAGAGGGTCTAGGAGCTTCCAAGCAGGCTGGAGGAATCGATAACGTACAATGTATGCGTCGAGTCAATACGATGTATGTGTCGAGTTCGTTGTAAGTGCTAAGCGGTGGGCTGCTAAATACGAGGTTAAGGAAGCAGCCTTGATGTGTCACAGTGTAGAAGGCTGTTTGTTGAGGCAGGCTGCGGTTCGAATACCAGGAGGCGCAGCCTCCTTACGCCGCGATGTGAGCCTGGGTGGGCAGGCCTGACGACGTACATATAGACGAGAACTGCCTTATTCCTCGCACTTGTGGCTATCGCACGACTAAGGGCGTGATGCGATAGTGCAGAAGTGCAAATTATAGACTTGGGTTCCAGTGAACAATTAGACGTCCGTGTAGCGTGCTGGCCGCGCAAGGACACACGCTGGCTTCAGGTCGCTGTCCCGCCACGGGCCGTCGCGCAACGCAGCGACACCACTGACAGCCGTGCCGAGCAACACGTTCACTTGACCTAGCATTACCCCGTGGTCTCGGCGTGGAGAGCAATATTTTACTACACAACATGCAAAGTTAACGTTACTGACCATAGCCACACTCTCAACATAGAACAGCTTACCGGGACCAGCAGCATGCGCCACACCTCTGTTCAGAAAAGCAGAGTTGGTATAGCGCTGAATTCATTACAATAAGATACAAGAGTCGTTAACGCGCTAATGCAAGGCTGATGTGTGCTAAAATGTCATCTTGGGCCTATCTGCAGGAATCACCTCCTCCGTACTGCGGAGGTCCTGGCATGCACACGCCTATGCTGAAGTGATATCAAAAGACGAGGGAAATGACCTTCCTTGAATGCGCTTCATCCTCAGACCTCCGATATCTTAGAAAACTTCTCAAGTGGCGAGTAGACAGGGGGGTATTACCAAAGGATTGTTTGGAGGCGTTGACGGGATGATCGACAGCATGATCAACACTGCTGAGACCACAGTCGGAGCCTGCTGGTGTGGAGGATAAATACTTTCACAAACATCTTATTATGACAAAAGCTCAACGGACATGCAGATGGGAGGCGCCGAAGGTCCGAACTGCCAGTTCGTCTCGGGACATGGTGTCTCTCCACTTAGGGATGCACCTGAGTACCCCTGACATTGTTCCAGCGCAACGTAAGTTCAAGCTGCAGAATAACGATGATGTGTATCACCAAACCCAGGATCATATAGTACCGCCTAATCCAAACTTTCTTCAGCACTTCTGACCCTGCAAGCATCAACGATGAAGCAAGGGGCACCGATGACCATCCTGGCAATTCTCTACCACTTGCAGGCTTGTACGTGACCGCAGCGTATAACTGAAACGGTCCGTTCAGAGGATCAACAAACCGAGTCTGTCGAAGATGTGAATAGATGATGAAAGCTTGTGGCGGGAAGCGACAGGTGAGAAGCAGTTTCCAGGTGTGCAGGTGGCAGCGAAACCACGATTGCGGATTGTTAGCGACATTTACTGTGCGATACTTCGAAGGGAAGAGAATCGAACTCGCGTAGGACCTGCGCTTCGGGGAAGAGCAAGTAGTTCGCGAACCAGACGGCGAGGATTTTGGCTTAGATACCGATTCGAATCCCGATACCGTATATGTCATTGTTGCCTTCGAAACCGCATTCGGGTTCGTCTGTGGAGCGAGGAAAGGCGGTTATGAGGAGGCAGGCAGAAGGCGGATATTGGGAGGGCGGAAGGAGGTACATGCCGGAGATCGTAGAAATCAAAAGCAACGCTGAACGCAAACAACAAGACGACGGAACCTACCAGCAGACATATGACGCATTTTGCTAATATATCTGTTTGCGTTTTCTGTAGGCAACGATGGTGCAACGCTGCGCCGCATCCAGCAGGGGGTTGCTGGCTGTAAGCGCCCGGCTGCGCGCGTATCAGGATTCTCAGGCCTCTCGACACCACAATGTGCAGGCGCGTATCCGATACCACATTCTAGACACAACGATGGTGCGGCTTGTTGATACGTGTGCGAGGCAGTCTGGCGGTGGAAAATATGAAGTTCAGAAGGGAGATGGTTGCAAGACTCGACGTAACGAAAGCAGGTGCAGGGAAGTGGAAAGATGAATCAATGCTTAATCCAGACAGACTGTTCGCATGCCGTAGCTATGCTAAGAACCAGCCATAATGGGCTACCTGCAGTTGTGTGCCGAAATCGAACTCCCAGAAACTCCAGCCAAAGTAGAATGTGTATGCTCGATATTTCGCAATTGAACATTTCGTGTCGTCATCATTATACCGTGAATACCGATTGATTCAACAGGCTGTTGTTGGTTTACATGACAGTGCATGGGATGCAGCAGCATGAGCAATCGTCGGTCGAGAGGCAGCTGCACTTGCCGGGCTGAGGCTTGACTACAGAGCCAGCGGATGAAGAGATGGTAGAGGCAGGCATTTTTGTAGCTTGAAGCTAGAATTTCTCGAGACAGATCGTAGGGGGTTTTGTAAATGTGCGCGGAGGATCGAAGAAGGGGTGCTTTCGAGGAGAGCTGGCGTTTGGCGGGCGAGCTGCAAGAGTGCTGTGACGATGTTAGCCGCTTTCGTGACACCACGTGTCCAGGGCAGCCTTACCTGATGTGCGCGAAGAGGAGCTACGAAGTCGGATTGAAAGAGAGAAAGCAAAGGTTATCTTCAGGGGAGTGGGCGATTTATGATTGCGTAGGGACTGTTCTCGAGCCCTGCTTATGCCCGAGAACGCTAAACCTGGAACAGCTTGGCGTGAATTGCAGATGACGTCTCACTTCAAGGCGGTGCACGCGGTCGTGGCGCAAACGCCGCAACTTCGGGAGTACTTGCGCATGGGCTTTTTTCTGCAGAAATAGAAACATTTAGTACTCTCCAATGGCTATCACAAGCTTCTCAAGATAGGCACACAGATTTCGATCTTCCAAGTTGGATTTCGTTAACTTGATCATGTAGCAACAGATTCTGGCTTCGTCACAGGGATGATCTCGGATCTTGCGAGTATTATACGTCCCTCCAGTTAGGTTCTTTCTTCTCCGCCCAAGGCGTTGCGACAGCTGCATACATGGTTAGTGTAACATCGAAAAAGTACTTGCAGGATACGTACCATTGCTATCTCCAAACGGATCATCATCATCCTCTGGCTCGCTATCTGGATCAGCTCGTTGCTTGCCCGCCGCAGGAACAGGAGCAGGAGCAGGAGGCATAGGAATGCTCATTGGCCGAGGCGGCTTCGCAGGAGGTGTCTCTTCCTGTATCTTCAAGCTAGCCATCTTCGCCTGAGCAATGTCTGACTCGTCCTCACTGTCACTGTCATCATCGTCTATGCTCTTATCCATGATCTCGAAAGCCATGAGTCCCTTCACGAGCTCGTCATTGGCATTGAGCAGGCCACCGATGTACTGCTCGGACTCAACAAGGTGGATGTAGCGTAGGATTTGGCGGCGGAGCTGCTTGCAGGTTTCAAAGCGCTTCATAACCTCCGGGTTGTCGCTGACGCGCTGCTGCTCTCGATTGATAAGCTGCAGCCCATTCAGGAGATTTGCGCTTGCGACGTTGGCTGAAGCCATCGTCTCCAACATCTGACCCTTCTCTCTCTCAAGATTGAACTTCTGTCCTTTCGGAGTCTTCTTGTCCTTCTTGCTTCTACTGAAAAGCGAAGAGCCACCGGATGATGTAGTGGAACCTAACGCCACCGGTCTGCTTGACGATGAAGACGTGTGTGGAGGGTCAGGTCGTCGAGGCTGAGGCGTAGGTGACGGCGAGTGCTCTTCGCGCTCACGGGCTGCTTCAGCGTCTTGTTCGCGGATAATTCGAGATTGCTGTGGCTGAGGTCGACTCTTGCGAGGAAGCTCTTTGTGTAGGGCTGCGATGCGCTCGAGACCAGGCGTGCCTTTGTACGCGACAGCCCACTGTCGAAAGAGAACATTCACCCGCTTGCGAACATCAACATCGGCTGTCTCGTCGCGAGCCAATATACGTAAGCGTTCCAGAAGAGGCTCGTCTGCGAAAGCTTTTTGAAATCTTGAACCTGCATTCTGGATCAAAGCGTCTAGTATCACCAATGCACGGATCTGGCGATGCGCGTCTCCATACTTCCTACTCTTTTGTCAGTCTTTGTCGTCTACATGAGCCAGATAACATACAACTTCTTTCGCAGTGCACGTGCTGCTTCAGTGGGGCCGGTTGACTGGATACGAATGACTTCGATGAGGTCAACGACACCGCCGATGTCCTACAATTATCAGTATCTGAGCTATTTATATCGAAGAAAGGGTTGCTTACGTTCTCTTCATATTGTTCGCTGGTCAAACGATCTATTTGGACCGTGACAGCCGAGAAAGGTTTCGCCTATTGTCGATCCATGACTTTAGTACTTTGCGGCAGTGTTTGAAGAAACAAAGTGGACATGGGTTCTCAAAGATAGGAAGATCGGCATAGACATCAGGCGTCTTGTGATGATGGAGAGGCTTGCGGATAGGTTTGGACTTGGGTATCTCCCAACTGATAACGCTCTGACGGTACGAAGGCAGCGCTTGGAAGTCGCAGGATACCATCGATTCAACAGAGATCACGCGACAGAGTGCTTTGCCTTCCAGCAATGGCTCGCATCCAAGGTTCAGAAATCCAGAGTCCATGATGGGGAGCTTGACGCTAAAGAGTGCTGGACAGGGAGATACGAAAAACGACTTTGGTTGTTGTCGAAACGTAGGGCTTGAAGAGACGTTTTATACAGCTATGAAGCTTAGAGTTGACTTACCGGCATGTCGAAAGGTTATCTGAACGAGGCTCTACCTTCCAACGCCAGCTATAATTGGGTACCGAGAGTATATGTGAACCGCCTGGAACGGACAGTGCTGTTTCGTTTGGCCGAATGAGGAGGTGTGGTGGGAAACCACACGACTTGCGTTCGGATGTCTGATTCAGGACCAATGCTGAGGGTTGGTCGTAGAGAGCCGGTGTTACAGAAGACAGAAATAGCGCCCCGCAGCGATCGAGGATGTCGATTGTGTCAGCAACAACTGCAGAACGTTCGAAGTCGATGTCGTTGGTGTAAGAAGAAGGTCCAGTATGTTGATCGTACGCAGCCTGCTCAGTAATGCAGTGAATGGAGCTGCCTTGATCTGGAGCTCCGGAATGCCCCGCGCTAGTGGTGGGGGCATTGACCAGGCGCGACACAGCCTCACGCCTTGGGTACACCTCCTTCCTTCCGCCCTTACATGATCTACACCTCACTCTCCGCTACTCACATCGTATGGCTGAGCCATGGAAGTCATCAATACGGCGAATACGTTGTACCAAGGGTGGGATGTGGAGGCGATGAGAGAAGCTGGTGACGCCGCGTGAGAAGCCCAAATTACGCGTCCACTCATCAATCTCCATCATCCATCGCTCCTGCTTTAATTATGCACTAACAATCGGTGTACAGAAGCTATGCGCATGTCTCATCATCTCCAGGCTTCACTGCCATCAATCAATGTTCACCGCAATTGCTCCCATCTCTTCAGCCCTCAGCAATCTCTCAGACACAGCATAACCAGGCCAGGGTGCGTACTACAGGCAAGTCAAGTCGACGCAGAAACCCGACTGTAGCAACATACCTGGGCTTAGGCGATTCAGCAGAGCCTGCGCATCTGGTCAAGTACGCACCAACACCAGATGGGCAGTCTCCACCACAGCCCACGTGGAAGCGTCGAATGCCACGAAACGGCGAAAAGGTGTCAACAAGAAAGAAGGCCAACACAGATAGCAAGAAAGTGTCAAACCAAAGGCGCGTATCCGAGAACCTTCGTGTCACCAAGCATCTCAATCAGTCCGTTACAAATAAATTAGATGGCTCTACTGAAGAACCTCTGCCTACACCTGCCTCCGCCATGGTATCTGCAGCAACGGCTCCAGCGAGTGAGCGACGACGAACAGAACATCAAGAGCGAGTATCACACAATATCACTGTGGAAAGTAGTGCTGCTCTGCCGGTTCAGACGTCTCACGCACATTCTGCGGACGACGACGACGACGACGACGACTTTGGTCAGCTATGCTTTGACTTCGAGCCAAGTTCTCGCACTGCTAACGACTCGATGTGCTCAGCATATACCTCAGAGCTGACGGAGCATGCTGAAATGCAGTTCGACGATGACGATTTCGATGATGATCTTATGGATGACGACCTTCTCGACCTGACAACAGATACAATTGATGTTTCAAGCAGCCCTAAACTCCAGTCAAGTTCACCCATCAAGATTCACATTGCAGATGAATCAGTTCAACAGACACAGATGCCTGGCACATCTGCAGACACCGCTGTCGTGCTTGACGAAAAGGTCAACAGCTCGGGTCCTATGTCGAAGAAGTTTGTATCCCCAGTCACCCTGACCACGCGACTACTTGCAGCAACCGGCTACGAGGCTCGGAAGCCGATCGTCAGACCAGCTTTTCCTGCTGCAGTTCGTGACCGCTCGCCCATCATTGGTCTGTCGCCCAATACCTTGCTGAGAACCTGCTTCCGTGTCGGTGAAGCTATTAATCAGAGCTGTCAAGCGACAAAGACAGGCAACCATATCCTTATCGAGCTGTACGCCAGAGTGCTGAACTCCGATCGTGACGACATACAGCAACGGTTTACGTTTTGCGATCTGTTTCATGCGAAACTACCGTACATCCAAGCAACCTACGCTGCCGCAATATGGAAGACTGTTCAGCTATTCGAGTATGACAGTGCACGCCTATTGTCACAAGGCAGAATCTGCCGGTGCATAGGCACGATGAAGCGTAACGGGAAGGACTGGGTTATGACAGTGCTGAACATCTGGGAGGCGACCTGGGACGATGTTCAATGGGTGGAAGGTATTGTCAGTTCTTGATCTGGGGAAGTTGCTGGAAGGTTATCAGGGGTACACCATCAGGGTGGACTGAATGTGAGACAATCTTCAGAGGATTTGTTCGAGGCTGATGGGATGTACTACGACGTCGTATAATGACTTTACATCAACAAATGTATCTCTGAAACATTGAGTCTTGCAGCAAAACGAAAGATATTGTCATTGTACAGTTGCGATGGTGAAGTTTCGCGCAATGAATTAAGAGCGGTGATTGTGACATAATCGCGCTTGCCACGTGAGATTGAGTACCCGCCCCGCTTCATCCACCCCAACCTTCCTTCAAGGCCCATGGTTCATCATGAAAGGCAATTTTGCGAAACGCACAGTCTGCTTGAAGCCTCTGGCTGATATGCTGACACCCAACGATCATTTGTTCCACACCAACAGTCGACACCATGTTGACTGATAGCATTCGACGCGAAGAAGGCGCGATGCGTGAACCGCAGCCAATGCAGACACCACAGAAGTCCAAAGCGCGTTCCCTCTCCGACAGCACTCCTAAACTGGAGCCCTCACCCAAGTTTTGTGAGCCAACCAGGACATCCAAGGATGACCATACCGTTGTCGCCAGCCCCAGCACTCCACGGCGCCCTGACTTCCTCTCAAGGGGCCTTTCACTGCAGATGCCGCCGCGAGAGTCACCCATGCCCAGTCCTGCACACATCGCCGCGCGTGTGCCACTGTCACCGCAACTAGACGCCCGCAACACGTACGCTTCGCCGGCATCGCTGTTGCCTCGACGTTCACGGGGTGCTGAGTTCTCGAGAGCCTGCACCAACCTCCACCACTCGACGCTGCCTGATCAGTCATCGCCCGACTCATCGCCCACAATCACGCAGAAGGGGATCAAAATCCCCTCGAGGAAGCCTCGTGCCAATTCTATGATAATGGACTCGCCCAACATCAACGTGCTTGGCGCCTGGAGCAATGGCGGTAGAACCGCTCCCTCGAGCTCAGTAGGCAGCATCAACATGCTGGGGTCGGAGGACTCTAGCAGTTCCTCCGACGAGATCGACCCTATGGACCCTGACGACACCGATGATCCTATGATCATGACCCCGCAAGCTGCAAAGACAAACAATGTCTTTGCTGGCGGCGCGGCCGTCAACAACAGTCCTTTTGCGAACATGTTCTCTCCGGGCGGAGTACCCAACTTCATGAGCATACAGAGAGCAAGGCTGCGCAAAGGTAGAAGTCGGAAAAGCTCGAGCTCAGCAAGTGGGCATAGTTCGCTGGCAAGCCCAGGTGGTCCTGCTTCGCCACCGAACGGTAAAGGTGAAGGGTACTTTTCGAGGGAAGCCGTCCTGCGCCGGGAGGGATCCCGTCGAGAGAGTCTTTCACTCTTCACCAACGACCTCCACATCTCTTCTGGCAACGACAGTGGAGACGAAGCTAGCGCAATGCCTCAAACGCCTGGTGTCATTCGCAGAGCTGTAACGCGGAGGGGCAATCTCTTGGTGAGTGGCATATAGTGATAGGTAAGCAGCATGCTGACAAGTTACAGCCCAAGTCAAGGCAATTCGGTCGTATCAAGGCCGAGCTGTTTGACGAGTCGGCACCGGTCGACAGCGAGACACGACGCGAAGCTGAGATCATTCGACAAGTGAGGGAAAGCGACACAGATCTGGAGCGTCCGTCGATGACGGCTCAGTCCTCGCCCAGTCTTCTGCCTACTGTGCCTGGCCTGGATGGCCCACTGGAAGGCGTGCCTGAAGAAGAGAACGAAGGCAACATGAGTCTTGATGGCTCGACTACTAAGGGATTGTTTGGCACATTTGGCTCACTGAATACTGGCCGCATTTCTATCGGCACTGACTTCTGGAACCAACGTCTGGCGCAGACACCCCCTCCGCCTTCATTCCCTCGTGCGGAGTCCTCAGCAATGAGTGAGGACATGAACATGGACTCTCCCATCATCTCATCGAACAATGGCAACGGCATGCCGGCGCCTGATCAAAGCGTCAATCTTGGCTGGACATCTCGAGCGTCTACACCACAATCCATGAATCCTCCTAGTGCTGCAGACGGGCTGAAGAAGTCTAATAAGCGCCGGCGCGATGACGACTTCGATGAGCACTCCTTGAAGCGACGTGCCGTATCACCCGGACTGAGTGTGCACAACAGCCCTGTGATCTCGCAGTCCCCAAACCAGCGTGATGGTAGTCTTTGGGGCACAACGACAAAAGCGAGTCGAGAGACATCGATTAGTGGACAGTCGAATGGCGAGCGATCAAACAGTGGAGGTAGCATGAGCATGACACCTACGTTAGGCCCCAAGCGCGTCGGCTTACAGGGCATGACGGACACCAGCGATGGCCTTATGAAGATGAGCATCGAGTAGACCGGTGTTGCACGACCTTACAACTTCTTGTAGACATATTTCTTGCAGGCATCATGGCTCAGCGCGGCGTTCAGGATGGGACATCGATATTGCACTTTGGAGGCTTATTGCGCTTTGGAGGCTTTCGAAGTAGCAAACTCATTACTTGATATATATACCCTTGATTATTCGATCAACAACCAACAAGCAGCTATCAACTATCTAAACAATCAACGTACCAAAACGACGTGTGAAGTCATCCAGGCGGTACGTGCTCCTGCCGTTGGACCCCTCGACCGCCAACTTGGGCTTCCACTCCGCAGCACCCCCGAACAGCCCGCAAACAACTCCATTGCATCGCGATAACACACCAACGAACCAGACTCGAGTTGCCAAAAGAATCACAATGTCAAGATCATCAGCTCTTGGCACCTTCGTGGAGTCTGCACCTCCTGGCGAGGTACGCTCTCATCCGCGCCCCACCTCCGTACTACAATACTAACACGGCGCAGCTTGCGGACGTCACGAAAGCAATTAAGTCGATCCTCGGTGACGGCAATGTAGAGACCGAGCTTGCGCCCGCATACGAGAAGTACAACGAGGAGCAGTTCACCACCACCAAGCTCCCCGGAGGCAGCACCGAGATCCTGGTCAGCCCCTACAACTCGCTGGGCGACGGGCGCTACTACGATGTCGAGACACAAAGCTCCTTCGACTTCGACCATGCGACACAGAAGGCCAGCGCAGTGCAGAGCTACGTAGCAGAGTCTCAGCACGAGGATCTGGTGTAAGGAGCACTTACAAGCATTCCATGAGTACTACGGCAGCGCTGACGTTCCACAGCAAGAGCCTCGTCAAGAGCCTCGGAACCCACACCACTGAGCACTACCCTAAGTCCTCCTATGGCGTCTTCTCTATCGAAGATGACTCCCAGCTCGCCCTCGTAACCGTCGCGAATAAGTACTCGCCCACAAACTACTGGAACGGCCGCTGGCGCTCGTCCTACTTCTACAACCCCTCTTCCGGCAGCCTGAACGGCACAATCAAGGTCGACGTACACTACTACGAGGATGGCAACGTGCGATTGCTCACAAACAAGGACATCAGCTTGAACGTCAGCTCAGGCGCAAGTGCGAGTGAGATCGTAAGGCAAATCGCGACAGTCGAGAAGAAGTATCAGGAAGACTTGAACAAGGCGTTCGGCAATCTCAGCGAAGGTGCTTTCAAGAGCTTGAGGAGACAACTGCCTATCACGAGGCAGAAGATTGAGTGGGAGAAGATCAGTGGGTACAGGCTGGGTCAGGACATTGGTGGTGGTGCCAGGCGGTGAGCAAGAGCTGCATGCACGTAACTGCTCAGCGGGCAGGCAACCATGTGGCTTTACGACAAAGCTGCAGGCGGCCGGATGAATAGAGGACACAACAAACCATACGCAGATCTCGATGTCCTGCAGGAGGGTGCCCTAACCTCCTACCTGCACGCGTGACGTTTGGTGCGCACCATACATTCATCCTGGCCATTATTGAGACGATCTCGAGCCCTGCATGATATCCTCCGGACCTGCTTCCACCGATCGTAGACTCGAAAATGCAAGACGGTCCTCCTCCCACTACTGGCGCGTTGGTCTTTCCTCGGCAGCAACATTCCCGCGCTCTTTCCTCGCACCTTCTCCCATATCTCAAGCACACGTCGTCTGGTTTCCATCATTCTATCCACCCTCAAATTTGATACTTCCATTGTCCACTTTGCCTTATCGCTTCACTCCATACCTTGCTACCTTTGTTCGAAGTTCTTTTCGCACCGTTCAAATGCTCACAAAGAAGACAGGCTTGCTGATCGCTCTAACTATAGCACCCCCTACGTTGTCGATCATCTGTTTTCACCGGGCTGGGGTAAGTGCGTATGGATGTAACCTCCTTTGTGACGCTCCTACGTCTGCTGCACTTACAGAGTCTTTAGCATACACACTACTCTGATCTACGAGTCAGTGTATTATATCGACAGTCACTCCATCTAAGAAGACGCAACATCACCTGCCGAGGAGGTCACTCGCACTGCTCTACAGTACAACAAGATGCTGTTCATCACATCAGCACTTCTAGCTTTCACAGCCTTCAAGGTCACCGCGTACCCTCGTCACGAGCCCGGAGGGATACACCATGTTGAGTCCACTGACAAAATCGCCCTCACACGCCGCAGCTGGACGCACCACGTCGAACTTTCCAATCCCAAGCGCGGAGTAACACACCACGTCGCAGCCCTCAGCAACACAACCCTCATTCCGCGCGCCGAGAAGGGAATATGCGCCACCCTCGAGCTTCCCACCGAAGCCAGCTATAAGATCGGCTACGAAGCCTTCTGCACCAAATACGTCCCCTACGAGGTCTATCTCACCATGGGCACTACGAGTTCTGACCTCGTTGCCACCTACATGCTCAAAACGCACCTCGGGACCGAGATTCCCTGGATCTTCAAGATCAGGACCGAAGCCTGGGGCGGCAGTAAGCCGTATCTTCTCAAAAGAGATAAGTGCATGGCCGGGTTCCGGAACATGCTGGAGGGCGAGAGAGCGAAGGTGGGGACGAATTATTGCGTCGTTGATAGGAGTGGGGGGAACGGGGAGAGTAAGAAGCTTAGTGGGCAAGGATTTGTGCTGGTTACAGGAGGTGCGATTACTTGGGCGAAGGGCGACGTTAATGATGGTTCGAGGTATGAGGCGAGGAGGAGGAAAGGGGACTTTGATCCGAACAACCCAACGAAGGTCTGATGTGTGGGTTCTGCTTCTAACTTTCCAAATTTTATCACATGTCTCCTTTGGTTTGATTGTTGCTTCCGAAGGAAGCATCTAAGATTCGTTGTGGTGGAGGTCTGGGACCATGAAGGTGAAACCACTGATTGGCCGAATTCAAAGGTTGCTGTAATGGGACAGATCTGCTGTGGAAGATTTACATAATCAGGCATTGTGAGTAGGAGAGGATGGAGCAGTAACGTAGGCAGGCTGGAAGTATGGAAGGCGGCGTGGGTGGAGGAAAGAGCGGAGAGGCAGGAGCAAGAAGCAAGAGTAGTGTTGACTGCCAACGGAATGAGTAGCAACGGAAAGAGCAACAATGAGAATAAGGAGATAAATGAAGGGAAAAAAAATAAGGAGAGAATAATTTAGATTGCGTGCGTGTAGAGACGATGTGTGCTGCTCCCCTGCGGAAGCATTCTCAGCGCGTACACCTTCAAGATCTTTACGCCTGATAGATCTACGTTGGCGTTTAGATGTTTCGGTATAACAACAACTAGTCTGTAACTGACCATGAATTTGAGTCGCATACTCTGATCATGCGATACACCACGCTCTTAGAAATGATAGAAACACACGGAACAGACTCGAGAGTAGGAGAAGGTTGTGGCTGTAGAACGTTCCATGGGCTCGGGTGCGCGAGTCAGTGGCCATACCTTTTCCGCTCTAGGGTTCTCCACATTTTATCGCCCCGAGGACGGCCACCTTTACCGTAGTTCTCCCCATATCCTCACCTGTCAGTCAACATCTGTGGTTGTAGGAGTCTGTCTGCCTGCAATTGCTCGCCGGTTCTTCGTAAGTTCCCCTTCTGTTGTGCCCCGCTTGACTCGACGGTGTTGCTCTGCTCGATGGTCTGTCTGCGCAAGTGTGCAACGGTTCATTGGCTGTTCCTAGCAACAGCCCACTGAATCCTTGGGTCGCTGCCCCCTTCACCATTTTCTGAAGCTCACACCGATACTTCTCCTTACGGGGGTTTCCCTCCAATTTCACTCCCCCCTCTCTAACACTCCACCCGCAGACTCAACCCTCTCCGATACATTACCCTCCCTGACCCTCAAAGTGGCTTCGCACAGCTAAGCTACTCCACCCACCCTCTACGCAATACACCCTTTGGTCAACTCGAAACGGTTTATTCTGAAACATGGCATCCGAAGCAGTTGCTAGCTCTGCCACCGAGGGCCTGACCCCCGCGCAGCAGCTCGCCCAACAGCACGAGAACAACGACCACCACGTCACCGTCGAGGATGTCCCTGATGAGGAGGACATCCCACACCCTCCCCCTTCGGCTGCCAAGTCTGCCTCTGCCGACGCCCCTCTGAGCGAGAAGGCTGCCGGTAAGCAGAAGGCTGAGGAGCCCGCTCCTGCCCCCAAGAAGCCCGCACTCAATACTCAGTCCGAGGAGGCCTTCCCAGCTCTCGGTCCCGTCAAGCCGCGCGCGCAGGCTCCTGTCCCTACCTGGGGCAAGAAGCCAGCTGCTGTCTCTTCCTATGGTGCCAATGGCAGCAACGGCAACTCTGGTGCATCCACCCCCTCTGGTCCTGCTATCCGTGGTCCTGCTATCGCAACTATGAACCTCCCCGGCAAGCACACCGAGCGCATCTCCTTCTCCACCGCTCAGTTGACGCCGCGCCAGCAGCTCAAGAAGCCTGTCGGCGAGATCATCCGCGAGATCAACAGGCGCTCCAAGGCCAAGCTCGAGCAGAAGACAGGACCCCACGGACAGATCATCTTCGAGTCTACCGGTCCTGTTGACGCTGTAAGGGAGTCTCTCAGGGATATTGCCAACGAGGTTGGAAGCAAGGTACGCGGAAATGACTGGTTTTGTGGAACACTACTAACAAGCTGAAGCAATCCGTCGACGTCCCTGTCCCTGCATCCGTCCGCGCCCACATCATCGGTCGACAAGGATCCAAGATCCAGGAAATCAGCAAGCGCACCGGCGCCCGCATCCAGGTCCCCAAGGCAGAGGCTGGTGAGGATGAGGATACCGTTGTCAACGTTCACATCGAGGGCAATGCTCTGACCGCCGAGATGGCCCGTCGCGAGATCGACGCCATCGTCAACGAGCGCACATCGACCGTCAACCTGCGTCTGAAGGACATTCCCGCCGAGTTCTACCCTTTCCTTGCTGGTCCCCAGAACAGGCACACCGACAACCTGACACAAGGCAAGGACATCGACATCAAGATCCCTGAGTACTACACATGGCAATCGCAGGCACCTCCTCAGAACGCCCGCAACCAACCCGGCAACTTCGTTCCTCAGGCCGACTTCCCCATCCGCATCTCGGGAGAGCGTGTCGCGGCCCAGCAAGCACAGGCCGAGCTTGAGCGTCGCGTACAGCAGCTCCGCCAGCGATTGGCCGTGGACCAGCGCTCTATCGAGCGTGGCCGTCATCAGTTCCTTGTTGGCGACCGTGGTGGCTCTCTCCACGACTTCTTGGAAGAGACTGGCTGCAGTCTGGTCCTGCCCCCTAGCTCGGACGACAGCGAGGAAGTCTACATCGTTGGACCCCCTGACAGGATTGAGCAGGGTATCAACAAGCTCGAGGATCTTGCTGCTAGCATGACCATGGCTACTGCTGATGCCACTCGTGAGCACCGTGGCCCCAACGCACAGGCACACGCCCACAACCTGACGCGCTACCTGCGCCAGCGTAAGGCTTTGGCTGAGCTGGAGCGCCTACACGAGGCTAGCATTGTCGCTCCTAAGGACCGCGATGGCCCGACCGGCTACGAGATCTACGCTCGTGACGGCAAGAACAGCATGAAGGCTCGTGGCGACATCATGAGCGTTTTCGGTGCTCACCCTCCCAGCAGGTTCTCTACCCTCGACGTTGACCCCTTCTACCACGACTTCCTACGTCAAAAGCCAGCTCCTCAGATTCGCCAGGACACTGGTGTACACATCGTCTTCCCTGATGAAGAGGAGGAGTCACCCGAGCTCATATTGGTTTACGAAAGCCGTGACCCGTACGAGTCGTACTCCATCCCTCGCGGCAAGCCCCAGAACGACGAGATCAATGCCTACAAGAAGGCTCTACAGGAGGCTTCCGATCTCATCCACCGTCTCACAAAGAACCAGCCCCAGATTGCATCTCGCGACCTTGAGGCTAGCCAGAAGTTCCACCGTAAGATTGAGCAGTTCGTTAAGGAGGAGCAGGCGGGTCTTGCGCACGACCAGGTTCCTGTCCAGATTCTGCTCGGTGAGCGACGGCCTGATGCTGCCAGCCGCTCGAAGGACAGCTTTGCCATCCGTGGACCTTCCAGCGCTGTTGACGACCTGAACGCTAAGATCTTGGCCTTCATCGAGCAGGCTGAGAAGGATGAGCTTGAGCGTGGCCACATCACCACATTCGACTACCCCCAAAAGTACGCCAGCCACCTCGTTGGCAAGGGTGGTGAGAACATCCAGAAGCTGCGCCAGAAGTTCGATGTTGATGTCCAGATCGACGATGGCAAGGTCACACTCAAGGGACCTTCACAGAAGGCCGAGGCCTGTAAGAAGGAGATTCTTAGCCAGGCTAAGAAGCTTGAGGACGAGGCAACTCATATTCTCAAGATCAGGCCTGATTTCCACCGCGAGCTCATTGGGGCTCAGGGCAAGCAGGTCGAGCGTCTGCAGACACGCTACGGTGTTCGTGTCAACTTCCCCAGAAGGGCTAAGAATGATGACAATGCCGATGCCGCATCCCAGCAAAATGCGAAGGGTGGTCAGAAGTCTGATGAAGTTATTGTCCGAGGACCCAAGAAGGGTGCTGATGAGGCTCGCGACGAGATTCTCAGCCTTCTCCAGTACATCGTTGACAACTCCAACACCGACACTATCTCTGTTGCTCAGAGCCAGATTCCTCAGCTGATCGGCTCTGGTGGTCGCGAGATGGAGAACCTTCGCCTCACCACCGGTGCTCAGATCGATGTTCCTGGTGCTCGTGAGGGTGCTGATCCCTCCGGTCGCGCTGAGATCAAGATCAAGGGCACTAAGCAGCAGGTCCAGGAGGCCAAGAAGATCCTCCAGGAGCGCGTCAAGGTCTTCGACGACACCGTCACTGAGACCCTTGACGTTGACCGCAAGCTTCATCGCAACCTGATCGGTGGTCAGGGTGCCAACATTCGCCAGATCGTCACCTCGGCTGGTGGACCTGATAACTCTCGTGACCTTGCTCGCATGGTCCGCTTCCCTAAGCAGGACACTGACGGTGACTCCAACACCATCCGCGTTGAGGGCCCTAAGAGCGTTGTTGAGAAGATTGTTGCCGCCATCAAGGCTCAGGTCTCATCTCTTGAGAATCAGACCACTGAGATCCTCGAGGTCTCTCCTGACAAGCACCGCCTATTGATCGGCCGTGGTGGCGAGACCCGTCGCTCGCTCGAGTCACAGTTCAACGTCCAGCTGGACATCCCCAAGCAGACCACACAGGGTGCTGCCCGCAGTCAGGTCAAGATTACTGGTGAGTCCTCAGCCGTCGAGAAGGCCAAGGAGCACATTCAGGAGCTCGTCAAGGGTCAAGAGGGTGAGACTGTCGACGTCCCCCGTCACCTCCACCACGTCATCTCCGACAACGGTCAATTCTTCCGCCGTCTCCGCAACAACCAGAAGATCACCGTCGACCACGGCAACCAGCAGCCTCCCCCCAAGCCTGCCCAGACCGAGGCCGGAAAGTCAAGGAAGGGCGCTAACGGCGCTTTGCCCTTGATCACCGACGACGCTACTTCTGGTGCTGACGAGCACTCCTGGGAGCTCATCGACAACAACGCCGTCGAAGAAGGTACCGACACCTCCGCTACCATCCCCTGGATTCTTCGCGGCCCTGCCGAGAACATACCCAAGGCACGCCAGCAGCTCGAGGATGCCATCAAGGCCGCATCCAAGCCCAGCTCTACCGGCTTCCTGATCCTGCCCGACCCGCGCAGCTACCGCCTCGTTGTCGGCTCCGGCGGCAGCACGATCAACAACCTGCGCAAGGAGACTGGTACCAAGATCCAGGTCCCCCGCGATCAGGCTAAGGATGAGGCGATCGAGATTACTGGCTCGAGGGAGGGGTGTGAGCAGGCGCGCCAGATGATTCTGGATATCATTGCTAAGGGCGGCAACGGCCGCGGTCGCCGTGATGAGTAGAGAGTGATCGGCTGAGGTTGATATATCATGATATGTTTGTTCTTTTAGCATGGGTGGAGCGATTTGCGTTCAAGATACACAGGTCGTGGGTGAACAATGTGTGACCTTTTAGTTAGGGAATAAAAGTTTGACCTACCCATCCCACTTAACAACGATCATGGTCTGTATGTTTGCTCTAGTTTTGCGTTTTGTGATCTCTACTGCCCTTTTTAACAAAAAAAAAATACTCCTTCCGAGGCGATTTGTGGACGGTTTGACAGCTTGTCACTTCGCCGTCGCATAATTTCTGTGGTATGACACGTACATAGTAAACATGTAGTACACCATACCTTGCCAGTTCTGAGGACATAGAGATCAGATAGGGATAGTCGGAGAGCTCGACTCAAACACACTTGTCTCAAGAACATGCACTACGATAAGGCGACGCGGATGTGGGAAGAGCGGTGCATACGCTATAGGTGGGGCTGTTCCAGTGCTTTTAGACCTGGTGAAGTTCGATACGAGGAAAGTAGGCTGGCGAGCGGTGAGTAAGCGGAGCTTCCAGTGAGGGTTGTAATATTTTCAAGGGAATCTCTGGCTATGGCGACTACGATGATGTACTGACTTGCGAGCCCGGGTTTCGTTGTTATCTCGAGCTGTTTCAAGGACTTGTAGTCTTGTCTGTCTCACTGATTTGCTGTTGATATAGTGCAAGCGAGAGCAGCTAAGTTTGTCTTTGCTATCTCAACCTAGTCCGACTAACAGATTGTGCTATAATGTGGCATACTGGATGGTGCGGACAGCTTCCAGGGCCCTGTCGAGAATATTACTTTCTGTTAGCAAACACAGTTAGCTCTTCACATGCTGGGTCACGTAAGCACTCGTTAGGTATATAGTCTCATCGCCCCTCAATCCATAGCAATGAACCAGTTCTCTCCTTTCTGTTGCTTGCCCACACTTTCGAATGACAGTACTGCACGAAAAGAGACATTGCAGTTGTTGAAATTCTTTGAAACACAAAGTCGTGAGTCTGAAAGTAAATATCGTATCCTTGGTCGTGAAAGCTTCTCAGCGCAGTTATAGCAACAGCTACGAATTCGGTTACCCCCGTATTTTACCTTCGTAAAAACACCTCATTCCATAATTCAAGGGTCTAGAAAGTCTGACTTGGATACCTCACCTGTTCACAATCGTTCAACTCTTCCATCCTAGCTGTCTCCCCGATCCTGTACGCTTGATGTTCCTTCGACGTAATCTCTCCAAAGTAGTCGTAAACGTCTGACGCGGTAGTGGAAATCCGTCTGTCTGTGACTGGTGCAAGCACCCGGATGATCGATTGAATCCTCGGAGAGTACAGACTGTTTGTCCCTGGAAACGGTGAAACCAACCGACCTAATATGATAGTACTGTATCGTAGTACCTGTTCGCTTGGTATCCATGAAGTGAATAGTCCTGGAGCAATGCAAAAACCGACGTCTCGGGAGCGCTTTGAAGGAATGCCCAGTTCCCGCTGGCTGTGCCTGAAGACAGATGAGCAATGATTTTGGGAGACTGTAGCCTTGACCACTCATCGCCGTGGTCTTCTAGGGCGGGATGCAAGACAGTTCCTGGGCTTATGACGTCGATATATACATGAACCATATCTGGCGGTTTGCCAGCATGTGGTTTCTACATTGTAACTTCCCATCTCATATACTCCAGCATGACTCAAGCAGGTCAGTCACTGAAAATCGCAGATCGAGCCCTTCTTGAGACGATGGGGTCTCACAATCAGAACAATATTCCTCATCTGCACGACTGTCTGCACACTTCTGCAAGCCGCTTTGGCATGCCGGATGAGAACGTTCAAGAACAATGTCCCTGACGTTCTGGTCACAGCGTGGATAGTTGTATGTATGATAGGCGCATTTTGGATGGGACTTACGAAGAAAGAGTGTGGTATCGTAGCGCTCCCTTTCGCGTGGCTGAGCGCGACGACAGTACAACTTGTTTGCTTGAAAAAGGGAACCTATCCGGCTAATATCAGTAGAAAGAAGGCGAACATTGCGCAGATAGGGTCGATGGCCGTATTCTTTGTGGTGTATGTGAGGGTCTTGGGTGTGGCGTTTGATATGATTGCTATTATGCTGTTTCTGGAGGCTGTAAGGATGGTCTGGAGGTGGCTGCGTGCACGATCTAGGAAGGTCAAGATACAGAGAAAGGATGCTAATGCATTGGCATGTAATGGGTTGGCCATCTAGGCGGTATATGATACACCAAACGCCGGTGAAATGTAAGTCAAACACGAGCACTTCAATCAAGAGCTCATCGCCTCCTTAGTGAACCTTGCCACACCCGCACCCACCCTTCTTCAGACCCATCCTCTTGTTCCAGCTCCAGCTCATCTCCGGCTCCTTGGCCATCTTCCTCATCTCCTTAACATCACGGTCACTGAACCCCTTGTCCAAGATACTGAACTCAGCGCTCAACCGCGCGTACTTGATCGCCATGTACTTGTTGCCAAAGCTACTGTATACTTCCGCAGCGTGCTTGTATGCGGTAGCTTGGTATGCCCACAGGCGCTCCTGGTCGTACATGCTCACAACCGCCTCAGCCATCTCAGGTGTTGCAGAAGATGATGGTGTCCAGTCGTTAAGTTTCTCTACAAGCTGGGTGATCTGATGCAGCCTTGCGTCCGACTCAGTGGTAAGTGATGAGTGTGCTGTGCATGCGGAGCAGCTGCACTTGAAGCCCCAGTTCCTCTCGAGTCGCTTCATGCGGTGTGCTCGGTTCTTTTCACTGTCGATGTAGGAGATGGTGATCTCCTCGCCAGGCTGGATCGTGCGCATGGCATGCACGTAGTGTGTCAATGTCTCTTCGTCCCAGAAGTAGGCTGCATTAGGTCTGCAGTCGTGGTTCAACATGGCGATCTCCGGGAACAAAGCAGCTTGCGAGATGTCGTCGACAACAACTTCGAAGTTGTTGGTATTGATCCTGTCATCGACGGGATCGCCCTTGAAATGGTCGAGAAGTTCCCAGAACAGCTTTCGTGATGCCTCTGGTAGTGTCTCCACACCACGGTAGAGCAGCTCGAGGCGTTCTGATTCGACCAGCTTGTATGCGTCCGGGTCGGTGATCAAAAGTGGCGTGGATGCAAAGATCTGGTCGCCACGGAAGAGCGTCTTGTTGGCGACTAGACCGCGGCCCTTGATTGGGAACTCGTGTTGCTCGAAAGGCGGATTTGCGTGTTGATTCGAACGATAGAGAGACTTTGGGTTTTGGAATGCCTGCTTTTGTAGCATATGGTAGGCTATTGGCTCGGTTGTAACAATGAAAATGCCACGGCCATTGGCAAAGCTTTGATCGCTGAACAGGCAGTAAGCGTCTGTGGTGTTCTCGTTAGAGAAACATTCCGGCCAGAAAGTCCATGGAAAGTTCGGTTGTCTCGATGCTGTGAGTCGTGCTTCATCGAGCGTAGTCGTGATGTTGGATTTGAAGGTAACCTCTGAAGGTGCTGTTGCTGCAAGGTGGCATTCGCCATCGCGCAGTATTGAATCTGATGGACATGCGTCCCGCAATAATGCTTGTTGTGGGACATGATCCAACTTATTGTGGTTAAGAGCTACTGCTCCGCTGAACAGACCAAAGCTGACAGCGCCTTTCATATTGAAAATCATTACGACAATGCTGTAGGCGATGAGTATGTAAAGAGGTACGAGGGATGTCATGTCTGGTGCAGAGGGACCAAAGGTTGGAGTTTATTGAGAAGTCAAAATTAGCAACGCGACGCGAGAACCTTGGAATATGAATGTGAAACGCGAGATCGTGGTGAGGCGAAGGGTGAAACGTATCTGCGCGGGAAGCTGTCTCTTGTCTACAGAACGGGTGAGAAACCTAAAGCTTATATTAGAAACATGCCTGATGAGTGTATCAGGCCACAAGGGGATCGGTATGCCCTTGGCAAGTCATTTGGGGATGCATCCTGCTGTACTGCATCGAATTGTAGGTGTGACACGCGTTGAAAAGCACCCTCATCATCACTGCTGGGTCACGTTTCTACGCATCGTTACACATCTAGGGCCAAGTCATGATAGTAGATGTTTGCTGCATGCGCTTGCAGAGCAGCAGCGCAAAGCCTGGTGTGGCTGATATGAAGTGTGAAGAGTGTGAAGATCAAATGTGAAACCACAACAGTGCTTGACCCTTTCAGGTTTCTCGGCTACCGAAGTCCGAATCCCGGCAACCTCAGACGACTCAAGCATCTCCGAACGACTCCACAGCCTGTCCATGAGAAACGCAACAACAAACGCACTTCACCTATTGCACAAGAAGTCACAATCATTCAATTTCAGACGACTACTTCACATGATGAAAGCGCTCGCTTCACTTAGTGAAGGGCGGTAGCAACCACGATTTTCAAATCAACAGTATAGCATAGCAAGAACGCCACAAATGCAGAAAACTAACACTCATCAGCTCAACCGACCACAGCGGACCCGGGCCCCTTGTAGTTGTACACGTTGTTGCACTTGCTGGCAGCATCGCTTGCGGATATATCACCTGGGTCGCCATTGCAGTTGCCGCTGGATGGGGAGTTGCTGTTCTTACAAAGTCCCTGTGCCGCTGACGAAATGGACTGCTGACTCTGAAGGACATCTGGTGCCTCGATGATCGTTGCAGCCATACCGCCAACAAGATGCAAGTCGATATGGCAGTGGAAGAACCAGACACCAGGGTTGTTAGCCTGGAAACGGAGGACGATGTAGCCGTTGGCTGGCACAACAGCACCATCGCGCTTCGCAGGTACTGCGGGCATTGAGCCTTCGTTGCCGTCCCAAGTTCCGGTTCCTCGAGCAACAATCTGGAAGACGTGGCCGTGGAGATGCATAGGGTGGGGGTAAGGATGGGTGTTTTGCAAGTGGATTTGCACGACTTGGCCAAACTTGACAACCCACGGGTTGACACCTGGGCCGTATGTTGCGGGATCCAGGGCTGCGTTGCCGGTCGATAATGCAGTGAACAGTGAGGGAACCTTCGCTGGCGTCCAGGGCTGAGGACCAAGACCAGTGCGGGTGCCAATGCTGGAGAAGTAGGTCTGGTTCGTCGAGAGTTCGATCTTATTATCAACTGGCGAGAGAAGCTTCTGGCCATCTAGCGGCTTCAAATTGAAGTCGTCGAAGGTGGCAGCTGGAACCCAGCTGAGCGTAAGGAGATTGGTGATGATGCTGAGCAGGCTGCCAAGAAGGCTCTGCACGATGTTACCAATGATTGTGATTTGATTCACCGGAGGAATCGCGCCAGTCAGCATGTCCGTTGTGAGCTTGACGATATATTGCGCGTTCGCTGAAGTGCCCAATGTTGCAACCTTTCCTTCTACGACAACGCCGTAACTCTGGCCGGCGCAGATGACGATAGTGTCTGCCTGTGTGGACTGGACTTGCACACCATCGACTTCGACTACATTGAGCTTGTAGCCTTCTATATGGAATTGACCACATGCCAAGCCACCAATATTGACAATCCTGAGTAGGTATCGCTTTCCAGCAGCGATCTGGATGTTGGGGCCCTGTTTCTTGTCGTCGAACAAGATCGAATCTGGGGATGGAAGATCGCCATTCGTGTTACTCGGGCTGAGGTAGTCCTTGATGATATCGGGCATCTGTCGGTGGTACCTATGTTGATTGATTAGCTTTGTTGGTTGTGCAGCGTGAGAACACATACCAGTCAGAAATGCTGTAGGTCATTTGCGAGTCGATCTGCAGACTTGACTCCCACGCTTTGTCATGAATGACCATTTTTCCACGGAGACCATCAGGATATTGACCCTTGTTGTGCGAGTGATACCAGTGAGTTCCTGCCGGGTTGGCGACGAAGGTATATGTGTAAGAGTCTCCGGGTTGGATGGGGCACTGCGTAATGGACACGGCGCCATCAACTCCGTTGGTTCCTTGTTGGAACATGCCATGAAAATGGAGCGAAGTGGCTTGATTGCCAAGTGAATTTTTGGCATTCACAACCACTGTGTCGCCTACGTCGGCTTCAATCATGGGTACACTAACACTATATCAGTATCTGAGACAAGTTGGGACGGGCGAAGCTTACGGCCACTGGCCATTGATACCGATGACCTGTCTGGAATAGCCATCTGGTGCTGCCTGCATTGATCAGGGTCTGCTTGTATGTCTCCAGCTTCACAGCACTTACCGTAACCCAACCGATGTCGAAGTTGTAAGTCACTGTCTTTGCAGACGCCACTGTGACGCACATCGTCAACAGGAATACCAAAGGGTTGAACATTGTGCTTTGCAGAGTTGAAAGTTTGCTGGATCCGAAAGAAGGGAACCTGAGAAGTATAATATACTGTTGAGCATCGGAGCTGAACACCATGCAGCTGCCGATAAGCCAGACGCCCCATAGTCCTATACTTTACCATGATCACATCTCGTTGACAAGCTTTCTAAGATTGGGATCTCTAGTGCTTGTTTCTTGTCGATCTATGCCGAACTGCGCTCCTCCGCGAGAATAGGCTGTAAAGCTAGGCTATAAAGAGTATTGTGCCTTGAACTTCGATTGCAAACTGCATGTCGTGGCATGGGAACTTGTGGTTCCGACGAGGTCTTGTTAGTACAGAGTGTACTGGAAATACGGTACCTAGATTGACTATGATGATCTACATCCGAAGGATGAGGGACCGAACCGTAGCGCTACAGCTGTCCGTCCAAAGGTGAACCTGGTTGATGGATTCGTGACTTAGGCAAAACAGAGTTCAAGTTACACCAGAAAATGAACTTCATAGTGTCTTCAGTCCCTAATGACCAGAACATCCAACTCGCGTGTTCAAGTCACGATGCAGGGCTGATGTCGAAAACTGTGCCTGGCAGGAAGGCGCTAGTGCGGGGTAAAAGGGAAGCGGACAGTGCAGATCATCGCCACCTATGGCTACCAACACTAGTCCTGAACTTCAACGAATCAATACCGGACTTCTCGTGGAGACCCGACATGTCGTCGACGGCGCATCACAGTTGAGCCACGCTCAGCTGAAGATTGTACTGGTTCACCAAACGGGCCCTAACATCCCTTTCGGAGTCTCTTCTTCCGACGCCTCGCCAGCTCGCCAGCTGAATAGTGTCGCCTTGCCATGCATCCTCGTCAATTAGCTGCACGCCTCAATTCTACTCGACATATCGACGGACATAATTGACAGCAGGTTGCCACCGTCTCTTCTGCTTCATTCTTGACAATTGTTGGTATGCTACATTTTTAGGAGTCGACGGTCGTTCCTGACGTCATTTACTTTGGAACTGTTCTATCAGCTGCACAACAGTCTGTCACTGCGTTCTGTTTCGAACCGCCCGAGGTCTCTTAACTGTGTCCAGGTATGGAACGCAGGTCATGTTACTGCCAGTCTTTCAACAATCTGCTGCAAGGCCTACTTGAGTGAGAGCGCTTTCATCTTGTGTAAACAGGGCGGTCGCATGGAGGCATTATTCGGTCGTCGAGTATGCCCTTGAAGTACACATTCGCGGCTTCAGAACGTTTACACCAGGTTATGTGACAGGTAGGTCTTCGCTTCAGCTACGGGGTCGATACTCTTACATGCTTCTCTATCGCTAGCGATGTCGAAAGACCGTGGCAGCTCCTAATGTTCGTCAGTACGCAACTGCTGTCAAGAATCAAAGAAGCTCCACTGCAATCACTGACCAAACCTACCAGTTACCTTGGATACAAATGGCTGCATTGCGATGTTAACCGATGTCAAACAGCAGGTTGTGAAGAGCAACGAATTGGTATAATGGGTTCGCGGCTGTGGGCCAAAGGCCAAGATATCGGTGAGCTGCACCAGCGGGAATTTTACCTATCAGCCTATGTTTGGACGAGTAAGAGTTGTGAAGTTGAAACCCCATAAGGCTGAAGAAGAGACGGATGTCGGCGGATCCTGCCAGCCCGTTCTGTGCAACAACGCTTCGCTTTTGAGTAAGTCATCATTACTTCCGCCAAGGTCTGGGTAAAGTGGACGTTGGCGGAACTGCGGTGAGACCGCCCGCAGGTGAAGATGACATTTTTGGAGATTCTGCGCGTTTTCAACCCGTTTGGTATTTTGAAGCGGTTATCTCGACAACACCGAGTTCACCGACTCCGATCTTTCAGGCACCCAAGGCAGTGCACTTCAGCCTCAGGCCACGTCAAGATAAGCACGTCAAAGCCACGCCAAAGCCACGCCTGAATCTGCCAAACACGCGAGTCTCACTTCAACGCGACTGGTCCACTTCCGTATACAACGTGTGCGTGCGCGCCTCATTGGTCAGCAACTGGCGTTCCGGTGAAGCTAAGCCCACGATAGCCGGCCGTAACAATCTCGCCGGTCGAATTCCGCTCCGACAGAACATTCCTATCCGACACTGGCTTCTGCTCTTCGACTCGCGCTGACTACCTATTCCTCCAAAACTGCTTCGCTGCAGTGGTTGGTGAAGTGCGAACGGGCCAATAGTTGGAGGGCTTAGACGTCACAAAACCCCTTCTTAGTAGACACTAATCCCATTCCGGTCCTAAATGCGAAGAGTCGGGGGGATGTGCTCTCCCGACACCCTGCCAAGATCTCCGACCTGGAGTGCGAGCGTATGAATCGCATCGAGTTTTGAACTCTTTTGGGATAGTTGAGGTACCGTCGTCAGCCTGTACGAGTCTCCACAATATGGTTGCAGTACATCGAAATTAGCATGGTATGCATTGCTCTGACTGCACTGCCAAACAACATCTCGATAGATATAAGGCATCTAGACCTCCCTGTGTCAGTGTCTCTTCATTACAATCAAAGCAACACAACAGTCTCACTGTCGAGACAATCCTCAATAGCATCCCCACCACTCCACGATCGACCTGTATACCCCTTATCGAGCATCCTAGGCCACCATCATAATGACCGTCCCACCTTCCAACCCCGACACTTGTACCAAAATTGGCCAAGTTGTCTACTGGGAAGGTATTCCGATCGAATGTACTATCGAAGGCACTCTGTACGGCTATTATCCCTCGCTCGGCGCCAACGCCTTCTTCGCCGCCTTCTTCGCTCTTTGCTTCATCGTCCAACTCGTCCAAGGCATCCGCTACAAGACATGGACGTACATGATCGCACTCTGCCTAGGCTGTCTCGGTGAAGCCGTCGGTTACGGCGGCAGAATCATGATGTAAGCCACCTTCACCCTCCATCCTGGATGTACATAAGACAGTGGCTGATCGTGTAACACAGGTACAACGACCCCTTCGCAGACGCCGGCTTCATGAGCCAGATTTGCTGTCTGATCATCAGCCCTGCATTCATCGCTGCTGGTATCTACATCACGCTCAAACACGTCGTCATCAACTTCGGAGAGCCATGGTCCAGGCTGCGCCCGGCGTGGTACACATATATATTCATCTGCGGCGATCTCATCTCGCTGGTACTCCAAGGCGCTGGTGGTGGTCTTGCCTCAGCCGGTGACCCAGGTTCCACCGAGCAGGACGTCGGTACTGATCTGATGATTGCGGGTGTCATCTTCCAGGTCGTTATACTCGCTTTTTTCGGATATTTCCTTGTCGAGTACTCTATTCGCACGCACCGCCGCCGCGATCAGCTCTCGGCTGAGTCGATGAGGTTATTCAACTCAATGCCGTTCCGCTGCTTTATGTTTGCTGTCGGTATCGCATACCTTGGTATCTTCATTCGATGTGTCTATCGTATCCCTGAGCTCACTGGCGGTTGGCGGAGCGAGCTGATGCGCAACGAGGTTGAGTTCATCGTGCTTGAGGGTGTTATGATCGTCATGAGTGTTGCTGTGCTCACTATCTTCCATCCTGGATACTGCTTCCCTGCGCTCGGCAACACCATTGGCAAGAACAAGAAGGCACCGCGTGGTAAGAGCGTGGACGAGACGTCGGATATGGAGATGGTCGCTGGCCGTTAAGCTGCATTGAGCAGCCATATTCTTAGGATTTGTTTTGTATAGAGACGTTATTCTTAGACGAATGCTAGAATCGTAGATCACGATGGGACACATCCTATATTTGATTGTTCGATACCAAGTGGAGTTTTGCTCAATGTTAGCGCATCCTATATGGGTCTCGTCTTTTTTTCTATACCGGAAGTGTCTCCGCCACCATCTGTGACATAGCCATCCAACTTCAATAGTGTTCAATGAATCAGATCCTGCATTGAGATCCTGAGAGCAAAACGCATCTGATCTACTTGCAGTACTCGATCTCGATACCCTTGGCCTTCCACCCATCGATTCTCCCGAGGGCGACTCGACGCTTGCCCTCGTACCACACATGCACTCTTGGAGTCGCACTGTCTTCTGGGGCGTAGAAGTCGTCCCCACTATATCCAGTCTCCCGTACTACGAGCCTCTGTAATCCTGTGAACTTCGATATCGTAAAATCCGTGACGTACTCGCACTGTCGCGGCCAGATGCAAGTTTTGATAGCTCCCAATTGCCGTTGCGACAAAACATCGAAGGCCTTGAGGCAGAAGTTTGCACTGATACAGAAGTCATTCATCCTGAAGATAAGAAGATCGGTCTCGTCGTGTATCTGGCGGCATGTTATTGTCAGGTGAAGCAGCTTGGGAACTATATTGGCTTCAAGGCCGTTGTGTCCGAACTTTCGAAGGTGATTCCTATCGGCGCTGTACAGACGAGGGTACAGGTAAGAGATGTGCTTGCCTCCCAGAGCGTGTTCGTAGATGCGGTTGCGAACCTCTCCCGGTAAACGCAGGAAAGGTGATTCTCGCTGATTGCGTAGAGAGCTGGAGAAGTTGTCAGTAGTGTTTGGACCAGCTTAAAAGGATCTCACATGTCGTTCATCGTCCGATCAGGCACCTCCGTTAATTAAATGCACGTCAGGTTGACTTTTGGAGTATTACGAGTGCGATACACGAGAGACGGGTGAAGGCAAATCAAATTTGTGCTCGCCTAAGTGCAGGTGAGTGAAGTCACAGTTCTGCGCGTCTTGTTGCAATGACGTACCACACGCTCAAGGTGAAGGCGCGCCGATTTTGGCAAGCGCAACAAACGCCCTTGCTCATCGACATCCCCCAAAAGGCCAAGAGCCGACTTTTGCTAGCCAGAGCAGACGCTCTAGGTATTGCTAACCTCATTCGATGAAACAAAGATATCGGGCAGCACCAGCCGGTAAACTCGCCTTGAAGATATGTCGATTGATCTGCGCTCGTCGAGCTTCTACCATCTACAGCCCGTCCAGTGGACATCTCAATTTTATCAAGGACAACGCATCGAGTGCTTATGAGTTACTTTGTGCGCTCATAGACGCTGTTCCGCCTCTGCTCTCTTTCTCAAATGTTGCCCGATGCTCGTCAGTGCCTTTTTGCCGGCAAATGTTATTGCTGGCTCTCGTCTCTCACCCACACAACAGCCCTCACGCCGTAGCAAAGAGCGATTCACAAGCCATATATTACCTGCTGAATACTAACAAGGTGTCGAGAAGTGTTGGCATCACGTGCCGTCCAGCTCCCAGCACAAAGATTTTCACGAGTGCAAACAACACGTATACACCCTACCTCACCAACCAGGCAATCCCTGTGACTCTGCACGCTTTCCTTAGATCTTCGTCCTCTTCGAGATCGCTGGAATGATCTTCAACCGATCGGTGCCTTCACGACTGTAGTTGAGGGACAATCAGATTGTTGTTGTCTTATACCTGAACCGACTCTGTATCCGTTGCGCAAGAGGTCATCCGCAAATCGTTAGCGGAGTAAGGCTGTCACTCGCACACACTTCGGCCAAATAAAGACGACCGTCATTTTCGGTCATTCCAAGTGGTCGAGACCGTCTGGACTATTCGAACTGGCAACGAATTCCAACGACGACCTGGTGTTATGCTGGGTCTTTCCTGCAATGTCACAGACCCTAGATCTCCCTCCACGTTTTGGAGGTCATCGACATCTAATTTTGCTGTCAGATCGCGGTCACACGTACGCTCGATCGGTAAGAATTGTCTGATGGGCTAGGCATCACGCCTTTAGACACTATGTTCCTCAATACCAGAGTCACTGCAGGCCACGCTTAGGAAAAGGTTGTTTGTTATACGTACACATCTCGTGCAACTTTGCATGCAGCTGGAGGTACTGGTGTTGCGCGAATTGTCGTAAGGAACGTGAACAACAATTGCGCAGCATCAATAATACCACCTCCTCCGGATTCGGCATTTGCACCGCCCAAAAGAAATTCAAGGGAGTAAATAGGGTGTTAGTAGATGATCTCATTGAAGTTCAGGTGAGGATAGGCACGGCTTATTCTCAAGCTGAACGGCTTTACCCTCTCCCTCTGTGCCAACTGTTACATACCACAGTTGTTGCAACAAGTAAGAAGCTTACAAAGAACAGCTACTTTTCTCATCAATCATTCGAGATTGAACCCAGCGCTCTCAATCATTGTTGCAGGTATCTCGGTGTACCCAAGGTAGTCTCGATGGCCGGCCATCAAGATCGCCTACAGATCTCAGCGCAAGCGAGCCATCGATGCCTTACGATGCGAGCACAAGAAGATGTGGATGCAATCCAGTCGTGCAGTCTGAACTGGACCCTTGCTGCAGAAAGACTGGATTCTGGATGATGGGTGACATCAGGGCTTGTCGTGGTATAACATGATCCTTTGTCCAAGCCCTCTGTACTGCTCTTTCTCACTCAAAAACCAGGTCCAGCTCTTGTTCTTGGGTGGGGCCGCAAAGCATTTGAGAATCGCTCATGCTGTTCACCTATACCAATCTTATCGCGAACATCGCAGGCTCTTGCAGATGGACATTAGAAACTACCACGATTGTCCAAAGTTCTTGAGAAAGAGAGTAAGAAAATCAGAGACTCAATTGCCGAACACCTGTCACAAGCGTCAGACCAGTCAACGCCACGCCTCCAACCCTCGGCGGAGCATCTGCCACCCCCCAACCTCAGAGCGTCAGATGCGGTCGATCACGGAACATCAAAGTTTCATCCTGAAAACCGTGGAGGTATGAGCACAACTAGTGCTGGAGAGTTAATGGAGATGTCGCTACTGGCATGGCAGCGGGTGCCTCTTCTTTTGATAGCAGGAGACAGCCTGCTCTACCTAGACTTTGTGGGGCGTTTCCTGGCATGCTCCACATTCTAATAAGATTCAAGCGCTCCTACCTTTATATTGACAGGCGCACCCACGTACGCTACTAAGACTCTAGCAACCACGTTTTTGGAATCCTCAAAAGCCTCCTATTGGCTAGGGTAACATCTCCGGAAGCCAGCATTGTCGGTGTTTTTTACCGAGCAAGCTCTCGAAAATCTTTACTGATATCTCACAATCCCATCAATCCACTGTCATAGGTCATATCACTTACATCCTCATTTGTGGTAGAGATGGGGCCAACCTTATGTTAAACGCCCAAGACCACCTTCAGTTTCACGACGACCCATGACGGCCCAATCGCGGATCCACTTAAACAGGGATAATTGTCCTCCAAGTACACAAAGAAATCGATGGAATTTCCAGAACGGTGGCAAGCTATTGCTCCTGCCTCAGATGAGCCGGGCGAGCAACGTTCAGCACCAGAGGGCAGAAAAAGACGACAAGCGATAGCGGTCGCATGCGTGCAATGTCGAAGTGGTAAGGCTAAAGTAAGTGCGAGACTCTCCAGAGGCTCTCAGAATGTGGTAGACACTCACGCTTCTCTAGTGTGATGGCGTCAGGCCAAGGTGCACACGTTGTAGAGACAATGATCTTGCCTGTCAATACGATGTGGCAGAGGGCGTGTCTCGAGCTGAGCGTATGAAGCTGCTGAAGAGGGACAACATGTCCAGCAGGGTTGAGGAGATGGAACGTGTCATGAATGTCCTGCGCTCAGGAAGCGATATCCAGGCTTCAACGCTACTCGCGCGGCTCAGACTAGGAGAGCGTATGAAAGATGTGGCTAAGAACCTTCCACCGACTATTTCTTCGATGCTTGTGAGTAACCCACCAAGGTACGCAAAGGGTCGATTTCTTATCCATCTTGCGTATCGCAGCCTAACGACCCAACTTCTCAGCTTACAAGCTCAGGACTCCACGGACACTTCTATTCGTGACGTGAGCCAGGACTCGACATACGCATTGAGCGAAGGTGCTGGGCCTGCAACTCTACGGCATGACTCCAGCACCTCTTATGCTTCATCTTCAGAACCTCGTCCAAGCTGGGCAGCGGGCCCGGGCTCAACTGCCACGACCCTACGATCAGCGGGAAAGAGAAAGCAATCTGCTGTCCCTAGCAGCGATATGGTCGATGGCCACCAATTCCTATCGCTGTTGTTCGACCGACAAGACCTCCTTGCCATCAGCGAAAGTGAGGATGATGACGATGCCGATAGTGAATTTGATCACACGCTCGACCCACGATTGCTATCCGAAGGTTGGAAAAGGCCAGTCGTATCGCCAATGGACACCCCCGCAAGCCGTCTGCCGTCACCAGAGAAGGAAGTAACTGTCAGGTCAATTCATGTAACGCATCTTCGGAGTCGTCAATCCATTGTCAACACTATTCACATTCACCCCAATCTCAACCTATGTAATCTTTTTGGCAATCTTCCCTTCTCCAGCGGTGTTCGAGCCAACAATTATCCCGAAGACGTTCAAGAGACGCAAGTGAACAACTTGTTCTTGCCTACTTGGGCAATGATGACTGTCAGCACAAAGCCGGATCCTGGGTCAGTGAAGCTTGCTTTCCCAACTATACTTCAGGAAGCCACCGCCCTGCTGGATTCTGGAACTCCGTTGGAATTTGTTATTGAAGTACATCCAAACATTGCGGCTCTGTTCGACGAGAGTGAGTTCAACAGATCTGGCATATTGTCAAGATGGGCAGCTGGGATGGTGCACAGTGTAATGCACAAAGGTATGTATAAAGAGACAGGCCTTTACTGGTCTTGCACACGTGTATTTCCAATGATACAGAGTCTGATCTTTTGATAGGAAACGACTTCACTTGCTTCGCGTACATGTATCTTTTCTGGTATTTGATGCGCTGGATGATTTCACCGTCTCCAGAGACATACGAGATGATACCAAAATGGCTGCGGCCGACGTAAGACACCTTCGACCGGATTCTGATACACTTCGCTTATCATCAACGATGCAGGCCGAACCAGCTATTTATGCCACATATCAATATGCTCGACTACATCCCATGGCCTGCTTTTCGCGAGCTTGCTGTACAGATACCGGCTATGCAGAAACGTATGGAATGGTTGATGGATATGAGCAACACTCTGCGTTGCGACTGGGCTTTCCCTATGGGAGAACCCATCCAAAGAATCGACGAAACAGGTTTGCTAGACCTCTGCGACACTGCGAAGGTACGTTTGTAGCATCGACATGCGTGCGGGGTCATCGTGCTTATCAAGAGCCGCGAGATCTCATCAACGCTGACGATTTCTAGACATCCTTGCGCGACCTATCAAACTGGTCTGTCGGACCCTCCTTCAGGGGTTACGTAAGTAACGCAGATTCATACGTTCGGATTCGAGTGGAGGACTTCTAAGCGCAGGCCCTCGTCATGCGGTGGTCCAACGGAGATGCCTCAACACTTCCTCATACACCGAAGGTATTGCGATCTACAGAGATATTGAATAATGCAAGGAGAAAAACTGGGTTTGCTTGAACATGACACGGCCGGACGAGAAGGTGCAGGTTCCGTGCACGCGATACACGAGAGACAGGTTTGGTAGCGAGCGCGAAGCCAAGACACATTTTAACAGAAGCACAAGACAACAAAAATGCATGGACAAGCGAGCATTTGAAGCACATAGAAACAATACCCCACGAAAGCTACCTAGACGATGCAACAGTAATGACAGATACAAACGCAAAACAAACATCATGATTGCATTCGCGTCTCACATTTAACATCCAGAACTCTCGGCACTTGCGCTCTGCAGCCTTGCCCTGACTGCTTCCCATTCGGATCCTGCATCCTCCCGGCCACACAGTATGCCCGTTGTCAAAACCGCCCTTCCAGACCGCCTCACTGTGACAGATACGGAACATATGGGAATCCTATGTACATATTCGAATACGACAACGGCATCCTTTCATGCACGTACCAGCTTTTCTGTGCCAGAACATCACGACACCTCCCTCTGATCGCTACCTACGCAGCACCATCGCCAAAACCTACGCCTTTTCACAGCCCACGTGCCCTGCCCGATCCTAGCGCACGGGAACCGCTTCTCTAGACGCCCCCATTGGTGGTGTTTGTTCCGTGCGTGCTGTTGTCAAATGATTCGCAGGTTACTTGTCTCCAAGGGCGTTAGTATTGAACGATGATTGGCTAGGGAAATTTCTCCGTGAAGCTAAGGGCTGCGAATTATACGCTTATCGGCGATGGGATAGAGTTGGGTGCCGATGAGGCTCGTATCGGATGCTTGGTCCCGTGCAACGTGAGTATGAAGATGTCAGTGGGTGGCGAGCATCGTGATGCACTTGTGGGAGGCATTCTGTACCGTGGTCCAGTACCCGTGGCTGTGATACCGAGTCAGATGTGACTTTTGCCATATGCAGGTCAGAGTGCTTATATACTATACAGAGGAGGTTTGAGATCCAAGCCTAAGTTGTACTGCTCGTAGAAACCAGGCTGCTAAGGTTTTACCGTTCTAGGTAATAAGAGTGAATGTCATTAATTCATTGCTCAGGCGAGGGACATCAGCCTCAAGAGCAGTACATCACATCGCATCTTGCAAACCGAATGAACGATTAAACAGAATTGAAAATTGAGTATATACAAGAAGATCTACAATGCGCTTTTTACATCATCATCACCCTCGCCCTACCATCATCTAGTACGAGTTAAGAAAGCTGGCCCTCTGTGCAACACGATTGAGCTTCTTGATGTCACGGCGGACAACAGGGGCAGTCTGCGCACGACGAGAGTTAGCCTGAATGCACTGGCTGTAGTAGTCGTTCTGCTTGGTGCAGGTCCAGCCCTGGGTGCACTGGGTAGGACCAGTCCAGCCCTGACCACCGCAGCGGCCGTAGGCCTCGGCGACAGTGGAGGCAGGCGAGGATTCAGCAGGGGCAGTTGCTGTGGAGGACTCGGCAGGTGAGACCGAAGCAGACTCGACAGGCGATGCAGGGACGGACTCGGCAGGAGCAGCGGACTCAGCGGGAGAAGAAGCGATGGGAGAGGCGCTGGGGACAACAGGCGAGCCAGTACCAATAGGAGCAGCAGAAGAAACGTCAGGGGAGCCAGTGCCGCTGGGGACAGCAGCAACGCTGGTAGCCTCAGGAACGACTGAAGCAGCGCTGGTAACCTCAGCAACAGCAGAGGCGGCACTGGAAGCGGGAGTGGCAGGAGCAGTTGCGTTGCTGCCACCAAGAGCAAGGATACGGGCAGCGGCGGCCTCAGCGGCGACCATGACAATAGCCTGGGTGTTACCGGTGGGCAGGTCAGGGTGGATCGAAGCATCGACAACGAAAAGGTTGTCTGTGCCGTAGACCTTGGTGTCAGTATCGACGACGACACCAGCATCGCCCTTGGCACCAACCTTGGCGGTTCCGACGTAGTGGCTACCAGTCTTGAACGTCTTGATCAGATCAGCAGCAGTAACGTTGGTGACGCCAGTAGGGGCAATGATGCTGAGAGTAGAGTTGGAGCCGCTAGTCATCTGGAGAAGACGGTCCATCATCATGGTGATGGCCTCAGTGTCCTCTTCGGAGGTCATGTGTGGGTTGGTGATGAACTCGGTGGCGCCCTCAGCTGTGATACCAAGCTCACCAACAGACTGAGCACCGTGTGTAAGGTAAACCTTCATCTGGATGGTGTTGTCAGAAGGTCCGTTGCATGTACCCTGGAAGAACATCTCGTTGCCCTTAGAGGTCGTAACGGAGGACCACCAGTTGAGACGCTGACCGGACTGAGCGAGGATACCGGAGCCCTTGGCGAAGAGGTCGAGGTTGGTCTGGTCAGGCTCAGTCAGGGTAGTCTCGGGGGTGGAGGACATGTTGGTGCTGGTCTTGAACTGAATGGTGAAGATGGGGTGGTCCTTAATCTCAGCACCAACGGGAAGGTCGATCCAGTCAGCCTCGTCAGGGAGAGTGACACCGCTGCTTCCGGACTGGACGATCTTGAGTTGCTCGGCAGGGCCAATACCAGAGTTGAAGAGAATGCGGGGAGTAGACATAGAACCAGCGGCAAGGATGACGCTACCTCCGGCGTTGACGTTGTAGATAACGCGCTGGCCGTCAGCAGTCTCGACTTCAATACCAGTGGCAGATGAGCCCTCACGGACGGCACGGATGACCTTGGTGTTCATCATGAGCTTGAAGTTGTCAAGCTTCTGGGCAAGGGGAAGGTAGGTCCTGACGGGTCCGGAGCGGAGACCGTCAGCAACGTTCCAGGGAGGGTGGCCGAACACATCAGTCTTTGAGTTGGGGTCTTTGATGAAGTCGGTCTCAGCCCAGCCCTGAGCAGCGAAGAACTTGGAGAGAACCTCGTAAGCCTCGTCGTTGTAGCGCTTGCCGTCCTCACTACCGTAGGTCTGTCCAGGGTTACGCTCCCAGACGCGCTCAGCAGCAGCAGAAACATCAGCAGACTTCCAGCCTGTGGGCCACTTGTCGTCGAAATCCCTTTCCTGAGGCTTGACAAACATCATAGCGTTGACACTGGTACCGCCACCAAGCAAGCAGCCAGCCATGTCCGCGGTGTCGTCGCAGTAAGCGGGTGTGCCAACGTCGCTGAGGTAGTAACCGTAGCCAGGAACATCGTACATGGAGACAGTGTCGTTCCAGGACATGTTGTCAGTGTAGCCAGTGAATCCGTAAGAAGGACCGCCACGCTCGATCAGCAGAACAGAGGCACCGCTCTCAGCGATCCTCTCAGCAGCGATGATACCAGCGGGACCGGCACCCGCAACGATGTAGTCATAAGTGGCGTTACCAATAGTAGCTGTGGTGTTACCCGTGACAGGTGTGGTTGAGTTACCGCCGCTGATGGGTGTGGTAGAGTTGCCGGAGCCAGAGCCGGAACCGGTGCTTCCCTCAACAGCCATGGCTGCCCAGGTCTCGAAGTTGGCGCTGGTGGCGTTAGACATGGGCAGACCGAAAGCACCGAATCCAGCAGTGTGGTAGGTCAGAGTGGAGGAAGCAGTCGCAGGGTCGGTGAGAGCATCATTTGAGAAAGCCCAGCCAACAATGTTGGTGCTAGGAGAGTCGTAGATGACAAGACCAGTGGCGACATCGTCGCTGATACAGTTCTTGCAAAGGAAAGTGTACGAGAAAGCTGTGTCGTTGACGAATGTGCCATCAGGGATAGGGTTCATGGTGAAGTCACCGGTGGTGACTGCAGGGTTGGTGTAGCCAGTCGCCTTCCTGAATGAAGAGACAACCTCGCCATCGTTGGGCCATGCGACAACCAGCAAGTTGCCGGTCATAGACTGACCCATGCTGAAACCAGCCCAACCGCCTCCATTGGTGATAGGTGCCTGAATCTGGGCGATGAAGTCGGTTGTAGCGTTCTCGGGAAGAGCGATACCGAAGGTGTAGCCAGTCTTCGCATCAGTGTAACCGCGGAAGTCGATCCCGGTCTTAGCGTCGGTGTAGGGAGATGATGTCTGCGCGACAGCTTGGAGCGCGAAGAGCGCTGTGGAAAGGATGAAAGAACGTGCCATTTCGACGATACTGGTGTTGTTCGAAGGAAAGAGTGTGGTATGAAGGCACGGCCTACAAAAAGAATGGCAAAGCCGTCAAGGCTGTAAACAATGAATGAACGAAAGAATGAACGAAAGTGCAAGCAAGTTGGTGAGCAACCCCGAAGAGAGCGGCGAGCTGTTATGTATGGCAATTGAATCTTCCCCATAGCGGGCCCAGGTAACCCTCAATCTATCGTGCCCAGGATTCAATCCTTCCGCAAGCCATGTTCCGGGAAACAAGTTTATGATGCAGCCTCGCGAAGACGGCATCCCGGCTTCTAGACAATGCAATCCAGGAACGTGGTTCTCCAGCGACGCTACACATGTCAAACCCGTTCGACGGTGCCAACACCAGCGCGGGAGGTTAATTAACAGCCACGCAAGCGGCTGAAACTTCTGTGGAGATCGGAAATGCTTGGCCCCGTAACGCTGAATATGGGTTCTGTGATTCGCGATCGGGGCTTTATCGGTTCGGCATGTGCGTTTCGAGTGTCAGTGCGGATCCTGGTCGTTTCGTTTGAAACGCACGGCCGAGTCAAGTGCCGCAGGAGACATTCATCCTGGCAATCTCGTGAACTGTCAAAACACTGGTTAGAAATACCCATGACCTCACTGCTTCGTCTTCCTCCGAAGCTGTTCGGCACTCAAGTTATGCGTTCGCTCGATACACTTGGAACACCATGCAAGAAAGCGTCGCAATTGGCCGCTGGCAAGATATGAAAGAACTGGAGAGTTGAGAGGCGAAGGCATGAACGAGAAGAGACGGATATGAAGAACGACAACCAGGATTCCCAAGAGGTTGATCAAACCAAATCCGGTCGCCCTGCTCGAGACCCACGACAGCGCATCGCAAACCGCGCTGCTACAGCATTCTCCTAATGGTTGGAAATGACAGCGGGTGAAGTGAATTGAAAGGGGAGCAATGCTAGCTTGCAGTTCGTGGGCCGTAACAAGCGAGCCCTGCACGCAACGATTGCAGTAATATTGACATCGAAAGTGGGCTCTGGAGTCACTTGGATCTCCTGGACTGTCGCCTGAGTCAGTGGTAGAAGACATGAAGGCCAAGAGTTGAGAATGGTGGTTGACGAACATCGTCATCGGAAGGGCCATGTTGATGACACAGCTCGCTATCCTAACTACGTATGTACATGCTGGGTCATTGTAGCCACAAGTTCACAAGCAGCGTACAACTAAGGCAAACCGAAAAATTGTGTAGAACGGCCACTGAGAGGCTGCCAGACGGCGCGTGGCAGTCGCGAGTTCAATGAGGCTGCTGAATGATCGAGTCGAGCGTTCGGTTGTGAAGAGGCGAGGAACCAAAAGGTGGGGATGTTGCCAACCTCGGCCCGTCGCGCTTACTTGAAGCTCACCTACAACATGGAATCCATCGTAAGACCCAGTTTACGACAACTGCTTCTGCTCATACATCCGGACGAAAAGGACTGACATTACTGCACGATGGCAGCTAAGAACGATGTTCCCGCTTATGTGCTTGGTGTTGGTATCACCAAGTTCATCAAGCCGCGCCAGCAGCGTGCTTACCCTGAAATGGGTTACGAAGCAGGTGTAAAAGCGATGCTGGATGCCCAAATCAACTACGATGATGTGGAAACAGGAGTAGCATGCTACTGTTATGGTGATACAACCAGTGGGCAGAGGGTCTTCTATCAGTTCGGCATGAGCACGTACGTCTTGATTTACTTGCATAGCAGTCCACCTCAAATCGGCATTTGGATTGAACCTTGACGCTGACGCCACGCAGCATTCCCATTTACAATACGAATAACGCCTGCGCCACAGGCTCAACCGGTCTGCATCTTGCACGCACTCTGATCAAGAACGGCGCAATTGACTGTGCACTTGTGATTGGATTCGAGCAAATGCAGCCTGGCTCGATCAAGTCAATATGGAGCGACCGGCCTTCGCCCATGGGACTGTCTATGCGAATGATGGCGGATACTCGTGGTGTTGACAAGTCGCCGCCTAATGCACAGTACTTTGCCAACGCCGGCAAGGAGTACATGGAGAAGTATGGTGCTGAGGCGCGTGACTTCGCCGAGATCGCCAGGATATCACACTTGCACAGCCAGAAGAACCCATACGCGCAGTTCAGGGATGTATACACGTTGGAGCAGATCGAGAAGTCGCCCATGATCCACTACCCACTCACCAAACTGCAATGCAGCCCAACTAGCGATGGCGCAGGTGCTGCAGTGATTGTCAGCCAGAAGTTCCTCGATGCACGACCGCACTTGAAGAGCCAGGCGATCTTGATGGCAGGCCAAAGTCTGCTCACGGACTCTCCTCAACTCTACTCAAAATCGTCGATGGACCTTGTTGGATACGACATGACCAAGCGTGCTGCACAAGCCGCTTTCAAGGAAGCCGGAGTCGGTCCCAAAGACGTCAAGATCACCGAACTGCACGATTGCTTCTCTGCGAATGAGTTGATTCTCCTCGAGGGTCTGGGTTTCAGCGAGCCGGGAAAAGCACACCTAATGGTGCGAAACGGCGATATCACGTATGGTGGCAAAGGACCTATTGTGAACCCGTCTGGTGGCCTCATTAGCAAAGGGCACCCTCTCGGCGCCACTGGCCTGGCACAGTGCGCAGAGATAACCTGGCAGCTTCGTGGTTGGGCGAACAACCGACTGGCTGATTCTCCGGACATTGCGCTGCAGCATAACTTGGGTTTGGGCGGAGCTGTAGTCATCACAGTGTATAAGCGTGCCGACGGGCAGAAAGCTACCAAAATGAGTGACGAAGAGGTGAAGAGGGCGAGTCAGTTCGACTACAACCCTGCTGTTGAGGCTCGATATGTGACGAAGGAAGATGGGGACAAGGTCAGATCTAAGATGGTGCGAAACAACTACGCGCTGGGAGATACCCTGGAGAAGATCCAGAGTCGATTGTGAAAAGAAATAGCTATTTGTTTGCTTTTGTGAGATCGGCCATTGAACTGTTGAGATTTCTGAACGTGATACTACCTCAACAATCCTTCGCGTGGTCTTGATGTCGTACAAGTGGGCGCATCGTGATTGGATCAAGACATGTGGTGTGGGGCACAAGTGGACCCACCCCACCATAGCCACTTGAACACGAACGTTCTTACGTCCCCATCCTGCATGGCCATCAGGCAGCTAGCAACTGACTGTGTCTAGTGACATTAGCCTTCTGTTGCTAGTCATGCGTGCACCTCCAGTCAGACGCGAAGGCCTCCGAAGGTAAGTGGGGAAGTGAACGTAATATCGTTGGTCGATGCTGAGCCTTTAGTGCCACCAAGGCAGCTTATGTTAAGGAGACAAATTTGTTTAAAGAAGTGCGTGATTCGGAGCATGAACTCCTAAAAGAATAAGATATATTATAACATGGTGGCCGGTGTTGTCCTGACGAGATCACAGGTCTTTGACCCAACTAGCGACCCTTGAAGAAAAGCTCGATGAAATCGTGGATGCTCGGGGATATCTCGAAGATGACCTCCAGTATCGGTCACCAAACATCGAAATACAATCCAACAAACTCGATGAGAAGGATAAATTGCTCGGGGAAATAGCAAAGGTACCCTGTACGACTGTTCAATATTATTTCAACACTCATATAGCAGCCAAGCCCCGTGACCTCCTCGATCAACCACAGGAATGCCTTCATCGCGAGCTTCGTGATATGGTCTATCAATACCTCGTGCAGAAGGCACCGATATGTCCTGCAAGTTCGAATCCATATGACCATGCGAGCTCTGTTAAGTTAGACGGTCTCGAGAATGCGCACCTCTTCTCGCCTCGGCAACTAGGAGATTGGTGCGTAGTAGTTGAACCGTCCGAAGGGATCGTACTCCTTCTTCAGCCTCCGAAGCTTCTCTAACCTCCAGGGCTCGTACCCATATATGGCTTCCATGCTCTCATCGCCACGAGCGTAGTTGACATACGACACCAGCTTCGAACTGCTACCTTCTAGTAGTGCGTCTCGTATTCTGTTACTGATGTCTTCTGCAATGGCATCAAGACTCGCGTTTGGTAGATATGTCAGGATCGGCGATAAAAGCAGTTTACCAGCTCGATCCGGGAACGCAGTACTGTTTGCATCAATCTCTTCGACGCGATTCGTGGCGTAGCCTTCGGCAAACATGACAGAGTTATGGAACGAGGATGGGACGCCAGCAAATACGTCGAAAGCCTTGCGAATAGAACCAATGTCGTATCTCTGTAGTGACACCGGTGCCAATTTTCGCGAAAATCCTTTCGCACACGCGACTCCGTCGTCCGTGGCGTACAGATGTGCATTCACACCCGCGAGATCGGTGGTGCTGGACTCAACCGCGACAGGAGAGAGCGCATAGAGCGGACGAGTATACTGAAACGGAATTGAAGCGGCCTGGTAGTATATCCACACAACAATGATGGGCTCAGGTTGATCAGCAATGAACATAGTGTCATAAGCCCGTTAACTTACGTGATTTGGATCAACGTCCGGATTGAACGCAAACACGAGGTAGTGTACCATCCCAACTGGTCGGTTCGGGCTATCGAGAATGTTGTTCGCCATCGCAAAAAGAGATTCCAGCTTGTCGTGCGTGAAGACGAAGCTACTGGCGGCCCACTGTTTCTGGCTGGGTTCGACATCGTATATCTTTAGCCTGGCCGAAGTCACAATGCCAAAGTTATGACCAGCACCTCGAATCGCCCAAAACAAATCCGGATTACGCACCTGCGATACCTCGATTGCAGTTCCGTTCGCGAGTACAAGACGAGCAGAAATGAGCTGGTCGGCCGCAAGTCCATAGCGGCCTTGCAACCAACCGTGTCCACCGCCCAAGATCGGTGCGATATAGCCAACACAATCACAGCCTGTAGTCATCGTCTGCTTTCCATGAGCCCACAGATACGAGATCAGAGCTCCATTTCGCACACCACCTTGGATCACAACCGACTGGCCGTCGGTATCAATGTACATTGAACTCATGCGACCAAGATGAATGCCGATACCGTTCTTCACCTTTCCGACTGTTGAGGTTTGTCCATGACCGCCTGAGATAGCAAGGAAAGGTGTCCGCTTTCGATTTGCATAAAGAATCTGAAGAAGAATTAGCGCAACACTTGTCGGAGTATCGAGTGCTGCGTGCTGACCGTCCTTTGTACCTCTACTTCTGTCGCAACCCGAACGATCATAATGTACGTCGGTGAATCAGCTGCACTCCAACGCAAGCTTGCGTCTTCAAATTCCTTCAGGTCTACCGAGTCTGGATAGAGCATCGACGCTCCATCATGGAAGGACGCTGCGAACGACCTATCATGGCCGAGTCGGAGACTCAATAAGACTGGAGTGAGCACAGCAAGCGTGATCAGAAACCACCTTATGCTTAAGTAGGCCATTGCAATGGATATTAGGTTCGAAAGCTTTGGAAACTTTGGTTTGGAAAGGTGCTTGTCCGTGTAAAGGTCCGGATGAGGTCTTCAACATTGGTCGTACCCCCCATTTACCCATGCATTGCCGTCTCACCATCTGCATGCATGGCGCATATGCGACACGGCTATTTTGACGATGGGATCTTTTTCGTGAAGATTCATATACTCGTACGAAAGAGCTGCCAAAGGTGGCCTCGAACTGCAAAAATCCGGGGTGCCAGCAGCTTCGATGCGATCGCAATGCCTCAAGACAAAAAGGTTTGGCGTGAGAATTGCGGGCAAGCGCAACAAGGCGATTGCTGAGACATCCCCATGTCACTCTAGCTTTATGAGGTCGACCAATCATGCAGCAGAGCCGAGAGGGCACTGCATGCCCAATACTGACAGTGCAACGATGGACGCGTCGAACATATGCGAGAACTGATCATGCGATAGCAAAGGCTTTTGTCAGATGATCTGAAGGAAGGTGAGTCTTGCTACGGTACTGGAGAAAACATGAAGCAGAAACCGGGGTGAAAGCGCATCGCTAGCGTATCCCTAGCGCGTTTTCGTCCATGACGTCGGCCATGTCTGTTGTCGCTTCGTCTTTCCATGTCTAGATATCCTCGAAGATGTCCAGCGAAGCAAGGATGTCCTCAGACGATGCACTGTCATCATGTACTACGTACGAGACCGTCCGTTAGACCTACTACCGTTTGATAGCCAACCCAAAATACAACAGAAGTGACGCCATCCGCCCTCAATCAACGTTGTGCCCGCGCGCCCGTTTTGACTTGCACCAGCATCATAGGTTCCTAAAGTCAAGAGTAACTCTCCTGTAACACAACCGAGCCAAGCCTTAAAAGGCCACACCCACGACTATTTTGCATGGCGCACCAAACATGATAAGGTTCTCTCTGCGTCCAAATTTCACATTTTGCTTGAAGTCAAGACCTTTTGATACCCGCCCAGCTGATTCCCAACCGCCAATTCCCCACCCAACTCTTCGGCGCCATGGTAATCGAGGCCCCGCAATAGATTCGAACTCGGTGTAAATCTGTATAGCCTGCTACTCTGTCTTCGAATGCCTGGTAGAGGTATGTACGACGACCCTTCACACGATGTTGTATTGGAGCTCATAGTCGAAGACCGATGCATGTGCATGCGGTTGAACCGTGAAAGTGACAGGGCGGACATTCGTTGGTAAAGCCTGGAGTACAGACAATACCGAACGCTCGAATGGGCTGTTCGCCAGTTGTAGGGACCGTGGGGCCAGTGCTGGAAGGTAGGTTTGCGGAAGCCATATGACTGTTTCGACGTGAAACTTTGCCTTCGAATAGAAGACAACAATGTTCGAAGTAGCTGCGATGCTTTGGATGTTGACCATGGCGCGCACAAAAGCACGATCGGCCTCATGTTTGATATCATGAATGATCTGTTGACAGGTCGCCCAGAGTGTTCAGCTTGTAGACGCTGGCTTGCTATCAGGTAGCAGGTACGAGTAGATGGTTGTTCGAATTTCAGGAGGTGTATCTTCTAGAAAGCGATGTCGTGGAGTTGCTTTCGAACGACTGATCATGTTCAGGAGCGCCACAATTGCGGTTCTCGTGACTTGTGATACCTTGGGAGGACTCGGATATATAGCTTTGAAGTCCATAGGTTCCAGAAGCACAGAACTGAGAAGTACAAAACTGCGAACTGCCACGAAGTGAAAGCCCAAGAGAGCAGCCATAGATGGTGATTCTGGTCGCGCCCACTTTCGTTGTCGGTTGCTACCTTGTTGCTCATACTGCTTGTGCAGTTGCGATGCTGTATGTTGTTGATGGAGACTGGGGTGATGGAGACGATGCTGCATGGTGGTGGGCCAGCTATATCAACACAATACGCGCTAAGTGAATTTACTCTTACACTTTACACCTGAGGCCTTATCGACGAAGTGTGTGCTGAGGCTGGACTATCAGTGAAAGTGGAGGGGAAAAACAAATGGATCATACCTACTAAATGTGCAGTACGTACCAGCAGTGGCCTTTTACCAAGATTACACGTGCAGAAAAGCCAGCAACGATGTTTTTGGATCAGACCCAATACCTCGAAGAAAAAAAGATGTTCAGAACAAGGAGCGGAAAGGAGAGCCTTGAGAGGGCAGGATGGTGGGATAAGTGCGATGTGCGATGAGGTGGCAATGTAGATGATGAGTGAATGATTACGGAGGAGCTCATTGCATAGGCGACGCATCTTTTGCTACACCTCGCCGCCATGATGCAAGTTGACGGGTAGGAGCAGCTCTTCACCGTCACAGAACACATCATAAGAGAAAACAAATCCAGTACAAGGAGCGGAACAACAGGAAGAACACCAATGACGTTAGGAACTACCCAAAATCCAGTACAAGCAACAGAGGCCAATCGAAGAGCGTAAGGATAGGTTGCCAAGAAAGAGCAGAGCTGTCCCGTTGGCATCAACGGTCTGAGGCGGTCGAGTCGTCTGAGGAGTCTTCTGGCCATGTATCAGACTCCCAGTAGTGACTGTCAAGCACTTCGGTGCGTCCACACGACTCGTAGCCGTGCCTGTGCACTTTGCGGAAGTCGCCATGAGTCCTGAAACAGTAGAGACATAGAGCATGACGGATCGGCCCGTCGTCGTGAGCATTCATGTAGATAGACTTGCCGCCGGTGTCAATAAGGTGCATCGGCCGCATCCAAGCGGGCGTGTCAGGCACTGCTGGACTTGCTGGTTCGACCGGACTGGTGAATGAACGTGCCGGCCTTTGTGGAGGAATATTCAATTGTGGCTGGCCTTGTGGGTCTGCAACAGTCGGCCTGAAGGAAGACAGCTCGGGCAATGCGTCGTTTGTAGAAAGATTGATCGGTACCCTTGGCGTAGGTGCGCGCTCGGTGAACGTCTCATCTCGGAGCACACATCTGTTGTCTCCACCTATACCGATGAAACAATGGGGAGCATCGATAGCCATCTTGGAGTATGCGTCGCTTCGAATATCAGGCAGGGTTACGGTTCGCCTTTTTTGAGGTGATACTTCGGGTGTTGAGTCATCGAAGAAGTGAGTCCGTTTGCGTGCTGCGTCGTAGTCAGCTATAACCAGAAGCGAAATAATGGGTACCTGGATGCATACTACCATCAATAGAGGGCGTTCGCGGTTCTTCCGCAGTGTAGACGGTTGCCGCTGAGGTAGGCGCCTCGGTCGGTGATGCAGTAGTCTCCGTCTGAGGCGACAACGAGGAGGAGGAGTCGAAATAAACGTCGGTGAATATGAGCGGCGATAAAGGCTGGGGTACGGCGTTGCCGAAGGGAGATGCTTGTAGGTGGAACGGAGTGTCGTCGTGACCTTGCGTGGCCGGTGAGAGTCCAACAGTCATCGACAGTGGACTGCCTTTCATCATGTGCTGCATGTAGTCGTGAGGGTATCTGACTGGATCTGGAGTCCGGTGTAATCCAGAAACTGGCCTCCTCTCGTGCTCATCGAGTGTTGTATCCTGCATTTCAAGCCCTGACGTGTCTAAGCGCAGCGTAGGTGTCTGCATGTTAGGAGCGCCATCAATACTGTTGGCTGCTACCATTCGCTGGCGTGCTTCATCGGCCGCTCGAAGCTTGTCGCAGGCATCCTGTGCGGAGGAACCGCCAACCCAAACAGAAGGCGAATGATTTTGGGACGAGGACCAGGACCGGGTGCTTGCTGGGCTCTGCAAAGGGCTTTCGTTGCGGACCTTTCGAGGAGATGACGCTCCATTTATCTCCTCCAGAAGCTGCTGCAGGAGCGTGCGTGAAGGACCAGAGTTGAGAGCACCGCTGCTGTTTGACCGGCTGTAGGGAGTAGCCATACTGATGTAAGCTAACGCGATATCAAACCTTGACAATATGCATAAGCGATGCAGTGAAGTAATTGAGTGCCTTGGTGTCGGCCGAGGTGAGGTGAGCGGGATGCACGAAAGTGAGGGGCGGGGAGTTGCGTGACCCCAGACTGTAAGGAAGGCACAACTGAGAGCAAGCGGGAGAGAAAGAGCAACGCCAACACCAACCAATATCTCGAAGAAGGAAAGAGCGCACCAAGAGAAGGGCTGTAGCAAGCACAGAAAGTGAGGTGTTCATCATGAGGTGGAATTGGCTACGAGCTGCCACTGGCTCTCACCTAAGTTGGTATACTACAAACCTCATGCTTCATATCGAGGCTTATCCGTTGCGTCAAAATGTGTCGTCTAGTGGTCGTGAATCTCATTGCTCGGACATCTCGGTGTCCTCGGGCTTCGCCAGACCATGCTCCTTGAGCAGAGCATCGATCTCGTCGGCACCCCAAAGGTGGTGGTAGATCTTTCCTGTCTTGGTCTTCCCTACTGTCGCAAACTCAACTGTGATTTGTTAGGATTGGTATGCGCCGGGAGACATTGCTGATACGTACTCTTCTCACTGCTGAGCTTGGTCGAATCCATGGTCTTGCTGAGCACCTTGACGGCGAGCCCACAGGCCTCCTTCAGGTCACACTCCTCCTTGTAGTCCTGCTTCAACAAGCTCTGAGCAGAGGCGTTGTTGGCGCCCACACTCGTTGCCTTCCAGCCACCGTAGTTGCCACTGGGGTTGCTCTGGTACAGCTGGAACTCACGCTGTGGGTCCCAACCAGCGTAGATGAAGGAGACACCGAACGGTCGCAGACCACCGTGCTGCGTGTAACCTTGCTTCAGATCACATAGGCGACGTACGAGCTGCTCGCAGGGAATGTCTTCGTTGTAGGTGAGGAGGTAGCGCTGGGCGGCTTGACGGGCGTAGTTGATCAGGATGTTGGCGTCGGCGGTCATACCTGCGACGGCGCAGATCATGTTGCTGTTGCTGTATCAGTATAGCCAGTGTTGCATCGATTGTTGTACGCACTCATTCAGGATGTACAGCTTCTCGGCTGATGTGTCCTGCTCCAGAAGCTTGCTGGTGACCTTCCTCTCGGCGGCGAGCACGATGCCATCCTTTGCTAATATGCCCAGAGCAGTTCCGGCGTGCGAGATGGCTTCGAGCGCGTATTCGACCTGGTACAAACGCCCCTCAGGCGAGAAGATGGTCGTCTACATGTACCGTTAGCTAAGATGTCGCCGGCGGCTGTGGCGGGGCACTGACCCTTGAATCGTATCTCCGCGACATGACTGCGTCCTATCTAATGGGTTCACGGGGTTGTCGGAGGTTGTGTGCAAGGTCAAAGTGAGAGATTCGGTGGGGAAGCTGGGGTGGTGGGTTGGTGTTGATGAGAGCTCCAGGCACAAGCTCATACGCGTCGGCGATTCACGACGCCAAGGCCGATCACTTTTCCGCTCGACGATCACCAGCTCTGCATCATCTTTCAATTCGAGCATTTCGAAGTACCTTGGAGGCTCGATTGAGCTTAGCTTTCTTGTATAATGGCTGATTTGCCTGCGCGACCACCTGCGCCAGCGCCGCCGCTCCCCGCAGGCTGGACAGAACACAAAGCGCCTTCTGGTAGCTATAGCTTCTCACTGCGTCATGGGCGAATGCTAACATTGCTAGGGCACACCTACTACTTCAACAAGGAGACGAAGAAGTCCACATATACACGACCGGTCGCAGAAGTTCCTCAGTTTCAACACCTTCCTCCCGCCGCACCCTTGTCATTTACTCCGCCGCAAAATGATACCTACAATGCCCAATCTGCTCAGCATGGATACAATCCTCAGCAGCAGATGCAAGACCTTATCTTCGGCGGCGCGCCAAGGCAAGCTTTCCAGCATAGTGGTCAGCAGAGGGGCGGACATCGTGGTGGTTTCCGAGGAGGGCAGAACAGCTTCTCGGACAGAAGACGCAAGAATGATGATAAGCCCAAGCACCGTAACGACATACCAAACTGCGCGCCATGGGTCCTCGTGAAGACAAAATTTGGGAGACGATTTGTTTGGAACAAGGAGACGAACGAGAGCTTTTGGAAGTTCCCACCGCGCGTAATGAAGGCTGTCGTGGAGTTCGATCGCAAGCAACGCGAAAAGAAGGAGCGCCGGGAACGCGGGGAGGCCAGTGATGTGGAAGACGAGGAAGACACCGCCATGGCAGACATCGAGGCAGAGCTGGCCGCGGGTGAAGAAGAGGTGGAGATTGTCGAGGTAGATGGTGAGGAAGGCATGGAGAATGATGAGGAGTATGAGGAGGTTGAAGTCACAGATGATGAGGGAGAAGGAGCAGAGAGCGCGCCAAAACGGAAACGGACTGAAGAGCCAAGTGGTGACCTACCACAAGCGGCAGAAGACGACGATCTGGCATGGCAACTAGCACAGATGGAAGAGATGGAGATGGGTGAAGGCTACGAGGAGGAATACGCAGAAGACTACGAGGGCAAAGAACCAACATTGACGGAAGAAGACTGCAAAGTGCTGTTCAAGGAGCTTCTGGATGACACGCGGATAAGTCCGTACACGCCCTGGGACAAGATCCTTGAGGATGGCACGCTCTACGACGATGAACGCTACAAAGCCCTTCCCAACATGAAAGCACGAAAAGACTGCTTCGACGAATGGGCACGCGACAAAATGCAATACCTCAAAGAAGAGAAAGCAAAACAACAAACGCGCGATCCCAGGATACCATACCTAACCTTCCTCGATCGCTACGCAACACCCAAGCTTTACTGGCCAGAGTTCCGACGAAAGTACAAGAAAGAGCCTGAAATGAAGGATACCAAGCTCTCTGACAAGGACAAAGAGAAGCTCTACCGCGACCACATCAAGCGCATCGGCATGCGACACTCTGATCTCAAGTCCGATCTCTCGGCCCTTCTGCGCGCACAACCACTCGCATCTCTCAACCGCTCAACAACCATCGACACACTTCCTCCCGCCATTCTCACTGACTTGGCGTACATTTCACTGCCGCCATCGACGCGTGACTTGCTCATCGAGACCTATATCTCCACACTGCCAGCTGCGCCAGAAGGCGCCGCAGCGTCTGCTGAGGAGGATGCTGAGCGAGCGAAGAAGCGAGCAGAAAGGGAGAGGAGGGAGAATGCGCTTGCTGAGCGCGAGAGAAGGGTGCAAGCAGAGAAGCGCAAGCAAGAGCGTGACCTGGCCTACGGCAAAGGCAGACTTAGGGAGGAGGAAGAGGAGATCCAACGAGCGCTGAAAGTAGGAAAGGAAGGATTGAAGGCCCATCTGGACGCGTAGACATCTCACATATTTAGGATACCCATATCGAATGCACCAAGCTTTGCCAAGCTGTATCACGCTTGCATCTATCCTTTCTGGCGGCGAGCCATGTTTGCAACCAATGAAAGCATATTGAACTTGCGCGAAGCATCAGCCCTACAACTCTCAGGGTCCTTGCAAGCTTCGGAATGCGGAAGCGACAGTGCTACGGGTAGCGTGTTTGCAAGATAGGGAAGCGGATCATTGTATCCGTAGCTGTCCAGCATCCACGATGGTTACGTAGATCTTCCCAACACTGAGAGCGCAGACTGTAACCAACAGTCCGGGAACACTTTTGTTGCTGCATGATAGTGAAGACTATGTGCATATGCAGTCAGGAAGCCAGTGCTGAGTGGCAGGCAGTGTCCTTTCTAGGAAGGAGGGATGGGTAAGAAGTGCACGACGGGAAAGAAGACAACATCGTCGGCGCAAGAGCATTAACAAACGCTGCCATGCGACTACACAATGGCGGCCATGTGCGAGACGGTAACATGATTGCAAGATCATACAGGAATACGAACAGGGTATGGGTATGCTAGAGTTGGGACGAAAAAGTGCTTCCTGGCGCTCCGTAGTAGCTTCCAGTATCGAATGCGCCCAATCCCCTCTTCGTGCAGTTGCCAGACTCGATGATCATGACCACCACCCCAACTACCGAAACCGCCTTCACCACAGCCAGCGTTTCTCGTCGTGCCAACGCTGGGTACCAAGCCGAACGAGCAAAGCCCTGCCAACAGCCACCGATGCCCGTTCGCTACACACTTTCCAGATTGCGATCCTCGCCAAGCAGCGAGCGGCTGGTCAGGTTCAGGAGAAGAGGACGGAACCCTAGTCGAGCTGGACGTGGGTGTTAGCTACGATGAATATTCTGGACTTAGGTGATGAGTAGGGAGAAAGACGAGGACAAAGCCACACTGGCTAGAGAATTTCAGCAGAAGCATGAGAGCGATTGTAGGACGTGCAAGAAAAGTTGGACGGGTCCATATTAGAAGTTACATTACACCAACCCACTGTGTAATATGAAAAGTAAAGTAAGTTGACATGACACATGACCTCTCCCTCAAACCCCCTTCTTTTCTACTCAACATCCTCCGTCCTTCACATCATCATTGCAGCAAACACCGCCGCCACACCCGCAACAACACCTCCAACCTGCAGCCCACTCGCCGCGCCAGTGAATTCTGGAACCTTGTAGCCAGTCTGCGTAGGCTTAACTTTCGCACTCGTCGCAGTTCCGTAGCTGATGGTGATATTGGATACCGGGTGTTCAACAACAGCCGAGTAGACAGGATTGCCACCAGTAGGCTGAACAGGCTTGGATGCAGGTGCCCAACCAGTAGGGTACGGCTTCTCACCGCCAACATACCCGGTGGGAGCGACAGGCTTGCCGCTGCCATAGCTCTTGCCCGAATCAGCATTGGGGTACTTGACCAAGCTCGCAGACGGAGACGCGACGCTTGGGTGCGTGGCGTAGTACTGGCTCTCTGGGACGGGAACCTTGGTCAGGGTGACGATCTTGGTGGCTGTGATCTTAATTGCTGAGCCCTCTGGGGTCGAGGGCTTGCTGGACTGAACGGGTGTGTAGGGAGTGTTACCAGTAGGCTTGTTGGGCACGGGGGTTGAGGCTTGGCACTTCGAGCATGGGACGGTTACGGTAACGGTCTTGGGACCCTCGCCACAGCCCTGAGCGCAGTACTTGGTTGTGACTTCGAAGCCGGGAGGTGCGTAGTAGGCGTTCGTTGTTGGGTAAGGAGCGGGGGTCTGGATGGCAGTGACCTTGGTGGTGATGGTCGTGTAGCCAGTGGGGCAGACGTCGACGTAAGTGGTTTCGTAAGCGGTGGTAGTTTTGTAAGAATCGGTGGACTTTTTATCATCGTCATACGAGGGCTTGCTCGAGATAGGGTAGGTGCTGTAGAGCGGCGTGAAGCTGGGGAGCTCAGGGTAGTCGGCATAGACGGGTGTGGAGTTCACATTGGGAGTTGAGACCGGATAGTTGTTGTGCCCAGGGACTGGGCTTGAAACAGGGTTTGATGGGTAGTCGTTGCCATAGACTGGAGCGCTTGAGGAGGCTACAGGATAGTTGCCGTATTCAGGAGCCTTGGTGGAGGCAGTAGGGTAAGTATCATATCCAGGAACCTTCGAGGAAGCGCCAGGGTACTCTGAAGAAACGGCAGGGTACTCAGAAGCCTTCGATGAAGCATCAGGAGTTTTCGAAGAGACACTGCCGTATTCGTAGCCATCACCCTCAGGATAGACAGAATAGACAGGAGCGGAAGTCGAGTAGACAGGAGTGCTGCTGGAAGATTTGCCACCAACCGGGTAGGAAGTGGTGTCTGGGTAAGCGGAGCTCAAAGTTCCAGAGGGGTAAACAGCAGAGCTATCATATGGTGTTTCCGAAGGGTAAACGATCGAAGAGCTGCCGTAAGGGGTCCCAGATGGGTAGACGCTGGAGATATCAGATGAAACCGGGTTCGAGGAGCTTGCTGAAGGGTACACGCTCGAGCTGTCGTGGGAGTAGGGAGTCTCTAATGCTGAAGCTGAGATGGTCGACGAGTAGTCATGTACAACACTGCTCGAGACGTCATGAGGGTACGAAGAAGAGGCAGCGGAGTTCGACGAGGGGTAGATAGAGCTTGAAACATGGGGTGTAGGGGTGGCAGAAGAGTGGACAACGGAGCTGGGCTGGACAGAGCTGCTGTGTGCCACCGAAGAAGACGAGACGTGAGCAGAGGAGCTGGAGACGTGGACGGAGCTGCTGGGGATGTGGACGGAGCTGCTGGGGATGTGGACGGAGCTGCTGGGGATGTGGACGGAGCTGCTGGGGATGTGGACGGAGCTGCTGGAGACGTGGACGGAGCTGCTGGAGACGTGGGCGGAGCTGCTGGAGACGTGGGCAGAGCTGCTCGACACGTGAACAGAGCTGCTGTAGGAAGCGTGAGGGGTGCTGCTTGGGGCGACCGACGAAGAGCTAGTGATGGTGCGCTTGTTGTATGTCTTGAACGAGCTGACGCGCCAGTACGCATCTTTAAAGACTTCAGGGTGCTCAGCAACGTACTTTTTGCAAGAAGCCATGCCGCTGAGACCGTCGTACATAGGGCAGCCGGACTGGGCATAGACGTTGCCACCCCAGTCGCCGCAGAAGGTGTTGGTGAAGATGAAGCGCTGGTCCATGAAGCGCTTCTCGATGTCGCAATCACCTTGGAAGTTGGCATTGGGAGTTCCGAACTCGGCTGTATCGGGCGAGCTCGACGTGAGACTCTTCGGCTCGCTGCCACGAGGGAAGAACCAGATCTTGATGCCCTCAGCCTGCCACTCCGTAACGTAGTAACCGCCGTTGTTGGCGTTGAAGCCAGCCCCGTAGGAGCTGGAACTGGTGTCGGTCACACCACAGCCAGTGGTACCATAGGGGCCGTCGATAGCGCAGTCCTTGAGAGCTTGGACTCCGCTCTGGCCCTTACCTTCGGTCTTGCAGTTGGTGTTGGTGTGCAGTACGAAGCTGTTAACCGAGTTCTTGTTGACACCTTCGATGATATCGATCTCTCCTTTGACAGGCCATGGCTCGCGGCCGAGAGACCAGAAGGAAGGCCAGGTACCACAGATGCCACCGGGCATGTGCTTGATGTCGAGTACGAAGAGCCCCTTGTTGTACTCCGTCTTTCCCTCGAGACGAACACTCTCGCGACCGATGTCACCTCCGTCTCCGCTGTTCAGCTTGGACTTGTAGTCAACACCAAAGATCGCGTCGCCGCCTTCGTAACTGATGTAACCCTTATCCTTGGCGGTTGCGCGGTCAACATATCTGATCAGAGTCAGCTGTTGTTATCGTAATGATGGTTGTAGACATACTTGACAAAACCATTCGTCTTCTCCTCAGTGCCGAAGTTGAAGTGATCGAAGAACGAAGAACCAGCGTAGGTATCCTGGACAGTATACTTGGTGGCAGAAGCGACCGAGAAAAGAGTGGCAGCGCCAACCCCAAGAAGGGCTGACAGGGAAGGCATTCTGGTTATTAGTGTAAAGAGTGACTAGATGAAGTATAACGAAAAACGAGAGGCTGCAGAGTGAGGTTCTACAAGACCGCGCACGAACAAACTGAACAAGTCGTTAGAGAAAGGAAAGCAGATGGGCGTCCACCCCAAGGTTTATTAATCCGCTCCTGATACTCACGGCTTCGAGGCTGTTCCCCGTTTAGGTGAGCATATCGATTGGGCGAACACTGGCTAGGCTGTCAGTCTCCACCTGCAGGTCAAACCACTCCTGCAGGGTCGCCCTATACCAAGCTGGGTCTTGTCATGAAGCTTTGAGTATGGAGCTCGCAACCATTGCTGCAGGAACGCGCGCTTTGCACATCCATATTTACTCACATCGACCCAGAAAGTGTCTAGTGTCTGCCTATCCTTGACGGACATCGCGACGTGGGCCCGCCGCGCCGAGGCTTGAGTCGCTTAATCAGTCATAAGGCGCGGCACAGCTGTCAAAACCGCGCGTGGCTTGGATTCGCGATAGGAAGTTCTGGTGTTGAGTGGTGCATTTTGGCGGGCAAGTCCGTAGATTTGGGCGCTAACGATTTTGTGGCGTCCCCCCTGGCCCAGACCGGTGTCCGCAAGGAAAGCTTCAGGAACAGATCCAGAGCGATGAAAGTCTACATCTGATGTGCGGCTGAAGTGGAAATGATGCCCTGTCCACGAGGCCGCGGAGCGCTCGGGCTGTGCGGAAGAAAGAATGCAACAAAGTCCTCGCGGTAGCGTGGGTGGTCGAACAATTCTCGGTCGCTGCGCATATTGCGAAAAACGAACATTGGGATGCCTGACCGGTCAAGGAAGAAGATGAGATTACCCAAGTGCTTGTGTTCGCGTATGTGCAGATACGAGATGAGGCCCTGGTCTGGGGAAAGAACGAGATGAGGTGAACCAGATCTTGATAGCGATAGCTTACCGTAGGGCGGCAGCACTTGTTCTCTTCGCCCTCGTTCTGATGGCGATTCTTTCGACGTCAACCGTAGACTTCGTCCTGGAACCATTGTGTTGCGGTTCATCATTGATTTGGACGTCGCAGTGCCGTGGCGTCCTGGGAGTTGAAGTTGAAATTGCTAGGTTTCTCCGGATTGCCGAGGTACACGCAGAATCAACGTCGACTTGCACCTGCCCTTTTCCGACTCTTCCTATGCAGTCGTCCGCATGCTGCATCTCGTTTTCAGAGATGAGGAGCAAAATCCTTCGAGCGGCACACCAACTACCACGAAATCGGGCGTCTAACGTGTATCCTGGGACCCTTATACGGTCGACAGAACGTGGTTACATGCAGCTTCTTATTGACCGGTCACCTGGTCATGTCGAGGTGCGCAAATTTCGGAATCATATTCTTCTTGAATCTTGAGACAGTTTCCTGAGCAATTTGCGTCAAGACTTGGGGTTGAAAGAAGGTGCTCCAGGGCTGAACGCACTCTCAAACCCTGCGTCGATTGCTGACTAACAAGTTACTCCACCTCACCTCCACCTTCAAGAAAGTTGAGAGCAAAGCCCTCGCAATCTTGACATGTGACAAAGAGTACACTGAAAGGATGGCGTTTGAAACCCGACAGCTTCCCCTGCTTGCGTCCACCCCATCGCCGAAAACCTGTTGCATGAAGCCGACCTCAGCCCATGACGTCAGCTTCCGAACTCAACACCATCCTGATAGCTGAAGTACAAGTGTGATTGTAGCCCGCGGAACGTGCTTGGAGGTAAAAGCCTTGTTATACCTACTCGTAAAGACGTCAACTTCCACTGCAGTTCCAAGCATCATGTCGGGCCAACTCACTAAGAAAGAAGCACAAGCCCAGCAAGTGCAGCAACAATCAGCCTCCCAAGGCGCACGCGATGTCGAAACACAGGAACACCATGCGAAGGCCAGCGCTTCGGTAAGACTGCTTCACAATTACGCTCAACCATGTTTCGTACTTTCTTTATTCCTGTTCATGTCTTTGAATCTCGTCACCCAATTCCACATCGAGTACAGCTACATGTGCTTTGTCCTTAACTACCTTGAAACATTCATCCCACGATCCGTGCTCAACTCCTTCAATACTCGAAGCCGAAACGACTGTGACCCTTTGAATTGCAAGTACAAACACTAACGGGCATGCAGGGCGGCCTGAATCTCAACATCTTCGGCGCCCTGTCCGGCGCTTTGTCGAGCAAGAGCAAGAAGACGACACACACCAACGCCGACGGCTCATCAACAAGCGTCGAAGACCGCCATGACAAAGGTGAGTTGGCATCGAATTTGTCTGAACAGAACCTGTCCATGCCATTCCCTTTCTCACGGCGAACTATCTTTACCCGCTGTCAGCATGCACCCACCCCCTTTCTCACTTTCCCTTTCCTCGATTCTTCGAGGCGTACATCTCTGACGTTTTCCCAGCGGCAGCAAACGGCGTCGCCCACGGGCGAGGCCAGGCCTACGCCGCCGCCGACGCAGAAGAAGGCGGAAAGAAGACCAAGTCTCGCGAAGTGGCTCAAGCAGCATCGCAGGGCAAAGCAGTTTCCGCTAGCAAAAAGGTCGATCACTTGGGCATTGAAGGGTGAATGCAGAGATCCCAGTTGTGTCCGTATCGAGACGTGGGAAGTGTTCTGCTGTCAACGACGTCAATAAATCCATGACTCAATGCAAGCTGTATTGACCCTGTAGACTCGATAGGAATGTCGCCATGCATCGTTGAACTGGTGATGGGTATCATTGACTCCTTGCCTATGCTGTATGTGCTCACTTTTGACATGAAGGCTCTACATCCCCCTAAACGCGTTTCCACTTGCACTGCGGATGTTCTTCTCCTTCCGCCTGTCGTGCCTCTGCCCGGCCTCTCCGCCTTGCGGTTTCTTCTTCGTCTTCTGTTCGGGTGCGAATGTGATTTCGCGCTCACCAACGACGGTGGTTGTGCTGGACTTTGGTGTGCGGTCTTTGAGCTTAGATACTCGCGAGCCGAACGTCTTATCAGCCTTTGGAGCGTTCTTTTTCGAATTCGAGTTCGACACCACCATCTGCGGCCCGCGCTGATTCTGCAGCATGGGGTTGTTGTGACCGGCCTTGCGGTAGGAAGAGGAGGAGATGCGTGTATCGGCTGGTGGTTTGCGGACGGGCCGCTCTTCGGCTTCGGAGCCGTCGGAGTCCGATGTGTCTGAGCCAGGTCGCGACTCGAGGTCTTCCTGTTCGGCGGCAGTAAGGCCCTTGGGTATCTTTGTACTGGGGTTGATGGCCTGGAACTCGTGGGACTGCTCGTCGACTTCGAAGTCTTCGTCTTCAAAGAGCCGGGCGAAACGGGCGTCGCCGAGCAGACCAGCAGGCTTCTCGGGCGCCTCGACTGCAGGTGCGGCGGCATCGAGCATCATGTCGTCGTCGCCGCCCTTCTTGAGCACGCGCTTGGCGCGTCTGCGTTCCTTTTCTTCTTCCCTGGCCTGCATCTTCTCGGCGAGAGCTCTGTTGACTTTGACCGAGACCTTCTTGTTGCCGCGGATGCGGGACTCGCGCTCCTTGTTGATCTTGTCCGCGATGGATTTGGCGCGCTGTTCCTGCCACATGTCGGGATTCGAGATGAGCTTCGCCTCTTCGTACAGCTTCTGTGCGACGAAGTAGCCGTGCATGTAGGGGCGGAGCAGGCTGGTCGTGCCGATGAGGTGGTCGAGGTTGAGGGTCTTGAGCTGCGCGGTGGTGAGGAACTTGAAGTTGTCGTAGACTTCGCCTGTGGAGCCGGCGCCGAAGGCGTTGGGGTCGTTGGGGTCTTCGGCCATTTCTTCGACAATGTTGTCGAGAAAGGCGCACCATTTGGGTGCCGGGCCGAGCTGCGGGATGAAGAACGAGTGCTGCTGTTTTCCCTCGTTGGCAGTCAGGAGCATACCGCTGTCCCTGACCCACTCGACGTGGTTCAGGTCGACGGCAGGCTCGACCGACGTCCATGGCGTGCCACTTTGAGGGTCCCAGATCTTGATGATGCGCTTGTCGGCGGTAAGGATCTTGGGCTCGGTGACTTGGCCGCGCGATGAGGTGTTGTTTTCGAGGTAGATGATGTTCTTGATGGCGAATCCATATCCTTGGTCCTTCTTGAGCAACGGCGTGGGTGATCGCAGATCGTAGAGATGCACCAATCCCTTCGAATTTCCGACCGCGAGATTCAGCCCTGACCGAGGGAACGTGAGCGCTGTGACTTCTGACCGGCCTTCGAAGGCGTCTTGCGGCGCTGACAGAATGCCAACCCGGTTCCTTGACCTTGAGTCCCAGAACTCGACTGTGCCCAGCGATGTACCGAAAGCCAAGAGGTTGTGGCTGTCTTCTGCGATCGCACCAGTGTTGACGGCGCCGGCCTCAACGCCGCCCTGCAGCGACCCTGGCGCTGCTGTCAAGAGATCATCTCCACCCACGTCAATCTCGTAGCTGCGCATGAAGCGTCCCACCTCGAGGTTCAGACGGAAGGCTTCGCCGAGCCCGTCTGCGTTCACGCCGACCGACGGCACCAGACATTCTGCGGATCGCCTGTCGTATATCAAGTCCCGCCCGTAACGGGGTATGCGCGTCGCGTGGTGCAGTCCCCCGCCGGTGTGAAACTCGATCACCCGGTCGGCTTGGAGGTGGACGCTCTTCGTGTAGTCGCTCGAGAGGATGCGGAAGGTCTCGTTGAGGGTGTTTGTGTGGCGGGCGAACGAGAGGGAGAGGTGGGGCAGGTAGTGGGCGTGGATCTGGGGCTGGAAGCCTGTCAGTTTGGCTGCTCTTCGCTCGTGGGGCGCAAAGCTCTTGCCTTGTAGGTGCCCGTGGACATGACCCAGTCGCCGTCGGGACTGACGCGCACGCACTGGCTGGCCTCCTCGAAGCCAAAGTCCTGCAGCAGCTCTACGCGGTTGGCGAACTCGGGGTCGTTCTTCAAGCTCCTGCTCTGTGTCAGCTTCCGTGTCTCTCGTCTCTGTTCCGCACTTGGCAGACAGCTGCGCACCGCTTTCTTCTGCGAATCAGCCACTCCGGCAGAGGACGCGCCTCGCTGCCGCTGATTGTGTAGACGGGCACCGCAGAGTTCGTGATCTTCATGGTGGCCGTGCGGGCGAGTGGTGGCGGCGTGCAGGTTGAGAAATTCGAGCACCAAAAAGCTGGCTGCCGATAGGGCTGAACCGCCATCGACAACCCGCCGCGCTTTTCCGGACGCAGTTAGTAGTCGACGCGAGAGCTGCGAGAGCTGCGAGAGCGACGTCCGAACTCCACCACACCTCAAGCCTCGCGCGCGCGACAGACGTCGCTGTACTACTGGCCGCCGCCGCCCTCTCCTCCCCCCTCCCCCCCCCTCCCCCCCCCGTCGTTGTCGCTGCAGCTGTCCTTGGCCGTCTCTGGGGGAATCCGCAGTCCGCGTAGCTCAGCCTCGCCAGTGCATTGACTGCATTTGCCCCGTCCTCCATCGCTGTTGCGCGTGTGCGGCCCACCCGGCGACCGACAACCATGCTCCGGCTGTGGACGCAGCCATACCATGCACCTTCTCTAGCACTCGACACCCCGTCCACACAGCCAACACTGATTCGGCATTCGGCTCTGACGACTATCTTGATCGCGCAGCCCGAGAAGCCGCGGAGTTGATGAAGCTGCACGCTGTCCTGCGAGTGCACCCACCACGCGAACACCACCGGAGAGTTCCATAGAGGGCTGCAGACCTTCCAATGGAATTTCTCAAAACCTGCACCACGAACGCGCAAGCCATCGTACGTCCAGACGTGTCTCCGTATGCACGCGCCTGCTGACCAACGCGCAGGGAGACTTCGAGGCTGTCGCATACCAGGCCTTCTCAGTCGCGCGCAACACCACCCAGCCCAGCTCACCACTGCGCGACTGGAACCCCGCGGAAGACACGCGCGCCGTCGAAGCCGTCTTACGCGAGCGCCAGCTCTTGGTAGCGTGCGACGCGACAAAGCCGTGGCTATGGCTCTTTGCCCCTACGACCGTCGACAAGGCCAGGTCCAGCCCGGGCGACCTGCCAGGGGTCGAAGGGTACCTGCTACACCGTAAGCACCTGCACACGCTGCGCGGCTGTGTCTTAGTGCTAACTCTGATCAGGCGAACAAGCGGGACTGACCAGAGCCCTCGAGTTCGCACGCCCACCTTTGTCCGCTCGCTACCCCACTGCAGCATCCTACGCCGCCTTATCCGCCGCCCAGAGCAAAGCCACTGGTGCACGACCTACACCGGCTGGCATCCAGAGCAATGCTTCAGACCAGCCGCCACAGCCGCCGCAGCCGCCGCCGCAGCCGCCGCCGCCGCCGCCTGATTGCTTCACCGTCTACGAGCTGTTCACGTCATCCGTCATTGCACTGATTACCCTGGCACTAGTCAAAGAATGCTCCGTAACCTCCTTGAACTACCGAACCTTTGTCTCCAACCCTATTCTCCAACAGACCCGCGAACATGGCGAGTTCGACTCCCGCACCAGCCCTCTTTGGCTTACTAGCATCAACGTGCAGTGGGCTAGCTCTGGCACAATGGTCGTGTCCACGCTGACCGAAAGAAGCCACGAGATACGCTGTCTCGATGAGCCGTCGTCTGATACCAAACTCACATCTCTGGTCGGCAGGTGTGTGCGAGTGGCCCCCAATGGCATGCTTGGAAGGATCGTGAGCTTCGATGATCCCTTGCACGTCGCTACAGAGGATCCTGCGCACCGGCCTCGAAGAAAACGAGCTAGGAGAAGCAACCTGGAGCAAAACATGGACAAGTGGAAAGCCACTGTCAGGCGGTGGCTGGCTTGGAAAGGGTACTCTTTGCTCAATCTCGACGACAGTCGTGCTTGGGTCAGGCTACGCACTACGCTCAACACCCAGCCAGCAGCATCGAACTCTGGCCTTGCTTGTTCAGAGCAGGACGTGCTGTGGCCTCGGGCACTGTGCTACTACCACGAGGCGTCGAGTGAAGCAACACCCCCCTTATCCACATCTGGAAACGTCGCCGGTACCACCGACAGCGTGCTGCGATGGTTCGAGGGCATCGACTCGGCAGGCTTCAGAGACCCATATGACGTTGCTCAGGAATGGTTCACAGGAAAGGCTGAACGCGACAAGATTGCGGAAACACAGCGCAAAGCCAAGAAGGCCGAGCAAGACGCAGTTCGGCGCAAAGAAGAAAACCCAGGCCTGTTTCCATCGTCGCCGCTCAACACGCGGGTAGGTGCGTACGGCGAGCTTCAGCCAGTCAGTGGGGTCTACCCAACGCCTCCAGATGGCGTTGCACCTGGCGCGTCCGTCTTCGCCGGCGACACACCAAGCGTCACGGGCGCGGCTTCCAATGTCATCTTGGCACCTGGTGGTACCAACCCTGTCATCAACCTGTCCGCTCCGCAAGAAAGTGCTCCGGCAGAAACAACGCAACAACCTCCCACGTCCCCAGCGTTTGCTCCAGAGAACGACCAATTCACGGCGTCTGGTAACAACGACGATCTGTTCGGAGATGACATGGACGAAGATGGCTACGAAGAGAATGCTGTCGGAGACGATGACTTCGACTTCTTTGACGGGCCCAATGACGGAGATGGAGATGTAGACATGACGGACTCTCCATCAGCTCCTGACACGAAAGTGGAGCCGCCCCCAGCCTCTGAAAAGCAGCAGGAGCCGCCCCCAATCTCTGAAAAGCAGCAGGAGCCGCCTGCCAATACAAAGGCAGAAGACAAAGAAGAGTCATCCGATCCCCTGGCAGCGCTCGAGAAAGCACTTGCTACTGCGACTAGCCAGCCACCCGTGCACCCGGCACAAAAGGTGAAGGAAGAGCAGACCTCACCCGCTGTGGTTGTCGTTGAGCGCGATGCAGCCAAGCCAGACGCCGACGTGAACATCCAAATGCAGGATCAGCAGGTGCCTTCTGCAAAAGCGCCTACGCCTCCGTTGAACCCAAACAAAATTCGGGAGACTCTCAAAGCATCGCCAAAGACTACATTGACCCTTCACATACCCCAGACACAGATTCGAGACCGTAGAGGGAGCGCTTTCGGCCCCCTGTCCTTCAGTCGGAAGATGAGCGTCTCTGACGCCAAGTATCAAGACGGACGCTACGGCGTGCATGCCGATGTTGAACCAAAAGACAAACCTCCTGGTAAGGCTGATCAGGCTCGACCTGAGAGCTTACGAGATGTTCCTCTACTCACCAAGCTTCGGTATGCAGTTGCAGTAGCATCTGCCATTGCTTTGCCCAAGGTCACGCCTTCCATACAAGGAGTCAATGACGAATCAGACTACGAATCAGACTCCGAGAGCGCGAGCTCTGACGTGTCCGATGAAGAGGATGAAGAGGTTGAAGAGGCTCCACCTACAACATCAACCCCTTTTACAGGCGGACCTATCGCATCGGCCAAGAGGAAGTTGCTAACAGACGGGAACGCTACACCGCTGTCTGTGACCTCGTTTGCCGACTCCTTAGGCGGGGACCAGCTCGAGCTCCAGAACTTACACCTTGATGACAGCTCACTCCTCACTTTTGAGCCGAGCAGCTGGGATTGGTCTTTGGTGAAGCTTTCTCCACCTATGGAGAGGCCGTCAGTTGGTGCCCGCTACAGCATGCCCCTTTTCCCGCACCCTATAGAGCGGGTACCAGATACGCCTACCTCCCAGCCTGACCTAGCTTTCGAGCTTCTAGAGGACAAGCTTATGAGCGGATCAGACAACATCAACATCGCACAAATGGTCACTGAGCAGGTCATTTCAGCGACTCTCGATATCCTTGACGAGGATTCGTCGACAACACCGCGGTCTGCCCATCCCGGCTTGACGGAGATGCGCTGGGTTGCGGTCATCAAGAGCCTGTTCCCGAAAGCTGTTGACTGTACGTTACCTGCATTAGCTGCAGTCAATGATGTATTCCCAGATGTGTCAGCACACGCAAAAGGGCAACAGAGGGTCCCAGCACGAAAACCGAACGAAACACCGGCCATACCTAGCAGCCAGATTTACTTGATCAATCCGCCCTTCATCAGGGTCCGGCGCGCAGAGACCCCTTGGGACTTACTACCACCGGCAATGGCTTTCTGGGAGCCACTTGGGCTGGCGCCAGTCAGCGGACCGAAGAATGTCGTCGCATTTTGTGTCTACCCACACAGTGACTCGCTCAGACCGTGCTTGGAGAGCTTCCTCCTTCACATGCAGCTCGCCTACGATAGCTGCAAGCTGGGTACCCATACGCGAATCGAGACCGTGAGCGAGTACGAGAGCGGCCTGGTACCCTGCAGGGTTCCTACACCTGCAGCCCCTCGGGCTGTCTACAAAGCGCTGCGCGAAACCTGCATCCAACTCGGAAAGGTTTTAGCTGCGAGGCACGGCCACATCAGTGAACAGCATGAGGCCAAGGTCGATGCCTTCATCATCTACATGGTCAACCCGTTCGATACCCCTTCCGCCCTATGGGAACTTTGCGCTTCATTCTGGACACTGTTCCAAACATATGGCCAAGGCCCAGCTCACCCCAATCAGCCCCAAAAGCCCGATCTTGTCCTTCAAATCATACCCATCAAGTACATCGCCTCATTCGATCACCCCGTCATCCTTTCGAGTCACATTTATATCCACCTCGCGCGCGAAGTATACAACCGCAGCCCGCCCAGCACTGAACCTGAGGACAAAACACCCCTCCCGATCGCCTCCGCTCCTGCCTTCCAACTCGAAGAGCCCATTCCCCGCAACGTCCCATTCAAGCTGCAGTCCGACCCTCCACAAGATCTGCTGAGGGAGAACTCGTACATGCACCTCGCCTACGCCATCAGTCTCGACGGGATATGGCTGACTGCTGCTTGGACGGACAGCTGCGGGAAGAGTCAAGCTACGAGTACGTACCACCTCGGTACGCGTCCATTCAACGAGCTTGCAAAGGAAATCTGGGCGACCACCATCTCGATCTTGCAGGCGAGGAAGGTGCATTGGCGCGTGTGCATTGCGCGGGCGGGCGTCATGGATAGAGAAGAGCTGGAGACATGGGTGTACTTGATATCCTGTCCCACGCAACTCAATCTCTTCACCACACTCATCGCTGTCGACACGCAACCTTCATACAGGTTCACTCCTCCGACGTCAACTTCAACAAGTCAAAGCAACCCCAACACTCCAGCAGCCACGCCCGGCGCAGGCGTGTCTCCAGACCCCACGCTGGGCCTCACACCAGCCGCAACCCCCTCTGCTCTCGATCCTCCCGCGGATCCAACACAAGACCTGGATGCGCGACTCGTCGACATAACAGATGAGACATGGGGCGTCATCCTCGCGCACCGCCTGCACAACAGCAACTCCACGAACCAATTCAACCCTGCGCTCATCTCGGGACTGCTTGTCAAACGCGGCCCTAGCCCCTCTGCAGGGGGAGCCGCTCAAGAAACAGGAGACAAGGAACAAGGCCCGATCACCGTGGCAGTGAACATCCTCTGGATCGGCGCCGTCGGCAGCACCCGCGCTGCCACCTCGCCCTTTCCACCTACACCCGGCGGCTCCGAACCGCCCTCGCATCCCGCTGCTGGCTCCTACCTCTCACACGGCTCACAGTCGTCAACTGGTGGTGGGGGTGGTGCAGGGGCGGGCAGCGCGCCCCAAACCTCGACTCAAGGACCACCACAGCAGACGAGCAGTCTGATGTGGACGCCCACACCGCAGACGCGCGTGACGGCGGAGAATCTGCTCAAGGAGATACTGCAGCAGTTCAGGGGCTTGGGGCTGCTTGCGAAATTGAAGGGGATGACGGGGACGAGACACGGGGCGGTGCCGTGGCATGTGAGCGCCGCGCAGAGGGGGGTTGAGGGCATTGGGAAGGTGACGGGAGGGCGGTGACGTTTGCTTTATTGGCGTTTTTGGGATGGGAATGATGGGTTCGGGAGTTGGGGGCGCGGATAGATTGCATGACTACGGTTGTGTATGGCGTTTGGGTTTTGGGGTTCTAGTAGTGAACATCAGCGTCATGATATACGAATATTGCTTCTTCGTTCAATGCTCCTGGCCCGCCCATCTTGTGTGTGTGTGTGTGTGTGTGTGTGCGTGTGTGTGTGTTACAAATTGTCTTCTGTTTATGGTTTCCTGGGCTTAAACGCGCAGCTCCCTGCCCGCCTTTGGCGCCTACTACACCACCACCGCATCCCCCCCACGAATCAACAATCATCATCTCGAATAGCAGCACCAGTCCAAGGACACCTGCTCCCACCCCGCCCCAACGCAGTCTCGCGATGCCGCCCGACTGTCATACTCATGAAAGGCGCAGAGTGTCTGCCTCGATCCACGCCAACCCGCAGCCGCTTGCGTCCGCCAATCGCTCTCACCTTGGCCCCAATGCCGAAATTGATGCAATCATGCTTGTCCAGCTTAGTAACACGGTCGGCTCGAAATGGGTTCGGCCGAGTGACTGGGTACGAAGACAAGCTGAAACGAAGCGCTTTGGATGTGTAAGGATTGTGGTGAGTCGCGTATGCCTTGGTACCGTCCGTCTGACAGAGGAGGAAGGAGGGTTGGGTGTCATTGTCAGGGTTTGTTTATGGTTTACGGATTGAAAAGGGTGGTGAGATGTAGTTGAAGGGGGGGGGGGGTCTTAAGATGGGCTGATAGGGTGAAGTGTGGTAGCAAGAAAACGAGAAGAGGGGGGAGGGGGGGGGAGTATATACCGCGATGCTCTGCATGCTCTGCGATCCTCTTTGCGAACTACCATGCCTAAACGTCTCCAACCCTCTAGCCAGGGACCACTTTATATTCATGCTCTGCCTGACAACCCGAAATCCTGCCTCTCACAACAGACTAAGCGTGGCGGATAAGTTGGTGGACACTTGAGCCCTGCTCGTCTCATCTGGCACGTACGAGCGTGGAAAGAACAAGCTCAGGCGCAGTGATGGTATTATGGGTATATATGGTAAAGGAGGGGATCTGCAATACCCTAGGGCTCAAGCTTGCGGGGTACTGTAACTTGGTAGTATTGTAGGTGTAACGTGCACCATGGATCCTGACTTCATAAAAGTCATGCTTTGAGGTTTGTTGTCAGGTGTTTGGTGTGATGTGTGCGGATGCATCCCGCAACTCACGTGCAGTGGCTCGGAGCTAATTCGGTTGCTACCCGACAGGGTCTGGCCTGGGTGTGAAAGGCGGCATCTCGTATGCTGTGAATCAGGGTTCTGTGGGGAAGATTGCGGGGAATGTGATGTTCGGTAGTAGGTTCGGTAGTAGGTTCGGCAGTAGATTCAGTACGCACGGAACAGTCGTTGCAGTTCGACCCGGTGCTGTCCCGATGTTTGTGTTTTTCTGATTGTTGTGGTTGTACGGCTCGTAGGGAGTTTACGTACCTAGGCAACATGTGTAACCTTCCCTCAAAACTGGATGCTGTGTAATTTCCCGACTGCTGTCTTGTATGTTTGCTGAGGAATTAGCGATTTGTCAAGTGCGTCTCTGCGCCGCAAGTTGCATGTGAAAATTAGATTGCCATCTATCCCAAAGCTCTCCGGACGGAACGTTACTGAAGATCGTATGCGCCTGTAATGTGTCCCACTATGTGCTCGACCACTCAAATCCAACTCCTCGTCTCCCTCCCCAGAGTTCTGCTACACCGAGGCTCTCGCGGGTTGCTCGGGTCGTGCGCGCGTAGTACCGGTCGCTCGAATCGCAGCCGCCGCCGCCGCCTAGCCTGTGCGTTTGTCGGTCTCTATATACCCTCAACAAAACGCATTTACTGCTGCTCACTCTGGCTCTGGAGGTACTTGTAGGCACCAAATGCGAGCGCGCCACCAATAAGGATGATAGCGTAGAGGCCAATACCGGTTGAGGCGCCGTCGGTCGCCGCGGCGGTCGAGCCGGATTGCGCGTAGCTCTTGGGCTTGGGGTCGCCCTCCTGTAGTCGTGTCAGCTTACCCTGCCCCAATTTTTATAGTGCATATGAATATAAGATGTGTCGGCGGAACAGTTCCGAGTGGTTGCCGGGGCCCGAGGGGGAATCTGACGGTGAGATTTGGTGTGTAGAAGGTCGGAGGAAATGCTGTGGAGTCGATTGTGGGTGTGGAAAGAGGGTCGTAGGCATGGTATAGTGAGCTGGAGGGGCGTACCTGGCGCTTCAAGGTACCAACGAGCAGACCGTCAAGGATCTCGCGCGCCTCGTCTGAGTGGCCGACATCCTCAAAAGCCTCAGTCGAGTCCTGGCCACCGACGTCGAGGAGGACTTCCTCACCACCGCTGTACTCAATTAGCATCGTGTGCTTGTAAGGTGCCATTCGCGCCTCTCAATGCGTTATCGGCACAATGTGGGGTTCGCGAGAGTGGAGGCGGTAGATGGACGTCTGGAAGGGGCGACGTACGGGTGCTCGTCGACGAAGCTTGTGCAGTCGTAGACCTTGTCGTGGACAACAATGTAGAGGTCCTTCTTGGTGGCGTGCTCAGAGACGTCCGAGTAGGTGAATTCCTTGCCTTCAGACATTGTGATGTGTAGTGAAATCCGTTCGGGTGGTACAAAAAGGTGTGTTTAGGGGGGAAACGGTGAGTGTGTCGAGGTCGCGAATGCGGAGAGCGAGGAGGTCGAGTAGCGTGGAGAAAACTCGGTGTAGAGACTAGAAGATTATCTGGCAGCAGTCGAGCCGAGCGGGATTGACACTCGGGTACGGATGTGCTTGCGAGGCGGACAGCGCTGAGCGGACGCATGCCGTTGCTGGCCAACAAATTGCAGCCCCGCGATTGGCCGCTCAGCTTCGCTTTCCCAAAATCCACTTTAAGTTTGCCACATCTCGCAAGAGTTCCCTGCCAATGTGGGGTCTCGCATTTCACTGTCCTTTTCGAGGGGGCATCTTTTCCGCCCTCACATTCCCCTATCAACTCGCATATGATCTCGCAGATGTCATGCCCCGCAAAACACCATCAGCTTGCCCGTGCTCGACTGTCAGGCAGTCCAAGACACGTCTGGGCCGAGTTTGCTCCGAAGTTTTGTCTACGCAACGCTTGATTGAACTCCTTCGCTATGCTATGCTATGCTGATACCCAAGTCGTACATCCTTCTACATTTGCTCCAGTTACTCTTTCAAGAGCCCAAAGTCTTGACCCTCATCCACTCACTCGTCCCAACTCCAAGATTCAATCCGTTCTCAGCCCACCACCGTCTCACGTTCTCACCAGCCTCGCCCTCCACACCATCTTCCAGGGCTTCCTCAATGTCACATGTCTTGTACTCGACCTTCAGTCCACTCTTCTTCCACCACTCAAGTACGTCTGCCTTGCCCATCTTTGTGGGGCCGACCAGTACCTGGTTGTCAAAGAGCATCTTCTCACCGCGAATCGATCTCCAGTAGTCCAAGATTTTCGTGTGTCCATGTGTAGATGCGATTTTGGTGACAGTATCTTCATGCGAGAAGGGCACACCACTGTTGACCCACCATTTAATCACGTCGAGCTTGTTGGATTGCGTTGCGTATGTTATGGACTTGCCGACCTTGAGCTTCAGAGGGTCACGGAGCTTAGCGGGGGGTGCCTCTTCACCAGGTGTTGGGGGCGTGCGGTGCCGCGAGTGCTCTTTCCACCAGTGCAAGACAGGAATGTGACATTGCGACGAAGCTTGCTCGAGGGCTGCTTCAGTGTATTTTAAAGGCAGGCCTGAATTGTACCACCAGTCGAGGGCATTTGTCGAGTTGTTGCGAGATGCGGCGTCCATGGCTTCGCTGGAGTACTCTTTGGTCAGGAAAGTAGGAGACGTGCGCCAGTAGTCGAGAATCTCAATCTTGCTGAAGAGTGATGCTTTGTGGGGAAGGAAGGTATGGCCAAAATGCTGCCAGAAGAGATCTTTGTGATGGTACTCCAGATGCTTGAGCACAGGTACCATAGCAAATCGCATGATGAGATCGAGGCATGGACGTGTGATGCGAGTGGGCTTTTCTGTGTCGAACGCTTTCGCAATGTCAGCATAGCTGCACGTGAGTAGCGTCCAGCCCAGCTTTTGCATCTGAGTCTTCGGCCCTGCTTCACTGGCAGCCTGTTGCCACTCGCGAGGGACTGGGAGGTTGGTGTGCACGTTGAGTGTGGTGGCCAGCTCCCAGTCCTCGGTGAATTCCAGTATGATAGACCAGAGCTCTGGTGGAAGACGAGGCCCCTTGTTCTTGGACGGCTTCAGTGCAGGCAGGTGTGCAGTTGACAATGCGACACTGCGTTCACCGACTGCCATCAAGTCGATCTGCGTTTGTACAGACTCGCCAAGTTCCTTGTGTCCTCCCCAAGGCACGATCTTTCTGCCAGTCTGATCGTAATTCCATAGCAACGGAGACAAGACGCGAATCCAGTTCATCTTCTTCTTTATCTTGCTGATCTGTTTTTTTGACATGGGATGCTCCCACTGCAAAGTTGACATGCCCGGTATGAGGAGAATCTTCTTCGAAACATCCCAGCTACGCAATACTTTCAAGTGGAGGTTGCTTGTAAAGCCATGCAGCATTTGCGCTATGTTCTCGGCATCGAGCGGCGCAATGACGAGCGAGTCTGCCCACGAGCAGTACTCAGCGACTTGGGTTTCGACGAAGTCTGCATGTTGCGACCCAGGCGTTGTATTATTTTCGGCATTGTACGTGTGCCAGACAGGCTCGAGGGTCGGTGAGACGGTCGTAAATGGTGACGTGGGAAACGGTGTGCGCGCTATGATGCGTAGAGAAACATTTTCAAGTCGTTGTAGGCGCGCAACAACCGCAGAGCCAAACCTGGAGGTAACTGGATCGGTCAGTGCGACGAGGACCTTCAGTGGGCGTTCAGCGGGTTGCGAGGTCATAGAGTCGTTGTGGCGTATTGTGCAGTGTTGTGGAAGTGTGCGGTCAGCGATCTGAAGCATGGGAATGTGTTACGAAGTTAGACCGCCATTGGCCGCTGCCCCACAGTCCTTCACACCACCATAGACCCTATGTTATCTCGTGGTTCTGGCATTGACAGGCGAGCATGGTGACATGGCGAGCCGCAAACGAGTCGCCTTCAAGCCTCGAGAAACTCGGTTCGCCAGTGTGGGGAACTACGTAAATGAAGACAGTTTCGTGGGACTGCTAGAGTGAAGGCTTGGCGCCCTCTTGATGATGAATGACTAAGAAGAGACCGAATATAAACGCGTTCCGCGGAGCCGTGGGCACCGTTTCGAGGTGCCTAGCTCACGCGAATGTAGTGCATGTTGACGATGCGTGGATCTACGATCCCGCTGCTACAAAGGAACTGGCACTTTCAAGTGAATACGATATCTTGAAAACCTGAAACGGTGAAGCAGATGACCGGTGTGACGCTGCACATCGTTTCATTTCAAGATCTCCATCAGACCCCAGGTGCTCCGCAGATTTTCGGCCTTGTATGGACCGCATTGGCTGGGTAGCAGCCCCACTGCAAAGAGCCCCAATGGAGCTCAGATTTTTCGGTCCCCATCTGCAGGACTGGATCATTTTCGGTTCTTCCGTCCCTCAGATGAACCGCTGCCGTGTCCTGGTGCATAGGCTTTTCCAGGGACAAGCTCCAGCGCTCCATGGCAGGCGGTTGACGTCGCGTTGGAGGCGTTTCGCCGTTGTCCACGAGACGACTCAGGCCGCATTAAGCAGCTGTGTCAGCCCACTTGGCTGCACATCATTCTGACTCTAAACCAATGACGTACTGGTCTCGCTCTCACAGCTCCACGATGACCGGCAGACGCAGAATTGCATCTTCGTTCAACTTTCCCATCTTTCTTATCGGCGGCGTCTGTCTGAAGCCCACTGTCCAAAAGCCTGTCCCGTAGGGCCAATCTTGCACGGCCAGACCGACCTAACTGCTAGTGGTCGAGTAGGCTGCCGATCTCTCAAGTCTTGCTCCCTGAGATCGACATCTGTGAGTGCACCAAGCGGTGCAAGCCGCACAACGCTACAAGCGTCCCCGTAGGCTTTCCCCTTCGCAGGCAGTCATACACGCCAGCATCAGCGGCTCACTGTTGTCGTGATTTCCCGCCACTGGCCACCTCCACTGTCAACCAAAGATGCGAGCCCATTGCTCTTGACGCTTCCACGAATCTCCCACGCACACGGCGCAACTGCCTCTTGTATGTCGGTACCGCGACCAGAACGACGTTGATATTCCCAGGACGCTTTTAGACTCCGCTCTCCGCCACCCACTCCCACCCAGAATTCTCCGTACCCTGCATAACGCCAAGGCGAGCAGCATCGCGACAAAACCTGCGAGCTCGGCCAGTATTCGTGCCACCTGCAGCACGTTATCGACGTCGATGGACGCCTGAGCAGAAGGCGCTCCTCATTCTTGTGCGGGCGCAACCATATCACTCAACATCGCCCAGGCCCGCCACCGCCTCCTACAACATTGAGAATCCCCCGCGCTGCTGGACACAGAGTCGCGCTCCCATGTCTCAACCACCACAGCAGCCCGAGGACGTCGAACATTCGGCTTCCCACAGCGACGCGGGCCAGGCCTCCCCCGCCCCCCTGCCCAACGACCACGACCCATTGTCGGCGCCGGAGGCCCATACAGAGACCACCGATTTTGCTGCGGACAACTCAAAGTCAGGCAACGTCCCTTTGCCTCCCAATGTTGCAAGCAATGTTGGACCATACTCGCTCTCGGCGGCAGTGCTGAGTCCATCTGCACACGATCGTATATTTCCGATACGAAGTGTCGTTTCTGTTGACCCTAACCCTACAGCGACACCGAAGCCTACTGGACAGCATGGCAGCGATTACTTCCACCAGTATTCCCAGGCAAGCGACTCGCGCAGGCCGTCGGGCTCTACAGCATCAAACGCATCACACGTTTCCCAACGAGGTCAAGGCCAAGCTCAACGGCAGTCGATACCTGCAACTGCACCCAGGGCAGAGGCAGCGCCGCAGGCACGGCAGAGCGCAAAGTCGACACCGCAGAAGTCAGAGCTCTCGAAGTCGAAATTACAGCTGCCTACATCACTATTCAAGGAAATAACATCGTCGAGTTCTGGGAATAGTGTAGAGGATGGAGGAAGTCGGTCACCATCAGTCAAGGCGGTGGGCCGTCCATCGTCCGCCGGAGGTGAATCAATCCGAAGTACCCTCAGCAGTGTGGGAGATGTGAGCAGTTTAATAACACCTCGGTTCAAGCATGTGGTCACTGAAGGTGGGCATATGGTCATCACTGGTCGAGATGGCGAGACATTACAGCGCTGCGAGGACGAACCAATCCACATGCCGGGTGCTGTGCAAGGATTCGGTCTCCTGGTTGCACTTCAAGACGACCCAGAGTGCAGTGGAGCCCTCCTTGTTCGTGTCGTGTCTGAAAACTCTAAAAGATTCCTTGGACGCACACCGAAGGAGCTTTTCGCTTTGGAAAGCTTCACAGACATACTGTCCGAAGAGCAAGCCGACAATCTCCTCGACCACATTGACTTTATTAAGGATGAGGACTCGGATGTTCTGACCAATGGCCCTGAGGTTTTCACAATATCTATCAAGGTACCAGGAGTGGCGCGGACTCGTAAACTCTGGTGCGCTGTTCATATCAACGACGCAGATCTTGGGCTTGTCATCTGCGAATTCGAACTAGAAGACGATCATGACTTCCCTTTGGTACCATCGGACGAAATGTCACCCGAGCTCCCTGAGGACACATTGGCTGGTAAGCCTACTGCAGAGGAGTACCTGGAGAGTACCGAAATAAAAAGTCGACCTCTCAGAGTACTACGCAGTGCAAGAAAGAGGAGAGGTGAAGCCGCTGCGATGGAGGTTTTCAAAATTATGTCCCAGGTGCAAGAGCAGCTTGCAGCAGCGCCTACTCTTGAGACGTTTCTCAAGGTTTTGGTTGGTGTTGTCAAGGAACTGACGGGCTTTCACCGCGTTATGATTTACCAGTTCGACCAAACGTTCAACGGACGTGTCGTTACTGAGCTTGTCGATCCTCGGGCCACAAAGGACCTGTACAAGGGGCTGAATTTTCCCGCGTCAGACATCCCCAAGCAAGCTAGAGAGCTGTACAAGCTCAACAAGGTCCGCATGTTGTACGACCGCGATCAAGAAACAGCCCGCCTTGTCTGCCGTACCGCCGAAGATCTCGGAAAGCCGCTTGACCTCACCCACTCCTATCTCCGAGCCATGTCACCTATTCATTTGAAGTATTTGGCGAACATGGCTGTTCGTTCCTCTATGTCAATATCCATTAATGCCTTTAATGAGTTGTGGGGTCTCATAGCCTGTCACTCTTACGGCGCGCGAGGCATGCGGGTCTCGTTTCCTATAAGAAAGATGTGTCGCATGGTCGGCGACTCTGCTTCACGGAACATTGAGCGACTGTCCTACGCATCGCGTTTACAAGCCAGGAAACTCATCAACACTGTACCCACACAGCACAACCCCTCTGGCTATATCATTGCTTCCTCCGACGACCTGTTGAAGCTCTTCCAAGCCGACTTTGGGCTGTTGTCGATCAGAGATGAGACGAAGATTCTTGGTCGCATGGAGAATTCCCAAGAAGCTTTGGCTATGTTGGAGTATCTGAGGATGCGCAAGATCCAGTCTGTCGTGACATCGACGGACATCACACAAGATTTCCCTGACCTCCGATATCAGCCCGGTTTCCACGCCGTCGCCGGTATGTTGATTGTACCTCTGACAGTTGGTGGCAATGATTTCATCGTCTTCTTCAGGAGAGGCCAGCTGCGGGAAGTAAAGTGGGCCGGCAATCCATACGAAAAGTTCATTAAGGAGGGTACCGAAGGATACCTGGAGCCTAGAAAAAGTTTTAAGACGTGGTCAGAGACGGTCGTTGGCAAGTGTCGAGAATGGACAGAGGAAGAGATAGAAACTGCCTCCGTGCTGTGCCTAGTTTATGGCAAGTTTATCGAAGTCTGGAGACAAAAGGAGGCTGCACTGCAGAACAGTCAGTTGACTCGATTACTGCTTGCGAACTCTGCCCACGAAGTCAGAACTCCGCTGAACGCCATCATCAACTACCTCGAAATAGCTTTGGAAGGATCATTGGACTCGGAGACCCGGGAGAACCTCGCTCGATCACACTCAGCGTCTAAGTCGCTTATTTACGTAATCAACGATCTGCTGGACCTGACGAAGACGGAGGAAGGTGGACCGCTGATCAAAGGGGAGTCCTTTGACCTCAGTGCGACAATCAAAGAAGCGACAGATATGTTCCGTGGAGACGCCAGACGGAAGAACATTGATTACGAAGTTATCGAGCACGACGGCCTACCAAAGTCATGCATAGGCGATCAGCGCCGAGTAAGACAAGCTATCTCGAACATCGCAGCAAATGCCATTCAACACACCAGCCAAGGAGGTGTCAAGATTGAAGCATATGTTGCGTCAAGGCCTGGCAGTGATCATGCAGAGGTTGAGGTCGCGGTCACTGACACCGGCGTCGGCATCAACCCAAAGAGACTCGATCAGTTGTTCTACGATTTTGAGCAAGTTCAGTCTGAGCCTGCTAATGCTCTGGAGGATGCTATAGTGCCGGATCCTGAACAAGTCAAGCAACAGGGTGACAAGACTGCACTTGGTCTTGGGCTTGCCGTTGTGGCGCGCATCATCCGGAACATGAACGGACAGCTCAGAATCAGGTCGGAAGAAGGCAAAGGCACTCGGTTTGTCATTCAGTTCCCATTTGATCTTCCAGACGATGAAGAGGAGGTAGAATCACCACCAAGGGATGCTTCACCATCCGGGAGCGTTACCCCGCACCCCGAGCGACCTAAGTCATTGACCAGTTCAATGCAATCTGGAGGCGAGCGCACATTGATCTCACCAACCATGTCGCGGCACGGCTCGAGTGGTAGCGCCGCTGCTACGGTGAACGGCAGCAACATAACCTATCATCCTGCAAGCAGAAGGCAGAGTGCACACAGTTTGAAGAGCAAGGCGAGCTTACGAAGTTTCAAGAGCGGTATGACCTCCTCAACGCAGGAAAGCGCGCGGAGCGATGTGGACAGGCTTATCGAGGATCTTCAAGCACCGCATCTAGTAGAGAGACGCAGAGGAGAAGGCCATCAAAGCCCCAGTGCGCGATCACTGAGACCCATTCTCGCCAAACGCAACAGTATGGACCCCGGGTCGCCCCCACGAACAAGATCCAAGAGCCTTGAGGTTGCAGAGAGAGTAGTAGTCCCGCCTCATCAAAGGAGCTTGGACACTAAGACGCCTGGCGAAGAGCCCATCATGTTCTCTTCTCAGCCTCTCAAAGCTGTTCGCCTGCCTGATGATACCTCTTCGCTGACTGGGCAGTCAACGGGCTCGATCCTTGGAGAAGTTCACGATAAACCACGGGAACTGTCACCTGCGCCTGCGGCTGAGCCTCCACCTGAAAAGCTGACCTCAGATCGCATGCGCGTCCTTGTAGCAGAGGATGATCCAGTAAACAGTCGAATCGTTAAGAAGCGATTAGAGAAGATGCAGCACAATGTGTATCTGACCGTCAATGGCGAAGAATGCGCATCTGCATTCGGCGATAGTCCCAAAGACTTTGACGTCGTCCTGATGGACATGCAGGTACGTCTCACTTCCTATTTATATCCCCCTACATCACTAACATGCAATAGATGCCAATCATCGACGGCTTGACTTCGACAAAAATGATCCGCTCCTACGAAAAGACACACACCAACATCTACTCCCCTCGCGCCGCCCTCTGCGGCCGCATCCCCATCGTCGCCGTCTCCGCCTCGCTCGTGGAAAAACACCGCCAACAATACATCGACGCCGGCTTCGACGCCTGGATCCTGAAACCCATTTCCTTCGACCGCCTTAACAAGCTTATGGCAGCCATCGTTGACAAGGATATCCGCAAACAATGCTTGTACGAGCCCGGTGAGTGGGAGAGAGGAGGCTGGTTCCACGAGGGCAGAGCGAGTGTCGATGAGGTCAGCACGAAGCCGACGGGTAAACCGACGATTACCAATCCGAGTGAGAGGATGAAGGAGGCAGCTGAGGATGCTGACAATCCTATGGCTGGAGAGGAAGATGAGGAGGGGAGACAGCCCGAGGAGCAGGAGAGGTTGTTGCAGAAGCAGGAGGAGGAGAGGACGGAGGATGATGATAAGAAGAACGAGGAGATTAGGTATGAGGATCCAAAGGATGCTGTGGGGTGAGCATTGAGATTCATCGGTCGGCCATTTTTGTCAAGAGGGAGGGGAGAGGAGCGAGTGTGATACGAAGGAATTATAGACTGCATCCTGTTAGGAGTATTGTTTAGTCTTTGGTGTGGACGATTTAGCCATTATTTTGGGTGTCGCGTCACGATGTACACGACCGTCACGTTTGTTTGGGGCTGGCGCCAGCGACGACGCGACTGTTGCTGCTCATATCGAGCCGCGGACGGAGAAGAAGAGCAGGATGTAGACTGTAAGATGACGGGCTCAAGGAGAGTCGATATGCGGTCAAGAACACACATGGATGGAGTCACGGTGGTGGTATGAGAAAGGTAGAAGAGACAATGCAAAACTAGTAATACTCATCACAACCTGCGCCCAGTCTGCGCCGTTATCCGATCTCAATGGACGAATTCAACGACTACACCCACGCTCCACACAGAAACTTCCACGCAAGGTAGCTCGGCGCCATGCGTTTTCAAGCTTGACTTCTCAAAGCCGTCGTACATACATTCATCAATCCTACCATATCAAGCAACTACACCTCGTGTCCACGCCTCCATGGTTCAAAGACGCATCCAACACAAGCAGTTACTGTAAAATGCATGTTCGGAGCAGGCTCCGGAGGTCACTTCATGTTGGTCATGTGCTCTCTTTGTCCAACAAACTTCCGCTAATGTACGCACCGTGTGCAAAGCACATCGCCAACACATAGACTTGTACATAGCCCTGTCCGTGCGCTCTTAAGATGTCAAAGACGAGATCGATACTTGCAACAAGTTTCCTGATATAGCATGTTCGGACCAAGGTCCGATGCATCCAAGATGTTGGTGGTGAACTGGTGTCGAGTTTTCTTTGTGTGCTCATCAATCAATCGCGGAACGTGGAGTTGGAGAGTCGAGGATCTCCGCGCACCATCACATTCCGCACACTACACAGACAGACCTAACCTTAATTCAAACACCTCCTTGCGATCTCTTAACAGTCTAAGAATGTCTCCTTCCCGCATGCCTTACATAGAGTTTTAAGACATTTCAATCAGATAGTGAGCACCTCAACTCGCAAAACGTTCATCAACCCCACCACGCCACTCAACGACTCCCAAACTCCCAGAAGCTAATTCTATAGAGCCAAAGCAAACAACTTATGGCGAGAAGTGTTAAGAGAGAAGCGAGCTGCGACAGATCTTGGGTGCTAACGACCTGTCCAACAGCGTACGACACGACGCCAGGTAGCGCCAACGGAACACAAAATCCAAACGTAAAAATCATGTCAGGAAAATGCATGCTCCTCCATGCAGTATGTTCGGAAATGTGTCCGCCAGGTATGGGTTTGTAGTGTGTTGTTTCTTCATTCCCTCCTCCACAAATCCAGGACGTGGCGGCGAAGAGCCGTGCTCATCCGCACAACTCCACTGCCCGAACACTACATAGTTGGGCATGCACCATTTCATCTTGATTCAACACACCTCTGTAGTCTCTCGACGTCTTTATTACCGCTTGTCGAACAATCAGCTCGGCGAGCATATGCTTAAATCCCTAGTCCATACAACAAAATTCACTTCATCACCACTATAGCCTTCCTTGAGCTCAGCCGTGAATTTCGCCCGCTGGGCTCCCACGATAAAGTCAGGATGATGCGCAGAGTAAGTAGGGAGACTGTAGGGGGGAGAGATGTAGTTTAGGGCACAGGGTAAGAGGACGGGGTGGGAGGGATGAGCAAGGATTTGGGGAGCGGTTGAGGAGCGTGAGTATAGTTTTGACAATAGCGAAGGGCATAGCGTGCTGTTTGTTGGTGGCTGATGGTCGTTATCGAGAAGAGTGAGTCGGATCACACATGTGGAATATGCAAGAGGAGTAACATGGAAGTGTTGTTTGTTGTGCAATGATTTGTATTGCCAAAGCGAAGCAGTGGAAGAGGTCTCTTCACCGTCGACTCCATGCGGAGAGGAAGTTCATACGTTCTGTTATACCGCCCCAGCCGTCTAGGGTGTGTTTCTTCTGCAGCCTCGCCAGCGCCGCGCCATCACCGCTCTCAACTTCCGAATCATCTTCAACACTCCAAACCCCTCTTTGCGCCGGCAAAGGGCGGCCAGCTTTCCACGCATCCAGCACTGCGACCGCGAGACCAGGTCGGAAACGTGTCCGCTTCAAAGCTTTGGTTATGAATTCGGAAGAGAAGCCTTCGGCGTGCTGCTCGGCGAAGAAATCTTCCATCTCATCAGCAGCAAGAGGCTCGTCTGGATCCCGGGACCCAGTGCTCGATACTTCAGAAGTGGCTGAGAGTGTTGGAGAGGCGGGGCGTGGGAGCCGGGTAAGTGGTGATTGTGTCTGTGTTGCATTGTCGAGGTCGTTTTCTTGAAGGTAGCTGCTGAATTCTTGCAGGGATTGGGTGGCTGAGGCGTCTGAGTCGGGATGGTGTGGGGGCGAGGAGTCGAGGAGTGGTCGTGGAAGCTTGCTGATATGATTAGAGATCTGGGAGGGCGAGAGGATGGCTTGGGTATCGAAGGCGGCGAATTTGTTCACGCGAGGGGTTGGGGTATTGGAGGGAAGATTATCTTCGTCGTCTTCATCTTCTGGGATCTGGGGTGGCCTGGGGAGAGGAGCAATGTGGGCAAAGTCGGTGGAGGAAGCTATGCTCTCGAGATCATTATCTTCGTCTTCCAGTTCGATGGGGGGCCGAGGAAGTGGAGCGGTGTGCGCAGACTCGTCCTCTGACTGTGTACTCCCTGTTTCTTCCTGTTCATCGATCTGCGCGGCTTGCTCCTGTGTCTGGCTAGGCGTAGCTTCCTCTGAAAAAGGTTGCTCAGCGCTTGCATGTTGGAAGCTCAGAGCTGAAGAGATATCCAGCGGCTGTTCCCGAGTGCCAACAAAGTCCACTGGCTCTTCTGGCTCCACTAGAGTTGGCGACAAGCTGGTTCTCCTGTGGATCTTCGCGGGCCGAGCTGGTTCGGTCGGTGCTGGCGCATCCTCTACTTCGCCCCGTATGCGCTTCAGTGCCGACTCGTATCCATTCCTGATATACTGTGGCGTCTCGTGCTGTGCTGTGGATTCAGACGCCAATCTTGAGTCTGAAGGCAGTAGGTTCGACGTGTTCTTCTTGAGCTCGAAAGGCGATCTACCTTGCGCTTCCAAGTCTCTTAGACGTTTCTTATGTTGCTCTTCGGCCCATCCTTCCATCTTGTCCAGATCATCCACAGAGGCATACTCCACGGCCTGAGACGCGGCAACGGTCTGAGACGCAACAACAGTCTTGCCCTGTGTCTGACTCGAGCTATCGTCCTGGTTTCTCTCTTCAACCTTCTTCCTTATACATTCCCTCTTCGAAACCGGGTCTCGCAGCCACTGTGGCCTGACCACCTTCTCGTAGTACTGCCGCCACTGCGCAGCCGATTGATTGTCCTGCTTCTCGGCCCAGTTCGTCCATGCTGTGTCGTAAGACATGTCTTCTTTCGAGCAGCTGTCGATGTCTTCAACGAAGGCGTACAGCTCTTCCCAGTCCTCTGTTGTAAATGTTGCGGCTAGTTGATCGACGGTGTACGTTTCCTTGCCTGTTGCTGGTTCTTCGCTGGTAGCTGTCCCCATGCTGGCAGTGGCAGGTTCTTCTTGCACGAACCGAGCCTTGTTCTTGTCCCTGACAAGTCCCGACTTCTTCGCTGCAGGTGGCGCGGCCGCTCTCGACGACTGGTTTGAAGGCGGAGACGGCGGCGCATTGTCCGGGATGTTGACCGCGGAAGGAGGCTGATACTGGAGCTTCTTGAGGTAGCGGTGGCGCCACGACTGCCATGTGTGTCGCGGATACTACACACAGTCAACATCGCATCTCAACTCTCACGCGCCTGCATACCTTCTCCTCCAGCTTCTTGTACAGCTCATTCCCACTGACCGCAACGCCACTTGCTGCAGCGTCCGTGGCCCACTTGTACAGTATGCGGTCCTCGTCAGGCGTGAACGCAGCTCTCGTACCCTTTGCAGGTCTGACTATGGAGCCAGGGTCACGTGCAGTGCCTATCCTCGGCCCTGCTGGAAAGTCGTTCGGATCTAAGATCTCGCCGCTTGCAATGGACTTGTGCACGAAGTCGTAGCTGATTGTTCCTGGCGGACAGTCCTTGCGGAAGTGGTCTGCGATCATCCAGTCGGCCTGCTTCTCCAGCGGCACGATGCTGCCGCCGTTGGCTCTGATCAGGTCCCGCAGCGCTGCGCGGTGAGGCACGCGTTGCGCGACCCAGAACTTCTTGCCCTCGAAGAGTTCGCCAGCTTCGAGCTCGGCGCCCTCGGCCACGTCTTCGTATACAATGGGCCCCGCCATGGTGGTGAGGTAGGATTGTGGAGTTGGTGATGTTGACGCGTCTGGGGAAACGCGTGCTCACATGTTGACGATTGTGGGTCGCATTGCCGCGGCGTTCACTCGATGCCTCCCCCACCGACGACAACATGCACACGTTATAGAAGAGCAATATGGCGCTTGCGCGCACCCTCATCCTCGTCGCCCTCACGGTCTCGCTCTTCACATTCGTAGCCTTCTTCGGCCGCCTTCCGGCCTTCAGGTAGCACTCAACATCACTCGCTACCATCCTATACTGATCAAGACAGGAACACACCCATAGGCTTCCTCAACCGCCTCTTCGTCCTGCACATACCCTCGTTCCTCTGTCGGCTCGATGGCAAGCTCACCAATGGCCGCATCACCTCCGGCAGCGCCCGGCTCGGACACTACCTCATGCACGACAAGCACCCCGTAATCGTAGTCTTCTTCCTCGGCCTTGTCACCGCATGCGCTGTACTGCTCTTGCCCGCGGTGTGGCACACGCTACGCCTCTACCACAAGCTGCTAACACTGTTCCTGCTACCGCAACCCTACTTCTGGCTCTGGCTCAGCGCCAAGTCAAACAATGCCACCTATATCACTCGCGCCCATCATGCCTCGCAAATGCGCCACTACCCGTACGACCGCGTTCTCTACCACCCAGGCCATACATGCTCGACGTGCAAACTCCTCAAGCCAGCGCGCAGCAAGCACTGCAGCATATGCAAGACCTGCGTCTCGCGCATGGACCACCACTGCATATGGGTGAACAACTGCCTTGGGCGTGGGAACTACAAGTACTTCCTCTTCTTGCTTCTGTCCACCGGCATCTTGATCGCCTATGGTGCATATCTCGCCTGGTACTCGCTGAGTCCACTTGTTGGGAACCAGTATGCGAAGTTCGAAAGCTGGTACACGTACAAACCTACGCCAGGATCTGATCCGAAAAGCTTGATGAACTGGTTTGGAGCAAAGAGTCACTACTTCGTGGCATACGTGAGCTTGTACCTCGACCTCGGCGGTCTCAGCGCAGCGGGCGTTGGACTCCTCGCGCTCCTCACCTGGCCACTCCCGCTGGGGCTTCTGGCATACCACATCTACCTGATCTGGGCGGGCATGACGACGAACGAGAGCAGCAAGTGGGCAGATTGGCGCGACGACATGGCAGACGGCGTTGTGTTCTTGGGAAAGAGGAGGGAGGACACGATGGCGGAGAACTGGTTCAGCGCCTCGCATCCCACTGCAGCGCCTCTGCGCCGCGCCGACAGTGGAAGTTGTTCCGACGAGCCGGTTCTCACGCCAGGAGAAGACGAGGAGGAGATTGATGTGGAAGAGCCGCAAACGACGTGGCCGCTAGAGAGCAGGCATATTCTAGTGCGCACAAGAGATGGCCAAGCGCCCAAGTCGCTACCTCCTCGCATCCAACGCGTCGCCGAGCCCGATTCATTCGAGCGCGTGTGGAGCCTGGCTGCGGTGGAGAACGTGTATGACTTGGGCTTCTGGGACAACCTCGTTGAGGTGCTCACCAACTAGAGGATATGCATAGCAAACACGTTCACACAAGACTAGCCTTGAACCCCTGAACATTTTCCCCCGACTACCACCTTTTCCACCCACTCCCATCGCGATATTCACCGCTACTACTTGTTACATCGCCACCCGACCACCGGACTCTTCACCCGACTTTTCTTGACCATCTTACACATCTACATATCACCTACGGCCGACACCCTAGCATAAGATGTCTCTACGTTCGTCTACTGCGTGGGTTTGCTCATACTGATCGTGCTGCTCTACCTCATCCCGCCTATAGGGAATTATCACTAAAGGCTTTCGTGTGGTAGGGGGTTGGGGAGGGTTGGACACATTTCTTGTGAATGCTGAATTGTGATGGCACTTCTCAATCTATCGATGAGGATGAAAAGCCTCTAGAACGGGGCACAAGGTACGACCAGAAGGTACGACCAGAAGGATTGTAGTGTAGACGGTCAACTGTACATCTAGCGATCATAGATATGTTCAACTTTGCCAAGTGGAAGCAGGGGAGATCGTCGGTGCTGTTTGAGGACAGGTAGACAGGACCATAAACTAAGTACAGAAGTCAAGAGAATAGCATACAGTTCTCAAAAATCTGCATGTCTCTGCCTCGGTCCTTGTCGTGTTTTGGGCGCTGTCGCCTTCCACATCTCCGCTTCGACATGAATCTAGCCTTTCACCGAGTTTCTACAGCCCCGAACCAGTCACGTCAACTCACTACCTCGTCAGCACACTCCCCACCCAGCCGTCCACCAGCTCATCCCCCACATTCCACGCAACCAAGCCCAACCCCCGACTCCCCGTCAACGCCACCGTCGACCTTTGGCTCGGCTTCCTCGTCCTCTTCGCACTTGTATACCTCTTCCACGGTATCGCCATAGGGACAGGGACGTGAAACCGCTAAGAACGAATCAATGCTGGGCGGTTATGAAGTAAGAGGGAAGGAGCGCTGCGTGCTGTGTTGCCCCTTCTGGGCCAGGGGATGCAAGGGTGAAAAAGTGACGAGGACGGGATGGGCCATTCCATGAAGAGCGTTGGGGTTGGATGTTGCGATTGCGATGGCAGGTTTGCTCCTTTGTTCCTGCGCGCTTTTCTTGTTTCGCATCTATCCTCCTCTTCAAACGTTCTCCCGCTTACACCTAACAACATGCAAGTCAAAACCCACCGCCTCTACCGAGCATAATCCAAAACATCCTCGTCATGAGCTCCTCCTCAACACCATTCCTCACCATGCCTATTACCAGCAAGCCCAGCGCCGACACGTTCCAGTCTATCGCTCCACACCTGAGCCCAGTAGACTGGATGTGCATGCTCATAGTTGCAATCACGCCAGTGTGAAAACCTCGGTTTGCAACTGTCAAGATCAGCAACAGGCCTTTCTTGCAATCCCAGAGTCCGAGATGGAGCGCCAAGTAGCCAAGATAGAGGATTGGTTGCGGCCTGCAAGGGAGGAACTTTGGCGTGGTCGGGATAGGGAGAGTGATGGTATGACTTCTATACCGTAGATGAAAGGCCGTGAAGTAGGACAGTGTACTTAGTAGATGTACAACATGGTATTGGTACGAAGTGAGAGCAGGGTAGTACAGGCGGTGAAGGTATAGTCTAATGGTGGATCCACTTCTTCTTCGTCCCATCAGCATTTCTCTTCCGACTCTTCTGCTTCTTCTTCGTCTTCTCCTCCGTTTTCTTTTCAACCTTCGGTGCCCCAGAAGTTTCACCAGCACCCTCATCTTCTTCATCTTCCTCATCTGAATCGTCTTGCGCCGGAGCAGGCCTGGGCTTAACCTCCTCTTCATCGTCGTCAAAGCCCAAACCATCAACAGCGCCCAGGAACCCCGTATTCCCTTCACCCTTCATTAGCGCTTCAACATCGATACCACCACTGGTCAGGTAGCGCGCCGAGACACCAGTATTAATGCGCTCAGCCAGCAAGCCCTTAAGCTCATGTCTAATCGCCGTGAACTCCGCTTTCGTCATTTCACTCGCGTTCTTCTCTTTCTTCTTTCTTCCACTTCCCCTCCCCTTCTTACCCTTGGCTTCCTTCTCAAACTCCTCACTATCGTAGTCGATACCTAGGTCCTCGGCGGCTTGCATGAACATATCATCTGTGCTATTCTTCTTCTCCTTCGCAATGACCGTATCAGCCAACTTCTTCGACAGCGTAGCGCGCGGCTTAAGCCGCGAAACAATGCGCCGGTCGATATCCAGTGTGCGGATGAAGTACGCGCGTTTCTTGTTCGTTTGCTCCTTGGCCGACTCGGCGCGGGCGTGCACCTTCGCGACGAGCCGGCGCACGCCAGCGACTTCTTCGGGCGCGCAGATGATGATGCTGGATCCGGAGGCGTCGGCGCGCGCTGTGCGGCCCGAGCGGTGCACGTAGGTGTCTGCTGCACGCGGGAGATGGTAGTGGATCACGAGATCGACTTTAGGGATGTCGAGACCGCGGGCTGCGACGTCGGTGGCGACAAGGATGGAGCCGGGACGCTCTTTGAAGCGCTCGATGGAGCGGAGACGCGCTTTTTGGATCATGCTTGAGTGCAGAGGGAGTGCGGGGAGGTTAAGGTTGGTCAGGAAGGGGGTTAGACGGCGGACGGCGGAGATGGAGTTTGTGAAGATAAGGGCGCGCTTGTTGGGGTGGAAGAGCAAGAGGGAGTAGAGGTAGAGGTCCTTTTCTGGTCCGGCACATTCGATCAGGCCTTCGCGGAGTTTGCTAGCCATTTGGGATTCGGGGTTTGCGTCGATGAAGCGTGGTTGCTCTTCGCGGAAGTTGAGCTTCTTGAGAAGATACTCCATAGAATCGGCTTTGTTCATAATGTCTCCGGTGCCGTTGCCAAATTTCACTTTGCCGGCAAGCTTCTGTTGAAGGCCCTTCTGGAAAGTGGCGGAGAAGACGAGGGTTTGGCGTTCGACTTCTGGTGTCGGCTCTTCTTCGTCTTCTTCATCGTCGACCCTATCGAGGACTTTGAGGATCTCTCCAAGCTCTTGATAATGACCTTGACTCAAAAGACGATCTGCTTCATCCAGAACCAGAAACTTGACTTGCTTGAGGGAGCGCAACAGGCCCTGGCCACTGCTGATAACCTCCCATAAGCGTCCAGGGGTACCCACAACAATATCTGCCTTTTCAAGCTGACGGCGCTGCTTCTGTACAGACAGGCCACCAGTGATTGTCGCAATTGACGGTGCGTCGAAGTCACCCTTGACGCAGAGGTCAGTCAAATGTGCTGTGATCTGATGGGCAAGTTCTCGGGTCGGCGCAACGATCAACGCAGTAGGCACGGTTGGTGTCTTCAGATCTTTATCTTTCGGTGCAGGTCGAGTGGCGAGGTAGCGCTCGACAATTGGGATACCAAAAGCGAGTGTCTTTCCTGAACCTGTGGAGGCTTTGCCGATGAGGTCCCTGCCAGCCATGATCTCTTGTATCGCTGAAGCCTGGATGGAGCTGGGCTTGGAGAACTTCAGCCCTGCGAGCGCGCCAATCACCTTCTCAGACAAACCGAGTTCCTCCCACGCTGATGTATCAATTTCCTCGTCATCGTCGACCTGCTGGTTCAGCAGGATGTCGAACGCTCCTTCGCCAGAGATCTCGAAGTCTTCCGTGGCTTCCACGCCTTCTTCTTCAACATAGTCTGGGTTTGTTTCCGTACTAGTGCCGGCGTTGGCTGCAGTGTTCTGCTTAAGCCTCTTTTCCTCTTCTCTCCTTGCCCTCGCCTCTGCCTTCTTCTCCTTCTTTGTCTTTGCTTTCTCCGGCTTGCTCTCGGCCTTGTCTTTCTTCAATGATCGCCCGTCTTCTACCGCGCTATTGGGGTCGAGGTCTTCGATTTCGATGCCGCCGTTCTTCGCTGGCTCCTCTTCGTCGCTAAACCCTGCAAAAGACTCGTTGTCGCTCTCAGCCTCGTTCTGCCCAGGTGTGACTTCCTCGGCATTCTCTTCCTCCTCTACCGCTTCCTCGTCTTCCACTGGGAGCTCCTTCCCTTCCTGACCAATCATCTTCTCCAGACGCGCAGCTTCCTCTTCCTCTCGTTTCCAAGCAGCTTCCACGTCTTTCGCAACCTCGTCCTCTGTCTTTGTGGTCTGGAAGGTGATGTTGCCGGTCGTCGCGTCCTTGATCACTTCCACGTCATCAATCTCCTCCAAGCCATAGAAGCCTTCGGTGTCCTCCAGACGGTCTGGCATGCCTACGGTCTTCCATCCTAGGTCGTTTAATTGGACCTTGCGCTTTTGCTTCTTCGTCGAGGGCTTGGGGACGGTTTCGAGCTTCTGGCGCTTGTGCGCTTTATGCGCCGCCTTTGGAGGATTATGCGCTCGCTTCATCTTGGATATGGCGTGAGTGATGATGTCTGGCGGGTGATCGCGGTTTCCCAGAAATTTTTGGAGACATCGGCGAGTCGGCGTTTGGCTCGGCTGCACTTGCCCCTTCACAATGGTGCCCCTCACGTGGGGTTGACTTTCACACACCTTGAATATTCACAAAGACTCCACTGCTCCATCGGGGACGGTCTCCGTAAAGACTGCATCCACCACCAGATTTTGAAAGCCTAATTTTTTTCTCATATCAACCGCGCGATTTGAAGGACATCTTTCTGCTTTGAGGAACGCACAGAAAGAAAGTTTGGCAACTCATCAAAGCTCAATTGGGAACACTACGCGCAGCCTCGAAACTCGAACATCAATCAACAGTACTTGAGAACAAGAGCCGAAGATGGGCAAGTCATCGAAGGATAAGCGAGATGCATACTATCGTCTTGCCAAAGAAGAGGGATGGCGTGCACGATCAGCATACAAGCTGCTACAGATCGATGAGGAGTTCAACCTTTTCGAAGGAGTCACAAGAGTCGTTGATCTTTGCGCTGCGCCAGGTAGTTGGAGTCAAGTGCTCTCCCGCGTCTTGATCAAGGATGAGACGTTTGGACGAGCAGGATGGGAGCAAAAGCAAGCAGCGACACGGCGACATGTTCTTGGATTGAGCAACGAAGAGAAGGAAGAAAGCGCAGCTCCAGCCGTTCAGCAGCCAAAGCCTAAGGAAAATGTCCGCATCGTTGCGATCGACTTGCAGCCCATGAGCCCTCTCGAAGGTGTTACAACAATGCGCGCCGACATAACACATCCATCTACCATTCCACTTATGCTGAAGGCCTTGGACCCGGATACCTACGACCCCAGTTCGAGTACCTCGTCTTCTCCCGTTGATCTTGTCATCTCAGACGGTGCACCAGACGTAACTGGTCTGCACGATCTCGACATCTACGTTCAAAGTCAACTCCTATGGGCAGCGCTGAATCTCGCGCTGTGCGTACTTAAACCTGGCGGCAAGTTCGTCGCGAAGATCTTCCGCGGTAAAGATGTCGACCTGCTATTTGCGCAGCTCAAGATTGTATTCAAGAGAGTACGCGTTGCAAAGCCTAGAAGTAGTCGAGCGAGCAGTATCGAAGCTTTCGTCGTGTGCGAAGGGTTCTGCCCACCGGAAGGATTCAAAGCAAGTCTGGATAAGCCACTGGGTGCTGGAACACAACTGCCTACAGACACCAACACGCAAAAGAATGAGAAGAAGGCTTCACGAACAGTCAGAGCGGATTGCGCTGTTGAGCTGGACTTTGGCACAGAAGATGAGGATGAGGATGATGTGGAAGAGGGTGGTCAGCGATGGATAGCACCTTTCCTAGCGTGCGGTGACCTGTCAGCGTACGACTCCGACGCGACATACAAGCTACCCAAGGACAGAGTCAGTCTAGATCCGGTACAGCCGCCTACAGCACCGCCGTACAGACGTGCATTGGAGATGCGAAAGATGGCTGGTGGCGCGTATGGGAAGACGAAAGGCAGGGCGGTTAAAGAGACAGTCTGAATTACAGCCAAGTTGAAGAGCCAGAGTCACGGAAAGCGAATGCGTCGCTTCTCGAACAGAATCAAGGGAACGATGCCCAGAGATCCGTCACATTGATTCAGCATGATGACCGTGTTGATCTCAGCCACATATTTAACATGCTGCCTTTGATCTCTCCCAGCAGCCCTCCAGTCTCTTATGCCCAACGCGCCTTGGCCCTATCAATCACAAGCGCCAGCTCCTCCTCGATACATATTGGATTTACATGTCTCAAGGGCCTCCACCACCACTTGGTCTCAACCTCTCCCTCTTTCTGAAGGATCTCATCCAGTAGCTCCATCATCTGAACCAACTCCAGAAGGTCACATTCGAGATATGTGCCCCTGCCTGCCTTGCGACTAGACATTGGTCCTGTCTTCAGCTTGAGGAGGTGGATGTAGAGATCGTTAGTCGCTCGGCTACGCTCGAACAGTTCCACACGCGCGTCATATTCGACAGATTTCTGTTCGAGGCATACTCTGAGTACCAGATGGCAGCGCATACGCCGAGAGCCAGAGCGGAACTTATGGCGACCATTGCTTGAGGGTAAGAAGGTTTCGAGGATCCATTTCGGCAATGAGGTTGTGGGGGCGTTGAAGTAGGCGGTAGGTGAGCTTGGGGTAGAGGGGAAGGCTGTGGAGAGTAAGGATGTTGTCTGTGATTTTTGAAGTGTGAGAAGTGCATTTTACTGCAAGCGCAAAGGCAATAAACCGAACTTTATGTTCAGGTAAATTTTAGATCTTGGGTCCATGCGATAGACTTGGTAGTTTGTATTGAGAGAATTATCAAATGCTATAGCAACCGTTCCATATAGAATCATAGCAAACATGAACAATGCGAGACACCTTCTCATCGAACCTTCCAGCCCGTCCTGACACAAACCTACACCCCATCCAACCATCGCTTACGCACTTCCCTAATAGCCCGCATCCACAACCCCTGCGCCTCCTCCGCCCATCGCACCTGCTCCAGCAACTTCTCCACATCGACCTTAATGCGATAACCATCTTGTTCCACTTGAACCAATAAGGCGATTGTTTGGCCGATATCATCTATTGAATCGAAAGCTGCCTCCATATCCTTTTCGAACTCTTCACCTTTGTTGTGTGGGAAACCGAACCCGTGCATGGCGGCGGTGAGCTCGATCAATGCCTGTCGCCGTTGTAGGTAGACGGTGCAATGTTGCAAAGACCGTCGCTGGTTTGGGGCGGTGGCGGTAGTATTTTGCGTCGGCATAGAGTGCGGCTACTTTGGCGGTATGACCAAGAACTTACGCGTCGGGCATTGTGTTGGTGTGGAGTGGATGACTTGACACTGGACGATGATTTTTGGTGGTTTGAAGGTTATTGAGGTGCGAGGTGGAAGGTCTTATACTCATGGCAAGGGCATTTGATTGCGAGTTCACTAGAGGCACAGCGAGAGAGCACAGTTCCAGAATAAGACATTGTGCCTTCCAGATTTTTCCGGAAGTCAGCCGAACTGAGTTGAGACTTTCCGCGACTGTAACTCAATCTGGATTTCTTTTTTTGAAGCGCTTGAACAGTGTGACTTGTTCTAAGAAAACTTTTGTTGGTTCGCACGAAGCCAAGAGATTGTTGTGGCCAGATGTATTGGGCGGTTGAGTAGTTGAAGAAAGGGGTGTAAATATCATGGAGAATAAAAACATAGATGTGGATCGACTATTTGATCAATCGAGTAGCGTGAAAGCGAATAGAACCCAATCTCAACTTCCACCACCTTTGCAACAAAGCAATCCTACTGTGCATATCGCCGATAAATCTAGCATAGGTGCCAGGAAGTCCATCTAAATGACCCAGTCGCATCACGTAAATACGTCAAATCAAGTTGCTGAGCGCCTTCATGAATAAGTCAAAGCCAAAAAAGGCGCTGGTCTCGAACAAGAGCCACAGACATAACTAACCCCACCAAAAAGAAGTACTCAGCGCCATAATACCGCAGGCACTCGATGGCCATCAGAGTACCGATATCGATCTTACCACCGAACCTAACAGATGATGACTGACCAACATCCTGAGGCTGTCGTGAAGCTATGTTGAACCGGGCCTGAAGAACCATGTGCGCGACCTTGAGGTATAGAACGTACAGGAGGATGGCGAAGAGGATAATGGAGACCATCTCGCAGCCGTGTCGGTTGCGTGTGGATATGAACTGTCGCGGCCCTGCAGCAATACAAAAAGGCGACCTTTCTAACCGTTGGGTCCTGAAGGTTATATACACCGTAACATGAACCATTCCTCCACATACCCGATGAGTTTGGCTGATCGTAGAGTCGTGGTGACAAGGTGTCGATGGAAGCTTTGTATGGAGGCGATGAGTCCGTTTGCGGGTGGTGACATGATGCGGAAAATGTTGTTGTGTAGAGTGAGAGTCGTGTTGTTGCCAGGATGGACAGCAGTTGAGTGGAAGTTGTTCCTACTGTTAAACCCAAAGGCGAAGATCAAATTATGTACATATGCACCGCAGCTCCTCAGCATGAAGATAGTGAAGGTTTCGGAAGGTAGGTGAAAGAAAAAGGCGCAAATGGGTCGAACAAAGCGACAGGGCACATGATGAAATGCTGAACTGATGCATCAGGTTGTGTAAGTAGACAGGAACTGCGCCATCACGATGTGCCTTGCACCCGCCGGCGCTCATTTGCCGGTGTTGAGATACTGTGCGCACTGATCTCCAGCGATCCTTCCGAATACGACGCATTCAAGCAGGGACGAACCCCCCAACCTGTTACCGCCATGTATCCCTCCAGTGATCTCGCCTGCGCTCCACACCCCCTCGATGCGTTTGCTGTCTTTTGTCAGAGCCTCACTCTTTTCATTGATGAGTACACCGCCCATAGTGTAGTGAATGATAGGAGTGACTGTGCCAACGTAGACGACTGACTCTGGGGTAGGTTCTTTTAGTGCCCAGTTTCCGAAGAATTTTCGACCGAGAGGGTCTTCAGTGTTGTCCGAAATGGTGATGGCGTAGCTCTTGAAGGTTTCCAAAGCTTCGACGCTCAACTCGGATATTGTTGTCTTCCGCATGAGACCTTTGAATAGGTAGAAGTCGACGTGAGACTTCGCAGCATTGTACGTGGCTTCGTCCAGAACAAGTTGCACCTCCCATTGGCGCGGTAATTCAGACGTGGATGACGTTGAAGTGATCGCGTTCGCTACGTTCTCTCTCGTATTCAACTCATTGATGAAACGCTTGCCGTTCAGCAACAGTATGCCGCCTTCACCTCTGAGCACCTCTGCAGCCAGAAACTTGAGCGGCGAGGTCGGATCCGCTGGGTCCACGAATCCAGTTGGGTGCACTTGCACGGAATCCATATCGATCAGCTGAGCTCCAGCCTCGGTGAGAAGTGGCTGGGTGCCGGGTCGAGGGTCGTTTGTTGACGGGTAACCCGCGAGATCTGGACGGTATTGGGCAAGAAGGCCTTTCGCGTCGCCACCAAAACCTCCTGACGCAAAGATCACAGGGCCGTGCAGTTCTTCGTAGTTTCCATTCGGATCGATGTACTCCACTCCTATCACGCGTTTCTTTTCTTGCAGCACTTTCGTTACCGTGCACGACGTCTGCAAATGAAAGAGGGGGGATTTTTTGAGGCTCTTCATCAGCGCGCTGATGATTGCAAACCCTGGTGGCGGTCCAGCTCCCCGATGTGTCCTTGCATATGAATGGCCACCCAGTTGCGCAACTTTGCTGAGGTCGACTCCTCTCTCTTCTACCAGCCAATGGACAGCCCCCGCAGAGCCTTCCGTTAAAGTCTTGATGAGATTTTCTCGCTCAGTAGTAAAGCTCGACATTCGCTTTCCAGCTGACAATACAGTATCTGAGTAGAACGCATCTCCTGGCTCTGCAAACAGTTGGAAATTGGTTGGTGCGCCATTGATACCGGACGATGCTTTGATGCTATTCCCTCCTGGCTTTGCAGCACGTTCGAGAACGCGAACTGGGACGTTGTGTTTCACTAGCTGTGACGCAGCACTGAGACCTGCGAGGCCAGAGCCTACCACAATGGCGCATTTCGAGGACATGTCGTCGTCCAGAATGGTGGAAAACATCTGAGACCTGCTGTTAGGGTAGACAAATGCTGCAAATATCACAGCAAACGAGATAATGATAAGAAGAGGCTTGCGGAGGGTGAGCATTGTAAGTAGACCTCGATTGTCATTTCATCACTACTGTGGTCAGTCGATGCAATTGTAGGCTCACATCGTGATCAGGCGATTGTCACGCCGCGGGTGGCGTAGGTTCGCTCATGCCTGCTCATATGTGAGGCATATGGCCTTCAAGACCCTGTCTTCCATCGCTCACATTCACGTGCGATGCTTCTCGACGACTTTCAAAGATGACAAAACATGTTGTCAATGTCAGTGTTCAAGACGAAGAGGTTGATCGAAGGAAAGTGCGATGTCAGCCCCACCAAACGCACGCACCACTCCTTCGAAACCCTCCTCTCACGCCCTCTGCCTCCTCCCACCCACAACGGCAACAATAGACGTGTGTACAAAACGCCAAATCTCCAAAACAGCAGCTGCCGTCGAAGCAACGCCAATCAATAATGCTTGGTTGCGCCCGACGGCCGTAGCGCACGCGTGCGCGTTCTCCAAACGATAGATCAGCTCGGAACCTCAGTCTTCCAGGCGCTAGAAGGACCTTGTGCAGAACACAGTGGTGTTCTGCACGGATGAGGCTTGCCGAACGCTCACAATGACAGGTTTAAACGGGTGTGCGTTGCTTAGTCTACCGCTATGTTGTCCGGAATGCTGACACCCGCTGTGAGAGTGGACGTGTCGCGGTGAGAATGATCGAACGCGCATGAGGCGCGGCAGGAGGTGTTCCGGATTTTAGGACAGGTAGGAGGAGCCGGGTTTGGATCTTTCATAACTTTAGAACCTGTCTTGTGTTGCGCGGTCTTTTCTTTCCTTCTTTCTTCATTTTCGAAATCTGACTGCCGCCTGGGAGCGCCGTCTGCAAAATGCCTCTCAACAACATGCTTGACCTCAGTCTGTTGGACCTGGCACTTATCTGCCACCCTATCCTCGCACTTCTTCCACATCTCTACTCTAAGACACAACCAAAAGCTTCCAGGAGACAGTACCTCGCCCTCTCCTTCCTCGCCCTCTTCGCTTTCCGCTACCACACAACCTCAAATCCACCGCCGATCCTCACCACCCCACTGGACACAGACCTATGCCAAACCTACGACTTACCCAACCCAATCGCCCACCTCTACCCCGGCAACGCAACCGGCACACTAAACGGCACAATCAGCGTCCTCCCCATCCCGCTTACCCTCGCCCGGCAACTCATCCCCTCACAATACACCATCCTTACCTCCGCGTACCAACACCTCTTGCCTGATTTCCCAGCAGACGCGTACCCCGCGATTCTGCAAGCAGTACACGACCACGGAGTCCAAGCCTTCGGGTACAAAATCCCAGACTTCACACGGGCCGGGATCGAATTCCCATTTCTAGACATGTTCGATGACGGGACATCATTCAAATGGGCGCCCTCGTTGCTCATGACTGCAGGCCACGAAATCGCACTAAAGGGCGCGATGGACTACGGCACGCACACATTCCCCGCGTCCTTCGACCCGGCGTGCGACGCGTACCGCTCCACCGGCGCACCGGGCACTACATCTTTCTCCGCTACATCCTTCTCCTCCATCGCATCAATCTCCACCACTTTCGCCCCAGCTGAAGGATGGACGTACCCCCTACAATTCTACAAAAACATCACCAACCAGCCCACCTTTGCAGACGGGAAGACGTGCGATAACATGATCCGGCTGTTTAATACTAGTGTTACGACGAGTATTGAGACGGTGAGGGGGAGTGTGAGGGCCAAGATACCGCCGTTTGAGAGGGAGGAGGTGTGGGAGGGTGTCGAGGGGATCAGATTAGATTCGGCGTTTCTTGAGAACAATTATTTGAGTTGTGAGGGGTTTAGGGGGTATGGGTCGTCGTAGTAGGTGGGATGGCGAAAAGTTGAGTATGGAGGTAGCGGCATGGCAGGAGGTCAGACACGTAGTAGCATTGTCACTTACGATACCCAATAGAGCATGTGCTAACCGAACGTTTTGGACCACAACCGTTCTTGAAGAGACCCGTTGGAAGACAGGCTTCCCATTTTTCTTGTCTTACGCTTGCCATCTTCTGTCTGAGTCCAACATTCGCTCCTCACACCCATCATTGCCTCCGCAACCCCGCCCGTTCAGCGCTGAAGACGAGCAACCTGCTCCCTTAAGTCCCTCACTTCCCGCCAGAGCTCCGTCATTCTGTTGGTACTGACGGTGACCTTGTTCACCTGCTTGACCATAATATTGCTGAGCACAGCGCCGTAGAAGACTACGATGGCGAGGATGACGGCGAGGAGTTGCAACTTGTAATCATTTGCGGATACGATGATGCAACCGCAGAAGAGCAGGGTGACGAAAAGGCCGCTGACGATAAGGAATTGATGCTTGTGCGTCAGCTCGCGGATGTAATCATCTCGGGTGGGGTTTGTCGACATGATGGGGATCGTGTTTTTGGTTCCGGTAGTTGAGTGCTGATTGAAAAAGAGTGGTGTTGTGGGGCGGACGAGGGTCTATGCTGACTATATAGTGGATGGCTGGTTGCGAGAATGAAAGGAACTGCGAGCCTTGAGCATCAGCCAACGTCGACCCCTCTTATTTGCTGGTTCTGAGGCAAGGCGATGCAGCTCATCTGGAGCATTTTGTTACTCGAACCCGCAAGCTGAGAGCTAGCGGACGGATGTTCATGCCACTCAAGTCCCGAGAATGTGCGTGAGGGATTGTAAAAAGGAGTGCACAGGCCTGACAGTCACCTGCAAGTGGACGGGCACCACGTCTAACGACTTCGTTGTTCTGCTGCTACGTTCACGCTCTGCCAAGCTTGGCTTTGATACCAGCAACCTTCGCTTGAAGGATTCCCTTAAGTCCCCCTGCGGTCGTCGGGACCTCATCAGCGCCCACGAAGCGGCGCACGAGCAAGTTGAAGATGTTGCCAAAGCCAAGCGCCATGACTGTACTTGTGAGGATGATGACGTTGTATGGCATACTGAAGTCAGGTGTCGGCAGAGGCAGTAAGAGCGAAGTAGTGCGAATGTAGATACCCTGCTTATCTGCAGCCTGAGGCGACAGGACGCGAATGACCGCTGGCGCGACATCGAAACCTCGGTTGGCGTCCGGTGGGTACTCGGTATAGCGGAGGATGGCCTTCTCGAATTCGTATGTCAGTGTGAGGGTGGAGCTGGGTGGAATGACCATGCGCAACTCGAGATGGGTGCCCCGATGTCTGTCCAGGGCAGGCCTGTAGTAGGTCTCCTTGATGGGGCTCTCGCTAGAACTGTCTACGTGGGCACGCAGAGTGTGCAGATAGGGCTTCATGAACCACGGGAGAGATTCTAGGTAGACAAACTCCACAGGTTCAGTGGTCGAAGGGTTCTTGATGATTGCCTGTGTGCTCCCACGTTCTTGACCGTGTCCGTTGATCGATCGAGCAGCGAAGAGCTGAGGGTCCGGACGATTCAGTCCTGTTGTCATCTTCTGCTCTGGCAAGACGAGATCAAAGTCTGCGCCGACTGGAAGCTTATAGCAGCGAAGCGTGTCTGAGGCAAATTTCGTCTCGCGAAATTCGCCGTCAGACTTGATGTCCACAGTACGCTCTGGTGGAGTGTTGATGCAGACGCTGTTTGTATCGTCACTATCCTCAATCAGTGGACATGATCCCCTCAGTGGTTTGCCGAAGACCTCTTCGAGAGTCCAGCCTGGTTCGGTGCCCTTGTTGAGGGGAAAGCAGGTGTCGTGCGCGTTGTAACCCTTGGAGCTATCACACTCGATCTGGTCGACGGGCAATGGACGGGGGATTGGGTTGTCGCGTGGTCGTTTCGATCGAGCAATGTCCAAGACCATGTCCACGGACTGCTCCATCTCCAACGAGCAATTGCCATCATCAAGGTTGCAAACAGGGCGCACGTCGATGGCCATGGTCTGAAACGAAGCATCAAACAGCTTGTGCCCGTCCAACAAGCTCGAGATACCTGCCTTGCCTTTGCAGGGGAGCAGCTTAAGGAACGGTGTCAAGTTCTCGGTGCAGACTACCTCGTGAGGCAGTGTGCCGTGCAGCAGGTGCAGGTTTGGTGCATTTCGGTGGTCGCCCTCAGGCGAGAATGCCATGACGGGTCGAATCGTCTTGGTGGCATCGATGAAGTTTATGGAGGCACAGAAGAGGCCAGACAGGGCATTGGTGAGAGTAAGCCAGCGTGCGAATGCTCTATTGGAGGTTAGAGCGTGAACCCATAGCAGATCACGATTGTCTTACTGCTCCTCACTCTCGGCCTCAATCCAAGCCCACAGCTCTACGCCAGTTCCTCCTTCTCTTGACCCCTGCCATGGCCGCTGACCCCAGTTCTCGGCATCCCACCTTCCAACGCTGAACCTCAGGTGCAGCTCCTGTGTATGTGCATGCTGCAGAATCTGTCCTAGTGACCTCGGCACATAGCGGAAGTTCTGCTGCTCGAACGACGTCTGGCTCTCGTTGCTGCGAAAGTTGAACGACGCGAGGAGCGTGTCCTGGGGGAGTGGTCGTAGCAGGAGCTGCTCGTGGTAGTCAGACGCCGCAGAGGCGAGTGCTACGAATGCACTCAGCAAAAACAGAGACAAGGAAGAAAGCATCGCAGCATTGCAACGTTTCCTCTGCACCAAAGGAGTATCGTAAGAGCTGGTAATGCACGCTCTTCTTGCGGAGGTGAAGGTACGCGTTGCACGTAATTGGCTGCAGCGCGAGCTTGGCGTCACCGAGGGCCGGTCGCGATTTCTGTTCGACGCCTGGGTCGAGCTGCCGACCTCACCTTTCACCAACAACACCGGTAGAGAGTAGACAACATGGCCGCAGCTGAGACGCGTAGGCTGCTTGGTATGTATCACTTCCATGTACTTTGCTTAGTCATACTAATAGTCTGCAGAACAGCTTATGGGCGAGCAGCTCATGAGCGGCTCTGACCAGCGTGCGCCGCAGCTCAGCATTACCGACCCCAAGGTCTGCCGCTCATACCTTGTCGGCAACTGTCCCCACGATCTCTTCACAAACACGAAGAACGAACTGGGCCCCTGCCCGAAAGTTCACAATGAAGCCCTCAAGACCGAATACCAAGAGGCAGACGCAGACCAGAAGCGCAGGTGGGGCTTCGACTTCGACTACCTGAGGGATATGCAGCACCACATTGACGGCTGTAACCGCAAGATAGACCAGGCCCAACGACGCCTGGAGAAGACACCTGAGGAGATCCGACAGACTAATGCACTGGTGAGTACATGCTACCCCGACCTGGAGTCAGGTATTAACAATCGCTCAGTTGAAATCGATCAACGAACTGACCAAATCAATCGACGCCGGCATGCTCGAAGTCCAGATCATGGGCGAAGAGGGCATGGTCAACATGGCCGTACAAGAGTTCACCAAGGTCCGCATGAAGAAGGCTGAGAAGGAGGAACGTGAACGGGAGCTGAGGGCTCTCTCGGATACAGGAGGGCCATCAGGACATCAGAAGCTCCAGGTCTGTGACGTGTGCGGTGCGTATCTCAGTCGTCTTGACAATGATCGCCGTTTAGCAGATCACTTCTACGGAAAGATGCATCTTGGCTATGCTCAGATGCGAAAGTCGTACGAATCCCTGCAGAAGGAGCTCAAGGGCCGCGCCCCTCCCCACGACGCATACCCATCACAAAGCGACGATCGAGGCTCAGGTGGCTGGGGCGGCGGCGGCTACGGTGGTGGTGGTGGAGGAGGAGGAGGATACGGTGGCCGCGGTGGGCGACGTGGTCGCGGTGGCAGAAGAGGCGGATGGTAATAGTCCTTCGATCCGGCGTTCAAGGTGTGTCATGATGATTCCCAAAAGGTCCAACTTACTACAGCATTATTGCGAGCGACTTCTTTTCAGCAGTACTTGTACAACAGGCGATCTACAGAGCCATTTGGAGCATGGAGCTCGCGACCTAGTCCCAATCAAACTATGTACGCCTACACCATGACCCGTCTGACATGTCTCTAACCTTCAACAAGGGATCGCGTGCGACTATGCTCATTGCTCGGCAGAAGTCTTGACAGTAGCTGGAACTGTATTGAACCCAGGATACTGGTGAGTTGACATTTCTCTTGACGCTTATCATCTCCGAGGCCAGTTATCGATGGTATACGCACACTCTCATTTCCAGCCTCGTCATTCAGTCATGCGTCCTTTTGCATCTTCCCTGGCATCGATGCGAGCGCTCCTGTCACCTCGATTGTGCGGCACCTTCCACCGCGGATGTTCAGTAGTTATAAGCCGAGGCCCACCCGTATATGTACACTCTTCTTAAATAAGTCTGTGAATGGAGTTGTAGGAATGAATATGCTCGAGCAGAAGTCAGCCGCTGATGCTTATTCGTCACACAAGCTCGCTTCCAAATTTCCACGCTGAGGAATGTAGCGTGGTTGCATTTTCATTGCGTCAATAGGATCTTCCGCTCCCTATCCGAGCGAGAAATGCACGGCAGTTAAAGCTCGACACTCAGAGACAATGGTGTATAGCCTACAATACGTATAAACCCCTTGTTCACCGTTCAGGACCCCCTTCAGTCCGCCAGCACCATGCATTCAACCTCTCTTCTGCTGGGTCTACTTACATCCGCAGCTCAGCATGCTGTTGCATTGGAACGCAGGCTCACTGCCGGTGTAGACGGAAAGCTGTACAGATAGCACCGAACGAGCAAGCAGCTAACCCAAAGAGTAACCAGCAATGTGCTCAATCTTGAGATCGGGGACTCATTCATGGGCGCCCTGACGCCATCATCGGAATATCTTGCCAGCCTGTCCCGCAATGCCATCAGGAAGGTGAAACGTCAGAACGATGATGTCGCAGATGTTCGGGAAGACCTTGTTACCCTCGGCGGCAGAGTGCATATGATCAGAGTCACCCTTGGCAGTCGCGTCTACTCTCTCGTTATCGATACTGGAAGTTCAGATACCTGGGCCGCACAAGCAGGCTTGGTGTGTAAGGACGCGAATGGCGCTACTGTCGCAACCTCCATGTACAGATTCGGTCCTCTTTACAACACAATAGTGTCGCAAAGTTACAAGGCCTACAATTCACGACAAGCGTTTGGTGTCAACTACACCAGCGGTTAGTATCTGCAGGGCATTCTAGTTACTGAACTGCTTGGGATTGATGATGTAGGCGCTGGCTATGCTCCACGTCAGACCATCAACCAGAAGATCGGCATTGTACAGCAAGGATATTGGGATGGCGACGGTACTAGCAGCGGATTGATGGGACTTGCATATTCAAGACTGGCAAGTGGAAGCAGTACCATTGGATATGAGGCCGTCATATTCTCTCTGTAAGTCATTCCACCATCCAATCCTGCCACACTCCGTTTCACCTCGTGCAAGAGATCAAGAACTTGATCATCACCGCAGACTCCGACGCTATGTCCCTCTGCGCCGCATACATCGCTAACGCTCACCTCCAGTTTCGACCAAGCATATTACCCCCCAGTCTTCTCCCTCGTCCACAACCGCACCTCATCCGTTCGGAGCGCTCCGTCCAAAGCCCAAAGCGGCGTAATGGCCATCGGCGGCATTCCCGACGTAACCTACGACTCCAGCTCCTAGGTCGAAACAGCCATCGTCCCCGTCTTGGCAAGTGTGTACACATACTACAGCATCAAAATCGACGGCTTCAGCATCGCTGCCCCCACCGGGTCCATCGTCACACCCCAGAATTATGCCGCCAGCAGCCAAAACATCATCGTCGATTCAGACACCACGCCCATCTACCTGCTCGACCGGATCGCGGAATACGTGGCTACTTTGTTCCAATCTGCCGCTACATACAACGCTAACTCTAGGCTTTCCCTCGTCAATTGCGCTGCTGTTGCACCGAGGGTGGATGTCACGGTTGGCGGCAAAACGTCCTTCATCAGTACGAATGATTTGATGAACAGGGGATCGGGGGCTGTCGGGGGTGTTGCGGCTGGGGGGTCGTCGACTCAGTGCGTGTTGGCTATTGCGAGGACGGCGGGGGGCGTGGCGATGTTGGGGGATAGTTGGATGAAGAATGTGCTTGTTGTGTTTGATTTGGGGGGAACAAGGTTAGGATTGCTAGGAAGGAGATGTATTAGATGGGAAACAAGACGTGGAGGAGCAAGGGTTGCAGAGTAGCTGGAGGTGCTCTCAGAAAGTTTTCATTGCTCAAATTTAGGAACAAGTCTCGTCCTTCGGTGCGTCAAAATCCTGTCGAGCAGTCGTTCTGGTCTTGGTTTTCTTTTTAAGCCGATATTGTTACCTGTATATCATAAGCCATCGATGGCCTCCATAAAATCCCTTTCCATTCAGACTCCAGCTAACACTACATCGTCAACACGGCGCTGCTCTGGGATGTATAATCCCACTGTACAACCTCTGTTTCGTTGCATGCCTAATAGATCTATGTACGTTCACTGGAGCTAGCGTTCCATGCACTTCACTCAGACTCCATCTCTTGTTTTCACCGACCTTCTCTTGTCGACCTCCCACGTATATGATGAGCGGCAACCTCTTGGTGCCGATCCGCACCACCCAAACCATTTACATCGACAACGCAACCACATATCACCATATTCTTCGTCCTATGACATGTCTTCAACCGCTCAGACCACCATTACCAACGTTGACAACAACGACATCGCCAACACCGTGGTTGTTGGCATCATCCTCGGTGTTGTCTTCTGCAGCTTCTGGGGCACCGTCATGTTTAAGCTGTTCGCGTCCAAGATCTACGTGCTCATCCACCGAGTCAACACCCTCACCGAACTCACTCAGAGCATACAAGCGCAAGTCGCACAAGTGCAAGCCGCTCAATTCCGTGCGACCAACATGGCTCCATACCTTCGGCAGCATCGATTCGCTCGTCTTCGTCACGCTTTGCGCCGTTTGCAAGGCGCTCAGGAGATCATGAGTATATTGGTCAATGTTACAGCGACAGTCACTCTCGCTCTTTGGCTTTCCCGTATGGTGGTCCAACCTTTGTAGCACGGTGTTGAGGCTGTGACTGTGCTGGAAGAGTAAAGGATGTGCACGAAGGTTCTAGACACGTAGGCTTGTCGGTGGGCCTTTTGTTTTTGTCTTCTGGGGTTGAGGCTATGGTATGTGTACTAACTTTCTTTGAAATCCGGTAGTGTTGCGTATGCAGCGCATGAAGATGGTTCAAGCAGGTAGCACATGACAATCATGGCGATGTTGAGACGGTTTGTTTCAAACTGTGTTTCATCTGAACTCACAATCAAGTGTCAATTTTCTTTATTGCTTCAAACAGTGTGTTCCACGTGCAAACCTTCTCGTCTACTTAGAGCACCTGACTCTCCCTCAACTCATGATCAACATCCACGGCTCTCCGGGAACTTAACATCACAAAACCATCGAACAGCCACTTCACAGCCCCATCCTTACGAAATAGATATTCAAGATCTTGTTTTCGTGTAAAACGTGATTCTTATGGCTAGCATAGTCATAATTGTTGCGGTATTAGTGGTCCATACAAGACCCTATTACCCTTGCTTAGACTGTTCTGGACTAGCACATTCTAGAGTCAGTATACAGTCGTCTTCTCCTCACTAGATAGCAACTCAGCGCAGTATTCCATCGACCCGATAGTCCTACCTTATCGTCTACCGTAGCTATCAGTATACTACAGCAGCCCACGCCGCCACAATAATGCACCGCCAAACTGAGAACATGGCTCAGCGAATCGAACAAGTCTTTGAGTAAGACGTTGTGGAGGTTCATGGAGAGAAGGATGCCGATTGGTAGGACAGCCGGCATTTGTAAGGACACAGGTCGGCTTGGAGGTTTGCTATGGTGACCTGTGGGGGAGAATCTGAGTGAATGGAGTGTCGACGAAGAGGAATGTGAGGGCGCTGCTGGAGTCAGAAGACAGTGAAGCAAAGCTCAAAGTCTTCAATATGAATAAGGAACATCATTCGGCAACAGTTCATAGTTTTCCTTTTCACTTTCCACGTGTCATCGTGGTTGACTACATTTTTTATTGAAACTTCCTTTGATCTCACGGTAGTTCAACTAGATTGTTCCATCCATCTCGAAACCTCACAACGACCCTATCGCTCTCACAATGGCGAGCAGCATTCTTGTTAGCATCTTGTTCGCTGTCGTTGTGGGTAGGCTTTGCGAGTTCGCTATCCTATTGAAGACACAGCATGTTGGTGACGACATGAAATGGGGTTTGGAGGCGATTGAGATGATGGAGGTCGAACAGAAGTTTGAGTCAGCCGTAGCTTCTTCAATCCCTGAGATTGTGATCACTCCTCCACAGGACTGAACTAGGTCTAGATCGGACTCATCGAGCTTAGTTGATAATACATCCAATATTGTCATTCCGTTTCTCGTTTAGAGAGGCTTTGTGCTTCAAATCCCAAGATCTTCGAGTGCGTGTGAGTGCAAAACGTCTTTCACTCGGCGCTCGCCTGTGAAGCACGCATGTATCTCTTCTACATAATCCAACCTGGATTTCTCCCGATTAAGTTCTCAATCCTTGCATCTATCACCATATCTTCAACCTCTCGACTCGAATCCCTTTCTCGCCCATCAGACAAGATGCACATCACTACCTTCACCGCCGACACCGTAGCTGCCCGAAAGGTAGCGTTCTTCGGCAGCCTCCTCACCGTCATGCTCAGAACACTCGTCCTCATCACGGTCGTCACACTCGGTTTGCTCGAGTGCAGCGACTGGGCTGCAGCCTTCGCTACACTTGGAAGCGTGGCCGTGGTCACTGGCACCATGCTCACCATCGGTATCACCTTGGCTTTAGTGATGGAGAGTCGCCAACGGGGATGTCAACCGGGTGAGACGTTTGTGTCAGAGAACGTTTAGCTCCCGCGTATATGGTCTTGTTGAGGTCAATCGATTGCGCGAACCTTAAGGTTACTAGTCTACCGTTGACATTGCAGAGGCTTGGGAGATAAGCGAATACACGTCACATCGGGATTATTTGGACGAATCACTCGTGAAAGCACTGGCGGCGTTATGGTAGTGTGCATACAAAACAGAGGAAATGACATTATGTCTCGGTTTAGGGTGACTCCTGCTTGTCGTACCCCACCTGTTGTACCTCACCTGCCATGAGGGTGACTGCCCCCGTTACGCTAGCGTTGTTTACTGTCGCTCACCTATAAATACTGTTCGTAGCTTCAACCAATACAACCTCAGTTCAATCCTTCCATTCTTCCCACATGCGTACTGTCCACGCTCCCTGACACATTAGCAAATGGAAAGTTGTGCTTGTGTCGCATTTGCCTCCTATTGTCTTGATCCAGCCTTTACGATGTCTTGCCATGATTCAAACACTCGTTTCTATGTCTCGGTTTGACATGTACCAAACCAGTACATGAACAGGTCCAACGTATTCACTTCCTCACCCGTTATCTTCGACTATTTTCACAGAAAGTTCAGAAACAACACGAGCGAAATCGTAGCCATCACCCTCTACAGGTACCTCCACGTCATGGACAGCCGGAAGACAGCGTTTATTCTACTCGCGATACTCTCCTTCCTTTTCTCCCTTGCCTTCCTCCGGTATCTGGACCAGTCGAACCGTAAGCCTGAACCTCCACACCTTCAGCTCAGTCCAGGACCAATTGAAATAAATCGCTGATAAGGGAAGCTCCTGATGATACAATTGGGGCCAAAACACAGCAATGGAGGCCTATTGTAGGCATCATGGTTGATTAATTGGTTCTATCTACTTGTATGGCAAAGAATAATCAGGGCTCGGCCCGAACCACCATGGGTCCTCTTACCTCTGATTGGGTGTATACTCAGCCTCTCCCATTCCGTCTCAAGCAGAACAAGACTGCTCTATTTCAACTGTAAGGAAGCATACAAATACTAGATAATAGACTACCAAGTAGTATAAGAAGATAGAGTACTATAATGTGCGAGTGTACAGGAGAGCGTATGGGGAGCTTTTTTTTATACTTGTGAGCGACTTCTGAAGTGAAAGATAGGAGCCAAGGTCTGCAGCAAATTTCAAGTGAAAGAAACTCAGACTGTGATTGTTACGCGGAGTCTTGCCGGACAGATCGTGCACGGGTTTGAACCAACTAGAATGAGAGTGCAGCGTTTAGTTTTACATGTTCGTCGCTCTCTGTGCATCGGCGAAAACGTCAGGTAGGTGTGTTCCTCGCTCATCACCAAACACACTTTTCCACAGCTCATGTGTCTCGAACGTCTCACTCGGATATCTGACCTTATCCAACTCATTCAAATCTCGCATACGCGCGTTATCCTCGACACTGTACACGACGCCCGTCATGGTAGTAATATTGTCCTTGTAGTCATTCACGTCTGCTGCCACTGCCACACCAGGGATTCTACGATCCGCGGTCGCTGTAAGGATACCAATGATCGTGCGGATACCCAGTAGATCTTGGATGTTATCACCTAGTTTCGGAAAGGATTTGTTCAGCAGCCACCTGAAGGCGCCAGAGATCTTCTGCACAATGCCCAGAAATTTGCCAGCAGGCGCATACTCCAAGAGATTGCCGTACACGTCGCCACTTCCTGTGCTGTTTGGGTTGGGATTCACTATTCGTTCGCTGATTTTCGCGATCTCGTTGTCCACTTTTGGAATGATCGGAGTCTCTAGATCGTTGAACTTCTGAACACCCTCCAAGATCCACCTCAGCACGTTATCCGCAAGCACTTCGTTCGGCCAAATTGTCCGACTGAGCAGATTTGGCAGCCAACCCAGAGCTTCTTCGATGTAGTTTGACGGATGCTGTCTAACAAAGCGGAACGCCTGGCGTCCAAGATCGTAATGCACGCCAGGGAACCACACTTGCTCGACCGTTGTATCAGAGGCATTTCTGCTCGGGAAGGCAAGGCAGGGCTGGAAGGCCCATAGTCGGTCGTGGAGAGCAGGAGCGTGCCGAACATGCTGTACGACGGTTGAAATGTACTTGTCGAAGAACTCGAAGGATGCCCAGTCGATGCCAACGCCGGCATTGAGTCGAGGAATGCCAAGAGAGCCAACTGTATCGATGACACTCATGCAGCGGATGGGTTGCTTGACTTGCCAGACTTTCTCCGCATTGTGACGCCGCCTACTACTCTGTTCGCTTTGAGGGGCGTCGATGGGTAGGTTAGAGCGATATGTGCGGAAGACTTCATAGCACAGTTGATCGACCTGCTCTGAGTTGAGTTTGTTGTTTTGACGGCGAATAATGCCGCAGTTGTTGATCATGCCTGCTACGCAGCGTACGGTGAACGCGCCGCGGCTGAATCCGAATAGCCATATCTCGTGGTCGTCAGTGTAGTGCTCGACAATAAAGCGGTAGACAGCGACGCATTCGTCGCCAATGTCAGAGGCAGTTGCGCCATTCCAGATGTACTCAAGGAAGGTCGCCCCAAGACCAGTACCTTCTTGGTAGCCGGCAACGACGTCAGTAGAGTGAGTTCGAATCGAATGCACTGTGGCAGGCTTCTTGCGAGGGTCCGAGTTGCCGAAGTCAACTTCTCCGACCATGTCTGCTAGCATTCGAATGTTGCTTAGAGGTGCACCAGCAACTTTCGTTTCGCGGCCCACCTACAGAATCGAGGTCAGTCTCCATAACAACCAAAATCAAGTTGGAGATTTTGTTTACCCAGGTGCCATCGCAAAAGACGGCGAGACATTTTGACGGCTTCTTCAGCTCTGCGCCCGGCATGGTGTTTGTGTGTTGATGGCAAGTCAATGGAACGAGTATTGTGCGTGAACCGTTGGATGAAATGTGAGAGGAACGCAACGGCTCAAGACGATATGTTTATTATAATTGTTGCCTTCGTTGGCTGTGCAAGAACGCCTCTTTGCCTGCTCTTGCCTTCTTTGCTTTTCCTCGCAATGACGGAGCGGAGATGTGATTACTCGATCAGGTGCGGCCGCCCCGTGTTGACATTGTGCACATGCTCACGCCGCTAGTTCTGTGTCACACACCTTGAGCGGGTTGTGCCGGAAGTTAAAATGCGGAGAACACGAGGCCTCGATGAACGCCATGAGGAAGTACGAGATAAACGAAGAGTCCTAGCGCTGGTGACGTCATGTTGTGTGTTTGCCAATTTGTGGAGGTTGCCGTAGAGCCGCGCGCGGTGTTTGAGGGACTCACGTAGCATTGCAAACTGCTAGTTAGTATGGAGGGCCATCTAAGGCGTCCATGAAATCTCGATCCCAGGGTAGCTGCGAACTGTAGTCCCTGAGGCTAAGTTCGCGTAGTATAGCAGGGCCATTTATGCCATCGCCCAGGCTGAACGAGATGCTGACCGTCAACACCAGGGCTTTCTACTGTCCAGTTCTTTGACGCTGTTATCATTGCTGACTTCGCATGCCAATGAACAGGCGTTGACAAGCCAGCAACTCTGAGATGTTGAGAACCAGCTCCTAGGTCCGCCCATGCCAATGTCTGGATCGACCGAGCTGATCCTTACCGGTTCGAGGAAAGTGCTAAACCTGAACATCGCAGCGCTGCAACAACCAGACTCATGATGGCGCTGTTATTGCAGTAATGATAGCTTTAGCATGTGAAAGGCGAAAAGACCCTCACTGCGCAAGCAACTCGTCCATAGCATCCCACATCCCCCTCTGCGCCTCCCTTCTTCTTTCCTCCTTGTTATCCTTGTGCGCCACCTCTTTGACCTCCTCACCACCCTCATTCTCCCCCTCTGCCTCCACAGCCTTCCCAAATCCCTCCAGCACGCCCCTAATCTTCTCCTGCATAACCTTAACACCCTCAGCCTCCGCCTTCTTCCTCTTAACCTGCTCCTCCATAATCGTAATCAGCGTCTCCCTCGCCTGATGCGGTCTGTACTCATTAATGAGCGCATGCATATTACACACCAGCGTAAGTATATGCTTCAACTTCCTATCCTTATGCTCACTTGTAGGATTCTTTGCCACAATTCCCAAAAGTGATATGTATTCGATGATTATGGAGCGGTTGAAGCGGTTGAGGTACTGCTGGCGGTCGATGTTTGCGTCGGTGGAGTGCGAGGTAGAGGGTGGGTCGGCGGAGGGAGAGCCGGTCGAGGGGTAGAGTTGTGTGTATGTCCAGTCGCTGAGGACGAATTGCTCGCCGAGGGTTTTGGAGATGAAGGCCATCATCTGTGTGAAGTTATTGGTGCCAGAGCTTTTGGCGGGCTCGCCGAAGACGTGGAAGGATTCATTGTCGTGAGGTGGTGGGGGCGGGATGAGGTAGCGGAGTTCGGTTGGTAGTGCCAGGATTTGCTCGGTAGATAGTTTTGAGGAGGGATTTGCGATGCCGTTGGAGGCTTCAGTGCCATTGTCGGCTTCCTTCTCGATCTCTTTAAGGCGCTCGATGTTCTTGGTCGTGAAGTGCTTGAAGAAGGGCGGCGGGTCGGGAAAGTAGTTGAGCAGTGGTCCATCTTCTGCCATGACAGACGATTATATGTGAGTATAAAAGTAAAGTTTCGGGGATTGCGCGCAATATAGACTTGTTTGTCGCGTTCGAAGCTCAATTGCTGGGCGCATTGGACCCTGGACCCTGGCTTGGCTTCGTCACGCCGCACAGGCCCTCTCTTTCAGCCCTACCTTTCGCCTTACATACAGCCTCACCTTCACGCTTATGACTGCGACTCAAAAGACGCTGCTGATCAAGATGTTGTGTTCAGTCTGCAATATACAAGAATGCTGCCTTATGTGCATACTCTGAGCCAAATGCGAGAGAACCGCTTATCAGCAACCTCGATGACAAATCCAATGATGTCGCCGGTTAGCTAAAGCGCATGCATACATCATAGGCAGGTACAAAGCCTACCATAGTAGTCTCGCTAAATGAGCCTATCCTATACTACCAATCGCTCATCCTACCATCACAGAAGACTCCCAATCAATATGTCTACACAAAAAGCCGTTGTTCACGCTGAAAAGGGCGTCTCTGAACTTCGGAGTGACGTCCCTCTCCCCAAGATTCAGGACAATTTCATCATCGTCAGGACAAAAGCCGTAGCTCTTAACCCTACAGACTGGAAGAGCATCGAGAACACACCGTCCAAGGGAGCCATCGCTGGATGCGACTATGCAGGCATCGTTGAGGAAGTAGGCAGTGGCGTGAAGGATGTCAAGGTTGGCGACAGAGTAGCCGGATTCGCACGAGGGGGTAAGTCCAACTCATCAAGCATGCCATATCGTTACTGAGATATGTTCAAGGCGATCCAGCAGACCACTCCAACGGTACCTTCGCCGAACACACCAAAGCCAAAGCCGGGATCCACGCTAAGATCGCCGAAAACATCTCCTGGGAAGACGCTTCAACCCTCGGCGTTGGCATCACCACTGTAGGACAAGGCCTGTACCAAACCCTTGGCCTGCCTCTTCCGCCCGCCAAAGTCTCAGAGCCCACGCCAGTCTTGATCTACGGCGCCTCAACCGCCACAGGAACGCTCGCTGTCCAATTTGCTAAACTTTCTGGCGCAAAGGTTTTCGCGACTGCGTCGCCGCACAACTTCGATCTTGTGAAAAAGCTCGGCGCTGACCATGTCTTTGATTACAAAGACCCTGGGTGCGGAGAAAAGATCCGTAAAATTAGCAACGACAAGCTCAAGCTCGTTTTCGATTGCATTTCCGAGCACGGTTCTGAGAAGATCTGCGCTGCAGTAATTGGCTCAGCAGGCGGTTACTATTCTGGGCTCTTGCCTGGGCCACTGAAGGACTTCCCGCGCCAGGATGTTAAGCATGGCTGGACGTTTGCGTATACGGCGTTAGGCGAGAAGTTCAATGATAAGGTGCCTGCTAAGCCAGAGGATTATGAGTTCGGCGTTAAATTCTGGAAGGCGGCCGAGGAGCTGTTCAACAGTGGAAAGATCAAGGCGCATCCTACGCTGGTGAGGGATGGGTTGGAGGGTGTGCCGCAGGGGTTGAACGATCTGAAGGACGGGAAGGTCTCTGGTAAGAAGTTGGTGTATAGAGTTGTCTAGGTCTTGAATTGACTGCCTGCCCGCCTCATTGGCGAGAAACAGTTCTTCAAGGTCAATAGTACGGTTCTTCAGATTTACTTGTTTTGAACTAGGTGGCTGTGTTCATTGTGGCTCCAAGATTATGATGAGAGCACTGCCGGTGGTGCCATATATGGTCTGTCAGTATTTGTGGTCTGGTACCCAAGGCCCACGATTGTGATTCTTCAGGATTCACCGTCGACACCGATATTACTCATCCTATGCGCTCGAATTAGTATGGTGTGAACATGGGCGCATAGAGGCATCCTGAGAATGCAAATCCTGCAGTGGGGCCACATGAGCGACAAAGGTACCTTACGTGTTCCAGATAGGTGCCTTTGGGCGAGCCTTCATTTCCCTGCGAACGAGGTGCAAGCGGTAGATTGGCATGGCGAACACACAGTTGCTAACCGAAGAAATTGGTGCTATCGTGAAGTTGACAAGCAAGTTCAGCTTCCTCCCGAGTCGCAAAATGGAAACTCCTCATACAACCGGACATGGCTGAACAACGCGAGTCGTACGGCTGGCTGACAACACATTGACGGACTGAGAAGATTGCATGAAGCCTCGAAGGATCCAAAGGGCGGAGGTAGAAGGTTGTTGATCAGCACGGTCCTTCTTTCCCTTGAGTGAGCGAAGATATCTGTCGGAGGAACGAGCTGCGGCCATCGGATCTGTCTGCGAGAGAAAGCCGAACTATCGTTCGCGTGCCATCCTTGTTCATCGAGTTGCGCATATATTCACCAATGTGCTTCCTTTGACCTGCTGCAATACAATCATAGCCTGTCGTAAAAGGCTTGATGTCAACTCTACGATCGAAGAGGACTGCCCAACTAGCAGGCTCCGAGGAATGAGCCCTGCAACCTCACTGCGCGTAAACTGCATGTAACGACGACATCTGCACTTGTCTGTTAAAGATCAGACTCAAATGAGGTCGTACCTGTTACAAGACTGCTTGCTATGCGCTGCACTCGGCTCGTAGAGGTGACACAGCAGGAAGGTCGCCAAGCAACGTGACCTCGATTCTTCACCTTTGGGACACAATCGACGCGTTTTACACTCGCCAATTGCGATTCAACGCGACAGGTCCTTGTCCGTTCGTGTTCGAAGACCAGGTCTTGGTAATTATGGAGTCGAAAGAAACTCTGCAGCTGAGCTTCACGATGTGGTGGAAGACGCTTGCCCCATTCCAGCTAAATGACGCAAATCCACGGCGCACATAGCAGGCACGCTCGACGTCAAGATAAACAGATGCCATCACGCGGCTTCATTCTCCTGAAACTTCATCCCTCATCGCCAACATGTCACGACCGACCATGAAAGCCTGGCAGTACGACGGCATCACGGGCGGCCTGGAGAAGAACCTCAAGATCAACGACGCCGCCACCCAGCCCGCCATTGGCGACGACGAAATCCTCGTCGAGGTCCACGCGATGGCTCTCAATCCAGTTGACTTCAAGGTCACTGAGAGTGGTATGCCTTTGACAGCACTGGGCTTGAAGTGCATACCTGGCGCAGACTTCTGTGGCAGAGTCGCTAAGACGGGCCAGAAAGTCGACTCGTTTCAGATTGGAGAGTGGGTGTTCGGTGCAAAGGTCGGCGCTATCTCGAACGGAACCCTTGGGCAATACGTCAGCGTCTCACAGGACATGCTGACAAGTCTGCCAAATGGTGTCGAGGTTGACGATGCTGCGACTGTTGGAACTGTAGGTCTTGCGGAGATCCAAGCCATCAAGCCTAACGTCAAGTCTGGCGACAAGGTCTTCATCAACGGCGGGTCAGGTGGCACTGGCGTCTACGGCATTCAGATCGCAAAAGCTCTTGGATGTCATGTCACGACAACATGCTCGACCGGCAACGTGAAGCTCTGTGAGAGTCTCGGTGCCGATGAGGTCATCGACTATAAGACCAGCAACATCGTCGATACTCTCGCCGCCAAGGGACCAGTCTTTCAGCTCGCTGTGGACAACGTGGGCTCACCCGCCGGTTTGTACAAGCAATCAGCCTCTTACCTGCTTCCCAACGGCAAATTCGTGCAGGTTGGCGCCACTCCTAGCCTCGGAGGGCTCGCCCAAATCACCAGCAACTTGCTCGTTCCGAGCTTTTTGGGTGGCGGCAAGAGATCGTACCAGATACTGGTGATGAAGGCGTCCACTGATGGCCTGAAGCAGTTGGGTGCGTGGCTGAGGGAAGGCAAGGTTAGGGCTGTATTGGACGAGGTGTTCGAGTGGGAGGACGCGCCGAGGGCTTTTGAGAAGCTGAAGACCGGACGGTCGAAGGGCAAGCTTGTGATACATGTGAAGCAGGACTCTGGAAAAGGCGCGTTGTAACGTTGCGGCGCACAACGATATGCTTATTTGCTTTCTCAAGACATCTGGCGGTTTGTCGCAGGGTGGGGGTGGCAGTGTGAGGCTGTGTAACCGAGTATAGGCTTCAGCTCAGATTGAACGCACGTCGTGTCGCTTTCCGCAACATGAACACCCCCCTCTTCTATCAGGAAACATCGATAGTTCGGCTTACAGATTCCACGTCATAGGTATTGTTTGAGGCTGACACGTGTGAGCTTTGCTGACAGCATCCAGATAGCCTCGCAGACAAAGCGCAAAGCTGGCTTCGATGTGTCGATAAATGAGCCTGGATCGAAGAGAATATGCGAGCCGCCAGCGAATAGAATTTGCGAAACCTGCGGGAAAGGACTGAAAGAGTTCGCCGAAATCAAGGTCGAAGAACTGCAGGGTCACAAGAAAAGGCATCCCATCACCAGATTTCGATATGACTTCCCAGAATGCGCCTTGTGCAGGCTGTTCCACGTATATCTTGACCGAGTTGGATACAGCGGTTCGACTCGACCAGTGTTACATGCGTGCCCCTTCCTGCGAGCCTCGTAAATCGTCAAATATGGTAGTCGTGCTGGTAAAGAAGCGTTGCGTCGAGATATCTCCTGTCTCAAGCTCCTATCAAGGACCTGCAACGGTTCATCTTTTGCGTCAAGAAGGTTGATAAGGAGAACTTTATACTTTCGCCGCAGCTTGTCGGGCAACGAGCCGACCTAATACGCTGCAAAGATCGGGTGAGCTATTGCCAAGGACACCACAGCAAGTCATGCAGATATTCGGGTTCTCCACCAAAAAGTCTGCCATTGCAGTGGATGTCTCGTCTCAAGAACCTTATGTCGCGCTGAGCTATGTTTGGGGAGCCAATCAAGGACATGGCTTTCCACAAACAATCAAAGACGCCATCGAAGTCACCAAAACCCTCGGACATCAATATCTCTGGGTGGACAGGTACTGCATCAAGCAAGAATCTGTCGAGAAGCATCAGCGGATCAACCAAATTGATATTGTCTACCAGGCGGTAGATGTCACTATCAACGCTGCGGCAGGTACCAATGCCAACTTTGGACTTCCCGGTGCATCAAAGCCCTGTAAAGACAAACAACATGGTCAACCCGTGCCTGGACTATACAAGAGGCGTATCTATCACGACTTCGGCTCGTGTTCACGCTTGACGAAGTCTACTTTGAGTGTGGAGCGATGAACTGTTGTGAAAGCCTTCTCGAAGACCAGCGCCTTCTTCACGTGCAAACCAAAACTCGAGTTAGGTACTACCACCACGCTGGTATCTTCTCGGGCGAAAGGATGAGTGTCGAGCGACCCACATCGCAAGCAGATCGTACGGAAACAATCCAACGAAGTGCTCTCAGCAGTCTTATCAAACAGTATACCTTGAGAAAGCTCTCGTATGAGAGTGATTCTTTCAATGCATTTCGGGGCATCATGAAGCAATTCCAGACACGTAACACCTCGCTGCGCCACATATGGGGTTACAACTGATGCGGAATTGGGGTCTGCAGCCGGTTGAAATATCTCTATTGTGGGCACACGATATGGCCAGCGGTAACTTCCCGTCGCGACGCGAGTCGTTCCCGTCTTGGACGTGGGTTGGATGGAATGGCGCGATCGAACATGACAAGACGGCACCAGTCGCTCCAGACAACATAACGCTGGAGCTCGCGGACGGAATAAGTGTGCCAATTCAGTCTCTCCTGGCGCCCATTAACCAACATATAATGGGAGCGATGGTCGCAGCCAGTTGCACTGGTTTGGAAAACAACTTTCGTCGATACAAGCAACATGGTCTGCGTAGCATCTTGGCCAATCTGGTTGTTTCGGCTGAGTGAAAGACGACAGCAGATCACCAAGATCTACCTGTCCGCACGACATGACGATTCAAATGAGCTTCTGGACCTGTTCCCTTACCCGGAAGTACAGGGTTATATTTGCGGGTGTCATTGACGGTCTGGTGATAACGACTACTGGCGATTCCTATACCCGTGTTGGACGTGTGAGAGATCTTTCTCATCGTAGCAGATGCGAACTTGAAGGAGAAGTGACGGTGCGCATTATAGAGTTCATATGCATTGCTTGCGTCTACGTTACCAATACGGTTGCTTCTGATGCACCCTCTTCGTTGTGGAAAGTACACCAATGAAGCAATATACTAAGGCGAGCTTAAAGAACGACTCGGGATCTTGTTTGCAAAGGTTAATCTCACAGAAGAGAATATCGTGACTGAGTCCGCAGTCGTTCACCGCAGCGATAACGCAGCAAATAACAGCCCTACCCTCGGCCCGTTTGCATAAAGCATGAAGGGCTATGATTGCTTTCGTCCAATGATGCTGCTTGAACTCTCGAGGTTTCGAAACTACCTTGTCTGAAGCAGTGGACGTTGCCAAAGCGGCTGGTGGGCATTTTGATGACGACGTGCGCAGTTCTTCCGGAGGATTGGCCGTGAAAGAGGTTGTCGGCCCTTCCAGGCTTAGACACAGAATGTGGCACAGCCAGCTCAACAAGCCGTTCGTGCTACATATTCCTGAGGCTTCATCAGTTGACATCACTGTAGAGATCTCCCGGGTTTACCTGTCCTGGAGTGATGTCAGGCACTTTCGGAGGCGCTCGCAGCAAGGAAGCCACGAAAGAGCCTGGCATTTCGCAATCTATCCCAAAGCGTTTCGAGGATGTCGAACGGCAAGGGTTACATATTGAGCTAGCGCATTACTGTGTTGAGCTTGATGAAGCAAGGACCAAACTTAAGCTATGCACAATCAACCAATGGCGAACCCCACCTCCAAATGCACCGCACCGCACCTTCCGTCCCTGATTAGCGTACCTTCGCGGCGCGAAAGCTTTGGGGAAAGTGGGAGTTCAGTGCTGTGTATCGTTCCTCACCACCACTCGTGCGCTCTGTGTCGCTGGCCTGCAAACACGTAGACGCTGGTTGTTTGTGCCTCCTTCCTTGTCGCTCTCTAGCTCGTTGCAAACCTGCAAACCGTTCGTTGCGCGACTTCCCCTCTTGCCTCGGTGCGACATCCATCGCGCCTGCCGCTCCTTTGCAATTGTTCATCGTGCAGTCGCTTTCACTGCGAGACTACAATAAGGAAACGCTGTGACAGCAGCACCATTGTTGCTATTCATATCGCCAGCGACATCCTTCGGCGAACGGTCTTCCGCTGTCGGATCGCCCACTTTAGACACTGCATGCTCCAAACCATGCACATCGCTCTTAGCTAGCATATCAAACCCCAACCGTTCCCGAAGAACACACCGCGCCCAGCATCGATTTCGATACGTTGCCCAGCTGTCAAAAAGCGGCGACCGTGTCATTCTCTCAATTCACTCGCTAGTGGTCAACAGCCGGTCTGTCACCACAATTGCGACTACACTCCTTCGACCACATTTCTCTACTGCCTTTCGAGGACTTCAATGTCACTGTAGCAGCTCACGTCACTCTTTACACCAGCTGGACTGCAGGCTACACTACCGTTGACCGGCCATATAAATATACACCAATTAATACTCAACCCTATCAATCATGGGCTGCTGTGGAGACCGCGAGAAGGGCCTGGTCAATGTGGCCGCCGACCAGAAGTGGGACTACATTGTACGTATTCACAATGGAGCACTAGAGAACCATACTGACTTCCGTAGAACCTCTCAGACTTCAGGTCGACGTCATGCTTGACACCCTTCTCCTACGCCTGGCTCTGGATCCTCGTCTTCGTCTCCTGCGCCGTATACGCCGCCGATGCTTTCACCGCCGTCAACCTCCTCGCCTTCAACAAGTGGTCTAGTCAGGTACAACCCAAGGTACCTTTCGAAGTTGCCAAATGGATCTTCGCCATTACCATCATCATTTCCTACGTGTTCTTGGCATACCGAGGCATCAGGGCATTCCGTGTCATGCGCTCCGGCAGTGTGACGGAATGCTACCTCGAGCCAATGGCCGCTATCTGGCAGAGTATGCGGCTCACCAGCAGCGGACGAGGATGGCGACGTTTCTTGGTCTTCGCCGAGCTGACAAAGAGTAAGAAGGGTGCCAACTACATTGCCCTCTTCGTTTATTTCCAGTTCAAGAGCGCACTCATCATCATCATCGCTCTCGGCCCACGAATTGCAATCAACGCCATGACTTTGTACGCCGTCATGCAAGCTCAGCTTCTTCCAGTTGGCGAGCACGCATCTGAGGATCGCTCTGGGTTTGAGCAGTTCTTCATGAACATAAAAGCTATGATTGAGACCGGCAACAAGCAGGAGACCGTTGTCTACTTCACCATGTTGTTCTCCCTCGTCATCTGGGTTATCGCTGCGCTGGGCATCATCATCTCGTGTATTCTCTACATCTTCTTTCTCTGGCACTACATTCCACGTTCTGATGGCAGCTTGACCAACTACTGCCGTCGTAAGGTTGAGACCCGTCTAGCCCGTATTGTTGGCAAGAAGATGAAGAAGGCCATCGAAAAGGAGGACCAGAAGCGAAGGGCAGAAGAGCAGAAAGCCGTCAAGAAGGGCACACTCAACTCGGTGAGCGCAAAGCCTACTCTGCCCAGTCTCGCTAGAAAGGAAGACGACGGAGCATCTATCTATGGTATCCAGCGATCAGATACGTTCAGCACTGTTGCGACACTGCCGCCTTACTCATCAAACGCTCCGTCACGCACGAATACTGTAGCCACCAACAACTCCACTGGTACTGCAAGGAAGTCTACTTTGCCAACACTGAACGAGCGCCCTGGACCAGACCGATCGGATACCAACTACTCCACAACCAGTTACGGCTCGAATGCGCCACTCCTGAACCAAGCAAGCGATATGGGTATGGGATCGCCTCTACCTCCTGTACCTCACCTCGACCAAAACACATACTTCTACGAAGATTCTCCTCTTGCACCACCTGCTAGAGCTTTTACGTCCGCGTCGCAAGGCAGAGCATCTCCACAACCAACCCTCCCTCGCGTCGACACCAACTACTCAACCGGTCGCTTTTCGCCTCACGACCTCGTCTCACCCCTCGAAGATATGTACGGAGCACAGCCTGCGCAAACGTATACCGCATTTTCGCCGTACAATAACCGTGGACCTGCAACTGGACCTGCCTACGAATTGTCACCCACTGACACCACTCAGGATAACGGTCCTCGACACTACTACTCGAATTCGAACGGCTCAGACGAATACAGACCTCCTCAACTGCCCGGCGCACTTCGTGCTGGCTCGCCAGCCACGTCGCAGACGTCGAACATGCTGCCTCGACCAGGCACCGCCCCTCCTCCACGAGCAGGTACCGCACCTCCGCGACCAGGTGTTCCAGCGAGCCTACAATCTGCGATCCAGCGCCGCGAGGCCTCACAACCTCTACCGAAAAGGGCTATGACCGGCTCGGTACCCGCTGTACAGCAACGCAGCGCTACGGCGCCGATCCAACAGCCTAACTGGAACGCACCGGCGCAGAGGAGCTACACACCCTCGAATCTCGGCGATCAAAGTTACAGGCCTGCGGAGAGGAGCTATACACCTGCTGAGAGGAGTTACACACCCGCAGATCGCAGCTATACGCCCGCGAGCACAGGCTACCCACCGTCGAATCAGAGAGGCTACGAAAACGGCTACGGCTACTAGTCGTTGTCAATCAGCTCTTTGATTACTTTCCTTGCTTGATCTTGCATTTGCATCTATTGGCGTTCTCTTCTTTCCTGTTAGACACAGAACCCCTTTACACACGCCACCTTCGGGGACGATCAGGCTTGACGACACATACATTCCGTTCACAGTTTCGAGATACCCCACGAAACGTTTCTACCGCTGGTCTTGGACGTCCATTCGCTTCTTTGTTTCATCTGTTTGGTGCGATTTGATGATATTTGAATAATGAAGGATCGATCTGTGCTGCAGAGGGTCTGCGAATCGAGATGGATTGTATGTGTATATTGTATATAGCGAGGAGATGGAAATGAAAGCTATGTAAATGTCCAATCCATGGTCAGATACTCGTTCATTGCAGCAGTGGTATATTTACTCTGTTACCATAGATCTGCCGTTGAGCTCACGTTTGGATCTAGGGATAGATCAGCTGCCATGCCCCTCGCGCATGCGTTGCGCAAGACATGCTTCAGCATAGTAACACAAGCTCAAGTCCAGAAGCTGACTGTATGACATGCGACAACACCATCACAGTCCGGCATATCAGTCGTTGTCAGCATCGAAACCATTCCTGCACCATTGCCTCTTCGCTCACAACAGCAACAGTACGAGCATGAACTCTCAAACACTATAAAGCTCTAAATCGAGGCTGCGAACGTGATACTCAACCCCAAACATCTTGCGTGTGATCGACAGGCACATTTCTCACTTAATGGTTCGTCCCAGACGAGGCGCTGCCGATCCCGCTGCTGACAGGTCAGAAGCGCATGTTTCGCAAACGCCGCACTACTCCGCACCAGCGTGGCCTAAGGCGCTCGCATTTGCGTGAGTGCTGCGTGTGGATGCACAAGGATCATTGTTCAGCTATGGGGATTATGGTCGGTGAATGGGTGAATTAGAAGGCGATGTACTGCGTTTTGCTTGTATCCACAGTATTCACGTGCTCGTTTGGTAGAGGGCAGCAATCAAGGGAAGACCTCGGTAGACAACTTGACAAGAATTTGACCAAGGCAGACTATTGTAGCCGATTTCGACCAACTTTGTCTATTGACTGACCCACAAGCACTGTGCAGTTAATAATTCTGTTGTATAGCAAGCTACTGCATAGCTATGCACTGTCGGGCCATATCAAGACCACTAAGCTTATCGACATGCTGCTGCATCCTGCACATGCACGATAAATGAGCATGCTGCGAGCTGCACATAGACGAGCCGGCAGCGTTCAGCAGGTATGTGTGCAATGCTGTTTTACCGTGCAAGCGAAGTGGCGCGCGCATTACTTGGACCGTTCCACGGTTCTCACGGACTTGGTCAAGATGGCTGACAGACCCTGTTGAGACCACTTCGCAGGACTACTGTGCTGCGGGCTGACACGGTGTCGTAAGCATGCACACGTGCCTTTGTGTCTGTGTTTGTTTTTGCTGATAGACCAGAATTCGTGTTCATCCTCAACACAAAGTCGCGTGCCGCACGACAAGTGCATGTCCTCGAAGCGAGAGTTGACTCATCACCAGTGTGCATGTGAAGGAGAGAAACAATTGAAAAATCTTGCTGAATAGTCGAAGTCATGATTGGACAAAAGGCAGGAGAACCGACGAGTAAGAGAAAACCACCTACATCATTTTAACGATTGCCGTTTTCATTCCGAGCATCTGGACAGGATCAGCGAACGACAATCCACCACGTCGCATTGGCATCCACGCCGTCACGGCTGAATCTCCACGATCCCGCAATTGACAGCCCGTTCTTGCATGTTACTGGTAGGCTGAAAGTTGCAGATTTTCCTTGCTGCATACCCGGCTGGCGACACGTTGCGATAAGACCTTATCGTGCCGTCCCTGGCAGCAGGGCTGGGACTCCACGAACATTGCTTCGGCACTTTTGCTGATCGCTTAGTGGAAAAGAAACTGCGAAGTTGCAGATGGGCTGCAGGTGGAGAGACGGGAGAGTCGGATTGCGTTGCACGCGATGCTTGCGTCACTCTTGAGTGGTGATTGCGTGGGCGAAGGCACTGCGCTGCTCCAAGCTTGTGCGCCCTCCAGAAAGAGGGGAGGTTGGACGGTCATGCTGAGTTCGGTGAGTCCAGTCGTCGCGCAGCGTTGCTTGTAGCAAGTTGTAGGTGTTATGCTGCACCTTCAAAACCCAAGTGGTTGCTGAAGCCGTCGTTGTTGAGAAATGAGGTGTGCGCGATTCGGTGGAGCAGGGTAGAGTCGACGCGGCTGTTTTTGAAGACGTTCTGGAAGAGTCAGTTGCTCCAGTTGTTCCACTTGTATCCTTGGCGACAAGACCAGGATCGAAGGACACGCATGCGTGTTTCTCCAATCACGAGGCGCCTGGCCCACTGCCGCGAAGATCGCAATTGCGCGGCCGTCATTTTGTTTGTTGATGGTGTTGAGCTTGACAAAGGCCGTGGAGAAGACCTGCAGTAAGCCACTTTGCTTTGTTGACAGCTCGCATGCGACAGCTCACATCCTTTGCGCCTTTGGCCCAGCAGCTGGGCAATGGATGGTCAACACGTGCAGCATGTTGCGTGCGCAAATGCAGGAGTGAAACGTCCGGGCGCCGAGCCGTCGCTAAGTCAGGCACACCAATGAGCGTGATGGGTGCGAGTCTCCACAAATCCAGGTACGCCTTCCAATTGGTCGTCGAAGTTTACCAACGGTCATTGTCCGCGCGCTCACCTTTCCTAGTTTGGCAGGGGGTGAAAGACACAGGAGATGAGATCCCGTCGAGGCCCCAGGCGGTGCGCTGGGCCCACCAACCCAACAAGCAGGGGCTCCGGCTGAACTACCTCCTGCGCGTCGCCGCTCGTCCTCTTCTCTTCTCTACCTTCACCGAGTATATTATACCGTATTGTCCCTCATTTGAACAATAGCAATTTCGCGCGTTCACTCTTTCACGCCGGTATTGCTGTTCGCTCCCAGTCACTCATTCACCAACCAGACATACTCATAACCGCCGTTGAACGACGTTACGATCTCTCTGCCGCACATAAATATCCAACTGCATCAGCAAGCGACCAGCAAATCCACACATCGAAATGCGTTACTCCTCTGCACTGGTGCTGAGCACCCTCGCCGTCGGCCAAGCCGCCGCTGCCAACCACAACCGTCACGCCAGTTTCCATGCCAGGCGTCAGGCGTAAGTAGATCGATCGCTCGTATGGAGACCAGCACTAACAGGTCGTAGTGATGCCAAGCGCTCTGCTGCCAACGATGTCAACTGGAAGGCCGTTGCCTACGACCTGAACGACGTCGACTGGGACAAGGTCAACTGGAGTTCCGTCTTCAACTCTCCCACTCCTACCCCTGCCGCTCAGCCCATCTCCACTGTTGCTCCCTCCTCCGTCGTTGAGCAGAAGACCTCCGAGAACGCTGCGCCCACCAGTTCTGCTGCTGTCGTTAAGGTCCAGGAGGCTAAGACTTCTTCCGCTGCTCCTTCCGCCGTCGCTACCAGCTCAAAGGCTGCTGCCACCACCTCTTCCTCTTCCAGCGACCTTGGTGACATTGTCTCGGAACTTCTCAATGGTGTTGAGGACATCGTCAAGGCTCTCGGCATCGTTTCCACCGGCAAGAACGACCAGAGCAACAACGGCGGCATCTGGGTCGGTGACGACGGTGACTGGAAGGCCGAGTTCACCAACGACGCCAACGAGGATGCTGTTATCTTCTGTTGGAAGGCTGATGGCTACTCTGGCATGTCACTGAACGTCAACCAGCCTGAGATCTCCGTTGGTCTTAAGTCCGGAGAGAAGACCATCGTCTCTTTTGCCGCCAACGTCCCTTCTGCCTGCGCTCCTGCCTACAAGGACACCAAGCTTGCTAACTTTGGTGGTCTCGATCAGACATGGTGGGAGGTCACCTTCGGCCAGTCCGGTGCTTTCGATGTCTCCCGTAACGTCAACATGAATGGCCGCACCATCAGCTCCAAGGGCTCCAAGTGTACATCTGACATGGATGTCTGCGTCTTCAAGTGTAAGGAGAAGAACGGTGTCACCCCCGATTCTTGCGAGAGCGGTTCTGACTACGACCTCTTTGGCTGCGGCACCGGCACCGGCGGTGGCGGTGGCTACGACTCCGCCATGGCCGGTACCGGTGGTGGTTGCGCCATGGGCTCCTCTAGCGAGACCGTCAAGGTTTCCTTCTCTTAAGCGTTGCGTTGTCCTCAGGTCGGCGTTGTGTCTTTTGGGTTTCTTCATACACATCTTTTCGTCATATTTCCTGTCCATCTATATCAGCTCTGAATACTCCTGGCCCATCTTGGCAATCTTCTGATATTGTCGCTTCTCGCAGGATACCCTTACAACCTATGGTCATCCGATGTCGTACAATATGGACGAGGTCTTCGCATCCGGACTCCTAATGGCCACTGTGTTTTATATAACTGTCTATTGTTAGTAAATACGAAAAGTTCAAAAACACTCAACCTCATCCTCAAAACCTGAGCGTGACGTACGTGTGAGTGCTTGCCATATTGTCTGCAAGTGACTCGAGATGACATTGGTAGTTGCTTTAGACACTGATCTGTGGTCGTATAATAGGTAACGCTCGTGGCCCGCACTGGACACACTTAAGGGTGAAGATGAGGCTAATATGTTCGACGTGGCTGTACAATGAGGAGCCGCGCAAACTGGGTGAATGCCATGACTCGCTGAACGCTGTAGTCTGTATGTATGAAGACCACACTGCGTGGTGCTCAATGTCTTTCTAGGTAGAGTTGTAGCGGTACGGTGCCTGTTGCAAAAGGAGGAGGTCAAATTGATCTGGAAAGGGCGCCCGTACGCAAAGGCAGGGACAGGGCAGAGTAAATAAGCACCGGAGGATGTGAGAGCAGCAGCATGTCCGACTCTTGAGGTTACTGCTGGTCATGCCAATTCCCGTAGCTGGCGTGGTTGTTCGTGACGTGAAGTGCGGTGGCGGACATCGCGAAGGGTCAGTTGACATGGAAAAGCGCAACGTTGATAGCGAGTGCATCACTAAAATGACTTTAGACGAAGGAGCATTATTAGGAAGACACGAGATGGAAATGAACAAAGCAGTGATGTCGAGGTGGGGTCAGATCGAAAGGCAAGTGCGCATCTGAGGAAGGAATGAAACAGTGACAACACAAGAAGAGAACGCGAGGCCGTACCACCCACAAGCGCGCGTTAAAGGGGACTCAGGGTGACAAAAACTTAGCAGAGGCGCAAAAGTGGGCGAGCCGCAGCTGTGAGCCATGGTTGGGAAGGCGCGATGGCGTAAGAGCCAGTGAAGGTTTGGCTGTCAGGTACACTATCGCATACCAAGAGCACCTTGCATACACGGGCATGCATGGCACATCACATCACGATGCAAAAGACATGACTGTACAATTTGTTTATGTTCATTTCAATGGATTGATATCTTCGTAACTAAACTTCGAATATTCCCATATAAATCCAAGCCGTTGCACGATGTAACGGTGGCAGGAATACTACTCATACATGGCAAGCCCAAAGGCAGTCCAAGGTAATTGAAGTCAACTTTTCTGCGTCACCACCTACAACTCATCGTTCTACAACTCGTCGTGACCGGGCTCCTCGTCGTCACCAGCGCCACCAGCTGAGCCGTAAAGCTTGGAGGTGATGGGGTAAGCGACATCGGAAAGCTTCTGGAACTGCTCATCGAAGTCCTCAGCGACAGCGTCGGCAGAGTTCTCCTCGAGCCAGTCCTGGGTCTCCTTGACGGCCTCAAGAAGGGACTCCTTGTCGTCATCCTCGATCTTGCCACCAAGACCCTCCTGGTCGTTGACCTGGTTCTTGAGGCTGTAGGCGTAGTTCTCGAGCTTGTTGCGGGACTCAATGCGCTCACGATTGGCCTTGTCCTCCTCGGCGTACTTCTCCGCCTCCTCAACCATGCGCTCAATGTCCTCGGTAGAAAGGCGACCCTTGTCGTTGGTGATGGTGATGCTCTCACCCTTGCCAGTGCCCTTGTCGACGGCGGAGACCTTGAGGATACCGTTGGCGTCGAGCTCGAAAGTGACCTCAATCTGGGGAACACCACGGGGAGCGGGACTGTGAAGTTTGTTAGCAATGGTCTGATCGCAATTGGATATGTTTGTGACTTACGGAATGTTGGTGAGCTCGAACTTGCCCAGGTTGTTGTTGTCCTTGGTCATGGAACGCTCACCCTCGAAGACCTGGATGAGGACGACGGGCTGGTTATCAGCAGCGGTAGAGAAGATCTGGCTCTTCTTGGTAGGGATGGTGGTACCACGCTTGATAAGGTGGGTCATGACACCACCAGTGGTCTCGATACCGAGGGTAAGCGGGTTGACATCCATGAGAATGATGTCCTCAGTGCTGGCGTCACCGGCGAGAACCCCACCCTGAACGGCGGCACCAAAAGCAACAGCCTCATCGGGGTTGACGTCCTTGCGAGCCTTCTTTCCGAAGTACTCCTCGAGCATCTGCTGAACCTTTGGGATACGAGTGGAACCACCAACAAGGACGATGTCATCGATGTCGCTCTTCTTCATCTTGGCGTCCTTGAGAACCTGCTCAACAGGCTTGAGAGTCTTCTTGAAGAGGTCGTTGTTCAGCTCCTCGAACTTGGCGCGGGTGAGGGTCTCGGAGAAGTCGTTGCCCTTGTGGAAGGACTCAATTTCGATCTTGGTGGTCTTTTGGGAAGAGAGAGTACGCTTGGCCTTCTCGACCTCACGCTTGAGCTTACCCATGGTCTTAGCGTCCTTGGTAATGTCGACGTCGTTCTCCTTGTTGTACTTCTTGGCGAAATAGTTGATAACACGGTTGTCGAAATCCTCACCACCAAGGTGAGTGTCACCAGCGGTAGACTGGACCTCGAAAACGCCCTCCTCGATTGTAAGGATGGAGACATCGAAAGTGCCACCACCAAGATCGTAGACGAGAACCTGGCGTTCCTTCTGATCGGTCTTGTCAAGGCCGTAGGCGAGAGCGGCGGCGGTGGGTTCGTTAACGACACGGAGAACGTTGAGACCGGCGATAGTTCCGGCGTCCTTGGTGGCAGCGCGCTGAGCGTCATTGAAGTAGGCGGGAACGGTAACAACTGCGTTCTTCACGGGCTCGCCAAGGTAGCTCTCAGCAACCTCCTTCATCTTGCCAAGAACCATAGCCGAGATCTCCTCAGGTGTGAATGTGGTCTCCTCCTTGTGGACTTCGACGCTGACGCGGGGCTGGCCACCCTTGTTGATGACCTTGAAGGGGAAATGCTTGATGTCATTCTGGACAGACTTGTCGTTGAACTTCTGACCAATAAGACGCTTCTGCGGAGGGTGTTAGTACCTGTAAATTTATGCGGCGAGACGTGCAACTTACGATATCGAAGACGGTGCGGTGAGGGTTGCTGGCGAACTGGTTCTTGGCGGCGTCACCAACAAGACGCTCGTCGTCAGTGAAGGCGACCCACGAAGGTGTGATACGGTTACCTGTAAAGGACACTTGTCAGCTACTGTTCGAATATAGAACTGGCGGCGAACTTACCCTGGTCGTTGACCATGATCTCGACCTTGCCGTTCTTCATGATACCAACACAAGAGTAGGTTGTTCCAAGATCGATACCAATGACGGGGCCAGAGACAGCGTTGCTGTCCTCGGCGAGGGGCTCCTGGTCTTCAGCGCGAGCTGTCTTCGCCAGCATCAAGCCAGCGACGAGGACCATGAGAAGGTAGAAAGCAATGCTCCATGTGGAGCGCTTGCTGGCGCTCCGTGAGCTGCGCGCCATTATGAATGTGCGGTATGTGTGTAGGAGCCTTTGGGTGGCTTCAATGGACGCAGGTGTGCGCGGGGTGCGAGACTTATGAAGCTCGCTGCGTGGTGTGTTGGAGTAGAGAAGGCTCCGGGTATCTAACAAGGAAAAGAAAGACAAGCCAGTTGAAGTTGACTGTCAGAGTGGGATGGAGGAAGAAGAAGGTAGAGCTGGCGAAAGGCAAGCGTTATATGTGGAGCGGGCCTCTACACTTTCGAAGTGAACAGCTGGTATTTCGAGCTCCCTAAGTTTCACCGCTTCCAGATTCGGTCTTAGCGCTACCTTCCTGCCACTTTAGTGCTATTTCGGCTTTGCTCAACCTGGAGTCGCCCGCACATCAGCCTTAATTTCACTCGATCTCATGCTTCATTGGTACAGGACACGTGTAGTTTCACTTGGTGCTTGAACTTCCTACTCTACATACGTGTTGTTTGCATCACCGAAAGCCATGAGACTGAACACTTGAGTCAGGCGCAAAGCAATAGCTGTCCTCTGAAGCTTCTAGATCCTAGAACAATGCTGGATATCGTATGCAAAACAGTCTCCTATCAACAGCATATCGTGTAGGCACCCCGCGCTAGTCCTCAGCCTCACCCGTCAGGATGTCAAGGTGGACCTTTCTGAAGCCCTGTCTCTGTCTATGCGGATGATTGCCATTTGTCCATTTGCGCTTGTTCCGCCAATCAACGATAGCCAGTATTGAGGATACCGCTTATAAGGTGCAACGTCTCCTCATATGCTTAAGGCAGCCATCTAGATCACGAACAGTATGACTTCAAATGTCGTATTGATATTGAGGTGGGTCTCAAAGGCAGCAGCAGTTCTTAGTTGTCATACTTGGCGCAACGGCGGTGAAGGATGTTGTTTTGACACCTCATGTTGTCGCCGTACCCATGCTCGAGGACACTTCGGTTTCCGCAAGGTCTTTTGCCATCTTCCACGCTGTTGTAGAACAGCCTTGACCTTTCTCCGTATGGATGCAAGGAATCTTGGAGCTCGTGTCTGGTACTGGCGAACGTTCCTGAAGCCTGTCAATGTTTCTGCAGCTTTCCATCGTCACAGTCATGTCACCTTGCACAGAGACTCCACCCAAGGCTCTGCAATGCTTGTCCATGCGCTTCGCCTTCTCGTATCGTCATCATCATACTGAAAGCGGAACTTTCCATCAGTATGGATCACGGCACTAAATATTGGCATCGTGAGAATCTTGTGCTGGCTTATTCCCGCAGTCTCCAGCAGCGCAACGAGCAGCCACGGCTTGCATTCCACAAGTGAGCACCGTCATCGCCTTCAATCGTGCAGCCATCTTTAGACAAAAACTCCAGGTTGACTGAAGCGAGAACTCACAGTGAGCTTCTTCAGAGTCAAAGCCTACTGCAGCGGTGTTGCATCCCTTTGACAGTGCTCCTGAGGCGATGGTCAACTCGAGCCGTGAGACTTCGACTTCATGCAGCACCTGTCTGAGACAGCATATCTCACACACTTCGCTGTAAGCAAACCTTGCCTTCAACACCACAGAATTACCACTTTCGGAACCTTCAGCGTCAAAGTCGATCACGGCACTAGAAGATTGGCGTTTTCCACCTCTGAGTCGCCCAAGATTCGTTTCGGCTCACTCCCTGGACCGAGTGTTGTGCATGACAGCAACTTTTTTTGCATCGCAAGACAGGGTCCAACTCGACACAACAGCTCTTGGTATACTCGATTTGGAACTCAGGTGAAAGTATCGATCGCAGCACTAAGGTCTTGGACGACGATGCTGGGCAACTATGTATGCCAGATGTCACGCCTTAGGCTCAAGTCATATTGTTCATTTTGCAGAAAGCATGCATTCTATGCTCGGGGAGGCACCATTCAGTAGCTATCCTTCGATCCTTGCGAGGCAACATTGTCGCCGTTATTTGCACAGCGCAGGTCCTACGTACAAGTATTGCCGACCAACCACCAGATGACGCTGTTTTAGGCCACCTTCAAGATTGTTGAGCCTCAAGAAGCCTCTTGTTTGGTGTTTGTTGTCGTAAGTTGAATATGCATTCACCGGATTGGGTTGCTGACTAACCCGTTGCCAAAATTTGGCAGGCCTGCCGATCGTTTGCCGACAATTCACCGCCATCAATGTAACCACCGGAGGCTGTCCTTAACGCCTTTCGCGCCATACACCAAGTGGACTGCTTAGAAATGCAGGAAATGAGCATACAACGACGTGTTGCGGAGCACAAGGCGTAGCGAGCTTGGCTGAGGCATGAGCTTGCAGGCTCGTGTAGAGAGGCGTCGCGGCAAAGATTGACTGTTGCGCTACGTGAGAAAGCATGAGTGAGCATGGTAAGAAACAAATACACGACTAACACTGAGCGTACAGCAGGTATTCAACTAAAGGCTTGGGTACGCAACTACGCTGTCAGCAAAGGTAAGCTGTCCTGCAGCCGTCTCACCCCTTGTATCCACTTTTGCAGAACATCAAGGTCGCGTACACTAGCAAGTCATGTTGCAGTTCTGCTATCGGCTACATCGTCGCACATTCATGGTGCGATTTGCGTCGGCGATGCCTTACAAATCACCTACGAATTAATTCTTTGGGGGATGTGACGTCTGCGGGGCCGCTGTTGCCGACTACGCTACGCTATCAACGTCACCCTAACGGTACTTTCGAGAAGTGGGGAGTAAGTATAAAGCTCTCGCGGTTCTCCCATCCTTTGTTTCGACATCAATTGAGGCCGAGTCTCTTTCACAACTATCCCATTCTCTCCAAAACTCACACCACTCGCAACCATGAGCGCCAAAGCAGACACCGATAAGCCCCACTCTCACCATGCAATCCTCAAGGACATCCCAACCGAAGACCACTTGAGGAACATTGCAGCTCCTGGGGTACGTGAACATTTTGAGACATGTCTTGAGCTCCGTACTGACTATTGCAGGTCTCGTACTTCACACCCCTTCAGGACCCACCAGCTGGTACCGCACTTGGAATGACCGATGGCAGCTCAAAGATCCCCAAGCTTTTCACCCCACTCAAGATCCGTGGTCTTCAGATGCAGAACCGCATTGCATTATCACCGCTTTGCCAATACTCCTCTCAGGATGGCCATGTCACAGACTGGCAGCTCACTCACTTGGGTGGTATCCTCCAGCGTGGTCCCGGGTTGACCATGGTCGAGGCAACTGCCGTCCAGTTTAACGGCCGCATCACCCCTGAGGATTCTGGCCTGTGGAAAGATTCTCAGAAGGAGCCCCTCCGCAGGATTGTTGAGTTTGCACACGGTCAAAGCCAGAAGATCGGTATTCAGCTTGGACACGCTGGACGCAAAGCAAGTACCGTCGCACCATGGTTGAGTAAGGGTGATATTGCAGGAAAGGACGTGAACGGCTGGCCCGACAACGTCCACGCACCTTCTGCCATCGCTTTCAACGACAAGCACTGCCAGCCCAAGGAGATGACCCTGGATGACATCGAGCAGCTCAAGACCGACTTCAAGGCCGCCATAGAGCGCGCGGTTTCGATTGGCTTCGACTTCATCGAGATCCACAACGCCCACGGCTACCTCCTTCATTCCTTCTTGTCGCCCGCATCCAACAAGCGTACTGACAAATATGGTGGCTCGTTCGAGAATCGCACTCGTCTGACTCTCGAAATTATTGACCTGGCTCGCGCCACTATCCCCAAGGATATGCCCCTTCTTCTTCGTATCAGTGCCACTGACTGGCTGGAGGAGGCTGGTATCGAGGGCTGGACCGTTGAGCAGACCGTCAAGCTGTCCGAGCAGCTTGCTGAGAAGGGTGTCGATCTTCTCGACGTTTCATCCGGAGGTCTCCATGAGAAGCAGCACATCCACGGCGGACCTGGCTACCAGGAGCCATTCGCTAAGGCCGTCAAGGACAAGGTCGGTGACAAGATGCTTGTCGGTACTGTCGGATCCATCACCAATGGCAAGCAGGCCAACGGATACCTCGAGGATGACAACCTTGACGTTGCCTTCGTTGGTCGCATGTTCCAGAAGAATCCCGGTCTTGTCTGGCAGTTCGCTGATGAACTCGGCGTAGCGGGTCGCTGGGCAAATCAGATCCGCTGGGGCTTTGGAGGAAGGGGCAGGAAGTGAGTGCTTTAGCTTTCATCAAGGACCAAACACATTCCCTTCTTCGTTATGATATCATGATTTAGTCCTGTACACCACGACATATACAAGAGGTAAATTTGTAAAAGAATTGGAAAGTAGAAGACTGTTCACGAATTTCAATTTTCTCATCTGCAAATCGTTGCGATTCCAACTTCTCATATACCACTCCAGATGCACTACTGACAACTTTGCTAGGGACCACATCGTGAACAAGAAAGCGTTTGCGAACGAGGCTGTTTTCGTAGAGTACAAGAAGGACTAGATACCCTAGATGTCAAGAATCACCGAATAGAAAGCCTGTATCCTGCTCGATCGAGCAAAAAGTCTATCAAAGGAACCTCCCACTATCCTCCATATTTTCTTCGTCAAACACACGTGGCTTCTTCGTGGGTCATGATCGTACTTGTGGCCGCACGGTACAGGTACACCACCCACTGATCGCCGAGGCCTCTGATTGGCTATCATAGGAACATCACGACATCATGCATCTAGTTGCTCTGATCTTACCAGCATCGAGCATGTTCCCCCACTTGATGTCTTGCGTAAACCATTGTGGCTGCAACATCCAAGTGGCTTGCTGAGGCTTGCACGTTGCCTGCCCTTCAGCTCTCCATACCACGAGCATTCCAATTTACTTCACAACAGACAGCCTACTGAAAGCCCCTCTTTCATTTGCGAAGCTTTCGGATACACAAAGTTTGAAGATGGGATTGCTAGGAGGCTCAGAAGCATCGTGGGCCCTGCAGCTCGCGACAAGTACTTGCTTCAAATTCGACCTCACCTGCTCCCCAAATCAAATCTCACAACCTAAACAAACCACCACAGTGGCTACTGGCCCAACATACGACCCAAATATCCATACCCAGGTATCAGTCAACAACTCAGAGGTCCAAAAAGTGGGATAACGACCTCGCAACAACCTATTTCCGCGTCCAGATAAAAGACTATCATGGCCTCCCCAAGGATGCACCCAAGGACTGTTCTTACTTCAATCGCCCTTACACGCATCAGATGGATACTCAGTCGCATGATCTTTCGTGCCGAACCGCGATATCTCCGGTACCGACCTGATCATGGGCTTCGACTTCAGCCACCTCGTGCTCGACCGCTTACCGCTCGGCACCAAGACAGCAGTGAAGATCACGACTACAGTGCTGGATCCTGGCTTGTATGCAGACCCGTTCAACGATGAGCTTTATCTATATGGGCCTATGCGGAGCAGTTGCTTCACTTTCCGTATCGGTGGTAAGATAGATGAAGAAGGTGCGGAGGAGCAATTGAAGCGCCTGGACAGAGAAAACGATGGCGTGATGGAGGAAGGCGCATCTCTCTGGCGAATCAGTCCGTGCCAGCCACAACATTCCGTCGAATTGGAAAGCAAGACGAAAGTTCTTCCTCGACCAGTCACAGCTGGAGAAGTCCACGTTTGTGAAGGGACGAATGTATCATGCTGATTTTTAAACCCGCACCTGGACTTTTCGAACTTCTCGTTGAGGTTGCTGGGGTTTTTGATTAGTGTGGCGAAGCAAGTGGATGAGGAGACGCATCATCTGCGGTTTATGTTGAAGAGTAGAGAGAGTGGGAAGGTGTTGTTTGTGGTGTTCTTCAAGTTGTTATTTGCGAAGAAACTTGAGGATACGCTGAAGAATGGCGAGTAAGAGAGCAGTGGAACGAGTGGGAACCAGACGAAGGCAGGCGAGCCATATCCAGGGACTAAGTGTGGAAGGTTTGAGATGATTGGGTTGATTGATCTTGAGAGCTATTGGTTGGAATCGATCGAGACTATATAGTAGAAAGGGATAGTAGTGAAGGGTTGGGGAAGCAAACCGAACTAACCGAACTAACCGAATGAGCTGGACTATCAGTGCAGCGGGCCGTTGGCAAACACTGCAACGGACCGCTAGCGAACACTAAGTCAGAACAGGACACGACGACAGAGACAGATGAGCCTAGATGAAAGTCCATACAATGAGAGATATTGGGAGGCAGCAGAGCGCCCTCTTTCCAGGAGCCTTCAGGATCCAAAGCGCCTAAATCGTACACAAGAGAGGACCAGAGCGACTACATACTGAACGCAGCGGCGAGCACTCTTGCACAGTCGATATCTGCCGCTTTTGGTGCGATGGGTTTTGGAAACTCTTCCGACTCCGAAAATGTCAATGGGAACAGCACACCATACAGATCACACGCAAAACCTGCAAACGCGATAGACGACTGAGCTGTTGAGAATCACTTGAGAGATCGGCACGGAAGTAGCAGTCAGTAGCGAAGACACGAATGTGATTTATATCGGACGACATCGTCGACTTCAAACGGCAAGAGCGACGCAATTGTCGAGACCTACAAATCATACTGAATCCTCTCGCTATCCTAAAGCAAGCTTGTCCCCAGATTTCCTCCACATACCTCGCCAGTACAAGCCTACTCATCCGTTTTTCGCCACCAGATTCAGCCAGACCATCAAGCTTCCGCCGATGTATTGAGCATAGACCCAGAAGTCGTGAAACCGGGTCTGAGTGTCATCGGGAGACATGCCACACATACGAGTACGGTCCAGCTTGCGCAATGAAACATATGAACGAGGCTACAGTAGATTACGACAGCCAGAACGACTTCTACAACGTGAATCACTATGGCCTGGTTAAGCCAGATTCCACGCTTGCACTGACGCGTGTGAGCCGCTCACCAATAAGCTAGTCCGCTAGCGAGGGTGCTAGCCGTGATGTATGCGGGGGCTTCATGGAGTTCGGAGGTGCGGGCATAGGTTACCTCTTCAGATGTGAAGTTCGTAGACGCGCCACGGTACCTAATAGTATGTCTTCTGTACCATGAAGCTTTGGAAGATAGCGACAATAACGAAGACAAGATCGCAAGTTATCGTGAACCAGTCCCAAGCGACCACAGCCTTCGTAGTCTTTCCAACATATTGAAAGGGCTGTTGTACATAGCCCACGACTTCGTTGAAAAGACTCTGTGGCTTGTCAATAGCTAGACTGCATCACCATGTCTTGTTACTGATCAGTCTTTTCGACTTGGGCGTCCTGGTGCGGAAGTGTATGCACAATTGGAATCATACGCGCGACTGATTCTCGAAGGGTCTCCATGTCTTCAGCGTTCTGGTTCTACGCGTGCTCAAGAGCCCGGATCTTGTCCATGACGATGAAGTAAAGGATGCTGCCGATTGCGACAATGACGAGAGTGATGATGATATTCAGGGTTGACGACATGGTGGAAGCAGCGTATCCAAAAGTCAGCATACTTGTAGTAGAACGGTACTGGTACAACTCACGTGACACGCAGGGCAGCAGTGAAAGTACCTCCCATAGCAGTAGCAGTAACGTAGTGGTTGACCCGGCCGTAGTACGGCCGTACTCGTGTTACTTTTGGCGTGTTATAGGTAAAGTGCGGAAGTGAAGCAATACTCAGATCGCCCACATTCAATTTTCAGATTATACCGGATATAAGTCAAAGAGTGAGTTGTATTTCTGTATTTACCATAAATAGTCTGTACAGCGTGTACAATAGTGTTTTGCTCCGTTCAAATCCTAGCGTTGACTTATATTTTTGCTCTTATTTTGCTGTTCTCCACGCGGACGCTCCCGCCGCTAGCATCTGTATAAATATAGAATGTGGCTTTGGCTCAAAGCTACTGTGTCTGTGCGCACAACGATCATGTTGGTACAACGATCAGGCAACAACAATAGTCACATTTTGACACGTCAACTACACCACAACCATGCCTGGAATTCATGATGCACTTATGCAGATTCGTCAATTAAAGCCTGGCGAAAATTTTACATATACAGAAATTGCAAAAATTCATCGTGTTAATCGCGTAACGTTGTCAAGGCACCACCAAGGTGTGCAGCAATCCCGGGAAGATGCCAACACAGATCGCCAGTTACTCCACCCACAACAGGAGTTGTACCTTGTGAAGTATATCAAAGAGCTTACAGATCGTCACCTACCTCCTACGCGTCAAATGGTAGCAAATTTTGCCTTTGCGCTTGCTCACAACAAGGTTTCCGAGAGCTGGATTACTGACTTCCTTCACCGGCACTCTGATCGAATATCATCACGATGGACCACAAGTATGGATGCGCAGCGGCACGCTGCTGATTCTCTCGAAAAGTACACCAAGTACTTTGATATTCTGCAGCAGAAGATCACCCAATACAACATCGAGCCACGGCACACATACAATATGGATGAGAAAGGCTTTGCAATTGGCCTGACAGGCAAGAGCAAGCGGATCTTCTCTAAGCAAACATGGCAACAAGGGAGGAGTAGAGAATCACTCCAAGATGGCAATCGTGAGTGGGTAACATTACTCGCAAGCGTGTGTGCGGATGGGTCAACTCTGCCACCAGGCCTCATATACCAGAGTAAAGCTCAAGCCCTACAATCAAACTGGGTGGCGGATATTGAGCCAGGAAAACACTCAGTATTTGTAGCGGCATCACCTACAGGTTGGACCAACGATGAGATGGGTGTTGCCTGGCTTGAGCAGGTCTTTGATCGCTACACTAAGGCAAAAGCTTGAAACTCATGGCGATTGCTCATTGTCGATGGCCACGGCTCACATATAACGATGGCCTTTATCAACTACTGCGATCGCCACAGGATTCTGCTCTGTATCTATCCCCCACACAGTACCCACGCGCTGCAGCCGCTTGATGTGAGCTGTTTCTCACCTCTGGCAGCAAACTACTCCAATGCAGTTACTACACACCTTCACAACGCCCAAGGCTTCTCCACAGTCAGGAAACCTGACTTTTTTAGGCTTTTCTGGCATGCCTGGATAGATACCTTCACTGAGGCGCTGGTACTGAGCGCCTTCGAAGCCACAGGCCTATGGCCGTTCAACCCAAACAGGATACTTCACCGCTTCCAGAAGCTCAATACTGATGCCTCTAGTAGTACAGAGGCATCGGCCGATGAGCTTGACAGGCTTCTTGACTCTGCAATTATCAATAACAATGCTCGGGATGCTCGCGCATTGCAATGCTCAATTCACCGGCTTGCAGCTCAAAACAAGCTACTTACTCTTGAAAACCAGCAGCTTCGCCTTGCAGTTACTACTAAGAAGAAGCGCAAGAACAAGGGCAAGCCGCTAACCCTACAACAAGAGCAGCAGTATGAGCACAATCCTCTCTTCTTCTCGCCGCGCAAGGTACAAGAAGCTCGCAATCGCGAGCAAGCCACGCAACAACAGAAATGTGACAAAGCGGCAGCAATTATTGAGCGACGGCAGATACAACACCAAAACAAGATACTCCAAGAACAGCTACAACAGGAGAAGCGTGTGGCGCGAGAGGAAGCCAAGAAGGTGCGGGAGAAGGAGAGAGCTGAGAAGGCAGCTGAGAAACAACGGCAGAAGGCAGCTCGCAACACTGCCACAGCTATACAACTGTCTCAATCTGGCAAGCGCAAGGCCTCACAGAGTCTTCCTGCAAACCCTTGCAAAAAACAGAGGCGTGTGGGTGGTGCTGTGGGTGGTGTGGCCACAACGGTGGGCGCCTCAAGCCCTCCACCAAAAGCCACCTTGCGTGGCCGCAACGTGCGACTCCCACACAAGTATCGATAGCCAGAACAGTTGCCTGAGTCTACAGATTACAACACCAAAAAATCTCGCAATAATATATATTGTATGTGGTTGTACAGCTTCATTTGTGGGTGCCTGTGAAGGCGCTAGCGCGGTCGTTTTACCAACATGATCGTTGTGCGCACAGACACGGTAGTGTTTAATTGGGTGTAGTGCGGCTCCGGGTGGGCTGCTGAGGACCTCAACACCAAACCTTGCGCACAATATCACCAGTATGTTTTATCACTCCCTGCATATCTAAGCCACAACAAGATTTTTTTGTTGTCTTGCTCTATCAACGCGTACAAATGATGTCTGTATGCATACAAAGCTTTTCCAAGCTTGATGTAAAGGTTGCGCAAAGTATGCTGGTACCTGAGAACAGTGACTGAATTGATGAGGAGCTATGGAGAAACACTGACGAGTTTTCAGTGTGTCTTGCTTGCTTATACGCTAAACAAGCAAGGAATAGGTGGATCCCATCCATGTCAAGACTCTACCGACCTCTCTAGGGCCTAGCCTATCACTATATTAACATAGTATTTAGATTTATTTTTAGGCACACAATTACCTATTTTAAGCATACTATAGTAAAGCAAGAGAGCTTTAAGCCAGTGTGATAGTACTATTGTGCGTTTAAATTGGTATTTCTGTTTAAGTTAGGAGGCCCAAGCTTCTGCTGGATGGAAGTGGCTCTCAGGTGATATAGGGCAGGCGGTGATATAGGGCAGGCAGTGATATAGGGCAGGAGCATTTGGGTGGTTTGCCGTTCTGATTGGGACTAGGGTCAATAGCTTGTATGGGCGGTCTCTGACCCAGGTTTTCTGGCAACAGACACAAGAAAATACAACCAATCAAGATCATATTCCAATAGCTTCGCTTGGGTCGGTAGCTAGGTAACATGCACGAGGTTACTTCTTCATCATATAAAACCATTCAGGAATTCACTTGTACCAATTGGAGTAAACCAGTAAGAGTCATCGACGCATTTGCAAGAGTCTGTATTGCTTCTCCAGGAACCGGACATTCTTCCGCTCATACGAGTACAGCTCGACTATGTCTTTGGCAACTGTGGATACTTTTACGCTACGAGCTGCTTGGCAGCACTTCGGCGCCCATCTAGCTGTTCGTGAACCAGTTCATTTCCAAGAACAATTGATCTTCACAACAAAGATAGACTAAACTCGTTTTGAATAGAAAAAGTTAAAGTAGAATTGGAGTGTTGTGAGATTTAAGTGCTTTGGTGATGAGCCCTACGGGCCGTGTTCCTTTGCAGCTAATGTGCCGCGCTTGAGAATGTCCAAGGACTGATCGTGTTGGCATTTGCCATATGAAGGCTTCGGCGCATGTCGACAGTCGCCGTGCTTCATCCGGGCCTACTTTTCATCACCCCGATCAACAATAGACACTGCACGCTCCGTCCTCAAATTGATAACAGCAGCTGCTCTCAATGGCTCATTATCTGAGAAGTTAAGAGTGACATCGCTCGAAGCGGTGATGAAGCTTGTGACTGCCCTGCAGGAGCCTGAAGATGCGATCACCAAACTGGCTTATCATGTATGTTAACTTGTAAAGGTCGGATCGTCTGCACTGACTGAAATCATATCAGCCATCTATTTTCATGGCAACACGGACTTTGCTCGAACTTGGAGTCTTCAGACATATCGTAGAGAAAGAATGTATTACATCGCAAGAGCTGGCGAACCTTACAAAGGCTGATGAGGTCTTGCTTGGTACAGCGTTGAAGATTGTCAACGTGCGATGAATCACTAAAGGCTATTGCAGAACGTCTTCTACGCGTCCTCACTGCATTAGGATGTTGCAGAACTCGACGACTCGACATACGGACCGAATCCATTGACCAAGGCACTTGCTACGAGGCAAACAGCAGGTCTTGTCGAGTTCATGTACGTCGGATCGAAGCGGAACGTCGGCAAAAGACTGACATTCAGCATAGCTACGATGCCGGAATGATATTCATAGCCAAACTTCCTGAGTACTTCGAGAGACACGAATATAAGAACCCGACTAACCAAAACTGGGGTCCAGCACAGTACGGCCACAACTTCCCCGGACAGAATCTTTGGCCGTACATTGCCGCCAATCCCAAGCTTCTCAACGCTGTGCATGCATTCTTTGAAGGTGGCCGTGGGAGTAGGCCACTCTAAGTTAATAGATATCCGGTTGAATAGAAGCTGCTCGACAATACTTCCAAGCCGGTGACTGATGATGACATCCTGTACGTTGATGTGGCAGGCGGCAGACGGCACGATCTTCTTGACTTCAGACAGAAATTTTCTAGTTATCCCAGCAGATACGTTCTCATGGATTTGCCTCATGTGATCGAAGATGAGACACTCGATCTCGCTGGCGTCGAGAAGTGTTCGCCAGCGGTCCGTTGCAGTATTTGCTAACAGTCCGCTGCACTGATTTTCCAGCTCATTCAGTTAGCTCGGGTTTGCTTCCATACCCGTTTATGGCTATTCCCTTCTACTATATAGTCCCGATCGATCCTCGCCATAGCTCTACAGATCAATCAATACTCTCAACCCTTCCACAAGAAGCAATCCCTCGATTTCTTCCGGGATCATTTTACTGTTCTTCCTTCATCCAATATTTGGCGGGTGTTGAAAGCGTTTCAGAAGTTCGTGGGGATGAAACGCGGGCTGTAACACCACCAGTCCTAGCCAACTTGGACCTCAACACCAAGATTAGCTCCTCTCAACCTGTTCTTCTTTTTCGTTAATGTTGTTCGTGCGCTTTGGTCAGTATGGCGATACCGAGGCGCCTTATTCTCCTCCTTACGGCTACTTTTCTGCTCTTACTTATCGCAATGCTGTTAGCGATTGCGATCGAGATCCGCGCACCACCACCAAAGATGATGGCAGTGACGCTTGCTCAAGCCGCAAAGTACGGCGAATCTGAACGCGAGCTTGCTGAAAAAGCGCTCCTGAACGGCACCGACTTCGATCGCGGCGACATCCTGAATGGAACCACCATTGCGCCACCAGCATACACGCCCACAATGACGGTGACCGACGAAGGCATGATTGGAGACCAGGAAGCGCCAGTACCGACTTCAAGCGCAGCGGATGAAGGATACATCCAGCCAGACTCAACGTCTCTGCCAGCCGCCAAACCGACACCACAACCCGTCGCGCAAATCCCGATCCTCGCTCTTTCCTACTCTGGCTCTGGAGGCCCAAAACACTGTCGCGGTAGCCTGTTACAGAAAATGTCCTTCGCGCGGCCTGCAGCGCAGTGGAAGAACGGGTCATGCATCAATCTTCCCAGCGATGCGCGCTGCGGCGTCTTCTACTCCGAGAAGGGCGACAACTGCGAGGCGCAACTGTTCAACGAAGCGGACTGCTACAACACAACGGCGACGTACGTCAACACCGTGGTGTTCATGCCAGAAGAGCGACCTGTCGGCACGCTGTGGAGGAGCATGTTCGTGAAATGCGGTGTACATGTGCCAGAGGCCACGATGCTGGATCCTGCTATTCTCGGTGGGGCGCTGGGATCGAAGAAACCTCCTGTTGGATGAGGTGCAAATCGTCTTCAGGATCTTACGCGAAGAATGGTTAAAGGAGCAGAGGACGCCACGGCGCGTCACATGGAGATGCGCCCAACAACACTAATATCAACGAGCGAGAGCATCGGCTCTGCTGACTACCGAAGAGCGATCTTCATTCAGAGCACAGAATACTGAATATGAGGGGTTTGCGCGCTGCAATGGGAAAGAGTTACAAGAGTGTGGGGGTAGGACTTACCCAACAGGCTTGATGGAAGTCTTGAGGCCTTATGCTCAAAGTCCGCCAACCTCGGCAAGAGTGCACACAAATGTCGCAAGTCCAGCGAAAAACCAGCAAGGAGGATGAGAGGGCAGTCACTTCCATGCATCACTAGGAGCACTTTTTTATATGAGGATATAAATCTTGGATTTGTCCATTCATCCATTAACAATATCCGTTATGGTCTAGGTAAGCTCAACCATCACCACTTCACTCGCCAACAATCACTAACGAACAGCAGTGGCTAGGATACATCGCTCTCATTAGTAAGCGCCGATGTGGCCGGGGTTCGATTCCCCGTGACGGAAACATCTTTTTTGCACTTCTCATGTGCTGTGCGTTCGTCCAGGAGGATGTGTGTGAAAGTTGTCTGTGTTTTTTGGTTGATACCACCACGCACAGCCATGCGTGGGTATTTTTTGTTTTGCACCTCGCGTGTTGACTGCGCATGACTGGCAGCTGCTCCCAGCCTTCCACATTCGTAGAAGCGAGACAATCAAATCAAGCATATTTATTTAATCTGATAATTTGGTGGTATAAGACCACACTGTGGTCTGTGAACGAGGGCACATACAGCAGAGAGGTCTGATCACCTATCGATAAGGATTTGATCCAGAATTAATATGATTGTTGACAAGTCTGGTAGAAGCTCACTTGGCCCGGTCTGGGGTGTAAATAATATGAGGGGTAAGAGCTGCCGCAACAGCCAACATATGTGGGCTGAAGCTTATCAAGATCGAGACGAATGATAACTCAAGGTCATCTCGTTTCTGGCTCCTCTGTCTGCCAGTCGGTATTGTTGAGTGTAAGAGTTATCGATTGTGTCAGTTGGCTGAGCCAGACTAAGTAAACAGCGCTAAGTACAAATACGGTAGTGCATACCAACAGAACGGTCAGGAGCAACCACCTATTGTGGTAGTGTCTACTTTCCGAACATGTATGTGTGAATCGGCACTGAAATTTAAAGACATTCGCATGTTGTAACTGAATATCCCATTCTTATGCTGGTATCGCAGATCCTTCCATGAGTTGTATTGGCGGGTAACAGCATCCTGCACTGAGGTGTGGTAGTTGCTGTTGGAAGGTGCTATTCCCCTATATATCGATTAGTACTGGCATTATTTATAGGCGCTAGTGGATGGGTACTGAGGCTTTCCCCGATAACTTCAACTCAATAATAACACTTAAACAGTTGTAACGTGCACCCTAGCGATGATGTGCTTCGCCCCTCCCAAATTCCCCTAAGGAACATCACCGTTTATTGCCACGACCAAGAAGCGTATCTCCGCTCAGCGTGCTTGATTGGAAAAGAATAGTGCAGATCACAATAGACATGCGGCTGTCACATCGAACAGTGAATATAAGAAGCGGATCGGTCCTTCCTCGCTGATTCACACAGCAGCGCCGTATCAAAGTTCGATTTCGAACAGTTGCTCGGGATGGCGCCGAACATCATCAAGAATGTACGTTTGCTCCCTTTAGCAGCCTGCCATTCTAACAGCACTCAGTTCCGCTCCTTCAGATGGGATTCCAACACCCATCTCAAATCCCACGAACGCGTGCTCCTCCGCAAGCTCGACTTCTCCATCCTGACCCTCGGCTGCCTGGGCTTCTTCCTAAAATATCTCGACCAAGGCAACCTCTCCAACGCTTATGTCTCTGGCATGCAGGAAGATCTGCGCATGTATGGCAACAAATACACATATGCAGTAACCTGCTACACTGTCGCCTATGCCGTCATGCAGATCCCGAGTAATATATTCGACCATCCTACTGGCTCGCGGCCGTGGAAATCGCGTGGGGAAATCTTACGCTTGCGCAAGCCAGAGTTAAGAACGTGCCTGAGCTGTATGCTTTCAGGTTCTTGGTCGGTTTTGTTGAGAGTAGCTTCTTCCCTGCGCTGTTGTGTGCCGGGGAGCTGGTACACGAAGACTGAACTTGCGAAACGGATTACAATCTTTCATATGACGACGCTAACTGGACGTGCCTTCGGAGGATATCTGCAAGCTGCGGTGCATAAGAGTTTGGATGGACACCATGGATTGGAAGGCTGGCGATGGCTCTATATCGTCTGTGGTATAAGTGCTCTTAGATGTTTCGTTGAAAATTTGGGCTGATCGAGCGCAGTGTATGACCGTCCCCGTAGGCTTCGTTACCTGATGGGTGCTCCCAGACATTGTACACAACATGCGCTTGGTTCCTTACCGACAAAAGCAAGCAAATCGTCATCGAGTGTGTCAAGAAAGCTGGAAAAGCAGCGCCCGCTAAGATCACCCTTGCCACGTTCAAACACGTCTTGACTGGCTGGCGATGGTACGCGTTCGTCCTAGGTAACGTGCTCTACGGTAGTGCCTGTGGAGTGAGCGACTATTTCGGTATCTGGCTTAAGTCTGAAGGCTTCTCGATCGTGGACCGCAACATCATTCTGTCACGGTTTAGACTACGTGAGGAGAAGCCGACTATATACTGGCCCTGGAAGTCGCTATTCCAGAACAGTATATACCAGGGTAATAGGGTCTCAACCAAGACCACAACATATTTAAACACACAGAATAGTGAAATACAACCTCAGTTCAATTCTTCAATTCTTCCCACATGCGTACGGATCACTCACAATCCACCGCCACACATTCCCACAAGAACAAAGCTACAGTACTAGAACAAAAGTTTAGTCGCAAATTGAGCTTGGGCCACAACACCACACAAACATGAAATTGCACGTTGACTTCACAGCAGATTTACTCAATAACCATGTCTCAATACAGTCAAGCAGTTAGCAGCAATTGATTGCCAGGTCAGGAATTATCTGTTACGATTCGTGCCTTAAGCAAAGCTCGTAGACACTAGTCAATTGGTTCTTGGGGATGAGCAGAGGTACAGAAAGCTGTAGGGGTTGACAGTCACCTAAGCAAGGCTTGGGTGGTCAGGGGTAGACTATCCGGGCGGGTTGTAATAACCTTTGTAATAGTCAGGTAGTCATCTAGTCAAAGACCGTGGCGACTGGTTGCAATGAGTAGTACAGAGTATACTGTCTGGCTCGAGAGCAAGTGAGATTCCAATAACAAAGTTGATTGACGAGGTTGAACACAATGCCATAAGGGCAGGCTCATCCCCGAGAACCAATCGAATAGTGTCTACGAGCTTTGCTTAAGGCACGAACCGCAACAGAGAGGTTCTGTGGAGGGTTGAAAGAGGCATGGTTAGCCATACCCAATTCATTGATAAAGGAGCTCATTCACTCAATGCCACACCGAATCTCTGCTGTACAGAGAGCTAGGGGATACCAGACTAAATACTAAGACTACACGCTGTATAAGCTGAAACCAGAACTACTTTTTGACTTGTGGTTGTGGAGATATTCAAGTGTGAATATTCACTGACAATGTTGATGAGGTGGTCGCAGCGTGCGCTGCGACCAAACTTTTGGTGAGCGACTGTAATATCCGGGTTCTGCATCGTGCTATGGGGCTTTTCGTACGATTACACAGGCAGCAAATTTGCATTTGTCTTCGGGCCGCTCGCGTATAGACTGATCTCGAACGGAATTTTGGCTTTTTGGCCGCCGAGTCAGAATGCGAAGCTGTTTGCGTTTTTGACGTGTGGAGTGCAACTCATGACTACTATCTTGCAAATCTTCTCTTCCGGTTGCAGATCTTTGACTGACGGTAACTCATAACTACACCTGGGCGAACGAGCTCTGCGCTGGGGACAACGAAGAGCGCACCATCGTCATCAGCAGCATGAAAGCATGAAGGGCTTCCAGTATGCCGTTGCAACCTGGCTTCCAATTGTAATCTTTCCCCAGACCATGGCTCCAACTTTCCGTTATGGGTTCCCTGGTACATTTGGCCTAGTGATTGCTGCGCTGATTGTCATCGTGACCATCCAACTCCTACAGAACCGGTCGTTGAAGAAAGAGAAGAAAGGTTAAGCGTCGGTCAGTGAAGGAGGCGATGAGGAGTCTGGCGTAGCGTGGATTATGCAGCAGACTCAAAGGATGTTGGTAAGCAAGCAAGGCGAGGGAGGTAGATGGTTCGATTTGAGTACTGCAAAGAAAATCATTGATGAGCTTGCTGATTCGCGGGAGAGGTGGCCTCCGTTCTTGGGAGGACCAAGAAGAACGTATCCCCTGGTTTACTACCGCCTCTCTACGCTCTCCAAAAACACGGAGTCTCTTGGAGATCGCTCGTACGTCCGACTGAAGTCTTGTTGAACTGTGATAGTGTTTCTGGTCTGAGTTTGATGCGCCATACTAGAAGCCGGCCCGAGGAATTTGAAGGGGCAATCCTGACTTCTGGTCTTGCGTGGAACGGTGGCAACGCCGTAAGGTCTTCTAAGCTATCTTTTCTTTGGCTGTTTTCGATTTCTGGTAGCTCCCAACCCAGAGTACCAGCCATCGTGGTACCGTCATATGGCGAGGTGCTGCTTGATTGGTTGTTGCCTTTCTTGAGAGCCGCGAAGCGTGCGTACTTTGATGAACCTTCGCTGCAGCAAATACGCATGATCGGCCGTAGCGTTGGAAGCGAGCCAGTGATTATGAGAATGAAGAGTTCGGCTCTGTATGTATATCGAATTGATAACCCATACTCAGACAATGGATCCAGTTGGATTGACCTACAGATAGCAGAGAGATATTTGTGCCCACGCATAGGTGACATTGGTCAACCTGCTGATGTCTCGCATATACCAAATCTTGGCCAACGTAGCTGAGGCAGCACTGCACTTCGTTAAGCCAATGATGTCAAGCTGTCTCAGGGATAACCTTACAAGTCGCCCCCGCACATGAGGAAGGTCAGGCTCCACTTGGTAGGCTGGAAATGCGGCCGTAGTAAGATTCATGAAGGCATTCTACGCTGGGCTGATGATTAGCAGATATAGCACCGTCAAAGCTAAGCCCCCCCCCCCCTCCCCCCAGACGTACCAGCCTGCAAAGTGCGCCGTCGTTGAGTGGCCATTAGTCTTGTTTCATCTTGACGGAGACTTTCAAGTTTGTGATCTAGTGCGAGCATGCTGCATTCCGACTCGTGCAATTGCCGCGATGATATACCTTGCAAACTCATCGGTTTTACATCTCGCACAAGTGTACGTTCGAAGCCGCTCATCATAATGGAAGCAACCTTCAAGGCCTTCGAGGTGGCCACCGTGGCCGCGCAGAAAGAAGGGATATCGGAAGAATGGTGCGCACGTTTGTTGACTACTGCTTTGAATCTCGTCAGTGGGTTGCAAAGGCCTGAAGAAACCTTGATGAGAGAGGCGTTTTGGGTATGTGAAGATCGTTGGAACCCGATGGTAGTTGAAACTGATCTCATTTTAGATGGGCAGGTTCATGGCCATGCGTGTGCTGCATGACCTGAGCATCTTCGACTATGTTACTGAAAAAGGTCAAGTGACATCCGGAGAGTTAGCCGAACTATCCAAGGCTGACCAAACATTGCTTGTTAATCGTAATTCTGCTTCCAATGTTGGTTCGAGCTGACGGAACGATGTAGAGCGTTTGCTGAGAGTGATGACAGTGAGTGGCCTTGTTGTCGAGCTCGATAAGGCTACATATGAGCCCAATCAGCTGACCATAGCCTTGACCAATAGACACATGAAAGGCATGGTTGAATACATGTGAGTAACTGCTGCCGCTCACAACGAGTTTGCTAAGTACTGAACGACTGTCACAGTTTTGATGGTGGCATGGAAACGATGGCCAAAGTCCCCGCATATCTTGCGGAAATTGACTACAAGAACCCAGATGATCAAGCTGAGGGGCCGCTGCAATACCGTTACGATGCACAAGGCCAGGGCTTGTTTCGGATTCTGGTGGCCGGACAAAACCTGCTGTCAGCCTTTTCTGCCTTCTTCGAAGGAGATTGTGATAATCAGCCTGACTGGGTAGATTGATTCCCTGTCCAGGGAAAGCTGCTCGACGATCCAGAACGAACAATAGTGGCGGGAGGCCATCTGTATGTGGATGTTGCCGGTGGCCGTGGTCATGATCTCTTCGCATTCAAGCAGAAGTTTGCTGAACACCCTGACAAATACTACCTGTTCGATCTTCCGCACATTGCCGAGGATCGTACGCTCGATCTCGGAGATTGTGTCGAGCGTGTTAGCTTCAACTTTTTCCAAGATCAAGTAATATCGGATACGTTCTGCTCTGTTCTCCTTTAGCAAGCCTAATCGGTATGCAGCTTCCCGTTATACTTCCTGAAGTTCATCCTGCATAACTGGTCAGACGAGAAATGTCTCGCTATAGTCAAGAACGTTACCGCGAGTATGAAGAGAGGATACTCGCAGCTTATCATTGAAGACTTCATTCTGCCTCCTACCGGCACGACTATCCTGCCTGCACTGTTCGACATGCAGATGATAGCTTTCCTGGTCGCGATGGAACGGACAGAGAAGCATTGGCGTGAGCTGCTGGGTGATGCGGGACTAGTCGTCGAGGGCTTCCATCTACCGCCTGGTGACGGTACTGGTATCATCGTAACAAGTCTGAAGTAGTCCCTACGATCAAGGATTCAGCTGCATACCCTCAAATGTTGTAGTCTGAAGGCATTTCAGGATTTTTTTGCGCGTGAGAGTGCTTGCTTGAGGTGAGTGACAAAAGCTCCATTGTTAGAAGTCAGTGAATAGCCTCGTTAGCCACTTTTACGTTGGAGTTGACATCTGCAAGGTGGGCCAAAAGCCCCCCGGGGGTGGAACTGCTCTCCAGACTCATCTCACCGAGTTTTTCCATGCACGCGTGCGGAGTACTGCTTGATGCAGACCCACGTTTGACGTCGGGAGGAGCCTTCGTAGCCGAGCCAGACGACTAGTAATACAGGTGATGTGAAGGAGTGGAGACGAGTCAGGACAACAAGCCAAGCTGTGTGGTTGGAAAAGGAGAGTCGGTCTTGTTGTTGTCGTCCGAGCGCACGAGATATGACGTAAGGTGGTGGATGGCTCTTTCCACATGCGGCTTGGCCCCTGACAACCTCAGGTGCATGACGATCGCCGTTGTCTTTGGTGTCTTTACGCGTAAATATGCGCGAGCTTAGGACGACTGCGACAACATTGTGGACACGGTGCGCGTTGTTATCAGACGCGAATCTTGTTGACGTGTTCGTGGTGTTGAGATTGGCGTGCTGCTGTTTTTGGCAACGCAGCGTCACCAAAGCACGGCATTCCTCGCAGTCCAACCATCAGAAACATGTGATGGAAGCACCGAAACAGCCATCGCACAAGCCAGCCCGTGTTGCAACTGTTGGGATCTGCACGCTGAGGGAAGCACGGCATGCACGGCTTTGATCCGGCTGGGCGGGTGACCGAATAAGCTTTTCCAGGTTTTCCAGGGTTTTCAGCCTCCTGTTTGCCACCAGGCGAACCACAACAATGTCCAAGCGGCTGTCATATGAGTAATGAACCCATCATGATTATGTCTGCCTTGAGGAACTCCAATCCTCTTTGCCGCTGCTCGCTGCGAGTCGTCGTCGGCTAGCAACATGTCATGACAGTGATGCAGCGTTGAGGGTTCTCGATCACGTCGTACTGCTCCACTAGCTATCATCACATCACTCCCACGACGGTCCTTAGTTTACGACCATTGGAGGACGCGCATCGCGAGGCTTGGAGACCCAATTATACCCACAGTGTTCTTATCTTGGATTCCCTCAACCAGTCCACCAAGAGTTTGGCACGGCCTGCCCACTTTTCTAACGCATTGGCTGCCATGCTTGGAATGGGCGAATGCAAATCTCCACCAGTAACGGAAGTGAAGCTCCTGAAACTGTCGTCAGTCAAGAGCGCCCTCACCGCGTCAACTTGCAGTGGAATGTCGGTGTTCTTTGACCAGCAAAAAGAGGGAGAATCACAGCTACGCTTTGGCAACATTTCAACGTCGGCCAGCTGCGGCAACCTCATCTCACGCAATCTTCGATACACTTGCGGTACGTCAACATCGGAATTCGCGACAGTAAGAGCCCTAAGAATATTCGGCGCCGGCGTCTGCAGCCACACCCGCAGCTGCAGTTTCGAGAAGTTCGGCTTACTTTTGGTGCGGCTGTCGTGATTTTTGGCGTTCCCCTCCCAAGTACCACATTCCCTGCAGCCGTAATCCACCGAGTATCTCCTTTGGGCTGACGAAGTCCACGTCGAACATTCTGGCCATTTATATTCACGACGAAAACTGGGTCTTCTAACGCTACGGCAGAATCTGTAAGGTTTCTGCTTGTTCGCTTGTCGCCCGGAAGCGCGAGCAGGCACATCCGCGTTGGTGGGCCCTTATCAATACCACGCAACCCTGCAAAGAAAGTGCTACACTACGACCTCCTGTTTCCAACGACCGTTAATTCCGTCATCAACTCCACTACATTTGTACCTCCTGAGGAATCCTGTCTTTGCTAAATTAACAATACATCGTCTTATCACCACCGGAGATTCTCAACTGTACCACCGTACCATCGCGCCCAAAGGACCCATATATACCCGAACGTAGAGCACTGATTGCTCCTTGCATCTGACATTACGCATCGGAGATCTGCCGCTAGGTGCAGCATACGGCTACGGTTCAAACCTTCCTGAGACTATCTGCCGCTTTCGGTTGCGAACTATTACCCCCACGTGCAGTTTTCCATATCCTGAGTCAAGGAGGCCAACGTTCTAGAGGTGCGTATTGACAACCTACGGGGTTTCGGTTCGCTGCCAAGAGAGTACTCTCCCAAGCTCCGCGCCCATCGGCCATAGGCCGACAGTATAATATCAAGATGGACCCCTTCCAAGATCCTGGGCTGTCGCACTCTCACAACACCTCCGAAGACCAGATGGCTTCAACCCCAGGGCGCAAGCGCGTCGTCTGGAGGGAAGATACCGCTGCTGAACGCCCGACGTCATCGGCGACACCTGAGGACAATAACACTGGCTCAGGTAGTCGCAACACCCCCCTGCAAAGAGCAGATCTCTCACAAGACGACCTCAGGAAGATGAGAGAATCTATCAAGATAGCCCTCTCAGAAGAATACCCACAGGAAGCAGGAGCCACTCCACCCGCTCGCGATGTACAAAGACCCCGTCCAGCCATACGGAAAGCTCCTCGCACGCCACCAGAGTTCTACCTCAATGATGAACCCAACCCCTTCGAGGATGAGCTTGAACGGCAACAGTCAGTCAGATCGAAGGCCAAAGAGCGATCGGGTCTTGAAGCTCACCGTAGAGCGGCAAAGCTTTCTCAGTCAATGGGCACCTACTCAGCTCCAGTATCTCGTCGCAACTCACAGGGCCAGATGACCCCGCCTTCAGTGGAACCTCAAAGCATGGTCAGTTCATACGAGCACACTGCTGAGAACAGTGAAGAGGAAGACGACGACGATCCCCAGTTTATGAAGCGAGCGTCCATGCTCCTGCGCAACCACACTGTCCGCAACGGCGGCGTTGGTCCAGCGATCAGCATGGAAGACCTGTACCACTCAGAGCCTATCCTCCAGTCCGGGCAGGTTACCCCAACAAACGCCGTCGAGGTCGAAGACGAACATGTCGCGCGCCCGCGAAAGTATCGAACTGGTGTTCTGGGGACGCTCCTGCAAGCCTCCACCGCTGCTGCTCAAGCCCCTATTACTGCCGGCCGATCAGGACGACCTTCTCACTCAAGGAACCTCAGCGCTGGGTACACATTCAGTGGAGCTTCGACCGCGGCCAACTCACCGACCTCGTCACCGCCTCGATCAGGGACTACAACGCCCCGCAGCAAACCATGGTACAGCCGTCACCACAACAATCAGTCTACGAATTCCATCTCTACGCTTGTCGGTAGTTCCGCTCGCAGCTTTGCCGCTCCTTCTCAGCAAGACCTGGGCAATGAGTTCGTCGAGCAAGTTAGGAAGACACGCCCAGGTATGGGTAAGCGTTCGAAGTCAGACGAGTCAGTAAAGAAGCCTAGGCGGAACCGTGAGAACGACCTGAAGATCAAAATTCACATCGCTGGCACATTGGCTCGACAGAGCTACCTTCGCAAGCTATGCAAGGCTTTGATGATGTATGGTGCGCCGACACATCGTCTGGAGGAGTACCTCAACATGTCCGCACGTATTCTGGAGATAGAAGCCCAGTTCTTGTACATGCCTGGTTGCATGATCTGCGCCTTCGACGACACATCGATCCACACTTCAGAGGTCAAGCTCGTCAGGACGGCGCAAGGTGTCGACCTGGGAAAACTGCGCGATGTTCACGAAATCTACAAAGATGTCGTCCATGACCGCATTGGTGTCGACGAAGCAACTCCTCGCTTGGAAGCCATCATGGGACGGAAGAACAAGTTCGGTCGCTGGCCACGAGTGCCCGTATACGGTCTCGCTTCCGCTACCGTGGCTCCCTTCGCCTTCAACGCTCGACCCATCGATCTTCCTTTCTGCTTCGTGTTGGGTTGCATCATTGGCTGGCTGCAGCTGATCGTCGCGCCTGGCAACGAGCTCATCAGCAACGTCTTCGAGATCGGTGCTGCCGTCATTACCAGCTTCCTCGCTCGTGCCCTTGGCTCCATTCGTGGCAGCGACGGAAAGGAGATCTTCTGCTTCAGTGCTATGGCCCAATCTAGTATCGCCCTCATCCTTCCCGGTTTCATGGTTCTTTGCGCTTCCCTCGAACTTCAGAGCAAGCACATCGTAGCCGGCTCCGTGCGCATGGTATACGCCATCATCTACTCACTCTTCCTCGGTTTCGGCATCACCATCGGCACCGTCCTCTACGGCATGATGGACAAGAACGCCACATCAAACACTACCTGCACCGACCCAATGTCTTCGCACTTCTACTACCTCTTCGTCCTGGCCTTTTCGCTCTGCCTCATGGTTGTTAACCAGGCAAAGTACAAGCAAATGCCGTCCATGGCCATCATCGCCCTCATCGGCTACGTCGTCAACTTTCACAGCTCGCAGTACTTCAAAGCCAACGCACAGGTCTCCAACACCCTCGGCGCGCTGGCAATCGGTATCGCCGCCAACGTGCATGCTCGCTTCGGTCGCCATGTTGAGAATTGGAGTCTGGATACTTGGGAGCACAAGTTGCGTCCTCGCGTTATAGCGCTGCGCAAGAAGTATCTTCGCAACCGCCACGGCGCTATTCGCCCCCTGCCTAAAGTCGAGCGCTCGGAGTACAGCACTGCCCACAACGACAGCGCGACGCATTCGCGTGCAAGCTCTGTCAGCGATTTTGTCCCCCATACGCGCAAGATCGGATACGGGCTCGCTGCTGCGGCCATGCTGCCTGCTATTTTCGTGCAGGTTCCCTCCGGTCTGAGTGTGCAGGGCTCGCTCGTCTCTGGTCTCAATTCTGCAGATCAAATTACACGAAACACATCGAGCACTGCGACTGTCAATGCTGCAGATGTCACCGCTAGCAGCACACTCAATAGCATTGCGCTTAACGTTGGTTTCTCGGTTGTGCAGATCGCGATTGGTATTACTGTTGGTCTTTTCCTGGCCGCGCTCCTTGTTTACCCTCTCGGCAAGCGCAGGTCTGGTTTGTTTAGTTTCTAGACGTTGTTACTTCCTTTTATTTACTGTGCCTCGTTAGCGTGTTGTTTGGAGTGAAAGAAGCGATAGATCTGCATCAGTGGCGTTGGTACATATGCATTTGCGGGAGTTAAGAAGCTCGGGCAGCTATAGTTAGTTAGATTTCGGTGCTGATGTGTTAATGGATTGCACACCCTGGTTGCCTGCGAGTGTCTCGATTAAAGATTATGTACGTTGCTCGTAGTCGTCTGATGTAATATGTGCATTTGACTAACATCGGCTTCATCAGTCACTTGATATGGGGCTAACTATGCAGGCCAATATTTACTTGCGCCATACCCTCTTCACCCTCCTTTCAGCAGCACTGATGTACGCACTCGGTGTGCTCGTAGGCGGCAAAGCAACGTAAGGCTCAGTATGCGTAACCTTCGCCGTCTCATTCGTGCTGTAATCATTCGTAACAACCTTGCTTCCATCAGCAATGATAACATGATTCAAGACACGCTTGAAGTGCTCCAGACTAGCCACAGGCTGATAGTATGGCACCTTGTGCCCCGCCTCATAGATCCTCGTGAAGCTGAAGTTACCATACTCGCGTACCTCACCGTACTCTACACCATCGACAAGAAATGTCGTGTAGCCGGTAGCGTTGAAAGCGGCTTTATCAGTGTGGTTGACAGCAAGGGACACGGCTTCGCCGCCGAACCAGTTGCAGATGTAATCTGTATCTCTGTAGAGCAGAGCGACGCGGACGCCGTAGCCGAGAAATTCAGAGAGGTCTTCGATGAAGGAGTAGACAAAGTCACCGGTGGAGGAGAAGCCGGAGAAAACCTGCGATGGACTGGAGGTATAGTTGATGTTGACGCCAAGGGCTTCCTGGGTGGAGGCGAGATTGAGGAAGTCTTGAAAGTACTCAGGTGGCGTAGGGTCGTCTGTGTTGCATTAGCACTGTGATCGCGTAGCTTCACGTTTATCGCATACCGTAGGGATGACGAATATCGTAAACACCACGACCACCAAAGTTGTAGTAGGGTTCTTCGACGAGTGATCGACAAAGGGTCATTGCAGTAGAGCATGTGAGCTGGCCATCTTCGGTGCTGCGGTTCGATTGTTTGCAGTACTCGATCTGGTCGTTGCAGCCTCCAGGGAAGTAGAATGCTTGTTTCGCGAAAATACTGATCAAGGTTAGTACGCTCTAGGGCAGGTAGTGACGATCGACTTACTAAACTGTGTCGTTATACGCGTTGATACCATAGGTGTTATTGACAGCGAATTCAGGGTAGTATGGTCCTTGAACTGGAAAACATTAGCGTTAAGCCGCCACGAATTGATCAGACAAGGACGCACTCTGCCCATTGATGATTCCGTTAATGAAGCCAAGAATGTCCATGTGCAGTTCCACACCCTTAATTGAGCCATTGCGAATGGCCTCGTTTTGCTTGTAGAAATAGTTGTAGAAGCCCGGTCCGTAGTGGCCCCCGTAGCTCTCGGTCCACAAGTTGAAGGTCAAATTCCTGATGTCTGCGTCAAGCTGAGGGGAGAGCTCCATAAATTCTTGCAGAGTGTGCCATGCACCAACAGCGGCAGCTTCGGTGGTGTTTGCTGTGTCAAAATCAACGAGCGAGTATCTGTCCTTGTCGTCTGCTTCTGTGGTCTCGTAGGAGAAGCCTACACCAACAGGCTGACTCAGGTAGAGCATATTGCTGTGCTCGTTCCAGGAGTAAGGGTTCAATTTGGTCTTGAGATCCTCGGTGACATTGCAGGGTCCATGTTTCTGAAAAAGGCCGATTAGGCTGTCACTTCCGGGCCCTTCATTCAACCAGAGCGTGACCGGCTTCTCTTGGGGATTCTCGCGGGCTTCAAAGAACCAGAAGAACACGTTCGTCTTCTCATTCAAGCTAATGTATCCGGCATAGTCGTCGACGCCTTCAGTCGTCTCGCAGACACCCTGCTTACCGGGCTGCTTGTAACGAATCTGTGCGCCCTGAGGCGAGGTGATGGTCGTGACACCGGTAGCATTGGCAGGTACTTAATGCTCCACGAAATAAGTCGCACGAGCACTGATGAGTGAAGCAGTCGCCCAAATTGTAGCAAGCTGTGTAAGGTGTGCCATGTTAGCGGTGTGGAACAATAAGTTAGTAAGAAAGTCACCTGTCTTTGACGAAAACCGGCCGTTGGCCTGACTTTGTACCCGCACCACTACAGGAGACAGCGGTATCGAGTGCATCTTTCTATAGCATTGCTTACCCTGGTTGCCTGGCTTGTGCTGTTAGGAGCTTAAGTTTTGTGGAGCAGGGACTCGTTTCTTACAGTAATTAGACCCAAGAATGCAACTACTTCAATACGAACTGTAACTATTGGCCGGATAACCATGGGTAGCCTCAAACGTGGCGAAGATTGCAGCGCGGAGCGGTACCGATGCTATTGTTCTTCGGGTGCGATCTGTACGTCACCACGAATCTGCCGTACGACTTTTCTCAGCACAGGCTCTGCAGGTTTTGCTTCTTACAGGAAACTTCGAACACTGCAATCTTAACTTCACCGCTGTTACTGTACTCCCCTCAGCTTTTCTTCTCCAATGCCTGCGCGAAGCTCCTTCAATCGTGAGCGTCGTTGACAAGCTGCCCGGCTAAGCTTCGAAGGTGCTTACTGGACCAGGAAGGTACGATACATGGCAGCGAAACAAGACCTAATGCCAAGTGAAGGTGAGCTTATCATGTCGGCATGCGAAGCTTGAATACGTCATGAACATTGATGCATCTCGAGCGAAATTTGTAACGGTGCCGGTGAGCTATGAGTGTCGTGTATGGAGAGTGTCAATAGGCACGTAATAGCACATGAGGAAATGAGTAAGAAGGTGTGACTATGGAGAGTCGCAATATATCGTGTGCAGGAACTGGGGAAGCTAGGGCTTAGTGGGACAGATTTGATTAGCCAGTGCCGGTATACCATAGGTATAGGGCATTGACAGAGAGAAAGATGGGAACGGCCTCGCGAATCACACGAGAGGCTAGAGTCATACTTAGGAGGTCGCAAGGCTGATGTTCATAATCTACAGCGATTGCCTTCTTCACTTGCAGGAACATGCCGGAAAGCCTGTCAGAGGATGTAATTACGTGGCTTACGTCACATGATATTCGGTGGTTTACGAGTCCGGATACCGAAGTGGTGGTTCCGAGTTAGACCGGTAGTGCAGACTAAGGGGTGCATAAAGCTGTTACCCCTGCAGAACATCGCTAGAAGTCAAAAAACAACGACATGTGCCAAAGTGTCGGCTGAAAAGAAGTTAGACATGTCTCATTGGGCATAATGCTCCGGTGCTGTCTTCCAGTAACCAGGACATGACTACGGTAACTCGCTTGCCAATGTCAGTTGCGGTTACAGGCCTGCCACGTGGTGACGTCGAACCGGGACGACCGAGACCTGGAGACAGCGAAAAAAGGTGGAAGTAGTTATACGCGATATACGATGTGTAAGCTAGGCTCCACTTGCGTAGGCAGGATGAAAACGTTGGGGTACGATGAAAGAATGATAGGGAGGATGAGGGTATGGGCGTTGACTGATGTTTCTCTCGTTACAGCATTGAAAAGTTTCACAGAGATGTGCATTGCCAATTTAGCGAACTAATCTAGTATTGCTATGTTGTGGCGGATCGTGAGTGATCAGTACGCATGTGCGGAAATATTGAAGAATTGAACTGAGGTTGTATTGGGTGAAGCTACGAACAGTATGTATAGGTGAGTAGCTGTAAACAACGCTAGTGTGACGTGGCAGTCACTCTCATGGCAGGTGAGGTTCGACAGGCAGGAGCACCCTAACCGTGACACACCCTAAACCGTGACATATGTACTAACATTCAGTCTTTGCTGAAAATGGTTCTTTGGTCATATTGCTCTTTTCGAACCACACCTAATGCGCCACTCGCATTTGTAAGGGTATTCGAGGAAGAGAGGGATCGCATTGTGTCTTTAGACATGAAACCCTACGAGCTTATGAGGCGTCTCATCTCAGGTGAGCTTACTATAGAATAGTACGTACTTGTCCAGAACCGTTACAACATTATTTTGGCAGTTTGGCCACGCGTCACTCTTACTATTCTGGCTGTGAAGCTAGGCTTCCGCACGTCACTCTAGTATCTCCAGTATGGCAGGCGATAGCTGGCGCAGGAGGTGCAGTCGCAATGGCATAGATAGTTGACTGTAGTCCAGAGATAGTGATTGTGATTTGGCCCGTCACAACAGAAGTCTGAGTGACCATCGTCGTCTTCGTCATAGTAGACTGCAGCGGTGTCGGTGTTGCCGTTGTTGTCGGCGACGAGGATATCGCAGACAACACAGCTTGTCCTTGCTGGATGCTCTCCATACTTTGACTGATGAACATAGCGGCAGCTACTGTGCCTCCAATCATCGCCAGGAAGCAGACAAGGCAAACAATGATGCGGGATTTGTTATTGCAGATGATGGTGCTGAGATATGACTTTTTCTCGCCAGGGCGATCGGGCAGGCGATTTGGAAACTTCTCGACTTCGGGGCTGTTGACGTTCTCGAACTCGTTGGTGTTGGGCAGATTAGAGGGGGCCATTTTCAAGATCGGTGAACAGCTTGTTTGGATCGTCAGTTGAGGTAGTGTCTAGAGAGAATCTTGCTAGGTACAGAGCCGATATATGTATACGGCTCTGGGACAAGGTGCATTCACAGTGCAAGTAGGGCTATTGACGCACAGTGTCGATAGCCGAGTGCCGGTCGACAAGAACTCAGGATGCTACCAGTGCGAAGGGACTGTACTCTAGAATGGCAATTCACAGCACTGTGACAGGATATGGACTACCTCATATTAGTAGAGACGTGCGTAAAGCACCTTGGTTACTTCTTTTCACCTTCTTCATTTACACCTATGGTATAGGATTGGACAACGCTTATCTTCGACGCGCTTGAAGCTTCACTAACAAGAACCATTCAATCAGCACATGCAGATTATCCTTCAAGATCGAAGAGGACAAGACACACAAACCCACTGAGACCGCTTGCTAACCTCGCAATGTGTCTCATGACCATCCCATGAGGGACAGTGCTCCACGCACTGATCCTTCAGTACCCAGGCTCCGGAAAAGAGGCAGTCGCGAGGCGATGTGTCGCCTGATGGGGCTTCTGAAGGCGCAGGTTTGTTCGGTGTTGTCGTTGCAGGAGCAGTCTCGGCCTGAATCGGGCGAAGTGGTGCCTCTAGCTTGACTTCTGCACGGGGTGTTGGCGAGAGGATGATTGTGGAGGTAGCCAGCGCAGGAGCGACGAGGAGCGGCACGCGATTGGTGGTGTAGACGAATGTAGTAGCGTTCTCGTAGACAGTTTGGACCTTGAGAGGGGCTAGGGTGGAGTTATTTGCAACGATAGTGATTTTCGGAGCTTCCGCGTTCCCATCGTCGTTCTTGCGCGTGAGAGCAACGCCCAAGAGGACCGCAGCGATGACGAGCAGAATGGTCATGACAATGCCACATGCAATCAGAACACGCTTCTTGCTGAGGAATGAGCGACGGGTGCCTGGTTGATGCTCCAGGTCGCGCGGATAGTGTGGATGGTTTGAATCTTGATGGTCAGCGGGAACGGGGACTGGATCCGACGATGTCGTGGTATCGTGTGAGGCCATGGTTTGTAACGCAAGTGCGGTGTTGTGTGGTTGATGCTAGGTGTTGTATGGAGTCCCTGAGACCTATGCGAAGGTTTCTGATGTAGGGAGTGGCCTAGTGCGCCATTCACCAACAATGAGGCATCGTTTGTTTGCACAACGCATGTGGGGCACAGTAAACGCAACTGTGCTGACCCACATGCACAACGACCGACCTCAAACCTGTGGCGTGGTTAACCGCGAAAAAGCCACCGAGAGTCGGGAATTTGATGCGCTGAAGTAGCTACGGTAGCATGGAAGACAATCGTGCTTTTCGCTACCTGGCATCTGAGCATTGCGTGCGAGTACTCCATATCAGCCGGTGACCCTAGGCGGCGACCTGTACCTGAGCTTCCTGCCGTCGTCCTATTTTCTTTAGCTTTATTCTTGCAGGAATGTCCGTGAGTCCAACGCACCTTCAAAAATCTTTCAACAAAGCCCTGACACGAGAAGTGCGCATTGCTAGGCGTGATCAAATTCTTCAGCTCGTAACGCCAGATTTGCTGTCCATCTTGGAACCGTACATTCGAGCCGGGATCAATACAGATTGCTAGTGCATAGCCAGCTCGTCGCAACCGTATTAAGGTTGGGAAGATGATGTCCAGTACGCGGGCTAGGAATTGAGCTTGTCGCTCCTGCAGATTTATTGACTCTGAGAACCATGGCAGTGGAGACTCAAGAATAACATAGATCTTTGCGCCAGGTCGTAAGAGAAATAGGTACTCCATGTTCTTTAATAGTAGGCTCTGTGGCGAAGGAATTCCATTCGCATCTGCTGTAGGCCGCTTGTCTAGATCGCATTGGAGTATCTTGAAGCTCGCTTTCCCAATCAATTCTTGTCGCAAGCAATGCAAGGTAGTATCGACCTGAGCAAGCAGGTGTGGTAGGAAGTCGAGACTCGTGTCAAAGTCGAACCGAACTGAGCGATACCAGGATTCTGTCAGCTCACGAAGGGTTGCGTCTCCAGTAAAGTCCTTGCTCCAGTAATGTCTCGGTGCTTTCGGATCGAGCGTGTTATAGTAATGGAACAATCGAGCGTGGACCCCGTCTTCAAGCAGCAAATACCCAAAGATCATGTCCCTGAGCTCCCTTGGAAGGCGATGTTGTACGGCCAGGCATACACTGAGGCATGCTTTTTTCGATTGCTGCTCTTCCAACAGTCTCAACATTATTCTTTGGTTCTTCAAATCCATAGCCCGGCTTCTGATACACGCCATCGTAGGAAGGTCGCGGCTTTGCTTAAAAGTCGAGTATCGTGAAAATTGAGAAATGACCCTGTGTTTACACGACCCAGCCCAGACGTTGCCGGGTAAAACCGGTCGTGCCAACAAGAATCTTCGCCGATGGCGGCATTTCCGAATGGAGCCCGTCATGGTGTTGTCAAAGGCAAGTGGCGCGAGGCGGTGTAGCCGCGTCAAAGAAAGACAACAGCGCTCAGTCGTGTGGGAGGAGGAGAATGGACATTCGGACGCCAAATGTTGCATGTAAATGACAGAGCTGGATATTTTGACGCGTTTGTTATCTGTGTTGAGCATCCGACATTATTGCTAAGGGTGACGTCGAAATAACACCGACGCCTTCCTCCACAATTTGCAGAGGACTCCGCATCACAGCTTCCATGTTGTACCAGTGAATGGACATATAACCAGATACTAGATAGACTTCTCCTCATCTCCTGCGGTGCTTCTTGCCGACGTTTGGATCCGAAAGCGTGTCCTAACCATTCTGCGGAGTCGTACCGAGGTTGCGATTACAGGGTATATACATCAACATGGCGTAGAAAATAGGACCGAGATGCCCAGATGCCCAGACAGCTGAGGAGACAGATCAATGCGATAGATGACGGATGGTCAACTGAGGAGTCGAGGAAAGTGGAGGTTCGCGTGAGGGGTGTCACTAGTGTGTCTCGATTAGGAAGAGGGGTCTTTCCGCATTGTTCTGATCTGATATCCTCCATCCCCTCTGCACCACAACAGCTTCCGTTAAACTTTCGCATCCCCGCATCAACAACCTCCGGTTGCGCTTCCACCAACACAGACCTGTCCCGTACACTCCCAACCCTTGTTCCCGACTACATTTCCGCAGAGATAATTAGGTACCGTGGTGCCGTTACCAGCAAACCTTACATCGACATCGCTCAGGGTAATGTTTGTGCACGGCGCAGCAGCACTGCACTGCAGACTCACGACCCTACGATCCTTTGTTGTTCCTTTCAAGCCCTGGATGTTGACATCTTTGACTTGGAACTGGCTGTTGGTGCAGTTGCCTACGCCAGGTGCGCCACTGAACCTTGTACACTGACTAATTGTGAACAAGCCTCCACGAGCATTCTTCACAGTCAAGTTCTTCAACTGCATATTCTGAGCGAATCCAAGACCACCGCCTCCACCATTTGGAGGAAAGCCAACTTGGTCGTCTGTCCAGGTCTTGACATAAAAAGCATGCAGCGTGTCTTCGAAGTAAACATTCTCGGCGCGGATGTTCTCTACAATCTCGAACTGGTCATTGTACTGCCCGATAGAACCAATGGCAATGCCAAGTCCGTGGTAGAAGTGCGAATCGAGGATCGTGATGTTGGTGCTGTTCGCCTTGGCGGAGAACGAGTCATCGCCATTGTAGACGGTCCAGTTTTTGAAAAGGAGGTTCGAAGAGAAGAATGTGTCAACACCGTCTGTATTTGCTGTGAGGGCTGTAAGTCTGATGTAAGGAGGGGTACTGATCATATCCAGGTGACTCACAACTTGACACTACGTTACCAGTGTTGTTAATGAAGATGTCCTGCCAGACGCTGTCATAGCTGTGGATGATGGCCATAGTCCACATCTGGCTTCTCAAGAATCTAAGACCCTTCACGACCGAGTTTGTGAGTCCGTTGAAGGTGATCTGAAGTGGTCGGCCAGGGTAGTTCGATGTGTTGGGCTGCTGCTTGATCCATTGATACCAATAGTCGCCATTCCCGTTCAGTGTACCGACACCATGGCCATCGATACGGACATTGTTGCCTCCAAGGACGAAAGCCGTGGACTGATTCTGGTAGCCGACTGGAAGGGACGCGTTCAGCCAGTACTGGATGTTGGTGCTCCACTGATTGATGTTAGACACATACTCAGCATCGACGTTCCACCGTCGGACTCACGAGCAACTGTCCTTGAACATCGACGTCGACGTCCTCCAGATCGGTGATATTCAGAACCGAGTTGACGTAGTACGTTGTGGGGTTAAACACAATCTTGCCATGGCGGCCACACTCCTTGAAGGCTGCTCTGATTGCAGGTGCATCGTCAGTCTGGTTGGTACCGCTAGCTTTGACGGTGCACGTCTTGCGGCTTTGCTGTGGGCTTGCACCGCACTGTACAGCGAGCAGCGCAATAGGAAGAAATTGTTCAAGTCTCATGTTGACGGTTGATCTCGGATTCTACAGATATCGGTAGACGTATCATGACTCCATATATTGCTTCGAGTGTTGGGATGCACAACGGTGAGTGGTATTTTGAAAACGGCTCTCCTTCTGCTTTCGGTTCCATCCCATCGACCGGTCGGAACTTCTGCCTCATGAAGCTGCGAGCAATAAGTGACATGCCAGAATGCGGGAAGTACTATGCGGGGGAATATCAAACCCCACGGTTCCCGAGAAGTCGCACGAATCGGGAGGTTCCCTGTCCTTAGCCCGACCGTTGATCGTAAAGATCTTGGAACAAACTTCTCGTGGCTCGGTCCTCATTCACCCGAACTTTTGTCCTGAGATCAGGCACCTCGGTGTGTTTCCATTCATGTTCAACGTATCGAGTTGATTTTTGCATCCTTACTGCCGATGTCAGCAAATCTATGACACCAGCGAAAGTTCCACTGTAGCCTCCACACGCGTGTAGACGGTGTATTTCACGTGCATCATCATCAAGAGGCGGATACAGGTTCTTGTCCGTTCCCATTGGCAGTGTGGCCCGTCAACGCAGCATCTTGAGTTGCGAGAAAACTGTGTCATAGATGAAGAGTTGAGGTTACCATAGGTAGACCAGATATAGAAACAAGGTCAGAACACAAGACATTGACAACAGCATTTACACGACCATGAGGGTGCAGCGTTCAAGAAGGCCAAAAGCTCAGATCGAGAAGGCGCTTCTTTTCTTGATGTGTTTAGTCTACAGCATTGCACAGTCTTGCACAGTCATCGCTCCCAGCCTTTCCCTCAAACCACACTAACTACAAACCGGCAATGAGCAACAAGTCTTGCATATCCCCTTCATCACCACAACGGACCGGCCAAACCCCATAACCATTACTAAAAACCAACTCACGTGCACGATACGCATACCAAGACCATTCAGACTAGGAGCCTTGGCTTCCTCTTGCGGCCTGCATTGTTGATGACCTCGGTGACTGCAAACATGCCGAAGCTGCGCAGTGACGAAGTGGATTGGGCTCACGACAACTGCACGACAACAGGTCGGCAATTTGAGTGAGCGATGACAATGCAGTGGATAGATCGATGGGTAGGCTGGCATATGGCAAAGTATGTGAGGCTTGGCTTCCTGGAGAGGGAGAGTGTGAGACAACAGACCGGATGCTCGATCGCACAATCGTTCTCCGTGAAGGTGTACAAATGTCTGCAAAGGTTCATAAGGTTTTCATCATCCCGATCGATACATCATCGTCTTCAGCAGATAACCACCATCCTGACTTTCGGTTTCCCGTCGTCGCTTCGACTTGCCTACCATAGCACCAACCTCAAAATCCTCTGATGCCTCGTCCCCCTTCTCTCTTCCTTACCCAGTGCGCACCCTTCCCCACACTGAAGTCGTTCAATACCTATCCTCAAACCCAGAGTCCGGCCTCGGCGCATCTGAAGCTTCCCAGCGCCTCTCCCAACGTGGCCCGAACGAGCTCGAGCAAGGCGCCGGCGTCCAACCGCTCTGGATCTTCATCAAGTAAGTCTTCAGCGCCATGACCCTCGTCCTCCTCCTCACGCTCGCCGTCTCTTTCGGCATCCAAGCCTGGATCGAAGGCGGCATCTTCGGCGGGATAACCATCTTCAACATCTTCCTCGGCTTCTTCCAAACCCTGAAAGCTGAGAAGACCATCGAAAGTCTCAAGCCGCTGGGGAGTCCAAACGCAAGCGTCCTCCGCGACGGACGAACAATCAGTCTCCACTTCTGAAATCGTGCGTCCCTTCCCTTTCCTTCCCATCCTCCACCGTGATGATGAGAGGACGTGAAAAGTGCTGATAGAAGATGGACAGGTACCGGGCGACGTCATCTAGTTCTCAACCGGCGACTCCGTGCCCGCCGACATCCGCCTCCTGACCTCCATCAACCTGAAAGCCGACGAAACGATGCTGACAGGCGAATCCCTCCCCGCACTTAAGAATGGGAACACGACTTTGAAGGCCTGACACCGGGCCAGGTGATAGGCTGAACATGGTGTTCAGCAGCACCACCATTGTCGAGAGCCGCGGGTCTGGTGTTGTCATTGCGACTGGTATGATTACGGAGATCGGATAGATGGCGAGCGCGCTGAATGGCTCCGGTGGTGATGCTGAGGTGAAGATGTCGTGGTATATGCGCTTTGCTGGGCAGGTGGGCAAGTTCTTGGGCTTGACGGTGGGCACGCCGCTGCAGAAGAAGTTGTCGGAGTTGTTTCTGTGGCTGTTTGGTATTGCGGTCATCTGCGCGATTGTGGTGCTGGGTGCTAATAAGTTCGATTCGAGAAGGGAATGTCATCACCTATGCTATTACGACGGCGATAGGGACTATTCCTGTGAGCTTGCTCTTGGTGCTGACGGTCATCATGGCGGCGGGCACGTAGAAGATGCTCGAGAGAAACGTTATGGTTCGAATGTGTCGAGCTTGGAGGCCTTGAGCGGTATCACTGGTGAATGTCCCTGTCCTCATCATTGGAAACTGTATACTGACCGATCATAGATGTGTGCTCTGACAAGACCGGAACAATCACACAAGGTCGATTGACTGTTCGTCAGGCTTGGCTCCCAGGTGTTGGCACTTACCTTGTCGAAGCCGGCAGAGAAGTGTGCAATCCTTCCCCTGGCTCGATAAGCTTCTCGCAGACATCTCCGCAGGACCTCGATGCGTCGAACGCCGTACAAGAGGTGAAGAACCGGATCTCCATCCGTCCAGGACTCGAACAATACCTCAACGTCGCGTCACTGGTGAATCTAGCCACGCTTGAGCAAGTCAAGGGCGACAACAAGAAGCCAGGAGAACGGATCGCTAGCGGTGCGCCTACCGAAGTCGCTATCGAAGTCTTCGCTGGTCGTTTTGGCTGGAGCAGATCACGCCTAACGCAAGGTCCTAAAGCTGTCTGGAATATCGTTGCCGAATTCGCTTTCGATTCGGACATCAAGAGGAGGTCAGTCATCGCCACGCACCTACCATCCGGTGAGCACCGAGCGTTCACCAAGGGTGCTGTGGAACGCGTCTTAGGTATATGCAATACCGTCGCTACACCTGGTGACGATTCGAAGGAAACACGACTCGAAGAGTCCAGGGGCACAGAGATCCTCGACAACATGGAAGCAATGGCATCTCAAGGTCTGCGTATCCTCGCTTTCGCCAGCAAACCCTACACTGGCATCCTTCCAAACCCTGACATCGAAGACGAGAATGGTGAGGACGTACCTCGCGATACCGTCGAGTCTGACCTGACATTCTTGAGTCTCATCGGCATCTACGACCCACCGCGACCTGAGTCGAAGCCCAGCGTACTCGCGTGCCAGACAGCTGGTGTCACTGTCCGCATGCTGACAGGAGACCATGTTGCAACCGCACGCGCTATCGCTGGCGAGGTTTCGATATTACCGCCTGCTGCAGAGCTACGCATGATGCCTGCAGACGCAGTCAAATCGCTCGTTATGCCAGCCGCTGACTTTGACGCGCTCACCGACGCGGAGTTGGATGCTTTACCGCAGCTACCACTGGTAGCAGCACGATGTGCGCCCTCGACGAATTTCCGCATGATCGATGCCCTCCACAGGCGTGGAAGGTACTGCGCGATGGCTGGCGATGGCATTAACGACGCCCCTTCGCTCAAGCGATCAGATATCGGTATCGCCATGGGCTCCGGCTCGGATGTAGCGAAGGAGAGCAGCGATATAGTGCTTACTGACGACAACTTCGCATCGATTCTCAACGCCATCAAGGAAGGCCGCCGTATCTTCGACAACATCCAGAAGTTCCTCCTTCACGTCCTCGCAGCCAATTCGGGTTTTGTCGTCGCCCTGCTAGCTGGTCTCGCCTTCAAGGATGCCACAGGAATCTCTGTCTTCCAACTGAGTCCAGTAGAGATCATCTGGATGCTGGTCGGTACCGGCGCCTTCTGCGAGACTGGCCTCGGCTTTGAAAAGGCAGTCCCTGACATCCTCAACCGGCCACCCCAGAACATGAAGTACGGCGTCTTCACCCCAGAGTTCTTCGCAGACATGCTCGTATACGGCTTCGTGAAGGCAGCCTGCATCATAGGCACCTTCGCCGTCGTCGTGTACGGCTTCAACGACGGCAACCTGGGCGTTGGCTGCACTAACGACTACTCCGAAGCGTGTCAGCCCGTCTTCCGAGCGCGTGCGACCTCATACACTATCACGAATTGGGTGTTCCTGCTCTTTGCATGGCAGCTCATCGATACGCGTCGGTCCCTCTTTGGTTTCGAGCAGGGTATAAAGCATTGGGCGCAGCACCTGTGGGGTAACAAGTTCCTCTTTTTCTCGGTTACTATTGTGTTTATTATAGCGGTGCCAACGCTGTACATTCTGAAGCTCAACCACATTGTCTTCCTTCACGATGGTATCAACTGGGAGTGGACGGTGGTGTTTGTTGCTGTGATAAGCTATCTGGGCGGTGCAGAGGTGTGGAGGTGGAAGTGGGCGAAGCGGGTGTACTTCCGCCAGAAGCAGGGTCGCTCTAACACCGAGACAAGTCCGTCTGCACAAGGGCCTTCTGCCGCATAATCAGGAACTCGCGAGGATCTAAACGCAGTTCGTCGCATGATACCGAGTTGGTGAACTAGATGCAAGATGTAGTGAATAGAAGGCCGGCTGTGTTGGATTCTGCTGTTAGTAAGGCATGTGTGTAGTGTTCGATTTCAGTCAAGATACCACTTTCCATTCTCGAACAAACCAAACCCATGAGAGATTGGAGAAAGCGTGATGCAGCAACAGAATCTCCACCTTCCCCAGACCCCTAACCCAGAAACACGCAGGGTCCACCAGCTTGGCGCTAACGTCACCCCATGTACCCACTCGGAGCCTCAACGCCCGAACCTCAGCACCGAAACATTCACACGAGTCCAACTTCACGCCGCCGCATATCCCACAGCTTACACTCCTGACCTCATCTGTCAGCGCATCGAGCACACCACATTCAAACTCCCCGCCCGTACGAACAGAGAGAAGCAACCATGTCGGACGCCTACGAGCGCGAACGGCAGAACAACTCGCGCCTCGACGAGCTCTCTGCGAAAGTGACTGCGCTGCGGGGCGTGACGATAGATATCTACGACAACGCGCGAGATCAGGGGGTTATTGACTCGACGGTACGCCCTCCACCACCTATACACCAACCAAAAATGCCCCTACACATCCGCTTCCCATACATTCACCCTCTTCTCCACATTGCACAATGCATACCCTTTGAGGGAGCACGAGCTGATGTGGCGTGATAGAGCGAAACCTTCTCTTCGTTTTCGACGAGTCTGAAGGGGTCTGCGGGCAGACTAACCCGCATGGCCGCCTCGGGCAACAAAGTCGCCGTCCTCAAACTCTCGGGCATAATCATCGGCGTCGTGCTCATCCTGTACTTCTTATACCATCTGGCATTCTAGGCGAGTGCGCTTTCCTACCAACTGCTCGTCTGGACCGGTACTGCGCTATGCTCGGCGGTGTGCGGACTGGGCCTTCTGGCATGGCAGGCAGCCGAGATGTTATTCCGGGCTATGGCTGCCGTTTGCCATGCTGTGGCGGGCGTTGATCGCATTGAAGGGGCTGTACGATTGAGGCAATAAGTTCAAGATTAGGATTGATGTTACGACATACTATAGGGAGGAAAGCTCAAGGGCGGATGTGAACGAGCTTGTTTATACGTGTATCAAGACTTGCTTGGGTCTGAAGACTGGGACGACCAAGGAGGAGTTGTAAGGGAACAAAGCTTGTACGGGCGGCTGAGCGCTATGTTGCATTTTCGGTGTTGGATGGCGTTGAGGGTATTGCTGGGATTATGCTTGGACATTACTTTTGCGCAGGGACTGCGTTAGGTTGAGGTTGGTATGGGTTAGGTGTATACACTTCACAAGATTGGCTGCGAATTTGTACCTTGGATGAGGTATATGTGGCTTGCGGTGCAGTCGCTCTGTTGTCATTTTCGTATCTGTACATGTACAGCTTCTCCTCGTCCATCATGTACTTCAATCGTGATCTATGCAATTACTCAAAAATGCCACCCACCCATCCTCGTTCCTACCCCTCGAAACAACCTCTACTCCCAAACATTCGAGAACAAATCATCGTTTCCTCCACCAAACCCACCCGCGGGCTTGTTCGCGCTCGTTGCGGTGCTCGTCGTAGTCGTCGTCGTCGTCGTCGTCGTCGTAGGCGCGGCACTGCTCCAGCCCCCAAAGTCATCATCGCCACCCCACCCGGGGCTCTTCGCCGGTGCATGCGATGTCGTCGCAGCAGGAGCCGCGCGCTGGCTGGGCGCGCTGGAGGACCAGGCGTCGTTGCTCCCCCAGGCGTCCATGTTGCCGTAGTTGACGGCCGGTTGGCTGGGCTTCGATGCTGCTGGAGCCGCAGGCTGGGACAGGTTGAAAGCGGAGGGCGCGGGTGGAGGCGCGGCGACGGGCGAGAATGTTTGCTGCGGCGCTGGAGCGGGCGCGGAGGGCATTGAGAGGTCGAGAAGATCGCCCATGCCGCCCATGCCGCCCATGCTGGAGGATGGAGCTGCGGGCTTGGAGGGTGCGGGAGCGTTCAGGGAAGAAAAGTTGCCGAGGCCGCTCAAGGGGCTTGTTGTGCGGTTCTGGGTGGGGGGAGGCTTGGGCTTCGAGTCGAAGAAGTTGCCGCCGCCGCCGAACATGGTGGATGAGGATGTCGAGGCGGGCGACTTTGTGCTGGAGAAGGCGTCGAGGCCGGAGAAGGGCGAGGGCTTGGGTGCGGGCGCAGCGTTGAAGGAGAGGCTGCCGAAGGCGTCGTTCATGCCGCCAAAGGCTGAGTGTGTGGGAGATGTCTGCGACTGAGGTGATGCGAGACCACCGAACGACTCCTGGCGCGCATGTTGCTGGGGCTGCGGTTGTGCTGCTGGCTTTGGCCCGGAAGCGTACAGGGACAGGATTGACTGCTTGAGGTCAGGCCTCGACGGGGCAGCAGAGGCACCTGCTGGTCCTGTGCTAGAGGGCCTAGCCGGTGGTGCAGAGCTGCCACCGAGGAAATCCAAGCCCAACAACGAGTCGCCAGCCTTGGTCTGTTTCGGTGGAGCAGGGTCTGCCTTCAGCGGCGGTGCTCTTGTCGCCGCCGGCGGTCCAGTGCTCGATCGTGGAGGGGCAGGGGTTGCATCGCCAAAGAGGTCGATTACCGGCGCCGGCTTCGCTTGCGGTGGAGGTGGTCTCGAGGCTGCGGCGTTACCAGCCAGACGTTGCGAGGCTGATCGTTCCACCTGAATCTTCTCCTGCACCTTCGACAATGGCTGTGAACAATCGTTAGCTGTTGCCCCTTTGCCCCTTTGCCCCTCACTGCAAGCGTCCAGCACGCACCATATCGTCGTCGTCCTCGCCCAATGTCGAAGGATCCGGCATGGGCCCGTCCATGACCCAGCGCTTCGACTCGTACTTTGTGCGAATGAAGTTCTCAATCTTGGCCTCTGAAGGCACATGTCCCGGTGCCAGCTTTGCCTCCCAGTACTTGTTCGCCCTGGCGTTGCCCCACTTCAGCACGCTTTGCAGTTGCTCGTCCGTCCAGGTGTCGAGGTCGACCGATTTGACTTTGGAGATGTGCGTGCCCATGCCGCGGTGGATTCCCGAGCACCGAATACATATGAAGACGCCGAGGTTCCAGCTGGCCCATCGCGGGTCTGAGATGCAGTCAGTCGGTGTGTGAGGCTGCACCTGTGTTGGGGTGACTTGGGGTGGCTTGGGGTGACTTGGGGTGGCCTACGCTTGTTCCTCTTGCAGTCGGAGCATGCCTTGTTGCCCTCAAGCTTCACCAGGTTCTTGAGCGTTGCGCGGTTCTGCTCAGCGCGATCAGCGGCGGGATTGGGCCGCCGCGACATTGCGAGCTGTGGGGTTCGAGGTCGTGTGCGTGTGTGACAGGCGTGGAGTTTCGAGATGTGCGATTGCCACTAGTCGGATTCAAAGGGCAACTCTCTCGTCGGCGCACGACTACACATCCAGGGACTGGTGGTGTTGCTGTTTCGGACCTTGGAGTCTGCCTATTCGTGCCCGAAACCATTGGCGTTTCTGGCTTGGCGAGAGGGTTATCGGCGGCATCTCACTGTGATTGGCCATGTTTGACATTTCTATCCAAGACAATGTTTTGTGCAACAAGTGCATGGTCAACTACAATGTACACATCACGGGGAGATTGGGTTGTAGTCGGTCGAAGTGTGCTTCGTGTTGGTGCAGGGAGCGCCTTGCTGTGACAAGGGATCCACGTAGCGTCTCATCAGAAGGTGTGGCCTCTCCAGAGCCAGCTTGGGTATCATAGTCTAATAGTTTCGTTGTACAAGTGTGATATCAGAGACAGATCATGGCGCCGTCTATAAGCAGCTCATGCGGGACGAAACCGCCAATCGTCCCAGTCTTCGTCGTCTTCAGATTCGCTCTCCTCTTCGTTCGCTTGTGCCTGCACTGGTACTGTCTCCGTCGGCGCTGGCAGCTGAGCAGAATGGCTTCGCAGCGCTTCTCGCTGTTCCCGCAGCTTCTTGACCCTCTCGTCCAGACCTTCCATTTCCTCAAACTCATCCTCAAGCGCGCGGGCTGCGTCTTCCTTGTCCGCTTCCATGTCTTCGTCTCTCCTCGCGCGCTGTGCGCTCTGCTCTTCTCGGGCTTGTGCGGCCAGCTCAGCTGCTGTCATCGGCGCTGCTTCTATCACTGCGCCTGAGGCGTACGTGTGCTGCGGCTGTGGCGCGGGCTCCTTGTTCATCTCAGTCAGGAAGGCATCGAGTTCGGCCTCAGCGGTCGGATCGAGTGGCGGAGGGACGAGCTTTTGACGTTCTGTTGGCGGGGGGTGTGGTGCTGCTTCGAGCGCTTCCTCGACGAGAGGCTCCTCTGGCTCTGCACCAGCGTCAAAGAAACCTGCCGGAACACCAGCCGCCTGCTCTGTGCGCGTCCTCTTCTTTTCCTCTGACCCATCGTCTACGGCCTTCCTCTTCCTCGAGACGGGCGCAGCTGCGGGAGCTGGCGACTGCTTTTGAGGCTTCTTTGCCTGCTCTCGTGCCGCTCTCTGCTGTCGCAGTAAGGTTCGTGCATCCGCCATTGGTGTGACTTGAGCTGCAGCAGTTTTGCGGGACCAAGACCAAGCGCGCCCTTCCGCAGTGGTGTTTGGGCGATCTCTCGTCAATTGTTGTTGGCGCTTGCTCTCGAAGCCAATGCGCCGGATCATGGGACATGCGGCTTAGGTCTAAAGCTGTCTAACCGTATAGCAGGAGTGATGCCGCCGGCCGAAGCTCCATGCTCCGGGCTAACGTAACGTCTAGAGTCAAAGCTCAGCATCTCCTCACGCTCTCCACCCACACGACTCTTGCGACCGACGCTTCCCCTGCCACCACGCCCCATTGCCTCTCCACGCTGCGCCCACTGCTGCGCACACCTACTGATCTCTCTTTCGCGTGAACTCACCACGCGCCACGCGTCTATACATCGCGCGGCAACAGCTTCGAGCTTTGGTGGAGATCTGCCACGGAAGGCGCGACCTTGAAAACAGCACGCGCGTTCCCTGTAGCGTCATCTGCTTCACGAGAGACGGCAAGAGCGCTTGTTTGCGCTTGTCCCCCTAGCTAGACGCTCACTCCAGAGCCGCCGTTTGCCCGCGCAGCTGCTTGCGAGCCGGCCTGGAGCGCTCCATAGAGAGAGAGAGAGATTGTGAACCTGCTTGAGCCCATTCTTTAAGCTGCTGCACCCGTCATCGCGTCTGTATTGAGCCCATCCCATCCGCGTCAGACACCATGGCCGGTAAGCAATACCCAGCGACACGCGACACGCTGCTGAGACGCCTGCGCGCCCCTCACCACCTCGCCACGCGCACAGCATCTCTCACGCCAGACACCGAGGCTAACGTACATCCCACAGACGAAACCCGCCGCTCTGGCCGCGCCAACAAGGGCCACCATAGGAACCGAGACCTTGACGAGCCTGTGACGGCGCAGAAGCCGAAGGGAAAGGCAGCGAAGGGCGGCAAGAAGACCGCAACCCCAGCAGAGACGCCGACACACTCCGTTGAACCAGAGGAAGGAGCGGAGGAGGGCGGGGAGGAGGAGGAAGAGGAGGAGGAGGAGGAGGAGGAAGAGACGATCTACCGCTGCGTATGCGGTGTCCAGCGCGAGATCGGCGGACGAGACATGATCTGCTGCGACAACTGCGACGCATGGCAACACAACGTCTGCCTGGGCCTGCCCTCCAGCGCCGACTGGGGTGACAAGCCATACTTCTGCGAGCAGTGCAGACCTGAAGACCACAAGGAGCTGCTGGCCGCGATGGCGCGCGGAGAAAAGCCGTGGGCGCGCAAGAAGGGCTCCAAGAACAAGCCGCGCGCCAGCGACGTCAAGGGCGACTCGCAGACACCACAGCCAAGCAGCGCTCCAAAACAACCTGGGCCAAAACCACCGGTCGAGGCAACTCCCGCTCCTGCACCGGTAGCTAAAGAAGGCTCGAACGGCGCCACGGCAAAGGTGCGTGACCTACAGAATGTCGCGGTCGAGCATGTCCGTGCTAACCATGAGCAGACAGAAGAAGCTCCAAAGAGCCATCCCCAGTCCCCACCGGGCGAGAAGCGCCGTCACGAGTCGATCGCTGAGAAGGACACCAAGAACAAGAAGAGGCGCAAGTCAAGCCAACACCAGGAGAAGACGACTACGAAGATCACCGACATCGCCTCTCTTCCCGAGAAGCAGAGGGGTATCGCGGAGAAGCTGCAAGAGATCATGGCGCCTCTGATCGCAGAGGCTTCCGATGCTAGAGGCTTCCGCATCCCTGATGGCCAGACGGCAAAGTCTCTTGCTACTCGCTTCGTCCTGCAGATCTGCCACGCTGCTGTCGAGCACCACGGCGAGCCGTCCGGTCCAAACTCACCTTTCGCCGAACGCCTACGCACCATCATGTTCAACGTCAAGAAGAATGCATTCCTCATCGATCGTCTCTTGTCAGGCAGTCTGAAAGCTGACGAGCTGTCCACTATGGCGACCGAGGAGATGGCGAGCGAGGACAAGCAACAGGAATATGCTGCGATGAGAGAGGCTGCAGAGAAGCAGCTCATCCTGACGGAGGAGACCGCGCCTCGAATGCGCAAGACACACAAGGGAGACGAGCTTGTGGATGACGAGAACGCAAACGACAACACCGAGTTCCGCGCACCGCAGCTGAGGGAGCGGGTGGCCGAGGACGAAGAACAAGGCCTACGACCCAACTCTCCCGGTCGCGATCGCCCCGCTCAGACTCCAGTCGATGCAACCCACCCGCTTTCTGTCGACTCCGACAGTGCGCGACGACCCTCGACCAACTTCGACATCAACTCCGTCTTCGACAAGGTCCGATCGCCACAGAACAACGAACGTGCTTTCATTCCCCGCAGACAGAGCTCAATCCAGGAGAAGCCCCAACAGTCTGTCGATGATGCAGATGTGGACCGGCTGCTCAAGGACGAAGACAATGATGTAGAGATGTCTGGATACTCGACTGACCCCACCGTATGCTGGCAAGGATCCATCACCATGCAGTCTATGGAGCCATTCGACGCCGTTGCTCGATTTGTTGCGGGCGGCGACTTTGGTCAGGTTGTATCTTGGGAGAAGCTGCTTACGAAGCAAGTGTCCATTCAAGGCCGTATAGATCACGCCAAGGGTGATGAGTACATTCGCGGCATCGCAAGGTCAGAAAGCCACGAGGTCGCTGTTCTGGCGATCAGCCCAGTCTCCTCCGAGGGACGGGCAGTGTTCGACCATCTGTACGAGTACTTCCATTCCAGACAGCGCTGGGGCGTCGTGCCCATCGATTCGAGCAACGAGATCTTGCGCGATCTCTATCTTATCCCAGTCGAAGCTGGCGGCGGCAACCTATCCCCTTTCATCGACATGCTCGAGCACTGCACTATCGAGACACCGCGCAAGGACCACATGCTGTTGCTCACCCTCGTTGCGAAGCTTCCGGAAGTCAAACCGCAGCTCCCTCCTACAGAACACTTTGAGCGCTACCCAGCGCAGGAGATCTCGGCTGGTCAGATTGCTCAGCCCGCACCACCGATGGTCGCGCCCCAGAACGGCCCGCCTAACGGCCCAAGTCCATCGCCAGTCACTACGAATCCGCATGCACCCCAATATTCGCCAATGGCTGGCAACTTCCCTCCCGCACCATATGGCAACCCTTACGCCGCACCACCCATGGCCACTGCACCACCGCTGCCTCAACCCGCTGCGAACGCCCCGGCGCACCACCGCATTCCCAAAGCCCTTGAAATCCTCGGACCGTACATCGACTCACCTGTTGTCATCCAGATGCTGAACAGCTTCAGTCAGAACGAAGCAGTGGCGCAGAAGCAGATGTCCAGCTTGAGGGATATCTTCGATCAGGTCCCTGAGGCGAGGGAGAACATCCAGGTCCTCACACAGCATCTGGCGCAGAAGAGTGAGCAGCCGCAGCAGCAGCAGCAGCAGAACGCGTCGTAGAAGAAGCGCGACAGCTTTATGGAACCGCTTGAGCCGCTTGAGCCGCCGCGCACACCGTTCAACGCGCAGGGCACGAAGCAGGACTGGATTATGAAAGTCATGCGCGTTTCAGAAAAGTGGTTGGCTCGAGGAGGAATGTGATTGTTTGAGGACTAAAAGTACGGAGGGAGGTGGGCTTGTGGATGGGTGGAGCATGTCGTTCTTTTGCACCGTTGTTTTCGTCTTGATACCCCATATGTGGAGCGGCGATGGGGGCTCTGTGTCGATGTGATTGGATATTGAAATGTTATTTGTACTGTACACACGATCGCTGATGTCTATGTTAACTTTTTTTACTTCACAACATATGCTTCCCTTTGGATCTCGTGATATCGATAGTTTTCATACTTGCGCCAAGCTCGCTTGACGGTTTGCTACTTTCGACACTTCTCCAAACCTTCCTGAACCAGACGTTTCGGTTTCAGCCCTGCATTCAGCCTCACTCCAACAACACAAATCTCACACAGACCGACTCCCTCCCTCCACTTCAGTACCCAACGACCAACGGGTACAGGGTCCGAATGACACCTTCTTTCCACGCTCTGCTCGAAACTTTCCAAATACAGGCGATTTGAGTCGCTTGACGATGGTAAGGGCAGATGAAGGTCAGCCCTGCAACTCAGCCTCACCCTTCACCGCTGCGGTTGTTTGACACTCATTGGTAAGGATGACGGACACGGGAGCGCCTATTTCCCACACCTGCCTCCAAACCTTCCTATTCCACCCCTCTCGCCTGACACATTCCGAGTCCAAAGTCGTTGCGCCACAGAATAGCGCTCGCTAGCGCGTCAGGGATGCGATTACTGAGCATCTAGTTCTTCTTAGCCTCACATTCGCACCGCCAGTCGACCTCGCCGATTTTCGATGAGAGCGAGCGGTAATCGAACATGAGTTGATTGGTGAAACGGACGGATACTGTACCCGTGCCGCAATCGATGGTTTTGGGAAGTTGCCGCATAGAGAGGAGGGGAGGAGGGGTCCGGTACCCGATGGATTTCAACCCTCCTCTATATTTCGAACCAGACAATGTAAGTCGCGAGCCTTGCAAACAAAGAGGGCGAGAAGGGTATTGTAAGTTTGATGGTGTAGCCAACGCCAGCTGGATTTTTCGAGCACGCTAAACGGTTCGAAGAATATCTTGTTCATGCTCACACGTATCGCTTACATATGCCCCCCTTCATCCGTCGTAGCTTCTTAGATCCACTTTCCCCACACCCAGTCAAGCCTTCTAGAACCGCGGGTACGCTATCCACACCGCAATAACACATGTCTCAAAACTTGCCCGAACGAGCTGGTCTCCGGCCTCAGTTGCGGGAACGCGGGTGCTATACCCGCTTTCATCGTATAATGCGACGTTTTGAGGATGTCACGAACGGGTGGTCCGAGGAGAGAAAACGAGAGGAGTGTCTGCTTCTGGGCTTTTGTTTGAGTGAGGTGTCGGAGGCATGGGGTTGGATCTGGGCTGACGGGAATGTGTGAGGGTTGGTGAGATTGAGGTTGAGGCAATGTGGAATTCGCTATTATATGTGATAATCGTGGTGTAGTAGGGCAAACGTGACGAGGCGAGACGAGGCCCTTAGATTTGCATGATGTAAACGTGCAGCTTGAGAGCTTTCATGTGCACGCTTGGAGGCAAGCCGTGTGAGCTCTGAAAGTGCCGAGGACGGTAAGCTGGCGCTCAGATTCGAGTGAGATGCCGATGTGTAAGATGCAAGCGCCCAGTCGGATGTTCGGACACGGCTCAACGTCAGGGCAATCTGGTTGATACGATCTCCGGAGAATTTGCATCGCCATGGCTTGGGACGCGGCTCGTCTCACCGTTAGGATTCGTCTGACAGCCCATCACAACGGCTGCACAGGACTGTGACTTCCCGGTTGCTGATGCCACCCATGTCCAGCGCAGACTGCGGAGATATCAAGCCGGCCGTAAGGCTTGTCAGACGTAAGCCACTCAGACCACCCCTGCGTGAGAAAAGATCTTGAATGTTTGCAGATTTCACAAATGCATCCACGCCCCAACCAGCCCATTCATTCCCTTCTTCTCTCCCCACCTCTTCAGCATCGCCATTGCGTTACCCGTCAATTCTTCCGTCGGCCCAAGAATAGCCACAACCACGACCGGCGTCACACTTCTGATGAAGTCAAACCCGACAGTCTTCGTGCCTTCCAAATGACCCGCCGTCTTCAAAATGATCTCTGCGGATCGTACAGCCCGATCGAAGAGCGCTGAACTCGACGGTGACGGTGACGATGACGATGACAAGGAGGGTGACGATCGTGTATTCGCTTCATACAGCTGCGGGTCCTGGCTGTTGAGTTTATGCAGCAGGAGTGTGAGAGTAAGCTGGACACACTCGAACGTCGCGATTGTAAGCGCGACAAAAGAGTCCGGAAGAACAACATCTCTCGAGCCTTCGAACGCAGGTTTCACGCCACTAACTGACAGATTCGCCATGTTCGCCTCCACGACTTGGAGACCTGAGGATGGTTTGGCGAGGTAAGGATATGCTGCTGCCCACCCGTTCAGGTCTTCAATGAGTTCTCTGGTGCGCTTGCGGCAGGGCTCCAGATCCACGCTTTGTGGGAAGGGCGAGTTGAAGAAGGTTCGTAAGCTGCCGTTGATGCCGCATAGGCTGGTGCAGTCGGGGATCATGAGCATGATGTCTGCGAGGTCGTGGTGTGCATTGCGGGGCATGTTGACGAAGGGAATGGTCATCCAGTCTGGTAATGCGAAAACGGAGGGTTTGTTCAGAATGAGGGCTTTTTGGGCCTGGTGAATTGTGAGTACACCTCTACTGTGCTGTTTTGGTGATAACTTACGTCAGAGACTCGCATGGCCTTGAACATTGGCCATACCGCACCAGACTTGCAGTTCTCAGGCCCGCGCATCTTGATGATCTCGCACGCTGCAGCTACGTGATGCAGCACACTGTTGGATGTTGTGCCGGCATAAACTTCGTATAGCCCCAGTATTATGGGAACTAAGATTTCCTCGTCGTCTGGTATCCGATTGGGGCCATTCAGTCGGGACAGGGACATCCTTTGTGCATTTAGTGAAACCGTGTACCACCGGTATGAATCTACCAGTATGGCGGGATCATGATGTATCTTAGCGAAGAAGGCCATAGACGCTGCCCGTATCGATAATTTCACTGCAGGTTTGACTGCCTTGCTGTGTATTACTGGCAGGTGAGTGATCCAAGGTATCTCGGGTGTGTAGGACTGAGTGTTCTGGTTCATCTCGACGAAGTGTAGAAGAAAGGCCATGTCCAGCGCATCACCCTGGATCTTAGAAGGCTGATATAGCTGGGGCGCTCTATACTGGTATCGTATTGTCGCGATTGCTTTTTCTGCTTCTGGTGGCAATACGTCGTCGCCGTTGCTTGACGTCGCTGATAAAGGCACATTGTGAAGCAACATTTCTGAATCAGAAGGTTCTGACTTCGTCGTCAACGCTGAGTCTATCCGAGTAGATGGCGTTGTTGCCGAAGCGTTATCTTCTTGTATGGGGACCACGACGTTGGATTCGGTCACTGCTTTCTTCTTTCTTGCTCGGGGCTTTGTGACTCGGTCAGTCATATCAATGATGACCGAGCCTATGATGGGACCCGAGCATTGCAGCCCCAGACGTCGGCATTGGTTGCAGAACTCTGGCGTCTCATCGCACTATCGTATTACTTTTAGTTTCCGGTCGATCTCCACAGGGCTGTTGATGGTACCTTAACGCGGCGCTTACGGCATTGGGTGCACGCTCTGCTCCTTTGGGCTTTGGGCATGAGTAAGGTGCTGGCGATGTGTCCCTGCACGTGGAAAAGGTGGAGCGAAAATGAAAGAGGGAATTCCAGCGGCGTGGATGAGCCGGTGGTGTTGAATTGGCAGGAGGAACACATGCAGGTGTCATCATAGCACCCGCTAACAGCCGCAGTCTAACGAGGGTAGGGATGGTCTGCGGGGGAAGCTGCGACTGTTCCGCGACTGGCTGCAGCGTTTCAAACAAAGTTTGAAACCGTTAGATGCTAAACTGGCACATGGTTAAGCTATCTCGAGCGTTGTAAACTGTCAGAATGACGGTTTCTGGGTGAGTTTGGGGATTCTGATGGCATGCAGGTGGCTCCTGTGTCGCAGATCACCAACACGACATTGTACCGAGACCGAGGGTTCGGCTGCATGTAGCCTGCAGGGTCAACCAAAAAGAGAACACAGGAAGGCTGTCAGAACTCTTTTGAAAGTTTGATCGATTGGTTTGGATATTGACACCGCGCTGAAACATTCGTTCATGCTGGTTCATCTGTCGTTGAGAAATTCGCTTGCTTTCTTCTTCCACATACATAGATTTGCTTCTACAACTCGCCCTTCTCGCCCTTCTTCTTGCCCTCCTGCTGCAGCTCCTTGATATGGCTGTCGTGATCGTTGACGTTCTGCTTATCGGCTGCGATGTTGCTCTCGCCCGAGCTGGCGAGGTCCTCGCGCCATCGGCCCTTGCCCTCCTTCTGCTCCTTTAACTGCTCCTGCTTCTTCTGCTCGAGCTCATCTGGTGTGCGGTTGCCGTCTTCCTTCAATGCCATGCGCGGTGTTGTGGAGAGTGCGCGGCGAGTGATGAGTGAGGAGGTGATGGGACGCAAAGCGGAGATCAGGGCGCGGGGTGCCATTGTGGTGGTGTTGTGAGAATGATAAGTTGTGGTAGGAGGTTCAGGAGAATCAATTGAGCTTGTGTAACTGTTATCTTGATGTGGTATGAGTGGAGGAAAGGAGTTTTGCAAGCAGCCGAGCTCAGAAGTTGAAGCTTTGGGAGCTCGTCATTGCGGTGACGTCATCTGTTAGCGCGAAATTGTCAACACCAGAAAGAAGCCTGGCACACCTCACGATACCTCGGATGTGCACTGACCATTTGACAATACGCTTTGATGGGTACGATACATTCTGTCGATATGCTTTAACGCGCTGTTATGATCTGACAGCCTTCAACTGCTTTGATCTTTTCATGTTTTCTAATTCTATTATTCTGATGTCGAAATGCTACTAGTGGATATACGAGACGGCAATCTCGAACGACAGTTGAATGATCCTTCCTGCCTCCTCACTCGTTTTTGGTCTGCCATGAAGTCCATCAGTATCTCGATGCTGCTTGCTGGCGCCGGAGACCACAGAGAGCAGCTCGCTGCCGCCATGTGAGATGAGTAATCGCTCCAGGGTGTACTCGAGCAAGGTCAGCAAAATTTGGCTCAACAGCAGGTAGGCCATTAGGAACTGCCCTTGGCTGCTGCTAATCAAGAAATCCCTAGAACCCAACTGGGAACGGGTCTTCTTCAGCCACTCCCTGCTCATCTTCAGCTACCTCTGGCTCATGCTCAACTGCCTCTTGTTCCTCTTCGACTACTTCTGGCTCGTGTTCAGCTGCTTCTGGCTCGGGGGAAAGAAGTATTATGGCGGGTAAAGACTTCCCTTTGGATCGAAGACCTCGGCCAGATCTAACAGCAGCTCCGTATCATCATCGTGTGGTATGCGCTGCATTCGAGCGGTGACCGTGGCAGGTAGCGGTACTGGATGATGTGCAGCAGTGCGTTGTTGCCGGCCGAAGACTGGTTCTCCAATCCCACTGGCTTCTGGATAGCGTTCGTAATGCACGGATTATGGTGCACTGCCGAGTCGTGCCCTTCGTACTGGAGCGGCTCCATTGGATCGTAGCATACGGTTGCCGGCACCAACTCATGGTAAGCTGCGTGTCCCTGATGGGACTTCTTCCAAAGAGAGGCTGTTGAGCCGCTCCGCAGGGTCCCGTCCTTCGCCGTGACGACTACTCCTTGGCGGCAAGTTTTGGATAACCCAGCTGGAATGCTGGCGGAGAGCAGGGCCTTGATCCGTACGAGAGCGTTTGCCAGAGAGGAAGTCGCTGCCATCTGTATCCTTGCCGCCTTCTGCTTCGATCTCATCTGCGCTTCGAGCTCAGTGATGGCGAAGCTTCTTCAGATGCCATGGCTTCCTTCTCATTCGCCTGCCCTTCTTGCAATGCTTCTCTGGTTCGAATAACTCCGTCCTCTCTGTCGTCATATTCATCGGTGGGCTTCTTGCCCTTGTAGTATTGGCCTCCCTCCTCAAATCCGACCGTACGGCCTGGAAATCCTTGACTGCAAGACGGCCTGGAGCGGAGCCTAAACACCTCTTCGTCCCCTTCATCGCTGCAGGCGAGACAGGCTTTCATAACCTCCTGACATCGTCCCTCGGTGATCTTTGCAAGCTCGCTCAGCTCCCAAATTAGAGGGAGAGCTGGAAGTGCAAACCAATCATATGCTACGCTCTCCATCAAGGTTCAGATCTCCACGTTATTTCAAGTGACGTTTCCAAATGCATGTCAGATGGTTCACATATGTATAATTTCGGATACAATTTATTCACCTGCAGGTATCGAATACAGTTCATGACCCTCGAGAAAGTTGTTCATTACGCATAGCAGTGCTTCGGTTTAGCCTCAACGCACGTATTGATGCCTAAGTTTGAGGTAAGACCTAATCTCCGGATGAAGTCAAACTACCCGTGTTACATGAATTGACACAGACCGGCACTGGGTTGGACTTGGACAAGAAATACGTGTGCATTATCAATACACTACAACCTGTCTCTTACTGCGGTGCATCGACTCCCATTTTAAAGAACACCGCCTTCGTCATAGTGTAGTTCTCCAGCGCCGCCTCACCACACTCACGTCCAATACCACTCTCCTTATACCCCGCCGAACGGAATACTCTAGTGCGCAAGTTGAATATGTTGATCCACGCCGTGCCTACCTTAATCTTGTTCGTCACCCTGATCGCCCGCTGGTAGTCAATTGTGTGAGTACCCGCAGCCAGACCATACATTATGTTGTTCGCCAGCTCAAGCACCTCTTCCTCAGTCTTGAACTTCGTGACTGTGACCACAGGTTCGAAGATCTCCTCCTTGACGATCTTCATCTCAGGTGTAACGTTCGTGAAGATAGTAGGCTGGATGAGGTATCCGCCCCCTGGGGCTTCATGTGCCTTGCCACTAAGAGCAACGGTAGCGCCCTCTTTCTGCCCAGCCTCGAGATAGCCGATGATCTTGTTGTGTTGGAGTTTCGAGTTCTGTGGGCCCTGATTGGTGTTCTCATCGAAGTTGCCACCGACGGTCACTTCCTCCATGCCTGCAGTGAACAGCTCAGTGAACTTGTCGTAGATGTCTTCGTGCACGTAGATGCGCGTTCCAGCATGGCAGGTCTGGCCGTAGTTCATGTTGATGCCCCATGTGCTCCAGGCGACAGCCTTCTCAAGATCAACGTCGGGGAACACGATGTTGGCGCTCTTACCGTCAAGTTCGAGGGTGACCTTTTTGAGGTGGGAGTTTGCTGCTGCGCGAAGGACAGCGCGGCCAGTGACTGTTGATCCAGTGAAGGCGACCTTGTCGATGTCCATGTGCTTTGCGATTGTGGCGCCGACGGTTTTCCGTGGTCTGAGACGAGGTTGATGGTACCAAGAGGCAAGCCAATTTCCTTGATGAGACCACAGATGTAGAGTGCATCAAGAGGCGTTGTTTCAGCTGACTTGATGACAACGGTGTTTCCTGTTACGATAGCAGGCGCGATCTGCCAGATGAAAATCAGTAGTGGGAAGCTGTTCAAACGTTAGTATGTAATCTTGGCTGCACGAAATTACAAAATTTACTTCCAGGGGATCTCTCCTGGTGTACGCGCGGATGTTCCAGGAACGTTGGAAGACGCTACGTCAAGGACTTTGTCTGCTCAACCAGCGTAGTATCTGAGTGTGCCGATTGAGCCTGGTAGGTCGAGATTGGCTGTTTGCTTCTTTGCCTTGCCAGTATCGAGCATTTCGATAGCCAGGATGTCGTCAAAGTGCCTCTCCATCAGATCAGCGAGCTTCAGCAGGAACTGGCCTCGTGCTGCAGGGTTCAGTTATGTCCATGCTGGGTTGTTCATGGTCTTGCGGGCGGTGTTGACTGCGATGTTGACATCGTTGGCAGAGCCTTCAGATACCTCGATGATACTCTTTTCTGTCCTAGGTTCTTCGACAGGGAATGTCTTGTCGACCTTAGGCTTGACGAACTCGCCGCCGATGAACAAGCCTGTGTTGAGCTGAACATCTCGATCGTTGATGTTGAGTGTTTGTATCAACATGGTGTTAATTTGATATGTTCTTCTATTAGTACGCAGATAGAGGTAGTATCAACGGATGAGCAAATAGTGATGCGGGGAGGGTATATAAACAGTCTAGAAACCACTGCCTCAGGTTCGATAATCGGCTACGATATCTCTTCATCGAAACGAGAAGCAGGGGCTAGACCCTCTCGTGGTCGCTCCATCCACTCGATGCCGTACATGGATTATAGTCGACTGTCAAAGGAAAGGTCAAGATCGAGCGAACCATTGAACTTGGATCAGGAGTGGGAGCCGTCAGGAGGGATTCGTCGTTGCAAAGGTAGTCGCACCGAGAGGTTCACCAGTACTCTACCAAGTGGAGAAAGTGGAGGCTGAACGCGGTACTGGACTGACTTATTGCGGGGTGTCCAAGGCGGAGTGGTGCGCCAGCTGGACTTCTAGAATCTCCACTGTGGTTCACAGCTGATAGATCCAGGATTTGAGTAGCCGACTACTTGGTAACTTACCAACGCGTGAAGCAGACGCGTGAAACGTTGGTCGCTGCCCAAACATCATCACGTTTGGAGAAAAGCTGTGTTGTTGACGTTTGAGCAGCTCGAATGTAGGGACTAGTTGGCCTGCTCGTTGCCAATTGGCTCTTGCTGCTTACCTGCATCATGAGCGTTTTGTTTTCGTATCTGCACTCACTGTCAATACAACATGGTCGCGTAAACTGGCACACTCAACACTTCTGCGCGACAATATCTCAAGAGAGGGCTTAATGTTGGCATATCGTGATGTCGCAGGACACCAGAGTTATGACGATGATCCTCCGCCTCGGACGAATTCTTCCAACGCCAAATGGCCGAAAAACGATCGACCTTTGCGACGAAGACTGATCGTGACAGCCAACTTACCCCCCAGCAGCATATAATCGCGAGCGAGACATTAACTCGTTTCTCGAAAGCAGTAAGTAGCACAGCATCCATTCAGTCGATATGGCGACAGCAGCGCTCGCCGGAAGCACCGGCCTGGTAGTAAGTCGCAACACCAAATATACTCACGAACAAAGCCGTGTTCACCACGCTAGGGCTCCAACATCCTCAGCCAACTTCTCGTACATCCCTCCTTCTCCTCCGTATACGCTTACGCACGCCGCGAGGTCCCCAACCCAACCGCCACAACTAAGCTGAACCCTCTCACATCGACCGACACATCGACATGGACTGGCATGTTCCCGCGCGAATCGAACCCCAAGATCTTCTTCTCAGGCCTCGGCACCACAAAGGCACAAGCAGGCAGCTTTGAAGCCCAGCGCAAGATCGACTACGACCTCAATCTTGACCTTGCCAAAACCGCCAAGGAAGCTGGTGTAGAGACATACGTGCTCATCAGCGCCGGAAACGCGAATGCGCAGAGCAGCTTCGCATACATTAAGATGAAGGGTCAACTCGAGGACGACGTAAAGGCGCTGGGGTTCAAGCATACGGTTCTCGTGCACCCAGGACTGATTTTGGGAGGAAGGGAAGACAGTCGGCCTGCTGAATTTGCGATTCAGAGTGTCGCAAAGCTGTTCAGGAGCGTGACACCGAAGCTGACAGACTTCTGGGCGCAGGATGCAACGACTATTGCTAAGGCGGCAGTTAATGCGGGCGTGCAGTGTTTGGAGGGCAAGAAAGAGGAGGGTGTTTGGGTCCTGGGGCAGGCCGAGATCAACGCCTTGGGTGAGGCATAGAAACGTTGGTGAACGTCCTGCGAAAGCTACGCTCACAATCGTGCCGGTAGCTGTATGCATACCAGAGCGCCTGTCCTTTGCTACGCGATACTCTTCAATAAATTGTTTGTTCACCATGGAACTATGCCCAACGATTGAACGTCCGGTCACCAGGTCTCTGGGATCTGTAAAAGCGTGCTGTTGTGTACCGTACCGAACAAATATGTCTTGTGACCAATGACCACAGCCTCTCTTCAATATGCTGTCGCGGCTACCAATGAGCGCACGATCTTTCCAACGCATTTCTGCAGCGCGACTAACCACACCATCCAACTTCATCAATTCTTCTCAGCTTCCCAGCACATCTCAACCCTCTCAGACTCACCAAAGTCTTTCTTTGCCCCGTAATCCTTCACTCGTCAATTCATCACACCACTTATCTCACGCGATGCGCTCACTTGGCAAACAACCTTGGTGCTGATGCTGCCATCGGTGGGTGCCGCTCGCTCCAGGCTCGCTGCGCCGCTGAAGGATTTCGTGCAATGATCACACCACTGTCTCGCGACACATTGTTCACGCCACGCGAGTGCGCAAAACACACCAAAATGCGTTGTCTGCGATTGGTCTACGTTGCGCAATTCTTTCCAAAATGAGTAAATTAATTCTAGATCTGGAAATTGACGCCCAAACATGTGGTTCGGTTCGGCTAACCCCAGGGGCAGGCTCGTAAGGCTGGCTGTTTGCTCAGCACCATTTCGGGCGCAAGAGCGGTAATCCTTCGGGCCATGTTTGCTGGAGGAATCTCAGGTGATGCTGGTGGTGCGATCAAGCAGTTGACGCAGTGCACAGAGCGGAATAAGCAGGAATCAGTGAAAGCAGAAACACATTCGTAGGATCAATAAATACATCGCACCAAGCCACCAAAGAAAACATCATCATAACATCTCTACTCAGCCATACAAGCCACGGCAACAGCAACAAGCAACATCTACAACGCAGCGGGTAGACCAAAAGTAGAAATTGGACTCTCAACTCCACCAACCAACAACTAAACACCACTCCCGGCTTTTGGCGACTTATCAGACTGAGAAGAAGAATGCCTTCCGCAACAGCAGCACGCACAATGATCCGTTCCTGGGCCCGCCAAATGACTGAGCCTCACCCATTCGCTCGCAACCCCGTCACCGTTAAGCCATACCCAGCGCAGTACCGCGTTATGTTCCGCAAGCTGGGGAGGACGAGCGCTGTGTAAGTCGCCCTTCACCAACACCCTTCCCTTACAACTCTCTTTCCTTTAAGAGTGCTTCTTCATCTGCTTGAATGTCTCACTGACGACCGACACACAGTTTCTTCCCCTGGTACGTCATCGTCCTCGGCTGGCCACTCGCCGCTGAGTGGGTGTTGAACGGGCGTATGTGACTTTTCCTTGCTGAGGGCGAGCGATCCGTTCCTGTCGAAAAGAAGGAGGTCATCAGAAACCTCGATGCGGGGGAGGTTAAGAAGTTGATACTGAATATGCGGTGGGATGGCTAGTGGGATTTGGCATAGCACTGCTCAGCATGGGATGGAGTTTGGGGCGTTTTGATGTGTAGATACCAGACAATACATTTTCTTGAAATCCTGTGTTTTTCGAGAATTGTTGTGGCTTGGATGTTTGCCAGGCCTTGCTCCTGACTGAGGTCTTGCCCGATAATCCACTGCGTTCTGTTAGCGCAGCGAGATGGCCTTGTGTTGGGGAGCTTGTTCGCGTCGTGTATGGTGTTTTCATTTAAAACTCAGAAACATGTTGGTCAATGCAGTCCTGTCATATGCCGCCTTGCGCCTGTCGCTGATCGTATTCATCTCCTTCGCTCGCATCGTCTTTGTGTGTCTAGTTGTGGCTTCCTGAACCACTCGATCCACCACCCTGCTTGTTCGGGCTCCCAGCACCGCTCGCCTTGTCATTCGTTCCCTGGCTTGCACCGCCGATCTTAGGATCATTCGCATGGCTAACCTCGTGGTTGCCGGGACTCACGTTGAGCGCATTGTCCTGACCTCCTGCCTCCTTCTCAGCAGATGCCTCTGCTGCCTCAGGGCTCGTCTGGTTGGGATCAAAAGCGGCATCAGTGTGTGCTGCTGCGTCGTCGGAACCGGACTTGGAGTATTCAGTTGACGTGGTCTTGATTGAGTCCTTGTCCTCTGCACCCTTCTGCGCGAGAAGTGGGCGCGATGTGCTCAAGAAGCGAAGCTGCGTGAACTGGGTGCGAGCGGTGCGCGTCAGCGAGCGGGTAGGTTGGAGGCGGAACATGGCTGCTGCGCAGGTATGTAGCTGTGTGTCGTGGATGTATGTAGAGCTTTGAAGGTCAGCAATGGCGTGAATGTGCAATTGAGTATCACTCACATCCTAATCACAATTTATTGGAAGGTGAGAGTAATGGAAGTCTTGAAGAAAGTCAAGGCGAGAGTTGACGTCTTCGAAGCTTGTGTAGCAGATCAAAGCTCACGACGATCTGACGTCACTGACGCACGGACACTTGCTACATACACATTGATTAGCAGTTTGTACTACTTGAGTATTACAAAAGTCTCCCTCATGAGAGCAGAGGTAGCTGTAGCGCCAAATTTGTAGCGCCAAATTTGTATGGGATGCTGTATGATGGGTTTATGCTGGCACTCGGGGAGGCAGCTTCGTTTCCGACTACAAGCCTCGGGGATGGCGTTGAACACCGAGCCGCATTCGACTTAACCCCCTCACTCTTCAGGCAACACCATCACTTTGCATCACGGGCTTTTCGCACAGATATTATACCAATCTCAAAATGGAAGGTGTAAGGCTGGAGGAAGTCAAGGGTTCCAGGCCTGTCCTCGGCCAACAGGAAGCAACCCATGGTAAGCCAGTCCTTCCCTTGACTCAGTTGAGTCGTTTCAAGCGGATGTGCTCACGCTGCTCTGCTTTATCAAGCTTTCCAGCGTAAGCTGCTTCAGTTCTGGTGTTCGGGCGGATCCGACCACTACATCTGAAAATCTGACTCCCATAGCTTGATTTCCAATCAATACACCAACATCGAAGTCAACTTGAAGTGCAACATTCATCAGCACTCAATCATGGCCATCCCCAGTTGGATTCCGCCTCCACCTCTGGATCATGACACATTGCGAAACCCTCCACCATTCGAACCATTTCCACTCGTTCAGATACGCAGTGGCAAAGCCAAGAAGTCTCTCGGAAACGGCCGCATCGAAACGGCCATCTTCAAGGCACCCATATCAGGACCTGTTGCGATCAATGAGGATGGCATCGTCGGTGACGAACACGCTTACGAGCCACATCGCAGCCGAGACAGAGCACTCCTGCATTACTGCACCTCCCACTATGATGACTGGGCAAAGGAGATCCCAGCCTCAGAGGCGCACTTCAAGCCCGGTGCCTTTGGCGAGAACATCTTTAACACCGAAGTAAACGAAAAGAACCTATGCATTGGCGACCGCCTCGCCATTGGCGAAATCATCGTCGAGGTTACCATGCCTCGAGCACCCTGCTATAAACTCAACCACCGCTTCGAAGTCAAGGACATGGCCAAGCGCTCCCAGACCCTCTTTCGCACTGGATGGTTGTACCGCATCATCAAACCTGGTCACGTTGCTGCTGGAGACATGGTCTGTCTACTCGAGCGACCGCACCCTGACTGGACTGTGGCAAGAGTCATGTACTACCTGTTCATCGAAACTGACAACAATGAGATGATGGAGGAGGTTGTAGAGATTCCACAGCTCGGCGAAGAGATTAAGGCCATGTTTCAGGCCCGGTTGGCGAAGGGTGTCACAGAAGACCAGAATGGAAGGATGTATGGAGGTGCAGAAGACAAGATGGATGCGTGGTACGAATGTCGCGTTGTCGAGAAGCGCAAGGAAACGAGCAACGTCACAGCGTTTGTGCTCGAGACCATTGAAGACCTCCCAGACGCTACACCAGTTGAGCCTGGTAGCCATGTCCGACTCAAACTAGGCGGCAAGCTAGTTCGTGCGTACTCAGTCACCAGTGGTACCACAAAGCGCTTCGAGCTCGGCATTGCCCTCGACGCCAACAGCCGAGGCGGTTCAAAGTACTTGCACAGGCAAGTCCAGGTCGGAGACGTTGTCACTGCAGGACGTATCACCGCCTCCTTCCCTCTAGCTCTCGACGCAGACAAGCACATCATCATCGCAGGCGGCATCGGCATCACTGCCTTCCTCCCTGCACTGGCCCATCTCAGAGACACGAAGCAGAACTTCCGTCTGCACTATGCTGTATCGAGCGAAGTGCCGTTCAAGAACCCCATCGCCGCTCTCGGTCCTAACGTTACGATTTACAACAGCGCACAAGGCACACGCATGGACCTCAAAGACATCCTGTCTCACGCAGACAACCGCACGCACATCTACACCTGCGGTCCTGCACGTCTAATGGACGCTGTGGTTGCTACAGCGAAGCACTTCGACATTCCTGACGCTCTCGTCCACATGGAGCAGTTCACCGTGACGACTTCTGGCGATCCATTTACAGTAGAGCTTAAGCAGAGCAAGAAGATCATCGAGGTCGATGCTACCCAGACCTTGCTCGATGCCTTGAAGGCAGTCGGTATGGATGTTAATAGCTCTTGTGAGGTGGGAAACTGTGGTACGTGTAAGGTTGATGTTTGTGATGGAAGGGTGGAGCACAAGGGCACTGGGCTGCTGAACGAGGAAAAGTGTGGGTCGATGCTGGCTTGTGTATCGAGAGGGATTGGGCGGATCGTACTTGATCTCTAGGAGGGCCAGCTACAAGTTACACGGGAGCCTCGAAGATACGCAGCGATTATAGTATGTGGATTCAACAGAAGTCAGTTTGTGCTTGCAGCAGAAGGGTGTGTCTCTCATTTTATCTCTGTTCTACTGTGGGACTTGCACCATCCTCACCTCACGCCCCGCACGGACAACGCATCAACAATCAAGAAGGCACCATGCGTGCTCTTGCTACGTCCCTCACTGGGCCCACTTCCCTTCTGCCTTCCCTCCCCACCACCCTCTTTCTTCACTCACCTTCGCACCTCCCTTGAACATACCTCGCCCACCTTGATCACACCACAGTACCGACTACCTCCACGATGGACCGCGGCACGAATCTGTGTATCATATGCGGAGTACCTAATGCAAGGCTTTGCAGCGGGTGCTGCGATATTCGCTATTGCTCGTAACCTTGCCAGGTGACAGATCGGCCACTTCACTACATCGTCTGCAAGACTGTCAAAGACTTCGCGAGCGACACCCGCCCCAGCCCCACCCACGTGAGAGCCATACTCTTTTTTGAGTTCGAGAAGCGTCCCCGCTTCGTCTGGATGACCTTCATGGGCAGATACGAGGGCAAACCTTGTCCTGACTACGACGACGACTCTGTCATCAAGAAGTAAGCCCATTCTGACCTCATAGTGTCATCCCGAGGAAGTGATGAAGCAATTCCTTTCGGGTTTCCACGGACAAGATCATCAAGTTCAGCTTTCCTGCACCGGTTCCTGAGCCAACTATGCGCCTGCACGTAGCCTGACCAACATCAACGGACGACTTGCCAACTATCTGCGAGACGTGGTCGATGCTGAAGAGCACCGCTGATGAGAAGCTCAACTCTCTGATCCCTTACCATCTACAGCATCCTTTAATCAGCCTGCCTCAAGGACAGAGTACTCGTCAGTACGTATAAAGCCCGCTATATCCATCGCTTGTTACTAACAGCTACGAGATGGTATACTAGAGTCGTTCAAACCTTTCTTTGAATGGATCAACAACCCAGCGACAGCGTCCCTGTTCAGCATCTCGAGGTCCAATGACAAAGTTCATTCTATGTCTGTCGCGCCGATAAGAAGCCTTTGCATCCAATTCATTTATCCGCCATGCAGCAATACTTCCAGGACAATTTATTCGAGTACAGGTTCGCTTCCTCAACAGTGCTTCCCTCGGGGAAAGCGGCCAAGGTCGGACCAAAGGAAATCATGGAGTACCTCCACGGTCTCTGGCTCGAGAAGATGTCGAAGGATGACTTCAAGGCATAATATCCGATATATATTCAGGGAGCAGAGCTGCTTCAGCATCAATATGATGCGAGGATGCCTCCGGACCATACGACGTCTAGCTCTCTCTATGTTTCACAGTCGCATAGACCTCAGGCGTAACCTTGGAGGGCGTCACGTTGCTCCATCTTAAGCAAACATGTTGCGCAAATAGTGTTCAGAGATAAACATTATATGGGCTCTGCCATAGTTCTCCAAGGTCAATTCAAGTTTCAGCTACCTGTGCTTCAGGTCCCGTCATTGAGTGCTTCCACGCTGGACAACCTCACGACCAACGCTCGTCCCGCAAGGCTGTCCCAGGGGTTGGTGAGCCAGGCGTGAAAGGGGTGTGGGAGGCAGATGTGTGGCTTGTTTAGTCAGGCTCAATTCGGTGATAGCAAGATAAACACATGCACGAGACTGATGACTGTCCGGGGTAACCATGGCATTGATGCTACTAGACAAAACCTTCAATATTAAAGCCGATTATCTTTCCCTAGTCAAGAATATCATCCTCATCCGGATCCCGCTCCTCATTCGGGTTCAACATTTTTTTATCGCTGTAAAGAAACCCAATGGCCTGGTCCATCAAACTCTTGTCCGCGCGCTGTGTCGGACTTGGGATCTTGTCGATGCCAAGCTGTTCCTTGACCTTCTTTTGCACATCGATTTGACGCGCCAATACTTGTTGTTCTACTGATACCACCGAAGACCTCCTCCTTGATCGAAAGCCGGTTACGGAGGGACCGGCTTCAGAGGGGCCTGCTTCAGAAGGGCCAGTTTCAGAAGGACCTGCTTCAGCACCTTCGTAGTGCCTGACTGTGAAGTCGTGTTGACGTACGTACCGCTGTAATGGAGGTTCTGGCTGGACGCGAAATGTGCGATCTGGAGCAAATGGAGAGGCGTTCGGTGATGGCTTACGGTCGGGCAATTCTGTTTGGGGCCTACCACAAGGGTCGCCACTCGTTGTCAAGTCGCTGCAGTCCCGCATTCGGTCTAAATTTGGCGTGTGCGACCCAGATGTTGCAGAAGCTTTGGACTTGGGCGCATCATACCATGATGGCAAGTCGTCGATCACGTAGTCGTCTTCGAGGGCTGGACCGTCTGTCTGTGCATTGCGACCGCTCGGTCCATCCTCCACCGCTACAGCCTTGTCTTTACCCTTGTCTTTGGAGGTCGGTCTGGCGTCTGTTCCGGACGTGTCATCGGAGGTTGACTGCCATTGAGGCGAGGTGAGCTCGTCGACCGTAGAAGCTGCAGCTTTACCTTTGCTCTTCTTCTGACAGGTCGGCCTGCTTTCAACTGTAAGATCATCCCTTGAGTCCGACACGTAGCGAGGAGAAACATCGAGCTCAACTTTGGAATCATCCACAACAGCAGCCTTGCCCTTGCCTTTGTCCAGAATTATCGATTCGCTCATGGCTACAATCTCGTCCTCAGGCACCGACGAGCTTGCGGGAGAAGTGCCAGCCTCAAATGTAGGATGTTCGCAGGACGCAGACTTGCCACTGTCCTTTAATGCAGGCTTGAGCGGGTGTCCGTCTTCAGGTGCACCCTTGCCCACAACTGCAGAGTATAGCTTTGACAACAAGTCCTGCGCGTCCTCCATTGGCTCATCTCCTTTCTGCTCGTCTTCAAAGTGGGCCAGTTTTCGGGACACATGCCGCCCGAGCTCAAGTTGCTCGCTTGTCTCTTCGCTGATTGTGGACAGGGACGGGTTTGAAGATGAGTCGTCATCCTTGGGAGCAGATTTGTCCGGAACTGGTATGAAGCGATGCATCCCCCGAGGTTGTGATTGGAAGTTTTCAGCTGGAGGTAGTCGCACGTCCCTCTTTTGAGAAGCCAAGATGAAGCTGCTTACTCTATTCTTCTGCCGCGTAGGTACAGTCTCCTCCCCACGCACAGGCTCGTTCTCTTCTTGGGGCGCAGATGCATGCTCTTCCTGACGAGATGATTCGCCCCGCTCCTCGCGAACAGGTCCATTTCTGCGCAACGCCGACTCAACTCTGGTGGGAGAGATACCCTCGGATCTCCGTGATTCGCGTTTTGGAGTCTCGTTGGGTTCGCGAAACTTGACAGTCTCGAGAGTCTTGCCGAACAAGATCTCCGACGGGAAGTTCGAGTCCGTCCAAGGCTACTGGAGCGCCCAATCTGCCGGCATGACGAACCCGCTGTCCTTGAAGTCGCGCTGGATGTACTCGGTCAAAGCGTCAAGTCTCTTGCGTTGTATATGTAGAACGCCAAGCTTGATGTCTTTCTCCCGCTGGCTCATTGAACTGAGTATCGAAGGAGCTTTGAGCTTGCCAGCAGCGCTTTGTGCAGCTGTCGGTGTACTTGATCGCGTGTCAGAGTCTTCTAGCGTAGGGTACCGGGGATCACCATAGCCTTCGGCGGTAATCTTGAATTGCTGCGACTTGTTTGGTGGTAGTTCGCCGATCAGGACGAAAAGAAGTTCGGGTTGCAATGATCGAATAAGGATGTTGCAGTTTTCCGCCTCGATAGTGAGTGTTTCGAGTGCAGGCCTCAAACCGCTCTGCTGTGCTGCCTCTGCCTCATCTCGAGCTGAGTCCTTCCGTGGGTCTGGTGCAGACTGCATCTGTCGTCCAATGCACTGCTCTTTCCATGCTGCTGAGATTAATGCTGCTTGGTCGCGGAGTTCCTTGATATTAACTGGGGTTGAGTAAGCGAGCAGATTGCCGTTCGGTGACATCAAGCTGCGTGCATTAGCGGGAACCCTGGGCGCCAGCTGTGAGGAGACCTACAGTAATCGCGGGTAGAGCTTCTCGTTGACATTCTTAGTGAGCCACTCGCTCACCTTGATGATGTCTATCATCGGGCCGTCGAGCTGTGTTTGCATAGTCAGAAGCTGTAGACGCGCGGAGACACGCATTCCGGTGTAGTGTTGTTCAGACATAGCGAAGCGAGTGAGGATGGGGTATGCGGAGCGTAGCGATAGAAGTGTTCTGAAGATACTGCGGCGGTCGCCGTGTGGTACAGATAGCTTGGACGTTGTGGTAACGAATGAGGTCACGTACCTGATTACAGAGTCTACCTTCTCAGCTACGGAAATCGATGCGCACGTGGCAGATGCCTTGGATCAAGCTGCAATTGCTGCGAAGCACAATATCAGGCAGGCGAATGAACGTAATTGTGGCAGGAGTGTTGTAGTCTATCAGAACGAAAGGCATGATCATGTTCAAGATACAGACCAGCCACAATCTTGGAAAGAGCTTTGACCAAGCTACTAAATTCCCGTGTCACGTCACGTGCTGCAATTGCACGGAAGGAACGTTACTCTCATCATGCCTCCTATCACTCCTGCGCAAATTGTCGCATCTCATCAACAATGCGGTGTGCAACTACGAGAAGTCACGATGCTCTGGTGCTTTGCTTATGTTACAAAAAACGACTGCTCGGGCCAATGCGCAACGCGGTCATAAAGCCGACTTGGTGGGGTGACTTGTGTTTACTGATTGGTGATGACATCAATCTTTTCGGACATCTGGAGTTCTTAACTCCCCTCCATTTTCTGCTCAGTGCAATTAATGTTGTTCCTACGACAAACGCTTTTGAAGCCATCCAGAGTATCTCTGCCATTTGCAGCACAATATTTGCGAGTAAGCAGCAAGCCGCGCAGTATTTTCCGAGCACTAGCAACCATGGCTACCGATCCAACCAGCTACAAGCTTAACCACTCGATGTGAGCACCTTCATGGCTGTCATCTGCACCGGCCATTGGCTGCTGAAACGTGCACTTACCCACTCTACAGGCTTCGCATCAAGGATCCCAAGCGTAGCGTGGAATTCTATGAGTTCCTGGGCATGAAGCTTATTAACAAGCTACCGAACCCTGACAACAAATTCGACCTCTACTTCCTCGCATACGACAGCCCCAAGGCTGTATCCCACGGCAATCACTGGACCGACCGTGAGGGGATCATCGAGCTCACACACAACTACGGCACTGAGGACGACCCGAACTACAAGATCACCAATGGCAACACAGATCCCTTTAAGGGCTTCGGCCACCTGTGCATATCAGTCGACAACCTCCAGGCTGCCTGCCAGCGCCTGGAAGATGCCGGCTACAAGTTCCAGAAGAAGCTAACAGATGGGCGCATGAAGCACATTGCTTTCGTGCTGGACCCTGACGGCTACTGGGTCGAGGTCATCGGACAGAAGCCTTTGGAGCAGACTGAGAATGTCAAGGAGACTAACACTGATACATACCGCATGGTGAGTGTATCCTCGACTGCTGCTGTATACTGCTGACACTGCCAGAACCATACTATGTTGCGAGTCAAAGACAAAGATGTCTCACTCAATTTCTACAAGGACGTCATGGGCATGAAGCTCAAGCGTACCTCTGAGAACCCCAACGCAGGCTTCAACCTGTACTTCCTTGGATACGGCGCGGATGCTCCCGAGCAAATCGCAAACGGCGTAAATCCCGTAGCAGACAGCGAGGGCCTGCTTGAGCTTACATGGAACTATGGTACCGAGAGGGACGCCAACTTCAAATACCACAACGGCAACGACGAGCCGCAGGGCTTCGGACACATCTGCATCTCGGTCGATGACCTCGATGCTGCTTGCGCTCGCTTCGAGGACAAGGGCGTTAACTGGAAGAAGAGGCTCACAGATGGCAGGATGAAGAACATTGCTTTCGTGCTGGGTATGTCACACATCATCTGTATCCATGGAACAAAGCTAATGTCGTGAACAGACCCTGACAACTACTGGATCGAGGTTGTGCAGAACGAGAAGCTCAAGACACGAAGCAATTGGTAAATGGCATTGTCAACTATCATGCACGAATCCCACTCAACAAGCGATCGGCTCCAATTAGTGCAGGCCACAGTGTATGCGACTTGACGCACTGCATGAGATGTGCACAGATGCACAGATGCTTCGAAGATAGAAATCCATCAACGAATACACTTTCGAAACTTCATTTATTCTCTCAAGACGATCAAGTCTAACAAGGCGCATTTGATGTCGCTCACTGCCCCTCGTCACTACTGGAAGGTCCCTTGCATCCTAGCGAACATGTGGGCGCGGCGCCTACCTACCCCACGAATGCGGGGGCGGGGTAGCTTTCTAGCTACATAAGGTTACCCTTCCTCATACAAGCCAACAGCTGACGCAGTGCGCAACAAGCTCACGGTAGGCGCGTCCGGTAGCGGTGCTTCAATATTCTGTGTAGCTTGACGTGCAGCTAAAAGGATAAATCTCCTCTGGTACCGCTTCTCAGTCAAACCATCTTCTCCATACCGTTACTTCACTACAACCTCTCAGCAACTAACATGGCTATCCTAGCAGTTCGCACGAGACCTAAGATCCTCATACCAGAGAAAGTTTCAGCTGATGGTCTAGCGCTACTGCAAGATAAGTTCGAGGTACATGAGAAGAAGGGTTTGAACCCTGACGAGTTAAGTGCTATCATCGGAGACTATGAAGCTCTCATTGTTCGTTCCGAGACTCAGGTGACAGCAGAATTGCTTAACGAAGCAAAGAAGCTCAAAGTCGTTGCTCGTGCCGGTGTTGGCGTTGACAATGTCGATGTCCAAAGCGCCACTATCCATGGCATCATTGTTGTGAACTCGCCTTCTGGCAATATCAATGCCGCAGCAGAACACACGATCGCGCGTAGGTACCCAGAGCAACCAAGACCCTGCGTACACTGACATCAACAGTACTCATGGCTGTCGCTCGCAACATCGGTGATGCGTCGCAAAGTATCAAGAACGGCAAGTGGGAGCGGAGTCGATTGACTGGTGTCGAAGCGAAAGGCAAGACGCTCGCCATTGTCGGCTTGGGCAAAGGTGAGCATAACAAAACAGGTACAACATCATTACCGCTAACAATGGACATAGTCGGTCTCACCGTCGCTCGAATCGCCAACGGCCTCGGTATGCGACTGATAGCTTACGACCCATACGCCAACCCCAACCTGGCAGCAGCAGCCTCAGTCACTCTACGATCAAGCCTAGCAGAACTGCTTCAAGAAGCTGACTTCCTGACACTGCATACTCCGCTCATCGCGTCCACTAAGGGCATGATCGGCAAAGCTGAATTGGCCACGATGAAGCCCACAGCTCGAATTCTGAATGTCGCCCGAGGTGGTATGATTGACGAAGGCGCCCTCGTAGAAGCACTAGATGCAGGCACAATCGCAGGCGCCGGTATTGACGTTTTCACGTCTGAACCACCCAAGCCAGACTCCTTAGCAAGTCGCCTCATCGCGCATCCAAAAGTCGTAGCAACTCCTCACCTCGGCGCCTCAACTAAAGAAGCCCAAGAGAACGTCTCCATCGATGTATGCGAGCAGGTTGTTCTCATCTTGTCCGGCGAACTGCCACGTTCAGCAGTCAACGCACCATTGATCTTGCCCGACGAATACCGCACGCTCCAACCCTTCGTCAGCCTCGTCGAAAAGATGGGTTCTCTGTACACCCAACACTACTCCTCCATCAACATTAAGTCGTTTCGCACAACCTTCGATCTCACCTACGAAGGCAAACTCGCCAATCTCAACACCACCAAGCCTCTCTTCGCTGCTCTTGTCAAAGGTCTATTGACGCCAATCACCAGCAGTGACGGTTTGAACATCAATATCGTTAACGCTGAGCTCCTCGCTAAAGAGCGCGGTATCTTGATCAACGAACAGCGTAGCAGAGAAAACGTGGAGGAGAAACCATACTCCTCATTCATCACACTGCGCGCTCGCGCAAGTCGGTCCACATCCGCTGCCCGCGCCGGATCTCGCGCAACGAGTCCGGCTACGAGTCGCAGCCCCAACCTGTCGCGCGTCGATACGCATCAAGGAACCTCGCAACCTCCACCTGAGCAGGACCAAATCATCCAAGGTTTCGTTTCTGGTAACAAGCCGTTCATCTCTCGCTTGGACAGGTTTAAGGGCGAGTTTGTGCCGAAAGGTACACTGCTCATCTGCAGAAACTTCGATTCGTGCGGGAAGATCGGTTTTGTAGGCAACCTCCTGGGCAAAGCAGGAGTCAACATCAATTTCATGAATGTTGCGCCACTGGATCTGGATGAGGAGGTTGAGGCACAGGTGAACGGGAAGGAAAGCAACGAAGCGCTCATGATTCTTGGAGTCGATCGGCCGGTCGGCGAAGATGTTGCAAAGGCATTGATTGGACCCGAGGGGGTCTTGGAGGCGTCTGTTGTGACACTTTGAGTAGTTATCAGAATTGAAGAAATCCCTAGATACACGACAATTATCCTCTTCGGCAGCGTCCATTGATACTAGCAGCATTCGCTCAGGCGGACTCCTGGTGCAAACATATATGAGTGAGTACCCTACGCTGTCCTGAACTGTAAGTGGGGAATATTCTCCGATTCAGAGGTCTTTGCTAAAAGAGATATAGGCTGACTGCTGTAAGATGCTTATATACGAAGCAATTGCGCAACTTCATATCTGGGCTAGGAATGGAAAATAAAGAATACTTGCCAGTAGATAAAGTAGAGCCTGCTGAACGAAATGTGGGACTTAATCGACGTACAAGCTTCCTGTTCGAGGACGGTAAATTCTTGTGGCATTCGCTGATCGTGTACAGATAGCTAATATCCGCAAAATGTTCATGGTGCGGATATCGGCGCTTTCAGCTGCGGAAGCAAGGATCTCTTCTTTCTGCAAGAGGTCTGTGTTGAGCGAGCCATGCTTCAAAAATACTTCCGTTATGGAGTATCTGTAGTTACGCATGGGGTACGTGAAAGAGATCTACCCGTAGCCGTTCACTCAGCCCAGCGCTGCGCCATGCTATATGAGTAGGACAGGCTCGAGGAGAAGCAAGGAGGGCGGCCGCGTCCAAGGCCGTAAAGTGGCCTGCATTGATGTGCTTCAAATTTGTGCCCGCATGCAGGAGGACTTCTATTGTAGCCTCTGGGGTTGGCCCAAAGTCCAATGCTCGCATGAGCGCGTTGTCGCTTCGGTTGCTGACTGCTTTGGCATCTGCTCCTTGATCAATCAAGAGGTGACAGATGTCGGCAGCCATCAGTGAGTCTACAGCCCACATCAACGCAGTTCGACCGCGGTGACACGTTGCGTGGACGTTAGCTCCGGCATCAAGTACCGGTTTCATCGTCTCCAGCTCAGCGGCCCATACAGCCCAATGAAGCAGTGTGAATCCGTATGAGTCTTCGTGTAAGACGGCTATTGGATACATTCGTAGGTACGCGGCGATCTCAACGTGAGCATTGTTGAGTATGATATGGTGGGCTGGGGACAGGGACAATGTCCCACGCGCCTCGTCGAGCATCGCATTGCCTTTCAGATTTGCAAAAGGTCTTGACACGTGCTCACGGAACAAGCGCAACCAGAAGTGCTCGGCAAGAGTTCTCCCTTGAATCAGCTGGGTACTAACAAGAACAAACAGGCATTACTTACATGCCTTGCATGTCACGGTTAGGAAAGATCAGCACCAGACTCTAGTAGCATAGTACAGATATCCTGGCAGCTCCAAGCAATGGCTAACTATTCATCTTAGCAGCTCCCGCGTCAGTTCAGACCGGCCCACTTACGGCAAGCAATGTCTGATCTTCGTCTTCTGGGCGAAGTACTGAGAAGATCCCAGGCTCTCATCTTGTACTTGTTCATGGTCATCTGCAAATCGATCAATGTACCGAAGCGTATGCTCCACCAAAGCTCTCTTCGAAGGTGTCCAATATCCATGACGCGCGGAATTCTTAGGGTCCAAGTTCCGCAAATACCACGTAAAGAGCGCCAGGATGCTGTTGCGTCTATCACAAACGGGAGAAGCTATGATGGATAGACGAAGCGCCACAGTTTGTGCCCTGCTGTTCTCAGTGCGAGAAATTGCATGAGCGGCGGTTCAGAAGTGGTACGCCAGTAGAATTGAGGAATACAGCGCCAACAATGCCTCGAACCCATCGGGGTGAAGCCTTTTGATACGTTGAATGACAATGACAGGGTTACTGGGCTTGGCAATTGGGTGTGGCAGAGCGCGGTGCTTGCTTTGCTGGACTGTTTGCGGACGAAGTGAACCCCGCGACGTTTACCGTGTCTATTGTTATATGGGTTTGGTCCTCGAACCCGTAGTTGCCAACACGAAGGACGGAGATCCGGGGAATAGCGACATGCAGCCTAGTATTGTTGCGAATCTGCAATGCGGTCAAAGCTGTGTTGATACTGAGCTTGATTGATGCGCGCTCTTGCCATAAAGCGCTCAGTTTGGACTGTGCTTCACCCCAACACGATCTGCACCTTTGCTCTTCGTCGTAGTTTGAGAATTGCTTGGTTGCCAGCTCCGCCAGTTAGTGTCTTCCCGTATATGTATTCATTGAAGACGTTGAGTGCAAGCCCCTCATCAAGTCGCTGAAGTTCTTCTTCCCACATCAATTGAGAAGCATCAAAAATAGAACCTTACGCCTTGGTCATACCAATACTCAAACCTGATCTTCAACTATCGAAATTGCCCTCCAGTTTCTCATGGCTCCAATGCTTGCTGCCGTCGGTGTTAACGTGAAGGATTACCAGCTTCTCGTGGCCCTGAGGGCCCTGCTCGAAGATGCTGTTTGCGACGAAATCGACCATCGAGAAGCGAGGACCAACAATTTGGGTGAACTCAATAACAGGAAGAACGTGTGAGCGTGCCGTGCAGTGGCAAGGAAGATGGTCGTGGGGCTTATCAGATCTCCGAGGCCGTGCTTTCCCCGCAATCACCGAGGAGGCGTGCGAGCACGCCATCTGCACTAAAACAATTTCTGGTTGCATCAACGCGACAAGCCGCGCTTGAAGGTCTATCGCCCGACAGGACATAACAAAGCCGCCAATCATGCTGCCAGCAATCAATCACGTATTCCTAATCCTCCTCGGCTGGACTTCTGCCGATGTCGCTGGGTTTCGGCACGTTCTCGATATAGAGGCGTGGGTTCAGCATTCTTCCTTCACCCACATTTCCCCGTGGTGAAACGTCAAAGAGAGATTGCGCCAGCTTCTCTCATACCATTCGAGGGAGTCTCACAGATCTTTTTGAAGGATCAGTTCGTTGAGGCATTCACATACCCTCAAGATGCATTTCCAGCAGTCTGAGTCCGCTGGCCCGGGCGCTGAGCAGGAGAAGTCGCCCAAGGTGTTCACCAAGCAGTCTTCGAGTCTGCCTTTTGGAGAGCAGTTGTCTCTTGCATCGATCAGCGGGCCTACCTACCTGACTGCCCAGACGCTCATCCAGCAGGTCGCATACGCATTGTCTGACAAGATCTTTGCCTACTCTGCTGAGTCGTTCGATCTCGATGTGGCGCTCAAGAGTTGGCAGGAGCAGGGCGAGAAGAACGCCTTTGGTTACCAGACTGGTGTCTCCTCGCTGGAGACAAGAGCTGGCGCTGGCACGATTGCCCTTGGATATCTCTTCTCGAAGGACTTCGACCTTACCAAGCGTCACATTCCCCAGTCGATCGTCGCCTCTTCCTCGACTCTGAACTACCTCCGCCCAGCTCTCGACCAGCTGTCGCTGCTCTACTCGGTCGCCAACCCCGTCACTGCGCACATTGCTGCCGTCGACTACTCCGCGAACTCGAACGCCGGACTCGTTACTGACTATGTGTCGTCGCTCACTCTTGCTGAGGACCTTGGCCTTGGCCTCGTCTGCAGCCCATCTGTCTTCGAGACCCAGCACATGGCTCTCTTCGCCACCCTTCTCTCAAGTGTCATCCCTACGATCCACACATACGATGGCATTAGCGTTGGTCGCGAGACTGCCAGGCTGGTGGACACTCTGGACCAGAGCAGGCTGCACAACAGCTACCAGGCTGTTCTGAAGGCTGTTTCTGAGGTTGACAAGAAGCACTCGGACAACGCTGGTCGCCTTGTCCGCCTGCTTCAGGCCTTCAACGACGAATTTGGTGAGGACTACAGGTTGTTTGACTACTACGGTCATGAGGAGCCTGAGAGCGTCCTTGTTGTCTTCGGTACTGTCGAGGCTTCCCTGACTGCTCAGGTCGCCAACGCTCTGTCTAAGGATGGCGACAAGGTCGGTGTCATCAACGTCCGCGTCTACAGGCCCTTCGTCGAGGAGGCTTTTCTGGCGGTGCTCCCCAAGAGCGCTCAGCGCGTCGCTGTTCTTGGCCAGGTCAAGGATGAGGCTGCTGTCTTCGATTCCGCAGAGTACTCTCGTCTCTACTCCGACGTTTTGACCGCCACCCAGTTCGCTTTCGACAGGAACATCGAGGTTTTCGACATCAAGTACTCCCGCGAGCAGGTCTGGACCCCCAGCAACGTCCTTGACGTATTCCGTCAGATCTACAGCGAGAAGAAGGCGGGCGAAGAATCGCGCTCCTACGTGGACATTCTCAACACTGCAGACGTCAAGCAGTACACCTTCTGGGACCTTGACGTGTCCCCGGCTGCTACCGCACCAGCGGTCGTTGGCAAGCTTTTGTCCTCCGACTCGTCCAAGAACGTCTTCGTTCGCGAGGGCCACGACAACCTCGTTTGCGGTGGTGTTACCCGTGTCGACATCCGCAACGCCGACTACACCATTGAGGCACCATACGCTGTCGAGCAGGCCGACGTTGCCGCTATCGGCGACATCTCCATCCTCGGCGCTTTTGATGTTCTCAACAGCGTCAAGGCGGACGGCTCCATCATCGTCCAGCTCCCTGGTGTCAAGGACGAGGACCTCGAGAAGAAGCTGTCTCCCGCTTTCCGCAAGGCGTTGGTCGACAAGGACATCTCGCTGTTCATCATGGACCCCACTCAGTCGGAGGCCGTTGCAGAGGAATCGACCCTTACAACCTGCCTTTGCCAGCTGGGTTTCCTAAAGGTAGCGCGCCCTGATCTGCTCAACTCCCACATCTCCAAGTTGGCTGCCATAAACGGCACCGAGCAAATTTGCGAGAAGATCGTCCAGCAGCTAGAGACCGCTCTCCGTGAAGTTGAGGTCCCTGCTGCTTGGGGTACCGTTGAGGAGGACGTTCAGCACATCCATCTGCCCGCAGACATCAACATCAACAGCTTCGCACCCTTTGACCGCACTGAGTCTGAGCCCCCTACCCTGCTCAAGAACTGGCAGATCGCTGCTAAGGGTCTTGCGTTCAAGGAGGCTTACGGCACTCAGACCGTCCTCCGCCCTGAGTTGGGTGTCAAGACCTCAGTTGTCACTGTCAAGGAGAAGCGTCGCCTTACACCACAGAACTACGACCGTAACATCTTCCACATCGAATTCGACCTTGGCGATACCGGTGTCACTTATGCCATCGGTGAGGCTCTCGGTATCCATGCCGAGAACGACAAGAGCGAAGTTGAGGAGTTTATCAAGTGGTACGGTCTTGATCCTGACGAGGTTGTTGAGGTGCCCTCCCGCGAGGACCCCAACGTCCTGGTCAACCGCACTGTCTACCAGTCCCTGCTCCAAAACGTTGACATCTTCGGCCGCCCTGGCAAGAAGTTCTACGAGGACCTCGGCGAGTTCGCCAGCGACGAGCAGGAGAAGCTTGCTCTCCAGACTCTCTGCACTGGTGACGGTGCGTCCGAGTTCAAGCGTCGTGCTGAGGTTGACACCATCACCTATGCCGATCTTCTGCTCGAATACTCGTCTGCTCACCCATCTTTCCATGACATTGTCCGCATTGTCGCCCCCATGAAGCGCCGCGAGTACTCCATCGCCTCCTCGCAGCACGTCACCCCGAACTCCGTTACCCTGTGTATCGTCACTGTCAACTGGGTCGACCCCAAGGGCCGTGACCGCTTCGGTCAAGCTACTCGTTACCTCAACAACCTCCGCGTCGGCAGTCCTGTCACCGTCTCTGTCAAGCCCTCCGTCATGAAGCTCCCACCCAAGACTACCGCACCCATCATCATGGCTGGCCTCGGTACCGGTCTCGCCCCCTTCCGCGCTTTCGTCCAGGAGCGCGCCTACCAGAAGCAGCGCGGCGAGGAGATCGGCGAAGTCCTTCTGTACATGGGATCCCGTCACCAACGCGAAGAGTACCTGTACGGTGAGGAGTGGGAAGCGTACCAGGATGCCGGTATCATCACTTTGCTCGGCCGCGCCTTCTCGCGTGACCAACCGCAAAAGATTTACATCCAGGACCGCATGAGGCAGACCCTCACTGATATCCGTCGCGCATACCTCGAGAAGGAGGGTAGCTTCTACCTTTGCGGTCCTACATGGCCCGTGCCGGATGTCACTGAGGTCCTGCAGGAGGCTGTTGAGGTCGATTACAAGCTGAAGAACCCTGATGCTAGGAAGGTTGACAGCAGGAGGGCGATTGAGACGCTCAAGGATGAGGGCCGTTACGTGCTCGAGGTTTACTAGTTGCGAGCGTTGGACTAACATAGATCGTTTGCCTGTTAGCGGATATCAATTTCTAGATTTTCGATTCTTCGGTTCTCGCCCTTGTCTTGTGCTGCGTGCTAGTCAGTGATGATAACTCGCGTCGCTCCTTCTCGACCTCGACGTGTCAATGGCCCCCACCTGTTTTGGGTTTTAGCGTGCGTGGGATCAAGCTTGGGCAGCAGCTGCACGTCCCTACCTCAACACTCACCAACATCCGCGACCGCGAGATCACAATATCCCGTAAGTGGTGAGCTCTCGGTCACAGATTTTGTTGCATGAAGGAGACGTGATAGTTACGGTTAAAGTTCACTCCACCACCTCTACGCCTCATCGCGAATTCTATCAAGCTGACAGTACTGACTTCGTATTCAATTCCGATTCATCGAGATATGAACGCTCAAGAACCACAGGTCTATCATCAAGCAATGCACACAATCAATCCAGCCAAATGTCGTCGACCGAGCATCCTTAGATCCTTGGGCCCTCGCAGACAAAGTGTCATTGCCATAGGACATCGTCCAGTGATGATCCCAATGAACATCCATACATCAGTCAAATACGCAAAGCAGCAAGTTGACACTTCAAATCAGTAATAATCGATCAGTATGTGCAGAAAAATCGACATTACACACCTATTTCGCTCTCGACTGCTGGTTCAGAGCAGCTCGCTTGGCCTGAAGACGAGCAACCTTCAGTTCAAGCTCCGTGGCACGCAGCTCAGCCTCCAGAGCAACAGCGTTGCTATCCTCACCGAGATCATTTGTAGGACCCTCAACTTCATCAACAGACATCTCACACCCATCGCTGCGGATCTCGAACTCAGGTGACTCTTGCTTGACCTCGGTCTGAGCCATCTGGAAGTTCTGCGTATAGCCATGCGGCTGGAAACCAGGACGACACACGCTGAATGGAGGCTGCTCGAAGCCTGCGTGCATACGCTTGTTACCGCCAAATGGAGAGTCCTGGGTGGGCCTACGGTCGGTACGGTCGGTACGGTCGGTGTCTGGCTGGCTGTGTGCAGGGGTCATGGCATGATGAGGACGAGGGTACTGACCCATACTGTTGAAGCCTTGGGGCTGAGAAGGGTAGCGACCATCACTGTCGGGAGGTGGAACGTAACCACCATAGCCACCATACATCCTGTACCCGTCGTAACCTCCATATCCGTCAGGACCACTACCGTAGGGCATTGGTCGACCCCAGCGATCCACGGGTGGGCCATAAGGGTAAGGCTGGCTGTAGCCTTGTTGACTCTTCTCGTTGCGAGAAGGCGGCTGCGGCCTTAACGGCAGCTCACAAGCGCCCTTGGAGCTCTTCTCCTGCTTGACCTTGTGCTGCTTTGGTGGCGAACTAAGCATAGGATTAGGGTACTGAGGTGCGTTGGTGTAGCCGCTTGTATGGAGATATTGACCAGTCAACCCACCTTGGCCCATCTCTTCGTCGCTATCGTCTTCGCCATCGACATGCTCGTCGTCTTGGTCGTTGATGTTGCCACCCTCGACGTCGTCCTCATCGTCACTGCCGTCCTCTTCGCCGGACTCCGCTTCAAGGATGTGGTCGATGTCCTCATCGGTGTCATGTTGACTCTGGCGGTTCACAAGAAGATGCTTGTAGCGAATTCCGAAACTGTATGAGACATCCCAGTCCTTAACGAGCATGTCTTCAAGGACATCGAAGTCGGTCGTCACCAGCTGAGGCTTGCGATTGCCTGCACACGAACGTTAGCAAAACTCTTCTTACACCATCGCCAACAGTAAAGGACGTACCAGTGTTCTTGATACGGTAGCGAACGACATCGTTCATCGCCTTCTTCAGCCACGCCTTGTTCCGAGTGAGCTTGGCGATCATGAGGATAGCCTTCAGCACCGAAGGCAGCCACTTCTTCGGATCGGTCTCATGGTCGCGATACATGGCGCGCTTGCCACCCTTACCACGCTTGACCAAAGGGCGGTGGCACTTCGGAATGTACGCTTTGATGAAGCCCTTACCCCAATACTTCTCGATCTCGCGGATGACCTCCATCTTGGCCACCATATCGTTCTTCATGATCGGCTTACTGGCCCATGGACGCGGACCGGGCTTCTTCGGGGCTTTGCCAGATGACTTTGCTGCTGCCTTGGGTGGCTTGAGGAGTGTAGCCTGGTGGGCGGCGCGGCGCTGATCGAGCAGGGAGGTGTCGTTGATGTCGCACATGGGGTCTCGAAGTTGGCGGCGGTCGTGGAGGTCATGGCTGTTTTCGCGCTCTCGGTTTGGTTCTCGCAGAGGGCGCTGTTGGCGGAGCGGAACGTCGTCGCTGCTTGACTCGCAGTCAACTTGGTGCTCCTGGGACTGCATCACAGGTGTGAGCTCCTCGCCGTCGGTCTTTTGCGGGCTATACTCCCGGATGGGAGGGGAGGATCCGTGGTCCATGTCGGCCTGTTACAGTTTGTTAGCGGACAAAGGCAATGTGGGCATAAGAGACTCGCCTCTTCAATGTGGCTTTGCTTGGTAGGTCCCAGGCTGTAGCTGAAGAACGAGTATGTGTCGGCGGAAGCACGCAACGGGCCTTGCTGCTCGGCCGGGGGTGTGGTCGTCCGCTCCAGCTTGCTGGCGGGGCACCGTTGTATATTCAGTGAAGTTGTCAGAGGAGATTTGTTGTCTATATCGCTCAGGTCAGGGCTGGAGAAGCGCTCGAGGCGCTCTAGAGAGGGACAGATTACGAGTACAAGGCCTTGTGTGAACCTACCAGCCTTGCAGGGTTGAGTGCTTACTGTTGCAATGCTTTGAAAGAGTCGAGAGGTCCCACGATGAGTAACGCAATCAGAGCGTTGGAGTTGAGAATGTTGCTGTCGGCGATCGAGAAGAAGGGAAGTAATACTCTCTGGGGTCTTCTTTATATGCACTGCGAGATTGACCCTCTCCACCGCCTATTGGTCGCCGCCTGGCTGACAAGAGGACTGCAGGGTAAAGGTAGGTGATCAACGCCTGGCGCGTCGATAGAGCTTAGGGCCGGATCTTAGTACTGCCAGCCAGACTTGACTGGACAATAGACTCTGAGAATCGGCCTTCACCAAGGACTGGACAGTAACGGCACGACCGCTCATTCAGGAGGGGTTGCTTGCAGGGTCATGAGTCGCTGTAATCAATTTTGTATTTGACTTATTCAAGACACACCTGGGTAGCACTGATGTGGTCCGAACCAGAAAGCATCACAAGTCACGAATGGCTGTTACGAGAGAATCGGCCCACGAAGCCGCAAGATCGGCTGGCGACCAATAGCTCCCACTTTTTGCAAGGGTAGGAGCAATTCTTGACCCTCTACCCAGTCAGTTCATACCAGCAACTGCCGTACGGAACACCTTACGATACCATATCTCTCTAGAAGTATCAGCACTATTAAGGTGTTACAAGTTTTCTGCAACTTGCGAATGTTATTAAGTTCAAAGGCAATAGCACAGTCGTTAAACGGCATGTCAGAGTTCGAATCACGGAGGGAAGTACCATATGATCTTAGAAGGTTAACACAAAGAATCATTTCGGCTCTATATAAACTTAAGTCATTCCCAATGTCCACTCAGCACCTGTCAATATCCGTTACCCCTCCCTCATCGCTGTCTCTTCCTGGTACACGACCTTCACTCGCCTATTCCTCCTTCACAACCCCCATCTACGGTATAGACGCCATACCATCTCTGTCTTGATCCACACCGCGCCTGTAGAGATCTCCAGACATAAAGCACTCGCTGTACCGTCTCGTCCATCGCCGCTCAATGCTCCGATCTGCGCCGGCTATGAAGTGGAGCGTGGTGGTGCTGGGTGCGCTGAGGTTGGAGGTAGAGCGCTGTGCTGGCGCCGATGGTGGCGCCAAGGAGTGGAGTTGACGTGTCACTCACATTAACAGAGGGTGGTGATGCTGCTTCTGAAGGTTTATTAGGTGGTAGGGAATGTGACTTTGATCTGGATCTCATGCGCCGATCAAGGTAATTGCAGAGCATAGCGTACAGAATGGGAATTATACAAGAGACACACGGCATGAACAAAGAAGCAAGCGTCTCGTGCAAAAGCTGGATTGTTTGATTGCTTGCTGGGTGCATATACCCGTTACACTCCTCCTGATTGCGCCGATCTACTAGCCTATTTTGGAAGCCGAATCGCCTCCGTCCATCAAATTGTCCGAAGAAAAGTGCACGCTTCTAGCTCGTGGCCCCAGAAAATACCTAGTCTGCACCACAGCGTCAGCACAAAACCTCACCACGAAAGCTCGATACCCTTACTACGATGAACATTCCCCACGCCAAAAACAGCAGAAACGTCGACTCTGTGCAGGGTCTGAAGATGAGCACACGCTTATGGGGATACTGACGGAGCTGATATAGAATAAGGAACGTCGTGAGGAAGTGCACCAGTAAGATGTAGAGAACGAAAGCTTCTTAAAGTAATAGCTAGGCCTCGTCTTCTGATGAGAAGAAGCGGAAGGAGCAGGGCACTGGGGAGTAGGCGCTTTCGAGAGAAGCTAATGTTTTCGCGAAATTTGAGAAGGAGACAACGAGGTTGGTCAGGGAAATCTCCATGGTGGACAACATGCTAGCGAAGCAGGCGCCCATCTTTGGGGGTTTGCGCTCGGTGTTGAACAGTTGTTTTCATCTTTGTGTACCTGTGTCGCTACCAAATATCCTTGTCACCCTGACCTATGGTGATGTTTTAGTACCATCAGTTCAAGCGACTCCAACATCCCTTCTTCGCTTGTTTTCATTCGTGATATCTTGATTGTACCACGCCAGACACACAACAAGCGTAATGGCCATGTAGTGGGTGCCATCCGTATGGCTTACACAGAGCTTTCTACAACAGAATCTTTCCCTCGGTTAACCGCGTGTCTCGTCATGAGTACGTATGCTCTGGATCCGTCCTGAAAGACCGCTCTCACCGCACCTCAGAAAGCTCAGCGACGCGCCTAGGACTCCTCGATGTACCGTCACGTTCACCAAGTTGTGGTAGAATGGCATACTTTGACACCATCTGAACGATTCTACAATGCCCAGAGGACATCCACAGATGGCTGCTTGGCGCCATCACGGTGCTCAGCGAATTTGAATGATTCGTCGCACGTTTCATTCTTAACACTACCGGCTGTAATCTGTCTGATGTTTCAAGATGAAATCACTGATCATATCTAGTTTGCTTCTCCTAGCGGGCTTCAGCACGCTCGCAGGCGCAACAGAAGTATCAAGCATAGCCGGCCTAACAACAGCAGCTGCCATAATAGATAATACAGCTGCCAACACCGAAGCAATTTATGCTATCAACGAGAATGACGTTGCACAAGACCTGCTACAGATGGGCTCCATGCCCCCCGGCGAATCCCCAAGACACCGACAAGAAAAAGCCCACCTGCTGAAGCGAATGGACCGCAAAACTGGAAAATGGGGAACAATCCACCCGCGGTATCGACTCCTCGAAGCTCTCTACGGCTTCACAAAGTACAGAGAGCGCAACATGGCGGAGCTGGACAGATGGCGATCGATGTACGGGAATGTCGTTAAGGCGCAGAAAAAGGCAAGCTTCACAGAAACGTCTTGAGATGCTGTGCTGACGCCGCAATAGACGCTGGAAAAAGCAGTCAACTACAAGAAAAAGCTAAACGACATCGAGGAACTAATTTACGAGAATGAGATCCTCTGCAAAGCCATCGTTTCCAATGCCATGTCCTTCTACGGCATCTCCCAGTCCGATTTAGACTCGCACATCGCCGAAGCAAAAAAAGCCGGCAGGCTCGCAGACCGCATCAGCCCCAGCCAGACGTTGAAACACTTCGTGCGCGACTGGGCGGACGAAGGGAGTAAAGAGCGCGACGATGCGTTTCCGTGCATACTCAGTACCCTCACCAGCCTCAAAGAAAACTCCTCCGCGGATATGCCGCTCAAGATCCTGCTTCCAGGCTCCGGCGTCGGGCGTCTAGGCACCGAAGTCGCCTCTCTCGGCTCCTTCGAAGTGACTCTCAATGAATGGTCAATGTACATGAACATTGGATACCGCTACATCACCTCGCTCAACCCCTCTTCCCCACTTACTATGCACCCGTTCATTGACGGCCTGTCGCACCACGCCACCACGAATGACCTGCTACGACAAATCACAGCGCCCAATGTGTCACCGAACCTAAATGTTTTATTGATCGAGGGCGATTTCACGACTGCGTTCAATGGCCAAGGGGAACATTTTGATATAATCGTAACCCATTTCTTCATCGACACAGCGCGCAACCCAATGTCCTACTTCGACACAATCCACAAGCTACTCAAGCCGGGCGGGAAATGGATGAACCTCGGCCCCTTGCTGTACGGTACCGGGCCATTTGTGCAGCTCAGTTTGGACGAGGTTGTGGCTGTGGTGGAGGAGATGGGGTTCGAGTTTGAGGATATTGGGAATGAGTGTGGGGCGCTGACATTTCCGGACAAGAAGGTGCGATGGACGGAGGCGGAGTATGGATTTAACGGGAAAGCGTTGACGAAGAATGCGTATAAAGCGCAGGTGTGGGTTGCACGGAAGCTGTGAGAACACTTCACAAACTCATAGGCACACGTCAACAGTCGAAGTGGAATGGTGAAGATCCCCTACTGGGGGTTTTTTAAGTTGGTACTTTGCCTAACCAACTAACAGATATCGAGTTGCTCACAAGCTCCGATGCTCCCTCTTCTCAGTGCCGACCTCCTTACTCTCACTTCGCTTGCTACCCACGCTTCCAGTTTCAAGCACACCAATATCAGGCTGGGTACCCTCAGCATGCTCCCAGCCCTCCTTCGCTATCCTCCTTGACCTTTTCACAACATCGCCTTCGTAGAACAGCCAATCCACTTCTTCGAGCGTAAGATTCGCAGTCTCCGGATAGCAGAAGTACACGAGCGGAACGAACGAGAAGTTCAGACACATGAAGATGAGGTAACCTTTCCAGGCGAGCGAGTTGAGGAGCGTGGGGGTAATCATGACGACAAAGAAGTTCCACAACCAGTTGGCGGAGATACCGACGGCGGTGCCTTTGGCGCGAACATGCAGGGGCAGGATTTCGGGGACATAGACCCAGGGGATGCAGTTCATGCTTGCGCCGAAGGAGAGCATGTACTACTTTTGTCAGCTTGCGCCCGGATACAGATAGGGGTTCTCAGGCTCACAGTGAAGAAAAATGCAACGCTTGCGGAGGCTGTAGCCTTCGCAATCGGATCATCTTGACCTCGCATTTGGAACGACAGAAGGACGGCGATCATCAACATGCTGAATCCGCAGCCGAAAGAGCCCCACATCATGGGTTTGCGACGGCCGGTCTTGTCGAGCGTGAATGTCGGGTACAGTGAGCCGAAGAAGAACATCATCTGCTTGTGTTAGAACAAGACCTATTGCAAACGCTGACTGGATAGTATACTTACATTGATGACACCACCTAACAGAAGGGAGAGGTTGCGGGTAAGACCGACGTTGAGTTGCAAGACGGATGTGATGTAATACACTACCAACTGCTTGGATTAGCACAATCCCAATCGTAAATGATGGCTGAGTAATTCGCTTACATTGATACCACCCATCTGGTTCATGAACTGTGCGCCGTAGGCGAGGAGTACGCGGCGGCCAGTCTGGACCTTATCGTGCTTGAGTAGTTGGGACCACTTGTATTCGCCCGTCTCTTCTTCGATCTTCAAGGCCTCAAGCACCTCGCGGTTCTCCTTGGCGATCCTTTCATCCTCGGGCGTGCCGTCATACACGTCGCACAGGATCTGAAGGGCTTCTTCGTGGCGGCCGTGCTTGTAGAGGTAGCGAGGCGATTCAGGGAGGCCGAAGACAAGAACGATGACAACCTGTTTCGGATTAGCTCTCATACTCAAGATGAACATGAACGGGGTGGGAAAGGGCAAGACGTACGAATGCAAAGATCATCTGGCACGCAATGGGTAAGCGCCATGCGATGGAGCCAGGAACAAACGACATGCCGTAGTCAAACCAGTACGCGATCACAATACCGACTCCAACGAAGAGTGGCTCTGATGCGACGAGGCGACCGCGCTTGTTGGCTTCGCAGAGCTCGGACTGGTACATTGGGACGGTGGAGGTTTCGATACCTGTTCCGATGCCGGTGAGGAAACGCGCTATCATGATGTGTGGGACGGAATACGCGGTTGTTTGGAGGACCGCGCCGACCTGTACAGGTTAGTGTTCCAGTACAAGTCTGTTGCCGGTGTACTGACAATGATCCACACCATGGCGATCCACATAGCCAATTTCCTGCCTGTTGTTTCCGCGTACATGAATGTAAGGATACATCCAGTGAAGCAGCCCAGGTTGTAGATAGAGACAATAATGCCCTCGAGCGCTGGGCTGGGGTGATCGAAGGTGTTCAAGAAATCCGCATTTCCAACGATTCCACTGAATACACCCTGGTCGTAACCAAACAGCACGAATGCCATTTGACATGCAATTGTGATCGCAGCCCGGAGCCTAAAACCCCTTCCATACCAGTTGAAGTATGGTGTTCTGATCATGATGGTGGTGAGCGCGACAAGCAGCGGCAAGCGTGCAAAGAGGTCGAAGAACCGCACGACCGAAAGTCAAGGTGCACGACAGTCAAGTCTTGATGGGTCTCCTTGGGATCAGCTTGCGGTTATATGAAGAGTATGAGCGCATGCAACACCGTTATCCGAGCGCGCGTTCCGACCAAGATTATCCCGTGTTGCCAACCATGAGAGCCCATCCACGTGCATCATTCGGTACAAAGCCGCCGCAAACTGCAGTCCTTACCACTCAGGCCACGCAGGACTAAACCCCGTTGGCGCGATGAAGCCTTACTAGTGCATGCCTAGCTATGGATCCAAGGACTTGGTCGTCGGACATAAACGTCTGGGGATTGTGGAGTGGCTTGCGGGGAAGTACGATGACGTCGCAGGGGTGCGTGGGTGCTCAGGCTTACCCGAAGAAGACAACCCGGTGGCTGGGAGAAGCGCACGTTGAGAATTCGGCACGTTGCCGAAGGCAAAGTCAAAGGTCGGCCTAGTGCCGATCGTGAGATGATAGCGTGATGTCCGCATGTGGTAGTAGTAGGCACCTTGCCTTGCTGTGGAAGTCAGCATGTCGATCGCTTCACAGTTGTGTGTGCCCATGCAGGCTTGAGCCTCGTTGAGTCGTGAGAAGGTAGTAAAGTCTATTCAAACTGTTGCGAAGCCGTCCATCGCCGTATGTATTGGTGCATGCTTTGGGCCTGAGCCCTCACCATCTTTTGTACTCTCACTGAACTCAACCTCCTGTAACTAAATCTTTGCACTACCAGAGGAGCAGTAGCTCCTCTTGTCTTCCATAGTCTCAGACTCACATAGGACGTTGAACCAATCAATCAATGGAATCAATCAATCGGTGCATGCTGTGTGTTTGGGTATACTTGCGAGACACGAAAGACTCTCCCAACGCCGGACATGCAGAACGCTACAAATTGCTGAAATGAGATGCTGAAAATCGTCGTAAGAAGCAACGAATCTAGAACGCCTGGTGGTCATGCAGCCTGAAAGGAAATTGATTTCCATCATGCTGCATGCCGTGTTGCAACTACAAGTTGCCGATGACCACCATGAACCTCAATTTGCCATCACCCTTCTTGACTGGCATCGACCCTGACACAGGCAGTGAGTCGTCTGCGGCGCCGTTGATGATGACCTCGTCAAGCATCAGTGTGCTACTCTTCCAGCCCCAGCTCTGACTGAAATTGAACTTGTCAGGCGCGCTTTCGTAGATGCTAAGCATACGACCGCCCTTCGAGGGACTGTAGATTTTGAAATAAGTCTTGATGGTGGGTCGACCATCCACATACGGCGGCAGAGTCGGCATGCTTAGACGCGTTCTGCGCGCGAGAGGAGTGAGTGACGGGTTCATGTAAGCCGAGTCTAATTCATCTTCTTCGTCTGAATCGTCAGAGTCGTGATGTGAGTGACCCAGAGCTGATGATATGGGTGTTGAGTCGAGGGCTCCAGTGTTTGGCGGCGATGTTGCTAGCGTGTGCATCCCACGACTGGAGAGTCGAGCGATGGGGACGCTCCGACGCCGACCCAGACTGCTGCTAGAGAAGAGAGGGTTTCGAGAACCTGTCGAGACGAGTGTCGATTCTGGGTCGCCTCCACTGCCACTTGTATCATCGTCACCCGTGTTGTCCTGCATGACGACTCGAGTGCTGCGTCGACGCTCCCGTCGTTCACTACGCATAAGCATCTCACGTTCAAGTTGACCAATACGGGAGTCGACTGTAGCGTTATTCTGCTGACTTACGCCGCTGTCTTGGGCGCTCTCATCTACCTCACGCTCTTTAGCACGGTGCAGGTAGACACCAAGCTGAACGTTCTTGGCTGAGCGCACCTTCTGGATGTAGATGTTCCATAGTGAACCAGCGTAGGACACGGTCCTTGAATAGACTCGCTTCTTCTCCTTAAGGAAACGAGGGTTTGGGAACTCGGCTGCGAAGCGGAAAGGAGGAAACTCGCTGAACGCCAGTGACTTGGGCTGACCAGCGTTGCTTCCACCTGCAGAGACAGGTCTCTGTGGGTAGTCGCGGGTGTTGGGGTTGGCCAGGGTGGATGGCGTGGAGGCAAAGTCGGTCGCCCACTGTGCATCTTCTGGCTGAATTGTAGCGGAGAGGCGAGTCGCATGGCGCTGGAATGTGTTCGACGTTGTCACGACAGGGTCTGCGCCATTGCCGAGAACAATGTTGCAGTCTGAGCTGGGAATCCAAAACTTGCGGGGCTTGCCATTGCCATCCCAGCTCTCAGACTCCATCTCAGGTTCCTCATCCAGCTTGCTTGCTTTTTGTTTGCCTTTTGATACGGATGCATCTTCAACCTTCGACAAGTCGTCAGCCGTCTCTGGCTCTTGTGGTGCTTGGCGTAGTCCGAGCTCCAGCGCTGACTCGTCTGCGTTGAGTACCGTCTGGCGGAGAGCAAGCTGCTGCCACAATGCGTTCGAAATGACTCTTTCAGGCATGACTGGCAGACCAAAGGCATCGCGAGCCGTGCGAATGAACTCAAGTTGCTCATATTCCATATGGATGTAGTGTATACCCTCGTCAAGCAGGACCAGAAGGCGCTCAACGTCAGGGTTCGTGTACACCGTGAGCCACTCTGCCTGTGCATCCGAGGCAAATGCTTGCGTTGCTGTTAGAGCATTCTGACGGTAGACACCATCGAAGCGTACTGCCATGAAACGCATAGACTGTGGAGCCTTGGGTATGGGCTTTTGTCCACGCTTCATCAGGCCAGCTTCAACAGCAACCTGTCTGAGACGGCGATCGAGGAGGCGCTTGGCCAGCACCCATCTGTCCCACTCGCTGTCCACGAAGAAGCCATCTGAGCCCACGAGTTCGCGGATGATGTCTCCAGGCATCTCGTCCCAGTTCTTGAGTGCCATCTCCCAGCCGTTCCTGCTAAGCATTGCCTTGGCTGACTCGAGGAGACGCTCTCCAGAGCGGCCATAGTAGTTAACTGTGACCAGTCGTATGAGAGGCGCAAGAGTCTCAGGTGCCATTTGGCGTAAGATGGACTCGATGGCTGAGTCGATGAGGTTCTGCATCTCCAGCCAGCATCCTGTTGCAAAGAGACCGACAGCTTCTGCGTCAATCTCTTTGGAGATATCTACGCCGTAAATCTTGCGGATAGCCAGCTCGAATGCTGCTTGTGTGATGCTATGGTCGATCTCTTCCGGATGTAGCGTCACCTCTTTGGATTGACTCTCGACCCAAGGTTCAGAGAGGGCGGTGGCGAAGAACGGAGCTCGATCGAGTAGCAGGCGGTGCAGGTTGTATCGTTTGCCGAACGCAATGATGCAAATGTCTGAGTGTCGCCCTTCCAGCAGACCGCGAGTGTAGAGGTGGTCAGGTAGGGGGACCGCGTCGTTTGACGCTATGCAGTGTTAGTGTACGACACTTGGACAGCACTGTACGCAGGCAGACAGACCTCGTAGATATAACGGACCGGTAGCTTGGTTGTATGAGGGCGCTCGACTGTTCGACATGCTGGGGCCATCGGCGAAGAGTCGACTGAGCGTAGAGACGGCAGCGTATTCGTTCCCCATAAGATCGATAGTGGTCCGCTTCTTGCCGGGTGTGTCGAGGGCTGTAGTCGGATCATCGCCGCTCTTTTGGACGCTCGGTATCTGCGTCTGGAGTTGCACAATCGGCGTGTGGTCGTCGGCCAGTTTGAGCCTTGATGTGCGCTTCGTCATGTTGGCAGCAGCTGCGAGTGAAGACAGCGTACGAGAGGGACCTGCGGGACTCGGGCTGCCCTCATGTGCCCGGGGATACCCGGGTCCAGCGTCGGAGGAGGCTGTGGGAGACATGGCAGGTACGCCTGGCGAGAAAAGGCTCACGTGCGGTGGGCGTGCGATAGCAGCATTACCGGCTGCCTGTCCTGCAGAGAGCGGCCATGTCTCGTCACCATTATGCCCGCCCTGCTCGCTGACCTGGCGCAGGCGACGCTCATGATCGTCGTCATCGGCCTCATGCCCCGCAGAGGTATCGTCGGTGAAGTGCATGCTGGAGATGTCACTTGGAACACGAACTGGTGGAGGGCCGAGTGGGGTTATCTATGGCAAAAGCTTCCGTGGCGGCGATGACGGAGGCATGCATAAACACACGCGCACACTCATGAGGCAGACAGTACCCCTCACTATGTACAGAAGAGAGAGGCGAGCGAGAAGCAGGACTCTTACTGCAGCACAAGCACGTCACGCAGCCAGTCCAGCTGGTACAGAGCCCTCTTAGATAGTGATCTTCATCGAGTCCTCGTGCTCGAGCGTCGCTTCTTTCCGCCGCCTGTCAAGGTCGCGCCTGCCACGCCATGTGGGGCTCATAGTGGGGGCAGGCGCGATGCAGGGTCCTCGCAGCGCTCCTTCCTCCCTGCGACCATAGCGCCGAGGCCATCGAACCACCGGCGATAGAAATGTCATAGATTCCAATATTCGACATCGAACGGCCGCTGAGCCATTGCTCTTCGCCTACACCTGCCGCCATGGCATCCATATTCCAGGCGTGGCCGCAGTTGCGGACGGCTGCCCCGCGACTCTCGAAACGACTCTTCATCGCCAAGCCGTGCATCAACTCGCCTATTCGTCCCGCCGTGCCCGTCTCGCGATGCGCTGCACCCCGGCCTTCCGTCTTGCAGACAGTGCGCTGGAAGTCGACACAGCCGCTGCGGAATAGCGCAACAAGTGAAGCAGCAGGGAGGGCTGCGATTGTGGAGGCTGCAGCGACGAGTGAGACCAAGAGCGAGGCCAAAGCGAGCAGCTTTCCCAAGACAACACCGAAGAGCGTGGCATACTGGCTACTGGGAAGCGCAGCAAGCGTCTTTGGCATTGTCATCTTTGGAGGCCTTACGCGACTCACAGAGTCTGGATTGAGTATTACCGAATGGAAGCCTGTCACTGGTTCACTGTGGCCCGGAAGCCCGGAAGCTTGGGAAGAGGAGTACACCAAGTACAAGTCGTCGCCTGAGTTTGCCATGCTCAACTCCAGCATGACCCTGTCCGAGTTCAAGCAGATCTACTTCATGGAATGGGCCCACCGCCTATGGGGTCGTGTCATTGGTGTTACCTTCCTCCTACCCACCGTTTACTTCATCGCCCGCAAACGAGTCAACCCCTCGATGGCTTTCAAGCTCGTTGGTATCTGTGGTATGATCGGCTTCCAAGGCGTCATCGGCTGGTGGATGGTCAAGAGTGGTCTCAAGGATGACCTGTTCGAGCCTGGTAGCCACCCTCGTGTCAGTCAGTACCGCCTGACTGCCCATCTTGGCGCTGCGTTCCTCGTCTACTGCTCCATGGTCCTCACCGGTCTCAACGTTCTCAAGGAGCATCGTATGCTTGCCAACCCCACGGCAGCTGCTGAGTCTATCAAGGCTCTGCAGTCGCCCGTACTTAAAGTCTTCCGCCGCTCTGTCGTTGGTCTCGCCCTCCTCGTCTTCGTCACAGCCATGTCTGGTGCTCTCGTCGCTGGTCTCGATGCTGGTCTGATCTACAACGAGTTTCCCTGGATGGGTCTCGGCCTCACACCGCCTAGGAAGGAGCTCTTCGACCCATGGTACAGTCACGCCCCTGACCAGTCTGACCTCTACTGGCGCAATGCTCTCGAGAACCCTTCGCTCGTGCAGCTTGATCACCGTATCCTGGCTACTACTACTTTCACGGCCATCATGGCACTCATGGCATACACCCGCTTGTCCAAGGGTGTCCGCAGCACCATCCCCAAAGATGCTAAGAAGGGTGTGCTTGGCATGGTGCATCTCGTAACTCTGCAGGTCACTCTCGGCATCAGCACGCTCATCTACATGGTTCCTACATGGCTGGCGTCTGCCCACCAGGCTGGTGCTTTGGCACTGCTTACTGGCGCCGTTGTCCTGTACAGCAGGATTTCGATGCCCCGCCGCGCCATCCTGAACCAGGTCATGAGGCAGGGCGTTCCGAAGACCCATGCTGTGCCGCACATTAACGCTCGTTTGGAAGCTGCAAAGACGGCTGAGAAGAGTTTGTAAGAATATCCATGTCACGATCTCCTATCATATACTGTACTTTTATGTACCTAGCATTGGGCGGCGAACAAGAACCTCATTGTACGTATACCATCTGCAGCTTATCAGAGCCGCAACTATAGAATTGCATCTATTTCCTCTCCATGATTGCTTGAGTTCTTGAGATCCTTGCGTCGTCATCTTTGCTAAACAAAGGTTTGGCACATAGGTATCGGTAAGCTGGTGCGCTAACGATTTGCGTGTTGGGGACGCGGCTTCCGCAAGCGCGCGACTAGTCTTCTACATCAAACATAACGTATGTCACCGATCAAATTGCCCTTTGCCACAGAGCCTTGCGTCGTCAACAGATCGAAATATACTTTGAAATGATCCTAAGCAGACGCCGCTGGGAGTTCTAGCCGGCCATCATCTCTCCTTGCGCTGGTTGGGCGCGAATGAACTCAACGCAGCGGGTTGCTAATTTCCAAATCCACGATGACTCTTCCAAATATTGTTGATGAGATGCTCGTGCTTCTGTTGAGGTTGCTGGACTCCGCGAATCACGCTGCAGATTGCGTGCGGAGCTGCCGCAGGTCATGCAGTGCACTCAGCCTCCTCAGTTGGAACCTTAATTGAACCTGCTCAACATCTCGAAGACACGACGCTCAGCCTCGCTCTTTCGTTGCTCTCCGTTCTAACCACTTCTTCCAGCCAGCATGGATACTGCAAAACCTAGTATAGACGATGCGACGGCTTCGACTTCGACATGGCCAGCTTGCAGTTTGACACAGCCGGCCTGGTCTTAATGCTCAAGGGTCTGATCGATCCTAGTCTCCCGATAAAAGTATAGTTTCAACGGTACCTGAGGGCATGTCTGCGGTTCTACGCGCTCCATATCCACGGCGCAACGAGTAGGAAGAACCCAGGGCCAGGACCAGGTCCGACAGTTCCGCGGTCCTGGCATCGTACCTCGCGGATCTTAGCGCCAGAAAGGAATCGATCAGTGGAGTATCACAGACGCAGACAGACTTTGCTAAGGTCCAGGTTGAGATGAGTGCTGGCCTCTCGGCAGCTTGGTGCGAGAATCCAAGGCTTTACTACATCTAACATGGACTCCGATGTTCCGCAACCATATCCGACAGATTCCTCAAAGCAGGCCTTGTGGCTCCCTCTTTCCTAAACGGGACGTCAATCGGTTGCTAGACACTTGATTACAAGCTTAGAAGGGAATCAACAGCCATGCGTCGAGTAAATCATAACCACTGTGAGGAGCTGGTCGCTTCTGGTACCGACAGAGACTCGTTCACGCTGTTCAGCTCTCCGGTTGCCGATATGGACTTGTCCAAACATCTCGCCCTGGATCTAAGCACAATAAGAAGGGAGACCTTTTGTGGAGCAGTTGGATATGTTATTCCAGCGCTCCTCTACTAGAGAATTCTTGTCTCGCTGGAAGTCAATGTCTACCCCACGAGAGTTGCACACATGGATTGCAAAGTGCTGTTGGCGGACGATCAGCTACACTCCCCCTGCTGACCGCAAAGATTTGTACCCCCAACATGCTCTTGGCCTCAATCCATACCTTGCATACACGTTCTTCAATCTAGATCTCGATATCGTAGACCAATGTGGAAACGACGTCGAAATTACCCGCTTCTCAGCAGCAGTCCGAGATCGTATTGACTATCTGCGGAGAGAACGGAGTCGTGTGCAAAAACGGCTGTTACTACGGAAATATGTGGTGTCTCACCAAGATCTCGTTAAATCGGTGCGAATCTGCCGCCTTGGAGTGACCTGGGTACATATCGATACCCTCACGACGCATCTGAAGAACGCCGTCAGCCCGTACAGCACAAAGTGCAGTACACGATTGCAGCGTTCAGCTTGGAGAAACAGCTAGAATATGGCGAGCTCTTCTTGGCTATCAGACTCGATCCCTAGGAGCATGACACGCAGGCTGGGGCTTCTCAAAGTTAGAGGCATCATGAGCAGAGAACAAGTAACGTGGAGTCTCGGTGTGAACTTGCTTATCAGCATTAGCAGCTGAACTTCGCAGACGTCTGGTTGCATGACAGCTTGATATCTAGCTTTGCATTCGTCTGCGGAGGCTTTTCGATGAGGTGTGGTAGGAAGTGCATGAAGTAATCAGTTTCGTGTTGGCCTCGGATGCGATCCGTAGTTCAGCTCCCGAGATCGAGACGCCACCAACGAATGCCAACCAAGTTTCGAAAGATTTCCCTAGTCATGTTCCATGGTTGACTTGACAGCTGTAGCGCCGGAACATGCAGGTACCTGGCCCCTAAGGTGGCTTCAACCTCCCAATGGTAACAGCAAGGAACCAGCCGCTGTTGCTCAGTTTGCTTTGATATGATGAGTGTAGAGGTGTTGCGCCTTGAATAAATTAGCACACCCAAGTCAAGCTTGGGTGTCAAAATCATAACCTCACACTTGGTGCTATGTCGCTCGTTCTCGTACCGCAGGCCTGGTTAGCGGACAGCAGGATCCCAAGCATTTCGTGCATCTCGTGACGATACGGCAACACGATCTTGCCAATCGTCACGGTAACTTGAAAGCTGAAGTTTCCTCCGCGGCTTCCAACTGCCTTCCCTCGCCACCCAGGCCAAAACGAGTAAACTTCCTCACACAAGAATCGTGGAGTAGCATGCAACTGTAACGTTTTGGTACGTTGATCTGCACGAGTTGGTGTGCTGGTGGGCAAACAAAACAATGTGTTTTGGGTGATGACATCACACAGATGCTAGCGCGAAGTGAACCCTGAAAGATCGACGCCTCCCCCGTCGGACTCAAGCTCGCGATGGCTGATAACCTTGCTGGGAATCTCTTGAAACGTGTTGGTCGAGACTGGCGTCACAGCCTTTGAAAATTTATATATACTGACCTACGCTTCCCTGCCAACGAGCCCCGCAACTGCCTCAACATAGCTAGCTACCCCTAGCTCTGAATACACCGCACTTCACCCCTCCTCCACGCGCCAGATCACGACATACCTTACCGCTTTGCCAGGAAGCAACATAAACCGACAACATGAGCGCCCCGCAATCTGCCACCAGCGAGCTGCCTACGCGCTCGTTCACCAACGCATCGGACGCTGAGGCTGTCCCCGGAGAGGACACCTCAGAGGTCAGGAGAGCCAGCTTGTAAAACTGGCGACACTGCTGACCTGGGCTACAGGTCACAAGGCTCTTTGCTGAGCGCCTGCAGGCGTGGAAGCATGCCACCTCATACCTCGAAGACTACGTCACAGCGACCGAGAAGACGCACCATGCACACGGAAAGGAGTACGAGAGGATCCTGAAGGTACGCAACAATGAGGAAGTAGTCAGGACGTCATGCTGACTCTGCGACAGACTGTCAAGGACCCCTTGAAGCAAGGACACCACTTTGACCAGTCGCTGGGCGGAATCGCAGGCATGTTTGAGAACATCAGGTCCAACACACAGGTGAGAAAGAGCCCACGCATGGCACTTCGCGCATATCCTAACAGCGACTGCAGGGAATGTCCAACCAGCACTATGAGACGGAGAAGCAGCTCAAGGCTGTCATCCTGCCCATCTTCGACCGCCTCCACACCGAGATCAAGAACAAGAGCAAGGAGCTCACAAAGGGTGCTGGAAAGGGAAGCAAGCAGGTTGACAAGGCGCGCGCCAGCACACAGAAGCACATTGAGCTGCTCGGACAGCACACAGCCACGTTCGAGTCGCACGGCGGCAAGATGACCGCGACAGACGACCCATACATCCTGCAGCGTGGTGTCATGCACCGCCTGAACAAGCAGGTCCAGGAGGAGAACAACAACCGACAGGACCTTATCAGTGTGCAGAACTCGTTCGCTCAGTTCGAGGCACACATCATCCAGACTATCCAGCATGGCTTGGGCCAGTTCATGCAAGTCGTCAACACCCAGGCTGAGCAGACCAAGAACGCGTACGGAGACATCGTCGGAACCGCACAGCGCATTCCATTGGACTTTGAATGGAACGGCTTCATTCAGCGCAACAACCAGGTCCTCATCGACCCCTCGTCTTCAGCCCGCACAGTGCAGAGCATCAACTTCCCTAACCAGAACCATCGCTCTACCCAGCCATTGATCTCCGGCTCTCTCGAGAAGAAAGGCAAGATCATGCGCTCCTACGACACCAACTACTACGTCGTCACCCCCTCCAAGTTCTTGCACGAGTTCAAGACCGACGACGACTTCGCCAAGGACCCCGTGCCCGAGCTCTCCCTCTACCTACCCGACTGTGTTGTCGGCGCTGTCAGCGGCCAGAAGTTCAACGTTAAGGGCAAGGACGTGTCCAAGGGCAAGCTCGGCAACACATTCTCCATGAACCACGAAGTCGCGTTCAAGGCACACACCCCTCAGGCTGCGCAGCAGTGGTGGGAGGTAATCAGCCAGGCTGCAGGTCAGGTCACCACTGAGGTGCCCGCCACTAGCCCTACTAGCCCCGTTGCTGGCCACAACAGCCTGAACGAGGGTGCGCACGCCCCGATTGCCGATCAAAAAACTCCTGCGCCCCTCCAGACCCAGGACCTTCAGCAGACACCTACACGTGGTACGACTGGAAGCGTGCCAGGAAGCGCTGCTCCTGCTAGCGCTGGACCTCACAGCGCTGGCGTTGCCCCTACCAGCGGCATCCCTGGTGAGCCTGGCAAGTACTAGGTACAGACACATGATTGATTAGATGAATGTCGCTGGAGAGATGGGAAGCCCGTTGCACAGCGTAGTGTTTGAAGTTGTATAGCCCCATACCCTAATAATGAAGATACCACGAGTCAGTACGCAAATCGACACATAGTATACCATTTCACAACTTTTGTCTTCCAGTGTCTCCCGCTGTGCCCTTACCTAAATCGATTAAAGGCAAAAATTCCATCCAATGTCGACTCCGCTTATTCTCACCTCCGAAATTTGACAGTGAGTACAACTATATACACAAGATTTCGAATAATCAATTCCCATCGTTCGGTCTACAGAACTGACCATCAGCACAGTGAATCACCAAAGCTCGGCTATGCTCCCGAGGTCTGACAGCAAGCCTCCCCACCATCCCCCTTCCCATCAAACAACACACTCTTGTTCACTTCTTGCGTACTCGGAGCCACATCCAGTCCCGGATTCTCCCCAAAAAAGTTCACCGGCTTCAGTCCAATCACCATCTTCTCACACGGCATCACCGGCCAATCCTCGATCCGCGGATTATGCGTCGACCCAAACGTATGCCAGACTACCACATCCTCATTCCTGATCCTCGCTTCCTTCTCATCGCCCGCCCTCTTCTCGATCGCACTTGCGATGCCTTCACCGCCCATGGACTGCATCGTGTATCTACCGGACGGAAACATCTCATCTTCGCGGTACTTGGTTACCCAGACAGCGTGCTGCCCGTATTCAGAGCGCTTAGCGTGAAAGGAAGAAGGGTGGGCGAGCAGCATCTGGCTGTATGACGGGAGGAGTTTGAAGGCTACGGGTGTCTGTGTCATCGGGTTTATATTTGCTTCGTTGACGATCTTGAAGACGCGGTTCTTGGTAACGTCGAGATCGAAACCGCCTTCGCGCTCAATGTAGCTTGTGCGTGTTTCGTAGCCGACGCCGAAGGGGTTGTGCACGTTTGCGTCGTCAATGCGCATCGCGTGTGATTCTTCAATCGCGATGGAGTTTCTGTGGCCGTCGATGGCGGGGTCGATGCGCAGGCAGAATAGGTGCTGATGGTAGGGTGCAAGCACACCCGGTGCGACAATGGTGCCGAAGGGTGGTTTGGGCTCATCGAGGGCAATGGGGACGGTTGAGAGAATACCGGTGGCACGCACTTCGTAGTTGATAGAGGCATCTTGCCCGAAGTGGAAGGCGAAGATGTATTCGTAGTTGCTGACGGTGATGATGGTTTGTAGGACGAGGATGCGCGAGCGGGTCACTACTGCATGCCCGGTGCGGAAGTTGGTGTGCTTCCAGAGGATGCCGTCGTCTTGCTCGTGAAGGCAGATCACATTGGGCAGCCTGAGAGGAAGACCGGAGGAGGTGTTGTGCCATCCATCGAAGTACTTGATCGTACCTGACATCGTATTATCAGCATCAACTCGAGCTCTAATTGCCATCTCTTGCCTTACCGAGACAATCACATCCCAGCTGCAGGTTGTTTGCGTTGATGCCGGCACCATCGTTGCCCAAGTCGAACGCACCCTTCCTCGGATATGGAGCTCGAGGGTCGCCATACGGCACAAACATCTCAGCCAGCGACAAGCGGTAAAACAAGCTTCGACCATCATACCGAATGTCATGCAAAGTAAGGCCCTCACGATAGTTGAACCCCACTCTAAACGTCCACTTCTCCCAAGTCACCTTCTGTCCATCAACCCGAAATGATGGACCCTCAGGCTGGACAACCTGATACGGCTTTGTCGTGGTGCGAGGACTGGGTCGTAGATTGGGATGAAACTCGCTTGCCTCGGTTGGATGGATCTTACTGCGATCGAATGGACCGGGTTCGTTGTGGATCTGCTGATTGGCCGAAGACGGCAGGCGGTACACTTTGGTGACTTCAAGGTCTTCTGAGACTTCCGCGCAGAGGTCGAGGGGGTAGGCGTAGTAGTTCGCATCCGGATGATCCGTGAGGCGAAGGTAGAACCAACACTACACTATCAGTCAGCATCGTCCTTATTCTGCTCAAGTTTGAACTGTACCATGGTGATGCGACGCGACATGTCATTCGAACCGTCTGTAGCGTATGCCCATGGTTCAATGATGACAGAGGCGCCAGGTGGTAGATCGAGTGTCTTGATTTCGTCCTGCACTTTGGAGTTGGCTATGCATGCTTCTTCGACCTCTTTCATGTACGAAGAGTCGATGTACGAATGCTTGCCCTCGAGGTGTTGCTGCTTGATAATTGAATTGTTGTTAAGGTCAACAATAAGCTCCAGCAAATCAATCGTCTCCACGCTGTCCTTGACGAGTATCTCCACACGAGCACAACGATCGAAGGCTGGTGGTACGTCTCCTCCATGCTCCGCTTCGAGGTATTTGACTAGCTCGGCCTTTGGTGGTTCTCTTAGTGTGATGACCCTGAAGTTCAACTCCCAATCGTCAAACAATGGTCGGACTCTCTCTGTAGCCTAGCGCATTGTCAGCTTTCGGATTCCGATATGCCAGTCCTGTGATGCCAGACCCTTGATATTTCCTCCGGTGTCAATGGATCGAGCGGGTGGTCGGAAGACATTGTGATAAGGAGACCTTCAGTTAGGCGAATCCGATGATTACAGCTACTTCAGGCAAACTGAGTATGTTGGACCAACAAGAAATCAAAGGACTTCCTCTGTTTTATACCAGTTTGAGGAGTCTTGGTAGTCTTCGATAGGACGTACATCTTGATTGGCTAATGAGCTTAGCGTGCCATTCGTCGCCTGCGCCTACCTTTGGAGGTTCGCCTGTCGGTCATCATCACCTCCAAAGGAAAGGTAACAAGTATTTCCACAACACCACACCTCCAAAGGTAACCCGGAGAGGAGTTTTCATCGCTGCATTTGTCGATCGCAATGTACTGTTGGTCATGACGCAGGTTACGTAATGAACTCTTGTGCCTACAATGTGGTCGAAGCGAAGGCTTGCGGGGGTCTTACGAGAGACTGAGAAAAAGACTGAGCGAGACTTGTCGTAATTGGATCGGGATGGTGTAAAGCGGCAACCCCTTATAGGTTTATGAACAGGCTTCTGGCTTGCAGCCCTCTGTCGGAGCTTCACCACCAACGTCTCATCTCTCGTTCGAAGCCGACAGCTCCTGGACATCAGCCTGCCTTCCGCATATCTCACTGATCGGCTTCTTGGCCATCGTATGCTCCATCTCGACCACAGGCGTGTCTTCCGCTTGATGAAGAGCAGACGCACCATGTGAGGCCGGAGGACCAGACGGCGCTCCATCTTCACTCTTCGCTCGAAGCTTCTTCCTCCACTGCAAGGCCCTCGCGATGAACATCCCAAGTCCAATCAGTGCCAGGGCTCCCACAACTGCGCCCACACCAGTTCCAACTTTAGCTCCTGTCGAGAGCCCAGTGTCCGATTTTGCATTATTCGTCGCCACGGCGATCACCGAGTTTATGGTTGGTGTCGTGGACGAAGTGCTCACCACGATCGAAGTCAATGTCGATGATGTCGTAGAGACAGCCGCCGCGAATTTCTTCGCAATCGTGTATCTCGGTTCTGTACTGTTATGACCGCAGCAAGAATCGCTTTCACCACAGCACCATACCGTTGAATTCTCCGTCCCATCACAGGGAGTTACAATCTGATCAGTGGCTTTCTGCGCAGCCTACGAAAATGTTAGCTTCGAGCGTTCGAACTCTCGTAGCGAATGCGTGATCGCTCAAGGCGGCGGTCGCTCACGTTGTATGTACACAAGTCCTGACACGCGCTGGTTTCCCAGTCACGACTTGTGCATGTTTCTCTCCAGATATACCCAGTGTTTGCGCGGCATAAACCGTTGTCCAGACACACATCCCTGATTGAGGAGCAGCATACCGTCGACAGGCCTGAACCCCTGCAAGGCTTGTAATCATCGAGACTGGGATTTTCGGTTCCATTGGGCCAGAAACAACCAGACTGTGCAGCAACCATCTTCAATAGGGCGAAAAAGATGGTGAAGAGCAAGGATGAGTACGAGAGTGCCATTGCTAGTCGCAGAGGAGGGATTGCGAAGAATGAGCACAGCCGGAGAGCAAACGAGAGTTTTGTGCTTCGGCCCTGTTGAGCACTGCCCCGGGATTTTACTCGGGTCCCCCAATGCTCTGCTAGAATGTTGGGGCTGAAACCATGGCTCCAATCGTAGAGGATGGTGATTGGTCCTGAGTCCTATCAGGCGCCGTTACTGTAACGTTCCCTGTACCACCCCATAAAACCCGCTGTTGAACTTCATCCTGACCTCTGGATAGACGACGGTGACGGAACTTGTCTTGAGGCGCTGGTGTCCTACAGCGGTGTACAAGGCACCATTTGGCGTTGACAAGATCAATGGTTGATTTTTGATTACACAGCCTACTCCAACACTCTACTCACTCTTCCACCTCATCTAAAACCTCTCCGATCTCTTAAGGACTAATCTCAACAACAGGACCACGGTACGACTTCCTGGCCCAGGCAAGATAGTATACAGCGCTCAACAGCGCAATACTACCCGTCACCAGGATCGACCAATTCATATTCGCAGCCGTAACATCCTTAAAACTAGGCCAAAAGCTGAAGAAGAACACAAACGCAAGATACACGCAAGCAAAAGCGTTGTTTACAATTCCTAGCGTACCAGGTACCCTCCAGGGTCCCCAGATTGCGCGCACCATGCCGTCGTCGGTGACAGAAGGTGTTCCGTTGTCGAAAGCTGCGCTGCTAGGGAGGATAGCGCCGGTGCAGCGCCTGTACAGAAGCAGACAGGAGGTGAGAAGGTAGGATGAGAAGAGGCCGGCGATGGAGACGGAGATGACACCGTTGAATGCGGTTGTTGATCCGATGTTAATGAGTGCCAGGAGAGAAGCGATCACACTGGTCACAGCTACGGCGGTCACTGGAATCGAGGTTCGCTCGCTGATCTGGATATCGTTGTCAGTGCAGCTCCGACTCTGTAAGTCAAGATCCTTACCTTGCTCAGGTGGCGCCACCCAGGAAGACCTTTGTCTCTTGCAAAGGCCCAGCAGATGCGCGAAGTCGAAGCTGAGAATCCGACGTTGGCACTGATTGTGAGGACCATGACGATAGATGCCAGAACGGCAGCACCAGATCGCGACTGAACTGCTTGGTGGAATATTGCCATGAATGGGAACGCGGGGTTCTCCGCGAGAACGGCGTCCATATCACCCAGGCGCAACAACACGGTAAGGACCATCACGAAACCCAGCGATCCGTTGATGGCAATGCCTGTCATGATCGACCTTGGCACGACTACTTGTGCGTTGTGGATTTCCTCAGATAGCTAGCAGGTGTTAACAACTAATCTTAGACGATGGAGATCCGGGCACTCACATGAATTGGGCCATCGCCACCAACGAAAGCGAACACACTGCCCATCATTCCAATGCAGAAGGACAGACCCTGGGAGTCCCAACCGCCCATGTTGACGAAAGTGGTGAAGATCTCCTTGGCGTCACCCTTGGGGCCGAGAACCAGGAGAGGAATGAGAATGGCGAAAAAACCGAGGATGTGCAAGACCAGCAAAGCTCCTTCGAACTTAGGCAGAAGCCAACCAGCTGCTACATTGATGAAGACGCAGAACAGGATGACTGCCCAGTATAGTAATGTGACGTGCCAGTTCTGAGGAATGTAGGTGTCTGGTTGACAAAGAATCAGGAGACCTTGGATCAGCCCACCCGTGAGGAAGCAACCGGAACCGAGAGATGCCAGCCATCCGCAGAGTGTGAGCCATCCAGATATGTAACTGAGAAGCTTGGATAAGCGCCGAGGTGCAAGCATCGACACCCAGTGGTATTGGCCACCAGATGTAGGTGCGATTGAGACCAGTTCAGAAAGGACCATGAATACCGATACAGTACCGAGCCAGACGACTAGGTAGCCATAGATGACACCAGCAGGGCCTCCATTCTGGAAGCCTACGAGGAACAATCTGTTCAATGTCAACTAACGTCGAGATGGATTGTGAATCTGGACTCTTACACTAACGAACCTTCCCAAGTGATCAAGACAGTGCAACTGAAGCCTAAGATGGAGAGAAAACCAAATCGTCTCTAATGAGAGTTGGTCAGTCAGGTGAGTTACGTGTCTCTGAAATCTCACCTTCAACACTGCCTTCTTCCCCAGTCTTGCGAGCGCGAGTTCATCCTTTTGATCAGTGGTAGAGAAGCTCGGAGAGACAGTCATCTCGATATCGTTGCCCTTCACAGAGGGAGTGGACGCCATTGTACGACCGAAGCAGCGGGGTCGCTGAATGCACAATGACTGTAAAGTTATGTACAGAAGAAAAACCAAATGAAAGCGCAAATGTGGGTAGTACCGTATGTTTGAAGGGTGGCTTACGCCCTCGTAACCGAGGAACGGCTGTGCCTCAGTGGTGCAGCGCGGTATTGTTTGAATGGGAGACAGGCCGTCCCATCCCGCCGTCCCATCCCACCCGTCTGGACCACCTGCCGAATAATCTAAGGCGCATGTCACACCATGCAGGATCGTACAGGGGTGAGCGCCACAGGAGCGACCTCCGACTGTACCGAACCGTAGGAAATTGATGCTGTCGACCAAGAACGTCGTTCAATCTTGGCACGTGCGTTGAGTGTGATAGTCTTAGTGTGATTGCATGTTGTGCACAATTAAAAGTTCATATGATTGGATACATGCTCGGGGGATGGGGTTCAACGTACAACCCCTGCTTACGAATTGTGTCTCCGGCGGAAGAAGTGACCGTGTTGGCGTAACTGACTGAAAGCTATGAGCTTTGCGTACGACCAGCTGGTTCCACTGAAACAGCCCAACTTTTGGACACGTTGATAGACTTGTCTGGCGCAGATCGCCTCGCCTGCGATGAGCGCGAGACATCCATAAGCTGATACTCTCGCCCACTGTAACCCTTGGAAGCGTAATCTCCTCGTCGACGACCGTCGTCAATTCGGATCAGCCCGGACTCGAATCCCTCCATGAATATCTTGGTGTATGGTAGACATGTTGTGACGATCGCGAGGCACTGTACTATCTGGTTGCAAAGAATTGACCGCCAGAAACCGAGCGTCAAGTCGTTGTTCGTTGCTGGATTGTTCTTCTCTTGGTGGAAGTAGGCTAGCTGGATCGCAGTTGCTATCAAAACCCTACACGGTTGTTAGATCCTCGCACTTCACGATGAGTTCAGACATACAAGAATCGGCAGGCGAACAAGCTCATGATGGAGGCTTTCCTTTGTCGTGTGACGCGGAGCTGCGCCGTAATTCCCAGCTCTAGTGCAATTATCGCAACTTCTGTAACAATGTTGAAAATCGATATTGCGTTCCACCAGGTGAACTGTTTACATTTAAATTTTGATGCATAGCATTCGCAATGCGACTTACCCGGTCAAGGCATCGATCAAGGGACCTGTCCCATGTACGAGGCACTCGACATTCGAAGACTGCAACGAGGACTGCGCACAATAACCAAAGGCATGCAAGCGCCCCGACACCGTAATTGATCTTACGATGCAGTTTTGAGGGTGTCAGATTGTGCACGAATGCCACGATAGCTAGCTTCGAAAACCCGAGTGATATGAACAGCAAGATCGTTGCTGCATATTCAGCCTGTCATAGTTGTCAGTTTTCTGTGGTGTTCATCAAATATTATCAAAGTACCTTGAGGGTCAACTGAACATCATTACTGCTCAAGGTCACGGATGGCTTCCCAAAACCATATCCACATTGTAACAATGCAGCAATCGACTGTGCGATGCAAAACACCTGTGGAAATCGTCAGTAATAGTACTCAAAGCATCGCCTGAGCTTGAACTGACCAAAGACACAAGAAGAAATCCTGACTCCGCCCTTAACGCCCGGAAAACGTAAAGTTTGATACCAGCATGAGTGATGAAAGCTAGGAAACTCGTCACAAGGCAAAACCAAACGATGACCTGTACGATTGGCGTTCGATTGGACTCAGACAGAATGACTTGATCCAGTTGTGTCGACATGTTCGCCGCAAGAGTGTTGAACGCAGGAATTGATCAGCAACTACGGCGAGATGGGCACTGTGTGTTGCTTGAGTATGACGACGCTTTGGTCGCGCGTGCAGGGCGTGCATGTTGGACACCGGGCCGTTTGAAAGCCACATCCCGTAGTAACAGCAAGATGAGATTGTGCCGAGATATCAGTGCAACCACACTCGACAAGCAGGATTACGGCTGACACCAGGTCTGGCAAATATCCCAGGCAATGCTCGATGAGTTCCTTGCCTCAGGACTTCGTCCTTCCTCCCTCGATGGTCGCCGAGGTCATGTTGCCGCGGGCCTCCGTCCTAGTGACGGACGGTTTGGGACGCTGCTACTGCACGTTGCTGACAGCCAATACCTTTGTCACCTGCAGGGAATCTCCGCGATACCGAGTGTCGTGTAGCGATGGTGCTTGACGAGTAAAATTAGCGACTAAGTCGTAAACGTTTCTTGTTGGGTCCAAGACGGCGCGGCTCGTTCTCCTGAACCGCGTTCTTGTCAACCAATGGGGTCGCTACGGGATGAAGAATGAGACGGGGTATCTGCCTCATATGCATGCGCGGGTGAAAAAGCAAAGCCGTGTCTGAAGGAGCTGTTCTACCACAGTCGGCAAGCAAGCCCATTGGCACGAACAACTTACACGAAAGCCGCTATATCGCCAAGGACAAGGCGACCTCCCCGTGCGGGCCGGGATCTTTGAATGCTTTACCTACGAGCATCAGCCGCAGCAGCAATATCTGTGGGTGACATGCCTGGTTGTCAGGTTGTCTATTGGTGGTTAATCAGCCAAGCTTTGACCCATGGTTTTTTCGGTTTCGGACTGCTGCCACGCCTGCAGCTCTCAAACACTGATCGCGGTCCAGGATAACGCGACACGGCTTGTCGGCTTTCTAAAGTCGCATTGCCACTGCTGCTGGGAAATGGCATGACCTGACGGTGGCTCGCTCACACGAGCTCGTTTCGAACATGCTTGAAGACATTCATCTCGGTTGTGGTGCGGGATAGACGACACCTTTCTGGTAGGTAGCTGCCGTGTTGACAGCGAAAAGCTTGAAATTGGTGCTGATTGGTAGCCGAGGGAAAAGCAAAGAATTGGTCTCTGAGTGCAACGACGAGTGTTGAAAGCTGGAATAAACTTCTCGGTGTTCGAAACCAAGCAATAAGATGCGCACCTACCTGTCGTAACATTACCGTAAGTCGTCGACCGCGGTCAAGTAGTAAGAAATGCGAGTTAGGACGAGAGGTTTTGAAGAGACCACCTAGTCGAGGCTCGACTGTGCTCGCTTGTGTAACCTGACTTCAATAAGCGTGCCTCAAGTCTTTTTGGTGTCAATCAAACTCTGCCGAATACAACAGGATCTTTGCGAAGGGTGGCGAGAGTGATGAAGCTTTGTGTAGTTGGGCCCTGAGGCGGACGAAAACAATGATGACGTAACACGTGAGGAAGTTGCGAACTTCCTCAGGGTCCAGACACCTCCGACCGAACTCCGCATCCTTCACGCTTCGCAGTGGTGAACTTCCACCTCAACCCCACTTGTGCCCACAAATTACTGGCGTGACGCGGAAGTCCTTCTCTTGAAGGGTAATCTCCGCCGCATGAGCGCAGCAAGTACGACACTCTCATTGCTCGCATAAGCCTCTCCCCAGCTTGGAGCTTATATGACCCATCACTCCTTCGAAATCGATAGCCGCGCACCGCGCACCCCACCACTACCATGCAAGGCTTCAACATGGGACGGTACTATCCGCCTGACGCCTCCAATCCCCCAACTTTCAACAAATTGCACCCACTCGGCGCACGCGCGTCCAAAATCTCCCAAGGCATCCTAACCGTGCGCTTCGAGCTGCCCTTCGCCGTATGGTGCCAGCACTGCAAGCCCGAAGCCATAGTGGGCCAGGGCGTGCGCTTCAATGCCGCGAAGAAGAAAGTTGGGAATTATTATAGCACGCCGATATGGAGCTTCAAAATGAAGCATACCGCGTGTGGTGGGGAGTGGGAGGTCAGGACGGATCCGAAGACGACGCAGTATGTGTGTGTTGAGGGTTGTCGGAAGAGGGATTATGGGCCGGAGGACAACAGTGAACAGGATGGGGAATTGAAATTCTTGAGTGAGGCAGAGAAGGCCAAGAGAAGAGACGATGCGTTTGCTGGGCTAGAGGGCAAGCTGGAAGATAAGGCGAGGAGGAAGGAAGACAAGGAGAGGGTGGAGGAATTATATGATAAGGCGGAGGTTTGGAGGGATCCGTACGATGTCAATGCGCGGTTGAGGAAGGGGATGAGGGAGAAGAGGAGAGTATGGAAAAAGGAGGAGAAGCATAAGGAGGCGATGCAGGATAAATTCAGTCTCGGGCTAGACATTGCAGACGAGACGGATGCAGATCGGCAGAGGGCAGGGCTGATAGAGTTCGGTGGTGATGAGGATCGAGCGGAGAGATGGAAGCCGCTCTTCGCGGCAACGGACACAGAAGCCGGAGATGAGCCGAGCGCAAGACCGAAGACGAAGAAGCTAAAGGCTGAGATGGCTGCGGAGAAGAGTCGCAAGAATCTGCAGCAGAAGCTTGTGGGCAACACGCGCGCCGCTGTCGACCCTTTCGTCTTGCAAGAGACCGCAGCTAAGACGAGACCCAACCTCGGCATTTTGAAGAGGAAGAGAGATGTGGACGCTGTCGTAGAACCACAAGTCCTGTTGCAACCCGGCACGACCAAAGCCAATGTGCCGCCCACTCAGACCCTTGCAGTACTGGTGGGATACGACTCCGACTGAGGCGCTGGCGATCAAAGCCTCCATCGACCTTACGTCTCATTGCTGCATGAATGGCGTTTGTCTTAGCGATTGCATTATGATACCCCATTGATGATTCTATTCTCAATCCATAACCTACTTCATCGACGGCTCAGACCTTTTGCTTCGCCATCCACTCCTCCGCCTCCTCCTTGAACTCTGGCCTCCACCTCGTCATCGGCGGTCTCTCGTTCACAATATCGCCCACACCCCAGAGCATGCGCTTCTTGTCTATCTCTTCGCTTACGTCGTTGTCAGGGCAGATGATGTAAAACTTGTTCTTCTCCATCTTCTTAACCATGAAGTCCGCAACTTGATCGGGTGACCACGCGCCCTCGGGTTTCTTTGCTTCCTGTCCAGGGTGGTTTCCAGACTGCAATTGCTTAGCTACTGACACGGAGATTGAAAAAGAGTACTTGGAGCTTACTAGACCTGTGAACGTCCACCCCGGCACCAAAAGATGCACATTAGTTGTCGTATCCTTCAAATCGAAGCTCAAATGCTCGGCCAGGACCTTAACAGCCGCTTTCGACGCATTATACGCCGCGTTGCCGGGGGGATTCGTAATGCCCTGTTTGCTGCCTGTGATGACGATTGCGCTAGGCGTGTTGGAAGAGCGGGCTTGGAAGGAGGGGACGTATGTGTTTAGACCATTGATCACGCCGTAGAGGTTTGTGCTGAGGATCTACGTTTCGTATTAGCACAAACTCCTGCCCTTATGAATATAGGGGGATGGGGGTTAACCGCACCTGATCAAAATACTGACTTTCGCCCCAAGCACCCTTGACCATGCGTCCGGCGTTCAGCATCAGGAAGTCGACGTCTCCCACTTTCTCTTTCAGGCTCTTCCAGGCGCTGAGGTCCCCGACGTCGGATTTGATGCAATCGAGATCGCCCTTGAGGTTCTTCTTTGCAAGATCAAGGGTTTCTTGGTTGTAGTCGACGACTGTGACTTTCATGGAAGCCTTGAGGCATAGCTCAGCAACTGCGTAGCCAATTCCCGACGCACCGCCTGTGATTAGGGCGCGGGAGTTTGCGCGGAAGACGGACATTGTGTGCGATTGATTGGATGTGTTGTGAGGTCGATTTGTATTGTGAGGTGGATGTGCGCAATGCGACCAAATGTCTTAGCTCTTTTAGTGTCGTGTATGAAGTTTGGAGCTGTCTATGATATACGTACATGAGTAAGGTGGGGCTGGTGACGTCTCGCAAGCATTCCAAATTGTAACTCCGCGATCTCCATTATCTCCGATTCTAATCAACCCATCTCTAGTTTACAATGTACAAAGGCTATATTACTCTAAGAAAGTTACCGAAGGAAAAGGGTATCAAAAGTACAACATTGATCTCTTCAAGGCTTCTTGTCAGCGCCGGTGAGAGTGCTCAAATCCTCACACGCTGTCTCGAATCTCTCAACTTCGGGTCTCTCGAGTACAGGCGCTTCCACTTGCCCTGCAGCTGGTGTCTGTGGCACCCACTGACCGCTGAACAGTCCGGCACCAGGTGCATCGGTGGAGAAGTACTGCCCGTTCCTAGGAAGGATAGGGTCTGCTTCTATATGTGGTGTAGGCAACGCGTCGCCAAGCTGCTTTGACTCATGCACTGCTGCCGGTGTCATGATGTTTGCGTCGCCGAGTTGCTTCGACTCTTCCACTGCTGGTGGTGTCATGATGTTCATACTCTGTAGTGTGACAGTGCTTGCGTTTGCGCGGTGGCCCTGTCCATCGACCTTCAGACTGAATGGGTAGGCAATGCCGCCCTTGACCGGACGGGTACTCGTCCCATCTGTCTCCGGAACAATGGTTGGTGGGGAGGTGGGCTCGTCAGAGACGATGATGCCTGGCGTTTGAGCAGGTTCACTCATTTGAGCAGGAAGTCCCGAATGTGAGCGTTCGAGCGCGATGACCGTGGCTTCGGCAAGACCGGAAGAAGGAGGTGCGACCCTTGAGAACTCTTTCGACAATTTCTGAAGGTCATCTTCCGACGTGTTTATTTGACCACGGTCGGTGACCTTTGAGTGCCTGGATTGCGAACGCGTGCGTGAGGGCTTGATCGGAGCCAAACCGGCAGCTCGGCTCCGTTCAGTACCATCTGTTGTTCCGTCTAAAGAAGCTGATGCTTGCTCGGGCTGTGTGACTACTGCCTTCGAAGGCGGTGGTGGTGTTTGATCTGCTTTCTGTTCGCGATCGATCTGCACAAAGTTAGCATGTGTGCGATTCGGTAATACGTTAAGTAACGTACGGTCGCTTCATCGTGCTTGCTGCCCCACAAGCTCCAAAGCGCCATGCCCCAACTCTTCTTCTTCGCCTTCTCTGCCTTCATGCCTTTGATCCTTCTGCCAGCCAAGGCCGTTGGTGGTGGAGTCTCGCCTTCGAACCTCTCAAAGCCCGCCTGCATCTCCATCATACGCTGTCGCTGGATCTTGATCTTCTGCTTTGCGAACTTGCCGTTCCATTGCTGCGATGCTTTCATCCACTTGTTAACAGGGCCTGGTTTGGGAACACCAACTTCAGAGACCGGGAGATTCAAGGCGATTAATTCCTCCTTGGGTGCAAGAGGATAGATGTACCCATGTCGGTCGATGCGTTGTCGTATCATGTGATGCTCGAACGGAGGCAGAGAGTCACCCGCTTTGCCCACCCTAGCCTCGTGTTGGCCTTTGTCGATAATTTCATCGTTGCCCATGTGAGATTTAGTTGCTGTCTTGGACTTCTTATCCTTCTTTGACTGCTTCGCATTGTCAGAAGAGGTGTCAGAGTCGGTGCTAACGAAAGAGATATCGTCGTCATCGAGGATATCGATGGATGTCTTCTGCGCTCTGGCCAATGCCCAAGCACCGAACTGGGCAATGCTGCGATACATGTGCTTTGCAGGTCGCGTGAAGCTGAGTGTTGGTGCGACGTGGCAAAGGTCATCCCACACCTGAAGCTGCACGTTCGTTGGCTTGTACCTTGATGCCCAAGTTTCAATCTCTTCCGCAGTCTGGCTGTTTGATGGAGGTGGCAGATAGGCTTCAGGGTGCGCAGCTTTGTGAGCTAGGTAAATTTGCTCATCGCGCAGCAACTCGCCGCCGCCAGTTTGAATAAGTAGAGGTGGCAATCCACCCAGCGACGGCTGCAGAGCTGGAGAGACCAAGGGATGGGTCAAGAGGTGGTTTGCTGTGTACAGCTGGATCTGATCCTTGATCTCGATCCGTACTTTGTCCAATTGCACGGATAAGATGCCCTTCGGACCAACACCATACTTACCATCTGGCGAGATCCACGTGTCCGATGCTTGAGCCGGATTGAGGATGGCATTCATGTCAGGTTTCTCCTTGTTGACTGAGTAACCACGCACGCGCTCGGCCTTTGCCTCCTTCTCTACCGCACGGTCTTCCTTGGCCTTGCCGGAGAGCGCCACTCGAGGAAACGACTTCGCCTTTTGATAGGCGCTGGATGTAGAGTTCTCGAGTTGCATAAGGTCGTCGGCGTTTGGAGGTGCTACCACAGTCAGCAAGTTGTTAGTAATCGTAACAAGTTTGCTTACGCCAACTTATACTCGGCTTATGCAGGAAGCCATGTGCTGGGATGTAGTCCATTTTACCGTCCCCGCTCAGGCTTGGGAAACTGTGTGTCAGGTCCACCCAAGGACTAATCAAAATGGCACCCGCAGGCAAAGGCACACCCTGGTCTCGCAGAATCACAAGCATGCTGAGCACCATACCACCACCTGCCGAATCACCAGCCAAGACAATGGTGTTGGGATCATGTCCTTCTTCGAGCAGGTACAAGTACGTTGCCAGACAGTCCATCAGGCCACATGGAAACGGAAACTGAGGCGCAAGCCTATATCGTGGGGCCAACACACGAGCCTGAAGTTTTCGCGCGTGTCTTTGCATCTGGTAGCGATGCTCGTCTACGCTGCCGAAAAAGTAGGCACCGCCATGGACATAGAGCATGATGCGTTGCCCCTTTGGCATGCTGGACTTCTCACGCGCATCGCGGTCCTTCTTCATCTCAATCCACTCAGCCTCCAACTTTGTCCCTTCGCGTCTCCACTGCCACCATGTTTGCCCGCCTACAGCCTCAATTCCCTTAGGGCCTAGCTGCGCGTTGATGTATTGAGCGGAGCGCTGCATCTGCCCCTGCGGTATCTCAACCTTGTAGTCGTGCACCCAGTGCGGTACAGGCACCCATTGCGACGTGAAGGCCTGCAACTCGTCGACTGGGTGCAGCGATGCATAGTGCAAGAAGCGCCGGATGAGCTCGAGTCCTTCGTGGTACGAAATGTGCGCGGTCGGCTTCTGGCGTAAAGGACTCCGGTTCAGGTAGTGGAGGATATACGTCTCGATTACGGTCGGTGTGACGGCAGCGCCCACGGAAAGAGTGTTGACTGGCATCGTGAGGCTCGTTGCTTGGAACAATTAGGGGTTCGATTGCGGAGGTAACGGGATTAACTGCACGCGACGATATGGAGACGCGTGCAGCAAGTGGGGGAAGATGAAGGGGTGTGGTTGCTGCTTTGCGCACAGATATTAGAAGAGACTTAGAAGAGACAAAGGGAAAGAAGGGAAAAGGAACGCAAAGAGTGGTCAGAATGCAACGAAGAACGTGTCATTACTTCCCCAGACTGCAGATCTTGATCGACGCAGGGGCCCGCCGGAAACTCCAGCGCGGTTGGGCCCACTTTTCTTCGTCATCGACATCCAAAGTCGATTCAGGGTCCAGTCCACTTTTCATCAACACCACATAATATGTATGGACAGTGTAATGAGCTACAAAAGATTGATCTGCCATAAATCACCTTGAATGCCATATGGTGATGGTGGTACAACGGAGAAATGGCCCCTAGGCCAGGCTGAACTTCTCGGGGTACACAAAGCTGCCCGCGTTGCACTAAACTACTTAAGTCGAGTACAAAGGCCGTGTAAGGTGAGCACGTTGCGCCTTCAATGTGTTGAAGACATTCATATGAACCATGGGACGTTATGATACACAAATTGCTCGCTAGCCCGTAGTCGACGCCGCAAACATACAAAGGTGCGCTGCGTTCGACAAATTTAGCTGAGCTCTGGAGTCATGCAACTCACTATGTTACTGGCCATCTTTCTTGCGGCACTCAGTGCAACAGCTATTGCTGTCCAGCAATCAGTGCAGGTCGATCTCGGCTACGAGATATATGAAGGCATCGCAAATGCTATAACAGGCGTCAACATCTTTAAGGGGTTGGTTGCGCTGAGGTAGCACGTATATTGTACTGAAACTTCCAGAACCCGCTTCGCCGCTCCACCCACAGAATGTTACTGGCCTGCTTGTTCTGGTGTGGATCCACGGCGGTGGATAAGGCGTCGGCGATGGCCGAGAAGACATGAGCAAGCTAATCAATACTAACGACAATGAGTTCATCGGTGTGAGTATACAGTATCGCGTAAGTGATTCCAGTGGAAGGCTAGCAATGCACTGCTGAGCTTTGATGTAGCTTGGTGCTTTTGGTTTCCTCGCTGGGGACGAGGTTTTCCGCCACGGCGTAGTCAATGCGGGCCTTCTTGACCAACAATTCGCTCTTCAATGGATACAGCGGCGCATTTATTGCTTTGGTGGAGATCCAAGGAGAGTCACGATATGGGGCGTATCGGCCGGAGGTGTGTCGGGACATACATCCGGGGTGGGGACTCTGGCGGCTTGCTAACAATCTGCAGGCAGCTCTGTCATGTTGCATAACATCGCTTATGGAGGTACTCTGGGCACTTCGCTTTTCAGTAACGTTAGTCGCCAAAATGGCTGGGCCTGCTGTGTCGGTGCAAGCTGACGACCGACAGTCTACCTCGTCCTCGCCATATCTACCACAGCAGTATAGCTACACAGACTGGGTCCCATCACAATCTTACTATGCCTTTACCGCGCGTGCTGGATGCTTCACTCCCTGGGGGGTATGGCAACAGTTCTCGAACCATCTTTCAGTGTCTTGTTTCGAAAGATACAACAGATTTGCAGGAAGCTTCAGCAGTGGTCTCCAAGTCAGGAAGATACGGTACCTGGGCCTTCTTGCCAGTCACGGATGGTTTCTACATCCAGTCGCGACCTAGCGCAGCCTTTCTTTCGGGCAAGCTTAATGGTCATACCATCTGACAAGCAACGCCGCCGAGGAAGGTTTCAGCTTTGTGCCTCAGAACATCCGCACAGAAGCTGACCTTCACGCCTGGATCTTTCTCGTCTTCCCGCTATTCGCGAGTGAGGACGTTGCGAAGCTACTCTATCACTATCCATCTTCAAGTCCCATCTTCCCGAATCTCGCAACATCGGGTACCCGCTGTCCTACAGCTCTCGACACTAGTGCTACAGCATCCGGCCTTCAGCAAACAGCAAATCTCATCTACAGCGAGTCGACATTCATATGCCCGAGCTATTGGCTAGCAAAAGCGTACAGCTCATATCGTGCTGGCGGCTATAAGTTTCAGACGTCAACACCTATTGCGTTGCACGGCCTCGATGATCTAGCGGTGTTCGGTAACAGAGAGCTGCTTTCTCAAGGTCGTGACTACCTCCATGCTGTGCAGAGAATTTGGGGCAACTCCATCAGAACTGGTAATCCCTCGAGTCGTTCGGCGATCACAAAGGGTGAGAGCTCATCGAACTTAAAGGCGAGTTATCGACTGGAGAACTGGCCTGTGTATTCTTTCCCCGAGTCAAAGATGATGAATCTGAATCACACTGGCGGGCTTGTTGTTCCCGTCAACAAGACACTAAACGCGGTACCCAATCAGGTCAACGCTACATGGTCTGTGGAGCCAGGCTTGAAGAATGATTTCAGTGTCGTCGATGCGTATGCTTGGGAAGGTGGAAGAAGATCTCGATGCGAGTTTTGCGAAGTATTGCAGCAAAGGTGCCGATGTAAATCTGGATATCCATAGTGCCGTTAGTCTGACTTCCTTCACGCTGATCCTTAACCTGCGATTTGGTGAACGCCGTGTATGTATGTTACTTGTCTGTTTGTTATACTGCCTTCACCTACATAGGTAGCCATCCGATAACCACTCGGGGCCCTTTGCCATGTTCGGCGTTCGGAATCGAAGGGCTCACGAGTTACGCCAAGTTCATCTTTTTTTTGCGGCGGGGAAGAATTTTCACTTCCATTCGGCTTCCATTCGATGCCTTGAGAACAAACACCGACCCTGTGTCTCTGGGTCTGGGTGTTCGAGAGAGTGAGATATCGCATCTCCCAGAGTGACAAAGTGGCGGACGCCTTCGGACCATAAGCAGCGTTAGGGCCATACATACAGCCTTGATAAAGTTAGACACCACAACGAGAGTGGCAATCTGAAAACTAAACTGCAGTCTGCAGCGTTCTTGCACTTCTTTTACCAAGCAATACCTTATAGGTGCCTCTCACGGTTGCCACTCTGATCGATTGCTAGGAACCTCGTGCTCATTGTCGACGTTGCATGTCACGACCGAATGTGACGGACTTCGCCTCGCATTGGATGGGTAGAATCGGATTTGCTTATGAATGGTATTGCGGTGCCTGACGTGATGTTCCGCTTTTCTGGTAGGACATCACGAGGTCTTCCAATCCTTAGTCCACGTGAAGCTATTATTGGGATGAAATTCCGGCTACCAAATATCGAGGTCCCGCCAAATTACCGGGCCATCCTGAACGATGTAAACATTGCCTGCATCTGACATGTACTGTTCATCGTATTTCTCAAAGCATCTCTTTGCGTCAAGTCTCTGCTACGTGACTTTGGTCCCGTTGCTGTTTACGAACTTCTCTCCAGCGATGGCAAGGTTCCCTTGGGCGTTAATGGTAGCAACGACAGTATTCGTTTTGTTGGTAATCATATGATAGAATCGATCCGTGTCGTATGTGTCACCGTGGAGCCAGTCCTCGACGACTGGGTTGACGAAGTACTCGTTGGCTTGCAGGTTGGTGAATACGACCGAGTTGAAGAACAGATGTAGTGGCATAGAGGTGAGAAACAAGACCGCCCATGGAGCTTCTCGAGGACCCTCGATGTGTCAAAGGTTACGCAGAGTTGGTACTCCAATGTGGAGCCAGATTCGTTTCCCGTGTGCGCGTACAAGCTCCTCCCGGTTCGGCGCGCTGAGGACCTGCATGCAATAGTTGCTTGCCGAGGGAAAAAGCGTACTAAGAACATTTACCAGAATATGGATCTAGACGTTCAGTTTCCTTGCTCTGGCACAGCTACTTTCGGGAAAGAGTCCCAACGGAGCTTTCGGCTTTCTGGTACGGGCCAGTCCAGACGTATATAGTTACAGCAACATTGAAGATGCATACCAGTGTAGCGCCGACAAGCGATACCATCGCTCCGACGCGCCAGCCCGAAAGGAATGGAAGATATATCGAAGCCTGGAGTGTTGCACTAACGAGTTCCGAAGGAGCGTGATGGCCACCGTCTTGTGGCGCATTTGACTCGATGGACGAAGATTTTTGGGGATGGAGTGTGACCTTTTGTTCAATACTGTCAATGTTATCGTCGGGGTGTTGATATTGGTCCAAAGTGCTGATTGTATGTCAGTGTGTATCTGATGGAAGTGGGTGTTTATTGTGTAGTATTCGGTCCACTATATGGCGATCGGTGGGAAACCTTCACCTAGTCCTCTGACAGTATCGAAACGAACAATGTTCGTCAGTCCTTCTCCACCTCTCAGACCGAAGGAGCTCAATATCATCAGCACTTTCGCCCAGATCACCCCCATCGCGAACCTTGCGATAACCCGTGCGTGCTCGTTATACCACCATGTGACAGTTCATTTGTATTCGAGGAGATGAAGGAGAAGGTTGATTAAGAGTGTAATAGTTGTTGACAAGGCTGAGACGTGACCTCGTGCCGCATGGCTTTAGCGCCTCTAGTGATTATAATTAGGCCCCCAAATATGGATCTTGAGCAACAGCCACGGGACCAGGCTAAGCCAATACTCGATGGTGGGTTGTGAGATGCACGCCGAGAACTGAAGATTGGTGAGACAGGTTGGTGGCTGGAAAGGAATCGAGGGGTCCAAGCCGGGAAGTAGCCGCAGTCCTGAAGCAACCGCTGTAGACTAACTTTAGCAGTACGTGCAATTGAGTTTGGGAGCCTTGCTTTCCTGCAATGCTTGTCGCGAAGGTGTTTGCTGTCTGTCATATTTTGTTCTGTATCCACGGGTCGACAAGGCCCCTCCAGTTGTAACCGTTCGATCACCTAGTCAAGCCAATCGCAGTCTCTACCTCACACGCGATCTCCAGGAAAGCCGCTGCTCTGTCACCGTCTGGCTCAGCGACAACAGTCGGCTTGCCACGATCGGCATCATCGCTAATGCTAGCATGTAACGGTATCTCGCCCAGCATCTTCAGATTGTACTTGGAGCACATGTTCCTGATCTTGCCCATGTTGCCAAAAACCTCATGTACCGAGCCGCACCCAGGACACTTGAATCCAGCCATGTTGCAAACCAGACCAAGTAGGTTTACGTTAACCTTGTTGAACAGCTCTACACCTTTCACGGCGTCCTTGAGCGACAAGTCTTGTGGAGTCGACACAATCAATGCGCCGTCAAGGTTGAGCTGCTGTGTGATGGTGAGCTGGACATCGCCAGTGCCTGGAGGCATATCCAAGACCAGTACGTCCAGTCCGCCCCATTCTACTTCGTGAAGCAGTTGTTGTAATGCTTTCATGACCATGAGCCCACGCCATGCTACTGGCGAGGACTCAGGAATTAGGTAACCCATTGACATGGACTTGAGGCCATAGTTCGATAGTGGAATCAGCTGATTGTCTGGCGCGTTGTCAATGTGTGAGGCCAAAAGACTCGATCGTGTGAAGACTGACTTGCTGACAAGCGCGGCTCGCCGGAGAGGTTCAGAAGTGTGGGTATCGAAGGGCCAAAAATGTCGGTGTCGAGGATGCCGGCTCTGTAGCCACGGCGCGCGAAACTCAGGGCGAGGTTGACTGCTGATGTGTGAGTGGTGACACCTACTTTACAAGTACGGAAGCCTCACGAACCAGCGATGGTACTCTTGCCAACCCCACCTTTGGCTGACGATACTGCAATTACTTTCTTCACGTCTTTTATGCTTCGTCTTTGCGGCAGCCCTCGTTGCATGCGTGGTAGCTGCGGAGGTGCGCCGGAGCGCGGAAGGCCCTTGAGTAAGGTAAGCAAACAAACCAATCTTCAACTCTTAAAGTCAGCGTACCAGGGGGTTCTCATGCTGCAGACAGCGCAGCGTAGAGAATAATCTTGGCTTCAACATTGCGAGTTGTCGACATAGTTGCGGCGTCCTCGGAGGTGATGCGCCTCGTTCAGCCTAAGCCCGAAGAAGCTACCCCAGGGCCCCACATAAACTTTTCAAAAGTTCGATAGGCGCATGAAGACTGCTGCCGCAAGCTACTTTGCTCCTGCACGCCGGCGGTCGCAAAATCTGCATATCGCGCAGGATGGGAAAATCAAGACTGAGAGGTCAGTCGCCAAGTCCTACATAGCAATCTTGTCAGGCTAACGATATACACAGACTTCGATCCCGAGTCACTACTCGATCCTGCACCTAGCTCCAGCGAAGACGAGCGCTCAGACGCCGAATCCTCAGATGTCGAAGAGGACGTAAATGCGGGTCGCGAGCACTATGTCGATGTTGGCAAGAGCAAACTGCGCAAGCAGGAGACCAAGCCACTGGGAAAGCAATACGCAGGCAAGGGTGTCAGCCGTCAGGACGTCGAGAACAGCGACAGTGATGACCCGTTTGCAAGAGGCTTCGACGAGGAGGACAGTGAGGTAGATAGCGAGGATGAAAGTGAGGCTGATGGTGAAGAGGCGGACTTCTCGGAGGGTCTGAACGCTTTGATCGACGGAGAGGGCGGTTCAGACGACGACGATGACGAGGAAATGGACAGCGAAGACGTCGACATGGATGGCGAGGAGGATGGGGAGGAGGACGACAGCGAAGACGACACTGCGCAAGACGACTCAGAGGACGATGACGAGTCTGGCGACGACACCAAGCCAGGAGCAGCTGCCGTGCGTGACCTCATGAAGGACGCCAAATCCTTGACCTCCACACTCGCTGCCGGCGCGCAGTCAGACGTTGCAAAGGGCGAGGCTGTCAAGACGCAGCGCAAGACTTTCGATACACTGCTCAACACGCGCATTCGGTTACAGAAGGCGCTCATCTCGACGAATTCCATGGCTGCCGAACAACACAAGGAAGCAACTGCGCCAGATGCATCTGTCTCGGCCGCCGAGGCCGCTGCGCTCACCCTGCTGAACAATCTCACCGATCTCCGCATCTCGCTCGAGGAGTCGCGAACAGGCGAGAAGCGCAAGCGCACCACTTTCGATGCCAACACCTCTTCGACCGACATCTGGTCGTCGATACGCAGCACGGAGAAGTCAGCACTACCGCACAGGAAGGCTGTTCTTGAGCGCTGGTCGAACAAGACAAAGGCAACGACCGTCACGAACAATAAGGCGCGTCTCAACGCTTCGGCGCAACAGACGCTCACCGACGTACTCGACTCCCAGCTCACGTCGTCGCACTTGATTACTCGCACTCAAACTCCACGTTCCTGCGCTCCGCTTCAGTCTGCTCACAAAGCTGCGCAACCTGATGCAGCCATCTACGACGATGCAGACTTCTACGGACTACTTCTCAAGGAGCTGCTAGAACAAAGATCCGCCGATGTGAATGCCAATGGCACATCTGAATTCGTTGTACAGGCACCATGGCAGGTAGCGAGAGAGGCAAAGACAAAGAAGGTGGTCGACACAAAAGCAAGCAAGGGCAGACGGTTACGGTACACGGTGCAGGAAAAGCTACAAAACTTCATGGCACCTGAGGAGCGAGGAGAGTGGGGCGAAAGGCAACGAGACGAGCTTTTTGGAAGCTTGTTCGGCAAGCGATTGAGGCTTGGGGAAGAGGATGTTGAAAGCGAGGTTGAAAGTGAGGGCGATGCTGAGGAGGCAGGGCTTATGTTGTTCAGGGGCTAGAAGCTCATTACTTGCCAATTCTAGAATCCATCAGTGGCAATCTCGACAACGGACTTGGTGATGCTCGTGGCAATCTCGACAACGACTTGGTGATGCTCGTGGCAGTTTCGGCGTCTGCTTTCACACACCGACACGCTTCGGCTTGCTTTATCCCTCCCTCCCGAAGCAGCCCAGCCTCGCTCTTCGCTCTAAATTCCGACAGGCCCAAGCTCCGCAACCAGGGTCCACAGAAACTCTTCAACACCAAGAGCTCGTCGCGAACACGCGATAACGTCTTCCCTCCCTCCTCACCTCCTCACTTTACGTCAATTGCTGCCAAAATGAACACAATATCCCCTCCTCCCGAGTTTAAGCGCATATCCGGCTCCAAACGCCTTTTCGGCGTCGTCCTCGGCCTCGCCGGCGCAGCAGGCGCAAACGCACTCCTCGGCTACTCCGTCTTCAGCTTCTACACGCGCAACACTACTTTTGTTCCGTACGATACCTCATCGCCCGACCTGCTCACCCCCACCGCTACAAAACACAACCCGCTGAAGAACACCCCGGTCTGCATTGATCATGCGATCAAGACACTCCCGCTGCAGAAGTTCAGGGAGAGGTATGGCTTGAAGGAGGGAGAACGGGTGCCTGTCGAGCGCTTGAGTACGGACTTTTGTAGGGGAATCTGGAGTGGAATTGGGTTCAGGGTGCAGAGGAGGTATTTGGAGAGGAAGTACCGCGCGCTGCCTGGGAGAGAGGATCATCTGTGGGATGTGAAGCAGCTTGAGAAGAGTGAATATCCTGTTGGAGAGAAGATTGTGGATCACTTCGAGGTTGTGGAGCACGATGCGAACAAGGTACGGGGAGAACAGAAGTTTTGTGCAGGGGAGCGGTTTTGCTGACTCGATGTAGGTCATTGTACGCTGTGGTGACTCGCCGCTGAACCAGGACCACCGTGCTTCTGATGGCCTCTTCTCGATGGAGGTCAGCACTGACGAGAAGGCGGATACTGCGACTTTCCATCTCAAGAGTGTTTTTGTCAACACAACGCCTGAGGGCAAGGACCTGGAGCCGCTGCCGTGGAAGTTTCAGCTGGCGCATAGGTGGTACACAAAGCTGTGGATGGAGGGCGCGACAAGGAAGATGTTGATTCAGTAAGAGCATTGGTAGATCGACACACCGAAGACCGCTTCGTTCGAGTCCTACGCCGAGCCGTTATGTACGATATACCACACTGTCCACTCTTACTTGTCGAGGAATAGGCGTATCGCTAACGCTATGTTAACCTGGGCAGAAAATTTCACACGGCAGTTAGTCCCTCCTCTACTTCTCACAAGATTTATGCAGCTACAACACTCCTTCCATGTGTCCGGCGACGCGTTGTTCTAATACGCCGCGGAGAGGTATGTTCTTGGCCACATTGAGGTGCAACGGAGCGAGCGCTCCGTACCTGACATACGTGATGCAAGTCGTTACTCAGACTATATAGATCATCCTCTCCTTTATATCGAGAGCAATCTAACACAGCCAATCAGAGGTACGCATGGAGCCACTAGCGCCATTGTCATATATTAACCGACTCTCCACGACTGTGGAGCCGGCATGAACTTCACTAGGATCTTCAATTTCTCCATAGTGCTCAACTCATGGTTTGCTTCAAGAATGAGGGAGCCGCCATCGCGGTGACTACCTCACGGCCTGTCGATACCGAGACAGCAAGCTCGACCTCTACTCGTTTTGAGGCACGAAGACCGTCAGTGTACACAGCGAGCTGGACAACGCATGTCCATCACTCCTCAGCTTGAAGCTCCTCTTTCAAGATGTTCGTTCCACTTCTGTTCTTCGCCGGTCTGGTCACTGCCATTCCTGCGCCAGCTCCTGCTGCTGCTGGATACCGCTTCCTCGGTCGTGTCGATCCAACTACCAAGGAGCTCACTTGGCCAGGTACTGGCGTATCGTTCACGTTCAAGGGAACTTCTGCCACCATCAATCTTGCCAACGTAGTCGGCGACAATAGCTTTGACCTAATTGTCGATGGCAAAGTACCCAAAGAAATCGCCAAGGTCGTCAACACCACCATCTCCACGCCCAAGCTCGCAAAAGGCACCCATTCCGTCGTCCTTCGTAGACGTTCCGAGACAGCCCTCGGAACAGTCTCCGTCAACACCGTCACCACCGATGGCACCTTCGTCGCCGAAAAGCCTTTGACCCGCCAGATCGAAATTATTGGCGACTCTATCACCGTCGGCTACGGCCTTGACGGCACGAACCCCTGCACTAACAACGCCGCCGTGACCGACAACCCCAAAACCTATGGCGTGCTCGCAGCTAACGCACTCAATGCAGACTACAACGTTATCGCCTGGAGCGGCAAAGGCCTCGTCCGCAACATCGCCACAGGAACTACAGACATCAGCCCTCTGATCCCAGAACTATACACCCGCTACGGCGCCAACGATGCCAGCGGCAGTTACCCCTTTCCCTCCTCTTGGAAGCCCAGCGCCGTAGTCATCAACCTAGGTACCAACGACTGGTCCTACCTCGGTTTCAACGCAACCGGCCAGTCCTACGTCGCGCGCGAAGTCCTCAGCCCAGCAACCTTCACAGCCGGGCTCGTCAAGTTTGTCAAGCAAATCCAGACGCATTATCCCACGGTGCAGTTCTTCCTACTCAACAGCCCCATGCTAAGTGACTCTTATCCGACGGCGGCGGATGCGCAAAAAACGAATCAGACTAAGGCGGTGAAGGATGCGGTCAAGCAGTTGGGTGCCAAGGCGCATTTTGTGGATTGGCCGACGCAAGGGAGTGAGGTTGGGTGTGATTATCATCCCAATGCGGCGACGCACGCAGCAGAGGGGAAGGTGTTGACTGCTGCTATTAAGGCTGCGTTGGGTTGGTGAAGCATTGGGATTAGTTCGAATGAGTCATGTGCATTGTAGTGTACTAGTCTGAATTTTTCAGTAGAATGATGGATACGCTGACAATGCTGGAGTGCCTCCTGTGTGGACGAATAAGACGTTCTTCGCTTCGCCGAATGCTCCTTCTCTTGCCAGGCCAAGGAGTCCAGCGACGGCTTTGCCTGTGTACACGGGGTCGGTTAGGATGCCCTCCGTGTTCGCCAGTAGCTTGATTGCGTCTTTCGTCTTTTCGTTGAGGTGACTGTATGCTCCACCATTGAAACGACCTTCAAGCTCGAAATCATCTTCCGTGATAGAGTCCTTTTGCAAGCCGACCAGCTCAGCCGTATTCTCCGCCGAAGTCTTGACAACCCTTGACGTTTCTATTAGATCACAACTCGTAGCTTGAATTCCGATCAGCCGCCGCCGTACTGTTACTTCTGAAAGCAACTTGAATCCAGTCACCATCCCGCCTAACGTACTTCCGCTTGCCGTTGACACAACGATAGCATCGAACTCAACTCCCAACTCTTTCTCCTGCTCAACCAGCTCATATGCCCACCTTGCGAATCCCAGACCACCCAATGAATGCAGGCTTGCCCCTGAAGGAATGAAGTACGGCGTTCCACCTTCGGCCCTAATCTTCTCCATCTCTCTCCTCGCAGCAACTTCATATGCCAACCCATCACCACCTTCCGCATTTGCCTTCTTCCTGTCCTCCGGTGTAGACGGCTTCCACTCCGCCCCCAGCACACCGTTGATCTGCACATTCCCCGCGCTCTCATACGCCCCACGATCTTGCGCAGACGGATTCCCAATCTTCGGGTCCGGCGTGAGAACAGTCTTCATCCTAAATCTATTTCCCGCTGCAGCCACCTGGCGCTGACTGTTGCTCTGCACGCCGCCTACGGTGACGAGGTGCGTTGCTTTCTTGGCGATTGCGTCGGCTAGCACGTACTCGAGTTTGCGCACTTTGTTGCCGCCGTAGGCGAGCGCACTGTTGGTGTCTTCGTGCTTGATCCATAGATTTGGGATGGACCGTGGGGCGTTTGATTCAGACTTGAGGTGGGCGGTGAGGTTCTTGAGGGGCTCGATGGTGGTTGCGTGTGGGTACATCAGGGCTGCTCGTGGGATATCGGCGAATGGCCGCGGGAGGCGGACTGTGAATGTTGCCATGATGGTTGTGTCTTCTTTGGACCGAATTCTGTTCGTGGTGTTGACCGAGTGTTGGTAGAAAGTGAAGTACGATTCGAGATGTCGCGTTCAAGGTCGTCAGATGACGTCATAGTCAGCACTGACGGAGAAAGACTGCATGTGTTGTTGCACCTCTCGTGCATCAGGGTGTGAGCAGACCCAATTCCCGATATGGTTTGAACGGGTTCAGCCATACGCGCTGATGTTTAAGCTGCGGATAGCCGGCAAAAGACTCAAACTCACCATGGTCTTCGCCATTGGAGACCAGAACATCAACTTCGATATCCAAGTACTCAAGGTCGGCTGAATGCTTGTCCAGTGTTTTCTTGAGATCCTGTAGATCCGAAGGGATCGAAAGTCGCAGCAACGCTAGGTTGAAGCTGACGTAGCTGAAGCGTCGCAGAACCTTGCATGGTGCCATCGTCCAAGCTACGGTTTTCCAGTTCAGACGACAGGACCGAAAGCTCAAATCATCGACATTGGAAAATGGTTGAGGAGGGATACCAAGGCCGACCGGGCGAACTTCGGGTTCGACGAGGTTGCATAGCTGGAGACGCCGTAGGGAGGGCAGATGCATCAGGATGATGACATCATCGAATTGCATACATGCCATTGTGACACTTGCAGACTTGAGGTGGTGAAAACCGTGTGGAACCTTCATCCGAATAGGGTCGAGCCATCGCCTTGTACTTCTGACATCGTCGCCGTACCATTTGTCGATGATCTCTATCTCTTCAAGGTTCGGCGTATGCAGGAGCACAGTCGTGAAGAATGCATCCGTGAGCTCGCCATTTTCTTGAGCGGTCTCCATAGATTCCGCACATCTAGCCGCAAAGGTCGAAACCGGGTACTCGAAAGCACGGAGAGTGTGTTGAAGGTCGTTCGAGTCGAACACAGAGATCCGGTGTTTTGCGAGCGTGCTGTAGTCCCACCGCAACGACTTGACGCGGCTTGCTAATTCTGGGCGTCGGATAAGTGTCGTTAGATAGTGGCTGGGTATGCTTCCATAGCTGGTCTGATATTGTGCGTATAGAACTGGAGTGGCGATCCGATTGAGACGACGATTCATACGGCAAAGACCCACCAGACCTTGCTGTTGCTCGACATGTGAAACGATTTGTGAAAGCAATTCCTCTGGTAGAGCGTCCATCGAGTGCAGCTACAGTGTCGGTGATGATGTGTGGACGAATAGTGATGGAAGGCAATGGTGCACGAGCTCTCATTTGGGGAAGGCGCGCGTTGTGGCGATTTTGCTAGGGCCGCGTCGATTCACAAATGTCAACACCACAACATCTTGAAATATCGAGCTTAGCTCATCGAACGCCCATTCGCACATCTAAGTTTGAATGGAGCGCTTTCGGGGGTCGCTAGGAGCGCTTTCGGGGTCGCTAATAAGAATGATGGGGTATGGATGCCCATCTGCAAACGACATGTATTCCGTGTTTGTGTAAAGGGCGTGCTTGGGTAAGCTGCTTTGTAATGTACCATTCGATCTATGTACAAATAGGCAAAGGAGGTTTTGATCTTAAGGTGCGCATTGCGACGATTTTGACACCTTACCTTGGATTCAGCGACCCATTCGGCTCATTGCTTGTAGTGAAGATCATACTCCGGAAGACCATCATGAGGGCGCTTGTACTCGATGCCGAGGGCAGAACTGCTGATGTTCAGGACATTCGACTGCCAGTCCCAGCTTCACACGAGATTTTTGTGCGCGTCGAGGCGATCTCACTCAATCCAATTGATTCGCTGTACGTCGCGCATCCGCTTGCAAGCTCAGGACGGACAATTGGTAGCGACTTTTCGGGAACGGTCGCCGCTGTCGGTTCGCAAGTACCGTCGACCGAGATCGTCTATGGAGATCGTGTAGCCGGGTTTCTCCAGGGCGCTTGCAGCGTCAATGATCGGCCGGGCGCCTTTGCAGAGTATCTGGTCGTTCCTTGGGATCTGGTTTGGAGGGTTCCAGACAGCTTAACCATCGAGGAAGCTGCAGGTGTGAGCCTGGTAGCTTTGACAGCAGCTCAGGGTGTTTGGTATCGACTTGGTCCCGACGCCCCGTTTGCATATGTCACAAATTCTGTGAAGCAAGAACACCCACATGACAGACTAGATGCACAGCCGGATACGATTAACTTCCTTGTATATGGAGCTTCTACTTCGGTTGGCTTATACACGGCTCAGTTGGCAAGACTCAGTGCAAGGCCGAGTGGACGTGCGATCAAACTGTTTGGGGTGGCAAGCAAGGCCCGGTGGAGCCTGTTGAAGGCAGAGCCATACAACTACGATTACCTTGTGGATTATCGCGATTCAGATTGGCACGAGCAGATTTGGGCGCTGTCAGCCGGAGAGGGGATGCACTATGTCTACGACGCCATTTCAGAAGGCGACACAGTACGTCGTAACTCATCCACTTTGGCACCAAACGGTCGCATGGCCATCGTCAGATCTCGAGAAGGTGGTGCATGGATAGCCAGCAACATGTCAATCGAACCGATATACGGAGCGGTGTGGGAGGGGCTCGGAGAAGAAGTCCAGTATCAGGGTTTCACGGTCCAGAAGTCACCAGCTGCTCGAAATTTTGCTGTGCAATTCTACCGATGGTTGAGCACAGCCGTAGGCTCAGAGTTGAAGCCTGTCTCGATTAGACTTATGCCAGGTGGATTGAATAGGGTGGTGGACGATGGTCTCGAGTTACTTGGGGCTGGCATTATGGAAGAGAGACGATTGACTCGTGAGGAAGTGTGGATGAGACCTGTCAGTGCCGAGAAGTTGGTTTACAGAATTCAGGATTCACTGAATGTTTCCGAATCGACCGCATAGGAATCTCAATCTACACTCCGTATCCATAGTAGACTACTGGGCAGTTTAGGTGCCTGGACTCGCCGCTTTGTTTAGGATTTCGACTTGCATGTCGATCGTCTGGAACGAGTACCGAATGTGGCTTTGGTCAGTTTCAAAACACTTCCGACTCAGCTCAATTTCTGTGCGTCACCTCTATTTGCTTACTAAGCGACTTGCATGCCCTCGATGTTTGTGGCCGTGCGCACGACTGTGTGGTCAGTAACTTGACTGGGATCCGGTTTAATGTTTAACCACCACGAAATTTCTCGCGATGCTCCATCACAACTCTACATTGTAAGATAGTGGTGAGTCGATGTTCGGGGTACCGCGTGGAAGTGCAAGATCGCGAAAGGGGCTACTTACGTGACGTCATTCTGATTGGCTAGTAGAAATTGCTGCTTTTGTGGCGCTTGCGGTTGTGCACCCCTTCGCTTCCACCTTGCGCGTTCTGTGGATATCACGACTTCCGATTGCCACTTCAAATACATTTTGCGCCTAGGTGAATGAACATTCTGAGGACAAGCGATGTGGCTTACGCACTAAACCTGCCGCCACCGGACTGAAGATCGTGAGAGTGGAGCCATGGAGCCTCGGACAGATAAGCGGCTCTGAAAGCGACCGGATCAGCCAGCCCGCCGACCTAGCGGCTGAGCGGTGTAGAAAGAGAGGTAAGGGTAGCGACGGTTGCTCGTCGTGTGACAAGCAATGGGTCCCAGCGTGTGAAAGGATCGTCGTAGCACTGTGCCTTGCCCGCGCACAGGATAAGATAGCGCACCCGCACGCACTTTCACGAATTGCTTTGTTTATCAAATTCGACATTTCACTGGATATCATCACATGCTCGCGTCGTTAGGACGAGCCCTAATCGCTTTATTAGCAACAACACGCCATGTCTCGGGCTCAAGCAGCAGCGAGCAGGACCAATTCAAAGATGTACAGTGGGATGACGACAACTGGATGATTCGCACACATGCCTTAGATCCAGGCCACTACCAGTCCCGTTTGACCCTTGCCAATGGATATTTCGGTATCAATGTCGCCTCTGCGGGGCCATTTTTCGAAATCGACGAGCCCGTAGACGGTAACGTTATCAGCGGATGGCCCCTCTTTAGCAGGCGCCAGACGTTCTCGACGATTGCCGGCTTTTGGAACAGTCAGCCTCGGACTAATGGCACGAACTACCCCTGGTTGTATCAGTATGGTTGGGAAAGCTTTGTTGCTGGCATCCCACATTGGAGCGGGCTTCAGGTTGAAGCGAACGGAGAGTTGCTGAATGCATCGGTCAACCCAGAACACATCACAGACTTCGTTTCGAGTCTCGACGTCAAGGCCGGTATCGCGAGCTGGCGGTATAATTGGAAGCCTGGTGGCTCCGAAGATGGTGTCATTGATGTGGATTACCAGCTGTTTGTTCACAAGCTCTACGTCAATAAGGCAGCTGTCAGGCTGCGGCTTATGGCGACTCGCGATGTCAACGTCACAGTATATGATGTACTTGATGGTGATTGCGCCGTTCGATCAGACTTTGTCGACAAGAAGTACGAGGAAGATTCACCGACCATTTGGTCTGCTGTTCAGCCGGGCAACATCACCAATGTTACAGCCTATGTTTATTCGACACTCACTGGCAGCGACTGGGTGGACTTCAGCACTCGCGAGCAAGTCGATGAAGGCTTCTTCAGCGATGGTAATGGTTCGAGTATTGCACAATTTGTACAGGTCCAATTGACAGCCTGGCGGCCAACTGAGCTGAGTAAGTTCATTGGCGTTGCATCGACCGATGCCTTCCCGGATCCACAAGCTGTTGCGAAAGAAGCCTCCGAATCCGGCGCTGAAGAGGGTTACCATTCACTGTTGCGTTCTCACATTGAAGAGTGGGGGACGATACTTACCCTGGATTCAGTAGACGACTACTACCTGCAGAACGGTTCACTTCCTAAGGATCCCAATATCCAGGAACTTCACATCTTGGCCCGAACGAACCCATTCTATCTGTTGTCAAACATGATCGGTCCAAATGCCGTGACTGCAGCTGGCAACAATACGCAGCTCAACATTCACAGTGTTCCGGTCTGTGGATTAGGATCTGACTGTTACGGAGGCATGATCTTCTGGGACGCTGACGTATGGATCGCACCCGGTGTTCAAGTTTCTCACCCGCAACATGCGCAGAACATCATCAATTACAGGGTCGAGCATTTCGAACAGGCGAAAAGGAACGTTGAGACCGCGTACACGTCAAGCAAGAATCAGACTGGGAGGTTTACGCCTGGTGGTGCAGTCTACCCTTGGGCGAGTGGCCGATTCGGCAACTGCACAGGGACCGGAGCTTGCTTTGACTACGAGTACCATCTCAATGGTGATATCAGTCTAGCCTTCAACAATCACATGATCATCACCGGCGATCAAGAGTACTTCAAGGACACCCTACTACCCATCTCGAACGCCATTGCGCACTTCTTCGGACAAGTACTGGATTTCAACGAGACCTCAGGCGCATTTGAGCTATGGAACGCCACCGGTCCTGACGAGTATGCCAATCAAGTCAACAATGCTGGCTATACGACTGCACTCATTCAACGACAGTTTCTCGAGACGAATGAGTTCAATAGCCGGTTTGGACTGAGCCCCAATGCCAGCTGGGCGGACAAGGCCGCCAAGATGCGCCTTCCCATCAATGAAAATGCGGGCATCATTGTTGAATACGCAGGAATGAACGGTTCAGTCCAAGTCAAACAGGCAGATGTTGTCTTGGTAGACGATCTATTGCATTACCCCAACCCGTACAGTCTGTCCAACCTCGATTACTACGCTGCTAAGCAATCACTCGACGGGCCAGCCATGACATATTCTTCGTTTGCAGTTGTTGCGAACGAAGTGTCTCCGTCTGGATGCTCCAGTTTCACATACAATCTGTACTCAGCATTACCATATGTACGAGCTCCTTGGTATCAGTACTCCGAACAGCTGATGGACAATGTTGAAGAGAACGGAGGTACACACCCCGCGTTTCCCTTCTTGACTGGTATGGGTGGAACGAACCGTGTCGCTATCTTTGGGTACTTGGGCTTGGGCTTGTATTACGACAAGTTGGACGTCGACCCTTCACTGCCTACGCAGATCGAGTATTTGAACTACCGCACGTTTTACTGGATGGGCCACGGGATCAACGCTACATCTAACACCACTCACACAACTCTCGCTCGCCTGCCTCGAGGACAGTACACACTTCCCACTGTGGACGCAACGTACTTCGTCAAGCCCATCCCAGTTACGATTGGCACCCGCAGCGGCCGCAACAGCACCATTCTAGAGCTCGGCGACGAACCCCTCGTGATTCGCAACCGTCCCATGGGTGAGACACTCACTGTTGCTGGCAACCTCTTGCAATGTGGCACCCTTCTTCCACCTCCTCAAGGCAACAAGCCGGGCCAGTTTCCTGTTGCAGCCATCGACGGCGCAGCAAGTACCAAGTGGCAACCTGAGTTCTCGAACGTCACCAGCTACCTTACCATTGACCTCGGTGACTCTTCTTTCTACCCGGTCAAAAAGATCGCAATGGACTGGGGCAACCAGCCGCCTAGACATTTCGAGGTGTACTTTACCAACTCATCATTGCCGCCATTCTCTATGCAGACAGAGAGCGATGAAATTAGGAACGTCACAACGGGCAAAGTACAGATAAGTGCGCCATGGGACCCTGTAACAGCGTATGAAATTAGAGCGTACGTTGGAAATCAGACGAACATTACCTTGAACAATTGTGTATGGAGTGGACGATTTGCACATCTAGGTGTGAAAGGTAACCAGTATAGCGAAAGCACGACAGAGGGAGGAACAGTGGCGGAATGGAACTTGATACGTGGGATTTGAAGTAGACAACGCAGATGGATGGATGGATGGATGTATGTATGGATGGATGGATGGATGGATGGATGGATGGATGGATTGATTGATTGATTGATTGATTGATTGATTGATTGATTGATTGATTGATTGATTGATTG